CGGAGTATAAGGAGGCGTTTTAGGAGCTTAAGCGACGGTTAACGATTACTCTAATTCTTATATATTACGATCCTAAGGCACTAACTAAACTTAAGACGGACGCCTTTAGCGACTATATAGAAGCTATATTATCCTAGCTTAGAGCGAATAAGGTCTAGTACCCTATCGCCTTCTTTTCGAAGACTATAAAGGCCAAAAAGACCCAGTATAATACCTATAACTATAAAATATTAGCGATCGTACTTACCCTAAAGGAGTTCTGGCCGGAACTAAAAGGATTATAGCGAAGCGACTAATTTAGTATCTTTACGGATTATTAGTCTCTATAGTACTTTATAACGACGAAGAAATTAAACTCCTAGTAGGCTCACTAAGGGGAGTTCCTATCTAGATTCTATTTCTTAATTTATTATTTTATCGGTAAGCGGAATATTATTATAGACACGCTCTCCCGGAAAAGTCTTATTAGTAATATAAACTAAGGAGAAACTCTCCTCCCTCGGTTATACCTAGAAAGGGGGGATATCCTAAGAACACAGATAACCCCCTTTTAGTTAAGTTTATAATAATTAGTCTTACGAGGTCGATCTGCCCTATCAATATTATATTACAGGTAATTCTTACGAACTAAAAGTACGGCTTAATTAAAGAATACCGTAAGCTAGCTAGGACAGACCTAGATAGACATTAGATAAACGAGGACAGACTATTACTATATAATAGCCGGCTAGTAGTTCCTAATAATAGGGATTTAAGGGCCTAGCTTCTCGATAAAATCTACCAATAACCGTTAATAGCCTATTTAGGGCGAGAGAAGATAAAGACTTTAGTTAGAGTAAGGTTTTACTAGCCTAGATAGGCTACTAATATCACTTACTATATAGATAATTACCTAATATATAAACGATTAAAGGTATAGAGGGACCACGCTCCTAGCCTCCTTAAGTCACTTCCCGCGCCTAATCGTCCGTAGTAATATATTATAATAGACTTTCGCTCGTTCCCTAAAGACAAAAATAGCTATAATATAATTTTCTTAGTAGTAGACTAGCTTACGAAACGCCTAATATCCCTTCTATATTATAAGACAATCTCCGCCTAAGAGATAGCATATCTATATATTACGAATATCTACTAATAGGTTAGCCCGCCAGACTTAATCGTTTCGGATCGAGGCTTATAGTTTATTTCTGAATTTTAGACTGAGTTCTGCTAAATCCTAGGAATTAAACTAAAGCTCTCGACCGCTAACCACCCTATAGACAGACGGCTAGAGCGAGGTCGCGAACTAATAGATAGCCTAATAACTTAGGCTATATATAGATCGTTATTAGGATAATTAGTTAGAATAGATCGCAATAAATAACTTTACGGCTACCGCTTTATAGTAGGACTTAACGAAAAGATCGCCTTTTTTTATTAAGCGTAGATATAAGCCGCGTATTTTATTTAATTAGCGTATCCCGTCTACGCGAGTTAACTTTACGCCGTCTACTAAGGACGCAGAGAAGTGGGCTCGCCGAATAAAAAGTATTTAGTAAGAAGTAAAGGACGAAATCGAACGCGTATAAACACAATAAAGATAGTAGGCAAATAAATACCGCTATAAGGAAGATTTTAATATCAGTAATTCCGTATTTATTATAATATGGAACTGGAAGCTTAGTCGCCTAAGCCAGAAGCTCGCTAACTAAGCTAGCGGTCTATATTATATTAGCGCAAAGGAAGGAAATACCTATCGACTTAAATTACCACCTTCGATATAAGTTTATCTAGTATTCTCACCTAATAAGCTTCGTCGAGCGGCTAAGACAGAACCGCTATCCGGTCAAATTATAGATCCGGCTACGCTAATCGAGGTCGATAACTAACCGGAGTAGGAAGTCGACGAAATTATGGATATTCGCCTTTATTATCGCAAGTTACAGTACAAAGCGACATAGATTAGCATTAAGGACGACGAATAGTATCTTACTAGAGATTTTAAGAATACACCCTTAAAATTAAAGGCGTTCCACGAACGTTATCCTGACCGTCCAGGACCGCCTTTAAGACTGCCAGTATAGCTAAAGGCGGCTAAGGAAGACCAATTTATTAAGGATCATCGCGAAGACGGAGTTCCCCGGCCTAGGGGCTAGGCCTATTAAAAAGGGGGGTGATATAACGTATGGTTCAGGGAGAGTTCGAGGAGAGGTCACTTATAGTGAGCTAGCCCCGAATAGGACACGGGGGGAGGGTATTGTTTGTAGTTGTTCTCTTTCTCTTTCTCTCTTCCCTTTCTTTCTCCAGTTTAGAACTTTTCGAAATAGCACACGACTTCTTTCGTACTGGCTGGTGACACCAGAGGCCACACATAGGCTATTATGTCACCAGTTCTCCCACTACACTGTCTAATTCTGACGGGCCCGAGCCTATGCGAGTCGTTTCGAACGGTAAATAGCAAGGATCGGAGGTTTCTACGTAGTAGGATATATAACTATCCCACGAGCCTTAAGGGATATAAGGTCTAGAATTACACATATATTATAGACAGTCATCCAGCGATACGTAAAGGACGCCTGAATCTAAGAGATTATCTTATCTAGACGCTTAGGGGTAAGCGTTAAACGTCAGCCGCACTTTTTCTTTTAAGGCGTCGTTCGTACCGTATCGCAGGCGAATTAAGCTTAGCGTAGGGAACAGCCTATTCGAGAGGCAATAGATATATATATATATAGCCCTCATCTCGAAGGAAACGGCAGTGCGCGGGTTAGCTCCGTACGCTGAACCATAGTTAAAGGAGGAAAAGAATTCGAAGCGTCACGTATAGTAATATAGATGGGTGGTCTGTAAGGAAAAGAAGAAGGCGGTGGATAGACTGACATTTATTCCTTGGTCACCCTGTACATAAATTCCGTCGATCCCGTGGATCCCATGGAGATGAACGAGGTAATTGGCTTTATGAATCTCTTGATCCAACCCTTAATAGTTAAGTCATTCTAAAATAGGAACCGGTCTAGACTTTCGACCTTACCGAAACCTCTTTCTCCTGAACTCAAATAACTTCGAACCCAACTCACTCGAGTTTCATGTCGCCACGCGGGAAGTCGGAGATCGTGGATTTACCCCGCAGAATTTCTGCTTTGCGGGACACTCACCTCTCCACAACACAGCACCCATGTCGAGATCCTTTACCGGATGCACACGATGTAAAGCGCGGCGCCAAAAATGTGACGAGCAGAGACCGATCTGCGGGCGCTGTCAGAGCGCCAACGTGGAATGCAAATTTGCCATGCAGCTGCAGTGGGGTGGGCGAGCATTTTCGCGATCGCGATTCGGGGCATGCGTGGGCTCGAACATGCAAAGACTCGGTACGGGCCTCAAGGTTAGAATAATCTGACAATGTGCGCTGATACTATTAGAATACTCGCCCGGCGAGTTCATTTACACTACCAAGTCCAAGGCTCAGGCGGCTCAGGCTCAGGCTCAGGCTCAGGCTGCGACCCAGGCTCAAGGTCAAGGTCCGAGTCAGCCTGGCTCCGATCTCATATTGACGCAGTCCGTCGATCCCTTTTCTTCGCTCTCAAAGGATCAAAAGGCGCTGCTGCATCATTTCATCAACGATGCCTCCCAAATCACCGCTTGCCACCCCGGCATGCAGCAGGATATCTGCCGCATGATTGTGCCCATGGCACTTCAGACTCCGTCCTTGTTATACGCTACTACCGCTCTCTCCGCAATTCACATCCAAGCCTTACACAACCAGTCCGAGAGTGTCAAAACAGCACCAGATATCGCACGACTGATGGCGCAGAGCCTGGAACATTTCCGACAGGAACTTCAGAACCCATCATCGAAGGACTCAGAGGCGTTGGTGGCGACTGCACGAACGCTTTGTCTAGCGGAGATTCATTCGGGAGCGATCAATCCAAATTCATGGCGTGCACATATCGAAGGAGCAAGGGCTTTGATGAAGTCCTCGGACGCGGCCGGCGAGGACTCAATTAGATCTCAAAGTGGTTTCCGCAGGTACCTGGATCGCTGGTACTGGTCAATTGTGTCACTTACTGCGTTGACGGGGAATGGGCCGCCCATTGGTGATAACTCGGACTTTGCGCCGTCGGATTTGGCCGGTCAACAAGATTTGCCCGATTATTTGGATGATTATTGGGGATTCACAGTCGACCTTGCCGCGGTGTTCAGGCAAATAGGTGCTGCTGCTTGGCGGAATCATCACGCTGAGAAAGATGGACTTGGCTTCATTGAAGGCGAGGTCGATTATGACTTGGATGATGAAGCGGCGACGCTTGAGTCTTCCGTACGGCATCTTATGGACCGAGGTGCCAGTTCGGAGCCGTCATTCTACCCAGGTGTTGCGGAAGGACTTCCGGCTGAAAGTGTACACCAGTTGGCGCTCTGCAACGAGGCCTTCCAGCATAGTGCTCTGATCCAGATTCACAGGCGGCTACGCAAGACCCCGACCATATCAGATGAAGTGCAGTACTCCGTCCATCGGATTCTAGAGTGCACGGCTGAAATCGGGCCATCAGCTGGCCTCAGCCCGTGGGTGATGCTGACTACGCCACTATTTATTGCAGGCTGTGAAGCGCGAGGGGAAGATCGTGATACAGTGCGGCAGTTGCTCGCGTCGTTACACGACACTATTCGGGTTCCCAATGTGCTACAGTCTTTGAAGTTCCTTGAGCAGTACTGGGCTAATCAGCTGAACGAGGAGGATTGGAGTCATTTCCTTGGTATGTTGTCCACTAGCCTCGTTTCTACATGTCTTCGCTAACATGACGTTCAGATCGGATGAATTTTGACTTTATTCCTTACTAGACCTCGAGTCGGAAGGCTCTTGCCTTGACATGCATGATGTGCGACGATTGGCGTTTTTCTTCTCACTTTTTTCTTCTTCTTAGGTTCATCAAGCTACTGGCGCTGTTTCGAAGGACATCCAGGAGTACATAATTGTGAATAAATACTACATACATTAAACTCATACAAATCATCTGGTTCACTTAAACTATCGACCTCGCTACTGAATGTGCTGAATTCCCACTAGATGGTGGCCTGTGTTGCACCAGCTCCTGGCTTCCTTCATGTTCACCTGCAAGTTTCCGGTCCCATTTTGCGAGCACGACATTTAATAGCTCGTTTGCGACCCCGAGCAACAAGAAGATCGCAATGACCTGACCGAATGTCCACCCCCTTTCCTCTGGGTCGAGGTTGTTGCGCTGGATCGTCTGTTCCAGTGACACGATCAAATAGATGCAGAACCCGAAGTAAGCCAGCCTATTCAAGGAGTAATTGCGCAAAGCCTGCCCATGCAACGGTTCATGCTCCTCGGCGTCTTGGCTTTTGGTAGTGTTCCACTGCAAGTACCAGTTCCCGCAGCGCCTTTCCCTCCCATCATCTCGTCGACTTCGTCGGTTGAAATACCATGCACCGCAAAAACACGGGAGCATACATGTGAAAACAAGAACGAAACCCGCAGCAATAGCCCCAAGTGAGCCCAGAATAATATACCGGAAGATGGGCGAAGCAGCCTTGATGCTCACACCAAAGACAACGTACACTGTATCCGGGTTACATGTCGGTTGAGCCCCAAAATGCGGCGCCGTGACCCAGAGATAGACATTAAAGGCGATAAAAGCCGCCAACGATATGATCTGGATCACGGCAAAGAACCATAAGCGCCAAGGCCCGAAGCCGGCGTATCTGCCTTTGCTGATTATGTCCATGCCCAGCAGAGCAAGGAGATGGACCACGCAGATGGCGTGGAAGAGGGTCAGCTCGGTGCGGAAGGTCTGGTAAATTGCTGTGCAAAGAAGCGCTAGACCTTGCATGCCCAGGGCAGAAGAGACGCCACGCGAGAACTCTGCTTCATCTTCTCCTGGTGATAACACGCGAAGGAGATAGCTCACGACTGTTCCACCAAGGCAGAGGGCATAGATGGATGCGCGGATCTACATCGGACAAGTCAATAGACGACCTGGCAAGTAGAGAAGCATCGTGACATACTCCAACACCCGTGACATCTGGATTCGCCTCGATAACACACACTGTCGAGTTCATCATGACAGGAAGATACCACTTCACTGCAAAAGTACACAGCTCATAACACTCATTTCCAACCCTGGGGTACCGCTCCCTGTATATGCCCAAGGCCGAAAGATGCGTCACACCCCAGCATCTCTTGGCCCTGGCGCCTCGTATCCCAAACTCCTGTGAACCCGGGCGAAAGTGGCTAAGTAAAAAGGACCACGCCACATCGCGAGGCATCTGCATCCCGGGCAGGACGGCGAAAGGCGTCCTTAGCGTCCGTCAACCGTACCAAAGAAGTCTCGTTCCGACCCGCGATTGGGTCGCCTATATTCACCATGGGTCTAGTGGCGCAAGACAATGCTCACTGCATGAGCTCGCATCCTCACGAGTTGCACACGGTGAGCTGCTTGAGCCGTGCCCTGACGCTAGTCTCGCCAATTGCGCCCCGTGATTTGTCAATCATAATCTGTACGGCGGTATTGCCTGCAGTGCCCTGTCAGACCCCACGAGACCCTGCGATTGCCTCCGGCTCCGTTGTCCATGACAAGAGTCGAACTTGCCGGACACGAGTTTGGGGAGCCCCCATGTGCTTTCAGCCTCGCTCTTGGCGCGGGATGGGCTGTGCTTGGCGGGTGATGATTCCAATTTGGGAGGGATTTGAGATATGGCGTCGCCGGCGTTTATAATCCTCAACGAAGGGCTGTTCTGCGGTGGTCTTTGGTTGCAATATTTTGGATTCTTCGTCAAGGATTAACTTGGCTATTGCCTCACACATCATTCGACAATGGACAACATCAAGTCACCTCCCATCAATCGTAAGTCACTACTCCTTTGGAGTCGGCTGCTCATCTTCATGCTGCATGATGTGGGCGTGCGGATTTGACCGTCCTTTTAGTATGGACTTTCTTCGCGCTTGCCGCCCTCGATATTGCAGCCAACGGCGCTGCAGGTCCAGCAGCTGTTGCGACAGCCGTTCATGTCAATGGCGGTGTTCTCACGGCGCGAATGTTGCAACTCGGCGCCCTAGCCGGCGTCACCAAGGCCGGAGTGTTGGCATTCGTGGAGTTTCTCGGATATGCAGGGATTCCAACATACGCATGGATACTGTTGATTTTGCTGGCGAGTAGCTTTGGAGTCTGTGTTTTGATTACGGCAGAGATAAGCAACTTGGTGCTTGGCGAATGTAAGGACAAGTCCCATTGGAATCTGGAATTGCCCCAGTCTTCCTTGGATAGACTGTATTGCTACTGAGAGACATACTGATTTCCTCCTTGATTCCAGCGCCGAGTGCTCTACTCGTCGCAGCGATCGTTGCCGCAATTCCATTGGGCGGAGAGTGTATGGGGATCTATCAAAGTGAGTAAGGATGCTCATATCAAGATGCAGCCTCCGGAGAAGAATTATTTCGCTAACTAATAGTCTACAGCGGCTGGAGGTCTCGCTGGGGGCAAGGCTGGGGCTCAACTCTTTGTCATGGGCCTTGACGCCCTTGGTGGATATGTCTTTGCTCGGATGGCGCATAACATGGGTTAGTCATTGAAAATGCTACTTTTGGTCGCTAGTTAGTCTGGCACTGACACGGACATGTCTCGACAGGTTACGATATCTGTCCATACAACGTTGCTGCTGCTGCCGGAGCTGTCTATGGCGCCATCACGGGATTTTTCCACACCATAATCGGTTGTATGGCTGGTTTTACGAGCACAGACAGTACCAACGGGCATTACACGACGACAAATATCTTTGGGACGACAAGTGGCTATAATCCCAATTGGAATCGAGATGCTATGCACATGTGGTAACTGTGTTTACATGTCGTATAATGGTACAATAGGATGTGATGTGTCTATGAACGTTCATTGGGATTGTATTTGCTGCCTCTGGAATTGACATTGGGGTTTCTGGCTACGTGACTGGTATACTTATTTTGCATAATGGTTATATTTAACTTACTCGCTACTTGTTCTGAGCGAGAGCCATCTTCACTGAAGAGATTAAGTACTCGTGAATCGCACTTGATATAGTGAAATATTCTTGTGGGATTCTTCAAGGTACAAGAATTGACAGAGGGCCCAAAGCGCAGTGACAGGATAAAGAGAACCAAGGATGTTGTCGCGAGTCGTAGTGTTTCTCTGGAGGTGGGTGACATAGTTGCAGATTGTCGCTTTGAATTCACGCTCGGAACTCAAGATTCCTCTTGCCAAGGACTCAAAACCAACGATACAGTGGATATAAGATCGAGAGAGGAAGATAGCCAGCTTAATTCTAAGTTATTCCAGATGGAAGGAATTCTGCAGCTTGACTCCTAGGCTGCTAAGTGTGGTGCATGTTCCCGGCTGATCAAATCTCTCCTGGGCGTTGTCCCAGTTTGCTCTTCCCTGTATGACTTGACTTAACTTCTGATCCGTCCTGGTTACAAAAGAAGCCGGTGCTTTGTCAGGAGTTTTGAGGCTCTCGGGTTCTGAGGTTCTGGGTTGATTGTAAGGACCCAGGCATCCCTCACACTCTAAAGAGCCCAAGTGCCACTCTCTCGAGATGGCGAGGGAAAGTAAAAGAAACCTGCGGTCTCAGTCTCAGACTTTTGGATACCAAGGTGAGAATATGGTCTTTTTATCTTCTCCCGCACGCCATCAGACGCCATCGAAGATTCCTGCGTGAACGGCAATGTGTAGATGCAGTAGCGCAGCTATCAAATGAAGTGATAGTTTGGTGGTTTCTACGTGCTGATAGGAGAACACAATCAAGAAGATGTGGGAGTAGTGTTTTTTTTTTTGATAAAAGCGCTTGTTTGAATGTGAATGGACCTAAGGGTTGTACGAACTTCCCAAATCAGTGCCGATAAGGATGGTGGGAGACTACTCCCTTTCCCCAAGTGAATATGCACAATGTGCGTATCATAAAGAGGCACTCGATGTTTTTCTAGGCTTGTCGGACATCTATACATGTGATTGAAGTATTGGAAAGACCTAAAGTACGAGGAGGGCGATCGTGCTTTAGGATGATCTGACTTATTCGACAAGGCCACCTGTTGATTAGGGAAATGCTCAAACCAGCATAGGTATTGAAAGGATTATTAGACGCGATGTTCTCCTCATAAGGGCCAGCATCTCAATTTCTAACGTTCTCAAATAATCTCGAGGCTGTTATACATACGCTTCGTGCTTGTTCACACAGAGCAATATACGAATGAGGTATCAGTCAAAGCCCAACCCCAAGATATATCATTTGAGAATCTTCTCAGTCATAGTAGACCCGACTCTCAGCGTAGTAGCGCCCTAGAGATAGAAAGAAGGACCAGTGTCTCTAGAGAAATTAAACGAAGGTAGTAGTTAGGAGATAGAAAGATGGAGAGGGTACACAGACCTCAGTATATACAAAGACCTAAAAGTCAATGCACCTTGCAGAGTGCCTATAGATAATAAGCGTTAAGCTAGATACAAGAGATGAGTTCATATAGATACTGACCTTTTGGATATCAGACCGGTGCAAAAGCAAGTCACTCCGATGAAAGCAAAAAACGCCGGAGCTTGAGCAGCAGCGTAGACGAACAGCAAAGACGAGAAGACCGAGGGACCGAGAAGGCTTGTATCTGGTGTCCAGGAAATTAAAGCGCAAACAGAACCAAACAGGAAACCGCGCCTCACAAAACCCAGACAGAAGCAAGAGTGAGATAGTCTCGTAGGATTCCCTGTCAATCCTCTCCGTCAGAGGTGCCACCTTAAGACCTTCAGTTCAATTTCATCGTCACAAATGCCCATCATACCTCGCTCTCGCATCACCATCAACATCCTGCAACCAAATCATCCCCCGGTCCTGTATCCCTCATCTCATTAATTCCATCATCAAACAGTAAGTTATCTTCATTATTTCCTCGAGGCCTCCAGCTTACGTTGAGACAAGATTCACCACCAGTCTCAGGACTTTGCTACGCACGATGCCTGATCGCAGCCCCGACAAGCCGAAGCCCAATGTGAGTACAGTGTCTGCCTTGGAAGTTGAGAGACTAACCAGTCTGGTCCACAGTACCTGAAAGGTGATGGCAAGTTCAAGCGTCAAGAGCCTGAGCTAGGCTTTTTCCAGACTAAGCTGCGAGACAAGGAGGGCCTCGAGGCACAGAAGAAGAGACACGTGAAGGACAAGAAGGAGAAGGAAGACGAGAAGGAGATCAAGCCAGACCAGGAGGAGGTGAAGGCAAAGGGCCAGAAACGAAAGGTTTGAGTCTGTCCTGAGATTCCCTCCAGGCGCACGATGGCCGGAGGACTCTCGACGACTCTAATCTGAATTTGCATCGTTCTTTTTGTCGGCATTTGGAAGTTTCCTAATTGCCCCTCCATTCGATCATGAGATAATGAACTTAATTCCGATGAGAACGACCTGGTAATACTTTTTAGAACTTTCGAAAGTTTCAGCAATTGGAGATAAAATGCGGAATATACCTCGCTCTGTGAGCAGTTAGGGAGGAAACAAGCTCTTTGAAACCATTTACTCCAGAGATCTGACGTTTTAGTCTTCATCAAGCAGTACCTCACCTTGATGCTTGATGCTCTCAAATTCTTGAACGCAGCGTCTTTCCAGCAAAAATGACCATGCCAGCAAAGCTCCAAGGGATCGCTGACACTGTCTCCTGGCATGGGTTCCAGCCTTTAGCTCTCAGTATTGAACGATCGATCAGACCAATCTTCTCGTCAAGACATATACTCATTGCGAGGCATGACTGACGTTGGTGCATGTAAGGACCCCACCTGGAACCGACTTTCCAAGAGCAGGCTCCAAGATGCCCGTGAAGCTATGTCCGTCGCACACGCAAGATTTAAGATGGCGACCTCAAAATTCTACCATTGAAGCTGATAGCCAGGGAATTCATTCCTGACCAGCCCGTTATCTGCACGAAACACGATACACTTTGCCGTTTCTTGAGTTCTCGCCGCAGTGAGACTTGGGTTGCGAGTCGAGCGACTAGCCCGATTTGCAAGTGGACCCTTCTCGAGCAGCCCTACGCGCCCTCGATATTCTGGCGTCAATAACACGCATGGTGCGACAATAGCCCAAGCCACCCGACGTCACAGCTATTTATTCTTCAAACCTGCGGTGTAGCGCATATTATGCTATTTGGGGATGTATCAAGACCGAAGTGGATCCCCCCCGATCGCAAAGAAAAATCCAACCAAAGTCGGGGCCACGGGGTCCAGACTTCGGGGCATTGTGCTTTCGGGGGATGTCACGGCTCCCGAGACATGTAATTAATGCATCGGCGCGGCTGTTTGATCTCTGCACATAATCCTCCATGTCTCATATTTGAGTGTTTGATTTCCCGAACCTCAAAAAAAGTCTGGGCCCCGAACTTTATCAGCTGGTTTCTGCCTCTAGATCTAGTTCAGGGGTATCAAAAGTCAAAGCCAGGCCGGGTTCGTGATGGAAGCTGAGGGTGTTCGTGAATTGAGTGGCCCGACTACGTTCGGCCTGCAGGATCAAGCGATACGGCACGGTATCACTGAACACGCAGATTGGCCAGTGCTAGTCAGGATGCTCCGATGCTTAGGTGGGTGAGGTAGAAGCGCCATACCCAAGCGAGTAGCACACGCCGGCCACGCGTTGGCCCGATACTTCGGCGAGACGCCCGAGTGTGATTGGCGTTGAACACGGCACGGCTGGTTGGCTACTGCACAGCTGTTTCGCAGCACACGTTCTCTGGGGGAGGTCCAAAATCATGCACGGGCCGAGAGAGCAAGTGCGGAAAAGGGGTGATCTCCACCCGCCTACGATCCACGGAGGAGTGTACTGTACTCGATCGATATGGAGACATTTCCCCCTTAATCTACGGCCGAAGATCGAAGACAGAGTTCGAGTGATAGCGTGGCTATTCCAATATTTGGGCGAGTGATAGCGTACGGGCCGCTTCGGTATCGGTACCTGAGAAAGAACGATGAAAGGTCAAGAAAGTCAAGCGATGACATAGTATATCTCCGTTCATAGCACAGGCAGGCCTTGCATGGTAAGAAACCTAGATTGAGTTGGTCCCAACAAGTACCTCGCCATACCGGGTTGTATGCAAAGGTACCTGCGAGTACCAAGGGGAACCCCCTGAAAGACGACGGCGCTAGCGGGTCCCGACCCAAACCTCGACTCAAGGGGGACTTTTGTTGTCCCTGCACTATTGAAACCGTGTTACTATTTTCAGTGGCGCAAAGCTTGGCCCGTTCGAGTGTGCTTCCAACACCGAATGTTGCTCGCAAACAGAATGAGACCTACAGACCAGCAATATACACATCGATAAGACCATGGGCAACACGTTCATCTAACGCGATGTCGATCACTTCGGGGCCAGAGCGTTCCTTGGCGGCGCTATCAGCTTCACAGTTTGTATTAAAGTGCCAATGGAATCCAAGCATCTGCAGGTCCGCAACTCCACCAAAGTCATCACGCTTACTTCTCCCGGACGGCGCTAATGCGCCGTGTCTGGAACCACGGGCGGTTTTGCGCCAATCGCCCTAGGCCTGGCGTACCTAACTTTCTCCTTTTCACTTTGACCAGAAGTCCCTGATTATCACTCACCTCTCCTTTCCCCTTTGGTCTTTCAAAGTTGGCGCGTGCCATCCCTCTACCCGTGGCGGAATGAGTGACTGCCGATCGGGGCTATTTTTTGATACGACCAGGGCGTCTCATGGCTTCTCCTCCTCTTTCAGGCGGTCCTCCCGCTTTTGATCTGGACTACTATCAATCTTCCCCGCCCTCGTCTCAGATTCAAAGGAAACCGCTACCGCAGACTGACTCGCTGACGGACTCGGATCACTATCCCCCTTCTCCCACTTCAGACGACGATAAACACGCCTCCATTTCCTCTCCTGCCTTCAGGTCACCCTCCCCTGTGGTGGATGGAGACTCCTATATCTCGGTGCCAAGGAATCCCAACAGGTATGCATTCCACGGGAGGACCCTCTCTTCTTCCACTTCCCCCTGATCGGCGCGCGACTCTGGCCTCTCTCCGACTACACCGGTGGAGGATTGTTGATATGGCCTACACATGATCTCCCGCATCCCCAGCATCTGGAAGACCAATCGTCGCTTACCTGTATCGTACTTCCCCAGATACTCTCGAGGTCGACATCCGGCGAAGCCGCTTCGCATTGATACCGCCGCTTCCGCCGCGTACTTGAGATCGGTGGTTGAGGACGACGACGACTCCGAAGAAGGCGCCGATTTCTATGTTGACGACGAATACGAAACCCAATTCTCGAATGGAATCGGGACTCCCCTGCATAGTCGTCTAGTGAGCGAGCCTTTCATCCCGATTCTCAGATCTCCTCCAACCCAACGACGCGCGACGAGCATGGCTTTGCAGCCACCTATAAACCGGCCACCACCCCTGCATATTGACATTGATCGTCGATCAATGTCGATGAGCAGCGATCCTCGTCAACCGAAGACACCGGGAAACAAGATCAGCTCCTTCTTCGGCTGGAAGGGTAACACGGCTTCCTCTCCTGGCGGCGAGTCTTCAAGTACTGAGATTTCCGACTCTGGCCGTTCACCTATGCCATCTCCAATGCCTCCCTTACACAACGTACCCATGAAACCTCCGTCGCCTTATGACCAGAAGGCGCCTGGAAGCCTCCCGCAACGTACACCCTCATTAGCGAGTGCGCACGAGAAGGTATTCGTGTCGAAGATGGCCGACTTGGAAAATGAACTACGAGAAATTAGCTCCGAACTGGCAGGATCCATCCGCCGTGAAATGGAGCTTGAGGATCTCATTGAACGTCTTCAGCAAGAAGGTCCTGACATCAACCGGCGGACAAGTGACTATTTCTCCGACTCTGGAACCAGTTCCGTCCGATATGCCCCTGAAATCAAAGCCGAAGATATTGAGAAGATTAAAAGAGCTGCAGAGCAGGAACGCGCGCAAATAAAGGTGGAATTGTCACAGAAGCTGCAAGAAGAGCGGATTCAACGAACGGCTTCTGAATCACATGTTCAGATACTGGAGAACCAGGTTCAGCAGGTAAGACAACCGGCCACTATTATTAGTCAAGAGGTTATTAACGTTTTCATCACGCTAGCTTCGACGCGATAGAGTGGATTTGTCCGATCTTTCGTCCAAGACTAGAGAGCTTGAAATTGCTCTCGATGACACTCGCCGCAAACTGCTTGAGGAGCGGCAATCTAAAGATAATTTTGAAGACTTACTCACAGCAATGCGCGTGGAATTGGAACAGCTGCGAAATGAAAGAGATATCTTCAAGGAAGGACAAATAATGCCAGCGCAAACACAGCGTCTGGTCGAAGAGATCGAAGCTCTCAAGATAGAAAATGCCTCTCTGGCTCAACTGCAGGGATCACGCTTCGCCTCTATCGCAGAAGAGGACGGGTTGTCTTCGAAGAGACATTCAGCCTTTGGTGGGGGTCTCACCCGATCAAACTCCATGGCGCGCAAGCCTGCCGGCGGTCTCTCCCGATCGAATTCGGTGTCTCGTACACAGAAGGGAGAAACTAACGAGTCGCTGGTCGACAAGGTGAAGGACATTGAGGGTCAAAGGGATGCTCTCCACCGGACGCTTCGAAGCCTTCTTGACCGCCATGCGTATCAAGCCCGCGAATTCGAAAAGCGTTTCAGACTCATGGAAATTGAGCTTGCACGAGCCCAGGAGGCCGGTCCTCCACGGAAACTTGGCTATGGACGTGAGGTCCGCGGCCTCCGTGACGATGTTAATCATCTCCGCATGCGCGCTGAAGATGCCTTGGATGGCAAGTGGCAGTGTGAGAAGAACTTGGCAGGTCTGAAGATGGATCTTGACCGTGCCGAGCAGGAGACTAGCTCTCTCCGCGTGCTTCTGCAAGAGCACGACAATAATGTTCCCGAAGGACTCGATCCAGACCACGAAAGCTTTGCTGAAGTGATGGCCACATCGTCCTCCTTGGAGGCGGCCTTCCAGCAACTGTTGACAGACCGTCACCAGGCTGAGCTCGCGGGACCATCAGACGATCTCACTGAATCCATCGAACGGATAGACATTCTTCATGGCGATGTCCAGCAACAGCTGTCTATGAATAGCTCACTGCGTAGCCGCTTAGCCAGCGCCATCGACAAGGGTGAGAGAGACCAGCAAATTTCTATCGCGCGCATCAATGATCTGCAAAGCCGCATGAAGGAAATGGAAGATGCTCTTCTGATTGCCCAGCACCATTCCGAAGAAGAAATGAGCAAGCATGAAGACGAAATTCGCCTGCTGAAAGAAAGCCATAACGCCCAGCTGGTACGTATGAAGAATGGTGCTCGCACGCCCGTCGGCCTCTCCCCTCGACCCGCGAATTCACCTTTTGATGCGCGCTCGCCACGCATCGACAAGACCACCAGCGGGGAAGGCGTGCCGCTAGCCGACGTTGTCCAAGCCGAGGTCTTGGAAAAGCGAGTCAAGGACCTGGAGAAGCTCCTCCGTGACGCAGACATGGAGATGGAGGAATGTGTGGGACGTATGAACCGCGTACAGGTTGAAGTGGCCCAACTGCAATCTGATAGGTAAGCTTTTTTTCCCCCGAGAAGTGACAGATCGATATTTGAAACTCAGCCCGGCTAACCCTTCCCCACAGAGACGAAGCTCTTCGGGAAACTCGCCGTCTTCAGGCGGACATTCAGGCCGAGCGGGAGACGCTTCGAGCCCTAATGGCCTAATTATAAACTCGCGCTCATTTTTTGAATTTTGTTCACATATACCACTATGCCATCTGCATCTGCATCCGGATTCATGGACTCTGTTCGAGTACTTGGAGTTACCTTGGGAGTTTGGATTTGGAGTTATCATTTATTGAGGATTTGGACCGGTTTCTTTGCGCGTGGCATCGCGCTCACCGCGCTCATATAGAGCGCTGGTCGGAAACAGATTCGTTTTGTTTCACTGGTCGCCCTGTATATAGACCACCGATTACTTTATGGTTAAATCTCGACTGTACAGTCTGACGAGGATGTCATTCTTTTCTGAAACACTTCTTGGTCGAACCATAATTTCAACTTAGAATCAAGCTTGATCGCTGATCTCGATCTAAGATCGCAACGGAGTTGTTTGTTTGTTTTGCACTCACGTTGTTATCTCGCACCTCACCGGGTCGTACTCCAATCCTCCAAGTCCTGATTCACAACTCCTTACTTGAATATACGGGATCATTTCGTCTACTTTCTGAGTCCGACCCGCAGCCCAAAACAAAGCCTCTTTGAAATCCCCCCAAACGCTAAATATACCTAGCCCTTCTACAAAACACCACACCAGACCACTTTTTCCCAAAAAAGAGAGAACTCACTCGAGTCGACTCTGTAACTTCAACAGTCATGGACATGCTACCAGGTACCATCCGCCAAATGATGTCGCCATCTCCAGCTAACACAAGCATTCACAGAAAACCTTCAAGCGCTCCTCACCAACCCAACAATAACCTACCTGAAATCCCACACCCAAGAAACACTCACCACCCACCTCTCCGGCATCCGTGAGTCATACATCCAACCGTACATCATAGCTCCACTGTCATCTCTACTCGCCTCAACGAGCACATCCGCAATGCCCGACCTCATGCAACTGCTCATCCTAGCGTTGGTCCTGTTCATCTCGCTGAAGGTCCTGGACTACGCGCGCCGCGTCATCATGTTCTGGGTGATGTTGGTCTTCAGGCTTGTTTTCTGGGGATCGGTGCTCGGGCTGGGATTCTATGTTTATCGCGTTGGGGTGGAGAATGCGGGGAGGGATCTGGGGTGGGTTTGGGGTGTTTTGCTTGGGTTTGTGGAGGATTTCCAGACGCGCGCTGCGGCGAGTAATGGTGGTGCTGGGAGTCGAAGTGGATGGGGTGGTGCTGGTGCTGGTGCTGGGGGTGCGAAGAAGGGATATAATCGGTGGTGAAGACGGGTTGATTCAGCCGGTTGTTTGCTAAGATTACGAGGATGGTTGGTTTGGATTAGGGACTACCTTGAGAGAGGGACTTTTTGTGCATGTCATTAATCATGGGTGTATTATTGGAGTCAGATGATTACTTTTTATGCATAGGAGTTTTGTTGCGGGCCTCGGAATCTGGCGGCGAGGCTCGAACCTTGGACTGCAAGTTGATCAGCGGAGTTTTTGGGTCTCGGCGAGTGTGTCCATTCATGTAGCTGAGCTGCTCCCATAAGATTGCTTTGGTAGTATGGTGATGATTGCAGTCGATGCATTGGAGTGTAGCATTCGATGAGTCGTTAGGATTGGACATGAAGTCGTAGACTGGGTTGCCGGAGGCCTGGAGGGCAGATCGCGTTTTGTCTTTGTGAATGTAGATGGTGATCCAAAATGATTTCAGGTTCGCTGACAGCTTCAATCCTCATAATTCACTTCTTGTTCATCCTTAGGTTCCCGGGGTTCCTGGGCTTCGTGGTACTGGATGGCGTCGTCGATGTGGCTCAAGATGGCGGCGACGCTGTCCTCATCCTGTACATCAAGCTGCAGGAAGGAGACCATGCTGAAGTCGTCGATGAGCTGTGCCACAGCACGGTTGAGCTGCTTGAAGGATCCGCCACTCATCAAAGCGTCCGTCGCCATGGGGTTGGCGCGCGCCTTGGGATCGTCCTCGTCATTTTGCAACAACTGAACGTCCACATTTGCGAATCGCCGGAGTTCTCGCTTTGTGACCATCTCGCGCACCTGATCCATCTTGCTGAGGATGTTCACGTGGGGAATCTCCAGCATTAGCATGGCTGACATGGCGCTCAACGTGCCGGCGAAAAACTTCGCTTGTCAACAACGAAGGTACTTTCGAGCAGGTAGGCCGCGCACAAGTTGATATTTAAGGGGCCTTGGCGCGAAAGGTATTGTGTTAAGGACGGAAGCAACGGGATGTGAGTGTAGAGCTCGATCTGGCCGGGCATGTCGAAAATAATGAGGTATTCTTCGCTCAATGGATCAAGAGCTTCGGAGAGGAACTCGAGGTTCTGTAGCAGGAACTCGAAACAGTAGATCAAGCCACCATTCGGACCCAGGCCTAGCTCCTCCATCACATCTTCCAGAGTGATCAACTCGCGGATATCAAGGTCCGGTTGATAGGCGAATTGCTCGGCGGCGGGATCGAGGTTGACGTAGAAGCAGCTGCGGCGATTATTTTGCAGATGCTGGATCAGAGAATTGCTGAAGGTGGTCTTGCCAGCCCCGGCAGGGCCCATGACTAGGAGACCGAATTTCGACATGGTTGCGGGGATTCCCAGGAGCAGTAAGGCTATGAAGGGTGTGACAAGCAAAAAAGATGGAGCTCCTGTATCAGCTTATCGTTTCGGATACGAGAATTTGCACTTGCCGGGAGGGGCAGCGGTATTGCCATCTGCCACCGCCCAAATGGCGCCATCGGTGCAGCAAGGTTCCTTTACTGATTGGGAAGCGGTACCGCGTTCCTGTGCTCAAAGTCTTTATTGGCCCGGCTGAACGCCCCCCCACCAATTTTTCCCCTCTTCCTCACTTCCCTTTTCTTTCCCCCATTCCTCTCTTTTAAATCCTGCCATCCTTTCCCTTCTTTCTCTAATTTCTCAATTCCAGTTTTCACACCCTCCTCTTGCACAATGGGTTCTCTCGCAAACGGCTCCAAGGCCGGTACCTTCCTTTTCACCTCCGAGTCTGTCGGTGAGGGTCACCCCGATAAGATTGCGTGAGTTTTTTTTTTCTTTGCCCCTTGGCGACTTCTGTGTACGGTGCTGACAGCCCCTAAAGTGACCAGGTGTCCGATGCCATTCTCGATGCCTGCCTGGCTGAGGACCCTCTCTCCAAGGTCGCTTGTGAGACCGCTACCAAGACCGGTATGTTGATCCCCGAGCCTTGTCTCACATGCCAAATTCTGACATTGTCCCCTCAGGTATGATCATGGTCTTCGGTGAGATTACCACCAAGGCCCACCTGGACTACCAGAAGATCATTCGTGGTGCCATCAAGGACATCGGTTACGATGCCTCCGAGAAGGGCTTCGACTACAAGACTTGCAATGTCCTCGTTGCCATTGAGCAGCAGTCCCCTGATATTGCTCAGGGTCTCCACTACGAAGAGGCTCTCGAGAAGCTCGGTGCCGGTGACCAGGGTATCATGTTCGGATATGCCACCGACGAGACCCCTGAGCTCCTCCCCCTCACCATTCTGTTCTCCCACAAGCTCAACGCCGCCATGAAGGCTGCCCGTGTTGACGGCTCCATCCCCTGGTTGCTTCCCGATACCAAGACTCAGGTCACTATTGAGTACGCCCACGACAACGGTGCCGTCAAGCCCCTGCGTGTTGACACCGTGGTCATCTCTGCCCAGCACTCTGACGATGTCTCCACTGAGGAGCTCCGTGCTGTCCTCAAGGAGAAGATCGTTAAGAAGGTCATCCCTGCCCATCTGCTCGATGACAAGACTGTCTACCACATGCAGCCCTCTGGCCGCTTCGTCATTGGTGGTCCCCAGGGTGATGCCGGTCTGACTGGCCGTAAGATCATCGTTGACACCTACGGTGGTTGGGGTGCTCACGGTGGTGGTGCTTTCTCCGGAAAGGACTACTCCAAGGTCGACCGCTCGGCCGCCTACGTTGCGCGCTGGATCGCCAAGTCTCTTGTCAACGCCAAGCTGGCCCGCCGTGCTCTCGTCCAGCTGTCGTATGCCATCGGTGTTGCCGAGCCCCTCTCCATCTTCGTCGAGACCTACGGTACTTCCTCTAAGACCTCCGACGAGCTGGTCCAGATCATCCGTAACAACTTTGATCTCCGTCCCGGTGTGATCGTCAAGGACCTTGACCTGGCCAAGCCCATCTACGCCCAGACTGCCAAGAACGGTCACTTCACCAACCAGGAGTTCACCTGGGAGAAGCCCAAGACGCTCAAGCTCTAAGCGAATTCCTCCGTCCATGACATAGGGGACGTTTTGACGACTGTGATGAGAAGGCTTTGTTTTCAACAACTCAAAGCACGTGCATAGACATATAAAAAACGGCAAAAATCTTTTCTACAAAAGTTGATTTTCCGGTCCTTTCTGGAGTCAATCTTTTTCTTTTGTTTCATTATCTTGCATGGTCGCCCACGAAGAGGGCCTTACGGCGAAGACAAAATTCAACATGATACCACTTTCATCGGCTGGGAACGGGAATGCTTTTGGCGTTTATTTGCGGAGCGAAAGTCTTCAACAACCATACCACCTTCACCTCACCCACCCCGGGCCGCCTTGGTTGTTTTCTGGCACGGGATCCGGGGGTAGTCTGCTGACGGGAGATACGACTGTGTCGTACTCTCGCGGCGCGCGGGTCAGCTAATCTAAACATTAGCAATACTTTAATAAGAATACCATCTGAACGATTTACTGGGGAATGTTCTTGCAAAATTTCGAGTGCGTAGATATCTTATAGTGGTCATATAACATCACACAGCATCGTGGAACAAATCTCGCCAGCTGGCATCTAGTCACATCGGATTATTTCTGCATGTCGCCCCACCATGATTGTATCTGGCGATATTCGTCACATCAATTGATACATCGCGTATCCACATCTGATGGGTAATCTATTTATTATGCCCAGTGATAGCCCCCCAGATATAGGCCACCCACCCCCGACAGTCAACAGCGACAATGTTCCAAAGCACACCAACGAAATCCGCTTCGTCTTCTTCGCCTCTGTCACCAAGCTCCGCTCCTTGTTGGCCCCAATGACCTCCGAACCGATCGTCTTGCGCTGAAGCCTTGTCCACTGTAAGGGCGCCAGGTACGGCGTCACATAAGTGCCCATCAGTAGCGCCGCCCCGACGACCGTCGACGCCGCAGACAAGAATAGATACACCTGCACCACGCGGCGATATGAGTTATCATCTGCGTCCTGCAGGGCGCCGGTGATGATACGGATTATGATATTCATTCTGATGATGGGCGGTTAGTGGAGACCTCATTCTGGATCTGCGAATCGGCTTACGCATTATTCATTGTCATTTTGAGAGAGAAAGCTGATCCGAAAACAGATTGGTGCCAGATGGTTGTGCGGATTCCGTCAATGAGCGTGGTTGGGCCTAGTGAGGATGCAACGGCGTAGATACCGAACGATGCGCCGGTTCCAGCCTTGGTTGGGGCGAAATTGACCAGACACATGCTCAGAAGCATGCCGAGACCGCAGACGAAGAGGATTGAGGCGCGTTGGCCGAGAATATCGATGAAAAGGCCTAGAATAGGAACGAGGAGACAACCTAGCCCAGTCAGTATGTCAATGAGGGAATTCCCAAGTCAAGGGTCTCGAATGCTTGAGACATACCTGTATACTGTGACAAAGAGCTATACCAGCCCGCTGTAATGGAATCTACGTCGAATCTCTGCTCCGCGAGCTCCGTCGCGTTTTGGCTAAATGTCAGAGCGGCGCTAGTCTGGAACACGGAGAAACTGAGAATAGCCCAGAACATCCATGGAAGCTGGAAGACTTTCTTGAATTCGAATTTCTTGTTTTTCTCTGTGAGTTGTTCCTTAGTCGCGATGTCGCGGCGTCCTCTGTAGTGCTTGTCGCAGTATTTGTTGAAGAACCAGAATATTGTAGTCGCGGCATTGGTGAAGAGGTTCATGAAGACGGCTGTCCAGAAGACCCAGGCGAAGTTGCCGGTGTTCTGAGATTGTTAGTCTTTCTCGTTTGGGAGGATGTCAGCAACAGTAAAACTAACCTTGACGATGATGTTGGCTGTGGATTTCCCGATGAAGCCGCCAACCTGTTGCTGATCAGCAGTGACCCGGATCATTAAAGGCTGGAACCCAAACTTTTCCGATTGCCAACTCAAAGGCTAATGTAGACGCAAACCCATTGTTCGGAGCAAACCATGAGGAGAACATCTTGTATTGAGCCATCTGTGTAGCGATATCACCGAATGCGAGAATGATCCTGCCGCCAATCATAAACTTGAATGATCGGATAGTCGTAGCAGCAGCGACCAGGATTGACCCAAGGGTGTAAATGATATTTCCGTAGACAATCATCTCTGTCTACTCGTCAGTCGTCTCGCGTGCAATCCCCAGGTTTCTACAAAACATACCGGCGCCACCAACCCGATCGGTGATCAAACCGCTAGGCAGCATCAGGACAGTAGCCATGAAATCCTCACTGGCTTCCAATAGCGAGAATTGCGTATTGTTGATTTTCATACCCTATTGTAGTGAGTAGAGTGGCGGGATTAGTTCAAGGGTCTTGCATTCAATCACCTTCTTTATGGTACTCTTCATAGCCCCGGTCACGCCAGAGCTCCAATGCGAACCAAAACTGATGGACGCGATCAAAGCCACGGCAAAGAATTTGGCAGATAATGGCGGAGGTTTCTTGCCATCGGTAGAATTTGACGAAACCGCATCCGAGCTGGAGTCTTGCTTTTCATCCGTAGGCTCAGATACCTCCTGCAGAGCAGACTTGGCAACGAATGTGTCCGTCATGACAGGGTAAAGGAACCCGGAAAATCTAGATCGAGAGGTTTACAGACAATACACGAGGATGTTCCGGTTACTTATGGATTCCTAGGCCTACGCACATACCCAGGAAAGGATTCCGACCCCGAAAAAAGCCAAGACCTCCGAGGCCAACTTTCCACGATCATCACGTCTGAACGTCTAAACACCCCACCGAGTGGATGGCTCTAGTGGATTCACAGATCAGATAACGGACAGCTTCCGGCCTGAATTGATCAATTTGGAGAATAGCGTGGGGGAAAAAGGGCCTACCCTGGCTGGTAAGTAGCCCATGTGGACTGTGCAGAATTATCTGGAAGAGATCCACTGAAAAATTATCAGATTAGATGCGTTTGCGCTAATTTAGCCGAAAGAAACTTCGGTGATCTGATTAAGAATCCGTGACTCGATACCGGGGCTTTGTCGGCGAAATTATTTGACGCCAAGCACTCTGGGACGGAACGGTCGACGGACCGGTGTTTGTTTTGGTGGCGAGCGTCTCGGAAGCTTGGCTTCCGTAGATGATTGATCACGCCCGAGAGACTCATCGAGGATGGTGTCAAGGTCTCGGGGGAAGTCCTAAATGGTTTTAGTTGGGCCGCGAGAGGTCTTCTGATGGTGCTTTTGTGAGCCCTGAATTGTGTTCCACCGGCTTGGGTCGGCTGGATTGGAAGACGAAAGTGGGCTGCAGAGATGATGCAGAAGGGTCTTACGTAGAAGGCTGCTCATTCTAAGGGTGAGGAGTCGGTGGGCAGGCTTTGCTTGTTATATGAATGAAATTTTGGAAAGGAGGGATGGGAAAGATGACTCCAGGAAATACAAATTGAGAATAGTCACTCATTCAAAAAGTGGTTCAGGGAGTCAAATTATTGTATTTTTGTCTAAAGGCCATTTGCACCCAGCAAAGGCGGACATGTCAGGTAAAGTGGTAAAGTGAGAAAGTGACAAAGTGGGGAGCGGCAAAGATCGCGACGCGTCTCCGCCATCCGCGCCTTCCATCGTCAACTTCAATTGCATGCCGCAGTCCAGCTTGTTGCTCGTCTTGAATCACTTGCATCCATGATTCACAATGCAAACATTTTTCTGAACGTTAACATGACCGCGCGCGCCCTTTCCAGCGCCCTCGATCCCCTCAGTTCTTCCTCGCTGAGCACGCTGCACGAGGCCGCACCACTGTCCAAGAAGTGCAAGGTCGAGTCTAATACCGCTGCTGGACAGCTGTTTACGACCTCGATTGTCATTCGGGTGCGTTCTTCCATGCTCTACGCCCAAATCCGACCTGCTCTAGTTAACACTTCTTTGGTTTAGGCCCATGCTGCTTCATTGTCCGACGAACCACTCGTTCTTGACCCCATCGCCGCAATTCCCCGCTCTCGATTTCCGCTCTCATGGTTAGAAGACGCGTCCTGGTCGCGGTCTGACGCGCAACCCGGTGGTCTGTTCACTGCAGACATACCTGCTTTGGAAAATGACTTGCGCGCGTGTGGGGAGCCGATGGTGCTGGCGGTACGGCTTGCTGCCAACAACGGGTTATATGTGATTGAGCGAGTGAAGCGGGGTATCTACTCACTGTCACGGCTTGCGAGATGGGTGCATGAGGGGGATGTAGTCGTTGCTGTCAAGGGATGGCAGGCACCCCAAGACATGAAAATGGGTGTTGAGGATGACGAGAAATCTCTCGCTATACCGGATGCTTTGAACTGGTGGCAGGCTGCTCAAATTGAGGAACCTCCTTCTGATCTGGGCTTGGGCGAAGACTTTGCAGGTTTGCAGGTGGCCGTGGTATTTGGGTCTGAAGATGCAGGCCAAAATGAACCTACGTTCGTGGATATCCTTGAACACCGGGGCGAGTCACTTGCACCGACTAAACGAGATTTGGAGGCTCCCTTCGGAGTGCTTGGCTCTCAGACTGTTGGTAGCGAGGCTATGGATGTTGACGGTGTCGACTCGACTGCGGTGGACACGAAACAGTCCCCGGAGGAGCTACTCAACGGAATGAGAGATCATTATCTTCAAGCTCTCTACGCGTCGAAGGTGAGCTTCATATCTTCAAGTTGACGGGAACTCTTTCTAACTCTCTTTGTAGACGTCGCTGGCTTACTTCGCCAAAGGACCTTTAACACGCTGTCGCACCGCTTTTCAAAACGTTACCCCCGACCAGCCTCAAAGCCTAGCGGAGCTCATTGAATATTACAGGGAAGCCATCTTGGCCGCAAAGAAGATGGATCTCAAATACCGAGACACTCTGCCGACATCTGTTCGTGACGCCTTATTGACACCCTCCGACGGGGAAATGACCAAGAAACGCAAGAGCAAAAAGCAGAAGCTTGGTAAGAATGGCCTGTATCCCGAGGAAGATGGCTTCGTTCGCAAATGGTGGAAAGACCGGAGCATGGAGTCTTCTGCACCAGAGAACTCGCGAGAAACGGATAGCAAAAAGCATATCTCTGATCTTCGATTGCGTGAGACTCAACTGCAAATTCTGTTGATTCTGGAGGTCATGGCGTTGGAAACGACGTTGAAACAGGATAACCAAAAGCTCAGTGAAAAAGTTCCGGAAGAAGAGCAGGTTTCGCCCACAAAGCCCAGAGCCAAAAAGCCTCAAGATCTAAATGTACTTCTTGAGCTCCACCTTGACCGACTTTGCATCTGGCATGCCGTGAGTCTGGAGGAGTCTACAGCGGCCGACTCGGCGAAGGCTTCATCTTTCACCGACAGCCACATGTCCGGCAAGAAGGTCGAAAGCGATGCAGTGCGCGACTTCTGCACGGAAGTGGTTGTCCCATTCTACGCTGCACGACTTCCCGACAAATGTAAGCTCATCACCCGGAAGTTTGGCGTGTCTGGTGGGATTTCGCCGGCGACAAAGAGAACCCAATCAAGCAAAAAAGACCGCCTGGAGCCTGGGGCCAAAGTCAAGCGACAGGCGCCTGTACAGAAACCGCGTCGCTCACTGCAGCGAGTTTTGACCGATGAGAAGACAGCTGCCGCGGCTCAAAATCGGCACCCGTCATTACATCGATCTAACACAGCGCCGTCAAAGCATGATAACAAGCACGATTTTATGGAGCCCTTGCTACCAACTGTCTTCGGTGGTAGTGTGAGAGGAGGGATTCAGCAGGCGAAACGGGTTGATAACCGCGAGGTGGATCTTAATGCTGTTGCGAGGCAACACGAGAGCAAGCTGCGGAAGGTACAGATGTTGGTAGACCAGAAGAAGGAGCTTGATGCTGCTATTCACGCCCTCCGGAAGCCAAACCGAGAATTGGTTTCCAACGAAATTGCTGATGAATCAGTCAAGCGGTCCACTGGTGGAGGTAGCTCACGAAAGTCAAGGAACCCTGTCCGGAACCCAATGGGCGAGGGTGTACAGGTTATGGCTACGCCCCGCGGCAATCGTAGAAAAGACATCATTGGAATGCCACCACTTCCTCGAAGTCTCGCTCCATCACGTTCATTTGCCGGAGAGATGGGAGAACCGTTCACTGGGTGAATCTCCCATCATGATTCCTTCATCATCTTCCATCCGGCGAACAATCTCCTTCTCTGGTCCCGATTCCAACCTATTCAGCTCCCGTCGCCTTTTGAACTCGAGCCCGAGAAAGCGAAAGGAACCACCAACAGATCTTGGCTCGATCCAAGAAACACCCACGCGATCCTCCAAGCTTTTCTTCGATGGAGACCAAAGTCTCGATGCATCAATGGACCGCCGCCCTTCTTCGAGCAAAGGAAGAGGCCTCTTTCGAGTCCCCAACCTCCCTGCACCCAGCTCTACGAACGATCCCACTGAACCTTTGGCACCCTGTACCCCAGTCTCCTCGCGCCAGAAGATTATCCCATCCCCAGCTCATGGGTCTCCGCAGAACCCTACCGCATCTTTCAAAGGAGGCGGCTCATCGAGTCATAGAAACACCCCCAAGACAGCGTGGAGTGGATTCGATGCCTGTTTCGCGTTCTGTACCAATGGACAATCACATGCAGGCCCCCATCACAACTCAGTCGAGAGCGCACTCCCCGGCAGCTGTCATGGGTACTCCGATACAGGAGAGTCCTTTGAAAAGGGGTCCTGCCCAGGGATCTGCCCCCATTGTCCCAGTCACTCCAGAGAAGTCACAGAGCAAGTCGATCTATGAAAAGCTCGGCTGGGATGATGACGAAATGGAATTTTGAGGCATGAGCATGTTGCCTTTGTATGCATTTATTTTCGGCGTTAATCTGAGGATGTTCTTCTTGGACACAAGTCATGGAGTCTTTGAAATTTGAGGCATTTGAAGCGTTGGGACATAGTGGGGGTTGGGCATTGCAAGCGCTCTGGAGCACACGTATCACACATTCCCCATAGATTATGAAACACATTACACGAACCCAATTGACATAATCTTGAGTTAATCACGAGCATAAATTAAGCAGTCAATCATTTACAAGATCCAGTGGTGTCGCATGTGCTGTGTTTCCCCATGTTGCATCTCGGGCGATTTCATTGTATCACGTATGCTCCAGTTAATCATGAAATGACACTTTAGGATTCTGGAGATTACGAGGCCGGTCTGATCGAATCCGACTTGCTTTCTAGCCAGGGGAAGGCGTGGTGCCTTTCGACCTTTCCTGAAGTTGTGTTCGATTTTCTCATCACGCCGGTGAGATTTCACCTACTTTCAAGTTGTCCATGTCTTTCAAGACCCCATCTTCAAAGGTGTCCAGAACCATTGATGGCCTGGGCAGACTTGAGGGTCTTCAATACGCAAACGGTGTGGAGCAATTCTGCGGTATCCCATATGCCAATCTGCCAAAACGATGGACGCGCTCGTCGCTAAAAACATCGTGGGAGAACGATTGCCATGATGGAACTCAGCTGGGGTAATGTTATTCGAGACTTCTGATCCGAGCCCCTCGTTGACTCTTTGAAAAGCAGCATGTGCCCTCGTCCACGCGTCACAAGTCATGACTCGAGTCCATTCAATCCGTTCATCCCAGTCCCTCCGAACCCGACCTTTACGAGAGCACCAAATGTCGACGAAAAAACAGCACTGAACTTAAATGTTGTGATGCCGCAGTATCCAGCGCCACATGGGAAAAGGTTCCCTGTCATGGCATGGGTCCATGGAGGATCCCTCTTATTCGGCAGCGCCAGCTACAGCATCTATGATGGGGTGAACCTGGTATCGCAAAGCATTGCAATTGGATTGCCAATTGTTATGGTCAGCTTCAATTACCGTCTGGGACTAGGTGGCTTCCTGGCAAGCTCAAAGATCGCAGATGAATTAAAGCAAGACAGTTTTGCAGGAATGGGAATTTCGGACTCACTGATCAGAAAGTTGCAATGGAATGGGTCCAGAGGTATATCGCACAGTTTGGAGGTGACCCAGACAATGTGACTGCCGTTGGCCAGTCTGCTGGAGGTATATCGATCGGTCACCACATGGTTGCGAACGATCCGATGAAATTTCATCGCGCTGTGTGTATGTCAGGGCTGGGGAGTACACTTCGTCCTCGAACTTTACAGGAGCATGAAATCCTTTTCAATGCTACATGCCGACATTTTTCTATTGAGCCGAGATCATCTGATGCCCTGAATCAGTTGCGACGGGTCGACCAACAGGTCCTGGCCGATGCAGACAACGTCATCCAAAATGTGACTGTTGGCACAGGCAATCCGTGTGACGATGGGTGGTTCTACGCGCGCAGTCCTAACGACGTGTCCAAAGCACCAACCTGGCTGAAATCATTTCTCATAGGTGATGTTCACGACGAAGGGGTCGTCTTCACTGAGAATCTTCAAAAGGATACTTACGACACAGTCCGCAGCACAATGATAACACATGTTCTGAATAAGACTTTTGTCGACAAAGTTCTCAAACTGTACCATATCCACGCAGGAGTCACAGAAAAAGACCTTATCAATCGAGTATGCAACATGGGTGCCGACGCCGTCTTCAAAATCCAAAACTACGAAACCACACTTGTGAACAGACGCCTCCAGGAGGAAAAGGCATTGGTCAAATACCACTTCGATCAACGCTCTCGTCTCCCTAACATCCTGCACGGCAAAGCATACCACGGCATTGACGTTCTCTATCTTTTTCGGAAACCTGTAAAACAAGTTTAATAAGGACGAGCTTGCCATGGCTCTCGACTTTCAGTCGGCATGGATTCAATTCATCAACGGACAGACGCCATGGCAAAGCGATCACAGTATCTGGAAGATCTGGGGTCCGAATTCTCTAGCAAGAGTTGAAACGGAGCGGGAAGACGAGGCTATTCGTCGCTATTCCCGATTCAAAGGTTTATTGGCTCTGGGCGCGGCCGATCATCTTTGGGACAGATATCTTGATGCGATGGACTTTTTGCTGATGAAGCGCGATAACGTCGGTAAAGGTGAACGAGGGGAATGAACAGGGCCTATGGTAATGACATTATTGCTTGATCGCTTTTACTCGGGGTTGCGAGTCTACCTCTGGAGTATATCCCTACAGTCCTTAATTTTCCACAGGTTTCTACAGCATTATCACACAGAACAGCAAAATGCATTTCTTGGGTTAGTGTTAAAGGAATGAAAACAACCTCAGCATTGAAAAAATAATGATCAATTGGAAGTATGGTCTAGACCCATGCCCAGCTCCGGGTATGATGTTATTATAGCGCGGCTGGTGTCACTGAGGGGTACGTCACGTCTTTCCGCCTATACTTCGCATCGAGGACTTTTGCATTTATCAAGCAAATCTGGCCCTGGGCGATTACCTAGCTAACCCGAAACAAGATGTCAAATGCTCATGTTGCAAGACAGTCCATTGATGGCTTCATCCGGATGTAGCTTTATTTGCCCATTATCGTGCCCCACGGTTTGCGTTACACACCTTGAATCTACTTTTCCCTTCCGATCCTCTATTTCTTTTTACGGCCGTACCCGCTACGTACCTTCTTCAAGCAATCCATGAAAAATAATCAGACCTCATCAAGTCATCTGGCTCAGTGCCATTTTACACTGCGTATCAGCAGATTGGCAATACCTCTCCCGCCCAGACCTATCTCCGCCCAGACTAAACATCACAGTCCTGGCCTCATCACGCATCGAACCGGGCTACATATTCGTGACACCGACTGCTGGGTTCATTCAAGGAAGCGTCGGACCGGAACAGCCTGGAGCATACATCTTCCGTGACGATGGAGAGCTTGTCTGGTCGGGGCTGGGATATATCGCAGGCTTCGCGGGGGACTTTAGCCCGACTGTCATTGATGGAAAGCCTGTGCTGCGCTCTTCTCAAGGCCTGCTTGATCCTTTCCATGGACGCATGTATGGGGATCATGTCGTTCTTGATGACCGATATCAGACTGTTAGAATTGTGCGGGCTGCGTCGCATCGCTTAGTGTCTGTTCATGAGTTCAACGTTGTGAATGGGAAGTCGGTCTTGGTTGAGACTCCGGTGCCGGTCCCTGCCGACTTGAGTATCTATGGAGGGGATGAGGGTCAGGAGTGGATTCTGAATCATGGTTTTCAAGGTGAGTCGGAATCTGCCCAACGCTCGTCTACTTGTTCAATGCTGAAGTGCTCGATAGAGCTGGATCTCCAGACGGGAGAACTGCTCTTTGAGTGGTACAGTCTCGATCATATCAACCCCGAATGTCAGTTCAAGTGTCCAATCCCACATTACAAGCGTCTTAATGTTATTACAGACAGTTCAGTCCCCCTCATGAAAGAGGGACCTTTCTCCGGCCGCAGCTCATTCGACGCATATAATTATTTCCACCTCAACAGTATCGACAAAGACGACGAAGGTAACTATCTTATCTCAGCACGCCACTATTGCGCAATCTTCAAAATCAACGGAACCAATGGCGAGATCCTCTGGCAGCTTGGAGGCACCCGTGGATCCGATTTCGACATCCCTTCTAACGTAGAGTTCGCGTTCCAGCATGACGCCCGGTTTCGTCACCGATCTCCGGATGGATCTATAGAGAGAATCTCATTCTTCGATAATGCAGCTATCACTGAACCGATCGACCCAATCAATCCAATTTCAAGGGGTCGATACGTCGAGTTGAACCACACCGCTGGCACAGCTACAGAGATTCACACGTATGACGCCCCAGACGGGCTCAGTGCGCAATCGCAAGGAAATTTCCAGTTCTTACCCAATGGAAACAAGTTCATTAACTGGGGCCAGGCGGGTGCCGTGACAGAGTATACAGAAGATGGGACCGTGTTGTTCCATGCATACCTCGATTCGTATCCGAATCAGAATGTACAAAGTTACCGGGGGTTCCGATCAAACTGGACTGCCGTCTCAACCGAAGAACCTGCTGTTTTGGCATTGAGCGATGGAGATGGAAAGTTATCGGTCTGGGTGTCTTGGAATGGAGACACAGAGACCAGAACTTGGATATTCTATCTTATTGAAAATGCCAGCGAGAAAGTTGTTGTATCGCTTGGGACACAGACAAGGACTGGATTTGAGACTCTGTTTGAGAAAAGTATCGGTGGAACTGTCAAGGCACTTGAAAAGTTCTCGATTGAAGTTGAGGCCTTGGATGCTCAAGGTCGCGGACTTGGGAGTAGCAGACCTGTCTGGATTCAAGATGATGCACCGTATCGGGCTCATCTCCACAAGATCCAATCTCAGTCAAGTCGTGCAACCGAGTTTCGGGAACACGAGCTATGATGCCTGAGATATAAATGAGATAATTGATGCAGAAAAAGCCGCGATTGTAGAAAATGATTACCATCTTTGATATACAGCCTGATCAATGAAGTGCTTTATATAGTGCCAAAGGAGTTCGCCCTGCTTAATAGAAAGGTATTCACGATGAAATAGGATGGAGCCACCATAAAAGAGAAGAGACTCTGAATTTCTAGATAGAGGCTAGGCAGGGCCAACAGAGAACAAATTGTGGCCTTTCCAGATTGCCTTGTCTGTAAAGCTGGAAGCTCATCGGGCCTTGACTAACTTAGACCGAGCAAAGTAGCCCCCCTGCCACAGCCACCGCCCCAAGAGCCCCAACCAACAATGAAGTATTACTAAATAATGTTTCCTCCCAAACACGCCCGATATGGGTTGGCTTCTTCTTCACGAGATCATGTCCAGAGCCCTGTGCAATATAATCCGCCCATTCCACTTTCGACAGTTCCCCTTGATAGTCCAGGACTGTCCCCGACCAGTTGTTGGTGATTATACCATCGTCTGTTTTGTACCAACTGTTGCAATTAGGATCTGCAAAGCTGCTTCTTCGTAGTAGTGCTTGGATCCGATCATTATAGTCTTTTATGGCAGCCTCCGTCGGTTTGAGTGATAGCGTTTTACCCTGCTGCCGAGCACGGATCACTTCGCTGACCATGGCATTCAGGTATCGGGATTGAGCTTCGATCATAAGAATGATGGAATTGTGTCCTATCACCCAGTTAAAAGCCAGACATTTATCGCGCGCAAGGAAACTCTCACCAAGATTGGTATTCGGCCCGTAGAACATCCCAAAGTTAGGCAGATCCTCGACCGTCATGCCCAGGTAAGCCTTGGCTCCATTCTTCCAGATATCTCCAAGGGATCGGTCATTTGCACCATAGACCTGAATGGGGTACATAAAGTCGACGGTCTGGAATCCAGTCGCTAGCACGATGAGGTCATATTCTCGTTCACCCTTGCCTTCAATTTCAATTCCTTTCTCGGTGATACAGGTGATGGGCCCTGTCTCTAGATCAACATTGTCGCGACCTAGAGCAGGATAGTAATCATCACTGATGATGACTCGCTTGCAGCCGGGGGAATAATTGGGTGTCAAAGTATTCCATAATTCAGGCTTATGAGCCAATTGGGCTTGCATCATCTCCGTACACCAAGTGCGGATTTGTTGAGCGAAATCGGAATTCCCATCGAAGATAGCGCTATGGAACGACTCGCGAAAGTCCATCTGCAGGGCTCGCTTGCGCCAGCGAAGGGGTGGAATGTAGGTCAATAGCGCCTTTTGCAAGGTGGAAACGGGGGCATCTTGACGGGGGATGAGCCAATTGGGAGTTCGTTGGAAGACAGTGAGATGGGATGCCTCCAGGGCAATTTCTGGGATGATCTGAGCGGCTGTGGCTCCTAGAAGGTGTTAGTTGGTCGAGTTTGACATTGATATTTGACATCCATACCGTTTCCGATGACGGCAATTCGCTTCCCCGAAAGATCATAGCTCCAGTCCCAGCGAGCTGAGTGCATCATCTTGCCCTGAAAGTCTTTCAGGCCTGGAATCTTCGGCTCCCGTGGAAGATTGAGTTGTCCAACTGCAGAGATCAAGAAGTCTGAGTTGATGAGGTAGGAGTTTGCATATTCGCTGTCCTTGGCTCCGGAGACCTTGACGCTAACTTTCCATTTCGACTCGGCATCATCCCAACGCGCTTCATCCACTGTGGAGTTGAACCGAATATGATTGTAGAGTCCATATTTCTGCGCGACGCTAATGAGGTAGGCCTGAGCGAGGTTGTTAGCCTGGATTGAGGCTGTTCTAGAGGGACTTATCTGACATGAATCTCTTCCTGTCCTGGATACTCGCGCGACCAACCGGGATTCTGCTCGAAGGAATAGCTGTATAGACTGCTCCAGACTGGTCCCAGTGAGTTGATGTCTGTCATCCATCAAATAGATGATGCACATACCGTCGCAACAACAACCGGGGTATCTGTTGTCGTTCCAAGTTCCTCCCACACTGCTACTTTTCTCTAGAATCACAAAGTTGCGGCATTTGTTGTGCTTGATCAAATCAATAGCCATGCACATTCCTTGTCCCGAGTTAGCCGTTAGATCGAGCTTGCCTGTTCTCCATATACCTACCAGATATTCCGGCCCCGATAATGACTACCGTCGCATTGGTAAAGTCCTTGTTTCCCACCGGGAGACGTGTACTAGGTGCCTTAGACATGTTGCTCACTGGTCTACAACAGATAAACCAGAAAGATAGCCAGAAGACTAGATCTTCATAGGATGTGACAGAGAGAGGCTTCCCAAGTCACGACTAGTGACCCCATCTTCTCCCCGCCGGCTTAATTTGGTTTACCGAGGCTCCTCATATTGAGCTTCAGGTTCTTCGCCACCTACAAGCTTGGTCACATTGCGGCTAACAAAGCTGCTAGAGACGAAAGTATCACTCCTTGCATGAGATGTTGATTCGTCTTTGGTGTCGTTTACCTTGAGCCTGGGGAAAATAAAGGCTAGCCGTGAAGTCCATAAGAGTAAAGGCCCGTTTATTACCGGTCTAGATAATACTAAAGCGAAAGAGACGCCCCAGCACTGCTATTCTATTTCGGCCATGCGGGAATGAGTGCGGGGAAACGGACCGCCGAGGTCCAAGTGGATGCGCATCAAAACTAATTTAGACTAGTGGACAATATTTTGGCTTAACCATGGATAGATCTGACTAGGGAAGCTCGATTCCTTCTCGTTCCGCTGTTTGCAGGATATACTGCTTGACCTGGGAGAAGAAGAGATTTGACGTTAACGACGGATGCATTACCACTAGGATGCAGATATGCACTCACTTTGTCATCTGGGACCAAGGCGATCGCCAATCTCCCGTCGGCATCTCGCTTTTCAGGCTCCGCTCCGGATTTGAGGAGGAGAATTGCAGCATCGCCATGCCCCTCGGAGATAGCGTGGTGTAGCGCCGTCATGCCGTCGTTGTCAGTGGCGTTGACAGGACTTTTTCCTTCTTCCAGGAGAGCCTTAAGAATAGGGACAGAGCCCACAGCTGCAGCTCGGTGAAGCGGCAGCTGGCCACGAACGTCTTTTACTCGGGCGCTACATTTGTTCGCCAGCAAAGTTCGCACCGTCGAGAGATTGCCTTTGGAGCTTGCAAAGTGCAAGGCATTCTAATTAAATGTCAATATACAGGCAGACTCTCTTTGATAAGCCTGTTGCGTGAACTCACTTGTCCCGAAGAGCTTTTTACACTAACATCAGCTCCTTTGCGCAAGAGCAGATCGATAATCTTGTCACCTTCAGCGGCTTTGAGACTAGCAGCGATCATAAGCGGAGTCCAATTAGAACCGTCCTAATTACAGTTTGTCAGTCAATATAAAATGAACTGATAATTAAATGAAGCAACATAGGATATGTGTTACATACCTCGACATCAGGATCGAAATTCTTGACGCCAACTAGCATCTCCACAATAGAATATCGGTTATATGCAACAGCCCAATGGATCGGCAAGCGATCATCATCATCTTTGGTGAAAGCAAACTTTGGATTAGCCTGTGAATGTGGTTAGCCTTTTCACATTTGTTTGGCCATTCATAGAAGAGCCGGCGCTCGACGGAGCGCGTGGTGGGTTTTGCGGGGCAGCTTGAAGCTCTAGATCACACCACTCACGTTGAGGAGAGATTCCACGATTTCATCTGTTACACGTGTTCAGAATAAGTCACAATTGTATTTTGGGGGAACACCCACCTCTACCCTCACGGGCAGCCTCATGAAGAGGGTATTTAGCGCTGTGGTCAGGATCCATAGCGATGGTAGAAGAAGATAGAGGAAGATAAACGATAAGAGCTGCGATAAGTCGGCGGTCGACACCTGACGCGGACACCTCAGGCCATTGACAGAACTTCCATCAGAGATTCATCGCCGGACCTCCACCACGTTCACCACCACGCTTCGCCTTTTAGAACTCGCAGCGGACCGGTCGAAGGCAGATGCGCTGAACTCACGGCACACTTCAAACCTTATCGACGACCTCTTGCGCAGGCTTTTCTACCGCGCGATCGTCGAGGCTCCGCCGTCACGCCTCGATCTTGAATCCCTTTGGCTTCTCCTCCGCGTCACATCATTCCCTCCATATCCTCCAAAGTCACGATCGCAATGGACTACTCAAAATCATTGACCGCTGACGAGGCGGTCCGCACTTCCGCGAAGCGGACCGCCGACCTCTTCGGCACTGAATACTTAATGGTCACCCCCTCGACTCTTGCAGATGGCTCGATCGGCGTCTCCTATCGACGGAAGGCGGAATATGAACATGTGAAAGAATTGCCCCCGGTGCTGGCAGAGAAGCAAGCCAAGGCCGCTGCAGGGCGCACAAAACGACCCAAGATCCAGTCCCAGCAATCACAGCCGTCCGGCGACGGAAGCGGTGCTTCTATGTCTCTGGTCAAAAGGCCAGCTGGTATGGCTTCAGGTGCAGCTGCTGAAGATCAACCCAAGAGTTTGATCCAAAGGCCATCTGCGACTAAACAACAGCGACCCGATTGGCATGCGCCATGGAAGCTGATGCGTGTAATCTCGGGTCACTTGGGTTGGGTGCGCGCTCTGGCTGTTGAGCCGAATAACAAGTGGTTTGCTAGTGGAGCTGGAGATCGGACGATCAAGATTTGGGATATGGCAACGGGTGGGTTGCGTCTGACTCTCACTGGCCACATTTCGACTGTTCGTGGACTCGCGGTTTCGCCCCGGCATCCCTACCTATTTTCATGCGGTGAGGACAAGATGGTGAAGTGCTGGGACTTGGAAACGAACAAGGTCATTCGACATTACCACGGCCACCTAAGCGGTGTATACACCCTTGCCTTGCACCCGCATCTCGATTTGTTAGTCACTGGTGGCCGTGACGGTGTATGCCGAGTGTGGGACATGCGAACACGGAGTAATGTCCACGTCCTGGCCGGACACAAGGGTACTGTTGCCGACATCAAATGCCAGGAAGCCGACCCGCAGGTCATCTCCGGCTCTCTGGACGCCACAGTGCGACTCTGGGATTTGGCCGCTGGCAAATCCATGGGCGTCCTCACACACCACAAGAAGGGCGTTCGCGCTCTCGCCACCCACCCTCGTGAATTCACCTTTGCCAGTGCCAGTACTGGAAGCATCAAGCAATGGAAGTGCCCCGAGGGAGACTTCATGCAGAATTTTGACGGCCAAAATGCCGTCATTAACACCCTCTCCGTCAACTCAGACAACGTCTTATTCTCTGGCGGTGACAATGGCTCCATGTCTTTCTGGGACTGGAAGACCGGCTATCAATATCAGTCTATGGACACTATGGCTCAACCCGGTTCTCTCGAGGCCGAGGCGGGTATCATGGCATCGACTTTTGACCGTACTGGTTTGCGTTTGATCACAGGTGAGGCTGATAAGACCATCAAGGTGTGGAAGCAGGATGAGAATGCCACGCCCGAGACTCACCCTGTTACCTGGGCCCCTACTCTGGGCAGACAGCGGTACTAGAGGATTGTTCGCATTGAATATGTGTCTTCTGTTCGAGTCTTGAATACCCTTCTTCATGTTTGATTATCTTTTGTGGCACTATATGGAGTTCAGAGGTCGAGGAAATTAGAATACTAGTATTTCCTGAATAAAAAGGGCGACATTCAGAATCTTGTCGTGTATACAAGCTTAGGAATTCCTTTAGACTTCTACGAGTACTAACGTACTTGCCAAAGGTAGCTCTGAATACCGACGAATAAGTCTGTAATAGAAAAGAGCAATCGACCACTAAAAGGGTATCACACGCAACAGACTACAGACAGAATCTAGATGGAAATACAATATGCAGGAACTCCAGAAATGCGCAACCAGGCAGCAATTGCTCACTGCTCAGTACCAAGACCAAAGCCCTTAGCCTCAAGATCCTCCCGGAATGCAGACCTCACATCCTCGGCAGCAACCCTCAAGCGAACTTTGCTGCTACGATCACCTCGAGCAGGAATCGTAGAGCCACCTAATACGCTTTTTGAGCCTGAACCTTGCTCCAAAGCCAAGACACCAGAGTTCATTAGCTCCATGGCTGCAAAGCCCAATGCTCGCACTCTGGCACTTGTGCCCCCGCCAAGAAGGAAGTCCTTAACGCCAGCTCCAGCAGATCCAGCAACAGCAACGGCCGCGTCAGCGATCCGACGTGCTTCATCGAGCACATCGCCAAAGGTTGATTCGGTGATGCCTGTGCGGTGGACCCGAGCAAGGAGGGCAGCTAGGAAGAGTTTGCCGGAAAGAGGAAGGCAGCGGAGAGATTGCTGTAGGGGAGTGGAAGTAGCCTCCTGGATTGCTTGCTTGATAGTAGCGATGGTGACACGTCCAGGTTGCCCTTTGCCTGCCAGGAGTTTCGGGGCAGAAGAATCTCCAGGGCCCTTATCGGTGAGTACCTTGTTGCGTCGTGCGGGCGTTTTGCTAGGCGTAGGAGGCTCCTCGTCTTCATCAATTGCAGCAAGAGTGTTGCTGGCGGCGGCTTCTTCAGCGTCTTGCTCTGCAATCTCAACTGCGCGACGACAAATGTCAAGTGCTCGACGAGCGTCACCGCTAACGGCAGCGACTTTGCGACTTGCGAATTGGATGGCATCTGGATCGACGATATTGCCTGGTACATTTGCCAGACGGGTGCTGATGATCTCCATCAGGTCATTATGGCGGTATCCAGGGAATGTGATACGAGTCAGTCCAAGACGACTGGAAATCTTGTTGCTGAGTGTTCGTTCAGGAAGATCCATGGTGTTTGCCACGGCGAGAACGACAAGACGGGAGTGTCGAAGGGCGGGCCAATTGAAGAAGTTATACATGACTGACTGGTTTTTTGTCACCAGCTGGTCCAACTCGTCCATGAGCACTACACATGAGACTCGGCGAGGCGAGGGATTGGAAAACTCTGCCTCCAGGAGGTCTAGAGCGTGAGAAGGAGAGACGCGGTCTCCTTTCAAGGCTTCCCAAAGCAGGGAATAGGATTGGTGGGGGTCGGTGACTTTCATGCCGTTAATTTCAACAAAGATGAAGTCGTCCATCTCCTCTGCCATTACTGCGCCGTTGAGCTGGGCCACAACTTCACGCACGGTTGCGGTTTTGCCGGTGCCAGGTGTACCTGAGATATAGATGCAGGCTCCTGTACCTTCCATAATGGCCGCACTAAGATGGTTGTAGACTTGATTGAACTCAGACTTTCGACAAGGAAGAGAGTCTGGTACTGTTGAGACATGCAGCAAGTTACGTGCTTGGCGATATGGTGAAGCAAAGTGGTTTGGCGAGAGAACACGAGTGCCAAGAGGAGTGAATTCAAGAGGCTTCTTCACCACAATTCTATGATCATTGTTAGTGCCACCAACAGTCAAAGTCAGATCGAGACGCTATGCATCCGTACCTTTTGTGGGTGGGCGTCGTCAGCTGCTTCTTGCGCTGAGACTTGGGTGTTGCATTCCCGGCCAATCGCTGCCTTTTCCTGGGTGTGGTTGGAGCCTCATTTTCATCCTTGGTCTCGACATACTACCAGATGAGCACAATCAGTATATTGCCATCGCAGTCTGCGAGCTCAAGGTCTCGCTTACCTCGTCATCCGCCACCTTGCGTTTCTTGGCAGCCTTTAGCCCATCCTTGACCAGGTTGATAAGATCGAAGATATTGTCTTCCTGGTAAACCTTCTCCCAGACAAATTCTTCCGTATATCTTCCCTGTGCCTGACTCACACCTCGACGGACAACGATACACTTGTTGTATTCGGCCAATTCGGTTTTGTCCTTGGGAGGAATGCCGTTCGGATATTTGGCATAAAAAGCATCCTTGGACATCACGACAGCCTTGCCATTGATGGACGTAAGAGGGTTTGTATTGAAATCCGCGGTCAGGTATTGCTCGTTCGGCAAAGCATCTGCTCTCCGCTTGTTTCTTGTTGACAAGAACTCATCAGGGGATGCGAACCACATGATGTTGGCGGACTTGATCATTTTGTCATCTTCGTCTTCGTCCTCTTCCTCCACGAATTCTGTGATAATTCCCACCCAATCTTTCCCGGGCTCCGGTGATTTTAAAAGGACCACTTGACCGAGGTAGCACTCGAATGTGCCCATGCGAGCGCCCACAATGGTCGGTCGTTTCCTGGCAGGTCGGGAAGAGCGACGGCGGTTTGCCTTGGTAGAGCTTGCGCCGTTAGCTTCGGCTTGATCCGCGACTTCAGGCTCAGGTGCATAGATCCAGTGCCAAGGGAGGTCTTCGTCACCTAGCTCGTCGTCGGAGTCCTCTCGGACTAGGGCACCCTTAGTGACCCATTGCTGGGCGCGCTTTCGGACATTGCGGGTGTGCTGAGGACTGGAATCGGAGTCAGAGTCAGCCATATCGCTCTTGAATATGGGATGGCTGTTAAAGCTACAGGGAGCTGGCAAAGAGCGAACGTCAAAGTCGGAAGGGTCGATCGCGTCTCGCCGAAGTTCACGCGTTGTCCACTTTACTCCTTTTCGGGCTTAGCGCCAGATGAACCAATCAACGCTTCGTATCCCGGTAGCCTCAGAATTTCCTACGATCATTGCTTATCGAGTACAAAATGATTCAGCATGTCCAGGTGGCTTTCGAATGACGAGGCTATTGGCACAGAGTATGCTATAGAACAACAACACAATGATGTCTGATGGTTTTAAACGCTCTTTTTCGTGTATCAAAGTATTCAACGGGCGTCTTCGAAAGCACATTGACTCTGGAACCATCTCCTTCGCGTAGAAAGGCTGTACTGGACACAGTCCTCATTCAAGACGCTTATATGTCCAAGTTCATGAGAATGCCGCACTTCTGCCTCGAGGGAAAAGGACTAGCCTCATTCTCGAGCTGGCTCGCTTTACCGAAATCGTACGCTCCCTAGGATCAGATCGCGGTGAAATAGAGCACCTAGTGCCTCTTGAGGCGCCTAGCAGTTCAATCGGAATGAAAGTATTGAATAGATAGCGAGTTTATGTTCAAGGCAGCAATGATGACCGTTTAGGCGAAGTCCTCATCACCTTCCATTCCAGTTGATCCGCAGAAACACCAGAACCGGATGACTATTTTGGCAGTTCCTTACGGATAGGGAGCAAGTTAAAACTCTGCTGAAGCCATCCGAGGCGAGACACGACGCCACAATTGAGAAGAACATGAAAGGTTTCTTCAATGTCGATCCTGGCACACTGTTCTAAAGAGCAACGAATAGTTCCTACGTGGGATTGAGAACTAAATCTGATCCCTACAAAAAGTCTGCCCGAGGCGTCCGAGATATCACAAGTGGGGAAAATTTTGAATTTTTGGCTTCTCGAAGCCGTGTCGAAGTAAATAGTGTATCGATGTTCTTCATGCCGTGGCAGCCTGAGCCGGCGCACCTTCGCCAGCAAGCATCTTCTGTCTAAGGACTATAGAACAATCAGTGAGATGCCCACACAGCAAGATTCAAGGGCAAAAGAATAACTCACCTTCTTCCACAACCCGCAATTGCTGGCTCTTACTTGAAACAACCTTCTCCAGATCCTGCAGGTTGGTATCCAAGGCCTTGACCTTGTCATCATAGAAAGCAACCGCCTTACCGTGAGTCTATGCAGCATCAAAATCAGCAACCGTCCCTCCAGCTTCTCGTGTCCCCATTCATTGCAAATCATCAACATACCTTCTCAACATAGAATCCCGTCCCCACGTCAACAAGGACCTTTTCCCGATCCGTCAACCGACCTTTAACGTACAGCGAGCTTGTCAGAGGGACCAGCACCTCACTACGGCCCTCGGTGCCCTTCGCCTTGGACCCAACGACGCCGTCGGTAATCGAGCGCACACAGTCGCGGAATCTGAGATTGCGCAGCGCGCAGCTTGGCGTGTGAGGTGGTGAGGTGCTCTAACTCGGAGGTGAGACGAGTCTGCAGAGAGCGGAGTTGAGGAACGGAGAGCGTGGCCAAGTTGACTATAATTCCACTTCAAGTTAGGATTGCGCTCATGCTTTAGGGGCATTGCGGAATTATTGGCGGGGTGAGGGACATACCAGTGCCCGGAGGAGCTCCGCCGGAGCTTGACGAATCGGCCATTATGCTGATATATGGGTGGAGGGCCTTCAGGTGAAGAGTTGAGAGGTAGATTGATGTCGACTCTGCAGGACTCGCGATATGGCGTAGGTGGGGTGGGATGAGCTTGGAAAAGTGTCGGGTGGAAGGGCGTGGCAGTTGTGTGGAGAGTATTATGTCCCGCTCTTGTCTTGTAACCTGCCTATACACACGCACTTTTCATAAAACCACCACACGGCATCTGGAACAGAGCATGAAATTATGGCAAGAGGTGGAACGATAATGTACATGGCTTAAGTATGCTAATTATGGTACAAGTATACAGCGACAAGCTCACAGCTGTGAGAGAAGACCCTCAACAAACGATGCTAACTGTTCCAAAGACACGTCCTGGCACACATCCAGACGTCGACACTGAACTTCAAGAGTCTGCTTGCTCTTCCAGCCATTACCAACAACCACGATAACCGGATACCCAATCAGGTCTGCGTCACCTAATTTCCACCCCATTCCCTTATCACGGTCATCCAAAAGGGTGTCCATAGGCTTGGGATTAGATGTGAGATTATCGTAGACCTGCTCTGCAACAGAGTCCATTCCCTTGCCAGCAACGACGAGCACTTCATAGGGAGCAATTGCGCGAGGCCAATTCAGGCCCCTCGAGTCGGAGAGACGATGAGCTACAGCCGAGACCAAGCGAGAGACGCCAATGCCGTGGCAGCCCATTTGCATCGGCACTATTTGTTCTTTGGTCGATTGCACGTCTGTGGTAGAAGATCCGTTCAGCGCTGTAGGGCTGACGGACACCGAAGCATTGAGTACTTCACTGTACCGCGTGCCCAAGTGAAAAGTATGGCCCAATTCAACAGCGGGATTACTTGTCAAATGCCCGTCTGCGCATTGTGAGCAGCGGTCTCCGTCGTGGACGCGCACAAGGCTGAGCTTGTTCTCCGTCCCAGGAAACCGATCCAGCATCGAGTACTTGATGTCTTCAGCAGTGCAACTGGCTTGCTGAAGCAGATCGCTCAACGGAGGACGCTGGTAGACTCGTACTTGGGAGTCATAGAGATCCAACACATGGGGCTTTTGCACAGAAGCACCCGATTTAACAAATGCAGTCCATTTTGCCAACGGGTTCTCAACACTCAAGTCAAGGTCAACGCCAGCTGCGGTGGCAATTGCCTTAACAGCGTGCGAGTTGACCTGTCTTTCGACAGGTTCCGTCGTGTCATTCTGCATAGAGTACTTGGGGTACCAACCCCGGAGAAGGGTACTGCCATCGTGCGAAATGGCCATCCACATGCCATTGGATATCGTTGCGCCGCCTTCCGCCGGCGCGTCTTCTGTTTGGAAGCCTGGGGCAGCGCTTTGGCTTGTAGACTCGTTGAAGTTGTGGGTCTGGCCATCTGCAAGCTCCTCATTATACACATGATCACAACTTGAGCAGCTCACGACGCGGTCTTCACCCTTGTTGCTGACAAAATGAAACTCATGGCTGAGACTACCGCCCATATTTCCAGAATCTGCTGCGGCAACGAGATAGGGGATCTTGAGCTCATCAAATAGCTGAGTGTAGGCATGTTTTACCGACTTGTAGGTCTTGAGGGCTTCCTCAACGTTATAGTCAAATGTATAGAGGTCCTTCATGACAAACTCACGGCCACGGAGAAGGCCTTGTCGCGGTCGAGGCTCATCGCGATACTTTCTTGCTGCGGTCGGTTAGTGACACAAATAAGAAGGTATGTGCGTGACCTGTCTTACTTATTTGATACACCCGCAAAGGAAGGCTTTTGTATGAAGTGGTGAGACTTCCAACGAGACTAGTGATCTCTTCTTCGTGAGTAGGAGCGAGAAGAAAACGAGTGTCTTTTCTATCGTGAAATCTGAAAACCTCGGAGCCTTCGGTGAGTCGGCCGGACTTCTCCCACAACTCCTGCGATGAAATTGAAGATAAAGAGACCTTGGATGCTCCTAGTCAATTGTTAGATCATAGCACTAAAGTGGTTTTTGCACATTTTGATCCCACCCAATCCACGCATATGTTTGTCAATAAGACTTTCGAGCTTGTCCTGCACACGTAGCCCAAGAGGGAGTAGATGAAAGACACCAGAGTAGGCCTGCCGAAGGAATCCGCCTCGAATCAGAAGGTCGTTGGCATCCTCTGATACATGGTTAGCGATGGGCCAATCTCTTGATCACACTTAACGTACCATTGCTCCCCGTCTTCTTAGCTTTACCAGCTATAGGAATCCAAAAGTTTGAAACCCGATTTCGTCCATCATACTGCGATCAATCAGCCACCTGCCACGGAGCTCATGTCAAGTTTTCCGGGGTTGCGTACATGAAGTCCGCACCGCTGGATCCTCAATCCCAACACTAGCCGCCTCCCCGAAGTGCGACCGGGCTTTGGACGCATCCCGGAAATCATCGAGGAGATACTCCCGCAGGAAAAAAATCAAGGAATTGAGACAGACAGACGTCGAAGTGAATCTCAAGAAACCGTCGTGGTCGCCCTTGGGCTGTTTCTTATCGGGCTGGTCCGAGCGCCCGATAACTGGCCCGCCGCAAAAGATTTCTCCGTCCAATTTTCTCTCCGCCCAAAAAACATACCTGCTTCCCAGCTACGCCAAAAATGGGTAAAGGGAAAGAAAAGCGCTCTTCGGGCGCTACAGAAGACCCAAAGAAGTCAGATACCTCCGTCACGGAATCTCAAACCGCCGAGATTCCTCAGTTCAAAGACGGCGCCTTTGCGGGCCTACGAGAGAAAATCGAACAGCGATTGAACAAACAGAGCTCTGGCAAGGGCAAGAAGAAGGACAACAAGCCTCAGCCTTCTATCGAGACGCCTAAGAAGGATATCCCAAAGTCTGGCAAGAATCAGGGATCTGCGCAGGGCAAGAAGCGTGATCGCAATGGAGATGTGATTGCCCGGGAGCCGAAGGGAGATAAGAGGAAGCAGGACAAGCCCGAGGGTTCCAAGAAGAGCAGCAAGAATGACAAGCTGCGTGAGGAGATTTTGGCACTAGGAGGCACCGAAGAGGATCTGGATCTTCTCGACGGTGTCGACTCTGAGTCGGAGGTCGAGGGCGAGAAAGGAGGCGACGATGATTTGCGCAAGGAACTTGCAAAAATGCTGGAGGCTTCCGGCCACGTCGTTCCTGCGGATCTAGACGACGAGGAGGCTGAAGCTGAGCTAGCCGAAGCTGAGGCCAAGGCTGCGGCCGAGAAAGAAGAAGAAGAGGAGGAAGAGGAAGAGGAGGACATCGCAGAGGTCGATGACGGCGGTGAAGCGGATAGCGAAGATGCCAGCGAAGCTGAAGAGTCTGACATTGAGGCAGCACCTCCCGCTAAACCGATTAAAGCGAAGGAAGCCGAAGTTATTATACCCAAGGAATTTACAAAACTTGTGAGTACTGATCATTTACTACACTGATTGTTCTTTACTTACTCCAATTGCAGACTTGTCTTCCCCGATCCGACTGGTACAACATCCCGCTCCCCCCGCTGAAAAGCGCAACGCAAATGAACGCCCTGCCTCGTCACTTGGTCGAGCGCATTCATGAAGTCGCCAACACCTTTCTCCAAGAGGAGACCGATCTGTACGCGGAAGCGCAGCAGGCATCTGCCTCCTCGTCCCACAAGTTCTACACAACAATCATGGCTTCTGGTACCCTCAGCGATAAGATCTCCGCTCTGACCCTCGCTGTTCAAGAATCGCCGCTGCACAACACGCTGTCATTGCAGAACCTCATTGGCCTGGGAAAGAAACGAAGCCGTGCCCAGGCTGTTGAAGTATTGCGCTCTTTGAAGGATATGTTCGCTCAGGGTACTTTGTTGCCCAGCGATCGGCGACTAAGGTCGTTTGCCAACCAGCCCGGTCTCGTTGCTGCATTCCAAGGCGCTCCTGGCCGATGGACCGAGCGGGACCCCCTTCCTGGAGGCTTGCAGAAGAGCCACTTGATTGTCTGGGCTTTTGAAGACTACTTGAAGGAGCAGTTCTTCGAAATGCTTAAGATTCTCGAGGTTTGGTGTAACGACGAGATTGAGTTCTCCCGTTCCCGTGCTGTCAGTTACGTGTACGAGCTTTTGAAGGAGAAGCCCGAGCAAGAAGCCAATCTCCTGCGTCTTCTTGTGAACAAACTTGGAGACCCGGGCAAGAAAATCGCTTCTCGTGCCTCTTACCTGCTGTTGCAGCTTGAGCAGCAGCATCCGCTCATGAAGCCCCTCATCATCAAGGGTGTCGAGGAACTACTGTTCCGTCCTGGCCAGAGCCAGCACGCCAAGTACTACGCCATCATCACCCTGAACCAAACTGTTCTCAGCACCAAGGAACCCAAGGTGGCTGATCAATTGCTAGACATCTACTTCTCTCTTTTCGTTACTTTCTTGAAGCCTACCAAGCAGGTGTCTCAGGGCAAACATGGAAAGGGTCCTAAGGGCAATGGCAAGGGCAATGGCAAAGATGAGGTCAAGGGCGAGGCTCAGACCGATGAGATGCGCGAGAAGCTGACTTCTGGTGTCTTGACTGGTGTCAACCGCGCTCACCCTTTCACCGACTCTGACTCTGACCGGTACGTTCTCCGCGCTTCATCAGCTACGTGATATACTGACATGATTTATAGCCTCACCAAGCATATCGACACGCTCTTCCACATTACGCACTCGTCCAATTTCAACACCAGTATTCAGGCGCTGATGCTGATCCAGCAGATTACTGCCCTCTCACCAGATCTCCAGTGACCGCTTCTACCGCACGCTGTATGAGTCCCTTCTGGACCCGCGCGTCGCTACATCCTCAAAGCAGTCGCTTTACCTAAACCTTTTGTTCAAGTCTCTCAAGAATGACCTGAACATCCGCCGAGTGAAGGCATTTGTTAAGCGTATTGTGCAGGTCCTTGGAATGCACCAGCCTGCCTTTATCTGCGGTGTCTTCTACCTCATCCGCGAACTCGAAAAGTCCTTCCCCGGTCTTTCGTCTCTGCTAGATCAGCCTGAAGACAACGAGAGCGATGGCGAGGAAAATTTCCAGGATGTCCCTGACGAGGATGACGAGCAGTCGCAGCCGCAGCCAACACCCGTGGTGGTCAAGAAGCAGTCCAATGGATACGATCCTCGCAAACGCGATCCGGAGCACAGCAATGCCGACAAAACTTGTCTTTGGGAATTGCTTCCCTACACCGCTCACTTCCACCCTTCTGTCTCCGTCAATGCCGCGAACCTGCTGGAGCACCAGCCTATGAGCGGCAAGCCCGACATGACTATTCACACTCTCACCCACTTCCTGGATCGCTTCGTGTACCGTACCCCCAAGGCCAGCGCTGCTTCTCGCGGAGCCTCAATCATGCAGCCTCTGGCTGGTGGCGATGCGGCCGACCGACTGGTGGAGGCCGTCAAGTCGGCTGGACAGGCTGTGCCCCTCAACTCGGAGAACTTCTGGAAGAAGAAGGCAGAAGATGTGGCCGCGGAAGATGTCTTCTTCCACCAGTACTTCACTCGTGTTAACGAGGGCAAGGTCAAGGCCAAGAAGGGCAAGGGCACCGTTGACCCCGTTAACCGCGATGAGGAAGGTATCGACGATATCGATGGTCTCAGTGGGGATGAGGATGAGATCTGGAAGGCCCTGGTTGACTCGAAGCCGGATCTTGAGGAAGCTGACGACAGCGACGACGACCTGGATTTGGATGATCTGGAATCTGCCTACGACGATGATGAGGCTGAAGGCGGAGCCAGCGGCGACGAAGACGTCATTTTCAATGAGGAGTCCGATGTGCCCTCGGATGAAGAGATGGAGGAGGCCGAGTTTGGCGGATTCGAGGACGAGGAAGCTGCTCCTGCCCCGAAGAAGAGCAAGAAGGCCGCCAAGAAGGAGGAGCCCGAGGACGACTCGGACGCCTTCGACATGGACGTATCAGACGACGAGGCCTTCCTCGACAGCGACGAGGACCTGCCGTCCGACATGGAGCTGGGCGGCGTCAAGTTGCCGGCCGAGACGGAGCCGTCGACGTCGAAACGCGACAAACGCCGCAAGCTCAAGCACTTGCCGACATTCGCCTCTGCGGACGATTACGCGGCGTTGTTGGGCGACGAGGACGACGGCATGTAGAGGGAGTTTCTATTTGTTTCAATTTTTTTTTCCCTGTCAATATGCTGGTCTCGTTGCAGGAGTTCGGACGAAAATATCACCTGTGTATTATTGTCACATATCAAAAGCATCCAGAGCCAATCCCATTATGTTACTCAAAACCGTAATGTTAATCCGGGTCGCGCCGATCATTGGCTTAGAAGGTAAACGGCCATCACGCAATCTTGCATTCTGACGGAGGAATAAACTATCTGGAGGCGTTTTGGGTCGTCCACTACTACTGTAAGCATAGCAAGAGGAATGGAGAGAACATGTGGTTCCAGCATGACGCCATCGTAGAGGAGGAGCACGCAAGAGCGGGAGGCTCGGTTGGGGGCCCGAGTTCCATACTGTCACATAGTCATGCCCTGACTGTGTCTCGTTCTGTTTATTGACTTGAGTCGATGACTCGAGACTTGATTCTAGAATTCCTCTGGCCTCCTTGAAAACGTGGAATACATTAGAAATACCACCAGAATACCACCAGTAATACCACCAGGACACCTTTTTCATACATCCAGCTCGGCAGCATCTGCTGAAAGCAGGTGCTGAGTAAGCAACACATGGCCAAGGCAGTGTATTGGCATTACCAATATTCGAGTTTTCACTTTCGTAGTGTCTGATGATTTCGACTAATCTCGCATGGAAATTAATGGGAGTTGAAATTTGTTCCTTCATACGCTACAGACCATTTCTGCCATCCACTTTCCCCCCACCCTTCTCCCTGAGCCTAGGCTCAAGCCATTACGACCCTCCAAGTTCACCCCGAGGCCCGTTCTGACCTCCGCATTCGGTTAGAGAATGGCGGTGATCAAATCAGCGCATACGACAAAGTCACGGCGTGTAGGTATCCATGTTTTCGGGGGTGGCTTATGCATGGGCTCTGCTCCTCCGCGCCCATTGATTAGCTAGCGACCGCTTGCGGGGCAAAGGCGGGTCCATTTCCGGCAGGTCGTAGCTTCATGGAGTGTAGCATCCCAATAATCTCAGCTCTCAGCGGGCTTAGACGAGGCTGAGTGCTCGTATCTCAATTCCGGAGCGACCGGTTCTTTATCGAAGAAAGGAATCAGGGCACGGTAGCTTATCCCCGAACACCCGATGGCAATTAGGATTCCATGGATCAGGGCAAACGACGCCTCCCAGGGCGGACAGAAGCGCCTCTCCCGCAAATGGATGCGTCGGGGCTGAACCTTTGCGGCGACCTTCACGTCATGCCAATGTCGAGAACAAATGATGTGATCGACAGGTTTTTTCTCTCTCGCAACCCAGGTCGAGGGTGGAGTCCTGTCTTCAGAAACCTGCGCGGAACCAGAATTACAGCGTTTTTGATCGCCAACGCTGCGATCGTAGTGGACTCCCGACCAACCGGGTATCCTGTATACCAGTTTAGATACTTAGGATACCGTAGTCCCTTGGCCCTCTTTTTCCTTCTTGGATCCGGTTTCTTTTCTGTCTCATTCCTTTTTTTTTTTCCTCTCTTTCATCCCTCTCCCTATCGCACTTTCTCTGCGACAACTCTACAGGGGGCTGTCCCGGATCTTCACTGTAGATCCACGTGCCCGAATCGCCCGCTCCGGCCTGTACCAATATCCCAAGCAAGCGCCCTCAGCAAAAAAAAAAAACTCACCTCAGCAACAGACGATCAATCGACAAGCTCGATTGTAATCACCCAATTACCAGCAGCCCCGGTTGTATGCAACTATTGCCTCGGAACTACATTTACATGTATTCGAAGGTTACCGCTTCTCTCGACTCCACCGAATACCGCCAAGCACGGTTCGCCCGCTCCTTAAGATTAAGATGGCTAGGCCTAACGACGCAGCACTTGCTGCTGGCGCTTGGGACCACGACCGCACCGCCGACGTGAGCTCCATGAGTGATCAAAGTGACAAGTTGGAGGACCCGAAGCTCAAGGACTACGATGCTGAGGGCCAGGGTCGCCGCTCGTCGCATCACCATGTCACGGCAATCGACTCTTCGAGCATGACCGAGAGTATTGGTCGCCAGATTGAATTAGAATCGGAAAATACGATCAAGTATCGTACTTGCAGTTGGCAAAAGGTAGGTTCTTTTGAGTTCCGTGCTAAATGGAAGTGAATTAAGACTAATCGCGCATTAGACTGCGGCTCTGCTTTTCTCTGAGTATATCTGTTTGGCTATCATGTCTTTCCCTTGGTCGTATTCCGTGCTGGGTCTTGTTCCTGGTCTCCTTCTGACCTGTTTCGTCGCCGGTGTGGTGCTTTACACCTCTTTGACCATCTGGTATGATCTCTTGATTTCGGCATGTCCACGACAATTGTGCTAATTTTGAGGATAGGCGCTTCTGTCTGCGGCATCCCGAGGTGCGCGATGTGTGTGATATCGGCCAATATTTGTTCTGGGACTCCAAGATCGCCTGGTGGGCGACAGCCGTCATGTTCCTGTTGAACAATACCTTCATTCAGGGCCTACACTGCGTGGTTGGCTCCGAGTACCTCAACACCATGTCTAATGGTGCAGTCTGCACAGTCGTGTTTTCTCTCATCGTTGCCATCACTTCTTTTATCTGCTCGCTCCCGCGCACATTCAGCACCCTGGCTAAGATTGCCACTTTCTCCGCCTTCTTCACCTTCATCTCCGTCATTCTGGCAACCATATTTATTGGAATTGAGGACCACCCAGCCGGATACCCTGGCAAAGGCGAGCCGACTTTCCGCGCAACCCCCATGCCTGGCACAACCTTCGTTTCAGGCCTGAACGCTTTCCTGAACATCAGCTATACTTTCATCGGCCAGATCACCCTGCCCAGCTTCATTGCCGAGATGAAGGAGCCCCGCGACTTCTGGAAGTCCGTGACTGTTGTGACCATCGCTGAAGTCATCGTTTTCGGTCTTGTTGGCTCAATTATCTACGTCTACACAGGTAACGAGTACATGAGTTCCTCGCCCGCATTCGCCAACATGTCCGACGAGCTTTTCAAGAAGATCTCCTTCTCCTTCATGATCCCAACGATCGTCTTCCTCGGAGTTCTCTACGCCTCCGTCTCAGCCCGCTTCATCTTCTTCCGCCTGTTTGAAGGAACCCGCCACAAAGGCAACAACACCGTCGTCGGCTGGGCCGCCTGGATTGGAATTCTGGCCTGTCTGTGGGTTTGTGCCTGGATCGTCGCTGAGGTGATTCCCTTCTTCTCGAGTTTGTTGTCGATTATGAGCTCCTTGTTTGATTCCTTCTTTGGTTTCATTTTCTGGGGTGTTGCATATATCCGCGTGCGCTCGGCTGATCACGGACCCTGCTTCTTCATGAAACGGGGCATTCGTGGCTGGTTGGGTTTCATTTTCAACGTCAGTTTGATCTTCATAGGTCTCTTCTTCTTGGGTCCTGGTACCTACGTGAGTATTTTGGTCTCCAATTTTTCGTCTGGTTTCTTTGCTAATATCTGCTTTCGTAGGCCTCCATCATGTCCGTCATTGAAATGTACGACGAGGGTACCGTCGGCGGTGTCTTCACATGTGCCAGCAATGCGCTATAAGGTCCCGCGGGGCGGGATCTTGGCGATATATTTCACTTCTCTTTTTTGCATCTCCTTTCACATTGTAATCGGTCATTCTGACCGCCGGGCAACACCGGTTGTGGAGGGTTTCATGACTTGATGACGGAGACAGGTGGCAAATTGCTATTATTTTGAATCGTATGATCTTTTAGTGGATTTTCTAGTTGGATCATTACCATGGGATATCACCGTGTTCATGTTTTGTATACTTTTGCGGGGACGGGGATGTTGGGGACAGTGCTCTTTTCCGCGCCCTCCGGCATGCCGTGCACATAATCCGCGGCGTTGAATTGAATTCGGATGACCGGTGGGGCACTCTGATGCTCTCGCATGCTGTCATCACAACCACACACTTTTTTTGCCTCTACCCCTCTCCTCGTAGATTAAGATGTGGAAATGGGGGATGCACATTCCCCGCTGAACTCGCCCTATCGGCACGTGACTTTTCCGCTATGCTTCTCCGACGGCGGAGCAGACACAACTTCTCGCCTTTTTTCTTCCTCTTCCCTCGCTTCTCTTCTCGTCAATTCAATCTCATCTTCATTTAATCATTATGGCTAGCGCTCGTACTTTCCGGAAGGGCGTTGACCTTGTCGCTGCTAGGGCGTCCGCCTTGCACCCCCCCCCCGCGCTTCTATCGGCTCCACACTGCTGCGGCGGGAGCTCTCCTCCGCCGTGCGGGCAACTCCCCGGACTCCCAGCACCAGACTCACTGCGCGTGCTGCTGTTCCCCAGATCAAGACACAGGCTGTTCGCCATGTCTCGAGCTCCAATGAGTCCCTGGCTAAGACTCAGTTGTATGACTTGCACCAGGCGCACGGCGCCAAGATGGTGCCGTTTGCCGGGTACTCGATGCCACTGCAGTATGCCGACCTGAGCCATGTGGAAAGCCATATGTGGACTCGTGAGAAGGCCAGTCTGTTCGACGTGAGCCACATGTAAGTTCAATTGAATTGCAGAAGCTCAATTGGGACCACAGCAAGCTAATCCGTTTATTTAAAGGGTGCAGCACCACCTGAGCGGGCCCGGCGCCATGAACCTGCTGATGAAGGTCACACCCTCGTCGTTGGACAAGCTTGCCCCCAACACATCCACCCTTTCTTGTCTTCTGGAAGTCGGTACTGGGGGTATTGTCGACGACACCGTCATCACCCGTCGCGGCGAAGACAGCTTTTACTTCGTGACCAACGCTGGCCGCCGCACCGAGGACTTGGCCTTCCTGCAGGCCGAGATTGAGGCATACCGCGCCGAGCATGGCGCCGACAGCATCAAGTGGGACATTCTCGAAGATCGCGCGCTGGTTGCACTCCAAGGCCCCAAGGCTGCGTCTGTCCTGCAGCCTCTCATCAACGCCTCCTCAACCGCCTCCACCGACTTGAGCACCCTCTACTTCGGCAACTGCCGCGAGCTTTACCTTACTCTCCCCGACGGCACCGCTACCCCTCACCCTCTCCTCATCTCCCGGACTGGCTACACTGGCGAAGACGGCTTCGAGATCTCCATCCCGACCTCCGGCGCCCCCAACCTCCCTGAGCAAGTCGTCAACCTCTTCCTGAACAACAACGACGTCCGTCTTGCCGGTCTCGCGGCCCGTGACTCCCTCCGTCTCGAAGCCGGCATGTGTCTCTACGGACACGACATCTCTACTGCTCAGACTCCCCCCGACGCAGCCCTAGGCTGGGTCGTTGGCCGTGATCGCCGCGATCCCGCAACCGCTACTTTCAACGGCGCCTCTACCATTCTCTCCCAGCTCGCCAGCCCCAAGACCCTGGCCCAGCGCCGCGTTGGTCTCTCCGTTGAGAAGGGCCCGCCTGCCCGCGAAGGCGCCATCGTCGTCGACCTCTCCGACCCGGCTAAGCCCGTCCAGGTTGGTGTCGTCACCTCTGGTCTTCCTAGTCCTTCCCTTGGCGGTCAGAACATCGCCATGGCGTATGTGAAGAACGGTCTGCACAAGAAGGGCACTGAGCTCGGTGTGCAGGTGCGCAAGAAGGTTCTCAAGGCTACTGTTGTTGGTATGCCCTGGATTGAGAGCAAGTTCCACCGTCCTTCTTAAGATCCCTGTGGACTCTCGATTTCATTCGTCTTTCGGACCTGATGGTTTGATGTGATCCACGTTGATTTTCCCTGTACATAAGTCTTTCTTTTTTCGCGGCCCGCATTTTTTTAAAGGTTTATTTTCTTCAACATATAAGCAAAGAGCGAAAAGCAATTCCACATTTGCTCAATCTATAATATCGGTGCCTTTGTACGCAACATGTATTGACTTTTCAGACCTTGTTCTCATCAATATTGGTTCTTCTGAACCTCATTCTCGATTTTGATAAAAACTCCAAACGACTTGGTCGTAAACTCGTCTTAAGTGTTAAATCCAAACGACTTTCCACCTACTCGAATGGTGAAACTGCATAGACGGAAACAAGGGGTAAATGATATGAATCTGTCAAGATAGGTCTACCAGTTGGTCGCGCAACTCATAACGTCCCCTAGTTGAGTAGCGGCATGGACCTGATGCTTGGTTCACCAAGTAGTGCACCTCAATCTGGATCCCCACTAAGAAATGAAAGACAGAGCAATCACACAATGACATTGAATGGATGCATTCATCGGCCATATTTGTTTTCTTATTACAGTGCAAGATCGAAATAAGTTCATAACTATTACATTGGGTTTTCTTGTTAAATCTCAATAGCTTATATCATATTCGTGTAGTTGAATAAACGTCATATGTATTCGTACAACATGGGGACAACGTCAAAGGTCTCCAAGTAGGTATCATAAATGCACCATATAATAATACCCCTTTAACCAGTGTAGTAAGGGTTAGTGCAGGTCCAGGAGGAAGTGACGGAGCCACCAGGGCCAAACGCGGCTTCCAGAGCCAGGACAGCCGCCCACGTCCCCATGCCGGAAGTAGCGAAACCGCAAAGGGTGTAGATCAAGATAGGTCCGCTGAGGTACCAAGTCTTCCTAAAGCCACGGATCCAGCGCTTGTATCCGTTGTCGAGACGAGTTGTCTCGCCGGTAACAGGGTCGAAACCTTCACCGGGGAGTCTGGCGCCGTCCTGGATCTTGTAGGCGAGGTACATAACTCCGGAGAAGGAGTAGGTGAAGTTCAGAGAGAATAGGCCTCCGACGAAGTTGGTGAAGGCGCCGAATTGGGGAATGGACATGGAGATCACGAAGGCGAGGATCCAGTAGAGGGGACCAAGGGCCCACCAGAAGTATCGGCCCTTCTTGGAGGCAATCGGGGGCAAGTTGAACAATTGCTGGCCAACCTCAAGGTAGACAGTCTTCATACCAACGTTGAAGTAAAGGACTAAGATACCGGGTTAGTCTATGATCGGGTTCGGGCTTGTTATAGGAGTGGATGATTTTCTTACAAATGGCGAGCCATCCAGTCAGGAGGGAAAGGACGTTGCCGACGACCTGAAGATTCTCAGGACGGACGGACTGGTTGACGTTGCTGTAGCTGTACTGGCCGTAGTAGCTATAGACCTAGAAGACTGTGAGCTATTGTCTTTTTGGGCTGGGTAAGAATATCTTGGTAGAACTTACAAAAGCACCGAAGAAGATGTAGATGACAGTAATGAAGGTCTGCGCGACGAGAAGACCCTTCCAGAAGTCCATAGGGCGGCGCATCTCGGACAAGAAAGCGATGAACATGACAGCTCCGGAGTAGGCATAGACCATGGAGTTAATACCGTTGAATTGAGCAGCAAACAGATTGGTGTCGGTAGGCTGGTACTCGGCGGGAGGGGTGTTCGTGAAGACCTTGACAGGCGCCATAGTCTCTACCGTGGACCAAGCCTTGTTCAAAATACCGTTCTCAACCGCAGCCGCTGGGTCAGGGCCATACTTGGCCGCCGCAACGATACTATAGACCACGAAATTAGCAGAATAACTTGGTTGTATGATCGGTTTCCAACTCACATAATGAGGAAAGTCACAATGTTGATCCACACCGACAGGTTGCAGAGCCAGCCGAGGTGCTTCAGGGATCGCATGTAGCCACTTGCCATGCTGACAACGAGGGCGATGATACCGCAAACGATGTAGCAAAGATTGACACTACCAGCAAGCTGGGCAATGATACCCGTGTTGCCCAAAAGAACGACAGCGACACTCAGGAACATCTGCAGCGACTGCATAAAGTTGATAAAGTGACGCATCTTGGGTCCGTACAGACGCAGGAAAGGGTCACCGAAGCTAAGAATTGGGTAACGGGATGAATCAAGTCCGAGGAAAGTGCGCCAGATCATAATGCCAGAGGCAAAGGCAGCGAGACCCATAAGCACAAAAATGCCGACACCGAGACCGTAACCCGTGTTGGCAAAGACATAAGGTGTTTGTGACCAGCCGAGAATATCGGTCGTGATCAGATAGAAAACGGATCCCCAACCAGCGTTGCGGAGGGCTCGCGCGGCCGTTCGCCATTCGGCGTCCAGCTCGTGCACACCAGCGGGTGCAATAGGAGCGACATTGTCGTCGCCACCGAAGACAGTCACGCTCGACTTCTTCTCAGACCATTGAGCAGGCTCGCTCGGGCTTGGGGCCTCTTTGGACTCGTGAACCTTCGCATCCTCGTAAGGGTTGCTTGTGAAATAGTTCTTAATGGTACCCATGAAACCATCACCGGACGTGACCGATTGGTAGCGACGGAACTCTTCTTCCTCCATTTCACGTTCGACCTTGGCCCAGTAGGTGAATTCCTCAAAAGTGACGGTAGGGTCGAGACGCGCCTGCAAGCCCCAGAGGCGTTGACGGACACCAGGGTGGGTGCCTGCGAGGGACATCTTGCGAATCTCCTCGGGCGAGGCGGCTATCTCACGCATCTGCTCCGTAGGAGCTGTCGTGGCCACCGGGCCAGGAAGCATAGACATGGCCGAGAGGTGTGGAAATTGAAAAAGGAGGAACCGGGTGAAACAAAAACGAGAGACCCGGGGGACTGAGGACCACGCTTCTTATATTTACCCCGAGGTCAGAGAGAGTGGAGAGGGTGGGCAGAGTGGCACCATGGGATCGCGCTAGACCTGAACCCCATATCTATGGATGTCGTGATTATTATTTCTTTCAATTGTATTAATCTTGCCGGTCAACCGAGTGGGCGCCATCAGCCAACTGTCACGATTAGGAAACAAGCATCGCTGGCGTCTTCTCGAATCCTTGGCGTGGGCTTTGGTACAAGGATCGTACATGAACTGGCTGATCTGGTGTGAGATTTCCGGCGCCGAACAATGGCCAACAGCAAAGTAAATTGACCTCCGAGCAGGGATGCCACGCGAGGGACCACGCCCACTGCTCTGTATTGGGCTAGCGCTCATGCCCAAAATCAGTGGGGAACCATGGATGGAAAGGCAAGTGTAGAGCGATGGAAATAGGTAATAGCCGTGATAAGGAGGATGCATCCAAAAAGGGGGCGGGAGACATCACTATTGGTGGAAGCGGGGATGATAGGCGTTGGCAAAGCATTTGACAAGCAATTTCCAAGCCTAGCCTTGACTGGTTCTTCTCGAGGAGTGGACACTCCTCGAATCCACTTTTGTCTCGGGGCCCCGACGCGGACCCCGAGATGCACAGCTGCACTCTGGCCCGTGTACCCTCGTAATCTCGTTTTATCTGCAACAAGTATTCTGCGATAGTGGGAATTGTTTATTTTTACGCTTCTAGTGAGTTGTTGTAAGGCGCCTGTGTCTATGGGCTCTGAATTGGGCATCTCTGGCCGTGATCGAATAAGCGAAATCAGGTGTGTGTGTGTGTGTGTGTTTGGTAGGAAATCGCTATCGCCACTAGACCTGGACTAGTCACCTGTTCTTGAGCGCATCGGGTCAAGTGGCTTGTACTAAGCCTAGGCTGTGCCTCGTGAAGTGTCTCTGGTTCTCGGGTCGGGGAGCATAGTCTCCACTCGAACACGGTCCAGTCGGGGTTGGGTCGGTCATGGCTAGTCCCAATCCTATCCTATCCAGAACGGGATAAGAGGGCATTCGATAGGGTTCGTCTCATGAATTGACTCATTGAAATTATGAATTTGGTATCTTGAACGAAAGCTAGGTTCAGGTTTGAACGATTGCTGCCCCATGGGATGTAAATATAGTGTGTACCGCTGGTAGCAATGGAGAGCTTTCGCTAAAATAACCCTCCTTCTCAACGGGATGTCGATGGGGAAACACATGTGGACCTAGGTGGGGTCGTTGAGCCTTAAAACGAACACTAGGTACACTGAAGTAACAGCATTTTCCTCCGAGAATTCCTAACCACTGGGGCACCATCGGTGGTCAAAGTGTGGCGATAGGAGCAACGGAACCCTCCTAGGAAGGTGTTGACAGACGAGCCGGCCTAGCTGGTGGCTGATGAGAAGCTTCTGTCACGCGGAACCTTGAGATGAACTTGTGGCGTTCATTGAAAGAGTCTCTACGCGGGCGCGACTGAGGATTGGTGAGCCCGGAGGTCTCCGAGAATTCAATCGCCACCCCACACACGCCACAAAACTATGCAGGGCACGCACTCCGGAGTAGGCACGCACTCCGGAGTATGTCTCTAGTGCCGGCCCCAGTAAACCATCTTTAAACTTTTAGATGTTTTGGCTTAGAATTTTCGGCAATAAGCTGACGGCTGAAAAGAAATATGTAAGAATTCCCGGAAGCTTACGTATCCATTGATCGATGGTAGTTGCGTTGAAAAATCAGATGAGTGTATCCATGGATGCAGTGTATATTATGGAAAGTACCTGAACAGTACCAGACTCAATTGAGACTTGATACTTTTTTTACCTCCCTTTCTGCCAATTCGACTGCTTCGCAGAGCGGGCGTGGTGATTCGCAGTTTTGACATGTCGAGCACGGTGCTGCGCACCCACGCCTAGAGAAGCAGGCTGCTCGAAGTCCTCGAAACCACCATCCAATCCCCGAGCCAAGATGTCCGAGGAATCAGACAGAGAAGGGGGCAGATCCTCGGCCTTAGTGCCCCAGCTCGTCTCATTCTGACCAAGGACAAGGACTAGGTCTTGACCCTCTGTGAACAAGTCGTGGGAGACCCAGTTCTTCGTATATGGTTGACCATTCAAGGTTGCGGACTGGATAAAACCAGTGCCGCCGGTATTGTTGAGCGAGTTGTACTTGTCCCAGTTGATCACGCGCAAGGTGGCCATCTTGCCAGTGATGGGCGACACAATGCTGACAGATTCGAAGAAGGGCACGGTAAGGAGGTAGACGCTTTGACCTGGGTTGGGGAAGAGCCCCATCATAGACATGGCGACAAATGAGCCCATGGCGCCGGAGTCGTCGTTGCCGGGTAGCCCCGTGGGGGTGGGGGAAAAGTAATCCGGAATATAGGTGCGGACGCGAGCGGTGGATTTGGCTGGGCGGCCGGCGTAGTGATATTGAAATACCGTCAAGAAGGCCGGTTCATTGCCAATGTAGGTAATGTTCTGATCGTGGAGGTAATCAAGGCGTCGCACAAAATTGGAAGGTCCTCCGAGAAGGGGTATGAGAGCGGCCATGTCGTGAGGTACGAAGCTAGGGTTGAGCTATTAGCGCGCGGCCACAGCGAAAGATGAAGGGAAACTCACAACTGGTACTCCCAGATACTCGACTCAAAGGTCTCCCCTGCCGTGTTCTGGAGGGAGCAAATACTTCCACTATCGTCGATGTTCGAGCATTTGAGAGGATCTTGGTATCCCCAGGTCCCGTTGAGATACTTTGGCTGGAAAAATCCAGTGAATCCGGTGTCCGTTCCATTCATATAAGATGCCTGGCCCTTTCGGAACAGGTTCCTCCAGTATCGCGACTCCTTTTCATATCGAGCGGCATCAGCGGTTTTGTTCATGCCATTAGCCATCTGGGAAATGGCGAAGTCATTGTAGGAGTATTCAAGCGTGCGAGAGATGCTGCGAGTCATTGTTCCGAAACCAATATGGTCAAAATCCTCAACTGGGATATAGTTGAGTTCTTTCCAGCTTTCCATGCCCCCGCGACCCTCGTTAGACCAGTCAAAGGGCTCCTCATCTGCGTCTTTCTGGACAGCTGCATAGCCCGCGTCCCAATCAATGCCATCTTTGATGCCTTTGACATAGGCATCAGCCAGGACATTGTCAGCATTTGATCCTCCCTGCGTGAAACTTTTGCAAAGAGACATGCGACAGTCGGGCAGCCAGCCAAGGTGGCGTTGGGTGTCGATCAGAGATCGTATCATCTGTGCCACCGAGCTCGGGTCAAAGATGGTCAGGAAAGGAATCTGGGAGCGGAAGGAGTCCCAAAGACTCAAGGAACGGTTAGTGACAGTGCCTAATTTCCACAAAAAAAGTCGAGACAAACCAATAAAATGAATCAAAGTACGGCTCTGAGCTTGTCCATAGAGGGTTCTCGCCTGTGTAGTTCTGAGGGTTCACCATTGTTCGGTAAATACCACTGTAGAAGTTTGTAAGGACGGGATCCTTGACCCCATTACGCGAGACGCGAATCGGACGCATTTTCTCGGTCCATTGCGCAATCGCAGTCTTGTGGGTGGTCTCAAAATTAAAGTCGTCAATCTCTGATTCGGCATTGGAGCATGCCTGCTCAGGGCTGATGAAGCTCAAGCCGACACGAGCCCGGATAATCCCATCTGCAGGGGTTTTGAAACGGACAAAACCACCGCCCTAGAAAATGAGTATATAAACAAGACAAGAAAATGCGACGTGGGCAATGCTCACCGGCAAGGGATAAGCATTGATGCTGCGTGAGATCTTCAGGTTATGAACACCAGCACTAGCCCTGGCATCAACAAATATACCGCTGTCACGCAGCCCAGCAGAACTCTGAAAATCGGCACAAAAGTGGAGGCCGTATGCTCCACTTCCAAAGCTGGGCAAAAACTTGGCACTGCCCATCATCCGGCCGTTAGATTCGTCGATCGAGATCGTCGCATTGTCTTGGCGTGAGTCGGAGAGATCCGAGAGATCCAGCAGAATCAGGGGGCTACTATCAGTGGGGAACTGGAAGCGGAAAAGCGAGGTGTGTTGAGCAGCAGTCATATCAACTTTCACACCAGATTCTAGCGTCAGGGCAAAGTAGCCGGGGCTGGACTCAACTGAGTCGTGTTTATACTTCGATTTCCGTGCTTTCTTCGGATACACACAACCATTCACATCATCGTCGGCACACTGCGCATATGGGAAGAGAGGAAAATTGCCAAGCGAAGGACTTCCACCGGTACCAGAATCGTGCATGCTCGAGAATCCGGTGACATTGCTCCCATCATAGGCGAAACCTCCCTGGTTGTTTTCCGAATCGGTATCGGCGACGGCCTTGGCCATGCCATAAGGCAGGGACGCACCCGAGAAGACATTTCCTGTGATCAGAGTTAGCGGTGGGCTCCCATCGGTGCGGCAGTCTCCATACCCCCATTGGCGCTGCCGATCAGCGGGTCTATGTACTGCAGCACATCATAGTCATCCGGTACCGCAGGGAGAGTGGCATCGACCAGCACGCGGCCACTAGTAATCAGGAGAGACAGAAGCAAATGGCGTGGCATTGTGGGTGTGAGAAATAATCTGAAGGGTCCAGACTGATATTTGAATATGGATTCTTCGGCCCCTGCAGCGCGTCATGCCTGCTCGCTATGCGATCATGCGCCCCTGTCGATCTTCACCCCGCGTTGCTGAGTTACATCGCGTGCGATTCAATTCGGTGTGGCTGGATAACCTTGACCCTGTTGATTCTGCAACATCTCATCACTCGGCGTCGTGTGACAGGGGCGTTGAGGTTGAGACTGTATGGTCGAAGGTCGTGTATGCTGTCGGGGTCGATGTGTTCGAATCAGCTGGTGCCTTCGAGAAAACGTTGTTTGTTTTCCGATGACATAGACCTAGAATGTTTTATCGCGAAGGGCCGCAGTTCCAATGAAATCGGTAAGATGAGGGGAGGATGTCTAGGATTGTAGTACTCCCTTCCCGAGTCGGTACTAATATTCCTTCTTTGCAATACTTGCACCAAACATTGCAAGCTACACATTTTCATCACTAACGCGTATCTGGCTTGCTTGATTCCACCTTCCCAACCATATAAGATACCACCTATATACACCTGGGATGGAGGCGTTCTCTCGCGTGTATTCAAAGGTTGTACAAAAACTACGATACTCGAAGAATTATAAGCTCGGCTTCCCTAGCACTATAGTCGATAGCCCGATTCCAAATCTGGTATGGCCACAGACAATGTATTCTTTATCGTTGAGAATGGGTTTCGTGGATATATAGATATGAGGGTGGAATAAGTCTGTCTACCGCTGCCTGAAAACGAACTCAGAGCTCGTCAAGGCCTAAGGGGGCCAAATGGCGTTTTCGCTGGTACGCTGCCCTCAAGGCGCACGACTTCCGAATTGTTGTGATGCCTCCGCATGACTCGCCCGACAATCTCAAAAAGCGCTTTTCATCACAAGATGGGCCGAATTTGGTTGCTCAATGCTCATATCACCCCAGTAGAGGCTCCTGCTCCCTGTTCACCGCATGTTCTCTCTTTGTGCCTCTCCGCCAAGCTATCACAAACAAAACACTCTGGAGGATATCCAAGATTGGAGGGATGATTGATATAGGGATGTAAAGTGCGCGTGCGATGGTATAGAACAGCTTGGAGGGTGTGTGTCGCAAGCAGGCATAGTAACTAGGTGACATATTAGATGGCTTTTGCTTATTCTTAGATGTAGCCGGGGGTCAGGTATGACTGACAGCATAAAAAGTGAGACAGTGATATGCGAAATCTAATATACCTCTACACTTAGATTCTCATTCCTGAACCCTACCTTGAAACACGCCTCTAATTTTAGCTATTACCTAGTAGTCCCTATTGAGTTTTAATGTATTCCCTGGTATTGATGTAAAAGTATTGTCATTGTTTGTAGCCTTACATAGCCTACCTCTCCCATAGCATTAATTCATCTCTCTTACATATATCTCCATCTTCAGTCATTCTCTCTGACAATCATTATACCGTAATCTCCCGCGGAATTCAGTAAACTTTCATGCAAGTTGAATGATAAAGAATGTAAATCTTGTGACTAGAAATCAGATGGATCACCCTAGAGGTCGTCCTTAAACTCATTGAAGAGTTGTGGCAAGATTTTAGCCAAGTCTAAATTGATATAATCAGCTTCTTATCCTTCAAAATACAAGATGGTAGACTCACAGGGCATTTCAGTGCCACAATGTACACGAATGTCATGGGCAACGGTTTCGGGGATGCCTGATCCAAGCCAGAACCTGGATCTCATCTCTCGAGTGCCATCTGCTTTACGGCGAATTTGATGAATGAGATAGGAGACTCCATCAAAACCCTCCATAATGTGTGCTGTGAAGTGTGTCAGAAAAGTTTATCTAGCAAGTTTCGATAACCTTTATTCCTTGGTCACCCTGTAAGCGCGAGGCCGAACTTGCTGATCATGCCCTTTTTGGGCATCTAATGGCCAAGAATCTCCGACAAGGCAGTATATTTGCACTTACGAATATTGCATTGTCATAGACGGAAAGCAACCCTTCCGTACGGGAGTGCATAAATAAGCCCCTACTGTTCATATTTTACATCGGATCGGATCGGAGTGGGCTGTAATCCTCATAGCAAGCCTGTTTCATACTGCAACTAGGCCGAACGGAAAAACTATATAAATTACTTTTTGTACTTTGATTATAACAACGAGAGTCAGGAGAAAGAGACAGAACAAAGACAAAAACAAAATCCACCGAATTCGGCGATGGCATCTCAGACCTTCAAATACACAACCAAGCTTGTCGGCAAGCGTGTCTCTGTCCTTGGAGGGACGTCCGGCATTGGCTTCTGCGTCGCCGAGGCCGCTCTTGAGCATGGTGCCGACGTTATCATCTCTAGCTCAAATGCCGCAAAAATTGCCAAGACGATTGCAAAATTGCAGGACGAGTACCCGGAATTGACGCGTTCTCAGAAAGTCTCCGGGTACGTTTGTGACCTCGCCAACCCTGTGGAACTGGAGACAAACCTCACCCGACTCTTTGAGCAGGCGACAGAAGGGCAAAAGCTACCCCTCAACCACATTGCTTTCACAGCTGGCGACGCGCTCAAGCTTCCAGCCTTGCACAATTTTACGGTGGATGCCGTTAGCGCATCTGGCACCGTCCGTTTTCTCGCACCGTTGATCCTGGCCAAGATTCTCCCCCGGTACATGGATAAATCACCCGAGAACTCTTTCACGGTGACTGGTGGGGCGAATGCTCATCGGCCTCCCGCTGGTTGGTCTGTAATGGCTGGCTATGCGACTGCAATTGAGGGTCTGGTGCGAGGCTTAGCGCAGGACCTCAAGCCCCTACGTGTGAATATTGTATCACCTGGAACAGTGCATACCGAGTTGTTCGATGGATTTGGTAAGAACCTAGATGAGCTTCTCAAGAGGTTCCGGCACAACACTTTGACTGGAACAGTCGGCAGCCCCGAAGATGTGGCGGAGGCATACATCTACATTATGAAAGACAAGTTTATTACAGGCACTCTTGTGGCGTCTAATGGGGGAATACTCCTGGTTTAGTTCTTTTCTTGATATGGAACCATCATTTGGCTTCTTGTTCTGTTCGTCACGAGCCTTAGCTGGTTCTGACTCTGAGAACGTAGCAATTTAAATAATTAGCCATCATCTCAAGGGTTTTTCCAATGGAGCTGCAGACTTTCCCCCGATCTCGAATTCCTTCATAGGCGAATCTCGAGTGAAATAGTCGTGTCCAAAATTTTGGTACCAATTATACATGGTGAGGTTCCACAAACGTCATGTAAAATACAGTCTGTGTTCTGGGAACAAGGACATTGGCAACTTTACCATGTTTGAATTAGTGTGTTTCAAGCCAGGTTGCGGGAATGAGAGTCTGAGAGTGTCAACGTGAATTTGATTTCAAAAACTACTGTAACCAGACCACAGCAGTCTGTTACATGTTAAGTCTTTCTCCGAATGTTGGGGGATCATAAACGAGTGGGATTCTTGGTTCAGGGTCCTCGGCTATGAGCATAATTGAATTGCTTTGTTGCGCAGAGGATGTTCCAAAACATGTAGTCCGTCGAAATTCCTGTGCTGGTCTTTTGTGTCCAGATGCGATGCACTTGAAGGAGAAACGTTTCAGCGATTAGATGGTGAGAGCCCTGCGAAATTCCAAATTTGTCAGTCGCCTTGTGTTTGTTGTTCTTGCTGGTAATCGGACATACACACGGAGAGGGTCAGGTATGGGTCAATGCCAGAACAATGGTTCTTTATCTCTTTGTAAAGTTCACAAGGCTGGATTTGGAGTAAAGAGCTCTCCTCATTGTCACGGTGAGTCTCTTTGTTGACAAGTACCTTATTAAATAGTGAAGCATAACCGCACTTTTTTATCCACAAATTCCCACCTACGCCAAATTACCACTCAATCCTCATCCCTTCTAGACAAGCTGGACATGGCTCCAAAACGGACAGGGGTGGCTGGTAAGACGGCTGCAAAGAGAACCACCACCAAAAATATCACCAAGACGGTTAAAATGGCAACTTCTCGACATTCTGCCTCTAATGACTCACGTCCTCTGCGCTACACACCTGGCCGATTCCTTCCTAGAGGGCTTGAAAGGACTACGCCGTCTCCGTTAGAGCCGGGCACTGCAGACTCATTGGAATTCCCTTCGCTCGCGTCCTATGAAAACCCAGTGAAGAAAGTCGCAAAAAGAACCCGAAACGTGATCGAAGATTCGTCCAGCGACGGGTCATCTGACGCCAGTGATTCTTTCCAATACCAAGCATGCCGATCTAAAGCCTCCAAGCGAGCGAGGACAGTTGTGAAGAAAACCCCTGCTCCGGTAGTTGAGGATTCATCCGGTGGAGCAGCTGGTGCCACATCCGATGAAGGGATATCTGAAGTTGACAGTTTCCATGGTGCTAATATTCTTCTGCGTTCGTCGCATCGGCCAGCTGAGCAGCTCACGAGGCGCAGGCAGCCTAAGCGAGGCGAGCAGGCCATGGAGGCACGACCCCCTGGTCTCGATAGCCCCCATCCAGAGGAGCCGAAGAGACGTGCATTCCCGATTGTCGGGGATACGTGGAGCGAAGCATCCAGTGATACTAAGCCGATACCCTCTGACTGTCATTCTGATAATCGGAAGGATACACCTGATCCAGACTTCCCGAGACCTGCCAAGCGGACGAACACAAGCAAGAAGGTGACTACAGATTCGGAAGACGTGACATCCAGCCTATTCTTCGATGGTCTCCGTGAAACCCGGGTGATGCCCTACTCAATGGGTGATCCTGCCGATTGGGGCCTAAATACAACAGATAGTAGTGCGTTTGATCGTGACCCGATTTTGGCTGACATCCATACAGAGTGCTTGCCAAATGCAAAATTCATTGATCTCAGGGGCATGCTTTCTTACTTTTCAAATTGGTTTGGGTCGAAGGACACAAAAGATAGAAAAGAGAGCAACTCATCCAATGACGTGGGACCTCGCTCTATCATCAAGGAAGACATTCAAGCTCCATACGATGGAACTGACCGTCTCTCGGATGTTTCAAAAGAAGAAAACGAGAGGATCGAAGAGATCGGGCGAGATCACTCTTCTGAATTTATGTCGGAGGACTTCGAATGGACCGACGCAGGTCAAGGCCAGATTGAAGACAATACTATGCTGTGGCTCTTCAAGGATGGATCAGATGTGGCAGAAGCCCAGCAGAGGTCACGCAGGTAGGATATATATTTTAAAAATACCTCAGAATATCACCAAGTAGAATGAAGGACTTTGCTTTTCCATGATACGGCTCTTTAATCTTCAATGGGAAGACAACTTCCTGTCCCAGACCCGGGGCCAGAGTAATGGACAATTATTGTCTGGACTTGCGCCAACTCTCCCCCGTCGAAGCTACTTCAAGAACGAGTACTCCGGTCAATAAAAATAAAAGCGTCTCCCGCCTTTTCTCGGGGTCTATTTGATCAAGATCGTAAATGGCGACCCTTCCTTCCAGTACTGCCGGGTCGTTGACATGAAGCTCTTTGGCGGAAAAGTTACCTGAAGAATTCAATGAACGGCTAGAGCGGGACTGGCTCGAGTCTCTGGGACTGGCGTTCGAGACATATCTATTGATCACTTTCTACGATTCCTTGGAGTTGACCGGTGCGCAAGCTTAGACCGGGCTGTGGCCTCGAAATCGTCTGTTGCAATGGACAGCTCGACCTCCAACTTAGCCGACCAGCAGGTTCATGCCCAAAACTAGACAACACATCCTCTTAGTAGGCCTCTCAGCAATCCTCGCGGCTACTTATGCAGACGATGTCGCTGGGTTGGTAGATGCCCGAACTATAGCGTGAGAACGGGCCGAGGTAACTTTTCTCTTGGACTCTCCACTCTTCAACCACCATCCCAACATTTCGCCTTCGAGACTCGCGGGTTTCAGTATCGGTCTTGGAAAATGCTCCGACCGAATTTTTCACTCGTTTCCAATCTTCCCCCCCGTCTCACTCCCACTCCTTTACGTCTTCTCTCACGCGCTCCCCGATCAGGCTCATCTTCCATTCACCCTCGGCCAAATTCACGCTTCTACTCCACCGGTATGCAGGAACCTATCAGTGTCCAAGAAGACCTCGTTGAAGAATATGCATCTAATAGCTCGAATAAACCAGAACCTAGTTCTTCCGTTCACCCGCCCCCGCGCTCGCGCATCCGCCGCCTTGTAGGCTTCACCTCAATCGCCGTCCTCGCGTTCACCCTAGGTCTCGCCTTCCAAACCTCGCGCACCGTATCTCGAATCATGTCCGACACCATACTCACCGACGAGGAGACTCTCTCCGCCTACACGCCTGAAGACGCGCGTGCCGCGGAGATTGAATCCCACATTCGCAACCATCCCGAAGCCGTCAAATTGCGCGCGAACCCCGATTTCAAGGAATCGCGCCCGCACCTCAAGATTCCCGAGACTTTGCGCCCGCGCAGTCTGACGGCCGGTACATTGGCCGGGCCTAACAAGATCGTCGTGCCGCCGCTGGTCTTCAGCGAGAAGGGAGGCAAGAGCATGGTCTCCCTGATGTACCTCGGTTCGGATATGTGCGGACACATCGGCATTGTACATGGTGGTCTGCTAGCTACATTGTTGGATGAGGGTTTTGCGCGATGCTGTTTCCCCGCGCTGCCTAACAAGGTGGGTGTTACGGCCAACCTGAACATTGATTACCGGGCTCCGGCCATGGCGGATTCCTATGTGGCTCTCCGGGCCGAGACCGTCAAGGTGGAGGGTCGGAAAGCGTGGGTCGAGGGGCGCATCGAGACTCTTCCCGAGGAGGGCAAGGCGCCCGTTGTGCTGGTTGAGGCTAAGGCTTTGTTCATTGAGCCTAAGCAGGCGGCTGTAAGTCCTCCAATTCTCAGGTGAAAGAAAGAGTGGCAAGGTGACTAATTGGCTTTTCCAGGCTCTGGCGAAATTGTCCCGTGGCGTGACCGAGTGAAAAATCTGTGATTTGTTCCTGGTTCCTGGTTCCTGGCGTAGAAGGATCTTTTTTTCTTTCTTTTTTTCGACTGACCAGAAGTGATGTATAGTTGGAGGTTTTCTGTAATAGCATAGACATAGCTGAACTGCATGATATACATAACTCCCGAATTCAAGTAGAGTCGAGATGGTCGTATAGAATCAAGATCTGCTATACGAAAGGAGAACCCGCCAAGATTTGGGCCCCCGCGATCAGCGCTCATTTTCCGCCCTTCCACTGCCTCTTACGCGGCCCGTTTTCACCGTCTTGTTGCCCCTCCTCTCTTTCTCCTTTCTTCAACCACACACACATCTTCACAATGGCCACGTATGTCAATTGAACCCCCCCCTGTATCCTCCTTGCATGATGCATGCTGCACAGGGAAAGACCAACTGACCCCCGCTTAGCAACATCACCTTCCACGCCCCCGCCTTGACCAAGACCGAGCGCAGCACCCTGTGCAACCAGCAGGGTCTGACGATCTGGTTGACCGGTCTCTCCGCCTCCGGAAAGTCCACCATCGCCGTCGAGCTGGAGCACCAGCTGCTCCGCGACCGCGGCGTGCACGCCTACCGTCTGGACGGTGACAACATCCGCTTCGGACTGAACAAGGACCTTGGCTTCACCGAGGCTGACCGTAACGAGAATATCCGCCGCATCGCCGAGGTCGCCAAGCTGTTCGCCGACTCGTGCTCGATTGCCATCACCTCTTTCATCTCCCCGTACCAGAAGGACCGCGACACCGCCCGCAAGCTGCACGAGGTTCCCCCGCCCGGCGAGAGCACCGGTCTGCCGTTCGTTGAGGTCCATATCGATGTCCCCGTTGAAGTTGCCGAGCAGCGTGATCCCAAGGGTCTGTACAAGAAGGCTCGTGAGGGTATCATTAAGGAGTTCACTGGTATCTCGGCTCCCTATGAGGCGCCTGAGAAGCCCGAGGTCTACATTAAGAATGTTGACCTGCCTGTCAAGGATGCTGTGAAGCAGATCATCGCTTACCTTGATTCCCAGGGTTACCTCCCTAAGCAGGAGTAAGTAGCTCGGTCATTTCTAGAAGTGAAAAGCGAAATGTCGTTGTACAGCGGTATAGATGTTTGAAAAAAAAGTACCGGGCGGCGTGTATGTCCGAACATTGAACAAATATAGATCTAAATTTTGATATCCATTCATCGGACAACCCTTTTTCGAGTAGGATACGGTAATAGAGTGTAATCAGTAGGGAAGAAACCACCGGGCCAAGAAAAAAAAAATATTCCAACAGAAATTCAATGCTAAGTTTGTGCTCAATGTACCTTGGGCTTGGTATATGTACGCAACGACCTGCCGACTGCCCCACGTCTTTAGTTGAACTCGAACTCATAGAACACAAATGGCGTGTACTCCGCATTCCCCTCAGCACCATGCATCTCATTGGGATCGTCCCGCTTAACACGGCCCTTCTTGTCACGCCCAAAGGCATTGCCAGCCAGGTAGGAGTACTTATCCTCGAGGTTCTTCTTTGCACGATCCGCCTGCTTGGTAGTAGGAGCCTGCAAAAGCACATATTAGCAACAGGTTCCTGTTGGAGCGTTTCACACGGAACAAGATCATACCCGAATCAAGCCACAGACAAAGTCCAAAGGCAATCCGTACCGCAACACCGTCTCAACAAACACCCGCAGGACCAGAACATGGATCCAGACCATAACGGCCTCGCTCCAGGCCGTGCGACCAAGACGCAACGTCTCGCCCCAAAGCTTGCGCTCGTCGCCACCCACACGCTCAACCTCCTTCGCTTCCTCCTCCTTGCCGCCCTCGACATACTTGAAATCACGCGGAATCCACTTCTGCTCGCGGGCCTTGTGCACAAACTCGGCGCTGTGCTTCTTGAACGTCGTCACGGCGTACAATGAGAACTCACTGTCCTCAGCGACCAATTGGGCAGAGCGGGGGACGACCATTGCCGCGATGGTTTCGTAGGTTTTCAGGAAATCCTTTACTTGCTGCGAGGGGACGGCGACAAGGTGTGTTTCAATAAATTCGGAGTCTTGAACAATGGAGCGGGGGTCAATGATGGAGGCGAGCGATTTTGTGGAGAGATTTCCTCTGTATGTTTGTTAGTGGTGCTTGGAGCGAAATTTGAGGGGCAATGCGAACGTTTGTTTCCGCTGCAGGGTCGCCAGCGTATTCTTAACCTGATTATATTGGGAGTACTTGAATCGAATATCGTTGTCGATGCTGGCACCCTCCTATTCAGAATGTCAGTAATGAGCTTCTTCCGTCAACTCGATCTGGTTGTGTGAACCTGCCTTCTGCAGAAGATCAATCAACTCGGAGAGCGACTTATCCGCACGGTATTTGACCTTATTCCACTGGAAGGTGCGAAGATACTGGTCAACCGGCTCTGCGAAGCGTCAGCACATACATTCTGTCCGGGGAGACCGTAGCGGGGAAGCTTACTGTCATTGACGACCTTCATGCGCTCAATCTGCGCCTCATCCCCCTCGAGGATATTCTTCAACGCATCGCCGACCTTGCCCACAACAGCTTGGCACTGACCCTCAAGCTTAGCTAGCTCGTCAGCCTGCTGGACGAGCGCATCTAAAGTGCCGATCTTGAACTCGGGGATCGGGAAGGAGGCCACGGAGCCATTGTCGGGGGAGACGGTGTTGGCGACAGCTTCGAGGGCGTCGTCGCGGTGATGCGATGGAACGATGGAGGTGGGGAGGGAGAGGAGAAGGTACTGGCTTGGCTTGGACATGATGTATGAGGAGCCCTAGACGCGGGCAGATGTGAGGTGGACAGTTCCAACGGAGCTCGGGAGCTGGGACGACGTAGGCGGTCGGGACACACCTGCAATGTCTAAAACGGAGCACACTGCCTTTATTCTACCACTTCAAATCAGGGTCAAAATACTACCGGCCCCAGAGTTGATGTTCATATTCTAACCTATCGGGGAGCAAATTTTACACAGGTCGTGATGAGGCTCGTGGACGATGCTTAATTCTAGAGACTTGATCCAATGCTCGCTCAATACAAGACCAAGCCCGTCAAACATTGGAACAAAAAGCCACACATGCAGAAGAAAGATGAACGTTTTACTCCCCTATGGACACCGGCGAGGCGATGAGCAAGACCGTAAGGGCCCGAGGGATTGAATAGCTTCGAACCTGCGGAATATGTAGGGGAAATCAGCGACAAAAGGAAAAAGACGACATGACAGGGTATCGCTATCGAGCGTGCAGCGCTGATCGTGAACAGAGGTGAGCGGGGAGGGATAGGGTGCGAAAAACTAGATGAATGCACGACAAATAACCAAAAAGAAGGCTTGGTATCTGTACAAGAAGAGCGCCAAACAGAAAATGAACTCGAAGGGAAACGAAAAATAATAAAAAAAAAAAAGAGCAGAAAGTAATGAAGCGTTCGCAGAGCATGCCTAGCCTTGCATGCCCATGAAAATGTCCTGACAATTATCCACCAGAAACTTGAGGACGTCGTTTTTCTTTTGGACATCGGTCATCTCGCGGGCCAAGCTCTCAGGCCGCATGATGGTCGGAGCGAAGACGACAGCGACGTTCTGACTGGTCATCAGGTTCTCCTCCTGGCGTTCAACGACACGCCTTAGGTGGAAAACGAGGAACTCGAGAACATCTCGATGCATACGGGGCAACTCTCCCAGATTTTTCTGGAGAAGCTCCACCCGCCCAGCCACGCTGGTGATTTCTGCAGAATCGATGATCGTCTCGTAAACATCGTAGGTGATCAAAGGCATAGGGAGCTTGCGGAAGTATTGCTTGAGAGCAGAGGTAACAGCGTGGATATCGAGGTCGGGATCCGAAATGTCGTAGTCGAACGGATTGCGTTCGAAACCATCTCGAATACCTTGGATCGCTGAGGCGGCACCGGACTTGCGGTAGATACCCTCCATGTCCATGCCGCGGAGTTCGACTTCTTGGATGCACCGGGTGACAATGGCGGGGATAATACTCTTCTCGTGCTCCATTCGTGCCTCGAGATCGGTACCAAAGAGACCTGAGGAGATAGTCAGTTGATTGTGAGAAGGAATAGGGTGATTGGGAGGCCTACCACCGCCTGCAGCCTCAGACAACGCGGGCACGCTGTCGGCCTGCGACATCTTGCCTCCCTGCTTGTTTCTCTGGTTCCCAAAGAACCCAAAGCCCTGGCGGCTCGGGTCTTGAGTCTGCGAGCGAGGCAGACCACCGACAGCCTCGGTCTCGCTGGACATGAAGGCTCCCTTTAAGCCCTTCACACCCTTCGCGACGTTCTGACCGCCCTTCTTCCAATTGAACTTGCGAGGTTGTCCCTTTCGGATACTGACAACCTGAGGACCTGGGACCACGGTAGCCGTAGCTGTAGTAGTCTCAGCATCGTCTGTCATATGAGCATAAGAAATCGACGGCGGGAAGTCGTGAGCAGCGGCGTTCATAGTCTCAACGGATGCCATAGATTTCTCCTTGTTCTGAACGATCCCAATACCATTTGGACCGCGCTGGCCATCCGAGTTGACCTTGTACAGTTCTTGAATCTGGTGCACCAGTTGGTTGTTCAGTTCAGCCAACTGGGCGTTCTTGGATGATAGCTGTTCGAATTCTTGGAACGTCTTCTCCTTCTGACGAGTGATGGTGGCAAGCTCCTCTTGAAGCTCATTACGCTGCTGGATGAGTTCTTCGATCTGAGGCGCATAGGACTCCTTGAGTTTGTGAATGGCTTCAGCGAGTTCTCGCAATACATGGTTTGAAAGCTTTCCAAGATCCAAGGGCCCACCAGCCGCACCGCGCTTCTCTGCCTCAAGGTGATCAGTAAGCACGTTGAGTTCCCGCAGAACGATCTCTCTCTGAGCATCAAGTACAACCATGGTTGAGCGCTTTTCAGAGAGCTCAGTGTTGACCTTCTTTACATCCACAGTAGCGCGAATGTTGCCTTCCATTTCCGCCGAACGTTGGCGTTCCTTGCGCAGTTCAGCGCGAAGCCAAGCAATCTCCTCGGCCTGAGAAGTGCTCGTGGTAGGGCTAGCAATCTCCGTGCCCGTAATACTTGCGGGAGATCTGGGGTTCTTGCCTTCCCTCCCGGTCCGTATACTCTTCTCGCTGTGGCTTCGGCCATGACGAATGGAGCTTGACATGCGGCGTATAAAAGAGTCGCTGGTTCCATCCTCGCTCATGAGACGAGCCAAATCTTCATCGGCAGAGAACTCGCTGCCACCCTTATATTGTGGAATGGATGGCGAGTCTGCGCCGTCCCGCGTATCAAGAGAGGTAAGCTGGTGCTTCGGCTGTTCAAACCCAACGTTGGGCAACGTAGGCGAGCCATAAGCGGAGGAGCTAGGTGATGAGCCAAAGTCTTTCCGGGCAATTGAACGGGGTCCTTTCTCGAGCGAGTCGCCGCGCCTTGGTGGATACACAGACTGCTGAGAACGTGAAGAGTCCACGGAGTCATGTTCATGAAGTTTGCGTAGCTCATTTGAAGGGCGTGTGGGGGCGGTTGTGACACTCTCGAGGGGCATCGATCGAGTCGTATCGTTAGCAGTGTCCTTGGATCTACTCCTCTCTGGGCTCGTCGCATTCGAGAAATGGCCGGTTTCTCTCATCGCCAATGGCAGATCAGATCGAGAACTGCGGGCAGACTCCGTTTTCCCAAGTCTGGATTCAACACCCGGCGCAAAGGGCTTGGTCGGTCCGTCACCGTCCATATCACGCCGGTAAGAATCTTCCCCACGCTCGTACCCTATCTCTTGATATGCAATATGAGGGGAAGGATGTTCCGAGGGAGTACGAGACGGAGGTTCTATGGAATAGTCGCGGCCGTCGCGAGATGTTCGAATTGAGGAACCTCCAGATCGCAGCTGGTTGAAGTAGTCGCGAGGAGGCTCTTGGATAAGCTGTGACTGTCTGCGCGAAGAAGACCGCTGGCTTTCTGAGGGATCAAAGGCGAGAGGGATCAGGAGCTCTCCGCCCCCGTCCGCTTCGTTGTTGTTTTGGGTATTGCTATTGTCACGTTGTGAACCCATGTGACGACTGCTTCGGTAGGTACTAGAGGGAAGGAGGAGATTGTCTGCGTGGAAACACAATCAGTATTGAACTTCCATGGATGGGTCGTGTTTTCCTTACCTGTGGCGGCCTCTCGTGTCGGAGATCTTTCCCGGCCTGCAGAACCATCCGGTCCAGCTATCTGGATATCAGCAGCCTCCACGTAAGCCTCACTGGGAGACTCATCAATGGACTGAGTCTCCATGCTCGGGGGAAGTGAGGGTAAGGATTTATCCAATTTCGCTCCTGGTTTTCGTGCCGCTGCCGTTGCTTTTTTCTTCCGTCGTCTTTGCATTAAGGACTCATGACAGTCCATACAGAATATCCCCTGCGATGTACGCGCATAGCGTAAGTTTTCGATTTTCCTCTTGCAGTTTCGACACCGGAAGCACTGCGCGCAGAATGCCTGATCACCGGTCAAAATAGCCAAGTCCTCGATCTTGTTGCCGCACGAGTTGCAGCTGTAGGTGCATGAACTACAAATTAGAGAGCCGTCGCCGAGAAGAAGGAGGTGCGCATCGGAGTCTAGGAGACAATTGCAAGTGCTGCATCGGAAGCAGTCGATGTGCCATCTCTGTCCAGCTTTCGAGGGGTTAGAACCGCTATGCGCGAGTGCCAGTGTGGGGAAACATACAAAGCTCGAAAGCTTTCCCTTCCTCTAAAATCTCTCCACAACCCATGCACGGGTATGGGATGTCCTCCTGCTCCATGGGGGAATCCGGGCGGAGGGACGGAGACTCCATTGTGAATCCTCAACTAGACCACCGAGTCGTCACAGTGTCCGGTAAGGCGGGGAGGCGAACGCCGCAGATCAGAAAAGTTGAAGGCGAGTCAAAGTCGCGGACAGGAGCACACGCGTTGCGCGCACATGCGTTCGCAATCCAGTCGAGATAGAGACAGAGCGAATTCGTGAGTTGGCAGATTTGTGGTGGTTGCGCGGGATCGGAGAGGGGGAAATGCGACAGGGGGGGTTTGAGCTAAAACAAAGACGAGTGGCTGAAGCAGGACTTCTGAGGCGTTAACGCAGGGAACCATGATCCGGTATAGACGCGATCCAAGCCACTGGTGTCCTCAGCCTCGGACAGCTGAGCTGAAGGCTAATGGCATAATGACAGGACGGTTCAGGCTGAAATAACCGGAGACCATAATCTCATAGATGAAAGGAATATCACATACCAAGCTACTCTCGCTCACTGTGCCACACACCGTTTCAGGTAGATAGGCGCGGGTGTTGTGACAAGCGCTCCAGGCGAGTAAACTGGGGTGGTTGCCCCTCGCGGGCGATGCTCTGGAGTGTGGATGATTTTGGCGTTGGATATAACGATTGACGATGTAGATAGAATCGATCGTGAAGACGCGCAGGGTATCGAAAGACAAGAACAAAGAAAGCAAAACACGGACAAAATTAAGAAAAAAGAAATGAGGTGTTCAGGTAGGGGGGGTGTGTGGAGGGGGGGAGGAAAGGAGGCCGAGATGAAGTGGCAGCCAAACTCTGGAACGGGAAAGTCACTGCACTTACCATGCACTTCAACACCCTCTTCATTTCCTGTCCTGTTCTGTCCATTTCCTCTTCTTTCTTTTTTTTTTTCACCCCGGTCTACGTGGATACTGAACAACGTGCGGGCCGTGCTGCCCAGGAGCTACGCACGGTCCAATCGGATCTACACAGCCCCTGATATTGCATTCAGTGGGATTTGATCACAGTCCCGGTGGGAGTTCAAACGTGGAGATCGAAAAGTACGAGATGTGTGCACCGAGACACTTGATCTAAAACACAAAGCACTGCCGGGCCCATCATCCATGGACCCGTCTGTCTCAAACACAGTGGCCCCCCAAACCGTTCGTCATCGGATGCTTCAGCCTCCCCCTTCCCCCTGAATGCATTTGCAGCGAAATTGGTGGCAGTTGGCTGTCAGCAGTCAGCAATCAGCCTTGTGGTGATCGCGGGAGTTTGGGGCCCCCTATTATGGCTTTGACTGGTGGCAGATACGCCTAGATATCATTTCCCCTCTGGGCCAGCTCAGCTCAAGCCGTGTTTCAGCATCCTGAAACGCCTGTCGTATCACGTGGAGACCGTGCCCGTGGCTGGTCTAGTAGCCATCCCTGCACGTTCCGATCTGGAGATCGGAATCCCCGAGGTTCCTCGATCTCGGTGTAAGGACGCTCGATCATATATTCCCCCACTTATTGATCTTCCCTCCAAGAATAGGCAGACATCTTTCCAGACATCTATTCTCATTTAAACGATTCTTTGCAAATGACTCATGAAGTTTTACTCGAATCGATGCCCATGACTGCCTAAATTGATTTTGCTAACATCCCCTTGGGTGTCTTGTACACATCTTTGATTCTCACGCAGGATCCCCAATGTTTCAAGCACATCCCGCAAATAACAATCAACCTTAATGCCAGACTACTGCCGAGCAAGCTACCAAATATCCAAAAAAAAAAGAAACCAAAAAGACACTACCAGTTGGGCTATGGACGGCTTGTTTCACAGCCGTGTCCACAAACAATTCCGTCCCGCCTAGAAACTCCAGATTCAGGTCTCTGAAATCCACTTCGTTTCAGACAGACAAAACCCAAGGTGATTTGGAAGCTATTTTGAACCGATCCTTGTCAAACGCCCCGCGACACATGACACGTGACACGCGACACCGATGCGCAGATGATGTTGAATTTCGTAGCGGACTACGGTAAATTTACAATGGAGACTGACATTAGACATTTCATTCGTTACTATCTACAAATAGAGCTGCTTAGTCCTCCGTGAAAGTTCGTGTCCACCGGCCCTCAGGTGAACTCATTCGTATACCGGAATTGGATTCCAAAGCCCAGGGTCTCGGCGTCGATCATAGTTGCAAGCGGGATGCCACGGGCCATCCGCTCTCAAAATAGCATTACATAGACATCTCAGGAGTATATCAGGCGGAGCCCGAGGACTGGAGCCCACATCGCACTAGTAGCTGGGCTTAGCCGCAGATCTCTGCGGGGCCCGCAATTAGCTTGGAAAACTATCACGGCATCCTCCGCCGGGAGTAGTTAGGTGGGCTGGCCGTCCAGGTGCTTCAGCCGGTCGCGGATTGCACGGCTATCGTGACCCTCGTCATCCTCGTATTCCTGGAGAACGATTTTTCGCATGAGTCGGCGAGGAGCGCGGCGGCCGGGTGAAAAGTTCAAATTGAGCGAAGCCTTGCTCAGGAAGAACATCTAGACCGTCCAATGCAACCCATCCGCGGTGGGATAGAGCGCGGATCTGTTTCATCAGGGGCGTGTTCAGGGGTTTATATGCGAGCTGAAGTTTTATGTCAGCTCAGGCTCGTAATGGGACCGAGATGGAACTTACATCGACCACTACGCCTCCCGTTGGGCTTTCCAGCCACTGTGTGGGCACGCTAAAATTAGGTGCTGGGGCTCCGCCAATACTATGGGCTGGGATGCCCGATACGATAACGGTTGGTTGTTTATAGTCGGCCGGCCAAGGCTCATCCAACGAGCTCAGGGTACTGACTCTCGGGCGACCATCGGCGGCCGCTCGTCCGCCGGTGAAGAGATCTTGTCGGTTGTAGTGCTGGGCCAGCTTCTCTGCATTTGCAAGAGTTCGATTGTAGACAAAGATGTTTTGTACGCCCAAGTGAATCATGGAGTAGATGGCGGCCCGAGCCATACCACCAGATCCGATGACAAGGCCGGTGGTTGTAGGACGGACTGCATTTGCGGGTGATAGACCTCGGCGGATACAATTGCAGATTCCAATCCAATCAGTGTTGTCGCCGTGGATGCCCTTGATCGGGCCAGCGCGGCACTTCTGAATGAAGACTGATGATTCTTGGGAGAGCCGGGGATCATTGGAGTCCTCATCGCTTCTGATGGGTATCAGAGTGTTGACGGCACCAATCGCCCGGGCGTGCCGAGACATCGAGTGGAGAAGAGGGATGACTTCAGTCTTGTAGGGCAGACTGACACTGGACCCGCCAAAGAACTGATTTTCGACTAGCTCATTCAGGCCACGGAGGGTAGGTGATTGAAATAGAGAGTATTGATGGGGCATACCACAAAGTTTGAAAGCGGTGTTGTGCATAGCGGGCGACATACTGTAGGTGACATTGGCACCAAAGACAAAGAACTGCATCGGGTCCAGAACAAAGGTACTGTAGAGGGCTTTTTGGGCATCGCGAGCCGTGATGGTAGGAACTAATTGGGTGGGGCTTTCGGTGATGAGGGAGGGATGTGTGACGGGGCTCAAGATAGGGTTGAGACAGCGGGACATACGTCCCAGAGGTCCTGTGTTATAGGCAATTAGAGGTAATCGAGGAGCTGGGAGACTTTCAATGCGGTGTCGGAATCGTTGCACTGCCGCATTATCTTCTAGTGTCTCCGCCGGCTGGCAGAAGCGCACCACGTTGCATCCGAGTTTCTTCGCACGCTCGTACAGCTTCATGTACTCGTCTCCGTCCCAGCCGCCAGCGATGGGATGGAAGGTTTCAAAGTGTCCAATAATTTTAGTCGTGCCTCTGACGCTGACAACTTGAGAGATGATATTGTCATCACGGGTCAAATCCACCGTGAGGAAACTGGGGGCAAGTCGCAATCCGTGTCGGAGCAAATTCAAGTAGGATTCATCTGTAGTCCGCGATGCCGGAGCAGGCGAGCGAGATCCTCGAGGTGTAATGTAGCTTTCAACGTGGTACATCAGAGGCACAATGATGTTGCGCCGAAGCGTAGACACTACCTGACTGATGCGGTCTGCCAGATTCGAGTCAGCACCCAAATCTGAAGGACTGGCCACGTCAATCGTCAGCTCGAATGCATCAACAATGAATTCGAGCTCTTCAATATCCAAGTCTTTCTCACAAAGCACAGAGAATGGGACCGAAATGGCTGACGTGAATCGCCCCATTTCCACAGGCAGCAACGATAATGGGAATGAGGCATGTTGACGGCTGAGCTCGGTGCTATCACCAATGACAAAAGCAATGAATCTTAGAAAATCTCGCTGAACACGCTTCAATGTCAAAAATGGCGTGGGCGTTTGAGATCTCTGGTCCCTGGGCCCGGGCGAAGGCTCGTGGCCATCCTTGGAAATGGCTTCGCGGTCAGCGGTCTCAGAGAGATTGAAGAACTCAAGGTTCGAGCAGCTTCGATAGATAGGTCCAGACAACTCTAAAAAGTGGCGCACTTTTTGCGTATCCCAGGCTTTGAGGTACGATTGAATGCTCTCGGGGTCGCGGATAACGTGGATAACCGGATGCGTTTGCGCAAATTTTCGGAGGAGTTGCTGGCCACTGCGTTCCATGGACCCAGCTCCACATGCAATCACGCAATCTTCCTGGTGGTCAGATAACATGGAGTCAAATATCCGCGCTTCCTGTTGTCGGTACACGGCGTGGTCATTGTCTTTCTTGAATGCAGCACGAGAGCAGCCGGTCATTTGGTGGAAGTATCGGTCAGCATCGATGAGCCGCCGACCAGTCGCTGCGGCCAAGATCACTGCTAAGCTAGATTTCCCAGTTCCACGGATTCCAATGAGCACAATAGACGCCTTGGGGCTGAACTGGCGCGGAGTGTGTAGAGGTCCATGGTCATAAGGTACCGGTGATGCACGGTTGGAGTGCAGCTCTCGCAAGGATGCTGATGATATATGAGAGTCTTCTGCCTCTCCCTGCTCACTGGTCCGACGAGACACAGGAAGCGATCGAAATCCGGGAGACCATGTCGAAACCGCGCTATGTTTCCGAGGGCCCTCGTCTGGTTCCTGCAATTTGCGCTTAGGGGGGCCGCACCAAGATAGACATGATGTCACAGACGTTACACCGATGTAGACTTGAAGGCCATAGCAACAAACGTTAAAAGGGAAGAGATGTCGACTGTGGGAGGTGTGGGATGTGGGTGGGATATGGAGACAGGTCTAAAAGAAGCTAAGGATGATAAATTAGGTAAAGGCGGAGGAATCCTAGACTTTGCGGGGAGACGGCAAAAGTTTTCTATTACACGCGTAACCGTAATATTACAGGCGCGGACAAGCGCTCTGCCGGCAGTGTGGTTTCCCCGCGGGGTACCTGTCCGCCTATGCACGCGCCCGTCAACACTCACGAGCCGGGAGTCAAGGGGGGGAAAAAAGGCAAGGCTAGTGGATCTAGTTCTTATTACGCGATTGTCCTACTAGCTTGGTCCTATTCACAAGTAGTCGTGGTGTGTCTTGTCAGCAACGACCCCATATTAAAATTTGCGTTACGGCGAGTGGCTCACCGCTAGCGGGTATCCGGTGTCCTTCCCCGGAACGAGAATCTTGTCCGCGTCGCGCCCTAGCACCACCTAGCGACCTCGGTTGCGCAGTCTTCTCTCTCTGTGCGAACCCTTCGTTCATTCATCCGACACCTCTATCACACAAAGCAGCCGCACGGTCCTTCTCTGCAGTGGGGCTAGATATTCATGGCGTAGGATACTCGTGCCTATGCTTTGTCGGCAAAAGATTCATCTCCCGTACGACTGAGTTGCAGGAACATGCGCCTCGAACCGCCAAGTGGATCACCGATTGAAGCAACATGAGCTCCGAGTCTCGCCAAGGATCTGGCATAGGCGGAAAATCCAAACGTCGATGGACAGACCCTGACGATGATGGCAAGTCCAATCCGCCGGACGATCTGTCGGCCCAACCCAAGCGACAGCGTGTCTCCCGGGCATGCGACAGCTGTCGCTCCAAAAAGGATAAATGTGACGGGATGCAACCCGTGTGTTCGACATGTGCATCACTGAGCCGACCCTGCACGTACAAGGCCAACCCCAAGAAACGCGGTCTTCCGACAGGCTACATACGATCACTTGAGTTGCTGTGGGGGTTGGTGTTCCAGAAGATTCAAAACAGTGAAGAAGTGATGCGTGCCTTGATAAGATCTATCAATCTCCCGAGTCACCTGGCCACGATGGGCAAAGAAGCCGAAGGATCGGACACGCTGCTGTCTTCTTTTAAGAACAGCACGGTATTGAGAGATATCGAGCGGATTTTGGTTGTTCTAGAACAACCCGAAGAGGAGAGAGAGCGTCTTCTTCAAGCATATCGTGAAGGAGACACACCTCTCGATATTGATGGCATTCTTGCTTCCTCCGAGGCCTTAGAATGGCAAATCCCGGAAGGACTAGAACGGCGTGAAACTCCACTCACGGCGGGCATGTCACCCTCCCGTGCATCGATGATCGGCTCGGCTCCAAGATCTGGGTACTGCACAAAGGAATGCGGTGTTCAAACGTCAACAGTGGACGATTTCGACTCCTCACTTGCCATTGCTTTCGACCCCGGCGACTCCCGAATGATTTCAACCAGCTCTCCCCTTCAACTCCCTTATAATGCATGGCCGCTTCTTGACATCTATTTTTCATATACTCAATGCTGGTTTCCAATCCTCGAGAAACACGATATACTCCGAACGGCATTCCAATACACCGAGGGCGATGTGTACATGTCTCGTACTGCACCTGGTTCTGGTGATCATGCCGCCCTATGGGCTGTATTGACTCTTGCCTCTCTTCAAGACGCTTCCATCGAGCCGGCGGGGGACATGGACGCTCATTCCAACAAATCTAATCCGTCACAGTTATACAACACCGCGAGGAATCTAATCCCTTCAGAGGTTGGCCCATATGAAGTCGGACACGTCCAGGCCTTGTTGATTTTGTCTTTGATAAAATTTGGACAGCAAGAATGGACTGCGGCCTGGATGCTTGTCGGGCATGCAGTCCGTATTGCTCTCACCCTCGGCCTTGATCAGTTGTCGTTTTCGGGTACACCGTTGAGGTCTTCCGAACAAGAGAAACAGGTGGGACGAGCCAAGCATGTGTTTCTGGGTTGCTTTGTCCTTGAAACGCTCATTGCCGAGCAGACATCACACTGCCCATCGCTTCGAAAAGACGACTTGTCCAGGGTGGGTCTCATCAATGAAGACGGACTGGAGGAGTGGCATCCATGGGAAGATCAGACAGGGCTGCGGCCGACGCAGTCAGCCAGGAGTTCCATGCAACGTGGGCCGCTTCATGCGCTTAGTACCTTTAATCGACTTGTTTCTTTGGTTTCCATTTTGAACGATCTCTGCTTCTTGAAGCAAGACCCAATGGTTTCTCGAGCGCAGTTGGAGTCCTTGGAGGTACAATTACAACGTTGGGCTTCGGCCCTTCCAAAGAGCTATCGGATTGACTTGCAAAGCCGTCCCATTAGGCTAGGCTCACCTCATATCTTCGGACTTGAAATGACATACCAAGGCATCGCCTCCGTGTTAAGTCTACAGGTCGCAGCCCGTGAAAACGACCAGACTATCCCGGAAATGCCCCACAGAACCCCTGCTATTGAGAGTGCAAAACGGCTTTTACAGCTGCTCCAGACATACATGGAAACCTACGAGTTTTTCTGCGACCGTTCCGACGTTTGGTATGATGCTCAGATACTGTCTACCACGGTTTTCTCCGCGGGATGCTGTATCAGACATTGAACTGGGTGTTCGGAACAAGATACAGGCCTTCTCCTCCCACCTTGGGCAGCTCTGGTCTATGCCAGATGGGCCAATTACGTCACAGTACGCGTTTCAGCGGAATGTGGGAGCAGCTGCCACTCCAATGTCATTACAGCCACCAGACATAACCCCGGTTGAGGACCAGACCATGCAGCCTCTAATGCCGGCAACAACAGATCGTCGACCTCCAGCAGAGGGCCACCACCTTCCGAACACTTCACATCCCACAATATCCGGCCCATTCCACTCCTCGGCGTGGCTCAGAGCCCCTCCCAATATCGAGGATGGCTCTGTCTTACTACAAACACCCACCCCATCTATGACCACCGTCGGTGGTACCTCTGAAGTTTCAGCACAGCCAAGTCAACTAGACAACGACATATCTGGCGGTCTTCGCCAGTCTATATCGGCTCCCTCAAAACCCCACAATGGGTCCGGTATCCTTTCCGAACTCGCCCCCCAATTTCCCGGAGGGCGATATCTCCAAGCGTTTCATGACCCTTCTCTCGGACTCGGTCCCTTTGTCGATATGGATGGGTACGGGCAGCCGCGACAACAGCAGCGGATTGCTCCCGACCTGGACGCCTTGTTTGACGAGCTGGCGTCGTTGGACGGCGCTGAAAAGTGCGTGTACCTCTTTCCTTGTTGATCAAACCAATTCTGACCTCAATCTCTAGGGCCGATAACTCATCCGAGTTCATGCAAAACCTCGGATTTATCTCTGACTCTGGCGTACCGGAAGTATACTCATTCTCGAGTCAAATTGAACCCTTCCTGTTGGCACAAACGCAGCAAGTGCCGGGAAGCCAACCTCCTGGTGCACGGAGAGTGTCACAGTCTCTTGGCATATCAGGGACACTGAAACGATGAGATCGTCAAGTTGTGAACTGCTGCTAATTGACGTGAAGCTTTGTCTCTCGAGGTCTTTAGCCGCGGGTCGGCGCCTCATGTTGAGTGGCTTGTCTGAAGACCCAAATATCATCCGCGTACTAGTTTGAGGTATAGATGGCTCTGCATACGCTCTACGAATCCTCCATATCATATCACAACTGCCACATACTGTTACCTTGATGGAACCTCCAAATGTACGACTTCATAATGTATTCATTTAGCCTCATGTGACCCGAGGTCCGTCAACTATGATTCAGTTGAACAAAAGAACAGACAACGATTTTCAAGTAGCTGGTCAACATCTATCCTCTAACCTCAGTGCAGTCGCACCGCAGCATTTGGCTCAAATTCGGAGCAAATGACTTTGCCTGAAAGAGTTCACCCCGACATTGGACAATTTGAGTGATCTGGTTGTTCATACGTCGCAATCCAAGCCGGCTGCAACCATGTGTAGGTGGTCTTTCTCTTGCTCCCAGGGACTGAGAAAAGTGACTGCGTTGATCAGATCTGGATGTGTTGGGGTCGTCTCCTCAAGCTCAGTCAATCTGCAGCGGCAACAAGGCCCCGAGTGCGCCATGATGAACCGTGAGATAGAGCGAGAATCTGTCGTTTTCGCTGTGTCATCCACTAAAGCTGATTAGTTCTCAATGAGTGGCTCATCCCAAAGTCCCAATGCCTGCGCTCCTTTCTGGGGACGGAAGAGTGCTGGGAACGCAGAAGCCGGAGTCGATTCGCTCATGGATTGAGGGCAAATAGAAGGAGCGAAACTGGATTCAACGAGAATGAGGGGGCGCACTGAACCGTTGAGAATGAGACTATTGGAAAGAGGGTAATAGTGAGACGCTACACGGCACCGACGATTATTCCCATCTTGTCTGTACTGATGGCTTGCGATCGGGCGTGACGGCTCAATTACTGCAGACTGAATCAGTTCAGCCTCTCACTCAGCCTCTCTGATAGGGTATTGGCATTTTGGACCGAGATTCCGTTCCCCTACAGTAATGCAGCCCGAGAGGATCTACACTCAAAGCCCCCATCGACTACGTCGACCCATATATTTCGAGGCGAAGCAAGCTTATTCGGGGGTCTTGTTCGGTTAAGCCTCGAATCAAAGGTTGTGCACAAGTCCTCAGGAAACAGGGTCTTAGCCTCTGCTACGACGCACCAGATGGTGGCATTATGAGGGCCACGAGCCGCGGGTCTCTCTCTTCGCAAGGGTGTTTGGGGCAAAGAAGGGGAGAGCTTTTCGGCCCTGATGCACTAGAGGGTCTGCGAGACCCATCTGAATTGCAAGTTACGATGCCTTCAAAGCCCTACAATGGACATTCTCGGAATGAAGCGTCGAAGATCTTGGAGGCTCCAGCAAACGAACCAAGACGGGTCTTCGAACTGTAGTGACAAACATTTGCCTCTTCTAAGGTTGAATAATAACAAATACATTAATCAGCGTGACCGAAAAATATCAGAAAACCTTCATAGACATGAGTTGAAAATCAGCACCGCGCGCCATGTTTCAATTCCCAATTTAACCCTAAGTTGGTGAATATAGGACTTCTAAATTTTTATCATTGCAGGCTCTAAGTAGATAAGAAAAAGGACCAAGATAGAACGGCATAAGTAGATTATTTTTGACGATGCCGGCAACGCAAGCTAAGACAACTGATCGTCCGGAGTATACCCTTCTCCCATTCACGTCCGCAGAGGCCCCATCGAAGGTTATATCCCCCAAATCATCGTGGCCAGAATTCCTACTTCTCTCCTGAATAACTGTCCGCCTTGAAAGCAGAGGCTTCACCAGCAAACACCACTGAGCCTTCAGATCAGAAGTGGATCTCGACCAATGACGCTCTTTCCGCACAACTATGGCGGACAGTAATGGCCGTGCAGTGGCCTCTGGAAAATCAAGATGGTGACCTCATCTCAACTTTCAACATCGCCATCGATGGACGACAGCGAACAGATCCGAAAGTCTACCCTCATACAATGGGATGCTTTCTAGAATACGTCGCCATCAAAGCCCTCGTCCGAAAGATGCTCGAACATCTCAACATAGCCGATCTCGCAGGTTTTTTCCGCAAGGCAATCCACAAAGCTGACAAACGATCCATGGATGATGTCGCAACTCTCATCAAGAAGACTGAAGATGTCGACCGATTGCTTCCTACTGCTTTCTTGGATGTCCCTAGCTTCAACTGCGTGCAGACTTCGTTGTTGAGATTTGAGCTTTACGGTATTGATTGGGGATCACTGCTGGGACAGAATATTGATGCCATGCGAGTGCCTCATGTTGGTACTATCAATGGCCTTCAGGTCGTGCTTCCTGTGTTGCCGAGTGGTGGAACGGAGGTCATGGTTGGAGTGGAAAAGAGTTTGTTGGAAAGGCTCTTGAATGATCATCCCCTGTTCACCAAAAATGGAGCCGCTCGATAGTCCATTATGATGCGACGAGATTTGACTAATAGCACAACCCAGAATCTTACTCAGTGTTTTGAACTTAGAGGCTGTTACCGCCTTATGATCCTGAATGAGGCTCGCCCAGGTGTTTTATGGAGAAGTCTCGAGATTCATACAGAAGATGTGATGTTTGACAATGCATCCCAAACTGTCGAGAACTTGGTGTTCGCGATCGCAAAATTTGTACCGACAGGGTTTTCGGATGTGATGATATATATCCCGGCGTTGACCTAAGACAAGACCTGCAGTGAAATTTTCTCACTCCAGCAAACCCTCATAAATGAATAAACTGCTCTATACATGAACAAAAAGTAAATTCATTAATGATTTGATAAGGAACAACTTATCATAATGTCGACGTATTAATGAATGGACTCCACGCGTCTGAATCACATTGCAAAGTCTCTTTACTAAGTTGGGCAAGCCACTTAGGGTTTCGGGAAACTAATTAAGCCCAGGAAAAGCAAACTTTGGTCCTGTGTTCTAGTGGTCAGGAAGTCGGATTTTGACTAAGCACTAATGCTCTCACATTCCGAAAGCCCCGGTTCGAACCCGGGCAGGACCTACTTTTTGAATGCTGACCTCTTTTTTTTTTTCCAACGAATTCTTCTTTGGAGAGAGCGTCGACTGTTCACCACTAAATCAGGTTGCAATTAAATCATAATAAGTCATTACATGGACTAGTAATAATTTTCCCAGGTTGTATAAACGCCTCGCCGGTGGCCAGCGCGTCAAGTATGAAGCAAAATCAATCAATCCTTTTCTATATACTACAGGCCAAGTATATACAAGAATCAGGATCATGACCCAGTAAACCCATAATGCAAAAACAAATCTCATTACAGCACAGCCTTATTCTCCTTCTCCAACTCCTTGAAATTCAACGCCACATGCTCAACAGCAACCTTATACCCGTGAACACCAAGTCCAACAATTATACCTGCCGCCTTATCACTGAAGTACGAGTGATGTCTCCAAGGCTCGCGGGCATGAACGTTGCTCACATGCAGCTCGATAAAAGGAATGGCAACACCTAGCAGCGCATCGCGGATGGCCACAGAGGTATGCGTGTAGGCGCCGGGGTTGATCACGATTCCGTCGACCTTGCCGCGCGCGGCTTGGATACGGTCGACGATTGCGCCCTCGTGATTTGACTGAAAGGCATCGAAAGTGCAGTCATGGCTGGCGGCAACGGCGCGGCAGTTGGATTCCACATCGGAGAGGGTTGTGCTGCCGTAGATGTGGGGTTCACGGGTGCCTAGGAGGTTGAGGTTCGGGCCGTTGATGAGGAGGATTGATTTGACCATTTTGATTTCAATTTTGATTTGGAGAGTTGGTTTTAAAATCAGGACGTGTTGAAGTTGGTTGAAGTATTGTATTAAGAGTCTCGGTGATATATATCAGTGATGTGATTCGCGCGCTGTTCTCTCCGCATTTGGCCTCTCGGCGGCTGAGCGCTTTCCCGAGTGGGGGTCTGTGGGAAGCCCGGGTATTGCGGATGGGATATCTGGATTTTTACTGCAATTCGCTTGGTACCGACTTGCTCTTTGTAGAATTCCGTTTTTGTTAGGCCTTCTATCGACCCGAGGGAGTCTGTGATGAGATTCACTTGGTACGGCACTTCGTGGGGGTATCCCGCGCATGTGATGATATTTGGTATGTGAAGCGTCCAGCTGAACAGACCCTCCCTACATCGTACTACCTTATGAAAATTGAGGGAAAGAGATGAATCAACTCTTCGAGTGAAGATTAAGGTATGTGAGTGGCTGAAACAAAAAGGAAAGGTCGTCGACCCTCAGAGAAGTACAGTTACATGAAAACAAAGCTACCAAGCTAAAGTGAAGTCCCGGCCGCCTGAATTGTTGAAGGCTATTCAATAAGCTTACTCGGTATATTTATGATGATCTATAGTCTAGTGTATTCGGTGTTTGGATGCTCGTTGTAGCTGCTGGCGGTTTAGTGCGAATCTGTCCTGAATCGACGTAGGCATCAGAACTATGATTTTGACTGAATTTAAGCTACGTCGACAAGTAACACGAGCCTCACACGGACTCTAGTGACCTTGAACGCATAATTAATACGTGGAGCCACTTCTCTATGTAAAAGCAGGCCCGGCATCTGCTGGTAAATAGCCTGGTGGGAACCCCGCATTTCTTTCTCCGCAATATTCCTTCAAAATTTCACGTTCATTCTCTTCAAGGATCCCAAATATTGCAAAGTACTATCCGGAATTTGAAGTTCTTCCCATACATTAATGCAACATAGTAGCATGTAGGCTCAATGGTCGACACATGGCTGAACATAAATATCCGATCGAAGTCTCCACAAGTGGGGAAGCCGATAAGCCAAATCGGCTACCGGCGGTGACCTCGACCTCTGTTCACCGGGCAGGTGACTCAAAATCCGGTCAATCTCTCTACTTTCTCTCAGTCCTCTTGAAACAGTCTTGAAAAGACCTCCTACCATCGTCTCATTATCACTACAGAAGCAACATTCCACCACAATCGTCCCACCATGGCCGCGGGACAGCTCTCGCAGAAGGAGCTCGATGAGATATACGCATTCGCCATCGACCTCGGCCGCAAGGCTGGAAAACTCTTGATGGAGCATGTAGATCGGCGCATTTCCGGCAGTCAAGGGCACTCGCAGAAGTTCGAGGAGAAGGACAACTCGGTTGACATTGTGACCCAGACAGATGAGGGTAAGCAGTGGAGCAGCCCTAACACCATCTATCCAAAGGCTCACGGAATCTGCCAGATGTCGAACAATTTATCTCCAACGCCCTCAAGAGCAAATACCCGAATCACAAGTTTGTCCGCTTTCTCCCTATAACAGGCGCGCACTCACAAAATCAGATTCCTCGGCGAAGAGACCTACGCTAAAGGCGAGTCCCGCGACTACTTGATCGACGAACAGCCAACATGGTGCATTGATCCTTTAGACGGTCCGTCTCCCGACACCCAAGTTTGATCACATTCTAATCGAAAAAGGCACTGTCAATTACACGCATCTCTTCCCTATGTTCTGCGTTTCTATCGGCTTCATCGTCAACCACCGCCCTGTCATTGGCGTAATCTACCAGCCCTTCCAAGACCAGCTCTTTTCCGCCTGTAGCGGCCGTGGCGCCTGGCTGAATGAGACTCACCAGCTTCCGCTCATTCGCAACCCGTCTATCCCGCCTATGCCGCCTAATGCGCCTGCACAGTGTATTTTCTCATGTGAGTGGGGCAAGGATCGTAGGGATATTCCCGATGGGAACTTAAGCCGCAAGATTGAGAGTTTTGTGAATCTTGCTTCAGAGCTGGGTTCGCGTGGTGGAAAGGGCGGCATGGTACATGGCGTAAGGAGTTTGGGCAGTGCGACGCTTGATTTGGCATATACGGCTATGGGATCATTTGACATTTGGTGGGAGGGTGGTTGTTGGGAGTGGTGAGTTTGCTTCTTTTCCTTCTTATCTTGTTTTTGATAAGTGAGTTGACTTTACTGACCATGATGCCTTCAATAGGGATGTCGCTGCTGGTGTCGCAATTCTCCTCGAAGCTGGTGGGCTTGTGACTACTGCTAATCCACCTGAGAACATTGAAACCGATGCCATTGAAGATGTGCGCCTTGGGAGCCGATTATATTTGGCCATTAGGTGAGTTAATCCATATAGTCTCAAACACCTCTTGTAAAAATCGACTAACTCGATTCTAGACCCGCGGGACCCTCGGAAACCGAGACTGGTCGCGAGTCGCAGGAACGCACGGTCCGCGAAGTCTGGCGGCGGGTTCGCCAGCTGGAATACTCGCGACCCGGCGCATAAGAAGGGAAAGCTTCACGGAAATTGATCGAGTCAAGACTATACATTCGGAAAGCATTTTTTTGAAATATAATCATCACATGCAGCCAGACGTCCCCATAGATAACAGTGGAAAAGATTCCACGACGCCAACCATCTAATGCAAGAATCTAGCTCTGTACAATCGTAACATGACATTATAAAACACAGCAAAGCCCAGACGAAAATGAAAATGAAAATGAAACATCAAAGGTTGGACATCTTAGCCGAGCGCTCAGCGACCGACCCATTCACAACATCTTTCACAGCCTGCACAAGGCCAGGTGTGCCGACAACATCCTGACCTGTCCACAAACGTGCCTGCTCCAGACCCTGCCAGATCAAAGCCTCCGATCCAAGGATCACTTTCCAGCCCGCAGCACTTGCCAGCTGCGCAATCTCGGTCCAGGGGACAGGGTGATAGCACATCTCCAAAATAACACCCCGCTGCTGTGGCGCATCAGCCGCATTACCCAGGAACGCCTGGATGATGGCGCGGGCGTTCAACTCCTCGGGGGTCTTGGGCGGGTAGTTGGGGATACCCGAGACGATGGCAGCTGGGGCCTCAAGGCGCGCCGCCTCCTCAGGATCAGTGACATGAATCAGGGGAGCCTGATCATTGGGATCTGGGTTACGTTGACGGTCCTCCTCGAGGATAGTAGCTACCTCAGCGGCATCACGGTTGACGATGTAGATCTTGCTTGAGCCGAGCCAGCGGCGCATAACATAGATGGCGGTACGGGCGGTGCCCCCGCCTCCGATGATGAGCGCGGGCCGGCCGCGGAAGCGCTCCGGGTCAGGCGCGTTTTGGGTAAGCGCTTCGCGGATTCCATCGCAGTCGGTGTTTGTGCCGACGTACTCGGTTTCGCCGGCGGCATTCTTACGCAGGAAGATGGTGTTGCAGGCACCGGCTTGGCGGGCGTGCTCGGTCAGATCGTCCAGGTGAGGCATGATGGCGACCTTATGAGGCATTGTGACGGAAGAGCCGACGAACTTGGGGTTGGACTTGATCGAGGCCAGATACTTTTCAATCGGTGGAGACATTGTGTAGGGTGGAGGGTAAGTGGCTGATGTGCCTGTCACGCTGGACAGGGGGATCTGGGTCCAGTTGAGGCCCAATGCATTGTAGACTGTTTTGTGTAGAGGGGGGGAAAGGGAGTTCAGGAGTGGGTGGCCGTACAGATAGGCGACGCCGTCGAGGTTCTCCGGAACAGTGATGGGCTCCTCAGGCCGGGTGGCTGCGACTTGGGGTGCGGCCATTGTAGGATTTATTTTCTTTGTAAGATAATTGAGGAGCCCGTCGAGGAGGGGGGTTAGTGATATATGATAAAATCACAGAGGGGCCGGGGCGCGTGGGGACCAATGAAGCTATTTTCAGGATTTCTTACGTCGTAAAGGTAGAGCCGCGGGGCGGAGAAACACTTTCCTCCCAGCGCTTTTCCCTTCTCCCACTTCCCATACAGTACACCCACTCCCCAGGCTATGACCCTCGGCTAGCCTTCGAAATACCGTAGCTCAAGCACATAATGCTGACGAGGAGCTGAATGACATATATGACATCTACCATCGCTGGTTGAAACACCAAGCACAGATATTAAGTTCACCCGGGCAGAATGCTTTCCCCGAGTCATCACCACCACCTCCCACCTTTCCTTTACGAGGAAAATCCTCGTGGAAAGTCAAGTTCACAATGACTAATGAATCAACATATGTTACCATGGCCGAAAATTCACCACAAGAAGAGTTTCTAGACGGATGGCTAAGGCGAGGCGTATTTGGCAATGGCCCGGGGATCGCTTTTCCCCCCCCCTCAACATGACCAGTCATTGGTAGCCCACGAGACGAGTACTCGCGTGGATCCATCGAATCCGGCGAATCCGACAAAAGGTAATTCTCCAGCCAAGTTGAACTGGAACGTGCATCTGGTAAGCATTTGCCCCCCCCCCCGGGGTACCCCATATCGACCCACATGTAGAGTGTGTCTGAGTTGGGGTGTACACTTCCTCCACAGCGGCATCGGCCCTCCCCACACTCGGGACTCAGGCCACCCACATGGGCTCTTTTAGCGTCTGTTAGCCTCTTTCGGTCTGGACCCAAGCCTCGTTTTGCACGAGAAAAAAAATGAGAGTTCGCCATTCCTTCCTTTCCTTGGGGCCAAGGGCTTGTTATCCTTTGCGCACAGTTTCTAGCCGACGAAAGTTTATATCGTTTTGCCGGAGCTTGGTCTTTGCTCTTGTTAAAGTATAATCGCGCTATACCTTTCTCCGCCTTGCAGTTCCACGATTTTTCTTGCCCCCCCTGACCTTAACCCCAGATTCTTCGCTTATCCCCCCAGCTCCATCCAGTCTGGGGTTTCGGACTATTTAGAGCCCTTAGGCCCCCGGATGGTAGATCTTTTTTTTCTACTCCATCGTTCATCTTACCCCGGGCTTCTCAATCTCCACCCCTTCGCCACACAGTGGTGACTATCCCTTCGAGGGAGATCTGAAAACCTGTGCCCGCTGCTTTGCGCTTGAGGTGACAGGTCAAGTGCTATCACCCCGCCAATCTTCTTTTTGTTCTCTTCTTTTATCTATACACACCTGATATCCCTCCCATAATGTCGATTCTCAAGCTGGTCGAGGACCGCCCGACGCCCAAGTCCGTGTATAACTGGAGAGTCTATCTCCTGGCGGCCGTCGCCTCATGCACATCATGCATGATCGGCTATGACAGTGCCTTCATCGGCACAACCCTTGCCCTAGACTCGTTCAAGGACGAGTTCCATTTCAACAACATGTCCACCCCTGCCAAAAACCTCCTCAGCGCCAACATTGTTTCCCTTTACCAGGCCGGTGCCTTCTTCGGTGCTTTCTTCGCGTATCCCATTGGTCACTTCTGGGGCCGCAGAATTGGTTTGATGGCTTCTGCTTTGGTTTTCATTCTCGGTGCTGGCCTCATGCTTGGTGCGAATGGTGACCGCGGTCTTGGCCTGATCTACGGTGGACGTGTCTTGGCTGGTCTGGGTGTCGGTGCCGGGTCCAACTTGACTCCTATCTACATCTCTGAACTGGCACCCCCGGCTATTCGTGGTCGCTTGGTCGGTGTCTATGAACTTGGCTGGCAAATTGGTGGCTTGGTTGGCTTCTGGATTAATGTATGTTACCTCTGTCCTTCTCGCCTTTTTCGACTACATGACTCATGCTAATTTGTGGTGACAGTACGGCGTTGATTCTACTATGGCCCCGAGCCACAAGCAATGGTTGATTCCCTTCGCGATCCAGTTGATCCCCGCTGGCCTGTTGGTCATAGGATGCGTTTTCATCAAGGAGTCGCCTCGTTGGTTGTTCGGACGTGGTCGCCGCGCGGAGGCCATTAAGAACCTCTGCTGGATGCGTCAATTGAACGAGAATGACATTTACATGATTGAGGAGATCGGTGCTATCGACCAAGCTCTCGAGGAGCAGCGTACGACGATCGGTATCGGATTCTGGAAGCCCTTCAAGGCTGCCGGCACCAACAAACGTGTTATGTGGCGTCTCTTCCTCGGAAGTGCCATGTTCTTCTGGCAGAATGGCTCTGGTATCAACGCTATCAACTACTACTCCCCGACCGTGTTCAAGGTGAGTCACCCTCATCATTTTCACATTGGCACAGCACTAACAACTTCAACAGTCCATTGGTGTCACCGGTGGTAACACAAGTCTCCTGACTACTGGTATTTTCGGCGTTGTCAAGACCGTCGTCACCTTCGTCTGGCTCCTCTGGCTGATCGATCGAGTCGGCCGTCGCAACTTGCTTCTCATCGGTGCCCTCGGTGGCTCCGTCTGCCTCTGGATCGTCGGCGCCTACATCAAGCTCGCCCAGCCTGCCCTCCACCCCAAGACCTCCATGGACGGTGGCGGTATCGCCGCCATGTTCTTTTTCTACCTCTGGACCGTCTTCTATACTCCCACTTGGAATGGCACCCCGTGGGTCCTCAACTCCGTAAGTTCTCCGCTCCTTCACTTCGGGCAAGAATAAGCGAGAACCCAAGACTAACAATCCCACAGGAAATGTTTGACCCCAACATGCGATCCCTCGCACAGGCCTGCGCCGCCGCCTCAAACTGGCTGTGGAACTTCCTCATCTCTCGCTTCACACCTCAGATGTTCACTACCATGGGATACGGCGTTTACTTCTTCTTTGCGTCGCTGATGATTTGCTCCTTCGTCTTTGTTTACTTCCTCATTCCCGAGACAAAGGGCGTGCCCCTCGAGAGCATGGATCAACTCTTTGAGATCAAGCCTGTGTGGCGCGCGCATCCTACCATTGTGGCGAAGCTGCGCGAAGACGAGGAGCGCTTCCGTCATGATATCGAGGAGTCGGGTTATGCGAACAAGGTCGATACCGAGCAAGTCGAGGATACGGCTAAGTTTGCGTGATGACCTGGCGTTGTAATATTGTGTCGTTTTTGGTGAATGCTCTCGGTCCGCAATATAGAGCCGTTAGAGACGAAAGTTGAATATAAGCTAGGTTGATCCTGGTAATGATATAAATAGTTCCGAATGTCTATGATTTGACGATTATTCCAACATTGCTCCAAGAAGATTGTAGTCCAACATCAAAGACCAAGGATAGACATAGACACAAGTCGGATTCCTGGCGCATAAAATTTAGTGATCGAACGGGCGGGAAGAGGCAAATACGTCAAAGGTTGGATGTATGACAGGGAACGATATCTTGTACATTCACCATATGGTGCGTTCAACGGCTTGTAAACGCGATGTACATTTTTTTCATTTTCCAATGAGATAGCATGTATTCGTGTGTCTTTTGAAGTCAGACTAGCACCTACGTACGGCGCTGCCATTCAATATCTCCTTCAGTTTTTTTTTCTGTTCCCTTCTTGCCCCTGTTGATTCGGTCCAAAAGACATCACGACGACGGAGTCGTTCAGTCTCAACATTCATTAGAATACGCGACCTGATATTCCTGGTCTTGTTGCTCGCACTGTTGCCATGGCTCATGCAAATTTGATGTGGTTCCACAAAAGGCAGCAGTTCGGTGTTGTGTATGTTCCCGCGTACATGTTGCATGGTATTCGGAATGCCGCAACGCTGGCGCAGAAGCGGACGCTTTGTGGCGAGCCTAAGGCGCTATATTTGCACTCGGAATCTTCTGCACAAGTACCAATTTTCTTGCTCACTATGTCAATGCCCCTTGATTGACGGTTTTCGTACAAGTGGTGATCACTCTGGTATAGTGGATTCAGAGTCGACATTTGCTGCTCTGTTATTCGCAGAAAATCTATCATTTCTCTGTATTTACCTACTGAGAATCTTGAAGTATCTGATTTCTCGTTACCCAATGATTGCTGGCGCTACAGGTGTAGATATCATCCCTTTTCACCTGGACGTTTCGCCATGTTTCATTGTAGTGCCAGTCTAGAGTAATGAGATTCAAGTCTTACAAAATGACTGGATCCTGATGAAAAAGCTTTGGAAATACACAATCGTACACGGCTTTTCAATTTCGCGGGCACCATCTCACGTGGATAGCTTCCGGCTGTTTTATGTGCAATGTAAGCTGAGATCGACTATTTTGCAACTCCCTCAATCCCTCCGCTCGGGCTTCTTCATGACTCACGCCCGGCCGTGGTACGATTTGCACCGACGCCCGACGCAGTAGAGTAACGAGGACGGCTAAGATCTCGATTTGGGAGAATTTCCTCCCCGGGCATGCTCGAGGACCTTCGGCCCATGCGAAAAGATGATTGACTTTATCACTAGCGATTCCCTTGTCACTCAGCCATCGATCTGGCTTCCATGAGGAAGCGTCCGAGCCCCAGTAATTTGGATTTCTGTGTAGTGCTGGCGTGAGGATGTTAATAAGAGTATTTGCCGGTATCAATATTTTTGATCCATCGACGTGGGTAATGGCCTGGTCTTGATCTGGAGATGTCTTTCGAAGAAGGTCCACGACCGGGCCATAGAGTCGGAGAGTTTCATACTGGAGGTTCCGTTAAAGTCCTTCATGCATTGAACATGACTGGGAATGGCTTACTATGATTGCTCTCAGCCTAGTTAGCTGATGAAATACATCCTTGTAGGGGATCTCATCATTCGATGGCAGACCAGAGAATATCTCGTCGATTTCTTGGACCACCCATTGTTGCCACTCGGGAAAAATCGCCAGAAGATAAATGATGTAGACAAGTGTATTAGCGGTTGTCTCGTGGCCAGCGAACATGAAAAGAAACAGATTGCTTTCTATTTCCTCGTTCAATAGCATATGGGCATCGGCTGAGTTTAGCATGGAAGAGAGAAGATCTATTTTTGATGACGGCTGGTGTCTTCGGTATTCCACCAAGTTTTTGATGATTGATTTGGCCCCTTGATAGCTTGCATGAAAGGGGGCATGAGGATCTTGTCCACCTTTGCAAGCCTTGGAATTCCTCGTAAGCATGTTGAAGAAAGATTCAAGATGCTCTTTGGCTATATCGGTAACTGGACTGGCTGCATCGGCGCCGTTATTGTCTTCGCCCATCCCTAAGCAGGCTTTCAAAAGAATGGCAAAGCTTGACCGTCTCATGTCACGATGAGTACTGGAGACATAATCTTGGGAACATGAAATGCCTCAATGCGTCGGATGCTTCAGAACATGATGTCATCCACACTGCTTCGTGGATTGTATCCGAGAATGCTACAGCTGTACATCGGCGATGACGGCTCCAGTCGGCCCCATCGACCTGTTTAGCATACGTGTTAGTGGACTTTTCTCAAAATACAAATTCAGTGGATAGATCTTGGGAATAGTAGTGAGTCCATACAGTAACCAAGCTGGTTCCAAATACTCCAAGTCTTTCTAACAAACTTATTAGCACTTCGAGATAGTCGACAAAATCCACCGTTCGGCTTACTTGTAAAGCCAAGGGGCTTGGGAAAGTCATTTTTGCGCATTAGAATCTGCCTAGCAACCTTTGAGTCGGCAATGAAAAGTTCGCAGCCGGCTGGAGTGACGATTGCAAATACGTCACCATACTCTTCGAAGATGGCATATTTGTCCAAAAACACCCAATTTGGCCGTAGAAGTCGGAGAAAAGGGAAGATCGTCCGCCAAGAAATGAGCAATTTAGATTCGAATACATTCTGAAAACGCCTCCACATTTGACCATGGCGTGAGATAGGACAGATGATCACTGGCACGTTGAGTCGCCGTGCAGTGGACCAGTTGTGATAGAGAAGAAGCCACCAGGAGCTAACGCCCCAGGCAGCAACGATTAGGAAGAGTAGGGATATGAGCATCGCTGCAGGTGAAAGAAAATGGAAATGAAAGGTAAAGAAATGATCATGACTGCCAACGCTAAATGATAAATACAGAGGGGGCTGTAAAGACTACTTTCTATACAGAGAATTCTTGAAAAAAAGTATCTCCCTAGGCTAGGCCACACACACCTTCATTTCCTAGGGGTGTCCGTTGATTGATTCTTCCACCGACTCGACCCACAATAAGCAACCAGATCTCCAAGTCTCAGCCTCTTACATGTGAGACAGTGGGGCTCGGGTTCGTATTCGTGATATTATCTGCATTCGAATCACCTTGCCGACGTAGGATTCTCAACATCATCTTACTTATGGCTCGGTTCTCGCCGGCAGTCCCGAGCAATCCCCCCCTTAAGCCGGATTCTTTTGTGCCTCACACGAGTACGAACACTAAGTACACAGCCAATGTATCTCTGACTCAGAAATACAGCCAGACATGGCCACGCGCCGCTCTCATCAAAAATCGCGCCATGGATGCAGCAACTGCAAGCGACGACGAGTAAAAGTATGCGATCATCTACCTTGAAGACACAAATTGAGCTATATTGACCTATCCATGCTAACAAGTCTATCAGTGTGACGAGCAGCGGCCAGATTGCCAAAATTGCACTCAGCGTAATGATACATGCGAGTACATCACGTCGGTCCCTTTGGTTTTTTGCAGGCAGCTCGGGGAGGTCGACAGGATCGTCAAGAAAGAGTGTGCGAGGTGTAAGATCTTCATCCGAGGCTAGCAGCCCCGCCCGCAGCTACATTTCCCCGTTGGGTGCGACTAGTGGAGCCTCTCCGTTGAACTTGGCCCATTTGGAGCTTGAACTCCAGTGGATCATGCATACGCACAAAATACTCGCAAGAAACGAAGAAACAAGAAAAGTCTGGGAGATCCCAGTGCTTCAAGAGGCACTACACACTGCGTTCTTGATGCACGGAATCCTGGCCATCTCCGCATTGCATCTGGCTCATCTTCGCCAGGATGAGCGCCATGCAGAGTGGATTAATATTGCTATTGCGCACAAGAGCACGGCTTTGGCTCTTTTCTCGGAACAGCTGCATAACATCGACGAATCCAATGCACGAGCAATGATGAGTTTTGCCAGTATTGCGGTGGTGTTTAGCTTTGCGAGCGCCCATCATTACTCCAACTCTGACGACGGACCTGGGTTGAATGCCTTGATTGATATTTTGATGTTGGCTCGCGGAGTTCAGACCGTCGGAAATCAAGTAATGGAGTTTCTCCGGCACAGCAATTTTGCGCCTTTGTTCGACATCACAGACCCTGGGGCGACCGTCCCCGGTGATGTTCTCGCGGCACTTGATGCTCTTGATGACTTTAATGTTCAGTATGGTCAGCGAAAAAAGAGCCACGATGTAAAGTCTTACGAGCGCGCAATTAGAAACATGAAAGATTTGGCTCCCTTTACCTATGCGGAGCCAACGTCATTGACGGTAGTGGGTGGGTGGGCTATTCGAGCCCCTCCTGAATTCTTGGAAGGGCTCAAAAATCGAGAACCGCTTTCTTTAGTGATACTTGCACACTTTTGCGTGTTTCTGCACATCAGTCGAAAGAACTGGTACATTGGATCGTGGGGTCGACTCATTCTCGGGGAAATAGTGCAGATCTTAGAGGCAAACTGGCATCGTCACATCAAATGGGCAGTAGTGCAAGTATTGAAATAATGACTTAATGTGACCAGCGATGATCGTTCGAAATAGGCTAATTTATTTAACAAACACGTCCAGACGCATGCATTTATTTGGAAAACTCCTGTTCATTCATGATAAAACATAAATCATCTCTTAACCTCCCCACGTCCCATACTTTCATGCAATTGCTCAAATTGAGATTCCCCTGACCGACCCATCTCGAGTGCGGAGAGCGATGAGTCTGGAACAAACTCGCGGGTCCAAATAGCCTTCTCCGAGTACTTGTGGCCGCGGCCAATCAAGCAGTTAATCTCGCTGGGGTGCTCATACTGGAGAACAAGCACAGTGATGAAGATAAGAAGGGCGTCGAATACATAGATGAAGACCTCGTGCTTCATCAGATAACCACTATAGCCTTCCAGATATTCCGCGACACGAACGACAGAGCGAACCAGAATCAAAACACTGGCGACGTAAAGGGCGGTCATATGGCGGGTCCAGGGGCCCTTCAACTCGATCGAGCGGGAGGTGGGGGTCTTGATGATGCGAGTGTGGAAGACAACAGCACTGATCGTGAAGAGGCCAAAGAAGATGATTTGCACGAAGAGACCGCCGATGATAATATGTTCTCCAGTGGATGGATCCGAACTTGAGGCCATAAGCCCAGCACCTTGAAGTCAGTCGGCTCAGCATTCTTCATGGGTACCATTAGTAGATGCATAGGTTGGAAGATCCTACATACCTGAGGCCTGCATCAAGAAAGAAAGCACGTCGCCGGTGACGAAGATCTTGGTGAGCCATCCTATCCTGATAATGGAGAGTTTCTCTGCTTCAAGCATGTAGATAATGCGTCCTAGGGTCATGTAGATACTCGCAGCCAGGAAAGCGGGCGCGATTAGGATCAATGCGCTTTGCATGATGTATGGGCCTTTGGTGAAGTCTGGTGCCTCAAATGATGAAAGCAAGCGTCCGATATAACCGACAGTTTCCACTGAAATAAAAAATAGCGAGATTAGCATCAATCCTCATAATATGAGCAATTGTGTTCTGGACTTACAGAGTGCGCCGATCAAGAAGGGAATCATAAACCATGTCCTTGTTCGCACAAGCTGATAGAAATGCAGAAGACTGCTCAACCCGAACAAAACAGTGAAGATGACTGCCGCCGCCGTAGACGGGGTGTAATAATAGAAAACGAAATCCATTGCTGCTATGTATTTCTCTGGGTCTGAAGGTGCTGGATGTTGAGAGTTTTTAGAATTGACACCAAGGACGATTTATCAAGAGTTTTTAAAGTCTCATGAGGATGCGGCCATTGGAAAAGTCAAGAATTCCCCCCCAGCCCCAAATTGTATAGCCACGGACGTTCTAAGTTAAGGTTACGAGTACCCTCCTCCCTTAGGCGTATTTTGGCTCGTACTCGTTCCATGCTCTTTTCCAGGAAGACTGAAGTGGGGCGTCGGATGTTCGCCACTCGTTTTCAGGACCTTTCCTTCGTTTTCAAAATTTCAGGAAAGAAAGGGGCTTCAAAAATAGTACTATCTGAAACTCCTACTCGCGACGGGGTTGTGCCGTGGCCAGATCCACCTACTCGGGCAAGTTTTCTGATCTGCCAAAATTCCCATTGGAAATCTCACAATCGACTACCATCCAATCAACCGTCGATACAACTTGGGTCGTGAAATGGTTCGAGACACTAGTCAGATCGATAATTTCTTACCGCCACTATTCTTCGTATCGGGCGCCGTTTAGGGCTCATTTGAAGGGGCTTGCAACCTAGTGCGGATGTGAAAGATGCGTTGTTTCCTCGTGGAATAATATTTAAACATAGTGAACCTAGGAACTATCCATTAAACATTGCTTTTGCTACTTCATTCATTTTTCGTTCTTGTAATCTTGTTCTATTCTCTCATTTCTCATCTTCGGAATCATGACTTACAAACTTTATAATTACGATCCTTCTGGCGCTGCGGCCGTTCCCTTTGCTGCCCTTTTCGGACTGGCAACAGCGATCCATGTTGCGCGGATGATTCGTGCGCGGAGTTGGTTCATGATACCATTTACAATTGGCTGTGTCTGTAAGGTATCCTTCTATATCCGTGAAACTGCACTCAATCAATATTTTCGGATTTTTCTATTCAGTCGAGACCATCGGCTATGTGTGCCGATACATCAATTCAACGCAAACGCCGGACTGGACATTAATGCCCTATGTCGGACAAAGTCTTCTTATTCTTCTCGCTCCTGCCCTCTTTGCTGCTTCTGTCTATATGATACTGGGACGTCTCATTGTGGGATTAAATGCGAGTTCAAACTCGATCATCCGGCCGTCATGGCTGACGAAAAACTTCGTGATTGGAGATGTTATTTCCTTCTTCATGCAATGTGGAGGTATGGTCTCCTTTCGCCGTCGGGATACAATCCGGACTCAACACAGGGACTAATCTAATATTCAATAGGAGGAGGATTCCTTTCCTCCGCGAAAACAAAGGAGGATTTGGACATGGGCGAGAACCTCATCCTCGCCGGTCTCATCGTCCAAATATTCTTTTTCGGATTCTTCATCATAGTTTCAGTCATTTTCCACCGACGAATGCTGGCTTCGCCTATGAATTACGTTGCGGACGCCGGTATCCCCTGGGCACGGCGTATGAAGGTCTTGTATGCCGTCAGTTGTCTTGTCATGATCCGTTCGGTCTATCGAGTGATCGAATACGCGCAGGGAAGCGGTGGTTATTTGCAAAGCAGGGAAGCATTTGTTTATGTTTTTGATGCTGCTCTGATGCTTGGTTGTTGCATTATTCTCGCTATTTTACATCCGAGTAAAATGCTCAGTGAAAAGAGATATCAAAAGGCGGAAGATCTTGAGATGCTAGCCAGTCATTATGAGGCTGGACGGAAAACTTAGATTTTTGAATGAGAGGTCGTCACCTAGAATACTACATTTCTTCTTCCCTTACGGCGTTGACTTTTCCAGCTGTTGCCTATGAGATGCTGTGCATCAAAAAGCAAAAGATACGAATTTTCCACATAGATTCTTCAACAGGCGCTATTTAGGCAGACAAAAGTCTTTCGAATGACCATTAAATGTCGTTCCGTTCTTGCAGGGTTGTTTGGTAGCGTCCATCTCGAAGACGTGCAGTCACAATCGCCTTCTGACCCTTCCGCCGAAATGCTGCGTCGATGCTTTTTGCGATTCCGTGCAATGGGTAAGCCACCAATCCGATTCCGGCTTTGAATAATGAGCATTAGGTCTTCATCTCCAATAATACTGGCAGAGCTTACCTGATGGGACTTTGGTCGCCCGCCCAACGGTACCTTTAGCGGAGCCCTTGACAGCACCCAAAGCTCCTTCTTTCTTGGCTCCTTTGATTGGCTGCGTAATAATGCTTGACAGGCCCTCGGACATGCCATCCACAAAATTCCTCCCAGCAAAGATCGCTCCAGATTGCCAGTCCTTTATGGGCTTATATTCCTTGGGTTTCTCTCCATATAGCTGAGGAATTTGGCGGAACCCCTCGGCAGCCGCATGAGGAATATCAACTACCACACCTTTGAAATAGGTCCCAGTGAATTGGCCAAAGCTTTGCAACGTAGCACCCACCATTTTCCCAGCAGTGATTATCCCCGCCTGACTTTCAGTGCCGTTTACCGATGGGTCGAGACTCGGCTGTGACATGTCAGATGGCTTGGGAGATCGACCTCGCGTGTATTCTCTATATGGGCTATAAACAAGCTCGCAGGCCGAATGGACCATGCTTGATCCTATGCTCGTAGCAGCGGACAGAACACCCGTCAAAGGATCACAACGACGATTTTCAATAAGTATGGGCTTGCTTTGGTAACTGTAAGAGTGAAAGGGAAGAAATATCAGACTCAGAATTCATCTCACAAAACTCTGAAAGCCACGGCACACTGTAATATCGCAAGTTTACATACCATTTTGGTTTGCCCGAGTCAATACTGCCATGTTCAATTAATGACTGTGCCACAGTTGTGGAGGGGCGCAACACACGTTTGCTCTTTACGTATTTCAGACTCGCGGGTTGACCAGGCATAATCTTACACCGCATCTGGTCCACGGGCAAATTGCGATGGAACGAGTTGAGGGCGGCCTGGACACCCGCATCCCTCTGCATGGTTTGAGAAACTCTGTCTGCGGCCTTTTGCGCTTCCGGAGTGAGACAAAATCGAATAGCTGCGGCTAGATTTTGAGCGGCAAGAGATATGTATGGGATTGGTCTAGGTCCCGTACCAGCTCGGGCAACCATGTTGTCCCAGAATGGTTGGCTAATATCGTGTCAGTAACAAAGATGACTATCTCACTGAATCGTTGTTCTCACTCTTCAAAGAAAGGCACAATCACCGTGGGCCGACTATTGCGGAGACCGCAAGCGGTGGTGCCAGAACCTCCATGGTGAACGACTGCCGCTACATACTGGAAGAGCCACTCATGCGGACAGTCGTCGATGTTGTAGACTGGAGACTTGTCCTCCCGTAAATTTTACTCCAACCCTCTCGAGGTTTTATTCATATAGAAGGAACAATTATTCTTCTTGACTATCCATCTATATCATCATACGAGTCTTGTACATCAAATCAAGGGATGATGCCGGAGTGGTCTCAAGCTCCTGACAGATTAGACTTCGGCGGCATGTAGTTACAGGATAGCGCAGAGTATACCATATAATGGTGACGTATCCGATCATCCTGAACACCCCAATTCTTTTAATAATCCAACAGATCAGGCTTTCATGTTTAGACCTCCCCTTCGGAAAAGAGTTCAACTTTCACTAGCGGTACAACTCGACATGGCTGCTGATAAACAATGCTCGCGTCCTACTTCCATTGTATCTTGCCTCATAGAGCTGACAATAGGGGTAGTCGTCTTTATCTTGGTGAAGATTCTCATCAAACTTGTCACATGCTGCATCAAAAGACGACATCGCCCGGATGTGGAAATGGGTATTGAGCATGAAAGCCATACGTCTGATATTCCGCTTCATCCGCTTGACAACTGCACCCGTCACCCAGCAATTACAACTGTTAGAACCATGCCTGGACACGCTATTTCCGATATGGAACGAGATATTAAGCTTCAAACTGCCGACTGTCGAGACTTGCGGGACCTTGAAGCAGCAATATCTCGGACACACCGGTGATCTCACTTTAATCACTCACGGGCTCTGAAAAATCCTCTTATCCAGGAATTTGATATTTGATATTTGATATTTGATATTTGATATTTGATATTTGATATTTGATATTTGATATTTGATATTTGATATTTGATATTTGATATTTGATATTTGATATTTGATATTTGATATTTGATATTTGATATTTGATATTTGATATTTGATGGACTTTGCTCGGCTTATCTACTTCAGAGGTGGAGAAACATTGCTGGTCGAGTTTGATCATACTTTGAAGATGTTCCAATTAAAGGGGAAGTAGAGGCACTGGGGTGCGGCGGTCAAGAAGTGTTGCTTGTCGGTCTCTACGCTACTTGGGAAGCATCCAACGAATATATGATGCGGTGGACTGGATGCATGTCTCTATTTCTATTGTGAGGATGGCTCAATTACGGGGATACCTGCAATTAAGCAACATGAGTCAAGATCACAGAAATGCTCTAGATTTTAGAGATGGAAACGTAGACTACTGCTGAGTACTATAATTATTGAAGGATATCCTTTTTGGGACAACCCAGTGCATGAATTGAGCCAACCCCCAATTACTCACTATTCTAGATGCTTTACTGTGTTATTTCGTAATTGAACACTGTTTCAAGCACATGCCACGATATCCTCAGTACACCGTCATGCCCTTACTTCCAAAGAAGTGTTCATCCAAATTTGACCAAAAGGCTGCCTGGGAAACAATAAGTAAGAAAATAGCCTCGCAATCGCCTGTCATACGATCTACTTCTTCGAAAGATTAACATCAACATCCACCGGCACCCCAGTCTCCATAGCTCTAACAATAGCTTCACAAACAACAAGCGCCCTCAACCCCTCTTCCCCAGAACAATTGGGCACCGCATCCCCGTTCACAACATTGACAAAATGCTCCAGTTGTAAATCAAATGGCGCCGCCTGATCTGGAACCTCAATTTTATCCACAGTCAACTCATTCGCCCAGCTCTTCTCCATCTTCCCATCATAGCTCCACCTAGTCAAATCCGGTACACTCAGCGAGGCCTCGGACCCGAAGATCCGGTAGAAGTCGGATCCATCAGATTTTGGAATCATGGGGTTCTCTCCTGTGCCGGTTTCGAAGTTATGCGGCGATGGCGTGGCGTCGCAGACGAGGAAACTACCGACCACTCCGGAAGCGAAGCGGAGCGTGAGAGCTGCACCTTCGTCGGCATCATGGGGAGGACTGGGCCGCTGAGGAATAGTGCGCTCTGCGGTGACGCGGACGATAGGACCAAAGAAGTGGTGCATGAGGTCGATGTCATGGACTAGGTTGATTGGAATGACGCCTCCGCCGCGGGAGCGGGAGGCGCGCCAATCACCTGGTGGTGCGAAGTAGGAGTCTGGCTTGTAAAGAGTCCAGAGGCCGTTGACAGCGATGACATTGCCGAGAGAGCCGGAGTCGAGGACGGATTTAGCGGCGCGGACGTAGGGGTTGAAGCGGCGGTGATGGCCGACTAGGAGCTTGAGATGGGCGTTCCCTGGAGCCTTGGAAAACTTGAGGAGAGAGAGACCTGTTTCTAGGGAATCGGAGAATGGTTTTTCAAGGAGGACGTGGATCCCGGCGGAGAGCAATTCTTTGGCAATGGGCACGTGGGTGTGGTTTGGGGTACAGACTATTGCGGCGTCGGGTTTGGATGGAGATGAGACGAGATGTGCGATTGTTGGGTGGTATGAGGTTTTCAGGGTAGTGGCGGTGGTTTGGGCTGCTGGAGATGGATCGACGAGGCCTGAAAGGGTGGTAGATGGATTGGAGAGAACGGATTGGGCGTGGCGGGGGCCAATGTGGCCTGCGCCGATGATGGCAATTTTGAGGGTCATTGCGATAGTCCAGAGGCTGTATAGTCGTCCAAAGGCACAATTGAAGTGAGTTCTGAAGCACAAGTGGCCTATTCGTTTGTGATCTAAGGTGGGTGTATTTGAATAGCGGCCGGATCGGTGCCGGAGACCTTAATCTGGAGTGACATGGCCGGTTTCTCGGGGTTTAGGTTCTTGGCAGGACCATTCGTCTAACGAAACCTTCCAAATTATACTCGGATCCCCGCAGACATTATGAGACCGTGCAAAAGGTTGGGGAAATCGCCTGTTCGGGGCCGCGGGGCGGGATGTGGAGAAGATGGAGCAAGAGGAGCGGATAAACATTGTGTAGATTAACGCTTACCCGGTCATGTGATCCTATCGCCAGACAGTGCGATAACAGGTGTGGGGATTTCTGGATCCTTTGGGGCTTGGGGCGGGATAATGGTTTCTCGCGGCTTATCGACGCATTCAGAAAAAAGTAAGTCCCGGATTAACAGGCTGGTTCCCCCTCTGTCCATTCTTTATTTCATTTCGCATTCATTCTGCGTTACATTTTACTTCACAATCTGCCCCATTTCCTCCCTTGCCATATTCTAAGGCAAATCAGCCCGCTCCTACGGCTTCTCCAGATATACTATATCGTCCGACTTGATACACATCTGCCAAGATGGTCGTCAACCGCCCTGGCATTGCCTCCATGTCCCTGGGCCGACCATGGATCCACGATCTTCCGGGCAAGTTGATGCAAGCCGCAGCCCACGGGTTCGAGGGCATCGAGCTCTTCTTCGACGACCTAGACTGCCACGCCCAGCGCACATTTAACGGCGACCACATGGAAGCTGCCAAAGCCGTGCACAGCCTCTGCGAGCGCCTCGGGTTGACCATCATCTGCCTGCAGCCCTTCTCCATGTACGAGGGTCTCCTTGACCGCGCCGAGTCCGACAAGCTCTTGAGCGAGAAACTCCCCCAGTGGTTCAAGTTGGCGCGGGCGCTAGACACAGACCTCATCCAGGTTCCCTCGAACTTCCTTGGCGCGGACCCCCAGACCGGAGCCCCACGTACTACCGGCGATCGTACCATCATCGTGCAGGATCTCCAGCGCCTCGCTGATCTCGGTGCTGGTGCGGGTTTCCGCTTCGTGTATGAGGCGCTCTGCTGGGGCAACCATATTGATACCTGGGAGGCCTCGTGGGAGGTTGTTCGTGATGTGAACCGTCCAAACTTTGGTCTCTGCTTGGACTCATTTAACATTGCGGGTCGTGTTTATGCCGACCCGGCTGCGCCTTCTGGATGTACCCCGAATGCGGCCGCGGACCTTGCGGCTTCCCTAGAGCGTCTGCGCACTGCCAACATTGACCCTGCCAAAATCTTCTATGTTCAGCTCGTTGATGGCGAGCGTCTCTCCGCCCCTCTCGACGAGAAGCACCCCTTCCACGTTGAGGGTCAGCCTACCCGCATGAACTGGTCCCGAAACGCCCGCCTCTTCCCCTTCGAGGAGGACCGTGGTGGTTATCTTCCCATTCTAGACATCGCGAAGGTCTTCTTCGATGACCTTGGCTTCCGCGGCTGGGTCTCTTTGGAGCTTTTCAGCCGTACCCTCGCTGACACTGACCCCTTTGTGCCCGCGGATCACGCCCGCAGAGGTATTGACTCATATCACAAGATGAGCCACGTCCTGAAATGGGAGGGTCAGACTCCATCCATTCCGGAGCCTACCTCCCCTGTGCAGTATCGTCTGTAAGGGCATGTAGAAAAGGTTACGGCTTCACTGTCTATTCATTCTCTGTATATATGTTATGTCTCACGATTCTTGATGATGTAGACTGTGTTGGAAATTTGCATACATGGCAAGGCCATGTCATTAGTCGCAAGCATTAAATGTTAAATTCACCTACCATTGGCGTTTGACTTTTCAGTCTTCATATGAGCAGTGCCACTGAGTTATAATGGCTTTTCCCCCTATAAGCTGATAGCCCCGTTGCCACCATTGCAATCCAATAGATACCCAAAAAGATGCTTTCGGGGATCAATAGAAGAATTTCCTGGTTAGTCAGTAGACGCTCATCTGAATCTACTCGAGGAATCTCTGGAAGAAACATCTAGAACATAGTGAAGAACCAAATGAATCAAGTGATTTTCGCCCCTTGGATTTCCTCTTGGTCTAGCGGTAGAGGCATCTTTTATGCCCCCATTGTCACTTGTATTCCACAATATCATGAACATAAGGCCTCTTATTAGCAAAACACTCGATTTCCTGTTCTTCGGGAAGTGTGCCGTGAACAATATAAGCCTTCGCAACTCGATCTGTGCAATCCGAAGTATCACGCCTGGAACTATGTCCATAGCCGTTGTGAACAATCAGCCGGGCATTTGGACCCATCTCCTTTAACAATCTTCTCCCATTACGCAAGGGAGTTGCAGGATCGTACGTGGAGGCGATGAGGAGGACAGGTGTGTTGAGAGTGTGGTTGAGATCACCACGATACACCTCTGAAGGACGGGGCCAATAAGTATTAAAATGTCTGCATGGGAGGACTGAGAAGAACCGAGAGTTGCCAGCGATCCAACTTTGGGTCGTCATATTCCGCCACAGATCATCCCACCAGTCAAGTCCATCTGGAAGGGGCGCGTCGTATGAATCGGAACAGACCACGAGAGACTCGAGTTCATTAGAAGACGGGTCTTGAGCATAGGGCGGCTTGAAGGTATGATCGCTCCATGAGAGGTCTAAGAGGTTCGCTGCTCGTGTGGCATTTCCTGATTCGAGCTCAAAGAGCATCTGCGCGATATCAGGCCAGCTCATCGGCTTGTACATCGCCGAGTAGAGGATTTCGTCTACTAGCGCTGAGTATGTGATCAGGGACGGACCGCTGGATTCTGTGTACGCGGATTGTGGGCGGATTCTGAGCGACTCGAGTAGTTGTGCCATGCGATATTCCAGCTGCTCCAGTTTCACAGGGCCCTTTTGACCGGGAATAGGGTTTGCTAATGCACACCACTCCGGACCGGCATTGACACACTCACCTAAGAATCCATCACGCCATGCATCTGTGGTATTGTCAAGAGCAGTCCAGCCAAAGCCACCCAAGAGGCGGTGGTCTCTGACATATTCCGTTCCATCAAGAATCATACGACCCCCTCGGTTGGGAAACATATTAACATATGTCTGACCGATTCCTGTACCATAGCTAACAAAGTACCCTGAGACATCCTCTTCCCGAAGAGCTTTCCGGATCTCGTCAAGATCGCGCGCCACGAACGCGGTGCTGACGAATCGGCCGAAATCCCCGAGTTGTTGCTGACACGCAAAGAAGGTGGCGTTGTTCATGGCATCGACAATTTCAAGCTGGCCCTTGGGAGCCTCCTCGCGATGCCGGAGAGATAGCAATGACCATCTGTCCCGGAACTGATTACGAGGGAAACATGACGCAGCAGGGAGAGAGAGATTAACACCGCGTGGATCCCACCCAAGCACATCGAACTCACCGTCGCTGAAACGGTTGGTGGTCTCCTCCGCGGTATCCCAGAGGAAAGACGTGCCGCTGCCTCCCGGGCCACCGGGTTCGATGATGATGGTACGTTTACTCTTGTAGCTTTCGAATGAAGCATTGCGATCATTTCTAAGAGGCAAGCCGGCGACCTGAAACTTGGTGACCGCAATGCGGACGATGCGTGGGTCAGAATTGTTGTGATAATCGAGCGGAAGATCTAAATATCCGCACAGGTAGATGCCGCGGCCTGTGCTCCCCCAGCGCCAGTGATTGGGGTTTGGGTCGAAGACGGCGGCCCATGACTGATGAGGGGTAGGGTCGTTGAGTGGTGGTAGATGACTCGCATCAGTGCAAGGAATAAAATGAAATGGATCACCCTGATGGGGAAACGATCCATACGGCGATTTGTGGACTTCACAATCGTGGCCTGAAAAGGCCCAGCGATGCGAGATAGGGATATCACGGAATCTCATCAGGCCTAGTATCCCCATGGATGCTGCCATCCAGACGATCGCCCTCCAGCCCCATGTTTGAGACCGATTTATGGAAGCCGGTTTTGGTTTCTCCATCTCGGACTTCATGGGTGACCAAGGTTGTGGTCGGGTTACAAATTTGAGAGTGACTAGGCAGCCGTGAGCTCTCAACGTTCGCCATGCACGAGCTGACTAGCGCCGTCTCGCGCCATCTGACAGGGGTCTCAGGGGGGTCTCAGATAAGATTAAATAGCATCAGAAAGAGGGAAATTAGCGCTAAATTAGAACCTTTTAGAGCCGGTAGAATAGGGGGGGTTAGCATTGGGAATCGAAGAATATACATAGACAGTCTTATTGATAATTTAGACCAAAAGACAAGGCAGTACCCTTTCTGTAATCATATTCTCAAAAAGGCAAGAGGTCGCGCTTAAAGAACGGCAATGATTTTGTCTGGTCCATGAGAAGCGGCATTGGCGACGTGATGTAGAATTTGTTGCTCATCTATCTCACTTCCGAAAACCCAGAAATTGAGAATTTCCCTGAGAGTAGAAGTCATTCATAATCTATTATGTTTTGATAATTCGCGACTCAAAACCATTCCCTGTCAAAATACAAGGCAAATGCCGTTGAAGCTGATGTTTGTTAGCGGGGTGTTTGCACTCCAACATTTAGAATATTCCAAGGTTCTGCACAAGAACTCGCTTAAAGCAAGTCAATAGCCAACAGGCTATTCTTCAAAATCCCCAATCTCACAACGATGCAAAGACCGGCCAATTCAAATTGGAATGGAGAAAACTAAAATGACATTTCACCTCTTTCGGAGCCTACCAACCGAGATCCAAGACCACATATGGGATCTCGCGATTCGCCCGCTCCCCGGCAATCGACACCTACATGAATTTATCATAGTCGATCACTACTTCGACAAGCCCAACGGAGCAGACAAAATCCATGCAGATTTCCTCCGATTCGAACATGGTGGTTACTTGGGCAAGAATTTCGGTCTGGCCGTACCCCGCAATGAAGCCCCGCGCCGCAATACATCGGCCTACAGATTGGACAGCGGACTTTGGATGGCCTGTCAACAATCGCGAAAAGCACTGGAAAGACGCTTTCGCAAGAATGAATGGTGGTCCGATCTTTTGAATCCAGGGTGTCCGGCTCGATTGGCTGGTCGCGGCGATTACGCCGGCCAACCTGGGGTTTCCCATACGGCTTCCTATATCGACAGCTATGGGAAAGCTCATCATGTAACCATATGTCCTGGAAAGGATCTTGTTCATCTCGTGGGGCTGGACCCCGGGTCTGTGGAGTGGTTCTACCATTATGCGGGCGATAGGTTTCTGTTTGATTATAGGCGTGAGGGTCTATGTGAGCCTCATCCGAGTTTTCTGGGCTTGGATGTTGCCATCACGTTTGACTTGCGATGGATTGAATTTATTCCGTCGACGTTGGTCGATATGATAGCTGTGCTACATGATCTTGCTGGTCGAACATTATGGTTCATAGATCAGCGGCTTCGTCGCTTGGGTGCATCTGGGTTGGGGGAGGGTCTGGGTGGGAATGAAGCGAGCACATTGTGCCCTTCAGCAAATAGCAGAGAACGATTTTACTCTCACGGGTTCGTTTTCACGGAAGTAAGAGAAGGAGATGCGTGGGAAGTTAAAGATCAGGAAAACAGGTCACAATCTGTATTCGAATTCTTTCGCCGATTGATACCCGAGCATAATAGACGTTTGGAGATCGAGGGCTCAGATCGAATGCGAGTATTGGCTTGTGAAATGAATGGTTAATGAGCTTTGGAATAATCTTATGTCCACATTTCACCGCGACATGTATGAGTTCGATTGCGCGGGATCCTCAAATGTCCATGGGACAAATTTGTCAGCGGTATATTGCTATCAGATGCTTGTCCCTTGAACGGCCCCTCGCTTGTCAGTTGACAAAAGATGACAGTAATAGTCTCCTTCATCGCCAAAAAACTTTGCGCCCCCACACGGGTATGGACCCATAGGCTCCTAGGCACGATTGGCGCGTTGCCGATCAGAACGAATGTCAATGGTGGCCATCGGGGATGCTCAATGATGTTGGGCTGGAGTTCTCATTATCAATATATTCGGTACACAGAGTTTTGCATTTCCTCTGTACTATTATGACAAAATTACACATTCTTTACGGCAAGGCAAATAAATAAAACCACCCGTCCGACGGGAATTGCCTTAGCACGTCGATTTCCATGATGATCGGCGCATTGTTTATCATGTTCGGGGATTCTACTGCATGCGGGGCGTGGCCTGCATCTCATACATGCAAGCCCAGAAACATCAACCTCGGAACACACCTACGCCATCGCTCTCCTTTTCTAAATCGGATGTTACTTGCAGACCCATGCCACACAGATCTATGCGAACCACATTATTGAATTAAATAGCTGGCCAGCGGCCGATGAAATTGCTAAAGACGATGATCGGGGACAACACAGATCCTCCAGATCTATGTGCAAACAAAAAATAAACACAAAAAGGCACATTTTAATCCAAACACCTGTTGAAGATACCCAAAATACGATGACGTCGACTATGCACGATGGTGCCTCTGCAGGCAGATTTCCAGCTCCACACGTGCTCCCCATTTCGCTTTCAACTCGATCCGTGTTGAAATTGCCCCGGGGTGGCCCAGCTGCAAATACCCGTGCGCTATTTTCTTTCGACCCGCTTCAAATGCAGGTCGAGGAAAGAGGCCATGTGGGCCGGTGACGCCGGTCCAGGAGAGGGAAGAGCGAAAGTGTGAAAAGGTGTGATGTGCGAATGCTGCGGAGTGGAGCTGGGTTAGAATGAGGGGTTATTTGGCTTCTGCTTCATGCCTCCTGAGCCCAGCGCTGTTCACGAAGGGGCGCCTCCTCGCCCGCTTTTTGTCGGCTGCCGTCGACTTCGCGCTTCCAGGCCCAGTACTCGCCCAAGCGCAGCTCGGCGTAGCTGGCGTAGTCGAAGTCGATTTGAGAAATCTGGGCTTGGATCAGTGCCCACACACCCCTACAATGATATTCAATTAGTCCTTCCATGCTGGGTAGATGGGTAGTATTGCGAAGAGCAGCAAAACTCACCAGTATAGACCGGGGATACCACGGAAACGATCGACATCATGGTATAAGCGGTCGACGATCTCGGACTCGGACGATGCGTCCAGTCCACGATGCTGAATGTAGCTCTTGGTGTACTCGGTCAAGAATTGACGGCGCACAACTCGAGTGGGTGTCATGTTGTAGTCGCAGTCGTAGCCGATCCACTCTGCCAAGTGGTTGGCAATATCGAACGCCGCCGGAGCGGGGACTGCATATTCGTAGTCGATGAAATTCACCGGCGTGATCTGGTCCGAGGGCTTACTGCCGTCATCAGGAAGAACGATCACATTGGCGCACAGGAGATCACAGTGCGAGAAAACAAGCTGCCGGCAAAAGTTAATCAGGTTATCTAGTGGTTGTTATGGATGGTTTGGATGGTGGCGTACCCCGTCTTCGCCAATGCCTTGACCATCGTCGAGCTGACCCACGACCCACTGCAGTTCCTGCTGCAGGCTGAGCCGCCGAGAGCGCTGCTCGGGTGTGGCCACTGGCAGGGCGATAATCCATTTCTGGAGCACTGCCCACATGGAGGGGCCTGCACGACGCGGTTGGATGACGTCGAAGTCGTGCTTCTCTGCCTCAGTCCCGTTGGACACAACCGAGGGCTCCTGAGCGGGTGTCGAACTGTTGCCGTTGATGGGGAGGACAGCGTGCCACTGGGCCAGCTTGCGCGCAACGCCGCGGAAAATGGGTGGTGTGACTAGATCTTGGTGACTGCACGGCTTGCCACGGATGAATCTATAGAGGAGGCCATTGTTGAAACGCGCGAGAAGAGGAGGAGCGAGGCCGCGGCTGGCGAGGAGGGCGTGGGACGTAGTTTCTCCTATAGTGACACGAGTTTACTTTAGCAAATGTCGCACTCGGCAGTAAAGGCGAAGAAGGGCTCCGAAATTTCCAGAGGGACTGAAGGCTGTGGGAAGGAGTTAGGAGCAAAGCAGATGCTCTGGGTCTTCGTACTTTGACGGTCTATGAGGATCTCAGTGCCATTTCCGTATGCGCGCATCAACACGGCCTCATTGTCTATTTGTTCCTCTGTCAAGCCGGCCTTGCGGTTGATAATCTTCAAGAGCTGTAAAGCGCTGTCAGTGGATAGGTTCAAATGAGAAGTTCCGCAGTGAAGGCGTAGCCGCGCAAGGGGGGACGAACAGTGTTGGTGATGCCGTCTGTGAAGCGGACAAATTCGATCTTGTTGCCCGCACCCTCCCAGTCCGGGAAGAGGGTCAGAATTAGGCGGAGCGCAGTCGACTGAGAGTCGGCTGGGCTGTAGGAGAGGGGGATATATCGCAGGGTGCTGGCGCCGTTGGCGGTGTTGTAGGAACCCATGATGGGGAAGAATAGGGGAAGGCAAAGGTCGTGACAATGCGAAGAGGTGGAGGACTGGACGAGATTTGCGTGTCTGAGATTGTGGGGGGGCTAATGAATGCTAGTCTGGTGTCTTGAGACAGTTAGTTAAAAGCCTCATCAGAATTTCTTGGAGCCTGGAGATTCCGGGAGATCTGCAGGGTGGTAGGAGGGGCCAGAGAAAAAGAATACGACGGCACGGACCAGAGAAGATGCTCCTATGGGGCAAGTGGTCGCATGGGCATGGGCGTCGACCTGTTGGAATTGTAGGGGACAGGCTAAAGAGTGGAAGATGAGACAGAGAGGGGAGGCAGTCAAATGGTGGTCTCGTGCTTCCACTCCCCGATTGGAAGACGCCGCCCCCCAGGGGTACATGTGCAGGTTGAGACCACGGGTAACCCACGACAAGTGGAAAATTTAGACGCATAGGGGAGAAATCTAGATTCAAAGATGTTCTTCGATCTCTATAGCTACGTAGCATTGAGGATTCAAGAAGGGGTGGTCACTGTAGTTTTGGTCTATGATCTAAAGTCCAGCACGTTCCCCTTCAACGCTGCGAGGGACTTCGACTTTCTTTCGACTCCCCGTCTCCACACCGCGGGGCCTTCACATGCGAGACAATTTATCACATGGCTTCACTTACCCTACTTCTTGCCCTATTGCCTCTTCTGGATTATCATTAGTCATGAAAAATCATGTGAGATCACGTGCAGGATCAATAGTTCACCCGTGCCAAATCGGACCTAGCGCTGGTCAAATTTTTTGGCTTAAATACGGGCAACGCGCCGCCCATTTTTTTTCTTTTCTTCATCATCAGTAGAGGTTTACATAACTTATGTAAATTTTTATCAACGGGGCTCCATAAATATGGCATGCTGAGGGTTATCCAGGGTTTTTCCTCTATGGGTTTTCTTCCGTTCCCGGCCTTGAAGAAAAAAACGTCTCTCTTTTTCCCTTCCAAATATGGCTACGCTAGGGTTCCCTCACGGGAGCTCCATGCGCTGTAGCTGTGGAGGGGGCGGTATATTCCTTTTTTACAACCTCAATTGTGTAAATTGGACCTCGTGGTCTGGTCAACACAGCAGTTTGGAAGATTCGTAATTGGCTTAAATGTCTGTTTACTTGCCTTGAATGGAAGTATACGGCTGAGTCTTGCTCTCACGGGTGATTAAGCTTTACGGATTTACGCCAAATGTGTGGTTAGTGTTCAAAAAGGCTTGAACCTTGTAATTCGAGCTTGCCACTATGAAATGTTGTCTCATGGAAATTCATTTTTTGCATTGCATAACATGCGCATCTGTCTCATCGCAGCGCGGGCTACCTCTTCGTGGCAAAGATGACAGGGGTAAATTACTAGATACGTAAATTGAGCTTTGATGCTTTTCCTTTCTACAGGCGCAATCATGCCCGTCCGGCATTTCCAATCTGGATGCGCTCGCCAGTCCACTTGTCGTCGCTGCGCAAAACGGGCCAGCTGGTACCGTCGGCCTTGGCTAGGGTCAGCTCCAGCTTTGTACCCAAAACGCGGAACGATGACTTCTCCGCGTCAATGGGGGCGAAGAGCTTGTAAGTGTCCTGGAAGCGCTTGTTGTCGGAGGTGGGAAGGTCGAAGGTGATCGAGTCGGTGGAAAGGTCCACGCGAGCTCGCTCTTTGTCGATCTTCTTCAGATATAGGGAAACGTTGACGGAAGAGGCAGTCTGGTAGAAATCGCTCCTATATGGGAGTCTATGTCAGTGGAATGTCCAGTGGGTATGGCCTTGCTTGTCGACTTACCTGACCGAATCGACCTTCTCCTCGCCTGGGGGCTTGGCCTTGCCAACGAACAAGTGCCGTGTCTTCTCTGTGCAGCCCGGGATCTTCAGGAACTGGTCAAATTCCAGCACCCGTCGCTTGCAGCAAGACCACCCTTTACTACCCTCATGGAACACTGGGACGCCTGGGTGGTGTGTGCATTTCTCCTCGTCCCGCGCAGTCGATCCTGTATAAGTAGCACCGCATCCTTTGCGACGGCAGATCGCGTTGGCAGGGATCTCCAGATCAGGATCATCCGAATCGGGCTCTGGCAGCGGGGCAGCGGGAGGCGTAGGAGGCGGGATGGCGGGGGAGAGGGCTGGTCGCTCAGGTAGCTTGGTCTCAACGGGGGCAACCTGCTCGGGAGGAGGCTCTGCGACCTTGGGTGGCTCGGGAGCAGGTGTGTCGTCGACAGTCGAGTGCTTTCCGGTGGTGCATGGTGGGATAGCGAGGAATTCCTCAAAGGTCAAGACGCGGGGCTTGCAGCATTTCCAGCCTGATGAAAATTAGCTTCGTTGTCAATGATAGCGGCTGTAGTAGTTCCAGCCTGTATCGCAATGATGCATGGACGACACATCGAAATGTAGACGAACGCATAGGGAATAGCTCCAGCAACCAAGGTACTTACCTTTCTGCCCTTCGTGGAACACTGGGGGCCCCGGATGATACACGCACTCTTCCTCCGGGTCGGAGAAAGTCTTTCCACATCCCTTGTGAACGCACTTATCGGCCATGGTGTGTAACGAGCAGTAATTGAGAATCGCGGGGAGGGAAAGCCACTATTAATCTGGCGCAGGTTACCCAACGCGGTTTAGCCGGGAAGCTCGAAGGTTCCATCGCGGAGTCGGTCTGACCGCTGTGTTTGAACCCGTTCCGCCAACCTTCAACATTCAACGTCAACGTCCGCCCATCGTCATGTTTCCTACACGGACCCTCTTCGGTCAAGCTCGCCTGACTCTTTTCACTCGCGTTGGCTGTGGTCTTTGCGACAACGCCCGAAAAACCATCGTCCAATTGAAGAAACGCCGGCCTTTTGAATACATCGAGGCGTACGTCGACGAGCCCGAGAATAAGAAATGGAAGGACGTCTACGATTTTGATGTGCCTGTTCTTCATGTTCAGTCCGTAAAAGAGGGTCTTCCCAAGGAGGCTACGCTCTCCGACGCGCGGAAGCTCTTTCACAGAATGACTGAACAGGAGGTCGAGCAATTGGTGGACGAAGCCGAAACTTAAGCCGTGGGCGACGATGCCAGTCATTTTATTTGACTTGGGACAGCTACGATGGGCAATAGAAGGGCCGACAAGCAGGTCTAATCCAGGCTTAGGCGCTTGTCGAGCGGCGCAAAGGGACAAGGTCTGAACATATGGTACCGAATCTGGAGTATCATGGATAGCCAGGCAGAAATGATATCTGTCTTGGCTATCTTTAATGACTTCCAAGTCGAGCAATGCCGAATGACTCGCTCTCCATAAGAAAATTGCAGAGTCAGTTGCCTTTGCGAATGCTCGTTCTTGGATGATTCCCATGTCAAGGACTACCAGGAAGTGGTGGAGAAGAAGATAAAAGTGAAATTACTGAGAGGGTCGATTCTATTAAAGAGAGAGAGAGAGAGAGTGGGGCTAAACTATGGACACTGCGAAGCCTCAAATATGCATGCCACTCACGAAATCAGCCTTGTACGCTGCGTGACTTATCAACATATTCGATCGACTCCAGACTATACCTCAAGCTATGCGTCTGTAGTGAACATTGTAAATAGAAAGCTTCAAAAAGAGTTATGCGGTTCCGTGTCATAGGATCTCGGAATTTGCCTTGCGCGAGCCGGCGTTTGGTGCACTTAATTCCGAACTTCTATTTCCATCGTGAACTTCCACCTCGACCTTCCCACCCTCTTCCCTGAAGCCCGAAATTAATTTCAATGGAGAATGAAAGCACAAAGAGCCACTCTAATGAGTTGACAAGAACATCGAGTGATTCGACAATTTCAGAAGCCGCATGTCGGCGCAGGCTTCAAAATCGCATCAACCAACGGTCTAGCCGTGAGTGGCAGTCCTACGTTCACAGACGCCCTTGGACAATAATTGACCTTGAGAACACAGGTAGAAGAAAGGCATTACAAGCTGCAAAGCAAGGAAGGGGACAAGGACGGCGCTGGATCATCTACACCGATGAAGTCAACGCGTCCTCGGTGAACAAAGTTCCGGCTGTGGCAAATTCAACACAGCTTGTGAAATCACTCTCAATCCACGACTATAGCAGTAGTCTCCACAATGGCCCAGTGCGAACGCAATGCGCCCAATACTATGCGGATCTTCACAAGATGGTTGCTGAAGTAGCTGCCAATAAGGTGCAATCGCCTGAACTCCTCCTACCAGTGACCCAGTTCAACGTCATGCGCGCGATCTTTGAGAACGCTGCAAGTATGGGCTTGACATGGGATATTCTTAGTGAAGACATTGCTTCATTGTTCAACATCGCTGGTCCAGTTACATTGCACCTGCCACCAAGCCTGGAGCCGAGCGACACGCAGAAGAGCATCGTTCATCATCCCTGGATTGACCTAATCCCAATTCCGTCACTTCGCGACGCCCTTTTACTACAAGCAGATAAATACGACGAAGACCAAATTTGTGGTGACTTTTACGGGATATGCAGTTCTTCTCCAGAGGTCGGAATCATAGTATGGGGCGAATCGTGGGATCCCTCAGCATACGAAGTTTCAGAACGAGTGTTCAATAAGTGGATTGAGCTTTTCAAAGGTTGCCCAGAGCTCATAAGATCTACGAATTATTGGCGGAGGAAAAGAGGAGAGAAGCCATTGAGATTACCGAATCTAATAGACTCCTGCGTTGAAAATTTCACGGACTGACCAATGCTGGACCCGGTCATTGCATGTACGATAATCTCACAGCGAGTACTTTTCGCCAATAAAATCTTCACTCATTTCCCAAAGCTTAGTCCAGAGTTGCTCGTCACGAACCTGACTGTGCAGTTCGTCGTTCGCCACGGCGTTCTGCTTCAAGAACGATCCATTGAATTCTTGAATAGACGTGTCAGTTGGTCTCCATGTGAGTTAAAATATGGAGGCTCTTACCGGCGATGGTGGGATCAATCATTCCTGTGATTATGGTGGCTGCGCCTTCGGAGCGACTTGTCCAGGGGGGCAACTCGTACTTGACTCCATCTGCATCGGTGAAACCTGTAGTGATATGAGCGCAACGTTCTTAATTGGTACGTTAGACCAGCCATACCGCCCTCGTTTTTCCTCAGTTCCTCAATTTGAGCCCAAAATTCAGACTTGACGTGCTTTTGCAGCCCGGTCATAACCGCTTAGACATCGAAATCAGCTTTGTATATCATCAAGATGACTTAAGATTCACATACCACCAGGGTCAATACTGAAAACGCGAATACCATGGCTCTTCAGCTTCTCGCCGAGTTTCTTGGCGAACATGACCCGTGCGACGTTAGACTGACCATATGCGGTCCAGCCTTCGTAAGTCTCGCCATTCTGTCGAGATGTCAAATGAATAGTTGGAAGCGAGGAGTGACAGATCTTACACTGAAATCAAGATCATCGAGATTGATCTTTCCATTCCGGACCGCTGAGCTCGCCACTATGATAACCGAAGACGAAGGACCGGCAGCTTGAACCTTTGCCAACAGAAGCTTGACAAGCAAGAAATTCGCCAGGTAATTGACACCAAATTGCGACTCAAATCCATCTTTGGTCTTTGTATAAGGACAGGCCATGACTGCGGCCACACACACCACATGATCAATTTTTGGAACGTCGGCAAGATCATTCTCAACAGCGTTGCAGATAGCCCTCATGTCACCAAGTTCCATATTCAGGAAGCGCGTGGCGACATTGGGGTTCTTTTCTTTGATCATGTTGATGATGGGTATGACCTTCCACTCGGCTCGGGCGCTCAAGATAAGGAGCTTAGGATTGACAGCGGTGAGCTGGACGGCGAGCTCACCAGCAATGGATTCCTGCGAGACACCGGTGATCAAGACTAACCTCGTGTTAGCTTCTTAATCTCATTTGCGATTTTAGGATTGTGTTGGAATACCTGTCTTTCCAGCAAGGGCTTTGCCGTATTTCTCGAGGACAATCTCGGAGCGAAGGATCTGCATAGACATTTCGAAGAAGACTCGATGGGAATAAGTCAAAGTAGACTAGAGAAAACACAGGATTCACTCGTGCTGAGACAGCATTACACATGCAAAGGCCTTCTTATAGTCTCTCTCACAGCTATAAAGTCCGTACTTTCACGAGAGTAAATAAGCCATAACTCCGACGGAAGTAAGAAAAACCCTCAATCTAGCTCCACAGAGGCGATGAATCTCCCAGAAAGGTTAGATCATTGTCATCACCCACTGTCAAAACCTTAAATCCAGGAGCCCCAGTGAGACTAATACATCGAGACTGCTTGCAAACGTGCAGCAAAAGCGACTTTCACATTTGGTAGTTCACAGCATCGGTACATAGAGCAAAATTAGCAACTACACCAAGCAAGGGCCACACCAGTAGTGAACTATTCATCGAGGGGCTAGCGTAGACTAAATAATTAAATTGACTTTTGGCAAAATGAGTCCAACCCACACCATGCTCAACAAAGGCTCGATTGTTTAGATCACTTAGACAAACGTATCTAGATACTGACCAGGGCATTTGACGAATCATATATCATATAAGGCCCCACGGTGAGAAGATAACTAACCTGATATGGTTAGTCTCTTGTCATCATCCAGAACCTTTGCGACACTGATATTATCCCACCCTTGCCTCCTGTGGTGCTTTTTGCGATGCTTTGCTTTGAAGCATTTTTCATGAATGCTCTTCCTTATATTTTATAAAAGGTTGAAGCATTGTGCTCACCATTAATCACAGCTGAGTTGACCATCTTCATCCCCATGAACTAATGTCTTGGCATCGTCAGCCCCTGCTTAATAGATCGGACGCGATCGGAGAAAAGAAAAATGTTCCAAAGTACGGAGTGATCCACAAGTAGACGTGAAGCTGAAATGAAATGCCTGCAATTCAAATTGAGAATCAAGAGAAGGCACATGTAGATAAAACGCCATTGGTCGCCACCAGCAGCATTATCCTGCGATGTGATGCATCGTTGATCATGGTTCATCCCTTATGAAGATGACCCCTAAAGTCGATTTCAGCTTTCAGCTCCCTTCAACTTTAAAAGGCTCGCCCCGCGCCCATGCGTCGTTGGTATCATACAAAGTTCCTGTAACCCGTGCGTATTTTGGTATGTCCACAGAAGGAACGCTGCTTCTCCCGCGGCAAGATGCCCCTATCAAGTCGAGAGTCGTCGTCGGTATCGTATCGTTTCCACTTGGATCGCGACTTTTCTTGCTGCGGCGGATATGACTATTACCGCAACTCTTTCCTCGACGATTGCCGCTGAGTTCGGTTCGCTCGCGATCATCTCATGGCTTGGGTCCGGATACTTGATCGGCCTTACCGCGACGCAACCACTGAGCGAAACAATTGAGTGATATCTTTGGCCGGAAGGTTAGCTTTTGCTTCGCGGCATGCATGTTCACGATCGGGAACTTGATATGCGGCTTTGCTAGCTCGAAGGCTGTTCTCATTATAGCTCGAGTCCTCGCTGGTATTGGAGGCGGAGGCTGCATTTCCATTTCTACCTTTATCGCCTCAGATTATGTTCCCCTCGCCGCGGTACTTGGCAGGGTACGTTTGCAGTGATGTATACATTGGGAATTGGCCTGGGAGCAGTAATAGGAGGTACGGTGAACGATACCTTTGGCTGGAGATGGGTATTCAATGGAATCACTCCATTCTCCCTCATTTCGTGCGTACTGGTCGCGGTATTTCTCCCGAATGGCACAGAACGGGAATATGGTCTTTTTGAGATGCTTTGTCGTGTCGACTTCGTTGGATGCGTCACCCTAGTCGCATCCTTGGTACTTCATTTGACTGGATTGAACCATGAAGGCGATCAAATTGTTACAGCGCAAGTCCTTGTTACGAACCCCCTCGGGACGGGCTTATTTGTGCTATTCCTTTTGATTGAGTGGCGCTGGGGAAAAGAGCCTATCATTCCTCTATCGCTCTTCCGTCGACGCACCGTCGTTGCGACATGTCTGACTGCCTGGTTCATGTCATCATCGCTTTACATCCTTCTTTACTATGTGCCGTTATATTTGCAAATTGCTAGGCTACACACCTACGCAGGTCGGACTTCGCATTTTGCCTTACTCGATGGGAGCCGGGTTGGGCTCGTTCTTGATGGTCTCATCATTCGAGTCACGCTGTAAATACGGCGCCTTTCGATATATCACCCCGATGTCCATGGTCGTCGCAACTGTCGGGTTGGCTTTCATTGGGAGAAACATACACTGGATGATACCAGAGCTTTATCTTCTGTGTAAGGGTGTTGGCATTGGTGGAGCACTGACTGTGTTGATTTTGGCCATGCTCCATTCTGTGCCACACCGCTCGCACGCCACGGGCACCTCTGCCCTGTATGCCTTCCGATCGGTTCGACAGTGGGGCTCTCCAATGCAAGTGCCATTTTCCACGGTGAGCTAAACAGGTATGAGCGGGAGAATGGGTCTAGCTGTGACGCGACAAATGCTTGCTAGGGAGCCCTACATGGCCGCTTTTTGGCGAGCCGTGGCATTTGCATTGACGGCATTAATTTGTGGGCTCCTGATCGATTTGAATCCCAAGGGGAAGAACAAGGTGGAAGATACCGGATACCGGTTGATCGATATTGGCGACCCAAGAAAAAACCCTTCTCAAACCTCCAGGCAAAGTCTTTGGACATAGCCTACTTGAATCATTCAAAAATTTCGGTCCATTCGGAGCATGTTTTCCCGGTCAACCAAAACTTCCAACACTTCCAAGAAAGACTAAGTTACTTTCTTCGACTTCTGATAGCAATGGAACAGACAAATGACAACTGGTACCTTGACAATCCACATCGAGAACTGTTTTCTCTCCATAGGTTCATAGATCGAATAAACATCAAAACGTTGGGACAGGTCATGTGATCAGCCCGTCACGTAGGCAACGCACCTCGGAACGGACTTCCTAAACGGGACAGCACTACCGGCATGGGTCCGGTGAAATCCCAAGAGCAGAGTAGGAAACGGGTGTTCAGGATTCAGGGCAGCGAAATCGTTTTCGTAGTTGACATAACATATGGCCAGAAATGGGGCAGATTGAAGGTGATGATTTGGTAGCATCGTAAGATTCGATATAGTCCGATCGATGTGTTCAACATGAGGTGACGTCATCAATGGACGGAAGCACCATTTACGGCGAGTTCCGTTGTCTGGACTTTGGAACTGACAAACCCTGCTCAGTCAGATGATTCATGGCATATACTGATAATAGATCTTCATACTGAAAGAGTAGACATTGCATGATTATTTACAAAAGATGGTATGTAATGCACCTGACAAGTCTGAAACGCCTCTATAGACTCTGTGAGCTTTCGAACAACATCATAGCGGGGTTCTAGTTGGTTCTGCGTGATTCGGATCACGATTTGTTTTGAAGCGAGGTGCTCGAGCAAAACCATCAGGGGTATCGGGATAGTAAGGGGTAAACGAAGTACTTTCACAAGTAGAAAAGTAAGCTCTGCTACACACTGCACGGGGGTCGCCGCCTATGCTGATTCGCAAGGCCCCCGCATCTGTGTCTAATTTGTGAGATCCCCGCCTCCTCCACATTCCGTGACGGCGGTCTGGTCCAATGAAACAGCGTAGCTTAGGAATCATCACTGGCTCGATAAGTCTAGCCACTTGGGGATGACAAAGTGAGATTTCCCGAGGAGCTTCGTGTCCTGGGTAATCCGTTTCCCGTCATTCGTTCCGTTTATAAGTGCGGGGTGCCCTCCGACTCTTTTCTATTTTGTAAACTTCTTCCCCCAAACTCATCCATCATTCACCGCGATCATGAGTGGATGTCCCGTTCATAACGCCTCGGCCAATGTGGCCGGTGGTGGTACGCGCAACCGTGACTGGTGGCCCAATGCGCTCAAGCTGAATATCTTGCGCCAGCACACCGACGCTAGCAACCCCATGAGCAAGGACTTTGATTATGCCTCTGCCTTCAAAAGCCTCGACTACTATGCTCTCAAGAAAGATCTGAATGACCTGATGACCGACTCTAAGGATTTTTGGCCGGCTGATTTCGGCCACTACGGTGGTCTGTTCATCCGTATGTCGTGGCACAGTGCGGGTACTTACCGTGTCTTCGACGGCCGTGGTGGTGGTGGCCAGGGTCAGCAGCGATTTGCTCCACTCAACAGCTGGCCCGACAATGTCAGCCTGGACAAGGCCCGCCGTCTATTGTGGCCCATTAAGCAGAAGTACGGTGACAAGATCTCCTGGGCTGATTTGCTCCTCCTGACCGGTAATGTTGCGCTTGAATCCATGGGTTTCAAGACCTTCGGCTTTGCCGGTGGTCGTCCGGACACCTGGGAGGCTGATGAGTCGGCCTACTGGGGCGGCGAGACCGAGTGGTTCGGCACCAATGTCCGTTACCTGCCCGAGAGCAAGGAGCAGGAGGCCAAGCAGAGCGATATCAAGACTCGCAATTTGGAGAACCCATTGGCTGCCACCGTCATGGGCCTGATCTACGTCAATCCGGAGGGCCCCGAAGGTATTCCCGATCCCGTTGCTGCCGCCCATGATATCCGTACCACCTTCGGCCGCATGGCCATGAACGATGAGGAGACCGTTGCCCTGATTGCCGGTGGTCACGCCTTCGGAAAAACCCACGGTGCTGCCCCCGCTAATAATGTCGGTGCCGAGCCTGAGGGTGCCAGTATCGAGCAGCAGGGTCTTGGCTGGGCCAACAAGCACGAGACGGGCAAGGGTCCTCACACCATCACTTCTGGCCTGGAGGTTACCTGGACGAAGACTCCCGCAAAGTGGAGTAACTTATACCTTGAGTACCTCTTCAAGTATGACTGGGAGCTCACCAAGTCGCCTGCCGGTGCCAACCAGTGGGAGGCGAAGGACGCCGACGACATTATCCCTCATGCCTTTGACCCCAACAAGAAGCAAAAGCCTCGCATGTTGACCACTGATCTGTCTTTGCGCTTCGACCCCAAGTACGAGAAAATTTCTCGCCGGTTCCTCGCCAACCCTGACCAGCTCGCCGATGCTTTCTCCCGTGCCTGGTTCAAGTTGTTACACCGTGACATGGGTCCCCGCGTCCGCTGGCTCGGCCCTGAGGTTCCCAAGGAGGTTCTTCTGTGGGAAGACCCCCTCCCCGCTCTTAGCCACCCTCTGATCAACCACGAGGATGCTACTGAGCTGAAGCGTGATATTCTGGCTTCTGGCGTTGATCCCACCAAGTTCATTGCAACTGCCTGGGCTTCCGCCTCTACCTTCCGTGGCGGTGACAAGCGTGGTGGTGCCAACGGCGCTCGTATCCGTCTCGAGCCCCAGAGCAAGTGGGAGGTCAACAACCCTGCTCAGCTCCAGGAGGTTCTGAAGGTCTTGGAGGATGTTCAGCGCCGATACAACTCCTCCCAGACCGGAAACAAGCGTGTGTCGCTGGCCGACCTCATCGTTCTGGCCGGCTGCGCTGCTTTGGAGAAGGCGGCCGGTATCCCGGTTCCCTTCACTCCTGGCCGCACCGATGCTACTCAGGAGCAGACCGACGTCCAGTCCTTCAGCTACCTTGAGCCCTACGCTGACGGCTTCCGCAACTATGGTACTTCCAGCAAGCGTGTCCGCAGCGAGCAGTTCCTCGTCGACCGCGCCCAGCTGCTGACCCTTTCTGCTCCCGAGATGACCGTCCTTGTCGGTGGTCTTCGCGCCCTGAACGCCAACTGGGACCGCTCCAACGTCGGTGTCCTGACCCAGCGCCCCGGCCAGCTCACCAATGATTTCTTCATCAACCTTTTGGACATGAACACCGACTGGAAGCCCACGGACGACCGCAACGAGTACTTTGAGGGTGTTGATCACAAGACTGGCGCGAAGAAGTGGACCGCTTCTCGCGTGGATTTGATCTTCGGTCACCACTCCGAGCTCCGAGCTCTTGCTGAACACTATGGTAGCTCGGACGGCCAGTCGAAGTTCGTTCGTGACTTCGTTGCCGCCTGGGACAAGGTTATGAACCTTGACCGCTTCGATGTGACCTATTCATCGGTCGTCGGCCGCCCTACCCCTCGTCTGTGAAGAAAAACTCCTGTGAACATGTGAATGTTTATGACCCTGTATTCAAATTTAGTTACGAAGATTGATATTCCCAATCAATGATGAATATTCAAATGAGATTTTTTCCACTTGTAGGAATGCATCGATCAATAATGGAAGTTTTGTCGCCGGTGCAAGTCATGAGACGACGCTGCGAAGTATCTATTCTGAACGTCAGCGGCTTTTTAGTTTAGGAAACCAGTATTACATTCGAAATTTTGTTCCCGACATAATCATTGACCAGGGTCGACTAATGTCTATGTGATAGCAATCTGTCAGATAGAATTTTCAAGTCATAGTAGCCATTGAAGTAGTCTTTATCGCTGTCAAGAGAAACCAAATACTATCAGACTCGTCATCAATCCCTTTCCCTTCGCCAAATATATCGAGACCGATTCAGCCCGGACCTAAGCCCACTCGACACCGGATCGTCCGCCCGCTCCTGAGCCTACTTCGAAGAGTAGCGACCACATTCCGCGGGCGTGATGTGTATGTCTGTCTCTATTTTTTGGGTCAACATCCGATGTAAATAGAAAGACAATCCAGCAGCCTAGAATCGAGTCAAAGCATGACGACCAATACTCGATTCAATAGACGAATCAGGGTCGTGAACGGAGCACTGTGGACCCATTCCTATCCAGACCGAATCCGGGAATTTCTGCGTATTCGCACTGCAAAGGCTATCCTCAGTCTCGTACAACCTATCAGGATAGCCAGAACATGAACGGAAACTCATAGATCTGTCGATCTTAGTGTGGATTTCAGGCTCCTAGGTTCCACATTGAGTCTAGTTTCAGGGTCTCGCTCGACGCGACTGCATAAGACGAATACGACTCCCTTCTATTGCTTACCCTCGCCCAGCCTATGGAGACCGATCCCTCTAGCGCAAAGCCCATCAGGGCTCGGCGGACTCATCGGAAGTCCCGTCTAGGATGCAGTAATTGCAAAAGGCGTCGCATCAAGGTGAGACTCAAGACAGTCGCTATTCTCGCCATTCTCCCCCCCATCAATGTTTGCCACTTCACATTCGTCTGAGTCCTAATTTGATTTCATTTCGCTCCTTCCTGTATTTCAAGTTGTCCACCTCTTCTGTGCTCTTTTATAGGCTTGTTTCCACGATGTTGAAGATCTTGCGCCACCTTTCATGTTTTTCTCAGGGGCGGTACGACGACCTGGCATCCGAAACTAACTTGTTCCAGTGCGACGAGAAACGACCAGCCTGTTTCAACTGCTCAAATCATTTAATCGAGTGCACATATAACACGTCCCCGCGATCACCAGAATCACAATCGCCAGGACTCTCCGAGCCTTCTTCTGAGCAATCGCGTCCGAGTCGGTACCGACCTCAGCGATTTGCGACAGGCGGACTCAAACAGACTTTCAAATTATGCAAAAGTCAGCCATCAAAATGCACGCAATCAGTAGGGACGCAATGCCATCTCTCCTCGGGATTGATCGGCACGATCTCGATAGCCGATCTACAACTCTTTCACCATTACACCATCGAGACCTACCGAACAATGACAAGCGATGGCGATCCGAGACGTATATGGCAAAAACACCTCGTCGAATGGGGTATCGAGTTTCCATCAATATTACACCTGATCTTGGCTCTATCAGCCCTTCACCTAGCACACGAGCAACCCACACTTCGAGACCAATATCTCCAACAAGCTGATGACCACTTCACGTTTGGAATCCGATCAGTCACGAGTGTCCTCTCGCAACTCAATGCCGGAAATTGCCAAAAGATCTACATGTCCGCCATTCTCATATGCTTCATCTACTTCGGCAGAGGTCCACGGTCCAATGAATATCTTGTCTTCAGCGCCAGTGGGCCAGCCGAATGGTTAATGTTGATGCGCGGAGTCAGATTGATTGTGACATCTCACCGTGCGGGAGTGTTTAGTGGGCTTCTCGAACCGAAAGCTGATGATCGAAGTCATGATCTGACACCGGAAATGCGCAGTGAATTACACGAGCATACCGTCCACACTGAAGCAGTACAACGTCTCATTGAACGGGATATACCAGACGAGGGAGATCTTGGAAGACATTTGGCTGCCATCAAGAATCTTCTCGAAATTATGCGTGAAGTGTACGAGAGACGATCTGCGGGTTCTTCGGGCGTGGATTTAATGGATCTCTTGATCGGATGGGTGTATCGACTTTCTGAGGAGATGGTGGGATCTTTAGAGCGCAAGGAACCATACGCCCTTGTCATACTGGCGCACTGGGCGGTGCTCCTGAAATATATGGACTCGGCGTGGTTCATGAGCGGTTGGGCCGAACATGTGCTCTCAGGTATCTCCACCTCTTTGGACGAGGAATTCCGTTCATGGATTGAGTGGCCGATGAAACAGCTTCATCAAATTCAGCTAGAATAGCTCTGTATATTATTGAAATCAAAAAATTTCGTTTAAAATCCCACCATCGCTCTGAAATCTCTGGATCCCTTGTACTTGAAGTTTTGCAGGGTGGGTCAACTATTATGCCCTCTGTGGCTACAAGTACCACAAGTACCCCCCCCAAACACGTTTTTCATGTTTCTGAAAATAATAAAATTTCTGCCTGATCCATGAATTAACCAGGGTTCGTGAGATGTAAATCTCAGATAAGGTGCATATGCTATGGATCAACGGGGGTCACAGCTTCAAAAGGGCTCCACCGGTCTCCACCCGTACTCGTTCCAAAAATTTCCTAATCCGGTAATCGCGAAAGATCGTCGATGGAACAAGGCGTTTAGACATGATTTAAAAATAGGTATGTAAATCTAATAAAGAAGAGGACATTTCTCAATTTCTATGTGAAGAAAAAACCCCATCAATTTCCAACTATACAATTCCACTCCTTCACTATGGATATCGACTTTCACCCCGGTGTAAATGGGGGCTCGCCCTGGGTCGACTTCTACCCATATACACCCTCAGCCACAGCCGGCTATGCATTCATGGCCATGTTCGGTATAGTGACTGTTGCCCATCTCATCTTGATGTTTCCCTTCCGCGCCGCATATTTCATTCCACTCGTTTTAGGAGGTGTTTGTACGTTCCTTCTCTCTTCCGCCCTCCCGATCTCCCTAACTTCACCCGACTCGAGCTCGACTTTTAACAGGCCTTCCTACCAGGTGAAACATTCGGATATTACGGTCGGGCATGGTCCCACGAAAGCAGAACAAATATCGGCTCATGGGCTCTCCAAGAAATGCTCATTCTATGTTCTCCTCCTCTGGTCGCCGCCACGATCTACATGGTCCTTGGTCGAGTCATTCGCTCGTTTGGCGCCGAACATCTCGCGAGCATGCGGCCCAAGAAGATCACCGTCATCTTTGTACTGAACGATGTCCTGTGTTTCTGTACACAATTAGGCGGTGCAGGCGTCCAGATCACTGGAGATGCAAACGCCATGAACATTGGCAAGAAAGTCGTCCTCGCAGGTTTGATCTTCTCTCTGATCGTGTTTGCCTTCTTCGTCTGGATTGCAGCGACCCTGCATCGCAGATTGCAGAAATCTCCCACGGATATTCTCGTCATGAATCCGGATATCCACTGGCAGCGGTATATGCTCGCTCTCTATGTTTCTTGTTTTGCCATGATGCTTCGTAATCTGGTGCGGACGATTCAGTTCGGGGCTAATAAGACTTCGCCTATCAATACACAGGAGGTGTATATCTATGTTTTCGATGGGTTCCTCATGTTCTTTTCTATGTTGGTGTTGATCGTTTTTCATCCTGGGAAACTGATCAAGAAGGCTCGTCGTTTGGGCAAGGTCGCTGACTTCCATGAACCTCTTACGAGCGAGAATAGGATGTCGGATGTTCCTTTGACCAAATACGAGCCTCGGATGATGGCAGTCTAGGCCTCTACTGGATCTTCTTGTCTGGCGTTTGGGTTATGATTTTTCCTTTGTTGATCTTCCTTTTTTCTCGGAGTCCACTCTCGTTAATGGTGTTTGAATACCTTACTTTCATTACTTGTTCTTGTTCTATAGATGACAATGTCTTAAGCCCGTTTGGATACTACAATACCCTTTTCCGTGACTTCGCGACGATTTTGACATGGAAGATAATTGAGAGGTAAAATGTCATTATTAGATTCCACTGGAAGGCTAGCCCGCGCCATCCAAGGTCCGTCCATATGTCCAGACAAGACAAATTAAAAAAACTCATTACAGACATCAGATCACGTAAATGGTGTGTGCCAGAACGAAGAAGTCCTCTGGAGATTAGGGGCACATGTATGACCCAGATCAGCCAGAACCTGAAAATCCAAGATCAAACATCGGCTGTCAATGGTACATCTAGAACCACACAATCCCCACAACTAGTCCAATTACCACTGCCATGCAACTACCTCGTAGCTCTGGCGAGTGGTGACTCGCAGCGTCGGTGGGTTGATCACAAGGCAATTTCTCTGAGATTTGTGTCGGCGTGGGAAAAGCCAGTTCCTTCTCTGTCTGGGGCATCGAGAGTTCTGCGTGACTTGCAGATGCACGACCCCAAATATTGACTCAACATATTCTGAGCCAGTTCGGATTAATGGATGGAGGGCGCGATTATGTGACCATTCTTTTGTGGTCTCCCAGAGGCCAATTACGGAACGGCAGGCCTGCTGCCAGAGGTTGCGCAGAGTGGGGAATTGCAGTCCCGAATCGGCTTGGGGAGGTGTGTGTGAGGACATCGATTCATCAATCAATTGCGGTGTGTTTCCGGGGGTTTCTTCGAGGTTTGAAGTTGGCGAGGGAGCCATGTTTGAGGGCGCAAGCGTAGGGGGAAGGTTCGCGTTCTCGGTGGCATAGCTCCGGTTCGTAAAAGGGGTGAGAAGTTGATAGTCGTCAAGTTGCTGGATGAAATACGTGCGGAACGCGCGAGCTCTTCGACTGAATTTGTAAGAAGATTCGGTGCCATGCAAAGCGCGACTTTTATTTTCGGCGGGGGCGACCTCGCTAGGGATTGTCGCCGCGCCGTGGCCCACGCGTGAAGACCGCGACGGACGGTTCCCACGGGACCTTGATTGCGCAGCCAGGATCCATGACTTGCGAGGATCGACGGGAGGTAATTCCGAGGTAATTTCAGCAGCGCTATCCTGAATGAGAGGGACTTCTAGTAGAGGGGGCCATGTGTTAGCTTAACATTCCAACATTCCTCAGGGGGGGGGGGAGGGGGGGGGTTCAGGCCGATGAACATACGACGGGCTCCAGTGTAGAATGCCAAATTCGCCAGCTTAATGTTGTATATACTCGACAGCGATGGCACCAAGGTGAGCAGCGAGAAAACAATCAGGGCCAGGAGTGGGAGCGCGCCCGGTTTTGCCAGCCCAGGGCGCATTGTCCGCGCACGCCGATCAATGCCGGTGATTTCTGGCGGAGCTCAAACGACAGATTTGATAGTGTCGAGGAGCAAGATTGGCAGCGTCAATGCCATGAAGGAGTGGGGGCGAGACAGTGTTCCAGTTCGGGTGTTTTGAAATCGGGGTCAAGTCTCGGGAAGTGCGAGCAGGCCGCCACAGCAGACGGGCAGAATACGCTTGAATTTGTCCCACTCTCAGCAAACAGGTACAAGGGAAAATAAATAGCAATAGCAATAGCAATAGCAATATGAATAGCAACAGCAAAAAGTGGAGGGGATCCCACGAGCGATAAGGCTTGACAGGATGCTTCGCTCTTTGGCAGGTGTCTTTTTTTTCCCGTCCGGCCCGGATGACGTCGATGACCTGGTCGCTCAGAGTAACGGCTGCAAGCGTCGCGTCTGATAATCTTATAGTTGTGTTGCTCTCTATAATTCCTGGATAACTAGCCCCCCTAGGCATAGACCATACCTGTTTACCACTTTTTGACGTCGCTCTATGCAGGCTTAAACAAGGAAATGGCGCCCATCTCGGGGGCCAAAACGTCCAAGCTTCACGTTGAGTTTTCCCCAAGGTTCCAAGGATGTTGGCCTGATGACTGCCTGAGGCATCAACCCTCCCCCCACTGCGACAGTAGCTCCTTCCAGACCAGGTTTTGGTTCACCACTCGCCAGCTTCGTAGAGCTGATTATATGCCCTAGTGGCACAGGGCGAACCAAGGATGATGTGAGCCAAGCAAACATTCTCGGGGCAACTCCCGCGCTCTCCCTAGATAAGCAGTAGATCGACAGCCCGTCTCACCTGCATCGCTCGAGGACCTCTCAGGGCTGAGAGTGTGGCAGGCGGCTCAAGCCGCTCACCGTGTTGGGGCTTTTAGCCGAGACAGTAGTCATGAGGTGGAAAGCAAAAGATATAGAACTGATCGACCGACTATAAACACATGGTATATGATATCTCATATCGCCATCGATGATCCTTGCATCTTATATTCGCGTGGGCTCACTTTAATCATGATGTACTGTAGTATACCTATCCTAATAAGTGGAGACAATCTTCTTCAAGCCAGTATGTCCCCAAAAAAGAACTGGCTATGGATTAACCAGTTTCGAGCCGGCGACTCGAGAAATGACGGCAGCCATTCAGGAAGTGCAATGAATGAGCGACCCAGAGGCTCCTCACCACCACCGTTGGCATGTAAAGAAACAAGAGCTTGTTCGAGTTGGAAGTATTCTGTCCGATGTGTCGGGCCCTGGAATGATCCCATCATGGTCGACCCAGTGGGGCTCGCCTCGAATCGATCAGGGCCACTTAAGCCCGCGCGCAGGGCACCGTGTAGTCCCTCTAACACCTTCACGCCTCGTTTCGCAAAGGTATTATGCGGTGCTTGTCGATATAGGAGACCGAACGCATCAAAGAATCTATTGTAGCTGCGCTGAAGGATGGAGTCGGCAACAGTGTGCATTCCTTCCTTCAACAATCTTCTTTCATCTGCCTGGATAGACAGTAGACATACACCGAGCGTGGCTAATGAGTCAACGAGGGCGACTGGTAACGTGAATAATCTGTCAATCGACCCTCCTTCCTCGTTTCCAGTAAGCGCGTACAGCTTGCCGATGCACGAAATGATTTTGCATGTCGTTTCCATCAGAGACCGGCGATGGGAGAGTGCGAGCAGATCTGGTCCGGGCTTGGCTCGTACACTGTGGCCGTGGTGCAGATTTTTGCAAGGGTCCATGAACGATCTATAGAGTGACGCCTCGATGATATGGATGAACAGACCAAGCGTCTCTCTCTTCATTGTGAGTGCAGGATGAGCCACGTCCCAGGAAACATCGGGGCTCTCGAGGGAGAATGGAGGAGGTAATTGGTCAAGGATAACTTGATGGAAGCGCTGCGCGAATTCTGATGCTACTGCCGGTTCTTGCTGGTCACTTTTCCATGACGGAGGGCTCATAAATGCTGTTAGGTATCGAGCCAACTTGATGTGGAAAATTCGATCAGTGAAGGGCGTGAGAACGTAAGGTTTCACGGTAAACGGTTGTAGATTGTCGTGTGGAGGCTCAATGTCAAAGTATCCCTCCGGGATCAGTGGCCAGTGACCAAAGAAGGTGCACATATACCTGCATTGGACGGGTAAGCAATGCCTTGATGTCCCGAGTACGATTCTAGTTCATACCGATCCCAAACGTATAAATTCCAAAAGGTCCGTCTCCGTAATTCCATCTCCAAATCGCTGATAGGAATACCTGGATCTTTCAGATGCAGCCCCATCTCATGCGCATCCCTGACAGCCGTACTGAGAACAGACCAGCTGGCCCGGACCTTTCCGTAGTTTTTCAAATAGCCCACATGTAAGAACCTATGTTGCACCGTCTCTATCGAAGGCTTTTTCGTCGGCGGCTGGGACTTGTCGAGCTCGTCGGCGAGCGACGAATACCACTGCTCCATAGCCTCTGGATGCGACTTCAATACCCCTATGGTTGGAAATTTGGAATGCGGGAGAGACTGGATACTAAGAAGACAGACTCGAAGAACAAGCAACCCGAAATCAATGTCTTCGTCCCGAACAGCTTCACCCGATCGATCGTTGCTCTCCTGGGCTATCCACCAGGACATATACCTAGTCTGGAAGGAAGGTGGGTGAATTGTTTCGTAGAGTCGGTTAAGCTCTTGCAGAAACATGCTCACAAGGAAGTCCGTCACCGATTTATCGGGCCACAACTTTGGTGGCCTTGATCCAGAACGTGAACATTGTTCCTTTTTCGTCATTTTCAAAGGTGGAGGGACATGACTTTGGAGTTCCTTAGTCAGTAGGTGAGTGAGGGCACAGTGTCAAAGGGCAACGGACAGGCTCCGAGGCGCATGTGGGGAGAGGCTGGTCGACCCTTGCGAGTGATACCCCTGGGATTCGAAGATGTCCACATCTACAGTATTGTCTGACTCGTCCGATGAGAGTGTCGTTGATGTTTCGGCTTCACTATGGGTCGCTGCAGAGCTTGCTCGTCCGCCTCGCGGGTTCTGGCTGTGGGTCTTGCCTTGCTGCTGATGAACCATGGAATAGACGCAGAGGTGCTGTACGCCACGGCCAGTACAGTGGTTACAGGGCTTCTGCCGATTGCACTTTGGCCGGCGTCAGCATGTTGGCTCCTTCAGATCACCAAGAATGGATACCTTTTGCTTCCTGCGATTACATTCGAGACAAGACTTGATCGGTTTGCGACGGGTTCTTTTTTCGGCATGCATATCGATGTTATCGATTCAATCAATCTAAAGGCGGAAGTGAAAGTCGATTACTACCATCTTCTGCAGATTTCAAGGTTTTAGTACCTCAACCGTAAGCTGACAAGACTCAAAAAGGCCCCCATTTCAGGAACCGCAAGCCACTTTACATCGCGTGTACTTATCAGTCGACCATGCAAAGCTTGCTCAAAACTTCCTTCCGTCAAAGCTGTGGCCCCAGCCTGGCTAGTGTCATATCTTTCCTGTACAGGAATATGCATCATCATCATGCACGATGAAACCGTGAGAAAATGAGATTTCCCCACAGGTCAGGAACACGTGTGATCTGCCATACGATTCAGTGATGATCTGCTTTGCCACCATTGCCGTGCCGAAATCCAAATCCTCTCCCTTTTATTATTTTTTTTACCGCCGAGAATCCAGCCCAAGAATTAGCTCTTACTAGATTTAAATTAGAGCGCATGACCAGTCTGCAGCTCAGTGGACCCTCAAGAATGGCGCGGTACAGAGTTGGGGGCCGGAACTCTTCAGCGGAGAACGTCCGCAGGAACGGCGACCCCGACACGTGGACGCACGTTTATTAAAAGGTTATCTAGGGTCTTCGATTGCTGGGTTATACGATCATCGGCGCTCGGAGGTGGACCCAGTCCCGATGTGCGACGTCTATTCCTTGAAATCGTCCGGGCTCCACCAATTCCCCGGGCCTCAGGTTGATACTGGTTTTGCCCCCAAATGTAAGGGAAATGAGGAATCAACGGCAAAGAAAGCACTGCATTGTGGAAGTGGAAGACGTCATCCTTCGAGTTTCAGAGAGTCTTTGGTGAATCTAATACTGATGAAGGCGATCTTCTCGGGCAACATATGCCATTTCCAGAATATTCGACCAAGCCACATCTTGCTAGAACCTGTCAGCTGAGATGAGACGACTTTTCAATTTCAGCAGCTAGTCTAAGGAGAAAGTCGCCCAACAGTAGCCGGGTAAATACCCATTTCGAGCAGATGTCACTACCAGTATGGTGTAGCTATCAACCAGCGAGGGAAACCAGTGGTATGAGCATCGTATCTACGAGTGTCGGACATACTTGACAGACGTGGTAGGGATAAAGAGCTCAAAGAAAGAAGACCAAGACTGGACCCTCCTCATACATTAAATTGCGTCAACTTGGCGAAAAAATCCACTTCACGCTTCCTTCCCTGGTTGCCACCTGTCAATGCGCATTGCACTTGTCAAACAACTGTGATGGCTATTAGATAGGTCATCACGAACCATCGGCGTCTCAATCCAACTCAACATAAAGCTAATCAAGATTATTTACGTCATAGCATTCCAATGCTTTTTCCAGTTACATCCCGAAAGTGTCCAAGACGATCTCGGGAGGTTGCTTCCTTTTCAACGGATTTCCTTCAAATCAGTCCCCTCCGCTCCTACCCGGTTAGCTTTCATCCCTCCAAATTTGAAACCCTGCCCAGACTCCAGAGTTCAAGAGCGGCAAGTTAGTGTTTCATAGTAATCATCTGGCTATGCTCGTGTGGAGTCTGTGGCCTCATCTTCCCAATGATCTCGTTCACTAAGCTCTGGGCTATCAAACTCTTCCTGACCCCAGATTTCCTGTAAAGTAAATCGCACGACCACTTATAAAAGAAAAAAAAGCTTAATTCTGGTCTAATGACCCCGGAGTATCTATCCCTTGTACACCCTAATCCCTTGTTGTGGGTCCCCCTGGTAATAGCGGGCATACCTTGGCCTTGCGGAATTCAGCAAAGCACATACTCCTCCATGGCTCACTCCCTTCCCGAGGTCAATAATGAAGACACCCTATCCAGATCCCTTTAGGACTTGGGCCTCCAGGGGCATAAATCCTGGCATTCGGGTATGATCTCTCACCATCACCCAACCTAACGCCCCCACGAATTTGTACAGAGAATTAGCGACGAATCTTATACGCACGCGACCTGTTCTGAGATTCGAGCACCCACAGCTCCCTACATCAAATGGGACGCCCGAAAGTACTCGCCGACACATTCGTCATTGAGCCCAAGTCAACTTTCGATCCGCGCACGAGCATCCACAGCGTCGATGATGGATCTCCGAATCCAGCGCAGGAAAGTACGATTCAGCTCTTCGAGAGCGACCCTTCACCCGAAGACCAACAATGGCGACCGGGCGTGTGCGACTGGCTGGTTTTCATCTGTATCGTGATCCTGGCGATGATGGATGCATTTGACGCTGCTGTGTTGATACCCGTCTTGCCGGTATGTGTCGCGCTCGGTCGATCTCCCAAGAACAACACTGATGCAGGGTACAGGAATTAGCAAATACATTCAACGAACCACTCGCCAACACCCTCTGGATAAACACAGCCTATCTAGTCTTCAGTGCCGGGAGCCAACTCTTCTTCACAATGATGTGCGAAGTCTTCAGTCACGGTCCCGTCTGGATCGTGGCAGTCGTATTCACTACGATCGGCACGGGCATGTGTAGCGGGTCAATGAGTCTGACCGAGCTCGTCATCGGTCGCTTGATTCAGGGGATCGGTGGTGGCGGCGCAATGAGTCTCTGTTTCGTGATAATGGCCGAATCAGCACCCAAGTCTGTACACTCGCGGTATTCATGTTATATTTTGCTCACGCGACTGCTGGGGACTATCGTGGGACCGATCGTTGGTGGGTTGTTTGTTGATTTCGCGCACTGGACATGGGCGTTCTATTTCAACTTCGTTTTCTGTGCTTTGAGTCTCCTCGTTATTCCATTCGCGGTTGATCTGCGTGTGTCGAAAAATATCCCGCTTCGCAAGCTACGAATTCTCGACTGGTCTGGTGCTACGATGGCTTTCATTGGCCCGGGAACGATTCTTGTTGGATTGAACTGGGCCGGGAGTGTATACCGGTGGAATGACTGGCAGACATGGATGCCAATTGCGATAGGAGTTGCAATTTTTATCGCCATGGTGTTCTATGAGTCGACTTGGGCTTTACATCCGCAATTTGGTGTGCGTGTGTTTAAGACGCGGGTGACGGTCATGTCCTATGTGGGATGCTTCCTTCATGGCTTTGTGGTGAGATCTGGATCTGGAAATCATAGGGGAGGTGGTAGCTAACCTTCATTTCAGGTTTACTGCCAGCTGCAGTTCTTTACCTTCTATTTCATGTCGACAAAATATTTCAGCACGGTACTTTCTGGCGTCTCGTTATTCGCAATCACTGGGTTTGCCATTATACCAGCCGCCCTGGTGGGCATTATCATGGCTCGGGAGTCGCAGTGCTCCAAGTGGATCATTTCTGGGGGCTGGCTCCTCGTTACCCTCGCATCAGGATGCTCCATTCTTCTTGATAGCACAACCCCGACCGTTGGGTGGGTGTTTTTATTCTTCTCGGCTGGACTTGGTCACGGCCTCTTGCTGTCAAGCTACAATATTCGCATCCACGATATACCCAAGTTGGAAGGTGTTTCCTTGCCGACAAACCCAACAACCATTGCTAATTTGATGCGCGCCTGGGGCATGGCATTCGCGATCCCTGTTGGTGGAGTCATCTTTTTAAATCGTTTTGGCGATGAACTCCAGAGTATTGGTCTGAAATACGACCTTATCAATACAGCCAAAGGTTATATTATCTTGATGGATCAGGTACAGATGGCAGAAGGTCAGAGAGAAGCGGTCCAGGATGCTTCCGCCATGGCGCTACAAGTGGTGTGGGAAGTCATCACATGTGTCGCTGCTCTAGGTGGCCTTTCATCTGCCTTTTTGTGGAAGAAAAAGGAATAGACCGCGATCAAGAATAATGAATTGAATCTTTGCCGTCGCGACGATTTCCGACACAGAATTTGACATCAGGGTATAACAGCATTAGGGAGCGTAGAGCCGTTTACAAGCACGAATGTAGGGCGACCCATGACAGTATTGAGTATCTAGGCTAAGGAGCATGTCAGGTCAGGGTGCGCGTCTCATATCAGCGAGCATTGTCTCGTTCATTCAGGAACTGGAGGTGACTTCCTCATGCTCAACCACAACAACTCCTGCTTCTTGAGCTCCTCTTGAATCTTCAGACGGTCGGGCTTCACAAATTCGCGTCCACCCTCGATTTCCCAGCCCTTAAATCGGTCTGTACCAAGTTCGTGAAGTGTTTTCTTCTCAACGATGCTCTACTGGGTCGGGTCATCGCGGTCAAAGTTGAAGGGCTCATTCAGAGAGACAGGCGGGTTTGTGTTGATGCGTGGAATTCTCAAGCTATTGATGGAAGCCGAGTGCACCGTGAGTGAGCGCAGAAGAATCACATCTCCCACGTTACCCATCATTTCATGGAACTCATGACAACGCTGAATCACAGAGTTGTAGAAGTCAAGCCTTCCAGGGTGGTCGTGGCCACTGCCTCAGAGAACCATGTATGGAGACACGCCCTCAGGATGATCATACTATCGGAGAAATTGAGACAAAGCACAGCATTCAGTGATAAATACACTTACAAGATACCGAGCCATGATTTTGATCGCATCGAAGCAGACCATAGTACCGCCCGCATGCTCCTGGTTGTCGGTAAATGAAGCGATTACGAGTAACCTCTGCTCAGGGGAATCGAGGAAATGAACAAAGAAGTCGCTACACGAAAGACCCTAGAGATGACAAACAATGTTAGACAGGAAAAGGGCAGAGGGGAAGGCACTGGATATTGTGCTAGGAACAGACTCAGAACAACATGAATAAACAGTAACTACAATAATGCTTTACCAAATGTAGCTGTTGATAATCTTCGATTTCCAAATGGCGAAAAGGAAGCAAATACTGCGAGATTGGCATAATGTTCAGCTCTATCACTCAGCATAGAGCGATAATCTTTGGTCTGGATATCATCTTGAAGCAAGAAGCAAAATCAATCGCCTAGCCTATTCATCACCAGGACTATCATCCGAATCGCAGCCATTGGCTTGAAACGTAAACCATGTTTTGTCCAATTTGCCACGCGAGCGGGTAGTTGCGAGAAGGCCTCCCTGCACTTGAGATTTCGAGAATTTCCTAGATCCACGACTGCAAGGCAAGGTCGATAGTATAGAGGCGTGCTTGTGTAAATAGGCAAGAGTATCGATAATCTCCTAGCGTTGACTAGAATAGTCCAAATCTAGTTGAGACCACTGGTGTGAATTAGCGTAATTCATCTAGGGATTGGGAAATTAGTTATCTTTCCTTTGGTATTGATTTGAAGGAAATGGAAATGGCTGTGATCCGTCGAGAGACCAAGAACTGTATGTTCAACCATGCCCTCATAGCGCCGCTGTCTATGAATCATGCCTAGATAGATAATCAGCGCCGCTGTGGAAATGTAGTAGAAGAGCTGACCCATAAACGCAAGGGCCTGGGGCACGCCAAGGTGAGATTGGCCTTTTTTCGTGTCCATGATAATAAAACTGATGTCTAGGCCTTCTTACCCAGCGTCTGGTTGGTACCAAAGAAAAAGATCAGGGCCTCCTTTAAGACGACACATTTCTCCCCGGTAGGCAATCGGCTGAAATGATAATCGACATTTGCCCGATATAGGAATCTGGGTTAGACCAGGGAAGCGAGAGTCTTCGGGAGCAGTAGAATAGACAGCAGCAAGAAGGAAAATCAGCCGCTGTTGCAACGAAATCTCATGTAGTCCATCTGAGTTGGAGATCGAGGTGTCAATATCATTGAGATAAGACCTGCAGTCCTTGGCTATCTTGAATGGAGTCTGAAACAGGCTCCAGTTTGTATGATTAGATTTGGTGAGGTGAAAGACCTTTTCAACATTTGCAAGGCGAAGCTGATCAACTGCCAAGGTAGAAAACCCCATATTCCTTGGTGGTTGCATGTTCGCAAGGGGCATTTTCTTTCTGAAATGTTAAAATGTTCATTAACGGTGATGGTAGAGGAGAAAACAATAAATAGAGGCGATGGAGTGAATCACTCTTGGCCCTAATAGGTCTAGTCAGTGGATTACGTTTGTAGCCTTACAGGGATCAACGTAATGACCATGTCATGTCATCAACGAACCGCCATTCAAAGAGGAAGGCTACATGTGATAGGACTTACGTGTTATAATTTATTGATATAGCTTACTCAGGCCAGACTCAGTGAGCGAATCAGTGAGCAGATCAGTGTGATTATTGAAAAGGGGACGGCTCGATGGCTGTCTAACAATGCAGACTGGACGACACACACACACATACACACATACAAACGGCTAGGGAGGACTATAGGGGAGGAGAACAAATAGGGGTGGTTTGGAAGAGAAAGAGTCTCTGTCTTGCCTGTCCTGCATATAGAAAGTCGTATATATCACAAAAGCCTTAGTCATCCGATAGACCGCTCCTTCATGCAGTCAACAATTCCCCCACTACAGTCTGTAATGGCAAACGATAATTAGGCACAGTTAGGAGGGATAAGATTTCCCCTCGGCCGCTAACTACGTCACAATACAGAGAGGAAATTTCATTGGGAGCCCATTGCGCTTCCTCGCCAAATACAATGAGTGTTAACCGCGCAGGCCTTCAGATAGACGATCCAATCTCGACCATCGGTCCGGGCTCGCTACTAGAGTCACATATTGGTCATTTGGTATTTCTCCGAGAGTAAGTGCTTTCCGTTCGTACTTCCATGAATGGGTCAGCCACAGCGAGGTCTGTCCAAACACCAGTTTCTGCGAGGTAGGCGTTAACCAGATAGCCCTGCACGCTTGATCCTTGAGTCATTCCAAATTCACAAAGGTATATATCGAGATCTTGTTTCAATCCCCTGTTATTCCCCTTTCAACCCTCATTTTTGAGCAAGCTTCATGAAATGTCCTGCGAGACAGGTCATGGACCAAGCAGTCTCAGCCACCGCCACAGCCGCAGTCGCATTTCAAATACGAAGTCTTACTCAGACTGTTTCAAGAAACCCCAATTCTCGTATCCTCTTATAGCATCTTTTGATTTCTCAGATGGAAAGGTCGAGCCTCAAGATTAAACGTGAGGATTGCACTGCCGAATTGTAGTCCTTTCGGGCCAAAGGACAGACTTTCAACGCTCATGCTCATGTTTTGGCTATACAGAGGATCCCAAGCTTTCTCTCGACCAGCTAAGCCTTGCCTAGAGCTGCACTAAATATAGAGTCACCAATAGTACATCGTCGGCCTAAACTTCCCAGCACCATCGACCTTGTACCCGATTTGGTAGTACACAAGAGTAGCGGAGTCACACCTTCCCCGTCGACTTTCCTGCCCGAATTTTCTGGGCTGTGTTTATTTCTGCGTTCGACTGACCTGGAACTTTGCGCATTTCGCTGCCTGTACTTATACCAACTCCATCGTCACCCCTTTATCTCCTTGCTCACCAGCTCTTACTAAATCTTTCACTCATCATCAACATGCGCTTTCCTCTGGCTGTCTTTGCTCTCTTGAGCCTGGTTCCATCTCTGCTTGCTGCTCCAACGGCCAGGGCTTCTGAGCCAGGCGAGGACCTACCGGATGGACTCCCTTATCCAAGCCCCGGTGAACTCAAGATCATCGAACAAAACGCCCATGGAACACTGCCCAACGGCCCCGCTCCACCCGTCATCAGCAACAGAGGTATCCTCAATTTGAAGCTGATTGCATTCAACGAACTCTTCGAGGTGGCATTCTTTAGCGAGCTGATCACCAATATCACTGAGAACGTGGACGGATATCGGTTCACTGAGGAAGAGGATCGTGCTGAGACCCTCTCCTGGCTGAAGGTCATTCTTGCTGTAAGCTTAGTGAAAATTGGTGCCCATCCCGGATCTCTGACCCTGACTCCCTCCTCTAGCAAGAAGAGCTTCACGCCATTCGCGCAAACAACGCTCTGAGCCATTTCGGCGTGAAGGGCATCGAGCCCTGCCACTACAAGTTCCCGGTCGAGGACTTCGACTCCGCCATCGCACTCGCCATGACCTTTACCGACGTCGTTCTCGGCACCTTGCAAGATGTTGTCGAGACCTTTGCGATCGGCAGAGACGTGGACCTCGCACGGGAGATCGCCTCGGTTATCGGTCAAGAAGGCGAACAACAAGGATGGTTCCGAGTCATACAAGGCAAGGTTCCCAGCGAGTTACCGTTCCTTACCACTAGCGACCTCAACTTCGCCTTTACTGCGATTCAGGGCTTCGTCGTGCCCGGCACTTGTCCTAACATTCTCGAGATCGGGCTGCGCACCTATGAGACCTTGAACATTCTCACGCCCCCAGTTGCTCAAACCCAGAATCTTACTTTCTCATTTTCGGATACTCGTAACGAAACTGCTCATCCGCTGTGGATGACTTATATCAATCAACAGAATCTGCCTATTGTCGAACCTCTCCATGTCACGTCGCGACAGGGTGATCTGTTCACGGCGGAGGCTCTCTTCCCCTACGACGATAACGAGATGAATGGGCTCACGATCGCGGCCGTGACTCTTAGTGAGGGACCATTTGGCGATGCGAGTGCCGTGGCCAAGTGGACTCTTGCCGGACCTGGTCTGATCGTTGTGAACTGAGCGTCAATCCTCCACATGAAGGGAATCGGCTGGGTTTGTATCATATTATTAACGTGACGAATGACTTGCACGACCACGAAACAAGGTACCTTCTAATTACTTCCATGAACACTCGTGATTACAAATTATCGAAAGCAAATGCCCGTTAGAAAAAGACACTGTCATTCCCTAAGATCAATAATCCTAATATTCCTACACTATACAAACACCCCTTCAACATTCCCTCCTTTCCAGAAAGTCAGGATGTATACACGCTTACAGGTTACCCTGGCCAGCGTTGTTGGTCACACTCGATGCAACGGAAGTGTAAGCAGTAGCAGAAGCAATGTTCTTGCCCTCAAAGTCAGACAGGAAGCCAGTATCGCTCTGAGAGAAGGTGCCAGAGGATCCGAATCCGTTGATCTGGCAGACACGGCCGAGGTAGGTGCTGCACACCTTGTTCTCGGTAGTGGAGGGGGCAGTGAAGAGGGATCCGTCAATGGGGGACTCGACAATAGTGTTGATGTTCTGGAAGACGTTGCCCTCGGCGAGAACGTAGCCACCGGTGCCGATCTCGAAGGCGTGGCCGGTGTTGTCGTACCAGTAGTTGTTGACCTATCACAAAGTTAGAAGGGATTTTTGTATAAAATGGATTCGTTTTGAGGATGATTCTTACGGCGTGCAGGAGGGTGTTGCCCTGGACCTTGGGGGAACGACCGCTAGTGTGGTAGATGTAGTTGCCCTTGAAGGTGACCAGGTCGCTGTCACCGTCAAAGTAGAGGGCCCAGTAGTGGTAGGTATCGCAGGTAGCGGACCAGGTGGAGACACCGTTGATGAAGTTGTTAGAGATGGTCACACGCTTGGAGGCATCGGTACCCAGGACGATGTGCTGACGACCGATACGAGCAGTCTATGATTTGTTAGGGAAGTGTGCGATGGATTGGAATGAGGATGCGTACAGTAACATGGTCAATCCAGACCATATCAGAGTTGTCGATGGTGATGGCATCACCACCCCAGACGTATTCGGGGTTGATATCAGTGACAGCAATGTTCCTGTGATTATTGTTAGGAGGTAAAATTTTTTTATGACATGCGTGAGATAGATGTACTGGATGATGATGTTCGAGGCACCGCTGACGATGCGAAGGCCCTTACCCTTGATGACACCGGCGGAGCCCTCACCGATGAGGGTCTTGTCGGAGGCAACGGTCATACCCAGGATACCGGCGTTATCGCTGTTGATGGTTAGACATTCGCTCCTTTCTATGAACTGGGACAGGACTCACTAGGAAACGGAGACGGAGGGCGCATTGGGCTCGTAGTTTGTGCACCAGTCGTTCTGGTTGATGGCAACCTGGCAGCCGGAGGCAGTGCCCCAAGGAGCACAGCCGGTGGAGGTGGTAGTACCCTCAGTGCCACGGAAGTCGAAGGTCTTGGTCAGAACGATGACACGAGCCTCGCTATCAGAAAGGTAAGAGACCAGCTCATCGTTGGTAGAAGGGTAGACGGCAGTCGCAGAGCCACCACCAGTCACGCCCTTGGCGAAACCCTCAGCAGCACCGGAGACGCTGACGGCAGCAGCGTGGGCTGCGAACGCTGCGAAGAGAGCGGTATACTTCATCTTGAATTGAAGAGACCGGTTGGAGGGATGGGAAGGTGGGTGTGCAGAATCTCTACATGACGGGCATGTTCGACATCTTATATAGCCATCAGCAGGATAGAGCTCATCGCCAAGCATAAGATAAAACAGTGGAAGCTCCTGGCTCCACCCCATGGAACACCATCTTAGTTCCTCCTCTGGATTCTAGCTATCACCGGGATGCGCAATGTGATACACCCGTCTCTACGGCTAAAGCTCGGTGACCCAAGGCAGGGCAAGGCATATCCACCGGGCGGAGTAATGAGAAACTAGGGCATCGGAAGATGTGAGCGAGCCACACGAGCGCGTGGGCGAATAATTCCACAAACTAAAGATTGATTAAGGGAGAGGTCTTGAGAGGGCGCCCCCGGAGGTTAAAGGGTGAATTCGGTGCTTGAGGATGTTTCACCGTAACATCTTAGCCCCACTATACTACTTTAAGTAGAGTGATCCATCGGGACTTTTCTTGCCGGTCGGGCATTTTACTCAAGAGAGGCGTGCTCCGGAGTCAGCTAGATCGTCCCTTTGATTGGGAGGAGAATTGCTATATCATTTCACCGGAGTGCTTCCGATTTTCCCATTGTCCAAATGCTCTAGAAGGAACAGGAATTGTTTGAAATGGGGTCACTGGGGAATGAATTACTCCGTCTTGGCATCACAGAAGCTATCGAGAGTTGCAGAGCCAAGACACCCGGGGGAATGAGTAAGGAAATAGACTCTGCAGATCCTCAAAGCACGTCGGTAGTTTCCGCATCAATCATCTAAGACTATACCGTGCACATGGTTATGGTTCTCCCGAACCATCACGGATCCTTGTATATTCTATCATCTCAGTATTAGTGTTGGTGTTGGTCAATGCCGACGAGTCCTGTTGCAAGTTTCCACAACAAGTGTCCTGACTTGCTGAACATTTAATTACCGTCAACCTCTGCAGAAATAATCCATCACTCTATGGAAGATTGCCGCGCTCCACTCTGATTTTTGGCAAGTCGGCCCGACACGTTGATATTCGGTATAGCGCGAACTCGGGAATAGGTCAACCAGACCGACGCCATCTAACTTATCGATAGGCGAACTCTAATATGGCAGGAGACTGACCGGAAGGTTCTCAACATGCGCTATAATATATTGCCCAGCATCTGCTTATTACTGTGGCACCAATATCAGGGCGATTCCAAATTGGGTTCACAGAAATCTCAAAAAGAACAAGGGACGGGATGCAAATTCTCAGCATGTGTATAATAATTAATATGGCTCCTCAAAAAGAACAAGGGACGGGATGCAAATTCTCAGCATGTGTATAATAATTAATATGGCTCTAATCTATTACAGGATGCTTGTTATACAGCAGGACATAGATCGTTTTCATGTTCATCCAACACCTGTTCAATCTTACATGATCACCGGCAGGTTGCGCTCCAGGTAGCCACGCCACTCAGGGAGAGTACGCTGCCACTTGGTACCGGAAGTCTTCTGGAGATCCTCAATGGCACTGGCGTACTTGATAAGGGTGGGCTCGGAGAAGGCAGTGTTCATGATCGCGAGACCGTACGGCATGCCGGACACGTGCTCGGTACCGGCAGGCACGGTAATAACGGGGTAACCGGCCTGGGCGGCGATCTGAATACTCTGAGCCACATCCGGAGGCACGAGGAGGCCGTCAAGGGTGCCGTTGTTCCACTTTAGGGCGGCGTCGATACCTTCTTCACGGGTGGTGCGCCGGCAGAAGGCCAGAGCCTCCCAGTAGGTCTCGTTCATAATACCCTTGCTCTCCATGGAGGCGATGAGGCCATCCTGGCCAGAGCCAAAGGCAGGGTGGATGCCGGGATACCCACCCTCGGAGCCGTAATTGTCGATGTTCCACTGCACAAGGTCCTCGACGGTCTTGATGTTGGTGTTGTTGACCTCGGCGAGGTAGTCGCGCAGGTTGTTGTAGAAGTCAACCTTGATATAGGAGTACTCAGACTCGTTGGCGTAACCACGGGTGCTACCGTAATCCCAGTTCCAGCCATCGGGAGACACAATCTCCTTGTAGTGGGGCAGCTCGGTACCGTTGATGATGGTGGCACCGGCAGACTTGATGAGAGTCAGAAGCTCCTCCAGCTGAGCAATCTGATCAGCATCACCCAGAGCCCAGAATGACTTCCAGGGCAGACCGAACACGGCACCCTTGAGAGCGTCCTTCTTGGCAAGGAATTGGGTGTAACCGCCCTTGGGAGTTTTGCCCTTCTGAGCAAGAGTGTAGTTGTCACGGGTGTCAACACCGTAGATAGCATCAAGGGTGTAGACAGCATCACGAACAGTCTTTCCAAAGGTACCGATAGTGTCCTGGTGCAGAGACTCGGGAATCACACCGGAACGAGAGGTCAGACCGACAGTGGGCTTAATTCCAACGATAGCATTACGCTGGGCAGGGTTGATCACACTGCCATCGGTCTCCGTACCGATGGCAATGGGGATTAGGTTAGCACCTACGGCAACACCGGGTCCAGTACTGCTACCACCGGGGTTCACGGTGAAGTTATAGGCACTGCGACACTGGCCACCACGAGCACTGAAACCCTCAGAGTAGTTGTTTGAACGCATGTCGGCCCACTCACTCAGAGCACCCTTGCCCAGAAGCAGGGCTCCAGCCTTACGAAGACCGTGCACGACGTGGGAGTCACGAGGAACAACATTACCGAGCAAAGCCCAGCAACCAGCAGTGGTCTCCATGCGGTCCTTACTAGCGATGTTGTCTTTGACAATGAAAGGAATGCCGTGGAGAGGACCACGAACCTTGCCATGGGCACGCTCCTCATCCAGCTTTTGGGCAATAGTGTAAGCATCCGGGTTGAATTGCAGGATGGCACTGGGAGATTGTCAATACTTGAAACGAGGGGGAAATTACATCGAACACGCCTGTCTCCTAGTAGAACTTACTTCAGGTAAGGCTGGGTCTGATAGATGCGATCAAGGTAGCATTCGAGCAGCTGAACGCTGTTCAATGAACCGTTGGCCATGCGCGCCTGGATGTCATCGACACTAGCCTCCTCCAGCTTGAAGCCGTGGCAATGCCGCATAGGGAACAGCGAGGCACCGGGAGCACCCAGACGAGGGAAGTCGAAGGCATAGGGATTGGTCAGAATCTGAGAAGCGACGAGGGTATCGTTATCCTTGACGGTGGCAATGACCGAACCGGCCAGAGCCAGCCCGCCCACGATGGTCTGCAACAAGGGCGACATGATGTGACTCTTGAGATCAAGATGAACCCCACCGAAGAACCATGTGGCAGGGACGATCTTTATCGGGGGAATCGGAATCTCATATACTCCGGACCTTCGCCTAAGACACGGTGCCGGGCCGGGTGTGACAACCACCTTGACTAATCGGAGAATGTCAATGGCCTTGAGGCATTTACGCAGGGCCCACCTTCACCTTCGCGTAGACTAAATCACAACACTAGCTTCCTTATTGTATGCCTAGCGTAGAACGAGCGGAGCACTCCACAGCTCAATGGTGAAGGTGAGCTGCTGGGAAGGAGGCCTCGTTGTTCTCCTTGCCAGTGACTGGGGTCCGTCTAATGCCCGTCGGCGCCTACTTCGCCTCCGAGCTAGGTACCGATCCAGGGACTAGCGCGATCTGAGGGGCAATAAAGTTTACCTCCTGCCTTAAAGAGCGCACGAAGAATCGTTGAGGAACTGCAGAGCCATGATCAATGTGATCTAAGGGCGATCGGATCCGGTTTCTCCGATCGCTGACCGACGATCTCAGCCCCGCCCCTTCACGCTGAATGGCCTGTCAAAATCTTCAAGGCCTCGAGCTTCTTCATCTGACGACGCTCATATTCACTAGCGGCTTCACCATTACGCGCTACAAACTCCTGATAGGCTGTGACTCGAGGGTGGGGGGGGGGCATTCTCTATCGCCCCGAACGTATCTGTGTCGGCGTGCACTTGCCTTATAGCCACGGCGACAATTTCAAACACGTAGAAAAGATGTGAGGTGAGGAAAGGGTTCATGTGCCAGTCGAGACACAATGATCTCAACACCTGTCTAGGCCTATTGCCGAGATCAAGAAAAATGGCTTCCGAGCCATGGTAGAGACAGAGGCGTAGGCCGGGCTTTCCCCATTTGAAGACACTGAGATCTGGACGCCGTGTACGAAAACCGTGGAAAACCTCGCAAAGTCAAAGAATCCTTCTGGACTCCACATCGGAACAGTTCGTGTCACAGGATGGACTCGGACAATTAATGTCCCTACTCGACGCCTCTTGGTTATTCAGACTGTTGCACTGAAGAACTTATTGATTGTAAGATCCCGCCCGCGTCCACTTTTCCCGTCCGATCATATTGTGCGTTCTTGGCCTCGTTATAGCCCAGCGCAAGTCCTTCGCGTTGCGCCCATTGTGTGAAATCTTGGTCTCAGTATGCATTCGTGAACAGATCATGCCATTCGTTTCTATCCCTTGACTATGACCATACCCTCTGATATTCTCGCTGCGGAAGCAGCGGGGAGGATTCCCTCCGATGTGTCGCTGCAGTATCTTGCTCAGTCTCGCGATCATTCGGCCATTGTGGGAATTTTGTTTTTGGTCTGTTTGACGGGCAGTTTGTTGATTGTTCGACTTTATGCACGGTTCTATATCGTGAAGAAAGTCGGCTTTGATGATGCCTTGGCCATCTTGACAATGGTATGTGCTGAGCTATTCCAATCTGAGCGAATAAAACAAGGACCATGCGTTAGGTCCTCTATGTTAGAAGCGAGCTAACGCGATTGACATCTAGATGATTTACATCACTTTTGTTGTCCTATCCGTCGTCCTTATTGACCTTGGAAGTGGCCGCCATATCGAATATATCCAATATGTCCTGTCTCTGGCCACCGTCCGCCAAACCGAAGTCCTCGACTTCGTCGCACATGTTCTCTATACAACAGCCCTGTTCTTTTGCCGACTCTCTGGTCTTGCCTTCTACTTCCGTCTCACGGCACGCACCGGCAAGCTCCACGTGGCCATTCTAGCTGCCGCTCCATTCCTCTTCGCCGCATATCTCCCGCAGCTTTTCCTTTTGATCTTCCACTGCAGGCCTGTTACCGGCTTGTGGCCATATGCCTGGCAGAGCGAGCCCGTTGACTACAAATGTTTGTCGTGGGGCTTAGTATATCCCGTCAACTCCGGCCTTTCCCTCGCCTGTGATGTGATGATGTTCGTCATTCCGGCCATTCTCATCAAGCAACTTCACGTCTCTCTGGAAAAGAAGATCAAGCTCTCGTTCGTCATGTTCCCTGGTGTATTGTAAGTTAACCTGCCTTTTCTCTTCCCGAACCACTCTAATTTCGAAAAGCGTCATCATCATCTCCGCCTGTCCGCGTCTGGCTTGTCATTAGGGGCCAATGGGCCTCTGACGGCAGCTGGGCCTACAACCCAATGCTATGCGTTGAGAACGCAGAAATCGCAGGAACAATGATCGCCCTCTCCGTCCCCGCCTTGAAACCCGTCTTTGGAAATCTTTTCTCCCACTTGACAGACTACACCTCCAGCCACACGCGGTCGCGGTCCGTAGGAAGACTGCGCAGTCATTCAAAGCCAGTCAGCGGTATGGGCTCGCATACTCGCGATGATAATCGCTTACTTAAATGGTCCAAGCTTGGCCATGATGATTATGAAATGATGCCCTCTGAGGTCTCCGTGACCAGGGATGCGAATGGATCGATCATTTCTTCTAGGCCTGGCATCAAGGTGACGAATGAGGTTAATGTCACGAGAATGGATGGGAGGACCCCCTCGCCCGAGCAATCGTCGCGCCCTTCGTCGCAGCATACCTAGATTTCGTTACGATAGACGCTTTAGAATAATACATAATACAAAAATCTTGAGAGTATTCACCAACGTGCTTGATGGCGAACTATACAAGATATTCCGATGGCATATGTCAGTGACCTTTCGGGTGATGATTCTACCTCTGGCGCCTTGAGTCCCGCATGATTTTCATGCAGCATCACTTGTTCTTGAGTCAAATGCAGGTGTATGGTCCGACTTTGAGCTTCGGGCTTCGGACTAAGGTGTCATGTCATGCCTTTGAATTATCATGGGTGTGGGGCCACTGCCCACCCGCAGATTCAATAGGGGGGTGCTTAGCAATGCCTGCTTACACAACCTGGTAGTGTGTCAAAAAGTACAGGAAGGTTCCAGTTCACTGTTACTCTGAATTATGATTGCGTTTAGGATTGCTATAAAAGGCGTTCGCTCATTTTGGTTTCGACTGCTAAATCCAACAATAGCGATCAAACGCACTTCACCCAAGCTCAGGACCACAGGACCATCAGATCCTCTAGCCCGTTCGAATCTTACAATCCATCATGACTCTCAAATATTTAATCACAGGAGCCACGGGTGGTCTGGGCTCGCAGGTGCTGTCTTATCTGGTGGCCAACGTGCCCGCTTCAGAATACGCAGCTGCTTCGTCGAACGAGGCAAACCGCAAGCGATTCGAAGATCAGGGAATCGCGTTCCGAGTAGTCAACTACGATGACCCCCAAACGATGGAGACCGCATTTGAGAATGTGGAGAACCTATTCTTTGTGAGCACTAACACGTTCGATGTCGAGAAGCGACGAGGACAGCACCAGAACTTCGTTGACGCGGCCAAAAAGATGAACGTCAAACATGTGTGTCCGAGACAAAACATCGCTTGAGAGCCATGGACTGACACCGACACAGACTTGGTATACATCTCTCGCATTTGGTGGGTTGCACTCCGATTCCAATGCGGATGTGCAGCAGGCTCACTTGATGACGGAGGAAATGATGCGACAGTAAGCATGGATCCAGCAACGACCCAAGACACATGGTCTAACCGCCCTCGTCAGATCTGGTATCAATTTCACCTCTATTCGTGAAGGTCTATATACCGACGCCTTCCCTGTGTTCATGGGTTGGTACCCGAGCACATCCACCGTGTATCTGCCATCCGACGGGCCCATCGCCTTCACTCTACGCGACGAGCTTGGCGAAGCGAATGCTCGATTGATGATTCGCGGCGGGTTCGACAGGGAAATTGTTCTCCTGACTGCTCAGGAGCCTATCACGTTCAGCGAGATCGTGGATGTCATCAACGAGACCACGGGCCGAGATGTACAGGTGCAGCTCGTCTCTCCTGAGGAATTCGTGCGATTGAAAGGCGCCAATGACAAAGGAGGAAAGCCAGAGGCATTCTTCCGCAAACTCCTGTCGTGGTATGATGCAATTGCTCAGGGTGACGCCGGGACCACCGATCCGCTCATGGCGGAGGTACTGGGCAGGGAACCGGTGGTGCCCCGAGAGGCGATCCGGGGAATTCTACGGAAAAATCGGGATTATGAGTGGCATCAAAACTATGTAACTCGTGGTTAGTGATCAGCGTTTTGTTCATCGGTAATAGCGAGTATATCATTTGTTGCATGTGAGTGCAGTGTCCTTAAAAGGTGTCAATCCGAGGTCCTCTAGGCCGGAACAGCAGAGCCGTGGTCTCGGCAACGAATTCGGATGTGTATGCCTTGGTGCCTGAGGCTGAATCTCTGGTTGTCAATCCACCACCGTCTCTCGCTTGGGGATAGCCCTTTTGAAAATCCCCTAGTCGAGCCTGATGGCCCTTACGATGTCAATACTACCACAATCTGGATCTATAGAGCGTTCTGGGGAAGTGGAACGGCATCTGAGCGGCAATGAGGGCATCGAGGCAGGCCGTGTCCGCCCGATGCTGACAATCGGAGCCGAATTATCCCGCTCATGATTGGCCGATCTAGCCTGAGTCAGCAGGTTGCCGACGCTCAAACCCGAGGTTACCAAGTTCAAGTTGCTCCTTGACTTCATTTCGTCGCCATCTGTGCTTTGTAGTACTCAGGCTCGTCTCTAAAGGACTTGTTACATCTTCCACCCATCTCGTTTCTCATCCGTGGCTGTCCGTACAGCATCCATCTCAATTTTGTCGTCCACCCCGGAATTTTCATTTCGCCTCTAATTCGCCATGGCCTCCCTCCGCTCCACGTCGCGATTGTTCGCTGCGTCACGGCCTCTGTTCCGCCCTGCTACCTTCGCTCGCTCGTATGCGACCGTCGAGACGAAGAATGTCGACCCTATTCCCTCCGAGACTCCTAGCATGAAGACCTTCAAGGTCTACCGCTGGAACCCGGACAAGCCGACTGAGAAGCCCACCATGGAGAGCTACCAGCTCGACCTCAAGAAGACCGGTCCTATGATGCTGGACGCTCTCATTCGGATCAAGAACGAGATTGATCCTACCCTGACTTTCCGTCGATCCTGCCGTGAGGGTATCTGCGGTTCCTGTGCCATGAACATCGACGGTGTCAACACCCTGGCCTGCTTGTGTATGTCCCCTTCGCCACCCCACCTGCGCAGTGATAAAGCACCTCCAAAGTTTGGAATACTGACTCGGTCCAGGCCGTATCCCCACCGACACCGCTCAGGAGTCTCGCATCTACCCCCTGCCTCACACCTACGTCGTCAAGGACCTCGTCCCCGATTTGACTTTGTTCTACAAGCAATACAAGTCGATCAAGCCCTACCTCCAGCGTGATACCCCCACAGCAGATGTAAGTTCCTCTCTTAGCATCCTTGACACAGGGACATCCAGTCTAACCACTTTGTAGGGTCTTGAGAACCGCCAAAGTCCCGAGGAACGCAAGAAGCTCGACGGCCTGTACGAGTGCATTCTCTGCGCCTGCTGCTCCACCTCCTGCCCTTCATACTGGTGGAACAGCGAGGAGTACCTTGGTCCTGCCATTCTCCTCCAGTCCTACCGTTGGTTGGCTGACTCGCGTGACGAGCGCACCGCCGAGCGCAAGGCGGCTCTTGACAACAGCATGAGCGTCTACCGCTGCCACACCATTCTCAACTGCACACGAACCTGCCCCAAGGGTCTGAACCCTGGCCGCGCCATCGCTGAGACCAAGAAGATGCTGGCCGCATAGATGGGGAATTAAAACGGAGTTGGGATCATTTTTTTTCCCTTTTCTGTTCAATGTCTTGCCAGCCGCTTTCTGTTGTTTTTAAACTATTTCCTTTTTCTTCTTTCCCTGACCCTATCACGGATGTTTTCATAGGTGTAAATTCTGAACATTTGTTTCTTTACAGGAATGCACTGGTGGTCCAATTGATTGAAATGTTCAGCCTGGATATTCGAAACTCTAATCGGCTATATGCCTGTCATAGGGAGAATAGTCTTTGATTTTCCACACCTTGACTTGCGGTGGGAAACCCTACCTTCTCCGGACTATATGGTCATATTTTGCTCATATCAGCCGAACATGAATTTTATACACATCCAAGTGTTGGAATCGTGTGCGCGGGCCTGGATAATAGGCGGATTGCGACTCGGCTATTTGTTTTCCCCCAGTTACGTTGCATTTCCTCGATGAGCAAAAGGGCCCGGTCGCGCTTACATCATCGGCTTAATAGTGCTGTTTTGACGCCGAAATCGACTAATGCAGCTAAGAACCCGATCTCACGATAGTGCCATGTGCTCTAGGTCCGCTTTTTTTTTTTGCTTTTTCCTTCGCCAACACGCACAACATTTCCAAGTGGCCTACGAAGCACCAACCATGGATTGATTGCACGATAATCTGTCACGGCGACGTGTCGGCGGTGGGTCCGATCAGATGCATGCTGTGCATCGTCCCTAGTTATCACGTACTCGGACCTTGGGTGACCATCTCCAAACCCCCCGGGGCCCCATCCGGGGACTCATTCCTGTGGTTTAAGCGAGCGTCTTTGGGAGATATCTTCGGGATGTGTGTCCGAGGTCAGTTCGCGTGTCAGGATGTAGTTGGAGGAACAGCTATAGTTGTTGGTTCTATAGGGGTCAGCTCCGGTAACCTACGAATACCATCCAGCCCAGTCACAGCGGCTTGGTTGCGAGTCGTGAGAGCCCCGGTCTCGTCTGTTTCTCAAATAACTACTTTCCCCTCTTGTTCTCCGACTTTGCTTTGCTTTCTTTCTTGTTCTTCCGTCGCGATATGAGCTTGACTTGATTTCCATGACTCCTGTTCTGTGTTCTATCATTAAAATGGATTGTCTTCTCCTTTGCGCTGCTCTAGTGGCATTGACCCTCTTCATCTTCTACGGGGTGCATATAGTCATCTATCGTCTGTACGCTCATCCATTAGCCGGGTTTCCCGGTCCCAAGCTTGCCGCTGCTACTTCCCTCTATGAGTTCTACTACGACGTTGTCAAGAGTGGAATGTATATCTGGGAAATCGAGCGTATGCACCAGCAGTACGGTAAATATACCCAGTTTTTAATCTCACTGAAGCCCGATCTCCACCACTGCGGTACTAAATCGGTACTCATTTGTACTAGGCCCTATCGTCCGAATTAATCCCCATGAACTCCATATCAAAGACCCTTACTATTACGAAGAAATCCACGCTTCCGGATCTCGCAAACGTGCCAAAAACCCAAAGTACGCTATTGCGTTCGGCGCTCCCTACTCTCTCGTCGGAACTATCGGCCATGACCACCACCGTTTGCGCCGCAGCTTCGTCGCAAATTACTTCTCCAAACGCTCGGTCATGGATCTCACCCCCATGATCAATCAAAAGGTCGACAAATTGATCGCCCGCTTCGAGGACGCCTACCACCAGGATACAGTCCTACATCTAATGCTGGATTTCGCTGCTCTGACCGCCGACGTAATCACCTACTACTCCTTCGGCTGGAGCCACGGATACCTGGATGATGCAAATAGCTCGAGTAGCAATGACTTCGTCGACGCCGTTAACGGTCTGATGTCCATGTTCCATATCAACCGCTTCTTCTCCATTCTCATCACCATCTTCCGCGCAGTCCCACCGAAAGTGGTGGGCTGGCTGCAGCCGCAAATGGCAGATCTGTACAAATTCAAAGCTAAGCTTCGTCGACAGGCTAGCGAGACTTTGAAAAAGCGGGGGAACCATGCGGATAGCAAAGACCAGGTATCAATTTTTGATGCTCTAGTGAGTCCGCATGTGCCACCTGAGGAGAAGACTCTGGACCGGTTGGAGGATGAGTCCGCCTTACTGTTAGGTGCTGGCACGGAGACCACGGCGCGCGCTATCGTGCTCACGATGTTCCATCTGATTAACAATAGAAATATGACACTGAAATTGCGCGATGAGCTGAGGACTGTACTGGAGACGCCTACTTCCAAGGCTTCGTGGACTCAACTCGAGAAGCTTCCTTATCTGGTGAGTTATATTCCGACAAGCGTAATAATACGCAGCGCTTATCTTGCTAATAACTCTGGATGTTCCAGACAGGTGTCATCAACGAGGGTCTCCGTCTAAGTCACGGCATGATTGCACGGCTAGGTCGCGTTTCACCCAACGACCCGATGATCTACAGAGATTGGGTCATCCCCGCGGGTGTAGGTTTACATTAGTTACCTGTTTCTACTATATATCTCGGTCCGATGCTCATGCAATGCTAATATCAACCTTCTCCAGACACCAGTCAGTCAGTCGAACTACTTCGTACACATGGACCCAACCCTCTTTCCCGAGCCCGAGAAGTTTGACCCCGAGCGATGGATTCGTGCTGCAGAGAACGGCGAATACCTCAGCCGATTCATCGTCGCGTTCACCAAGGGCAGCAGACTGTGTCTTGGGATGAAGTACATATCCATCTTCTTCTAATTAACACCAGTGGCTAGAGACTTGGGAAATGCTAATCAGGAACAGCCTCGCTTACGCAGAAATCTACATGTCCCTGGCCCATATCATCCGCCGCTTCGACTTCGTTCTCCATGAAACCACAATGGACAACATCGCCGTCTACCGCGAGCTCGGAATCGCATACCCAAAGAAAGGCTGCTTTAGCGTCAAGGCCAAGGTTGCTGCTATTATCGAGAAATGACCTGGTCATCCCTTGCTCTCTCGTGCTTTATGACTAGAATCTGGTTGTTCTTTCGTAGCTATGTATCTGGATCTAGATACGCGTGGAGTGTGTATGCACGTAGCTATTTGCGATCAAATGAAATTTCCAATATTTGAACATTCATAATTTCGATGCATATTGGAGTGTGGTACGCTGGGGAAGCGGGCGTGGAGAGTTGAGTTCAACCGCCCTTCATCCGCCCGCGGGAATGCGGGCTTACCCCCCTTTTCAACCTAGGTTTGCAATTAAACTATCCTGTTGTTGACAGTAGGCGTCACTAGCTTGTCATGCTCCATCGGGATTCATTTATGAGAATTTCTGGGAATTGAGCGTTGAGCTGACGCCAGCAGTAAGGGTTTGACGCCACGGCGTTAAAGAGCGACATTGTGTCATCATCGGCTCTTTGTAGGAGATCGAGTTGAATCCCTCCAACCTCGCTTCACCGAAGCTTGGGAGTACTGATCTCTCATATGTATTCTAGAATCGTCAACATAGAACGTGGGGTTACTATGTCGCTCGCCCCGAAGTTTAAAGGTCTTGTGTTGTGGGTCGACTTTGTTGACACGTGAAAGATAGGTAAGCTCATCTTCGTCAACGCTCACCAAGAATATAGAAATGATGGGCGTCACATCACAATAATACTATTTTAATTCTCTTAGTGATAATTAAGGCGACTGGAAGGCTTCCCTGCAGGTGATAAACTTAGGCTGTTTATTTCAAGACTTCTTGGTAATTAATGGGGAACAGATTGGAAGACGACGGGGTGGAATTCCTAATTGGGCAAGTAATATGTTATAGATAGGAATTTAATATCAAGGCTTGAATTACCACGATGTTACTAGGTCTCTGTAGTAAAGGCTATCATTTACCTGTTAATTGTTTCAGTGGATTGACAGGGTGGGTTTCCCCGTGGTCACCCGTGACCATAACGCCCTATGCGCTCTTCGTCGAAGATAATCTGACGGAAGTACCAAAATATATGGCACGTTGCACCTACAGTGAGCCAATAAGTTCCACACAACTAGCGGAGACACATCACCACTGAGTACTTGCTTTCACTGTCAAGACTTAGTATATACACAACAGATACTTTGAGGTTCATTGGTCATCGAGCTGGCCGTTTGAACAGATATATATCGCGGGGGAGACCCATCACAGACTCAAGTTATTTTCCCATCACAATTGCCAGGTACCAGCATCATTTCTTGAAACTGATATTTAGGTTCCAAAACAATAATTCTAGCTTATTTTTGACTCTGGATGCTCTATTTTGATAGAACTGAACCTATTTTCCTATTTTACTATTCCAACAGCACAAGTCCAGCGCTCCAGGAAACGAGCTCTGGGGATGTCAAACATACAGAATTTTCCTTTGGAGTCAGGTCAACGAAAGTGCAAAATTCTAACACCTTGTTTGATCTTAATATGCTTCTAAGTGAAAAATCCTAACTTTTCTGGGAATTTGGGAATTTGGCGAAGCAACATGGTATTGGGATTAGGGTTTTGGACACCTGAATCCCTCCCAGGTAACATCTAGATAGAGGAGTCAGTTGTTTATCATAGAGTTGAAATAGCAACTGATATGCATTAGAAGATACAGTAGATTCAATCGAGTCAAGCGCCATTGAGTTGTTACATCTGGTACTTGGTGGGGGACAAGAACGTTAAGAAATGGTTAGCTCGCCGATCCAAACATATGGTTTAGGGCCCGACAAACGATGTTCGGAAGCTGGTAGCCAAAGCTTAAATTGTTATGAATGGCGGGTCGACAGCTCGAGTTTTTCATCCGCAAGGGGTATTCAAGGTTGCCAGAGGGATGTACCACTGCATTCCCCACAGCCCCTGCACGGATTCAACTCCATGGAGAGACTACAGAAATCTATCCTTGAAGGGATTGGAAAGGGTCGTCCCCTCAAGGCGCGTGAATGGGACGAGCGGTTTTCTAGCCGGTGTTTTAAGCAAAAGCCCTAAATTTTCTAAATAAGAGATTCTCCCATAAGGGACAACCTAAGAACAGTGGTCAGAACTCATCCAGCCACGGAAAGCCAAGCCTAGTCAAGCTTTGCTGACCTGTCTATATCGCGATAGGAGAAGAGACCACACTGTATTATTTCAACAAAGCAATAATCAATTCTTAGAGCGCTTGTCCCAACCACTGTGAGGCTTTCCAGGTAGCTTCAACGGCAATCATTCCACAGGAGCCAGTCGTGATTTGCGGATCTGGTACTGGAATTCTGATATAGGCCTAGTCATATCTCTCATACCAAGCCAAAGGGAACATCCCCTGTGCTATGCAACCTTGTCATTCAATCCAATGCTGATCTCTCTCCACTCTTGTGGCATGGAGGACGCGGTATTGATATCACAACAGACTGTAGATCAATCAACCCAGCACTCTATACTTAAAAAGCCTCTGCACCCCTTCGCCCCGATGCCCTCTAAAACTCTCCGACCCTATTCCTTCGTTTCGACACAGAGGCTCATACACGATGCATACCTCGTACCTCTCTTTGGCGGTGTTCGCCCTCGCCGCAGTTGCTGCACCTTCGATGTCCAAGCCCAACAGTGATCCCTTCGCCAATAGCTTTCCCTTCATCACTTCCGGCAGCTCTAGTGTCACCGACGGTGATGACGATGGCATGAGTAACTCTATTCCCTCCTATATGGAGGCTATGGAGGCTGTTGAGTCTGCTCGCGGAGGCTCGTACAACACACCTCAGCCAACTAGCCATGCTGCTCCTCAGATGCTGCAGGTTCCTTCTCCGGCAGCCAAGCCGGAGCCGCAGCCGGAAGCTCAGCAAGCTGCGCCCAAGCCGGAGCCAGCCAAGATCCCTGCACCTGCTGCTAATGTCCCTAAGGTCCAGACCAAGCCTGAGACCAAGGAGACTGTTCCTCTCGCAGATGCTGTTGAGAACCCGGTCAAGGAAGCCATTCCTGCGATCCTGGCTGCTCCTGTTGCCGCTCTGTCCAAGTCTTCTCCCCACGCCAAGACCGATATTGTGTCTTCCGTTATCGCTGAGGCTATGGGCCAAACCAGCCCTGAGGCTGATCCTACCGAGGACGTTCCCGAGCTCACTCAGGCTCCTGTGACTATTGAGCCTGTGCTTCCTTCTCAAGTTGCCATGTCCTCTCCATCGGTCCACTCTTCTAAGGCTGAGCCCAAGGCTATTGCGGCTACTTCTAGCTCCATGGTTGTCCCCAAGCCGACTTCCAGCTCCATGGCTACCCCCAGCGCCATGGCTGACCCTGAACTGGCTTCTACCCCCATGGCTGCGTCGAGCTCCCCCACTGGCCCGACTCCCACTTCTACCATGAGCAGCTTCATTTCCAAGGCTTCTCCCTCGCCTACCCATCGGCCCCTGGACTCTACTAGCGTTCACGAGGACCCTGTCTCGTCCAGCGAGCTCAATGCCTCTCCTTCAAGCTCCGGTAGCGTCTCTGCCAGCGCTACTCCTTCAGCCAAGGCAGGACTTCTTGGCCTTGGAGGGGTTGTCGACCATGTGCCCATGGTTGGTTCCATGCTTGGCCCTCTCATCGGTGGCTGAGTATCCAAGTCGCCCATCCGTGATTGAAACTTGAATAGTACAGAGTATACCGAGCGAGGGGCTAGGCACATTTGCTTTTCTTTGGGCCTTATTGATATCCAAGAAATCCTTTAATTCAAACGGCGTTGGAGGTTAGGTAGTTATGTGACCGTATCTATCAACGGATGCATCTAGTTTAGTCTCAAGAGAAAAAAAAAATCACCAAAATGCTTCACATCAGTCTTCAAGGGTATCTTCCAGTAGAGCTCAACCGATCCATACACCCCTCCACCGCCTTCTGCATAGCATTTGTAGCTTCCTCCAACAAAGTAGTAAGTGGAACCTTACCCGCCTTCTCCTGCTGAACCTTGATATACTCATTATTCAACACCTTGTTGATATTGATCTTCGACACGCCACAATCAATGCACTTTTGGAAAATCTCCTTCGTAAAGGGATCCGCACCATGTAGCACAAGTCTCACCTTCCCTCCAACAGCCTCATTAATCGACTGCAACCGCTCGTACTCGAGCTGAATGCCGCGCGGACCATATTCGCCATGCACATTTCCAAAGGCAGGCGCTAACCAGTCAATCCCGGTATCGACAAACTCTTGACTTTCTTCAGGCGTTGTCAACAGCCCCTCAAGATCAGCCGTATCGGCAATGCCATCCTCCCCACCTCGATGCGCCCGGGCTCCGCTTCCGTGGCGATACCCCGTGCGTGGCAGTACTCCACCAACTCGCGCGTCAAGGCTAGGTTCTCGGCCTTTTCGTAGTGCGACATATCAATCATGATGCTGTCGAAGCCACCCAAGTCCGCAGCCCGGCGGATTATCTCGGGTGTTTGTGCGTGATCCATGTGTACGGTGATGGGCACCGAGGCGTTGCGCGCGGCTTCCGCGGCGGCATGGACTAGGATTCCGTCGGCGTAGTGGACGGCCCAGGGAAGAGGAGGATCATAGCTGGGGAGCGCTTGGCTTCGGCTGCGCGGACAGTGGCTAGAATTCCTTCCACATTGTAACAGCACATGGCGGGTACGCCGTAGTGGTTGTCGGCGGCATGGTCGAGGATGCGCAGGGCGCGGTTGTCTGTGAGTGACATGTTGATTATGGGGACTGGAGTGAAAAGGGGGTGAGTGAATTGAGTGATCGGGCTCAAATTGCGGGGTTTGGTCTTCTTATTATTCCTAATTCAATTAGATAGGCGCTCGCAGTGTTGTCCGGGGCTGTTGCGATCAGTTCGCATCATGTCCGAGTCTTCGGAGGTGCTCCGAGAGGGTCCAATGACGTCTAAGTTGATTTCCCCGGTAAGAACGAGAAGAAAGTAAATGAACGGTGGCTAGATGTCTCGACCGTGACTTTTCATGGGATAACTCGACTATTCAAAATGTTGGTCTGTGGAGTCGTGCGCAAGATTCACGTCTTCGTCGCGGAGTGAGCGCTTGGAACTATTGGAGATGACTATGACTTACGGGTGCGGAAAAAGTAGAATTGATGGATATTGAAATTGAACACACTCGGGACTATAGGATGTTTACACTAGTTTCCAAACACTTTAATCACACTAGTGCTTCCCTCAGCACCATATCCAGCCTTCTTCGCCATGAACAAAACACTCATCGCCGCATTTCCCAGATGCAAGGGACAGTGCAAGTCGCGTGCCTTCTGCACAGCCTTCTCCAAGCGTAGGATTACATCGTTGATAGTTTCCGAGTTCTGACCAACACGACCCTCAATCATCTCCAATCCCAGGGTCATGAACTGGCGACTTGAACCAGCGGCATCGCTAACAAGTGTGAAGAATTGCTTGAGGTCGACTTTGAGATGGCGAGCAAACGCGATAGCTTCGGCTGCTGCGACGAGGTTCGTTAGCTGCATCAAGTCGAGGACAAGCTGTTGTGCTTCGGCAGTCTCTTCGATGGACTTGGTGCTCGAGACCTTCAAGATGGGCTGGGGGTAATACTGGCGGACCATGGAGGAGTCATCGACGGATCCGTAGCCTTGAAGAAGAGCAGACAGGTAGACCTGCTCAGCTGTCGAGCAAAGCGGAGTGGGGAACTGATTCTGGCGAGCAGACGTAGTGATGATACCCTATTCATCTCATTAGCGATTGTATTCAACAAAAGTGACACAATGATACTCACCACGTCCTTCAAGATGATAGTCAAAGCACTCGCACCAGGATGCCAATCCTCCTCCAGCATACGCTGAAGACGGTTTTCATGCATCCACGACCACGCATCTCCCGATTTAATAGCATCGGCCGTCTTGTGCGCATCCAGACCCAATTGCGCAGCGAAGCCCATCGCCTCGCTAGCACCCAAGATATGAATCCCAGCCAGAACCTGGTGCACCATCTTCATATTGCTCCCTGCGCCAATTCCGCCAGGCACCAGATAAAGCTTGTCCGAATCGGACATGGTCTCGAGAAGGAATCGGCCGCTCTCCAGCGCGGCATCAGATGCGCCCGCCATGATAGACAAAGTACCATCGGCAGCGCGCTTGGCACCACCAGAGACGGGCGCATCAATGAATTGGATATCACCGCGACCACAAGATTGTAATTCTGCGGCTACAGACTTGGCGTACGAAGCTGGCACGGTGGAGCAAAGGAGAAGGGTCGCATTTGGGGGAAGGACTACGATCGGATTAGCTCAATACTTCTCAAAATGACACCAGTCGTCCCAAGCTCACCAGAAACAATACCGTCCTCACCGAACAGAACAGATTGTGCCTGAGGCGCAGATGCCACCATGCAAATGTAGTACGGCTTGCCATCGGCAGATTCCTTCAGCGATGAAGCCGGTATTCCACCAGCAGCCTTGAACCGATCGACCGAAGCTGGAAACACATCGTATCCATGAACGGGGTATCCCTCCTTCACGAGATGAGTGGCCATGCCGAAGCCCATAGCTCCAAGGCCGACGAAGCCGACGGCGGGTTTAGACATGATGAATTGATAATCGAGTGCAGAAGCTAGGGTATCAACAACGAGCGACGAGCTTAGTGAAACCAGCAGAGAATCAGGAATATGTACAAATTGGAGACCGGAATTCACAGCGAACGTGGGGGCGCGAGGGGTTATCTGGGGAAGCGCCCGAGTGGGATGTCCGGGCTTAGTCCGAGTCTGTCGAGCATCATGTCAGTTCCGAGCCGATGGAGCTCTTGGCTTCATTTGGGGATTCGGCTTAATGAAGGCACATGAAGGGATTCGACAGCTGATGATTTTATCCGATTACAGGCTTTGTTAGGGAAGGGGGAAAACCCCTGGACCTCGGAACTATACGTAATCAACCTTCATGTTTCTCGTACATCAGGGACTGTTCTAAACAAATAACCGAAGGAAGAAAAAGAAATTCAACTCAAACACAACGTAAGCATCTACTTCCAAATCAAATATCAAGCAACTAAGGTAAAAAATAAGAATAAAAAGCAAAAGATTGTCAACACGGAGGTGATGCCGAGAACCGAGCTTCCGGGCCTCTTTATCCTGAGGCAACGGCAATGAAGCGATGTCACACCCTAAAACCCCAAAACCCTGGAAGCTGTGTAGGGATATGGAGTCTTAGCTCGGTCCCTTGCTGACCGAAAACGCTGAGGAGGAGCGCTCATGTCCGAGCTAGCCGACGAAGAACTGGCTAAGAATGACCTGGTTGGAGATAGACGTCCCTGTTGCTGGTCCTTTTCACTACTATACCTACTATCAGATAGGTGAACAGTTGCGATACCCTCAGGATGACGCGCATCAGGCATTCGGGCGCTATTGTCAGATGGCATTCCCATTAACACATACTCCGCAGGGCTGTTCGGGGACCGGAGCTACCAGCGTTGCTAGAGGTACCGGAGAAATCAGTCTCGCTGAACATACTGGACGCATAAAGGCTGTCTGTGCTATCTTTGGGCGATGTCATAGGTGCGAAAGCAATGGGTGATTGATCACTGTCAGTGTTCACCGATGCACAATCCTCCGAGCAGTCCAAGTCCTGGACCCGATGAGAGATCGGGCGTCGGTAGCGAATGCGAATATGCCTATGACGGCGTGAATCGGAAGATTCGGGAGTCTCCATATCACCGCTATCTGAATCCGATTGTGTGCTTTTGTCGGTTATAGAAAGAGTGAACGCTGAACTTGTAACTCGGAAAACCGGAGAGGAGGATACAAAGTCCTCATCGTCTTCAAGGGAGTTACCTGGAGAGTCAGACCGACTGGGTCTCACAGCGAAGCTGCAATTTGCAGACATATCAGACAGCTCGTCTGTATCATAATTGGACGAGGAAGACTCAGCTGGATCACTGCTCGCATTAGGGTTCATACGAACGGAATACTCAAACAGGGGTTGGTCTGCATTAATACCCTCCATGGTGCTGCCATTTTGGCACAGCCAGTCATCCATATTGTCGTAGCTGACAGCATCACACCATTCAATGTCACATTGCGCACAGGAACTCTCGCTGGCCCTTTGGTTGAAGTCATGCTTGACGTCGACCCGGTCGCAAGTCAGACCCTGACATTGACCAAGTGTACGGATTTGGTGAGTCAGATCCAGACAGCTAATAATAGTCCAGTTGGAGATGTGTCCGCAAGTCGGAAAGTGGTGATAGATGTACTTGCACATCGTGGAGACGGATATGAGTAGTAAGTGGTGATTGATGGTCTCTTCGGTTCAGGAAACTCTTCGCGGTTTTAAATAGACAGGTCTAATAGTGCGGCACAAACACCATCTACCAGGTATGATTACATTGAGAGCAAAGGATATGACAAAGCCAGTGACAAGGATCATTATTGACGATCTTTGACATTCTGGTCATCATCTCTAGTAATCTGATAAGAAGAAAAGAGCTGGCACCATCAGAATGTCTCGACCTGACCTCCATTTACTTTTTCATTGTGATATGATCAAGTAGTACACATCGTTGAAGTAGACTATAGAAAGAAATGAGTCCAACCTACTTTTACCAACAAAGAACTGGCATGACACCTACACAACGCCTGAACAAGAAACGAACGATGACAGTCTCCGCTTCAAACCTCCAGATCCATCAGATACTTTGTCCCCGAATCTACCAACCACCACACTGCCGTCTCATGCATAAAGCGCACTACTCTTTTCTCCAGGGGCATCGTCCTCAAGTCATCCGCCCTGCGCCACATGATGGTTTCACTAGAAAACACCACATCCCCATCCTTCTCCTTGAAGCTCAAAGCCAGTCGCCCATTCACAAACTCCATGTCATTCATCCTCATCTCAAACTCCACCTTATTCTTGCTCCGTGCGACAACTCGATACGCCCCACAGACAAGATCCCCCTTATTGAAATCCAGAGAGGAGATGTGCGACGCCTTAAAGCTTTGAATCTCTTCTGCAGTCGTACATCCTATTCGCACCATCAGCGCCTGCGGAAAGTGCGAAAAAGCCGTCATATTACGGCGAACTAGCTTGGTGAAGAGCTGCTCGGTTGTTATACAACCGGGTAAGAGGCAGCGCGCGACGCGTTTTGAAGTCCCATCGTAGTGAGCGAAATATTTATCGGTAAAGACTGCCTCTGGAATCGACTCAATTTCACATGGTTTTGGTGAGGTCGCGAGCTTCCCGCAATGTGATCTGTGGTGGATGCGCGCGGATAGCTTCTTGTGGAAAATGTAGAAATAGGCGACCGAGGAGCCGGTGATCACGGCTGTTGCCGTAAGGATAAATCGGAACATGGTAGATAAAGGGTATTTCTATGCTACTTCCTCGTTTTTTTTGCCCTTCAGCAAGTCGATGAAGTTGTGTTCGGATGGAACCGCGTGGGTGAATGACCGCATCATCGGACCTGCAGCCAACCCAAATTCAGGGCTTGACCTTGGCATCTTATTTGCGGCTTCGAGCTGATTCATTAGGTGATCTTCGGTCCATCTTCCTCGTAAATGATCATCTCTGAAGTAATCAAGTTTGGATTTGTAAGCCATCGGTTTGTAGTATGCGAGCTGGGATACATGTGATGAGGCATGACAGAACCCATTCGTGATCATAGAAAACAAAGTGGTATCACTTTCAACACCATAGCCAAAAGTATGTCCAGAAAATTAAATGAATCAAAAAAAAAAAAAATTCATATCAATGTCAAAATGTAATCAGGGCCTTTGTCCATTCTGCAGAACCTCAATACGCCCGCTGTTGTGCCAAATCGCAATTTTGGCACCACACGCGCCACAATAGTGGTCGACATCCTTGAGCGAAGACATCAAGTAAGGAATGCATCCAAGACAGCAACAGCAGCAAAGGATGGCAGCCCAAGCACTACCAATCAGAATTAGTATGGTAGATCACACGTTGATCGCCAAATCGACTCAGGCGACTATGCGACCGTTCAAATCAGTGCTCAACTCACTGTGTCGTCCCTCCACTGACCGCCTCAGTTCTTGTCATTTCCCGCTTGCCACAACAGGGGCAATCCACTGGACTGGGTGCTGATAGAAGCGCGTGTAAGGGTGTGGCCGTGGCATATCCGCTCGGGTGCCCATAGGGTGTATAGTACACGCCCGGTTGCTGAGGATGCGGACTTGGTTGACCGGGGTATGTCTTGACATCAGATGCCGAGTTCATCGGATACTGGCCTGTGAATGCGCCATTCGTATGATCGGGGGGAGGCTGTCCCTGGTATGATTTGGCCGGTTCTCCGGGGCAGACGGGGGTGGGCGCATCGTAGTCGCCGTGCAATGGAGGCTTCTCCGACGCGTCTGATATGAGGGTACCCGCGCCGACGGATGGAGCTGTATGGATGTTTCCAGAGTCGAGCGGGCTCACGGGCCCCGTGCCTGAGTGTGAAGGTGTTTCGACAGGAATGAGGCCTAGCTGCCAGTCAGACCTGGGGATTTGGAGCTATGACAGAAATGCGGGGGACTCACCTTCACTGTCTCTGTTTGGCTGCTGATTCTCGCTGTGCTCGTTTGACTCGACCATGACGACTGCTTTCTTGGTAACTGGGTGTAGACAAGGACGTAGGGTCCAATTCACCGGGGTTCACAGCGAAAGGGGGGGGGTGAGGGATTGCACTGCGATCGTAAATTGGGGCGAATTTTACACTTTATGAACGATCTTGGGGCGAGTCCTCACGTTTGGGAACTAGCGCGTTCCCATTAGATCGCCAAGGCTGTTGCCCCTTCGAACGAAGCTGTACAGAGCATTTGGAAGCCTAGTGCACTGGCCTATCTCGTATTTAGCAACTAACCTTACCTAGACCATACGTCGGATTCAACTCGCCTCAACAAGGTGAAGAGTACATCGTACCTCAATATTCAAGCACATCTTCACATGCGAAGCGTCCCAGCTCTGCAGAGTTGTCGCTTATTTCCTCCGACATGTGGCGGTAGCATGTCAGGCAACTGTGTTGAGAGGGGGCGATGCACTTGCTGCGGCTCGTGTTGTGCCAAGCCCGTATCACCCAAGTTCTCCTTTCTGTCAATTGCTCCGTCACATCTGATTCGAGGCTCGCCATTATCGAATAAAAGCTGACCATGCTCATTCTCACATTGGTCTCGCCAAGATGCTCCCAAGAAATCGCCAATGTCAGCGAGGTGAAACCCCAAATCGTGAATCCCTTGAGCTTTTACAGCTTGGACCCACAGGTCCCTAGTTCAACTCTGAATCCAATCAAGAGCTGTCGTTTCAACGATCGCGCTGATCCTGACCGTGTCTAGAAGCGCCTGCGATAATTTAAGCAAGGCTGAGTTCCTACAGTACGAAAGTTCAGACGAAACCGGTCTAGGCCAGGGTCAAATTGCAAGGATGAAACGAAGGCGCTTTTCCCCGGGCTAAACTTCGTTGCCACCACGGCATATGTGGCCCCCATAAAGTGAATTTGAGAATTTGAGAAGTGTGCCAACGCATGAATAGAGAAGCTTGATGGCAGATCACATTGTATCGGTAGTGGCTGGACAGCGGCGGGTTTAGTCGATTTTGACATTCCCCCGCCTTGTGGTGTCACCCATGATTGACAGGAAGCTCAAGCAAATCACCTAGGTTTCGAAGGGGCTTCGTATCTTACAGATGGTATTTAGTCGCATGCTTGAACCAAGTTTCAGAATGAAGAGCTTCAACTCTTTGAGCTTTCAGGCTTGTTGGAATCTGCCTCCTGGAATAGCTTCTTCCTGTAGGCAATACAACAGCAGCAAGCACGTGCCATCGAACATCATCACTGACTCAAAGTCTCTGAGCTAGTGGTCTGAAGCGGGGCTTGAGGCTTACGGCATTTCAGTCTGAAATGAAGAGTTTAATGCAAAAGCCAGAATTGGTCGAATTTGCGGAAGATCGCAGGCCGTAACATGCTATCGCAGTACTGAAAATTGTCCAAATCGACGGACTACCTCTCAAGAATCATCATTGAGCATATAGTCCCATTCCTTGTCAAATCATTGCAGAGATAGCTCGATTATATCATCCGCAATCATGAACCAGGAACTCGGCGGCAATATGGGGCTCGGGCTTACCGGAAGTAGTCTTCCCCGAGGCCTAAACGTCAGGGTGCCACAGGGATGACAAAAAGACCGTACCCACATGTCCAGCGATCAAGTACAATTCAAGACAAATGATAGGCATTTAAGAAATACAGAAGGAGTTAGACGGACTCAGCACGGTTATCGCCGTGATGATGTGGTAAGCCGAGCTTATAAAGGTACCTTATGCCTCCACTTGTGTTTAGGATCAATCAAACCGTATCATGAGCATTAGAAAAATGGCCACCACGATTACTTCAACAATCAAGCTGGCCAGCGGGTACGAGATTCCTCGCTTAGGCTTTGGAGTATGTGATCAGCAATTGATGGAGATGTCGACGCCGAACTAATTAATCATCCAGGTCTACAAGACGTAATGACCCCGCTATAGCAGTTCCCCCCCGCGCCAGAGCTGACTTTCTCACGCAGCCCTCCAGAGGAAACAGAGCGATGCTGTCTCGATGCCTTCAAAGCTGGCTACCGCCACGTATGTTCTCCTCTTTCAGCACTAGCAGAAGGGAAATGACCTTGTTGACATATTCCCAGATTGATTCCGCCGCGGCATACCGCAATGAAGAAGGCTGCGGAAACGCCATCCGTGCATCGGGAATCCCCCCGAGATCAGATCTTCTTCACCTCCAAAGTCTTTGACATCAGCTATGACGCCGCCAAAGCGCAGGTCGATAAGAGCTTGGCGCTGTCAAAGCTGGCGTATATCGACCTGATGCTCTTGCACAAGCCTATGGGCGGTTCCGAGAATCGCAAAGGTGCCTGGAAAGCAGTAAGCCTTGCGAAACCGTGAATGAAAATCACTCTAGATGCTAAACCTATTTCCAAGCTGGTCGAAGCCGTTGAAGCCGGCAAAGTCCGGTCCATCGGGGTGAGCAACTATGGCGTCCATCACCTCAATGAGCTTGAGCAACACATTGCTGAGCTCGAGGCGGAACACGGCAAGGGTAAAGGGGGTGTGGTGAGTGTTCAACAGGTTGAGCTTCATCCGTGGTTGGCGCGTAAGGATATCGTCGATTGGTGCACGCAGCGCGGGATCGCTGTTCAAGCTTACTGTCCCATTGTGCGCGGGAATCGGTGGGATGAACCTGCGCTTCAGCGGCTGGTGAAGAAGTATGGAAAGACAGAGGCCCAGGTGTTGATTCGGTGGAGTCTGGATAAAGGTTTCATTCCGTTGCCGAAGAGTGTGACTCCATCGCGGATTGCGGCTAATGCGGAAGTGTTTGATTTTGCCTTGACTCCTGACGAGGTGAAGGGGCTGGAGACGGATGAATATAGTCCAGTGGCGTGGGATCCAACTGTGTCTAGGCTTGAAGATTAAGGTTTTTAGGTCAAACATCGGACGGGAGGAAATGGGTCCAAATTTGGTTCTCTTGTTTTTTTTCCTTTTTCTTTTAATTTCTTGTTTTTGTTTACTTTTTAATAGTTCGTAGCCGGCCTTCGACTTGACCGGTGAATCTATTTGATGACCGTGTGGCTTGTACAAAGACTGGAAATGGGCCCTGTTACATGACGTGTATGGCACAGGGCACAGGGCACAGGGCACAGGGCACAGGGGACAGGGGACAGGGCCAAATGCCTTCTAATCGCGCCTATCGAACATAGTAAACATCCCACGTCCCATGGACGCCACGGAATGCTTATTCCAGCGGGTTGCAGAAAGAGACAGGACTGGGGCGGGGTAGCCTCGTGGAGCTGAAGACGCCTAGAACCTCCGAGACTCGTCTGCTGACAGGACTTTGCTCTTGGTTTCCAACTCATCTGATGATGGAGGATCTCTTTTGATTTCTCTCTCTCTCGATTCCGGCGCTTTTACCATCAAACCGACTGCCGTCACTCTTCACTCATCTCAGTCTCTGCCCCCCCCCCTTACAGAGCCGCAGAGGCATGGAAAAGGTGAAAAGGCGCTTTTGTGCTGATGATTTCCAGAGAGGTACGACTTAGCCTCCTGCATGTCAGGTAGATGACGCGCTAATAGGCGACGTTTCCAACAGGACTCGAGGTTTTGGATGGGGAGATGGGCAAGGATGACTGGCTGATTGCTTTCGCACCCATCACACTCATCTCCACAGGAGGGTTCCTCGCGACCAATTTCTTTCACAACCGCGAAAGCACGGGTGATTTGGATTATCTTCTCGAGCCACAGTGGGCGAGCGATAACGATGTCAAGCGGCCGTTGCAGAATGCGATGATACGCACGGCAAACCAACTAGGATTTACCGAGGACTGGGTCAATGATGACATGGCATTCTTCATTCCCGAACAGTCTCAGGCAAGACTTATTCGAGATGGCAGAGGAGCAGAATATTGTTCTCTGGGAAGGGGCCAATCTACGGGTACTTGCCGTTCCACTGGAATATGCACTGGAACGGAAGCTTCGGCGCATCCACAATAGCAGGAAACACGTCAAGCGAGGATCGGACATTGTGGACGTAGTCGCGATTCTGAAGCATCTTCGGGTGCAGAATGCCGGCCCGTTGAGCAGGGAGCGTATCCGGACACTGAATATCTGCTCATTCGAGATGCCGCCGGACAGTACGACGATGAACGAGATCGCTTCTGCATATCGGCAGGAGCATGAAGAAGAGGCGTTTGACGAGATCTGCGCGTGAAGTATCTGGCCCTTGCATCCTTTTTCACACCGTGTAAAAGTGACCCGTGTTGGTCACGATATTCCTCTCTGCAAATGAAGGGTTTTCCCCACCTTCTTCGAGTACAAGTCTTCCTTGTGCATCTACCAATTCTCCCGGCAGATCTGTAATACACTCGGGGTCGAATGCGGGCACGGCGCGGGTCCAACGGGGTGCGGTTTCTGCCACGAATGGTGGAAGCAGATCCTCAAAGGTCTTGCGATATATATGCTTCCGCTTGTCTCTTCGCATCCCCACACTCATGCGCCAGTTGAAAGCCCTCGCCAGTTCCTCGGCGACACAGGCTAGAATGGCGTACCGCACCGGGTCGCAATCGCACGGGTCTGGGATCTGGCTGACTTTCCACGACCTCTCATTCTGGTAGAAGAAGTATTCCACCTGTGGGCCGATCGCATAGGGCTCACGTGCCACCATTGCTTCGTATATCCGATATAAAGCTCGAAGTGGGGTGTCTCGAGCGCGCCATATAGGGACGGAACTCATGTTGGCCAGGTCTGTTGTGGCTGCGCGGGAATCTAGGAGCGGGATGTTGTTCACCATGGTCTTCAGAGGCACCTGGTCGGGAACGCGGAAGTGCCATGTTGGAAATGGCCAGAAGAGGCGAAGCAGGGCGAGGACGGGGTACTTGTGTCGATGGCCAAGACGGACAAGGCTGGTTCGTAGTCGAAGGGGTGACTCAAGATCGTAGAAGAATCGACGCACTCGCATCCACCAGGTGATATGAGACTTTGGGCGATGCCGCACCATTCTGCTAAAGAGCTTGATTAACCTTCAAGGCTATAGATGACATGGTTGGGTCTCAATGTTTTGTTCGTCTTGAGAATCTCGGTAAAGTGAGCATCCGCGATCTATCCGCTATTCCCGATTTAGAAGGTTGGTGCCTGACCACCAGGGCAGCACTAGAGTCAGGCTTCCACGAAGTATGCAATCCTTCTTCTAATGCAAATCCCCAAGGCAAAAAAACATTCCGCTCAATATCTTGCTCAACATCTGGTTAAAGCTCTATTTCACGAGGTATATTCGATGTAGTATATCAGCACCGGCGAAGGGCATTAGGGACGAAACCTGGTATGAAGGTCCACTCGCCGTTCCTCGTGGTCCGAATCTCACCTGTTTACGCTCATCATTTTTACTTTCTGCTCACCACTGATCTATTCTTGATGTCTAAACTATCGAATATCGTTGACATTTTAAAATCCATCTTTCCCCTGATACTGTAGTTCAGACGTGACACCATCGGAAGCCTCAGCCAACCAGCATCCCACGTGGAGCGGTAGCTGCTCATCCCATGTGAATCCAGGGGGCGCTCCTGATTTGGCCACATAAACATTCCATCAACATCCCCTCTTCAGGACGACATTCCTCTCAGGTCCAGTGAGCGACACATGCCGGGTTGAACTATGGGGATTGAAGGAGCGTGCTTTGTTTTAGTGCGCATATTAGCGTGTTGAGTACATGCCACTCTTGGCTTTGGGTATCAAGTGTCATTCCATGTGCTCCATACACATGGAATGACTTGTGGGCTACACACGCTCCGGAGCCTTCATCATTTATCTGGTGCCTTTGACCCCCCTCTGGACTAGATTGAGTGCTAGGGCAGTGCAGCATGATGCGTGTACATTATTTCGTACAGTCTTTGTCATATATTGGAGAACTGACTGTGCTGTCGATCTTGCTTCATTCTAGTAACTGGATCCAAAGGAAGCTAATTCATGCAACCTGATAACTAGTCGTAGACTGAGGGGCCTTTTTATTCGCGATAGTGCCCACGTCTCGAGATTTGAATTATTCTCGTAACGCCCGTGGAGCAACGCTCACAATGAAGTACTCACGAACATTAACGAGTCTGTCCCTGCTGTCTTCTTCCGCAGCAGAAGACTTGACCAAGCATGTCAATGTCTTGTCAGTTCTCTTATGTGTCATGTCGGAATATGCTACTGATAAAATGAAGTATGGGAACCCAAAACGGAGGCAATGATTTCCCCGGGGCTGCAAGACCTTTTGGCATGGTCAAGCTAGGCCCTGATCTGCTGCAGTCCGGCACAGATTCCTATTCGGGCTATCTTGCGAATGGAAATTTCTCTGGCTTCAGTATGATGCATGAGCAAGGCACCGGTGGAGCTCCCAAGTATGGCACTGTCTCACAGCTGCCGTTGGTCGGCAACATCAGTGACCCGTTGTCCAATATCACCGTATCTCGAAAAGAATCAGATCAGGGTTCTGTTGGGTACTACAAAGCCCAGACTGGGGACGGTGTTGATGTCGAGCTCAGTGCTTCAGCGCGAGCGGGTATGTATCGATATACGTTCCCATCGGGTTCTCAAGGTAATGTGTTGGTGGACGTCTCACATGTCTTGCCTTCTTTCCGTGGACAGGGTCTTGGTCAAAACTATATGGGCGGCAATCTGTCTATCTTTGCAGATGGTCACTACGAAGGCTCTGGAGTCTATGATAACGGATGGAATGAAGCTCCAAATTGGACAATCTATTTCTGTGAGTTTTGATTGCAGCGAAACTATGCAGTATCTAAGACTTGGCTAGGTGGGTACTTCGACTCGTCGGCAACAAGCAACAAGACATACACAGCGACGGGCGCGGACAAGAGTGTTGAACAGCCACATGGCTTTGTGACATCTTCCTCTAGCTCCACTCGAGTGGGTGGGCTGTTCTCGTTCAGTGACAATGAAGTCGTCTCCCGCGTGGGAATCTCTTGGATTTCCACAAAGCAGGCCTGCGACAATGTGAACCGCGAGATTCCCGAGGGCACGAACTTTGATTCTGTGGTGGACGATGCTGTCCTAGACTGGAATAGCAAGGTCTTGTCTAAGATCACCACGACTAATGCCAACGACACTAGCCTCAGTCTACTGTACACTTCGCTATACTTTATGCATCTGATTCCGACCAACCAGACCGGCGAAAACCCCGGTTGGAAATCATCTGAACCTTACTATCAGGACATATTCACGTTCTGGGTCAGTCTCGCCAGCCACATCATTCATCATATTCTAATTGCATGCAGGACTTATTCCGCTGCTCCACATCTCTGATGCAGGTTCTACAGCCCACTGCCTATGAAGAGCAGATCCGGTCACTAATTGACATCTGGCGATTTGACGGCTACCTACCTGATGCACGGTCATCTAATTATAACGGCCGCACCCAAGGTGGCTCCAATGCCGACAACGTCCTCGCAGATGCATACGTCAAAGGCGTCCGGGGTGCAGTCAACTGGGAAGACGGATATAAAGCTATGGTCAAAGACGCCGAAGTGACCCCCGCCAACTACCCCGTGGACCCAATGTCCCCCGACTCTTCCACCCATCAAGGCCGAGGAGCCCTCCCAGACTGGCTCAGCTTAGGCTATATTACGCCGACATACAACCGTGCCGTCAGTCGGGCCGTTGAGTATGCCTACAATGACTTTGGGTTGTACCAAGTTGCCTCAGGGCTGGGGAAAGACGACGATGCACGCAAATACCTCAACCGGTCGCGCAACTGGCGCAATCATTGGAACTCGGACCAGACTTCGCTTGGATTTTCTGGGTTTGTGGTACCTCGTAACCGCAGCGGTTTCATCGATGTGGATACCTTGAATGCCGGTGGCTACTGGACAGACCCCTACTACGAGGCTAGTGCCTGGGCATATTCGTTTGCAGATGTGCACGACATGAAGGAGATGATCAAGATGATGGGAGGGAATGACACAGTCTTGCATCGGCTAAATACCATGTTTACAGAGGGCGCTAGTGGATCGAGTGGGACTATCTTTGATCCCACCAACGAGCCGTGCGCCTCTCCTTTCTATATTCAGTGGATATGGCTAACATGCATGACAGAATGTTTAATCTCCCCTATCTGTACCACTTCATTGACCGACAGGATCTGTCGGTAGAGCGGTCCCGCAAGGTGGCCAAGAGCGACTATTCGACTGGAGTGGCTGGTCTACCGGGTAACAGCGATGCCGGAGCTATGCAGACCTGGCTGCTTTGGAACATGATCGGTCTGTACCCGATCACGGGCCAGACAACCTTCCTGATCCATTCACCTTGGTTCGGGTCGATGACCATTAACCTTGGTGATGGCAAGAAGCTGCAAATCACGGCCACAGGGGGCGATGGTAATGGCGACAGCAACATCTACGTTCAAAGCCTTAAGGTCAACGGCCAGGTATGGAAGCGGAACTGGTTGACCTGGGATAATGTCTTTGCCAAGGGAGGAACGCTTGAGTTTGAGCTTGGGCCGACCGCAGTCAACTGGACCAGCGGCGAGCTACCACCGAGTCCTGCATCGGAGTAGAGTGTATCTTTTCATTTCTTCCTAGTTTTTGGCCATGTTGTTGTGCCTGATGTCTGTTGGGTGTTCAACAGCCCCAAAAGGAGGGGGGTGGGATCGATGATATCATCGCATTTCTCAACCTCGCTGGTCGCGTTTGAGTATATTGATCGGGTCAGTGAAGTCATTACTTGAACTGAGAGGAGTAGCCCAGGCATTACCATGATCTGAGTCTTCACCGAGATACCAGTCGCATAGTAAAGGTCGAGGCGGGCCCGTTAGCTGCGAGGTTGCACAGGCCAGGAACGGCGGGGGATAGACGGTTCCGGCACCAGCGATAGATTCAGGTACATAGGCCCTGTCGCGAGAAATGGCGATGTACAGCCTGTGGGATGTCAGGATATCACCTCAATCAGATCAAACCTCTCTGAGTATCATAAATCTATAAGCCATTCGAGACTGCCAAAGTTGAGCGCAAAGCTGTCCGAGCAGAAAAAAAAAAACAAGGAAAGCCCAGAACGCGGAGGCCCGAGCTCCCCGCATCTCCACCTCGCCATCGCAGCTTGCCAATCACTACGGAATAGCTGGTCTTCCCCTCCCCTTTCCCTTGAGCTTTTCATTTTGCTTTTCTTCATCTATCTGCAAAATGTCTTCCATACAAGAAGCAATCGATTCGAGCCCGGCTGATGGCACAGGTATGTTCAGACCATCCGCCCTGTGAATGAACTCTACTCATTGCAATCCAGGCGTCCTCAAGCTCGATCCGTGGCTGGAACCTTTTACAGACGTGCTGAAGCAGCGCTACAGCTTGGTCAAGAAATGGGCCAATGCTATCGACGAGTCAGAGGGGGGACTGGATAAGTTCAGTAAGGTGAGAAGATGGCTCAAGCTCTGAGACTTTCAGAGTACCCACCAAGGTGGGCAGGTAGACTTGATAGTTAACAGTTGAACGCTCTTGCAGGGCTATGAATCTTTCGGTCTCATTGTCCAGTCAAATGGGGATATCTCCTACCGCGAGTGGGCACCCAATGCTGTGGAAGCATCGCTGGTCGGTGACTTTAGTACGTTCCACCTCACCTCAGCAAACACAAAATCACCATACTAAGACGAGCAGACAACTGGGATGTCAATGCCAATCAGATGAAGAAGAATGCCTTTGGTGTATGGGAAGTGACGGTTCCGGCGCAAAACGGAGCTCCGGCGATTCCTCATGAGAGCAAGATCAAGGCAAGTGACGACCCGCGAGCAACTGTGACGAGCCGTTATTAATCTAGTCAACAGATTACCATGGTGCTCCCTAGCTCTGAGCGCATCTACCGAATCCCAGCATGGATCAAACGAGTCGTTCAGGATCTCAACGTCTCCCCCGTCTACGACGCAGTCTTTTGGAACCCGCCCGCCAACGAGCGATACCAGTTCCAGCACCCGCGACCCAAGAAGCCCGAGAGTCTGCGAATTTACGAGGCGCACGTCGGTATCTCGTCTCCTGAGACCAGAGTCGCAACCTACAAGGAGTTTACCAAGAACATGCTGCCTCGTATCAAGTATCTGGGCTACAATGCCATCCAACTCATGGCCATCATGGAGCATGCTTACTATGCCAGCTTCGGCTATCAAGTGAACAACTTCTTCGCTGCTAGCAGTCGCTACGGATCCCCCGAGGACCTGAAGGAGCTCATTGATACCGCCCACGGCCTGGGCTTGGTGGTTCTGCTGGACGTGGTGCACAGCCACGCGTCGAAGAACGTGCTTGATGGTATTAACGAGTTTGATGGCTCTGACCATCTCTACTTCCATGGAGGCCCGAAGGGTCGTCATGAATTGTGGGACAGTCGTTTGTTCAACTACGGTAACCATGAAGTGCTGCGTTTCTTGCTGAGTAACCTTCGATTCTGGATGGAGGAGTACAAGTTTGATGGCTTCCGCTTTGATGGTGTCACTAGCATGCTTTACCTGCACCACGGCATTGGAACGTACGTTGATCTTCTCCCGTCTTTCTTGTTCTCTGTTAACCATTCCGTCTAGCGGCTTCTCTGGTGGATACCACGAGTACTTTGGACCCGGTGTCGACGAAGAGGGCGTCACATACCTGACCCTCGCCAATGAGATGCTGCACAAGCTCTACCCAGACTGCATCACAGTAGCAGAGGATGTATCTGGAATGCCAGCACTGTGCATCCCCCACGCTCTCGGCGGCCTCGGATTCGACTACCGTCTCGCTATGGCCATCCCAGACATGTACATCAAGCTTCTGAAAGAAAAGTCCGACGGCGATTGGGACATGGGCAACCTAACCCACACCCTGACCAACCGCCGCCACGGCGAGAAGACCATTGCTTACGCCGAGAGCCACGACCAAGCGTAAGTCCACCGCTGCCCAATTCATACAACACATCTAACCCATAGTAACAGACTGGTCGGCGACAAGACCCTAATGATGTGGCTCTGCGACAAGGAAATGTACACTCACATGTCCGTCCTCACAGAGTTCACCCCAGTGATCGAGCGCGGCATGGCCATGCACAAAATGATCCGCCTGATCACCCATGGCCTCGGAGGCGAGGGCTACCTCAACTTCGAAGGCAACGAATTCGGACACCCCGAATGGCTCGATTTCCCCCGTGAAGGAAACGGCAACTCCTTCTGGTACGCCCGGCGCCAGCTAAACCTCACCGAAGACAAGCTGCTCCGCTACCACTTCCTGAACGACTTTGATCGCGCAATGCAACTCACCGAACAGAAGTACGGCTGGCTGCATGCGCCCCAGGCGTACATTAGCCTGAAGCATGAGGGCGATAAGGTCGTTGTCTTTGAACGGGCGGGCTTGTTGTGGATCTTCAATTTCCATCCTACTAATAGCTTCACGGATTACCGGGTGGGTGTTGATGTCCCAGGGACCTATCGGATTGTCCTCGACTCGGATGATCCGGCCTTTGGGGGCTGGGACGCAATGTTAAGGACACGAGGTTCTTTACGACTGACATGCCATGGAACGGAAGGGGGAACTTCGTGCAGGTTTATCTGCCGACGAGGACTGCGTTGGTTCTTGCGCTGGAGGAGACTCTGTAAGGGTTGATTGGACTTTTGTCGGGCCCTTATGGTTCAACATTATTTGTGAAGGTAGACTGCATAGTTGGAACCAGATTGTGTTTAGCCAGTACTTATAGTGGTACACGCCGACGTAAGCGATATGATGATGTACTCTCTGCATCCTGTAAAGCTCAAAAATCCGGTGATGAGCTTATCCTGATGGAGGTGTCTCGCAGCAGGTTACTTGGCAGCTCCCGCGGGGGAGGTGGCCGGCAACACTGTAAAATACGAGGGCATAAGAAGTGAAACTACCACTCTAGAAAGTACCAAAGTCGCGATCTAGCATCTATAAAGGAAAGACACACGACGGATGAATTGACACAAAGGAAATCCGATTGACCAGGATATTTAGGGTTGCCTGAAGGGGCCATGGGTTTTCAACTCTAAATACACAATAATGAAACACGCGCCAGCCAGGGGTGTCCAGCCGGGCTTAAAAAGACCAAGAAATCTCATCAACTCGCTCAGTTAGACATGTTCGTCCCTCTCACATCCACCAAATCTCCCATGGTTCCTTTTCCTCACTCACCAACTCAAGTCTTCCCGATCCGGGGGGTCCAGTCAGTCCATAAGCCTCTCCGTTTCCAGATAGAAGCCTAGATCGACCATGTCAAGTGCAGATCCCCAACACGAGACGTTAAAGAACAGAAAGTGACAATCAAATCCTTTTCTTTTCTTTTCTCTTTCGGGATCGAGTACTGTACACGCAATCGAAAAGGGAAAATGACGTCGGAGGCGGCGCACGACGCATGTCCGAACAAAGGATATTTGATCCAGACCACAGAGAACAGTAACGACAAAGATGAAGGGGCAAAGACAAAGAATTGTGGGCGTGAAATGGTTGGACAGAGGGGACGCCGCTAGCTAGCAAATGACAAAATTACATTTAGGCCGATCCCTCGAGCTCAGCCAGAATCTTCTCACCCTTGGCGCGAGCAGACTCAATATCACCAACCATGTAGAAGGCGGCCTCGGGGAGGTCATCAGCCTCACCGTTGATGATGGCCTTGAAGGAGCGGACAGTGTCCTTCAAGTCGACGAGCTGACCCTCGATACCAGTGAAGACCTGAGCGACAGCGAAGGGCTGGGACAGGAAACGCTGGAGCTTACGGGCACGCTCGACAGTGAGCTTGTCACTCTCGGACAACTCGTCCATACCAAGAATGGCAATGATATCCTGGAGGGACTTGTACTCCTGGAGCATCTGCTGGACACGAGAGGCGGTAGCGTAGTGCTCCTCACCGATGATACGGGGGTCGAGCATACGGGACTTGGAGTCGAGAGGGTCGACAGCGGGGTAGATACCCAACTCGGAGATACCACGGGACAAGACAGTGGTGGCGTCCAAGTGAGCGAAGGTGGTGGCGGGGGCAGGATCAGTCAGATCGTCAGCGGGGACGTAGACGGCCTGGACGGAGGTAATGGAACCCTTCTGGGTGGTGGTGATACGCTCCTGCATCATACCCATGTCGACGGCCAGAGTGGGCTGGTAACCGACAGCGGAGGGGATACGACCCAGCAGGGCAGACACCTCGGAACCGGCCTGGGTGAAACGGAAAATGTTGTCAATGAAGAGCAGCACATCCTGACCCTCGTCGTCACGGAAGTACTCGGCGATGGTCAGACCGGTGAGGGCGACACGGGCACGGGCACCCGGGGGCTCGTTCATCTGACCGAAGACCAGAGACACCTTGGAATCACCATCAAGCTGGATGACACCAGTCTCCTGCATCTCGTGGTACAGATCGTTACCCTCACGGGTACGCTCACCGACACCACAGAAGACGGAGTAACCACCGTGAGCCTTGGCGATGTTGTTCTAGACGGATTTGAATTAGTTTTGCATGTCAAATTAAAGCGTCCGACCAAAGCGGTAGAAACTCACAATCAACTCCTGAATGAACACAGTCTTGCCGACACCGGCACCACCGAACAAACCAATCTTACCACCACGGGCGTAGGGGGCGAGGAGATCGACGACCTTGATACCGGTGACGAGAATCTCGGCAGAGGTGGACTGATCAACGAAGGCCGGGGGCTCGGCGTGAATGGGCTTGAACTGAGTAGCCTTGATGGGACCACGCTCGTCAATGGGGTCACCAGTGACGTTGATGATACGGCCCAGGGTGCCGGCACCGACGGGGATCTTGATGGGGGCACCGGTGTCGTGAGCGGCAACACCACGGGACAGACCCTCGGTACCTATTCGTAGCAATTGATGTTAGAAAAAGGTGGTGAGGTGGTGAGGGTGTCGGGCCGACCGGGTGAGCGGGTCCCCCCTTCCGATGAAAGGGGGGACGACGACACGGTGGCTTGACAACCCAGCAGGGAGAGGATAGCTTACCGTCCATGGCAATAGTACGGACGACATTCTCACCCAGATGTTGCTAAAAGGAACGGGTTAGCTTGCTTAGGTCGGGGGAAGCTGGGGCGTCCAATCAGAGAGCACGTACGGCAACCTCGAGCACGAGCTTCTGTCCGTTGTTCTCGGTTGTAACGGCGTTCAAAATGGCAGGGAGCTTCTCGCCATCGAACTTCACTATAATGCGGCGAATAGCGAGTCAGATATTGTCCAGGAGATGAGATTGAGATCGATTGCGATGGGTTTGGAGATGGATTGGGGACCAGAAAAAAAGATTTTCGCATCCCCCAACATCCGTCGCTAGGAGGAGATTCAGAACACGTACCGTCGACGACGGCACCAATGACCTGGTGGACGCGGCCAGTCAAAACGGCGTCGGTGCTGGCGAGGCGAGCAGACAGGGCAGGCAGAGCATTGGAGCGGAGAGGCTGGAAAGCGCGAGCGACGGGAGTCGGCCGGGCAAGTGCAGCCCTCCCGAAGGTCCGGGCGAGACCGCTGTGGGAAAAACGAAGTCAGAGGAGAGTCCTAGATGAAAAAAAGGAAAAAGATGAGATGGAAGGTCAGCAGTATGGGGCATACCTCTTGAACATGATGAAGGTGTTGAAGAGCGAGGTGGTAGGGGACAAGGGTTTTGGATGGGGGGAGGAAAAGAGGGAAGAAGGAGGAAGAAGAGGTTGGTGGACTCTTTGCACGGGAACTGGGCGGACTTAACCTTTCCGGGGCGGTTTTGCCGATGGTCCCGTGATGAACCGACGGTGTTTTCGTACAATCAACCTCTTATATTTGAATCAAGACATGATAGTACATGGCGGCTTTTTCTTAATTTATCCCCTTCTATCCTCTCTTTCCTTACTGATGATACAATCTCTTGTCGTGGTGGCGGCCTGGGTGCCGTTGCCTCCCGTTGCTAGGGACATTCGCGCACTCTCACCGGCCCGCTTGGCGCCCGGATGCGCTAATTACCATACCTCGACCTAACATACCTCGAAAAACATGAAAGTGTATTGATCGAGTACAGACCAGATGCATCATCACTCTTTTTATCCATTGACCTGAACTAGGAGACGTGGTGCTGCTTCCTACCTGCAGGGGACCTGAGCTGTCCCCGGGCAGAAATCTCTGACGTGTTGCTCGGGAGCCCCCCCCCCCCCCAAAGCCGTCCATCCGCGCTCTGTTATGAGCGCTCTGAAACCTTGGGGAGCTCCCACACATCTCGCACAAGCTCTATAGCCATGTAAAAATAGTAGCAAGATCTACACCAAACGATTTATGCACACCGTACCTCCTCAATTACATGCAATGCCTATTGTCGATACGGCTCAGCTGGGCAGGGGTTCTCCGCACCGCCGCTGCAGGTTCCGAATCTCTCCGGACGCACCACGCCAGAAGCAGGACACAGACATCAGGACACATGGACCGCCTACGCCATCAGTATTCAAGGGAAAAAAACAACATATTTCTCTATGGCTACAAAAGAGATACATTGATTATAGCACAGTACGGGATACACGCATTTTCGGATGCTTGTCGACCAAAAAGACAGACTCGGTAAACAGCTCAGATCGGTTCCGGTCGGGGGCCCATCATGCGAGCAGATCGCGCTCGCGTCAGTAGACTTATGCCCCAAAGGGAAATCCTCAGGGTACTCTGATGGATGTGCGACAATCGAATCCCAGCCCCGCTCAAAGCCGACGGCTGCACGCTGTTCACCCTCGGGCTTCTAGCCCACCTATTGCTTCTCGGCGGGAGGGCTCTGGACGAAGCCTTTGCCCTCGTACTCGGGCTTGCTGACGCCGTGAATGGGGTTGATCTTTTCGGCCTATAGGAGTGAAGCTTGTTAGGATCCGATATATGGATGGGTGTGGTTGCGGTTGCGGTCGCGGTCGCGGCGGTATCAGGCTCGCGCGGCCAAGCATGGAGGAGTGTACTTACCTTGGCGTATTCGTTAGAGGCCTCCTGCCACTCCTTGGACATGGTCTTGGGCAAGGGCTTGCCGAAGAGGTGAATAACGTAGAAGACACCGAACGAGGCGAGGGTGAGCTGGGCCACCTTGAAGAAGATCTTCCAGCCCTCGCCCTTGGGGGCCTGGGCACGGGGGCCATGGGGACCGAAGGCGATCCAGTAAGCTAAAGAGCGAAAAGAAAAAGATATCAGCACGCCGAAGTAGGAAAGAATTGACACTGGGTTCAATATCTGAGATGCCTCAAACTTCACCCTCGGAAGACGCAGGATACGACGAAATCGACTCCCAGCAACGAATTTCATTACACAATGGACAGTACGTACCGGCCTTCTTCTCATGGAGGGTCATCTGGTTCCAATCAACCTTCATACGGTCGCGGAGGTTCATCCACAGCTCGGCCTGCTCCTGAGGGGGCATAGCCTCCCAGCGCTTCTCAATACCGGCGAGGGTGGGGTTTGAGATGGCATGGTCGGAGGAAAAGCGAGTCTGCAGGGTGTTCACGGCGGCAGGGCCAGCGCGGAGGGTGGCCGGGGTGCGAGGCACAGCGCGAGCGACGGAGCGAAGAAACATTGTGCGGCAGGTGGGAGGTGGTATCACCACGTCGAAATCGAGTCAATTGGGTAGATCAGGGGATTGCCGGAGGTCAGCAAAGTCTGGGACCACGGACGGACTCGGTCTGGGGGAGGAGAGAGTGGAGGGGGTGGTGATGGAGAAAGAGGTGAATCTTGTGGTTTGAGGTGGAAAGTCGAGTATCCGGACTAGCGTCTGAACTGGGTTTGGCCGCCCTCTGATTGGCCCTGGACCCAACCCGGCCGTCGGCTGCCAGTGACAAGCTTCATCATTCTCAGCAGGATCACCTTGGGTATATCATACGATGCTGGAAGGCTACTTTGAATCCTAGTGGCTATACTATCATCAACGATACCAAATTGGGCTATAAGATACCGGCTGAGCAGCACAACTTCCATCCCCCACGTCTGCGCCTGTTGTCATCCTCCCCTCGAGCCTCATGTACCACCACTAGATATTCAATAAATCAATTTACATACGCCAGATGAAGTGAACAATAGTCAGTGTCAAATTTATTTTCAAGCCGCGGAATCTATCCAGTAGGCAGCAGGAAATCAGTACCGGCAACCCCGAATCCCTGCAGGTCATGATACCACTGATCACACTAGAGACAAACAGCCAAGTCGTAGCAGTTTTGCATTGCAACTAGGAAGAAGAACGAGGAGAAGGGGGGGAGAAGGTAAAGGATCGTGCCGTGGCGCATTCGAGGTCGAACCTCTGATCGCGAGGCCCGGGCCCAGCCGGCGCCGTCAAATAGAGTCAATCTATTTGCCAGCCTTGCCACCGCTGGCCTCGTTCAGAACGTGCTTCCACTCAATATCGGACTTGTCGTCGGCGTGGAGGGAAGTGGAAACGTTGAGTGCGCTCTTCAGGGGCTCGCGGGTGCTGGCGTAGATCATGGACCACTGTATATGGATCAGCGGCGGTCTTGCGAGACGAGGCTGATATAGAACTTACCAGAGTAGGGGTCTCGCTGGGCACCCAGGAGATGAAGATGATCTTGCTTCTGTAATCACGAATCATGGTCAGAGGGGGCATATCCTGCCAGCTGCGGAAGACACCTAGAGATCGAGAGATCGAAATCTGAATGTCGGGGAATAACGCACCGCTTGCCCTCGCCACTACCAAGGTCGTACTCGACGTCGTAGACGGCAAAACGGGGCATGGGGGAGCCGTTGGCATTTTTGGCAGCATCGAGCTTGCTGCGGAAGACCTCGTAGTCCTGGTCGTGGCCAACCTCGTCGACAACAACGCTCTTCTTGTCGTCGGAGATCTTGTAGATGATGAACTTGGTCTTGCCCTTGCTCAGACGGAACTCGTTGAATGCAGTGATGCACTCATCCTGAACCTGAACACTGCATATCGACTATCAATATCGAGGTCTAGAGGGGGTGAGAGGGGTCAGGGGGTTTTGTCGTACCCAGATGCGAGCTGCACAAGAACAACATTAGCCTTTGGCGACGGTCTGAAATGGAATCTCTGGAGTAACATACAGACATGATTGCTTGTGGAGATGAAAGAAATCAAAAAGACGACCGGTCGCCTAGGCTGGCACACGATGTCAGTTGCGGAATTCGCAGAATCTGGTGGCCACGAGGCGCCCGGGGTGTTCGCCGTCAATGCCGACGGTAGTAGTCAGTGAGTAACTTACAGAGAAGCAGGTACAAGGGAGAGAGGGGCAATGATGAGGAGTGATGGGGAGGAGGCGGAGGGGTCGTTGCCCAGGTGTTGCGATGGTGGTGGGGGGGGCCGCACGTGATGCCGCAACACCTATGCCTGGTAAACAATGCGGGCTGACAGTGGTCTCGGCTGTCTTTTTATACATCTGTTGACTTGTGTGCAATTCTAAATGGCTTAGGCATCTGCGATTACCATCTTAGGCATCTAACACGGTTGTCGTGGTCTGAATGTCCTCACGTTCGTCTCACTCCACCTCCGCAAGCATCGGCAGTAGGGGGTCATTGAAGATCACACCACCGGCATACCTTTGATGGGGCCTGCATGACATTTACAGCAGCTTACGGGGCTTACTTTTGAGGCTCCAGTCTTTTTGAAATGCCCAACCCGGAGAGTCCAGGTACCTAAGAGGGCGCCTGCAGGCTAAAATGGGACTCGACCCCTAACCATGGGACTGTCCGCCGACCACGTCAGTGCCCCTCCATATTCCTATCAGGCCCACAAAATTGATACCTACTTCTATCCGCGACACCTGTACTCCCTCGGGTGATCTCTGCTGTTGAAGTTGAATTTCGAATATCATTTCCATATTCTTGAACATTCGATGCCGACAAATAGATCCAGGAACTGAAAACATAGCAGCCTAAGCCTTGGGCGCCCACTTAGCCCTTGTCCTATCAGCAACAGCTTTCTCATCGAAAATGAAGTTAACACTCTCGTGAGCAACGGTAGCCTCCGCCCAGCGCTTGAAGCGCGGCGACTTCTCCAGCAGAGCAGGCAGCTTCACGCTGACCAGACCATGCTCGGGCTTACTGAAGCCAAGAATGCGCAGCAAGAAGGAGCCCGTTTGGACCTATTTCAATCAGTATAAATTTCATCATGACACGAACAGCATGCGGAAAGGGACCGAAAGACATACCTCGGCCAAAGTCAACTTATCACTACCACCGAAGAAAGGACCTTTGCCCTCAGTATCGGCCAGTAAGGGCTCAATTTCCTTCACGGCAGCAGCAACCAATTCCTCGGCGGCGGCATCGCGCTCTTCCTCCGAAGCTGCCTTGATGCTGGTGAAGAAGTACGGCACGACCTTGCTGAAGAAGGCATCGACGAAGAAGGCGACGCGGGCACGGTACAAAGCATTCTCAGAGGGACCGGACGGCGGGAGGAGGTGAGATGGATGGGCGTCGGCGATGAACTGGGCCACAATGCCAGACTCGGTAATGATATTTCCGTTATATGAGAGACTGGGGACCAGGCCACGCTGTATGGCGATGTTAGTGATGTGCCTGAACTCGCCGCGGGAGGTCTTGATACACCTATGCAGTGATACTTACCGGGTTGACCTCAAGGTACCAGGGCTCGCGGGGAGTGTTCAGGTCAATAGTGACTTCTTCGTAGTCCAAGCCGGTTTCTTTCAGCGCGATATGGGCTCGATGTGCCCAAGGGCAGCCGCGATTGGTGTAGAGGGTGATCTTGGGCTGGGACATGGTTGTTGGCTGTAGGAGGGATCGAAATTAAAAACTAGACAGTGATGAGAAGACGCAATGATTTATGCTATCACGGAATGGTGGGGGGGGTTCTTGGATTAGTAAATATGGCGAAATCGTTCCCCGGGATTCTGTAGCCTAACGCCGAGCCGGGTGAGTAATGACGGGAAGGTGGGGAGCGGATCTTCACTTCGGGAAAGTTGGTGCAATGCAAACTTCAGATGTTCATTGCAAGGTAAGATTCAAATCTAATTATGTACGTACATTAATGCTTGCATTATATGTGTCTGATAACCCCCAAAAAGACCATTTCACCGGAGTATCACACGGGAAAATTGTCATGACCGCGGAGCTCAACAGCTGGGTATCGTGTACATGAAGAAGATAGAATAAGGTCAAGACCAGCAGATAAACGACTTGCTTCATTTGAGCCCGTCGCACCAGCGTCGGGTTTCAGAAGTAAGGGTAAAAAAAGAAATGAAAAGGAAAGTGACGAGCAGATCGATCGCCGTATAATGGGGGTATATAGAACACGATAAAGAAAAATTGGAAACGCATCGGATAACCTCAAAAGGTCGTCGGGCGGCCAGCCTAAGAGTGGAAAAGAAAAGGACAGGTTGAACTCTCACGACGCTGGTACGACGAAAGAGGATGCTGCACACGCTTGTCGTCAGGGCGTCATCTCGCATAAAACAAGGGAATTCTCTCCCTAGTGCTTCAGATTTCGTCTTCCTCCTGCATTCCCCCGTCGATAATTTTCCGCCAATGTTGGGGCAAACAGATGCAGACCAGTGGGAATGCCTTGATTTCGCCAGAAGTCGCAGGAGAGGAGACGGGTCGGCGCGAGCCATTGGAGACACCGCTATCACGCTGCTCGCGATGGCAAATGTCATAGTCCTCAGCCCGCTCATTAAGACGGACACCAGTAGCCCAGCCGTCATCCCAGATCCCGATGACTTTCAACATGTCACCACGATCAAGCTCGAACTCATCGCCCGCTCGGGGAGAATAGGCCCAGAGCGCAGCAACCTTGTCGCCGGGATGAATATCATCTTGGGAATAATAGTCGCGGAAGTATGACATCTGCTCCGACTGACCACTTGTGAAGCCTTCAGGGGAAGAATATTGATTCGCGGTGCCCGAGAGGGGTGAGCTATCACTGTCCAGTCCAGCCAGAGCAGAGCTACTCGATAGCGACCCATGACGCTTTCCGGTCACTGGAGGTATCCTCCTGGACATGGCTCCAGGGCTGGCACCCAGGGCTTCTGAGTCAGAGGAATCACTGGCATACTTTGCACCGCCAAACATGGCACCCGAAGTTCGCGAGTAGGCTGGGGAAGACGTGCTGGGCATCTCACGCAAGGCAGACATCCGAGCAACGCGACCACCGGGAACCATAGTGACGTTGTTTGTGGGAGTCAACGGGCTATCCATCTGTTGCATAGGTGGAGAGACGCCTTTGCGCTGCGGGTTTGGTTGGTTCAATCCCCCGTCGTTCTGGGTCTGGCGACGTCGGCGACCGCACAAGAATAGCAAAGCGGCCAGAGCAGCCAAAATTGCAGCGCCTACCACAGATCCAATTACAATTCCTGCAATCGCACCCCCTGACAAGCCCTTATGACTGGCGCCGGCGCTGGCAGCCACGGTGGTTGTCACGATCGGCTGAAGAGTTGCAGTGGAGGCAGGGATGCTGACACCCTCGCAGCGAGTGGTCGCGTTAGAGCTCGAGCAGCATGTATCGGTCGAGTTGGGAGAGCTGGATGAGCAGTAGGTGCAGAGGCCCACAGTGTTGGAAGCAAAACCACAGTTGTTTGGCTCGTTGGTGGAACCTTCGACACAACTCCCAGTGAGCGAACCGGATGGGTTGGAGCAGATCGTGAAGTCAGATCGGATTTGAGCCATGTATTTCATGTCGATGCTCGTGCAGAGATTTTTGTTGATCATAATCTCCTGTTCACTGGTCGCATAGAGCGCGCAGCTCTCTGCGCACAGGGGCTCCGAGACGTCATCAGACAAGTTGCACGAATCTTTGGAGCTCTGAATGAGGCCACTACAGATGACGCTGGTGGTGTATTGGGCATAGTAGTCATTTAATGCACTGGAGTTGTAGCCCACGCATCCCAAAAGGTCGACATATCTACGCGTTTTAGTCTCTCCCAGCGTAAGCTCCATTGCGGTGGTGACTTACTTGGCGGTGACCAGGGTATTTTGGACGTAATTTTTAAGGGACTCGTCGAATGAGGTGATATTGGAAACGTTTTGAAGCCATGGGCTGCGCGATTGGGTCAGTAATCTCCTCGCGTCCATTTGCCGTATGCGACTTACAAGTCCGCGTATTGAGTTGAGTTTAGTGACACTGAGGCGCTACTCCAGGCAGAACAGGCGCTGGAGTCCGATAAAGAGAGGCAGTCGGACATTTTGAGGCGGAATCTTCGGCAAACTCCTCTGGATATCTCCGAGGAATACTCGCGGAATGTGTCACGACTGAGATCAGGAAGGTACGAAATTACACGGATCGCATGTCTGCGCAATTGACCCAACGATTTCCGATTCCGCGCGAGAAGATGAACCCCCCGGTCACACACCGAAAGTGTCTCAGGTGAGAAAGAAAGTGCCAAAGGAAAGTAAACGAATGACTGGGGCGAACAGTTGCCGTAAACCCGGGAAGGATAGATCAATGGAGCCCTGGAAGCGCAAAGAACCGAAGAAATCAAAGAGGGAATGGTGATGGGAAATCGATGACCAATCGAGAGGAGATAGAAGAGACGAGTCGACGTGAGAGATGAGAAGTGGTCTGGGCGTATGGGACCTACGATTTTAGGGGGTGGACGAACTACTCTGAGACGAGGGTCTTAGCGTCCCCAAGGCTGGGAAATACACCAAGCTTGGGCCGTAACCGTACCGGGTCTTACCAGGGCCATCAAGGGGTTCATAAGTCCCGACGTCCCTGACTCCATTAGTTTCGAGGGATCGTAGGCGCCCCCGGTTATTTTTACCGTTCACTACTTATTCTATGTGTCCGTGAGGAATGACAACGGTCGCACCCTCGGTAGAGAGCTTCTACCGTGCCGTTCCTGTCCAGGCTATCCCCGACCTGTTCCTGGCGTGAATCATCCTCCACTCATCGTGCGACCTACGGACCCATCGGGCGATCGCTATCACCCGCCCCGTTTCACGAATTTTCTTGACTCGTAATCTTCCGCCTTGCATAATGCAAGTGTTGAAGTTCATACAGCATACAGCCGTACTGGAAAATGTGAGCTATCGTTCTGCGAGGGCGTCTATACCTAAATAGAGGGACAGGTGCAACCGATGAAGTGGGGAGTGTGTGCTTCCGAATATTGTGAAGATCTGAAAGTCCACCCCGCGGGCTGGAATCATTGCCCGACCAGTCGGCCATCTCACGCGAGACCATGCTAGTCCGAAACCTGCATTCGATGCCGAGGGATCATTTGCACAACGGTTTCCACTAAGTAGTTGATAGCAGTCGAAGTACAGATAGTAGTCGGTTCCAGACACAACCCATGGAACACCGGTCATGTGATCAACGTCATCTGATCGCAGGCTACCATGAAGGTCGTCGCTGGGAATGTAAGACCCATCGAAGCCTTCTGCACGTCAACGTCTCCTTGATAAACTTTCATTCTGCTCTCAGATCAATATCGACCCGATTTCTACGTCTCTGCAAGTGATAGAGCACAATATCCTTTCCTGGAGCCATGTGTAGCTCCGACATCTTCCTGGCCGTGTTGGCCGTCTTCTTCCCACCCATCGCCGGTAACCCTCACTTCCCCGCCTCTAGCACGACAATCCCATGAATCAACCCGCTAATTCATCTCTTTCCCCCATAGTTTGGATCAAGGCAGGTCTCTGCTCCGCTGACTCCCTCATCAACATCGCCCTCTCTCTTCTCGGCTACGTTCCCGGTCTCATTCACGCATGGTACATTATCCTCAAATACCCAGACCCCGACTACGACGATGCAGCCTATGAGCCTATCCCCGGTGGCTCCAGTCAGCGTCGCGATCTTGAAGATGGTCGCGTGACCTACTACTACTGTCTCACACCAGCCTCCCCAAAATCCCACCCAACGCGGATACGGAACCGTGGACCAGCAACCACGTCCTCAGGCTGATGCTTCCAGCCACCCGCAAGGTGAAGGCGGCAGCAGCCACGCGCCCCCCACCTACGCCGAGGCTGTGAGGGGTGACAACAAGGTGCAGACCCAAGACTGAAGAGAGACAGTTGGACCGTGCCGTCTACCCGCCACTTCACCGTGGTCCTTGCCATGCGCTTGTCTGCGTAGGCTTACCCTGAATGTATCCTGCACGCGAGACTCTTATGACTTTGACGATGGACATGTTCTTTTGTAATTTTGACTCCTTTTGTTATCAATACGCTTCTCCATGCTGGGCCTCTGTGTGGGCTTCCGGTTGCAATATAGGATATAGTATTGATATGAAGAGATAAATAGCCACTGCTTTCTGAAAGATGGGGGTTAGGCTGTTTCATGCCTGGGCTGGAGAGCGACCCGGAGTCTTCGAATAATACCAGTGGAGTTTTTGGTCTGTTGTGCAATATGTAAAGGTTTCAAGGGTTCAAGATTTCCAATCTAGCGAACTGGGTAACGTAGAAGTTATAGCTTTATATTACCTTACACGTTGGTTCTCATTTGTCTAGACATTTGGCAAGGCAGATAATTGACATGAATTAAGCTGGGACAGTATCCAACCGCACAGCAATGACAGTCGACGTAACCCCCGGCTCAGTCACAAACACCGTGGCCATGGCAGATGAGCAGGTCTTCTCACCCGGATACACGGCCACATACTCGGTCGGCATCTCTGTTGACATGGGAGTAATCTTTTCCCAGTCTGCTTGAAATGCCGCCAAATGAGCTCAACCGGTGGCCGATCAAGATTTCTATGTTTGGCATCCCATGTACGATCCTGGTTCTCAGCCAGATGCCTGTCTAGCGCCTGATTGAGGAAATGAACTCAAAGCGCCATAGAAATTGGATCTTCGGTTCTTTCTCGACCTCGTTCTGGGCATCTCTCTAACGCTTATGTAGATCTCTTCTTTCTTTTTTGTTTTTTTTCTCTGGACGTCAGCCTTTCAGCTACAAATAAGTCCGAGGAGATGGTTTAGGTTCACTATTCGGTAATGTTTGTAGCCGTGGTGCGGTTGCAGAAGGCATTGACTTGTTGGGAACCCACGTGTCGCATAATATATAGCGAACTAGAAGCACGATCATAATTTTGACCATAAGCTGTATTCTCCCGGGGTCGAGCAATAGAAACAAAGTGCTTCAAATCCAACCAAATCATCGAATGGAAACTTGTCAGCAAGTTGAACGGTGTAGGTAGATTACTCTCCATAAAAGCGTGTACCCATCTGATAAGCGGTTGCCCGAGCTCGCTCCGAGACAATCCTCTTCCGAGCCGGCGTTCTCGCTCCCAACAACCACCTGGGCACTCCCTCCGGCGCCAGGCACTCGACTCGGTCATGCAGTCCATGCCATTGCTGTTCCGACAATCGCTTCGGTCCAGCATAAACATCACACGAACCACCTCCACCCGAGTGCGAGCTCCATTCCGCCCGACAGCTCCGACAATCAATCCCGTTAGACCGGCCTCGCGGACCTTCTCCGTGTGCCTACAATGCCAATTCCACCGGCAATCATACATATACTCACCTCTCGACGATAAAGATAAGGCTAGCAATGATGCCGACAGGCTAGTTCAGGCAGTGCGGCAGGCGCCTGAGGCGGTTGTCATACCGGAGGTGGATGCGGGGGCTGCTCGGCCAAATTCCTCTGGGGAGAATGATGAGGTTATTCGGGATTCTCAACCCGTCGCAAATGAAAAGGCATCTTTGGATCAGGAAGAGCAGCCTCGCAAAGAGGAGAGCTTCAGTGCCGACCGTCTAAAGAGCGGAGGTCTCCCTTCATACTTGGAGAGCCGACGGTCTCAAATGTCGAAACAATTCAGTACGATGATGGACAATCTACAGTCCAATGTCTTTGTGGCTGGTCAACGTCTAAACGACTTTACGGGTTACTCTGAGATCGAGGCCCTGAAGAAAGAAATCCATATTCAAGGTGCGTCTATAATGTGAAGACGCCCAAGCTTGAGACTAATATTTTCATTTCACTAGAGGACCGACTCCGTGAAGCTCGTGCACATGTCCGACAAGCAAAGGAAGACTACACAGCCGCGATTAATCGCCGCTCGAACTCGCAGCGCGAGGTGAACGAACTCCTGCAGCGCAAGCATGCCTGGTCTCCAACCGACCTGGAGCGGTTCACACTCCTCTACCGTAATGATCACACCAACGAGGTCTCCGAGGCAGAGACTCAAGAAGCATTGTCTCGGGCTGAACGCAAGGCCGAAGAAGCGGCTGCGTCGCTGAGCAAGTGTATTCTTTCGCGTTACCACGAAGAGCAGGTGTGGTCGGACAAGATCCGCCGCATGTCGACTTGGGGTACCTGGGGTCTTATGGGCATGAATGTTCTCCTGTTCCTGATCTTCCAGATTGCGGTTGAGCCCTGGCGCCGGCGCCGGTTGGTCAAGGGATTCGAAGATAAGGTTGTCGAGGCCTTGGAGAAGGAGAAGGCTTTGAACCATTTCGCTGCTCAAGGCAATATTCCTGCATCTGTCCTGGCCCCTGTTCTTCCAGAGGTCATTGACTCTACCCTCGAAACGTCTTCCACTGAATCTGCAGGAACAGTTGTTCCTGCTGTAGAGACGAGTATCCCTTCGCCTGCGGCCACCACTGATGCTTCGCCCGCACCCGCTACTGATGCTGCGCCTGCTGCCAATAGCATGGCTAGCGAGTCCTCATCTCTCTACTCCCGCCTCTCCTCCATCTCTTCTTCACCACTGTCTCTTGGATACTGGCGGCAGGTTTCCGATGAGCTTTTCAACATGCGCAGCATCACCATTTCGCAGCATGACATGACCATGGTGGCTGTTCAAAGCGCCGCAGCCGGTGCAGCCATTATGGGTCTACTGATCGCTATACTGAGGCCTCGGTAAAGGCCCTGGCTTGAGCATGTAAACTTGGACAGGGTAAGAGGATGTTCAGATTTCCCTCTTTTGATCCCTTGGCTGTGCGAGATTTGACTTATAGATTAGTGCTTGAGTCACTATTTGTACAGAGAAGAAAAACATACTTGGGTACCGGACCCGTGTATCAATATATTGAAATTTTCCTGTAAGGCTCGTACATGAAGAGATGCATAATGCTCACGTATATCGCTATATTGACTCTAAATCCCGAACTCTCGAGGAAAATTTTGGCAGCATGTGGAGGCAAACAAAGGAAAATTCATGACTAGGCAATACACTGGCAATATAGAACACAAGTATGTACTCAAGGAGACCGCTGTGCAAGTCGAACAGTCCAGACAAGAACCTGAAGGAACTGAACACCCACTTGGCAACGACTCGAGACCGAGGACACAAAAAAGGGTAAAGAAAGAGGCTCATTTTTGTCCATATTAAAACACGGTCTCTTAATCTTGGCAAGACACACAGCCGCTCTGTCTAAAACGGAAAAAGATCACACAAACACATACACAGACACGTCCACTCAACCCTCTTCACCCTCGGTCTAAACGAAACAAAGCCCCGCGAACATCGGGACTGACCCGGTCGAAACGTGTATGGGGGATATTTTGGAAGGGTCGCTTAACCGATAACGAGAGTATCCTCCTCGGGGAACTGGTAGGCGGGAACCTCGAGGTTGAGGGGAGCAGGACCCTTGCGGATACGGCCGGAGATATCGTAGTGAGAACCGTGGCAAGGGCAGAACCAGCCGCCGTAGTCACCGGCTTCGCCGATGGGCACACAACCCAAGTGGGTGCAGACACCCAACATGACGAGCCACTCGGGCTTCTGAACACGCTCGTCGTCGGACTGGGGGTCACGGAGACTCTCCCACTTTGTGTCGCGGGCCTCCTGGATCTCATCCTGGGTACGGTGACGGATGAAGACGGGCTTGCCACGCCACTTGATGATGACCTGTTTGGGGGTAATATTAGGAGAGGGTTCGGGGGAAGGTAGAAAGGGCGATTCCACGTACGTTCTTGCCCTCAGGGATAGAACCAAGAGCAATCTCAACCTTGGCCTGGGCCAGGACATCAGCGGAGGCAGACATGTTGACCAGGAAGTCTGTAGAGGCAATCGCACGGTCAGTCTCGGTAATCCGTGTCGCGTGCCAGTATCGTCGGGATGCATCCAATTTCACCAGATATCACGCCTGCATCATCTCGAAAGGGAAACTGTATCAAAACTGAGAACGTACCCTGGACAGTAGCCTTGGCACCGACGGCGGTAGCCAGACCCATGGTGCCGGCCATGAAGTAGGAGAAGACCTGGTTGGAACGAGGGGACTTGTTGGACTGGTATTTGCTGAAGTTGGGGATCTTCAAGGTGGAGCCAGGCTCGTTGGCGGTGGTGAAGGGGCTCTGGAACGAGGCCTTCGCATCGGCGACTCCCCTCGTCTGCTGGCAGGAGGTGACGGCGGCGCGGGCGGTAGGCAGCTGCTGGCGGGCGCAAGTGCGCAGCAGAGTGCTGGAAGCGGCGGAGAGCGACATGGTGAGGCGATTGACCACACGGACGGAGTAGTTGACCGCAATTGGGGGGAGAGGAGGGAGGTGGTGAGGAGGGTGGATGAAGTCGGAAGTGAAGTCGGAGCCAGAGCTTTCGCTAGCGATCGGAATCACGGGGCCTGTCATTGGCTGAGCGGGTCCCGGTCGGTAGAACTTGATATCGTCAAAACTTCTTTCCTTATAGTTCTAGTTCAAATCTCATTTATATCTGCTCTGATCACACGTTCGCTTATATCTATTGTTTCGATTGCCATATTTTATCCTGACTCTCTGTGGTATCAAGTTGAACGGCTGCCCGACCCCCTTCGTCCCAATGCGGACCATAAACTACCGGGCGAAAACGCAACCCCGAAATTCCATTAAACTCCAAATGCAAAAGTTTTATAATGAAGTAAAATGCAGTCTTTCACTGCAAAGTTATTCCTGCATTTCAACATCCGGGTCCTGGCGGGCCGAGGGTCCAACCGTCCGATCCGCGATTAGCGCACTGACAGGCACCACAGGTGGGCGAGGAACTGATGGTGACGAAGCCGTAGGCTCTTCTGCCCGTGTGTTTGGGTCGGTACCGTTTGTGTTTCCAGTGGGGGCATCAGATTCATTTAGCGTGCGCTGACCCTTTTCCATCTCGACAGACTTGGCAGCGTCTTTGGCCTTCTTCTCCTTGAATTGCTTATATGTCGTAGTCTTGGGGATTACGTCGGCAAGGAACTCTAGATTATCAATGTGAGAGACCGCCGTAGCTATTGCACGTCAGCATTGTTTTCGGATCGCATCGCTGATCACCACCTACCCAGATCCTTGTACTGGACGGTCTTGCGAGGTTTCCTTTCAGATTTGACCACATTATGCGCTTGCTCGGCGAGGTATTGAATGAACATCTCCTATAAGGAGCGTTAGTAGGCATACATGAGGCATGTTGTATCCTCTGAAGGGTGGCGTACAGTGGCCATAGCAATGACAAAGGTCGAGTTGTTTGAGCATTGTGCGATATCTTCGTCGAGCTGAATGATCTTCTTAATTCGAGAGACTAAGAAGCTGTTAGTCGCGCGAGCCCCGTCGGTTTAACATATTAGACGCACTGGGAAGGGCGCTCTGGCCGGTGATCTCATCGTGTGCACCCGTGTTCTTTGACGCCATAGTGGAATAGTTGCGGATTGTCCGTGTAATTGAAACAGACGATACAAAGCGGCCGTGTCCTTTGTTAGTGTTGGGTGCGTCTATTTCCGAAAGAAGTGAGAAGAAGCGTGAGTACGTGTAAAGAGAGCGCAGAGCAGAACCACACGCGCACCGCGTAAAGGTTATCTCAGCAGCTCCGTTATCGATACTTGGCGCGGCCACTTCGAACTCTCGACCTCCGTTTCCATCAATATTGTCGACTACGCCCAACTGTGTGCTCCGAGCTGGGCTTTGATTTGAGCACTTGATTGAGTGTAGTTAAGGCCTATTAGTTTGAACCCACTTACTCTCCAAACCCGCTTTGCGACCTGAGTGTCGCAGCGGAATCGCCTCGACCCAGTTCGAGTCTGACTATGCTGGTTCCACCGCAGCGGTCGATGTTATGACCTCAAATCGCCCTTCTTCGACCTTACGGTCGCCTTCCATTCTAAGCGAGCGCCGTGATTTCCGCAGGTTGTCTGGTCGCTCCGTGTCCTGCCCTGTCGATCCCGAACCAGCTCCCGACACACAACCCTCCGCGATTCCCGAGGAAATCAGTGAGATCAAGCGCTATGAAGACTTCACAACTATAGATTGGGTTCAAGATGCGATATATGAACAAAGTGCTCGCCGTGCCAAGCGGCGGGGTGGTGGGGGGTTCTGGGATCGGGAAGGTGTCTTCAGCTGGCGACGAAAGATGCGCGAGTCTTATGATGCCGGACAGGCTTGGCTGGTTGTTACACTTGTCGGAATGGCAATTGGACTCAACTCAGCTTTATTGAACATTATCACCGAGTGGTTGTCAGATATCAAGCTGGGTCACTGCACCACCGCTTTTTATCTGAACGAGCAGTTTTGCTGCTGGGGCGCCGAGAATGGTATGTACAACAAGTGGGACGATATTTGAACCAAACTAAATGAATATATTTTAGGTTGCCCCGAATGGAAACATTGGACTGGTTTCTGGCCGTTTAACTATGTGGTTTACTTCTTTTTCGCAGTAAGGCTCCGTTCCGTGCGCACCCCCAGTCGTAATGAGCTAATTTCCAATCAGGTGCTACTTGCATTCATTGCAGCGGTTCTTGTCAAGTCCTTTGCACCATATGCCGCAGGCTCCGGTATATCGGAGATCAAATGTATCATTGCTGGCTTCGTTATGAAGGGTTTCCTGGGAGCCTGGACCCTCCTGATCAAGTCCATTGCTTTGCCATTGGCCATTGCATCTGGCCTTTCCGTTGGTAAAGAAGGACCTAGTGTCCACTTCGCTGTCTGCACAGGGAACGTGATCTCTCGATTCTTTGGCAAATATAAACAGAGTGCATCGAAGACGAGAGAAATCCTGACTGCATCGGCGGCTGCTGGTGTGGCAGTGGCTTTCGGCAGCCCGATTGGGGGTGTGCTATTCTCTCTAGAGGTATGTTGCAGGAGAAACCTTCGATAAGCGGATGCTAATAGCAACAGGAAATGGCGAACTATTTCCCACTTAAGACTCTTTGGCGTAGCTACTTCTGTGCCCTGGTTGCAACCAGTGTGCTGGCTGTAAGTGCTCTCATGTCAATTTCTTTTGCAGAGTAATACTGATCTCTGTCAGGCTTTGAACCCATTCAGAACTGGGCAACTGGTCATGTTCCAAGTTTCATACGATCGCACATGGCACTTTTTCGAGCTTATCTTCTTCGCATTTTTGGGTGTATTTGGTGGTCTCTATGGTGCATTCGTAATGAAATGGAATCTTCGCGTGGCTGCGTTCCGCAAGAAGTATTTGTCCCAATGGCCTATCACCGAGTCCGTGGTTCTTGCTGCTCTGACTGCCATCCTCTGCTACCCCAACATGTTCCTGAGGATTAACATGACTGAAATGATGGAGATTCTCTTCCACGAGTGTGAAGGGGGACACGACTATGACGGACTTTGCGGGTATGGAAATTCCCTTCCCTTCAGGCTACCAGATATCTGACACAAACTTCCAGATCTCAGAATCGCTGGTCGATGGTATTTTCGCTGGCTATTGCTACCATTCTGCGAACCGGATTGGTCATCATTTCTTATGGGTGCAAGGTTCCAGCCGGTATTTTCGTCCCGTCAATGGCTGTTGGTGCATCTTTTGGTCGCATGATGGGAATCATGGTGCAGGCACTACATGAATCCTTCCCCAAAGCCTCGTTCTTTGCGTCATGTGAGCCAGATGTGCCTTGTATCACTCCAGGCACATATGCCTTCCTGGGCGCCGGTGCCGCGCTTAGTGGAATCATGCACCTCACCATTTCCGTGACGGTTATCATGTTCGAGCTAACAGGAGCACTGACTTATATTCTGCCCACCATGGTATGTGCCCTTCATTCGCTTGGGGTGATCTAATACATGCTAACAAGACTACCACTAGATTGTGGTTGGAGTAACCAAAGCCGTTGGAGATCGTTTCGGTAACGGCGGTATCGCAGACCGAATGATCTGGTTCAACGGGTTCCCATTTCTAGATACCAAGGATGATCACGTCTTTAATGTTCCAGTATCACACGCGATGACAACAGATCCGCTCACTCTGCCTGCTTCAGACTTCCCAGTCCGCGAGGCAGAGCATTTACTGAGTGACAACAAATTCCAAGGGTTCCCGATCGTCGAAGACCGCAACTCCAAGATCTTGGTTGGCTACATCGGACGCACGGAGCTGCGATACGCCATTGATCGCGCACGCAGTGAAGGGCTTGTCTCGCCCGTGCACGATGCGCTTTCACTAAGGAAGCAGCCGACGCAACCGTCGCACGACGCGCATCCGTCTCGCAGACACGAAGCGCCAATACCTTCGACGACATCCATCACAGCGTGGGTGCTGGATTTGTCGATTTCTCACGATATGTCGACCACACGCCACTGACCGTGCATCCGCGCCTCCCGCTCGAGACCGTCATGGAAATTTTCAAGAAGATGGGCCCGCGCGTGATCCTTGTTGAGCACCGCGGTCGTCTGACAGGCCTGGTCACTGTAAAGGACTGTTTAAAGTACCAGTTCAAGGTCGAGGCGGAAGAGCACGCCCTGGCTGCAACCAGCTCATCCGATTTCGCTTCTGCTCCATTGGGTGGGCATCTCAATACCCCTGCGCCAGAAACACTAGAAGATCGTTTATGGCGACTTATCTTGACCGTCGCTGGCTTTGTGTCCGGAAAAATCGGACGTAAGCACTCTGTACGTCTACAAGATCGACGCCGGACAGCGCCAGCACCAGCAGGGTCAGGGATCCTGGATGGTACCGAAGATGACGGACTAGTGGAATTGGAAGAAAGAGAGGATCGGCCTGGTCGCTAAGTTCCAACGTTTGTAATAACTCTGTGGATTTAGAATGATAGAGGTGTTATGGACACGCAAAGCATTTGCTTGTGATGATCTCTATGTTTCATCTCCGACTAGTAATTTTGAGGGAGATCTATCTATACCCATATCAGAATACCAAATCTTGGCTGTCTATGCCCCCTCGCGCATCCCAACCAAAATGCAACCTGCTCCCATCATAGCTGCTCCAAGCCACCAAAGCCCCCCCGACAGCTTCACGGAATACAACCATGCCCAACAATGCAGTAGCTAGGAAGTTCGAGGCGGTGTTGGTAATGGATACCTTTACCGTTGACGGACCGGCTGTTAGGGCGCGGGTGAAGAGAGCCCACATGATGATGTTACACACCACGTTCAGGCCTAGACAAGCCTATAAAATAAGGTTAATCTATGATGAGCACCGATTTCCATAGAACTGATGCATTGGAAATCTGCATTTAGAAGAAAAATTGAAAGACGTACACCGCGCACAAGAAGCTCTAGAAATGGCGACGAATCTAGGCCGAAGAGGTGTGCGATAGATTGGGCGAAGGACGTTGTGTTGTTATCCGTCGTGCTAACATGATTGTTAGTCGTAGGTTCTCAGTTGCAACTATAGGTTCTTTGTACTAGAGCCACGATAGCTCAACTTACAGCTTTGCGAAGACCCCGTTCAACGCGGCGAATGCGCCGCTCGCCACGGCGAGGATGATCCAAGGGGAAGTCGTGGGCTTTTGTGCGGGTTGGAGTGCCATGGTTATGTACGATACTGGTGGCTGAAAGAAGGACGCAGTTGGATAGATGTATGATGCAGAGAGATACGAAGCAATAGGGCGTCCAGGGAGGTTGAGATGCCAAGACCCGATAAGATATTGTCGATCACTATCCAAGTTTCCAAAAATGAACTACAAGATCCGTCCAATTCATGCATATACACATCTAGAATTTCTAGTGGACGTAGATTGATCTCACGGAGAAAGTCTCTGCACCCGCCACTGGGCCTCACCTCCAACGCCTGATCCCTCGACCCGCACATACCGGAACCGATCATGCAATCGACTCTTACGACCCTGCCAGAACTCAACTGACTCCGGGACAAGACGCACACCACCCCAGAAAGGCGGAAGAGGAATCTTCTCAACTCCCGCAAAGCGCTGCTCCATGTCCTTCACCCGCTGCTCGAGTAGCGCGCGCCCGTCATCGATATCCGTCTCGTCGATGTCAGCAGGCACCTCACCCTGTAATTTCGCCACGCTCTTGCGACGTTGGTTCTCAGCTAGCTGCGATGGCTCTCCCGACCAGAGTTCCTGGCTCTGCCAACTGGCCCAGGCACCGATCTGACTTCCGCGTTCGCGGGTTTGCCAGTATAATTCACTCTCCTCGCGACTAAGAGGCTCCAGCATACCTTCGATGCGGACCTGGCGCTCGACTGATGCCCAAAGGAATGTCAATGCACCCCATTTGTTGCCTTGCGTGGTCTCCCCTGGTGCTGGTATACATCCAATTGTGCCAGTGTTGTCGCCCGCTCCCCACACCTGTCGACCCTTCCCTTCGCGACTTCCCCAGTTGCTGTAGACCACCCAGCCGCGCTCGTCCAATTCCTTGAGATAGAGGATACGCGCACTGACACGGCCAGAAGGGAGCTCGGCCGTGGCGAGCGTGCAAGTTTCGGGCGAGGAGCTAGGCGCTAGTCGAGGGTCATGGAACCAGGAGTTGAATTGGTGCAACGGGTTCGTACCGTGCATTTGGGAGATTGTAAGAGGCGGGTTGGTCACAAACTGGTGGGCTCGTGCGGGGTGCGACATGAGTTGATTTTCGGTGGCGGAATCGGGTGTTGAGGCATTGGAGCGGAGAGCTTCAGCGGGGTTCAGGTGGGATGGCACAGCGGACTGGGGCTGCACTGATGGATCGAGAGAGTCGGGTGTATCCTGAATATCCCCGGGGGCAACTGTTAGGTCGTGTGGCGGTTAGCTTGTAGATTCCAGGAAGGTTCTTGATTTCCCGCGGAGCGTCGCGTTATGTGAGCGCACCAGGGTTGTGTTAGTGGGCTGAGACGTACAAATGAGCTTCTTCGGACGCCGCGAATGGGCATCCGCTCCAGAATCGTGCGACATGCCTGACTCGTGAACAGGTCGAGATGTAGACGAATGTAATTGTCGTAGGCGGGGTTGGCGGGAAGCTGTGATCCCGATGCGGAGAAATGAGGTCAACGTAGGGGTGGAGAGACGAGACAGCATGAAAGGTGCCGCAGATCACAGAGACGAGCAATTATTCAACTGAAGTACAGATGGGCTGTGGTGGTGCAGAAGGAGAGTCGCGATCTAAATGCAAGTCACAGCGCAAGATTCCAAAGACGATCTCACAGATCGAAAGCTACAGATGCACCCGACGTCATGCCATTCTTGCGGATCACCTTTCGTCCTGGGTCCACGATTCTTCTACATTCCATGCGGCAGATTGTTATACATTAGAAGAAATCATCATTCAATTGATATCCCTGTGCACGAATCAACTGCCAAGCTTTTATTTCATTTTTTTTTTGAAAGCTTCTATACACTTTGTCTATACCACTGAACTCAATCTATATATCTATTAGCGACAACGCATTGACATCTATAGAAGAAAGAAAAAACACACCACTTAAGGCTTAGTGCACTCAAGGTACTTCTGGCCACGCTTGCAGGGCGAGTCCGCAAGGACCTTGCAGCACTTGTCTCCAGCCTTGGAAGCGCAGTCGCCTGAACCGTCCGAGGAGACAGCAACGATCTGGTTGCCGTCCGACAGCTGCTGACCAGCCTTATAAGGAGAGGAACCGCAGTAGTCGGAGCCGTAGCCGTACTCGGACTTGATCCAGTCGCAGCCCCAGCCACGATAGACACAATCGTAATCGTCAGTGTTCACAGCACTAGCAGCGGCGGAAGAGTCGGCAGCCGCGATAGCAGAGTAAGAAGAGGAAGGGATAGCGGACACACGACTCTCGAGAACAGAGCTGGGAGGAATCGTAAAGGAGGGAATGGCGACGGAGGAAGTAATTGGAGTGTAGGTCGCCGGGACAGACGAGGGCGAGGCCGAAGAAGACATCCGGGCCGAGGCCACGCCGGCCATCAGAAGAGCGGAAGTCAGAGTAAATTCCATTTTGATTTTAGAGGATTTGGATGAGACAGGAGTCTCAGGATGGCCTTCAATAGTTATAAGAACTTCGGGGCCTTTGGTACTAGCTACGTTACCGGTAAACAATGGTGTTGGAAATTAATGACAACACCATAGTGCAGATCTGCACTCCGATTCCCAGAAAAAGAAACCGGAACTGTGTCGATCTGCAACAACCGAAAGGGTCTAACTTGATGCCGATGAATGGAGACGTAACTTGAATAGATCGATGGGTCGAGGGTCGATGGTGGATCGTGGCCCACCGAGCCCTGACGAAATGCGGCAAGGGATCTCCCAAAAGCTGAACCACGGACGAACTCGGGCTAACAGATCGGCAACAGGTCCTAGATCGTCCCGATTCAACCCTTCATTGAGATCCAAACTTCGGGATCAACATCATGCTGGCCAGAAAACAAAGCCCCTGAGCTGAATACACCCCTAGCACTGACCCGTGGTGACTATCGATCTCGTAGGCCGCCACTAGAAGTCATAGATTATGGAGCCTTTCATACCGCCAGTCCACCCAGGTGGATCGAACACCGGCTTTGAAACCAACTGACCCTGTAAGTGTATTGCAATCATCCCCATGGTGTGCCCAGGATACTGTGCGTGGCCGATCAATCAGTCCTATAAGTACAGTCTGCGCCCAAAATCTCACAGAGAGAGAGAGAGAGAGAGTTCTTCCGTAACCTCCCATTCAATCTCCATATCAAACACAAAGATGCAGATCAAGCTTGCAACCATTGCCGCTCTCCTGGCCTCCGTCGCATCGCCGGCTCTTGCCAGCTCCAAGGGCGCTGTTCTCGTTAACGCTCTCCATGAGCTGACCGGGGAGATCACGGACTCCACTAAGGTGGTAGAGGATCTGAACCTAGTCACTTTTGCTCAAAAAGTCGGCGTAAGTTTCCCAAGCCTAAAGCTCCAGGCCTTCTACGCATTCCCGAGATGTCGACCTAATACCGCCTAGACCTTTGCTGCTGGCTACAAGGATATCTTGAACCTCAAGAATAAGCAAAATTTCCAGGATCCCCAGGGCATTGATCCTAGCGAGGAGCCTGAGGTCTGCAATGCTTTCATCACTGTGAGTCGTCTCTATCAGTGCATGAAGGACACCATCTAACAAAGGGTACAGTTAGCGGAAGTTGAGAAGACATTCCTACAGAACGTCATCGGGAAGTACGCCCTCTTCGATATGACCGGATTCAAGGGTCCGGTTGGCCAACTCCTGCGCGCCGATGAGCAGATCAGTGAAGTATGTGTTCCAATTACGATTCATGCTTCAAGTGAAACTTACCATTGTCAGACAAATTACTTCAACATTCTTGGCCTGGTTCCATCTTGCAAGAGCGACGTCAAGGCCAAGGGCGAGGAAGTGAGCTCCATATTCACGGACGCTGTTCAGAAGTATGCTTCTTAGATCGACATTTGGGACCTATTACGTTTCTCATGTACACAATTTTACTTCTTTAGAAAGCAGAATGAGTCTCAGACCCGGGGATTTTTACAAGAATCGGTATGCTCAATCACTTTTTTTGTATTTCAACAAGCGTATAGTATCGCCATGCAGAGGTGAGAGGGTCTATAAATGTCATATCGCAAAGATGGTATACATGAGAAGGAACCGAAGACTCCGAACCAATTTTTCAACGCCAGTCTCGCTGAATGCCATGTAAAAGTCAAAAATCAAATCCGAACATTGTAAATCTGGTATATCCAACCACCGCCACCCTACATGCGCCATACCGAAGCCCACGCCGAAGGGATCCAGCCCTGACAAGGTGAATGTAGGGTTTTTGATAATCGAGACGAGTAAAAGGGGTAAAAGAACCCTGGTAGACGGTAGCCAGGACGAAAATAATGAAACAAATTAGATGGTGGTTGACGGCCCAACGAGATCAATGATCTTGTTGGCCACGGCCGAGGGGTAACCGCGGGACATCATCTCTTGGACAATGCCGGAGGCGTTTGTGCGGTCGTCAGCGGCCAGGAAGGCGCGCGTCATAGCCTCGTAGGTACTGGGCTCGCGCTTGGAGATACCGATGCTATCGTAAATGGTCTTGGCCTTCGAGACGTTGCCTCCGACGGCCCAGCCATGGATCAGCGTGTTGGCGATGTAGGCGGTCATCTCAACGTTCCGCTGGAGCATGTCCTTGACAATCTCCTCGGTGTCGGCGACGCGATTGTTCGCGACCATCGCTTCAAACAAGGCTTGGTACAGACAAGGCTGCAGGCGCACACGGCGGTCGGAGACGACGGAGTCGAAGACCTTGCGGGCAGCGGGCAAATCGTGCTGAACACAACCCTTTGCGTGGATGAGAGAGGCATAGTGGACGGCATCGGGCTGCTGGCCGGCGGCCTGCATTGATTTGAGAACCTTCTCGGCGGCTTCCATGTCCATGGGCTCGAGAGACGCATGCGCGTCAATAAGTAGCTTGTAAGTGTGCATGGTAGGCTTGATGTTGCGGGCCTGCATGCGCTCATAGTAGGCAAGCACTTTACTGCGGTCGCCCTTGGTGTTCAGAAAATATTGGATCATAGAATTGTAAGGCGCAGGACGGGGCTTATAGTTGGGCATGGACTCCATCTCCTCAAACATCTCTTCGGCGAAGCGCTCGTCGCTCACACGGCAGAGCGCGTTGACGATGGTTCCGTAAGTGACACTGGTAGGACGCACGTTATTGGAGCGCATCTCGGCGAAGTAGGCAAGGCAGTCGTCAATACGACGCGCCTTGCCGAGCTTGCCGATAAGAGCGTTGTACAGGAAGGAGGTGGGCTCAACACCTTCGGCCACCGCACGGTGGAAGATCTTCAGAGCTTCGGTAGCTTCATCGAATGTCTTGGTCGACTCTTTCAAGGTGGTGATGTACAAGCCGAATGTGTTGGCAGAGGGTGCAGAGCCAAGGCTGAGGAGCTCCTGGTGGAACTGGCCAGCCAGCTTACGGTCTCCGAGAGTGAGGCAGGCAGACACCATCGCATCGAGAATGGAAACCCAGCCATACTTGACAGCATTGTAAGCCGGGTTAAGAGGAACGTCAGCTCGGGCCATGGTGTGAATCTCGTTGACCAACTCCATGCGGTTAACCTTCGCAGCGGCAGTGATAAGCTTCGCGTACGTGATGTAGCGAGGGTGACGACCGATGCGACGCATGTTCTTGAGCCGTATCAAAGCCTCATTAAGATGAGTCTCGGTCCGGCCGGCGGTCTTCTCGAGCTCATCGGCGATGACAGCAGAGCCCCGGAAGTCGGTAGCCTGAGCATAGGGGTCGAAGGAATCAGGACTTGCGGAAGGGGTCGTAATGTTGGTCTCAGTCATGGAAACGGGGCTGTAGCGTTCAGACAGGAACGAGGCCTGAGTAGAGGCCTCAAGATGTTCCTGCCATTTTTTCACAACATCAGGACGGCTGGTGAAGAGCTTGGCGACAGCCTGGTCGATCAGGTGGGTCGTGTAGGAATCCAGCGGAAGAGAAGCCGAAAGGGCGACGTCGAGCATGTGGGCAAATCGGACAGGGTGGGCAACATCAAATAGAAGTGCACTGTTGTTCGCCATCATACCAGCCTGAACCTGGAGAGCGAGGGTGAGGTCGGTCGGAGTCAGCTGAGAGATGCCAATGGGTCCTAGACTGGCGACAGCGTGTTCAGCCAGGGGAGACACAAGGCCACCGTTCTCGATCATAGACCATAAAAGAGTCATAGATGCGGAAGGCGAAAGAACAGCGGCCGTCTGCATGAGAACGCGGCCGAAGAGGTGAAGAGACTCAGTGACCTGTTCACGTGCTGTGGTATCGACAGTGACCTGTTTGGTAGAAGCGTTGCGAATGCGAGCAAACATAGTACGCGCCTCGTGCAGACCTTCCTCAACCTGACCACTCTTCAGAAGTGCAACCGCGTACATGGCGGTCGGCTGAACCAGATCCGGAGTTGCCTGACCGACGGTGGTAAGCATGATCCATAGGGAACGGGCCGCCGAAACATTGCCCCGGCGAACGTGAAGGGCAAGAAGTGAGACTGCGGGGTTCTGTCGGACGTCCGGGTTGGTGGACAAGCGATCGTAGGCCTCGGAGGCAGTCGTAAGATCACCGGCATCGGCCGCGGCAATACAAATTCGGGAAATGGCATGATCCCGAGCTTCATCGTGCAATTGGGCTTTGGCTTGCTCCAAAGCCTTGCTGTATTCACCAGCATTCAAGGAGTGTTGCACGAGTGCATCCTGCACAATCACTTCCTCTACCGCAGCCCAGCGAGCTTCGCGGTTCTCAGTGATATCATCGAACGAGGAGCGGATCCGGCCGAGGAAGCTCTGAGCGCCCTCCTCCTTGCCACAGGATAAGTAGGCACGAATCAGAGCGGCATACACCTCGCCGTCAACACGCTTGACAATGGTAAAAACGCCATTGTCATCTGAGACAGCGAGAGCGCGATACTCATTGTAGCATTCCACAGCACTCTTGAGGTCACCAGTACCAGCGAAGGCATCGATCATACACGGAAAGATAGTCGCATGGGGAGTGACCTTCTGCTGTTCCATGTGGGAGTAGATGCGAATCATGTCCTCGACCTTGCCCTCGCGGGCACAAGCAATGATGAGTTGGCGGTAGAGGTCGAGCGGGAACGCAAGGCGGGAGTGACGGGTTGTGGCAGTGTTGAAGAGCGTGACAGCGATGGACAATGAATGGTCCTCAACCAGGATGTCGCGCTCAAGTTCGCTGGACTGGAGCATGAACTTGCCAGGCTCCTCCATGCCACCATAGCGGACACGCTGCTGCTCGATTACCTCCTTGGCCTTGATAATTTTAAGTGCATGAGTCACCAGCAACTGAACGAGAGTCTGATAGGTGTCTTCGTCGGGAATTACCCTACGACGAAGCATATCAGAGTAGACATCGAGAGCCTTGGGGATGGCCTGGGCCGCATCAGGGTGAAGCTGGATAGCTGCAACGAGGAGGGCATTGTAAGCATCGACAGAGGGAGTCAAGCCGTCTTTAAGCAACGATTGGAACGCCCCCGGAATTGCGGCATAATTCTTCGAAGTAGCCAGCCGGACAATGCGATCCGAGGCGGCCTTGGTCTCCTCGGAGATAGCCTCAGTCACGAGCACATCTTCGACAGACTCGGCGGCAGGCTCGTTTGCCTCAAATGCTTCCTCGGCCTGTGCTTGTTCCTCTTGAATCTGAATCTCGCGGGCGACGGCTTCCTCGACCTGAGCGCTGACGTTCTCGTTCGCGGCAGCCTTGGTGAGATGGGGTGGCACGGATTCGGGCGAAGGGGCCCGTTCTTCCTTACCCTCGGCATCCTCAGCAGAAGGCTTCCAACCAATACGGCGCTTGAACTGATCAGAGCGCCAGTCACTATCGTCGCCCGTCTGCTGGGCATGCTGCCAGGCAGCGTAATAGGCAGCTAACCCGAAATCTCCGTTGCCACCACCACCCTGGCTCGCCTTGGCGCCGGCGCCGGAGGAGCTAGACGCGTTGGAGAACGCATTCTGGAGTTGTGTGCGAGTGAATTTGGCGGGTTGGGCGGCGAGAGAATTTAATGTGGTAGTAGACGCGTATGAGGACTGCGACGCCGCGACTACCGATTGAGCGTAGCCATGAGTAAAGGCTTTGGTGAAACTCTGGCGCGCGAGGTGGGTGAATGGCTTAAAAACCATTTATCTGGCGGAGGACCTCTTCAGAGTGAAGAGGCAATGCTGTTTTGCAGGTTAGCACAGAGCCAGTACATGCGCCGATCGCAGAGGCGAGACGCACCTTGCACTCAGAATTGTAATTCAAGTGCAGGCTCATTGGACGACTGTGCCGCCAATGAACGCGCTAGGGCAGAATTGGGATGAAGGAAACTTGGTGGATGAAGAGACCCGGGTAAGGATAGGTCTTGGGAGCGTTATGAATTCAAGGACAGAGGAAAGAGGGAGCCTAAGTAAAAAGGGAGGCCACAAAAAAAAATCGCGGGATTCCAGAAGCAGATGGAGTCGCCAGTGGACGAAGGAGTGTCTAGGGCCGATCCTTTCCGGAGAATCCTCTCGATGTACTTCGTACCTTCGATCGATAGGCCACCTCCCCAACTATCGCCATTGACTACCTACTGGATCGGACCTGATTTCTGTGGGGCTATCGAATATCGAGATTCAGACACGTCAACCATTTTTCTCTCAAGTACAGGTTACTCGCATGTGTAAGGTCCTGCTGCAGTCCACCAATGTACCGAGAACTCAGTGGGAAACCCCGGTTTGCGCCAAATGTCAACAGGTCAGCTGGCTTCACTGCACAAAAATCGGGAAGATCTAGACTTTCAGCCAATCACACGCTGGATGCCCTGGGTGGGTGCCTGAATGAGTCACGCCCTTTCCCGGTTCTTTTTCTTCTCGGAGAAGGCTGTTCATCTTCCCCGGTGGCACTCGGCCTCCCATTTTGTCCGACGGGGTTAAGGGAGACGGTGATATCGTCTCCGCGTTTAACATATAGTGTATGGTCTTGACTCCGGGACTCCGGCCCCGCCAAAGGATTTGGCGGCGTCAGCATTCGTAGGTCTGATCCCAGCCTGGTCTTCATTTGAGTCAGTGTGGCCGTCTCGGAAATCATCACGATTGTATCGAGAAAGTCTCCGCAAGCCAGGCGAAGTAGTTGACAGTGCCAAGAGACGGAAATCTTAAGACTCCGTCAGATTTGCCAAGGTGTCGATGGTCGACGGTTCACAGCCTCAGGCACAAAAATTACTTGTCACGTGCTCCCATCAACGGATCCGATGTTTGTACCCTGGCGATCCTGTCCCAAGTATAAAGCCTCTCTTGTCGGTCTTGGATACCGGGCTCTATCATTCTCTTTATGAATCAAGCTGAGATTTCATGACATCATGAGACCACAGACGCCAGGCCCTATAAAATCCCGTGATGAAAATGACAGGATCATGATTCATCTCCTCGACGGCAGCCCTTGAAGATTCCGAGAGCCCCGAGCATGTACTTTTCCACTACAGTACGCCAGGGTCAATCTGACGTCAGAAAAGCGCTTTTCGTGACGGAGAGGAAAAAATTAAAAGGACGCTCGGATACTCGTCGATCGATACCCGCGTCCCGTGTCTACACTTGGGCCCAAATTCCCATCCACATCATCGCGGGGTGGGCGGTATCTTTCGCGACACGAGACCCATCCCTGGCTCGTAATGTCTCCGCCTAAGCCTCATGTGGCGCCCATCCATATGCGATCGTACCCTGTTCCTTTACCTGCCTGGACCGCTCGTTATCAGATCCCCGTTTCGATAAGAGGGCCATCATGCACGGTGTCGAATCCTTTGAATCAAAGCGCCCCAGATCCAAAGACGTGAGGATGACTCAACGTCTTCGTTCTTTTTCCTTGACGATCGCTTGTCGCTACTTGGTCGTTCAAGCGTTCAAATGTTGTAGATCAGGCTCTAGGGTACATTCCATGCAGACTTGGGGCTGGCAGTGGCATTGGTCTGGATCGAAACAGTCGACGATCCCCCGAGTCCGACATTCATTCTTGACCTCTATGTCAAATAATGGGATGGTCAGGCTAGAGATCCTCGAGGGGCCCTTCGTGGGTTTCTCCATGTCCAAAGGCGGGAAACGGCATGACGCCCAATGATTTATGTAGAGCTGCGTACTTCAGATACCTTATATGTTCACCTGCAGGAGGCTCTACCGGGTGCAAGTCTCCTGCAAATTTTCATTACGGCATGATTGTGCACGGTACAGATAGAGTACTGATATGCAGGGTCGGATATTTTTGGGTGGACCGTCTGGCCTGGACCCCACTAAAGGCACCGCGGGCTCCATCACCGGTGATGCCGAACCACGTTGTTGTTTTAACCAAGCGATAAGCATCGCTGGATCACAAAGCTGTTCTTGGAAACGCTTCAAACCAGTGAAAACCTAACAATTGCGATCTCCCCCTGTTTTCCCCTTTGTGTACTCGTACCCATGGATGTCAGCCTCAAACGGAAGCAGTCGGCAAAACGGTTCAAATAAATAGCAGCGGAGACACACTAAGTGTTCAAAAGCTTTGCCAAGACTTTGAGACGACCCTGAATGTTCCGCTGCTATCCGAGTCGCACTGTTATTCCAGCGCCGGGCCCTCATAACGAGAGTACCCTAACGGCTAGGAAGTAGGAGCATAATACCCGATTAGGCCAGGCACGTGACCAGCCGGATATACGGGATCCTGTAAGAGTCTGAAACTCGGGCACAATTGCCTTCCCGTCTGGCGATCTATAAGTGGGCCCCCCTAGTGGCTAGTGGTCTCGCACGAATCAACCCACCCAGGCTTAATCGTGACAGTTCGTTCCACAGGGCGACCCATGGCCCACTCCCAGAGCCATGGCCACTTGGACTACTTTGAGCTTAGTTTTGAATTTTTTAAGCAAGAAAATGCAAAAGCTTCTCGAAGCAGCTTCCGACACTTCCAGCGCCCTTCCCGCCTTATAACGCCGAATTTGCCGTGTGGCTCCGTGGGAACAAAGTATAGGGATGAGAAACGCCACAATGAATAAGTCTCTTCCAAGCGTGCAAAATAGTTTCTGACTCAACAAAGAGGGGATCGGACTTTATTTTGTCAGGATTGAGAGATTGTAAGATTGTATAACCAGAAAAGCCCCCGAAAGGCCGCAGGGGGCCGGCGTTTTATAGTTGCATTCCATGTTCGCGTTTCATGTATGATGATGACCCATGTGCAGCATGTCACCATCACTAGTTATGTTCCATTGGTGAGAACACAGACCTGAAATACTGAAAAACTCAACTCATCGCGAACCAAATTTGAAAAAGGGGCGGGTAAGGATCGTCGCTACCATGACGATACTCATTTCCTCGCAGGGACCCTTTCCCGTGTCATCCGTACCTGACCACATTGTACTTGTAGACTCGGACATCGCCATGGGATTGTAGAGAAAATGTCCGGAGCCGATGTGAACCTTCGAGCGACTTTGTCTGGTTATCCGGATGGCGAGATTACATGCGAATCTACCTCGTTCGGGTATCTACCGTTCGGCGCGATTGCCGGGCTACCCGGGATGAGCATCCAAAGTCTGGTGAAAATCCACCTTAGTGGCTACTTGCCGCTCACGGGTTCCCCTTGGCGAATGATCTTGAAGCATCATAGAGAAAAAAGCAATCTTGCTGTCCGCTTATAAATTGTGCTGCCCCCCCCCCTGCGTCACAAACCGTCGCATACCTACATAGCAGTCGCATTTCTTTTGCCAGCCCTTTTTCCTTCCGCAAGTACCTATCGACCTGTCCCATCACATATATAGCTCTTCACAGAAGCTTCATTACGCCAGGATGGTCTCACAAACGCTTGTGGTAACGCCACAACACCCTGGGCGCACCGTACGCGGCTCCGAAAGCGATAGCTCGATTGACGAAATCGCGGAGCAGAAACAGAAGCTATTTGCGACCGCCCTGGGGAAGCATGGAAAGGATCTTGACAATTCAGCATCGCCGAAGCGGTGGAAAAGCTTCTGGACCTCCTTCCGCTACCTCACCAACCTGACACCCAAGGAAGTCGATGATTTTATGGCGTCATACGTCATCTACAACCTTGATTGGTCCGACGAACAGCAAATGACCAAAGTGCTTGGTCCTAACTATCAGGAGAAGGTCGGCGATTGTTTGAAGTCATACTATGGCGTTTTGAACCATTTGTGTGCCCTCGGTGATGTCGAAAAGATGTACATTCCTCCATGGATGAGTAAAAAGGCTAGCGTTCTGGAAAACCAGATCCTTTATGAGCGCTCAATTGCTCAGAACATCGGTCTTTCGGCTGGAGACAAGGTGCTGGATCTTGGTTGTGGTCGCGGGCGCGTCGCTGCCCATATGGCGCAATACTCCGGCGCCCAAGTCACCGGCCTCAATATCGACCCCAACCAGGTCGCTCAGGCAAGGACTTTCAATGAGGAGCGTGGCCTACATAACACCTTTGTCGTTCAGGATTTCAACAGCCTCCCGCTTCCCTTTGAGAATGAGAGCTTCGACGCCTTTTACCAGATCCAGGCTCTGAGTCTATGCAAAGACCTTCCCGCGCTGTTCAGCGAAGTCTTCCGAGTCGTCAAGCCCGGCGCTAAGATTTCTCTGCTGGATTGGATCAGCCTGCCTGCCTACGAGCCCACGAATCCCGAACACGCAGAGCTTATGCGTCGCGTCAAGCCGCTGATCGGTGCCGTCGGCACCCCCACGCAGCAGAGTCTGGAGAAGGCGCTGACCGACTGCGGCTTCGAGATTGTGCTTTCCGAGAATGCCAGCATTGACGGCCTGCAGGCCCCGCTGATTGATACCGTCGACCTTTATTTCCGCACCTTGCGCCAGGTCATCCTCGCCCTTGTCAAGCTGCACGTCCTGCCCCGCCACTTCAAGACCTTGATCAATCGTCTGTGCCTCGACGGCCAGGCTTTCGTCAAGATGGATAATATGCGCCTGGCTACAACAAGCTATAGCATCATTGCGCGGAAGCCCAAGGCATGATCATCTAGAAAGTTGTTTCTTCCCCGTCGCGCTCCTTGAAGTTGAGGGTGTGAGCTAAACAGAATTGGCATGGTGAAATCGACACGGACATTTGTCTTCGGTTCCACCCATCCTTCGCCCGTTTTCAACATCATACCGACAATGTCGGTCAAATTATACAAATACCCTGTACAGTAATTTAAACTTTAGAGGCTTCGGGCGTTTGGCTGTTTTGATTTTTCAATTTTTGGGGTTTCCAGGATTTTCTTGTTTCTTGCAGCAGTTTGGAGTTTGCCTTTTCCTTCTGAAGATCAATGTCGAAATCAGATCTTGTTAATTTTCTTAATTGATCACTTTTATGATTAGTTCAGCTACTACCAATACAATGGTGATCACCTGAACCATCCTTCCATGATCGTGTCTGCTAAGTTTGTGTGCTGGCGGCGGCGTCCCGAGCTTATCTGACCGATTGGTGTTGCACAGCGAATGAGCTTGGTTCGTAAACAAACCCATGCCATGTTAGGCCGACTACTTCAAAAAAAATAAAAAAGAACAACCGTAAAAGTGATCCTCCTTGATGGCCAAAAAGAAAACTCGAAAAGGTCGTGCCCGGGATCGAACCGGGATCGGCGGAATCAGAATCCGCAGTGATGACCATTACACTACACAACCATTTGATGAATGCTGCCGCAAATTTTGACATTATGAACTAAAATGAACTTAAAACTCATCTTTCTTTTCTCTTTTCTTTTTTAAGGTTCTTCGTTTTCGTATCGGCTGTTGCCCATCAAGAAAGCTTGAAGTCATGACTTTTGACCTGGCCGGATTGGTTCTGTTCGGAAGTCTAGACCAGTGCTTGGAAATCCACGGTGATGTGTTTGCCACTGAGGCAATACGTTCTTGTAAGATGACTCAATTCAATTCCAGTGTTATTATTGAACTGTTCTTAGCTCTGGCCAGGTCGATATCTAGTGCGCCTGTCTTGGCCTCATTTGGAATAGGTAATGGGCTGACTCAGTTGTAAATAATTGCACCCGACTTTAAGGAAATACTATTTAGTGAAATATCGGAATTGAGCCGCTATTGCTTGCAGACCCATGGTGGTTCACTCTTTATACTTCAGTTGAAGGGCAGCGTAGCATGCTTTGGTAACCAAATTTCGCCCATTGGGACATCCTAGGTACAATGGGGCATTTTCGAGGTTAATATCAAGAGGTCCCTGTTGTATTGTTTTGGACTTTTCCTCGTGGGGTTTGACAGGAGGTCAACCTTCATCTAGCGAGTATTAAATATCAATCAATATAAGGGAACGTTGATCGATCGTTGGCACGTATCTCAATCCGCGTGACGAGATAACGCAGGCTCCCTCAGCTACATGCATCACAACTGAAACCAATCGTAATAAAGTGCGAGCAGAAATATTGCGAGTGAACTCTTGATCGGAACATATTCAGACCATCATCCCCTCACGGGAAAGGAGCGCAAGGGCACACGGGGTACCGATAGGCCTGGCACGCTATCCCTCATTAGGAGAATTGGATACACGCTTTCCCACACTGCCCTTTTCCCGCGCACTTTCAAACCCCTTCATCGTTGTATGCGCACATCTACTTGGCTATTCCACTCCCTTTTCTGCAGCCCCACCCAAGCTATCGCGCCTCCCGACTCGACCCTGCGGGGCTTGATACTTCGCAATCTCAATCTCAATCCCGATTGCTCCCCGCCTTCCGTACCCATCAATGTCCATGTCCCCCCAACCATCTTCCGTGACGGCGCTGTCCGCTCCCGGCAAGGTCCTCCTGACCGGTGGCTACCTCGTTCTCGACCGCAACTATACGGGTACAGTGTTCGCCCTTGATGCGCGCATCCACGTGGTCGTTCAGCAACTCAGGAGTCATCGCCGTGCACCTTCTGGGTCGAGTGACGCTAACCCTGTGCTGGGTACCGAGGCCCAGCCCACTCGTCCCGAGGGCGAGGAGACAGAGTCCGAGCACACAGTCGTTGTGCGTTCGCCGCAATTCATCGATGCGGTCTGGGAATATGGAATTCAGCGGTGTGAGAATGGAGGCGGTGTTAAGGTGGTTCAGAAGAATGACGGGTGCGCTTCTCTTATCATCACTCAACATCGGATTAAAACTAACGTATAGCAATGCAGCCCGCGAAATCCTTTCGTTGAGACCTCGCTGAGCTACGCATTAACATACATTAGCTACGTTGCTGACTCAAAGGACTTTGGCTCGCTATCTGTCACCATTCTGGCCGATAATGACTACTATTCGGAGACTGCAACCTCAAGAGGCCCTGCATCTCAAGCGCATGGACGTTTCGTCAATTTCGGTGTTCCTCTTCTCGAAGCCCACAAGACTGGTCTGGGTTCGTCCGCCGCGCTAGTGACTGCTCTCGTCTCTGCTCTGGTTATCCATCGTACAATGCAAGCTGACGACCTTGGTGCCGGCCGTGATAAGCTCCACAATTTAGCTCAAGCTGCTCACTGCGCAGCCCAGGGTAAGGTTGGATCTGGGTTTGATGTCGCGGCCGCCGTATATGGTTCATGCCTGTATAAGCGATTCTCACCTGCTATCCTCCAATCTGTTGGCGATGTTGGAACACCATGCTTTGAGGAACGGTTGTTCGCTGTGGTAGAAGATGCCGACCAAGAGCACCCCTGGGATACTGAATGTGTCGATTTTGGCATGCAGCTCCCGCGCGGAATGCAGATGGTCCTGTGCGACGTTGAGTGTGGCTCGCAGACTCCTTCTATGGTCAAGAAGGTGCTCCAATGGAGGAGCGAGAACCAGAAAGAGGCCGATATTCTCTGGGCTAGTCTGCAGAACAACAACGAACGACTACGACAGGAGCTGAAGCGCCTGGCGCAGCACCCAGATGCCAACACCGATGGTGAATTTTCAGATGTCCGCACCCTCATTGGCCGTACACGTCACCTCATTCGCACCATGACCCGCCGGACGGGTGTGCCTATCGAGCCCAGCGTGCAGACCGAGCTGCTGGACAACCTCTCTGAGATCGAGGGTGTCATTGGCGGAGTCGTGCCTGGTGCTGGTGGCTACGATGCCATCGTGCTGCTAATTCGGGACGATCCCGCCGTCATAACCAGACTGAACGAGCGGTTCACCGACTACAAGAGTGCTGTGGAGGATGACTTTGGAGGAAAGATTGGCAATGTACGACTTCTGGGTGTTCGTCACGGGTCAGAAGGAGTGAGAAACGAAGTTCCCGAACAATATGCCGCCTGGATTTAGATCAGATGGAACTCAACCTGGCTAAGAACAGCAAAGGAATCATGCTGCAAAGCTTGGAAAACGGATTATCTTGGCCTATTGCATTCTGAACCGGCCTCACAGGCGCCTCCGGCCCGTCCGACAACCACACGAATTCCGTCCAACCCAGCCCTGAATCATTCACGAACCCGATATATTACTTGTCTCAGAAGCCGAGATTTTTCGGGACCTTTGTGAACACGGGCTTGTGTGCCCAACACGGGCCGGATCCGTCTTTGTCTGCCGTTGCTACCGAGCATCAATCAAATGGATGACGACCGCCCCCTGATGTCAAGTAACAGACATAGAAAAACAGAAACATCGCGCAGATGTCTGACATGATCATATGGATTTTCAAGAATTGTGGTATGATTCAACGCACGGTGTTTCTTTGATCCTGATCGCAGGTTCGTAGCAAATAGCTCTATGCTTATGTCCTGCTAGGGACTTCAGTCATTGGACAGGTTGAGGTGGAATGAATTGCCTATAGATCAACGGTTATTCAATAGGTTAGTAATGTTGTCCATCTTCCATCGTCCATCCATCATTCATAGCGCGGGAATGCCCACGATGTAGCAGAATCCAGCTTTTTCTTTATGCATTCCCCCACCTGGACTTCTGCATTTGCTATCAAGACCGACGCCTCCCCTGCATATGCAGCCCAGTTCTAGGCCAGCCGAGGTCATTCATCTCTTGAGGCACCTGAAATACCTCACTGTGCGACAGAGAGTTTGTCGTTCCTGTATGGGCTGGCGAGGCAAATCGGGGGCATGAGCTCGTTTTCCACGAGCCTAAGATGGCCTGACTCTGAATAGAAAACACTAAGGCACCAGCGTGCTGATAATAGATTCAAGGTTCGCAACATGACACGCTCAAACCGTGTCCTGGTATGAGCAGAGTGGAATGCCAAACAAGCTGGGTTGGAAAATTTAGGTGTCGCTTTGTCCCCAAATCTCCCTGATCTCCCCTGTCATGGATTTAATCGAAAGTAAATAGGGTTCTAGATCTAATGAATGGAGTGTATATGTCTACAAAGAGTACTGTGGCGAGGTGGAAAAATTCCTCAGCCTCTTTGTCAGTTCGTCATATTGTCAGTTTCACGTTGCAACCTTCGGACTTAGACTTGCCGATCTCTCCTTAACTTCTTTTTCCTTCATTTTCCAGCTCTCGCTTTCTCCCTCCTCAGGATTTCTCATATCTTTTGATTGCTCACTCTCTGCCTACACCTCATCTTTTCTCGGCGCACTAGCGAAAAGACCATCGCGCCACTTCGGGTAGTTGACTCCTCACATTTGAGCCGATCGAACAACTCCTCTCTCCACATCTTTGTCATCTGGACCATTTGTTTCCGTGAAAAAAAGTTCTCCGTTTCCATTAAAGGGGCTGCATTCAATTGCCACCTGCCAGAGGGACATCAACGGTCATGTCTTCCACCGACAATGCGGAGCCCGGGGTGCTCAAGCCCAAAGATCATAACCCGGGGGTCACGAGTTCTCCGCAAATCGCGCAACCAACATCCAGTGAGCCCTCGAACGTTCCAGCCAAACCGGACCCCGTATCTGATAGCATTGCCTCTGTTCCTTCAGACTACACCCAGGCAGCCGATACGGCGAACCACCCCGCGACCGGTGGCGAAAGCGCCGTTCCCGTGACAGCAACGACTAGCTCCACCGACACTGCTCCGATCGATTCAAAGTCTGTTGTCGCGCAGACCCAGAACACCGATCCGCATTCAATGGATACTGAAGAACCTAAGACGGGCGCCGAGCTCTCGGAGGAGCAGTCGGACCTTGAGGGAAAGGAGGCCGAGGAGGCCGGGCCTTCGCTGGCTATCACCTTGCTCTTGACAACGGGCGCGCGGCATCCGTTTACCATCGATGCGAAATACTTGCGAAAGCGCTCAGTCAATGTCGAGAATTATGATCCCTTCGTCATGAGCGTCTATACATTAAAGGAGTTGATCTGGCGAGAGTGGCGAGCTGGTAAGCTACTCCCTACACCGTCGCAAGGCAGTGGAGTAGGCTGCGAATTGATACCTAACTATTCGTCATATTATAGATTGGGAAACTCGTCCATCTTCTCCAAGCGCAATTCGTTTGATCTCTTTCGGAAAGCTGCTCGATGACAAGTCGCCTCTGGCTGGTATGTGTTGCACGATGTTAAGCGCTATATGGCTACCTGTACTAACTGGGCGAAACAGACTCAAAGTTCAACCACGATGCCCCGAATGTTGTACATATGACCGTGAAGCCCCAGGAAGTGGTAGACGAGGAAGATGCCAAGGGAGCCAAGTCTCAGTACAGCCAAGGACGTGCAGCCAGCGACCGCAGCCCTGGCTGTCGCTGCGTCATCCTTTAAACGGCTTCCTTCAAGCACCCCAGCACCCGCGACAATGCCTCAGGTTGCACCCTCCGCCTTATAAACCTGACTTTTGAGTCTTGACTCCACCCTTCATGCGTTCATCCTACCATATACTCCCGACTTTCCACCAACTGTCAACGCGACTACTCGACCAAGCCTGCCTTCATGCAGCATCTCCTCACCACAGCGCAGCGTCACCTGGCTTCTGATGAATATGCGCTCCAGCAGCGGCTTTTGGACGAATCAAATCTTCTCCAAACCTTGATATCACGTCTTTTTATTTACCTGTCCTCGCCAATCCCTCCCAGTCCCAAACTCAAGAGTCTCTCCGCCCGTCCTGCTTCTGTACATGGGATATGAATCACCGCACCCTTGCCCGACGGCCTTGAACCATGATCCTTACCGTGCTCGCCCCTCTCCTTGTTTCCCTCATCTCGGTCTTCACCTGCCTCTCCCTTCCTATTTCTATATACCCATCCGATCCGTTTCTTTTTGGTTCTCCCTCTTCTTTTTGAATGTCCATTCTCTGTACGGCTTGCCTGGGACTTGTGTATCTACAAATTTCGCCTGTTTTCTTCTTGTTTGGTTGTTGGTTCGTTTCGTAGTGTACATGCTTTCCACCTTCATACTTTACTGGAGTCTTCGGTATACAATTGAATACTTGATCCTGACTGCATTTCTGACCTGGGCCAGCTACTTACTGATATAAAGGGAATCAACCCAGTTGATAATAGAGGGGAAGAATAGATTGCACTAGCTATATCATGGCCTCTGTCATGAACAAATGCAGACAGAAGACCGAGGCAGCAGGTTCAGTAATCTAATTCTCTATCGTGGACATGACATCAGACGTTAGTCTTCGAGGGGATGGAGAATAGAGACTAGTTGCACATGTCGATCAAAGGAAAAAGGAGAGAAAAGTTCAAGCGCATGGGGGTTTTATCATTTAAAAGTCCATCTTCAACCTCTTCTCCATCTCGTCGTGGAAGGTGGGTGGTTCCCGGAACTCGTCGCCTGCAGGAAACTCAAATCAGTTCATGCTCAAATAAAACCAAGCAGCACGGGAAGTTTTATAACATACCAGGGAAAATATCCTCCCAGCTCACCTCCGTATCCCGACCTCCAAGCGTAAGAATATCCTCGTGGATGTTGCCACCCTTCATGCCGCCCAGCACGGCCGGACGGAACGTGCTATCACGGACAATCTTCAGCTCCATGCCACGGCGGACGGGCTCAGCGATGCCGTATGCCCGACGCAGGGACTCCATCTTCATGGCATCTTGGGTTGCGCGCCAGGCGAGTAGGCGGGCCTCCAAAGGGTGTGTGGAGGAGGGGATATCGTTGAGGGCTGGGCTGTTGGTGGACGAGGCGGTTGCGGTGGCGGGTAGAGTAATCTTGTTACGGAGAGTATCGGGAAGACCAGGTGCTGAGGGGGCGCCCTTTGAGAGCTGTGTCTGGCGGGTGGTAGTGTTGGTGGTTGAGCTGGGGTTACCAGATGGGGGTGCGATGCGGAGAGACTGGAATTGTTAGTTAGTTGTTTTCAAAGATCGAATGATAATTATATGATAAGTTGAAGCTATGCTCTAGCAAAAGATGGAATTGGAAAGATGGGAGTCTGGCTGGCTCGGGGATGACTTGACGGAGGATGAGGTCAAGGTCCATAGCTTGATCACCTACCATTGCGACGGGTTCAAGATGGACTCTTGAACTCAGAATTGTAGACTTGGAGTGATTGTCAGAAACGGAGGAGCTGCAGAAGACGAAGAAGATACAAGAATGAACGAGGATGATGACCGAAATGCGGAGGGCAGCGCCAGGCAGAGAGAGAGCAGCGCGTCCAGCTCCTCCGGCTGCCCACAGCCACCAGAAACGCAGGTCACCTGACACCATTAACTCTAATCTGCATTTCTCCATCACAACTCGAAGATCACTCACGTCAAAGAACAACTCCACAATGCACCAATTAATGACACCTCTCGCCCTCCGGACTCTGCGGACTCTTGTCCACCGTCCAGCGTTCACGTCGACCCCCCCTCCGCACCCTGACAACCTCCACTCTAACCCGCCAAACCCCGAGTCCACGCTTCACCTTCAAGCCCGTCTTCCGCACGCAAACCGCATTCACCTTCTCCGGCATGACCCGCCAATTCTCCAGCTCACCGATTATCCGCGCAACCTACAACCAAGTGCGCCGCGGCTGCCGCAAAGGCCAGCGTGCGCGTCGAGGCCGGTCTCCGGCTTTGAAGGACCATCCGTCGTTGAAGGGCGTATGTCTCAAGACCGGTATCACCAAGCCCAAGAAGCCCAACTCTGGCGAGCGCAAGATTGCTCGTGTGCGTTTGAGTTCGGGCAAGGTCGTCACTACGATTATCCCCGGCGAGGGCCACAACATTCAGCAGCATAGTGTGGTTCAGGTGCGTGGTGGCAGAGCCCAAGATTGTCCCGGAGTGAAGTACCACCTGGTTCGTGGTGCGATGGATTTGGTAAGTTTATCTTCCTCGTATTGTGGGTTCGGGCAGACTTGCTAATTATCTCCAGGGTGGTGTCGGAAGCCGTGTATCTTCTCGGTCAAAGTACGGAACCAAGAAGCCCAAGGGCAACTAAAATCTGACCACTTTGGTTGAGTTGAGAGTCAATGGTTGTTTGGAGTCTCTGGCTGCTGGGCTCGCCTTGATGCTATGGGCTGAACGTCATACCTTATCTTTTCTTACACTGTATTTGTGCAATATGGGCGACATTGTTATTTATTGGAATTGCTTGTACCATTACAACTATCTAGATTATGAGGACCTGTGAAATAGATTCCCCAAATGATCTTCATACGACCATCATCGAACCTTCTCTCCTCTATGAATGATGATTTACAGTAGTACCTCTGACTCATTAAATTGTCGCTTCCGGTGATTCCATAACCTGGGCTCTTCATGAATTAAGTCAAGAGCAACTTGTATAAAGGTTGAAAGACGGAAGCAGTAATACGACGAGAGAGCCACGAAAACGGTTGATGCATGTAGAATCTAAGCGCTGCATATCAATGTTTCCTATGGAACGTCTTGTCCTACTCAGTCACCAAGCTTCTCGAACAATCGATGTTTGGAATCGGGGTTTAACTTGTATTTGATTTTTGTTCATACCTTGAAGTGAACTGATTAGCTACACAATCATCACGCCGAGGGAATCATATGAAAATATGGCAATACAGCTGCTTGTCTGATTCTCTTTTACTCCAATAAATCATGCAATCAATTTTTCTCAACGATAATAGAAACGCTCGGGAATCGATATAGTAGAACATGGCAGGTATCGCAAGTCAAGTCGCCGTGTATGGGGAAAAAACCGTGTTATCAATCAGAAAATATGAGTATTTCTGCGACTTTGACACGCCGAAGAGACTTTCAAAACACAAATCTGGAATCAAGAGTACACTTTCGTGCTCACTGAGCTGTGCCTGGGAACGCTGCGGAGGCGTTCTCCAAGATCGTACAGACATTTCATGACGAAGTGTATATGAGTGAATAAATAGGCTCGAGCACTTCGACTCACGAGCAAGATGATTGTGCTCAAAAATAGCAGGATGATGCCAAATTGTCCGAGCGCAATCAGTCAATCGTTCTTGTCCCAGCCTTCGGGCATTGTCATTTTGTTGACCTTGAACCACCGATTGGTGCCTGATTCGAGGTTAGCGAATGCGTCAGTAGACTAAGGCCGTCCCGGGACTCACAAGAATAGCCCTTCCAATCAAAGTTTTCTTCTGGCTTGCAGTGACAGCGAAGGTCCAGTCTTGTCTGCTCGTCGATCGGGCAGTGCGTGAATGGTACATGGTAATAAGCAATCTCATTGAAGAAGTGAATTTGCTCCTTCTTCAGCATAATGGCAGCGGCAATAGAGTGCACGGGTGCATCACCCCAGCGTTCGTAGAAGAAACCGCCATCCTGATCCAAGGAGGAAAAATAGTCAATGTACTCCTTGGAGCGCAACCATTCCAGGCTGCCAATTTCGAAGTTGGACCACTGGGAGAAAGTTAATCCTTTGAACAATTGAAATCTCATGGGATTGTACGTACGAAGTGGCACTTGTTATAACTCTCGCCACCATCCTCGCTGATAAAGTCCATAGCATTTCCTTCAGGGATGTGCTCGGGGTGGTTCTTCATGAACTTTTTCACGCTATCCCATAGCGTGGGAATGGTCTCGTAGTACTCGTACAGACTGATGACAAAGCTGTATTTCTTGTCGTTCTCCTTCATGAAGCGGAAAGGGTCGGCGCCAATGTCACAGAAGAGTTCAATGCTGGGCTCGACGCGCCAGTAGTATTCATAGTTCATCATCAGCGGGTGACGGAAGAAGAAGCCAGATTCATAGCGGCACATGTGACGGTAGCTCTCGGAGCCTCCGTAGATGATCTTCTTGCGATCCATCTCTTCGCGCGCTTCCTTCGCTTTGTCCTGGTCAATCCATTCCGGATAGGACCAGTGGTCCTTCGGGATTCGACCATAGTGTGTAGTTCCGGACACCAGCGAGGTGGTGAGTTTCTTGAAGTCATCGTCAAACTCGTTGTCGTTCAGGAACACCCAGTCATAGTTGTAGTTGCGGTTGAATCGGTCTTCCACTGTGCGGATGGACTTTGCGATATCCCAAATATCACTGTTACGAGCGAGGGTGACAAAAGTGGCGTTCACCCGCTCATTTGTAGAATTTCCAGCGGATTGTAGCTTTTGCGCTCTGAAATCTTCGTATGAGGGACGGGACTTGGGGAGTGAGACGGAGGTGGGAATCTGCAGGTCGGAGCGGGAGATGAAATAGAAGAAGGTCAGGCACTGAAGGTCGTTAGTGATGCGATCGACAGGGACTCGACAAGAAACCCCATCAGTTCAGCCTTACCACGAGGGCGACCGCCAGATAGCGGGTATACCGCACGGAGGACATTGTGGCGAGTGGAGAAAGGTGTTGTCTATGGGGCTAACGAAGGTCACAGTGAAAACAAGCCCGCAGAATTCAGGCCAATCCACGTTATAGGGAGCAAGACATTCGTGTAGAGGTCAAAACCAACACAGAGATGGAGCAGTGGTGGAGTAGAGAAGAAAGGAAGGCCGCGCAAGTCAATGGCGACAACCGCTTTCAGCCGCGTGGTTTCACCGGTTCCAGACAACTTGGAATTCTCAGGGGAATTTTGCGATGCTCTCGGGTCTTTTCCAAGATTAGCCTCTCTCCGATTTTATGATTGGAACTATGATGACAAGGGTCTACTCTCTCCCCATTCAATCGAAGAATTTCCAAGGGAGATTACAAGTGTCGTTAACGTCCTTGGCGAATTGAGACGTGGTAATTCGTGACGGTGGATAAGCCCCCTACACCTTGAAATGCAAAGTCGGAGAGCACCAGGCATATAGAAAGAGACAAGGAAATAAAGATGATATTGGATTTGTTTCAGATCTTCCCTCGTGGAGTCATCACATCAAAGATCCCAAACGAGTCGCATTGGATCGACACTTGGCAGTAGTGCCTCAGGCAGCCGCACTCCAGAACTTCGTTCGCTCCATCTGACGCTCTCCTCGTCCCCCCACCATCCTTCCCTTCGACGCCCCCATTTCTCCTTCTTCCTCTCTTCGACCAAAGAGGCATGTCTTTCTTTGGATTCGATACCTCCCTCCCGAGGGATCGAGGTCGTGGCCCTGGGGCCAAGGGCTTCTTTGAGAACTCGGATCCCTTCGCGCAAGTCGCTTTGGCTGACAAGTTCCTGGACGGTGATGCGTACGCTCCCTTCACGATGATGAAACCTGACATGGATGAGATGCTGATATATATACTTAGCGTTGACTTCGAGGATACCTATGACGGCCTTGGCGACCAGCTCGATGACGATCAAGACGAGTTCAACGACGACACCTTTGGCGGCGGTGGCGGAGATGCTGCGCCTGTCGGCAGAGACTTTGATTTCTTTGGAAGGACTGCTGGTGTTGCCGATGCCATTGGAGAAGAGCAGGTTCGCTATAGCTTGCAGAACCCCCAGGCCGCACCCGCACCCGCTCAGAGAGCTCCCCCCACCGGCAACGATTCCCACCGAGTCGACCTCTAGGCGCACGGGCTACGAGAAGTACTCTGAACCTGGATATATTCCCGACCTGCAAGCGAAATCGAGCGTTTGGACGCAGAAGGCCGAACCGAGCCCCGCCCCCGCGCCGGCCCCAGCCCCGAGCCGCAAGATAATGAGTCTGGAAGAAGTCGAGGCACTTGAGGCACAGATGCGCCGCGGTCAGCCTGGTGGAAGACTACCTCCACGACAGATGCAGCAGATACAGCAGATGCAACAGATGGTGGCGGATCCGTATCAACGTCACCCTCAACATTTCCCCACGCTTCATGATGGCTTCCACCAGCTGGCTCCGGAATTGCAGGCGCAGCTTGAGAAGGCGGCATGCCACCTCCACCCCCGGTGATGCCGGAGCTCTATGGCGGACTCGGACCTGCTAACCCCCCCGGGTGCCCCTTTCCTGCGAAACAACCTCCCTCCTCAGAACATGCCGCCTCAGGCCCCCCGCCATGCCGGTCTGCCTCAGGGTCAGCGGCCGCAGCAAATGCAGCAACAGCTCCCGCCTCCGAGCAGCCGCGCACCGAACAATGGTCTGCCGGTCATTACTAACCCGCAGCAGCTTCTGCACCTGACTGAAGAGCAGCGCAATGCTTATTTGGTTGAGGACGCGAAGCGGGCCAAGCGCAACCACAAGATTGCCCTCCTCTCCAGAGGAAACGGCTTGATGACGCCCCAGGACAAGAACTTTATCACACGAATCCAGCTGCAGCAATTGGTGGCTGCGGCCGGTAACGTGGCAGACGCCGATCCCGAGGCTGTGTTGGCCGAGGACTTCTACTACCAGGTCTACAGCCAGATTCGTGGCGCGCCCCGTCAGCATCCCCACCAGCCTCTTGGCCACTTTGCCCAGACCTATCTGCTCCAGACCGGAAACCGTCTCGGTGGGAACCGACACCGAAACACTTTGCAGGGCGCAGACAATCATATGCAGCGGATGCAGCAGCAAGTGCAGCGTGCTGTTGAGGCTGCCAAAGCCAAGCCTAAGAACAAGCAACTGATCATTGAGGGAAGTTTGGGCAAGATCTCTTTTAGCAACGCCAAGGCGCCCAAGCCTATGCTCAACATCAAGCGTCCCGATAGCTCGGAGGGACCTCGTCCTAAGAGGGTGCAATCGGAGCTTAGTTTGAGCGACCGCAAATCCATTCTCACCAATATCGAGCGTGTTTATAGCGCTTTGATGTCTATGGAGGACATGGAGCGCACAATGCCGCCGCCACCGGAAGAGGGTGATGCAGAAGCGATCCAGAAGCATATGGAATGGCGCCAGGAACTCCACGGACTCAACCAGAAGCTCTGGAAAGCACTGAAGGTTATGGAGCCTATTGTGCCCAACTCCACTACCCCTCACCCCTTCATCGCCTTCCTTTCCCACGCCAAGGGCAAGAAGGCCATTCCCCGCATCTTCCGTCACATCGACCAGGAGCAGCGCGTGACTATCCTAACCATGATCGTCGTGCATCTGGACAGCTTGGACGTGGTGCGCCTGGCACAGGCTATGCCCGGTGAGGCCCAGCCCTCCATGGCTGTGCGCGAAGCCATTGACCTATTCTCGCTGGCCGTCATGCCGAGCTTGCTCCAGTATGTCAATGAGGCACCCTTTAATATTATCATCGGTCTCCTGGGCCTGGTCATCGCGCAGACCCACGTGCAGAGCGTGGCTCGCACCAAGGTCGGCCTGGGCATCCTGACCATGCTCCTGAGTCGTGCGGAGCTGGTCAAGGAAGCTGGCCAGGCCCCCGAGCGGGACTGGCAGCAGTGGGTTGAAAAGTTCAACGTCCTCTTCGACACCCTAGAGCCCGTGCTTGCCGACATCTTCCCGGGCTCGATCAACTCGGGCGACGACATGTACGTCTGGCAGTTCCTTGCCGCCGTGGGTATTGGTGCCAGCCCCGAGCAGCAGCAGCGTCTGGTTATTGCTGTGAAGTAAGTTTCCTTCCCTGAGGATCTCCAAGATTACTTGTGCTAATTATTCATAGGGATCGCGTCATGGAAACCGTGGGCTATAGCAAGAGCCTTCCTGCAGACATGTCCAGTCTGCGACTGGGCAACGTCAACCTGTTTATGCGGGCCATCGGATTGGACGTGGAGCTTCTTGGTTAAAATGAGCGGAAACGACGAGTGATTTGTTTGATGTCTGATATTCCGAGCTCGTCCACACATCGATTTGGCTCATAGTGCCCCTTTCCGAATAAACCTGAGCGTCAGGTCCTCGACTGGGGGCCTCCTAATCCGAGCATTAACTGCATCGATATTGAATGCAGCGCGCAGCATGCAGAAACGCAAGCAAGCGTGCCTTTCCCCTGAACTGCGTTGCGCACCCCCCCCCCGACGTGATCTTTGGGAAGAACCTGGCTAGAGCCAAAAGTCTTTGCAGGGCACACAATGTAATCCGCCCTTGAAAGCATATGTTCATTTACTTTCTCCCCATACCAATTTATTCTGTCATTTTCTGTTTACTCTTTACCCGGTGCGGATGGGGCTAGATGGGGATTACCATTTTCCTGATCAGGGGGGATAAGTGCGCAGGTGTCTTCATAGTCATAAAAGCAACGATCCATGAAGCCACAGACAACACCACATCGGGAACGGGCTAGGTGGAAGCCGGAGATTGGACCACTGGACCCTGAACCGGGGCAATGGTCCCGGCCGTGCCTCTAATTCGGCGCGGAGTGGGCTCTAGACCCGCAGCTTAAAATGAAACGAGGAGTTGCCGTTGGAGACGCTTTGAGGGATGGCCCATGAAAATCATCCTAATGCATCTCCAAGGCCCATCGGCGCCGGATCTTTGATGCCCGCGCTTATCTTTGCCCGCTTCAGCTTTTGGAGGACACCCTGGTCAGTTGCGTGCCGTGTTCACCGCCAGGGACGAGGGACGATCTACATAAACACCAGCCCATGAGCCGGTCCCGACATTTCTCATCGAGGAGGGAGTCAATTGCATGGACACGCCAGGTCAGAGAGAATCCAGATGTTTGCGATGGCTCAATGTAATTAGATGTCCAACCAGGTACCTCAGGTGTCAAGACGCAACGGGCAATGCCGCGTAATGGGGAAAGAGGAACGGGGAAAGAGGAACGAGAGCGGCCGGTCTCCCCACCTGGAATTTCCCCTTAAAGTGCCTGCCCCTCCTGCCCTACATTCCCCTCCTTCAATTCATTTTGACCTTTCATTCTTTGAATCATCGCAATCATGTCTGCTGGTTCTGTTCTTGTTGCTGGGTAAGTCAAAACATGCCTCTGCTGAAACCCCACTAACCTCCCCGCAGTGGCACGGGCTACATTGGCTCCTTCACCACCCTCGCTCTGCTGGAGGCTGGCTACAAGGTCGTCGTTGCTGACAACCTGTACAACTCCTCCGCTGAGGCACTGAACCGGATTGAGGCCATTTGCGGCAAGAAGGCGGAATTCGTTAAGCTCGATGTCACCAACGAGGCCGACTTCGACAAGGTGTTCGAAGCTCACCCCGACATTGACAGCGTGATCCACTTCGCTGCCCTGAAGGTATGTCAATTGCTCTCTTTTCACCATTGATGAGATGCGCTGACATGGTCATAATCAGGCCGTCGGCGAGTCTGGCGAGAAGCCCCTGGACTACTACATGGTCAACGTCTACGGCACCATCAACCTGCTGCGCTCGATGGTCCGCCACAACGTCACCAACATTGTCTTCTCTAGCTCCGCCACTGTCTACGGCGATGCCACCCGCTTCCCTAACATGATCCCCATCCCCGAGGAGTGCCCCCTGGGCCCCACCAACCCCTACGGTAACACCAAGTTCGCCGTTGAGACCGCCATCACCGACGTCATCAACGCTCAGCGCAACAACGCTATCAAGGCCGGTAACGAGGCCGAGGCCAAGAAGTGGAACGGTGCTCTGCTTCGCTACTTCAACCCCGCGGGTGCTCACCCCTCCGGCATCATGGGCGAGGACCCCCAGGGCGTCCCTTACAACCTGCTCCCCCTGCTCGCTCAGGTTGCCACTGGCAAGCGCGAGAAGCTGATGGTCTTCGGTGACGGTATGTGCCGCCCAAGTCCCCAAAGTATACCAATCCTTTCTAACTAATATCCACAGACTACGCCTCCCATGATGGCACCGCCATTCGTGACTACATCCACATCCTCGATCTCGCTGACGGCCACCTGAAGGCCCTCAACTACCTCCGCGCCAACAACCCCGGTGTCCGCGCCTGGAACCTGGGTACCGGAAAGGGCTCCACCGTCTACGAGATGATCCGCGCTTTCAGCGCCGCTGTCGGCCGTGACCTCCCCTACGAGGTCGCTCCTCGCCGTGCTGGTGACGTCCTCAACCTGACTGCCAACGCTACCCGTGCTAATAAGGAGCTTGGCTGGACTCCCACCCGTACCCTCGAGCAGGCCTGTGAGGATCTTTGGCTCTGGACTAAGAACAACCCCCAGGGCTACCGCCAGCAACCCCCGGCGGAGCTGCTGGCTAAGCTGAAGAAGTAAATTTGCTTCATTTTCTGACTGAGATTAAAAGACTCTTAAGGAGTGTGGACATAGACGATTTATTGGTAGAATACACTGAAACGAATTTCCTTTTCACTGGATTTTGACTTTAGATGCAGTTCCCAGGTTTGAAGTAAACAGACTACTTGACTCGGTAGCTATCCAGGAACCCGATGATAAAAGATACGAACGATCTATAAATTTGCAACCGGCTGAATGCATATGAGTTTACCAATCTGTCAAGTCAACCCATTCAAATATGCCTCACTTCACGCCTTGTTTTTCTTACTCCTTCTTGACCCAGCACTCGGCGCCTTTTCCGAACTCTTCTCTTTCCTCTCCTTCTTCTCCTCCTCTGCCTCCTTTTCCTTCTTCTCCAACGCCCGCTTCACAGCCCCAGCCTTCTCTGCCTCCTCAATCTGCTTCTCACTAAACTCCCAAAGCCTCTTCCCAACATCCTCATCCGCCACATCCTTTCTCGCGTAGTCAACCTGTCGACACTCCTTGATCATCCACCCGCCTTGTCCACGCCCATAGCTCTCCTCCATAGCCGCATACAAGATACTCTGTGCGCCCTGCTGCGGTGACTTCAGAACAAGCCACCAGAACGGCCAGGTAATGAGGTACACCAACAGACCCCACAACGAACCACCCGTAAGCCAGCGCCGTGTTCCGGGCGTGCGGCAAAGCCCAGGGTCGACAACAATAACGCGCGCGCAATTCGGTAGTCCATCGGGTCGTTTATATGCACTCAGATGGCGCTGGAAAGACTGAGCGAAGGTCATGAGCGCGAATTTGCTCATCGCGTAAACATTCTTTCTCTGCGCTGAGTCGTTCTTCGTTTTCGAGTTCACGCCCCGCACGGTATCAAGATCGAATTTCGCTCCAATGTACCCTGACGATGTGGTGAAAATTACCCGCACGTCGCGATGGGCAGGCTGCACGCGGAGCGCCGGGCTGAGAATACTGAGAAGGTGGAAGTTGGAGAGGTAATTGACTTGCCATTCGGCGTCGATACCGTCGGGAGTCAGAGTTCTAGCGCTAGACGGGAGAGCGATGCCGCCGCAAAGAATGACGGCGTCAAGGCGGCGGGGAGGGGCATTGTCGATCCATTTCGTGGCGAAAGTGCGGACGGAGTGCAAGGATGTGAGGTCGACTTGTTCAGCGTAGATGAGGTTGTTTTTTGTCGTGCGGCGGAGGTCGTCGATGTATTCGACAAGGAAGAGGTCGGAGGGCGGTTGTCTCGTTAGGAGGATAACTTGGGCGCCGCGGAGGGCGAGTTCATGGACTACACTTGCGCCAATTCCTGATGTACCGCCCTAAGAGATATTAGATGGGTGAAATTGGGACTGGGAGGAAGGGTAAACGGACCGTCACCATTACTACTTTTGAATGCATCAATCTTTCGGAGATGTTGCGGGCTCCGCCGAAGTAGTACTTCAGCACGACAATGAGGAGAACCCATGGCGCATAGCGAAAGACCGGCCAGATCCATGGAATTGAATCAAGGCCATCTGCGATGCCCTTGACGATAATTGGGATGGGCATTCTTGGGAGGTGAGTTGGAGTGAGGAAAAGAAGTCGAGCTGTTCGAAAGGGCGCGCGTTATCCGTTATCGATAAGATTGCCACATCTGCCACATCTGCTCTTTCCGCTCTTCAACTTGGCTACGATGTCGGACGACGAGGACTATTTCCTTCCGTTGGAAGACCAACGGGTCTTTGGCGCTGGTATCCGGCGTAAAAGGGTGCCATTTGTGCGCTCTTCGGAGCATGAATTGAGCACGACGAGACCAGCTTCTACTCCTGCCACGAGCATCGCTGATACTTACCTCTCTATTGTTCTTAAGACAACCGACGGGGACCTTGCGGATAATGTCAAAGAAAACGATTCGAGTACATCCAAAAATACATCAAGACCTATCCCAGAGGGACATTTGCCTCCTGTTCGTACAACACAGTCTGTACCTCCAGCAGCAGAAGCAGTCGCTCCACCTCAAAAGGACCACTGCGAGATATGCAACCTTCCACTCTCCTCCGAACCGGGTACCGACTTAGAAACACGTCCTCACGAAGCATCCTTAGCCCATCAAGTCTGCCTCAATCACTCCCACCCCCCATCACACCTCGACCGCACCCGCACCGGCCTGCGCTACCTCTCCACCTACGGCTGGAACCCCGACAGCCGCCTTGGTCTCGGCGCATCGGGCAGAGAGGGCATCCGAGAACCACTCAAAGGCCGCATCAAAAACGACAAAGCCGGCTTAGGTTCCGGATTAGACAAAGATGGAGATCGATTACCAGCACCGCCGCCGCCACCGAAGAAAATACAAAAGCTAAACGCCAAGCAAGCGCGGAAAGGTGCCGACGAGGCGAGGAAGCGGGGTGACAAGTTGAGGAATCTGTTCTTCCAGAATGACGAGGTGCTGAAGTATCTCGGCGAAGATGCTTGATTATGACTGGATTCAACAATTAGCGTGTTCTTTCTTTTTACGAGATACCCAGGAAGTTTAGAACTCTAATAGAGATGAGAGCAGAGCAAAATATGGATTGTTTTTTTTGTGTATTACGTGATTCACAAATTTCTTTGTACTATGATCTTCCCCTAAACAGAAAACACAGTCGTAGGCGAAATGCCCGGACCACAGACCATGATCAAGATAATGAAAAGATGGTATCACAACGGCGCTGAATGAATACATGGCACAGTGGACAAGGAAATGGGATAGGTGGTTATGTATCGTGCACCTATTTGAAGAAGCGGTACTTCTTCTCCTTGTCCTTTTTGTCCTTATCCTTCTTCTCCTTATCTTTCTTATCCTTGTCTCTTCTGAGCAATTTCCCTCCCGACGACGTTGATGCCGGGCTTGATCCGTTTGATCCCAGATTCATACCGGCCATTAGGGCCTCCGGAGGCGCGGGCGAAGTCGAGTGTGCTGTGAAGATGGCCTTTTTCTTTGGCTGAGGGTTGGGAGCAGGCGGTGCCTCGCGCTCGAAGAGGTGTGCTGGAGCAGACGGCTTGGGTCGCTCGGCTGGGATATCTAGGCGGCGCTTGTCGATACTGAGGTCGCCGACTTGGCGCATGAAGAGTCCCGGGGTCAACATGTGTGTTGTTGCCAGGAAGATGTCACGACCATAGGTCTGGGAGAGTTCATAGCAGGTGCGCGCCTCGGATTGGGTGGCACCTCCGGCCATGAAGACGATCAGGCGCTGCTTGGGCTGGTCGGCAGCTCGAGTGCGTGCCCAGGTTGGTTTGGCGCTGCGTAGGGATGCTTGCTGCGTTATTGTATCCTGAGCAGCCATCCCGCCATCAGTTTCGGTGTGAGGTCTGGTGAAGGGGAAGACCGTTGGATCCAAAGTGCCTCGGATTTGTTCCTCCAGCATCTGTTTGACACCAATCTCGTAGCGAGACAGACTGACTTCTTCAGTCTCGGGTACTGGAGCTTTTTTGTTGAAAAGCGATTGCACTGGGGGCCTCTCATCCTTTAGAGGTTTCTCTACCCGCGCACCGAGAAGATCGAGGTTAGCAATAACGTTCCCGTCTTGTCCAGCGAGCTCTGCATGGGACATCAGTTTACGAATGTCGCCACCTAGCAAACCTCCACGGTACAGAATATAGAGAAGAATTAACCGAAGCCGGTCTTGGGACACAACCGATTCGTCATCAAGCAATTGGACAAGCTGCGCAGCCAGATTCTTGGCTTTCTTGTAATTCTCGTCAAGGCCAGAGGCGAAAGATTGCTCAATGGAGCTTACTTCCAACAGCTTGCGTGTTTGGAAGAATTTCATACATTCTTCTGCCATGTTCAAGTGCAACGTGTAAGCATCTTTGCCCTCCGTAAACTCGGTCAGACCTGCCAGCATGTCCTTGATCGTATTAACGTTGGTTTTGTCGTTACTGCGAGTAGCAACGTTAGCTATGTCGGGGCTCAACGAAGAATATGTTTTCGTACTCATCAGCAAACTGGGAATTCGCTTTTCTGAACTTGGCGAAGTCATCCCCTAATTTACCAAGCACGTCTTTCATGTGCATGTGTCGATAGTCCACCCAGATCTTGTCGTGCTCGCCAAGCTCCATGTCCTTGTCCTCTTCATTCGCTTTACCTTCGTTAACCTTGGTTCTGTAGGTGACTTTATCCCCATCCTTGATTGGTAATAGATCATGCACCATGGCCTGATATGTGAATTCATGGAGAAGAGGGGCGAAGATGTCCATAGAACGGTCCACCACAAGCAATACTCCCCGAGGTCTGTTAGACGGAGGCGGGAAGTCTCGTTGAAATTGTGCAAATTGGTCTAGCTCCGATTGAATAAACCGTGCCAGATGGGAGGAAAGAACACCGGCTTCGTGGGTAGGAGCTCGCGGCCGGTAATACCGGATGACAGGATATTCGCCCAAACAGGCACAAAGTGAGACAACCTGAACAAAAGTGAGCTTCAGGGTCCGCCAAATTCATGTGGAAAAAGGAAATAGTATACCTTCTGAGCAAGTTCCTGGAGGTGATTCTTGACCAAATGGTTACAGCCTGGATGAAAGAGCACGGGGAAGCTCCATGGATCGCGGAAAGTAACCACGCGCGATTCTCTGGGGTAGAAATTGATGTTCATAATCCGATAATCTGCAATGCGATCGCGCGCAATTTGAGACCTGTCAAGCCGCGCACGTTGCTGTGGGTCGAGGACTGATACCCGTTAGCCAAAGCGCTTCGCCCAACGCCCAATCGTCGCCTACTAACAAGATGTCCAAACCAAGATTGCCTTCCTGTACCTTCCGACCTCAATGTCGGCCATAAGACAGTCGACGATCCATGCCTCTGGTGTCAGGATGTATAGCGCGTCCATATCCGGATTGGACATTCGTCGCTGCTCAATTTGTTCAACATCTGCGGGGTGCCGGCGCTGGTTAACGAGCGGTTCAGAGTCCCGGTCTGGGAAGGAAACCCACTGGAGACATTCAAGTTGAGAATTTCCTCTTCTTTCACAGCGGAATTAATCAGTTTCCTGCTCTGTTCGTCCACCACCAAGACTTTCCACTGTACGGGGGAAGCTATCATCAGTGCCCGCCACTGAGGAGAACCAGGGCGAAACCCACCTCATTACCGCCCGCATTTCGGATTGTGTTGAGTATGACTGCGAGAAGAGTTACAATGTCAGCCAATCCACCTCTAGAGGAACCTAGTACCGTGGCAACACGCACTGTCGCGTTGGATGCTGATTATTGAGGAGCCCATGGTGGCGGGCCACGGGCCGAAGGATCACCGCGGAAGCAGAGGATGAAGAAGGAGGCGCAGAAAGAGAGAGAGGAGGAGAAGATGGAGCAGAGAAGGAGTCGAGATAGGTGGCCGTAGGAGGTACATGAAGGAGAAAGTGGTTCCCCACCATTTGAGCTTCGACAGGATGCAAAGTGGATCTCCCGGTGGCGCGCCAGGGAACTCATTCCATCCCGATAAGCAACTTTTTTCTTGAAACCACCCTGAAACCACCTCTCTATTTCGCGTTTTCCGCTTCTTTGCTCCTTGGAGGCATCTGTTTTATTCCTTCATCGGTCGAGGGTCTAGGGCGGAATGCAGTCATGGGGTAGAAGCAGCCGCTCGCTTTTCTGCTCCTTGCGATCATGCACTCCAATCCGGCCTAAGCAGCATCACTCCATCGCGACCCTTCTGTGCTTCGAAAGACGACAACGCCTAAAACTATCACTCTCGGAGCGTCATTTTACAACATCGCCTGTCCTCCGGCGTACAAAACGAGACAAAAAGGCCAAAGAACCGCAGGCCAAGCCCGCCACTACCCTGGATCAAAATGGCAGGCAAACGCAGCATCTTGCAGAGTTCGATCGGCTTGTCGAAAAAGCATTGGTTGATGTGCGGAACAAGCTCCTCAAAACAAAACAGATGTCAGAAGGATGGAAGCAAATCGAACGACGGGTGTTAAATGCCTTGCGGATGGACGAAGCAAAGGCGGATGCGGGCTCATTGCTGCAGACGAAGAGATCATTACAAAGGGCTATGCTATCTTCTGGGGCGCAGGGTATACGAAACGAGCTGGAATATCTCAACTACGCCGATCAAACTACGAGAGATTACTCAACTCCAAACCTCGAAGCACAGAAGAAAGTGACCGACCTTCGTTACCCGGCCGAATGGTATCCCGCCGCACGCTCTATTCAACGTACAGTGCATCTTCATGTCGGCCCGACGAATTCTGGAAAGACATACCATGCCCTGAAGCGACTGGAAGCCAGCAAATCGGGGTTCTACGCTGGGCCGCTGAGACTGCTTGCACAGGAGGTGTATCATCGCCTTAAGACAAGTGGTATTCCATGCAGTCTGGTGACCGGCGATGAGGTCAAGGTCCCCGAAGATGGCACATTGCCACGCGTCATGAGTAATACAGTGGAAATGGTCAGCCTGGCACGGGACTTTGATGTGGGAGTCATCGACGAGATTCAGATGATATCAAATCCACAACGAGGTTGGGCATGGACGCGAGCAGTTCTTGGAGCACGAGTCAAAGAGCTGCACCTATGCGGTGAAACACGTGCTGTGCCGTTGATTCGGGAGCTCTGCGCTCTCACGGGAGATAACTTGGAAATTCACCGCTACAACCGGTTGAATCCCTTGCAGGTCATGTCGAAGAGCTTAAAGGGTGATTTAAATAATCTCCAGAAGGGTGATTGCCTGGTGTCCTTCTCACGGGTTGGAATTCATGCTTTGAAGGCCGACATCGAAAGATTGACCGGAAGACGAGCAGCCATTGTTTACGGCGGCCTGCCAGCCGAAATTCGGACCCAACAGGCTAATCTTTTCAACGACCCTGACAATGACTATGACTTTCTCGTCGCAAGTGACGCGATTGGTATGGGGTTAAACCTGTAAGCATCACCAGATATCTCCGTCTTAAAATTTCAACTGACACTTAGTAGGAGCTGTAAGCGTATTATCTTCGAAACCTTGATCAAGCGTCTCCCTGGTGGTCTGCAACGATTATCGATCCCAGAGATCAAGCAAATTGGTGGGCGTGCAGGCCGGTATCGTCCAGCGAGCGCCACAAATGATTCAGAGGACGGAGCCAACGTGGGCCTAGTCACATCCCTTGAAGAAGTCGATCTGCCCTATATTGTCAAGGCCATGGGCACAGAACCCCCACCACTCCGTGCTGCTGGGATCGTTCCTACGGATTCTACCTATCAGAAGTTTGCCAGATACTTCCCGAGATCTACCCCATTCGAGTATCTGCTCAGGCGCGTCAAAGACATCGCTGAGATCAGCCCGCTTTTTTTCATGTGTGATGCGAAGAGTCAGCTCGCTAATGCTGAGATTATTGACAACGTGACTGGGTTACGGCTTCAGTCGCAAATGACGCTAATGGCCGCCCCAATGGATGCCAGAAGTAACGCTGGGTACGACGCCATCTCTGAATTCGCTGACTGCGTGGCCGAGAACTCACGTGGACGGTTCTTGGACATTCATGCTCTCAGGCTGGAGGTCTTACAAGAACCAGTATCCGGACAAAAGGAATACCTGCGCGAATTGGAGGACCTGCACAAAGCCATCATTCTCTACTCATGGCTGGGATTCCGCTTCGGCGGCGTCTTCACGGACCGGACTCTCGCTGCGCATGTCAAGGAACTCGTCGAGGAACGAATGATCCGAGCATTGACTGAGTTCTCAGCCAACAAGAAGTTACGAAAAGACGCATCTCTGCACCGCCAGATTGCGCTGCAGAAGCAGCTCCTCGAGCAAGGAAAATTCGACTTTGAAAATGATGGCGAGCCGGAGGGTAGAGAAGAGGAAGTGGAGGAAGGTCAAGCAGAGGAAGGCTCATCAGTCCTTCCGACTCCTCTTTCTGAGACTGGATCGACCGACGCAGAATCCTCAGAAAGCTCGATTACCGACTTTGAGACTGATTTGGATGAAAACAGTTCTTCAGAGAGCAATTTTCACGGGCCCAAGCTACCGGAAAATGCGAGAGACCTCTTCTGTATGATGTACTTGGTGTAACAAAAGACTTGTATATTAGCTGTATTATATCAAACCACTCCAACAGCCCCGGGATGAAATGTCTCCATTTAATCGTGTATAGTTGTCTTATCTCTTATCGGTGGCGACTTCGGCCGGACTGATTTTCCGCCTACACTTTGCTTCGTGAAGGTCGGTCTCGATCGGTGTTTGCGCACTCGCTCTCATATCGCTTTCCTAGCGCCTTCCGTTCCCTTCGACCGTCGTTCTTTCGATCTGTCGCCAGGATGGATGACCTGGAGTCGCTGGAGCTGCTTTCGCTCGTGTCGCGAGTGACGAGCGAGCTCCAGAACCACCTGGGCATTTCCGACAAGACTCTGGCCGAATTTGTGATCGACCAACACCTCAAATGCAATGGACAATTCTCCGAATTCAAAAAGAGCCTCGATGACATGGGCGCTGAGTTCCCGGAAAGCTTGATGGAGAGTATTGATCGCCTTGTACTCACGATGCACCCAAAGTACAAGTCAAAGAAAGCGGAAAATGGCGACTCTGGTGCCGGAGGCGATAATTTGATGGACGAGCTGGATGCTCTGGAGAAAAAGTCGCGGGTTTTCAAGGGCCTAGCTTTCCCAGATAGGGAGAAACGCTGGGAAGAAAACGACTACCTTGATCGGCAGGCCGCCGACGAAGCCGATGCGCGGGAAGGCGCCATGGACGACACTTTTGCAATGCTGGAGGGGCTTGCTGGGAAGCCGAAAGAAAACCAAGCTGCCTTTACAGATGAGCGCAGCACCAGAAAACGGAGTCGCAGCCCCCAATACGATGACTACGACCGCGGACGACGACATAAAAACAAACATCGGTCGAGATCACGGAGCGCACATCGTCGCATCAAGAGTGACGACCTTGTGGACGAATTTGGACGATCCATTGACAGACACAGCAAGCGCGAAGACAGTCGCAACGGACACAGCGATCGACGGAGACGTCGTGATCATGAACGTAATGACGACGATGATTATTTCCGACGACCACCACCCGTTGAACTGGATGACCAGCCAATTCTCTTCAAAATTTATGAGGGACGTGTCACCGGCGTGAAGGACTTCGGCGCCTTTGTGAATCTACAGGGAGTGAAAGGTAAGGTCGACGGCCTTGTCCATGTTTCTGCGATGCAAGAAGGCGTGCGAGTGAACCACCCGGGTGATCTTGTTTCTCGTGGCCAGCCAGTCAAGGTCAAGGTTGTGAGCATTGAGGGCACTCGCATTGGACTGTCAATGAAGGAGGTCGACCAGGTAACAGGAATGGATATTGTTCCCCAGAAGCGGTTGGCTTCAGGCGCGAATATGCAACGCCTCGATGGTTCATCAGGAAACGACCGATACGGCGATCTCAGTTCAGACGTGCCCGTCATTGAAGAATCTAACGGACGGCCAATGCGGAATCGCAAGCGTATGACCTCGCCTGAACGATGGGAGATCAGGCAGCTCATTGCTTCTGGGGTTGCATCCGCCGCAGACTATCCCGACCTTGATGAGGAATACCATGCCACCCTCACCGGCGAGGGAACGTTTGAAGAGGAGGAAGATATCGATATCGAAGTCAAAGACGAAGAGCCTCCTTTCCTGGCTGGCCAGACGAAGCAGTCGCTCGAACTTTCTCCTATTCGTGTGGTCAAGGCCCCTGATGGCTCCATGAACCGAGCCGCCATGTCGGGTACCAATCTCGCCAAGGAACGACGCGAATTGAAACAGCAAGAGGCGCAAGACAAAGCTGCTGAACGGGCCAATGAGGTCGACCTCAATGCACAATGGCAGGATCCTATGGTTGCACCTGAGGATCGCAAATTTGCTGCGGATCTGCGCAGCACTCAGCAACCCAAGCAGGATGATGCTGTACCGGAGTGGAAAAGGGTCACCATGGGCAAGAACCAGTCCTTTGGCAAGCGAACCGACATGAGCATCAAGCAGCAACGTGAAAGTCTGCCAGTGTTCAAGTTCCGCAAGCAACTCTTGGATGCCGTAAAGGATAACCAGCTGATGATTGTGGTTGGAGATACTGGTTCAGGAAAGACCACGCAGTTGACGCAGTACTTGGCCGAGGCTGGATACGGAAACAATGGTATCATCGGTTGCACTCAACCTCGTCGTGTCGCTGCCATGTCTGTGGCCAAGCGTGTTTCCGAGGAAGTCGGCTGCAGGCTGGGAGCAGAGGTTGGCTACACCATCCGTTTCGAAGACTGCACGAGTCCAGAGACCAAGATCAAGTACATGACCGATGGAATGCTTCAGCGAGAAATTCTGCTCGACCCAGATCTTAAGAGGTATTCCGTGATCATGCTTGACGAAGCTCACGAGCGAACAATTGCCACAGATATCTTGTTCGGTCTTTTGAAAAAGACCATCAAGCGCCGGTCCGACCTTCGCTTGATCATTACGTCGGCCACTCTGGATGCCGAAAAGTTCTCCGAATACTTCCATGGCTGTCCCATTTTCTCAATTCCCGGACGAACTTTCCCTGTCGAGATGATGTATTCGAAGGAGCCTGAATCTGACTATCTGGATGCTGCTCTCATCACGGTGATGCAGATTCACTTGACCGAACCGGCAGGTGACATCCTTCTCTTCCTTACAGGCCAAGAAGAAATTGACACTGCCTGTGAGATATTATTTGAGCGGATGAAAGCATTGGGCTCTACAGTCCCCGAGCTGGTTATCCTTCCTGTCTACTCCGCGCTTCCCAGTGAGGTACAGAGTCGAATTTTCGAACCAGCGCCGCCTGGTGGCCGCAAGGTTGTCATCGCGACTAACATTGCTGAGACTTCAATTACTATTGACAACATCTACTATGTCATTGACCCCGGCTTCGTGAAGCAGAATGCCTACGATCCGAAGCTCGGTATGGATTCGCTCGTGGTGACACCTATTTCGCAAGCGCAGGCCAAGCAGCGAGCTGGTCGTGCAGGAAGAACAGGTCCTGGCAAGTGTTTCCGACTGTACACGGAGGCCGCCTATCAATCCGAGATGCTCCCCACCACCATTCCTGAAATTCAGCGACAGAACCTGTCGCATACTATTCTCATGCTCAAGGCAATGGGCATTAATGATCTTCTTCACTTTGACTTCATGGATCCGCCCCCCACTAACACCATGTTGACAGCTCTTGAAGAGCTGTACGCCTTGTCAGCTTTGGACGACGAAGGTCTACTGACTCGTCTGGGCCGTAAGATGGCCGATTTCCCTATGGAGCCCGCTCTCGCGAAAGTTCTTATCGCCTCTGTCGATATGGGCTGCTCTGATGAGATGCTTAGTATCGTCGCCATGCTCTCAATTCAATCTGTATTCTACCGACCCAAGGAAAAACAGCAACAGGCAGACCAGAAGAAAGCCAAGTTCCACGATCCATGTGGTGATCATCTTACCCTGCTGAATGTCTACAACGGCTGGAAGAATTCCAAGTTCAACAATGCTTGGTGCTTCGAAAACTTTATCCAAGTTCGAGCCATCGGCCGCGCCAGGGATGTGCGCAATCAGCTCATGGGCATCATGGAACGCTATCGCCACAAGATCATTTCTTGCGGACGGAACACTACTAAGGTGCGACAAGCACTTTGCACTGGTTTCTTCCGAAACGCCGCTCGCAAGGATCCCCAAGAAGGATACAAGACGCTGGTGGAAGGCACACCTGTGTACATGCACCCGAGCTCCGCGCTATTCGGAAAGCCAGCCGAACACGTTATCTACCACACTCTGGTGCTCACCACTAAGGAGTATATGCACTGCACCACTTCGATCGAGCCGAAATGGCTCGTGGAGGCAGCCCCGACATTCTTCAAGGTGGCACCTACAGACCGTCTGTCGAAGCGCAAGAAGGCCGAACGCATCCAGCCTCTTCACAACCGATTTGCTGGCGAAGACGATTGGCGTCTTTCGGCCCAGCGCCGTCAAGGCAGAGGTGGTGGCGGAGGCACTTGGGGTTGATATGTCACTTTCGGATACCAATGCTTTGTTGCATGTTTAATACTTCGTATATTCACCATGTACTCTTTTTTCTTTTTCAAGCCTGATGAATCAAACTGGACTGGCGTTTGGAATGGAACCAGCCATCCTTTGCATTATATGCTTCAAGTATGCAGAGCTTTTAAATAAAATACGGAATTGCCATCTCATCAGATACCTACCTCAGCCATGTGTAGTGAACTATTTCACATCTCCGAACATTTCAAGTAAAGAAAGTCGCTGAACCGTTTTAGTTCAAAGTGGGTAGTGGGTGGGAGACGACCAATCAGAAGGTGCGAAATCTCGAAGACATCGGACCCGTGCATCGAAGACCTCGAAAAAAAAAATAACATTGTTGCAACCATCAAGATGGCGCACGTCACAGAGCATCCTTTTCGTGCGAAGCGAAGAAAGCTCGATGAAGATCCTCAGGAGAGCAATGAGCCAACAATCAAAAACCCCTCCCAGTTGCGCAACTTGCTCGTTTTCCAGCAGAATCCCTTGGCGTCCAAGCAAGGTAAGTTCTTCGCTCAACGGTCTTCGACCACTGAAGCTAACGACGTTACAAAAGGACTCATTAAATTCAAGGAGTTCCTGAACTCTATTCATGACCCTGAAAAAGCGAACGAGAAAGCCCAGAAGCTTCAGGTCCTCAAGGGTTATTGCGATAAGCAAATCTCTCCCGGCAAAGAGAGGGAGGAGGATTCCGTCTGCTTTCCAGACATAATTCAAACCTGGGGCTTGGGTGATAGCGGTAACCATGACTCCTTGCTGACCAATGTGCCCTCTGTCCTTGCCATCTTCCTTAAGACCATCTCCCGCGAGCTTGAATTCCGCGAGTTTGGGCTGGCGCTGTGCAAGCATTTGCTGCAGAAAGACCAACTGAGACTTTTCAACCGTGGTCTTACCGCTACCAAGTCAAAGGAGCATCTCATATCACCTTGTCTTCGTCTACTCACGGAGATCGTTACATATGATGGAGGGGCGGTGGCCCGGCAACTCTACAACCGCCGCTATATCACCTTCAAGCGCCTCGAGGTCTTTTTGACTCCCAACAAGGCGCAACTCGAGATTTCAGAGGACCAGTCCAGCAAGTCAACTTTGCGTCGTAACGCCCAAAGGTATCTGCTTGCGAACTTGAGGGTTCAACACGAGCTCGAGAAGAGCGACATCATTGAGCAGCACAAGCTCACCCGCGCATTCCTCGACCATATTCGGAAGGACACTCGAGACATTGCCCTGGAAATCATCAAGTCTATCGAGAGGGACATCGTACAAGATGCCTCGCTGCAGCGCAAGTCCAAGAGCAAGTTTTTCAACCGCTTCAATTTGGAGAAGCTGGTGACCCTTTACGGCTACGATCGAGAATCAGAGGAGCCCAATCCTGAGAACATCTCGATCGCAAATGAGATTCACAAGCTTTTGATGAATATCTGCCAGACTGCGGGCCTTGGTGTTCTACTTCCTGAGACAGGCTGGTATCCGGTCGGAACCGACCCGGAGAGCCTGCCCGTTGAACATGACGACTGCATTGAGCTGGGTCTTGACTCGCCCATTTATGTCGACAAATACCGGGAAAATGTTCCGGTGCGGAACAATTCTCTTTCGTATCTGATTCAGTGTCTTCGTCCCGATGTGGATAGTTTGCAAATCGAGCTGCTGGTGACAATTTTCAAGGCAGCACCGGAGTTGATCGCCGACTTCTTCTCTAAGAAGACTATGTTCACTGCGGACCCTAAGCCAACTCCTTCGTGGCTGGCAGAGTCCGCCCTCCTCTTCTCCACTGTGCAGCTGCCTGTCCCTAAAAATTGTGGCTGGAGAGAAAGAGAGCCCATCCTGCCGCCACCGGTCTCGATTGTCATTGAAAATATTCTCCCTCGGCCTATGAGCCAGAAGATCCTGACCCGTTGCTTGAATCAAAATGCGGAGATTATCACCCTGTTCGCCGTTCGAATCTTGACTCTTGCGTTCACCAAACTGCGTTCAGTGCTGAAGATCTTCCGCGCTGAGCATGGACAAGCCCAGTTATTTTGGAACCAGGCTTCCTCCAAGCTGCTTGCTGAGTTCTCTCGCCGGTGCCCCGCCGTGAAGGATGTTATAGTTCTTTTCCGACGAACGGCTAAGGAAGATCTGCAGCAGCAAGATGCAGTGGCGGAGTTGTTGACCTGCTACTACGAAGTGATGCCCGACATCGCGTTGGAGGAAAATTTCGATGTCTCGTTGGTTCTAGTTGATGTGCTCAAGCGGCTGGAAGAGCCCGAAGTTAGCTCCGACGATTCGGAGCTTCTTCTGAGTCAATTGCAAAGTGTTCTGCATATTGCACAGCAGTCTGCCTCCATGCGTTGGTGGCAGAAACCAGGTAGGCGCCGCAGAATCTCGCTGTTCATGATCATGCCGGACTGACATCTTCCCAGCTACTATGCAATACTCACCCTTTACATCAATCCTCAAGGTCCTTGTGGACACCTCAGACAAAGATTCTTCGCGCCGCATCTCTGTTCTCTTGAGAACAGTCCTTGCAGAGAACTTTGTTCTCCGAAACTCGCCACAGTCATTTAACTCGTTATTGTCAAGTCTTGAAGACTCCGACACTAAAAGCCTCCATAAGCAGCTGGTTTTCTTCGACAACTGTGTGTCTCGCGTTGCTAAGAAGCCTGTCCACTATGTGGACCTTCTTGAGCCTCTTTCCGAGGATGCTGCTAACGGCCTGAGCCCACTCGTCCCGGCGATTGTCGAGCAGTGGCCTTTCGTCGTCAAGGCCGGGGATGAGAACAACGAACTTGCCATTGGATTATGGGTTGCTAAGCTCTTCACACAATTGAAGCAGGGCGGCGAGAGCACCAGCGCGTTGAAGGCTGCACGAGATGCTTTGATCGAGGCCACTGAGACCAAGAAAGTCAGATCTCATTTCAAAAAATGTCTCAAGGAGACAGAAGATGCCGACGACGAGGACAAAATGGACATTGATACAAACCCAGTCCAGCCCACTGCGTCCGGCAAGACCGAGGAAGTAGACCTGGATGAGATTTTTGGATCCCTGCCCACTGAAGGCACAACTCACAACGCATTGCACAAGTGGGAGCGATTGGATGAAGAAGAAGCAGTGGAGCAAGGCCACCTCGCTGAGTTGATGCTCTGCCTGTGTTCCGAGCACGAGGAAGTTCGACGACAGGCATTTTCTAATCTTGTTCGTTTCATGGCAAAGTTGAAAGAGTCCAAGTATGCTGAATGGCGTTCCGTGTATATCCTCATCGGAGAACTGCTGGAAACGGTCAATAGCATTGGACTTGACAAGCCCATTCCATGGATTGTTGGTGAATGCGCTTCGAACTGTCTTTCAGTCTTGATCAACCCCCTGCACAAGGTGTATGGCAAGGTCAACAAGTTCTTGCAAAAGGCCCCAGTCTGGGAATTAGAAAAGATCCCCTCATACTGGATCGACAAGATCTTCCTGCACGAGCCTGAGCTGGATGATGGGTACTTTGACGAGATCGACTGGCTTCTGGGACTGTTTGTGAAGAGTCTTCGCAGCAAGGCTGACATGGAAGTCTACCGTCGCGCCAATGTCTTTGAGCGCATTCTCTCCCTTTATCAGTCCCCTAGCCTTGGTTCGTCGGCCCGGCGTAAGATCCTTCATGTTATCTACCGAGCAGCCCAGGTGGGCGGCAGCACCACTCTAATCACCCGCGCGGCTGTTATCAGTTGGATCCAGCTGCAGATCGCCGAAGCTGACGACAAAGAGGTTGCCTTGCTTTCGGCTTTGGCGCGGGCTCTTTACAAAATGTCTGACCGCGAGCGAGTTGATGCCTGGAGTAATGGGACCCTTGAGTCGACGGTGGAGGCGATCACACAGACGTGAAATAGACCTTTGTACCATACCTTACTCTATATATCTTGATAAGAATCAACATGAGAAGGCGCAGATCCGGAAAGTCGGGCGAGACAGTCTTTCTTTTTTTACCGGTAGAAGATATCCGTGGTATATGCCGTGGAAAACCACTTCCAAGCTTTCTCAAGACCCATGATATGGGGCATTTATCTTTTTCAGCTTACGTGAATTTGATATATTTCAGTGGATAAACACATGCACTTGCTACAGAGGCACGCCTGCAACAATATCACGGATTCAAAACCCCATGCAATCAATGCAAGGTAACTTGAGACCAAGGTGCCGCAAGCTTCCAAGATTCCCATTTTCAAAGGATGCATAATTTTGAAAAATCATCCTATACATCACCGTACTCGTTGATATAATCACTGGACCATCAGTCTCAAGTGCCGTGATTCTTCGTGACTCGGAGCATCTGGTGGATCGCTCACCGACCTTGGACTCCGCCTCGAACCTCGCCACAAGGTGGCTTGCTGCTTCTCCTCACCTAGCGACTTGATTTTCCGACCGCTCCCCCACACGAACCTCACGACCTTTAACTTTCTCCTGTTCCTATCGCCTTTCACTGTGCTTACAACTATCTCTGTCCGCTTTCGCCCTTTTCCAACCCCGTGAACCAATGAGAGGATCATAAGTCTTTGGATCCAGATCGCACACTCCCTTGAGGCCGTCATGGCGCGACGGTACGAGATTGATGAGCTATTATGGCTGCGCTCATCGCCTCTCGTCGCAAAACCTCCTGGTCTACCCCCCCATTGAGGAATGGATGTATGTTCATGCTTCTCGTTTATCTGGCCGACCCCACGACCACCGCAATACTAATACAAGCCTCTCTCCTAGGCCTCAACCCGACCCAACCACCCAGCAGCGCAAACAGACTACTCGTGACCCCAATAACCCTCCTGAAACACCTACAGCCAGAAGACCTAGCTTTTTCGAACCTCGCCATATTTCACGGGGTTCCAATTCAGGTATTTTCTACTCCCCGCTGGTCCATCGACTACGTTCAACACCCTTCCTTGATGAACATTTGCTAATCTATTGCTAATTTGAAAGAGGATATCCTTCTCACCTCACCCAAAAATGTCTTTGCTTCGTCTCGAATGGGAAGCAAGGGATCGCTTGATATGACAGATCGGCCATTGCGAACAGGCAACCCAGATGACAGGAACGATCGATTTAACTTCAAGGATCGCTTCTTCAAGGACCGGGATGCTGTGGATGGCGATGGAAAGCAGTCAGCTCTGAACGGTCGCCGTGGTGGAGATAAAGAGGATTGGAATGCTGGGCGACCCCGCCGCATATTTGGCCCTGATGACCCAGAGCGCAAGCCCCGACGGAACGGAGAATTTGACCGATGGGAAAAATACCCAAACCCCTCGCGATTCCGCTGACGAGCGAAACCGAGACAAGGATGGCCGCTTCCCTCCCAAGAAGGACGTCCAGCCGGGTCGCTCCAAATTTGAAGGGAGCTGGTTCCGCAATAACGAGAATAACGTTCCTGCGCCAGACAGCGCCGATGCTGACGATGATAAACCACCACGTAACCGAGAATGGCGCCCGAGAGACCGACACGGCGTAGACCGCGACTGGAATCGGGGTGCCAAATTTGACCATGAGCCCGAATGGCTGGACAGTAACGACCGAGATGAACCTCGACGAGCACACACGCAGGAGGATTTCCAGCGCTGGAAAGAGCGCATGAAGGCAGGCTCTGGTGCTGCCCAAGCCGTGGCGCAGGAAGAGAAGAGAGATGCGCCCGCCGAATCGCACATGACTGCGCCGAAGCCAGATGGTCACTACACGGATGGGGAAGTCTTCAGCAATGAACGAAGCAGCCACGACGGTGCTCCCTTCATGGCAGATAACTCTATGGACCGTTTCTTCGGCATGCTGGGAGGAGAGAAGCCGCATGCTCAACAAGAAACCGGGATTCCAATTCCCGTCGATTCGGCTGCGAAGAACCAAGTCTTCGTTGGTAAACCTGGCAAATCGTCTCGCTTTGCCGGGCTTTTCAGCCCGCCACCAGAGAGTCCTTCGAAGGCTCCCGAGTCTCCTGTCCTTCCCATGGCCTCCGCTGGAGCTACCTTCTCCGGGGCTGCCTCCTCCAACCCTGACCAAGAAGGCTTCCAGCGGATCATCGCGATGCTGGGCGCTGGCGGCGGTGCTGGCGGCAGTCGATCGACCAGTGGCACTCCTCACCAAATTGATTCGTCCAATCGGTCACGACCCCAATCGATGGTGCATGCTGAACAGTCTCGGAACATATCGTCTCCTGCCAGAGACCTTTATCCCCGACAGGATTATGCAAGTCCTGTGCATGAGAATCCCCTTGCCCAGCTTGCAGGCGGCAAAGAACCCCAAATTGGAGAAAGAGAGCATTTGCTTCGACTCATGCAACAAGTTCGGGTTGGATCAGGCCCCTTGGGCAGCTCAGCCCAGCAGTCTCCGAGCACTGTGGGTCCTCCCCCCAGGCCTGATGCCGGATATGATGCCTCGCCCTCCTCCTGGCCCTCCTCCCGGGCTCGGTGTTCCTCAAAAGACCCCTGCCTTTTTGAACGATCCGGCCATCGCCAATATGCAGCGACCTGACAGTGAGCAGCTTCGCAGACGGGCTCCCAATGGGCCTCCCATGGGCTACTTTGATGATGTTCCCTTCCACCAAGGTGGCCAGGGACATATCACTCCTGGGGGTTCTCGACACCCTCAGGGTCCTAATCAGCCTCCTATGCCGCTCCAGAGACCCCCGGGACTAGAACATTTGCCTCCTCCGGGTTGGACTGGTCAGCCCCCGCCCCAGCAAGGCAATGGACCGAGCCCGATGGGTCACCCTCCTGGAATACCGACTCCTGGACGTGGCATGAACCCAGGATTCCCACCAGGCATGATGCCCATGCCTGGAAACCCCCCGCCACTTAACGACCGACAGGCCTTCCCTCGTGGCCCTCCTCCTGGCATGATCCCTCCCCCCCGGATTCATGGGCGCCCCTCCTCCTCCAGGCTTTCCTCCCATGCCGCCCAATCCAGAAATGATGGGACTTGGTTCTGGCGGCCAAGGACCATTTGGGCCCGGTAATCCTGGTCCCCAGGGCCCTCCCCCTTCTTCGCGACACCTACTGGAGATGTTCGGCCAGTCCAATGGAGGTGATAGCCGTGGAGGCATGGTTGGCCCACCGCAATTCCGTTAGACGAGATTTCCATACAGGCAGAGCTCTTGAGGCCTCATTTCACCGCCTAACATTTCCCTGCTCATAGTGATTTGTGATTTATCCGTGCAAAAATGTGAAGCAAGCATGCGGCGCAAGATTCGTCTCAGTCTTACCCCCCAGCCTGGTTACACGGCGATGTGGCATCTTCTCGAGATCAAAGCACCCAATTCTTATTGTCTTATTTTATGTCTGATTGTCCTTTCACGCTGTATTTGCAGATGCCCCATTTTCGGTCTGATGTCCATAACCCTGCTTTCCTACTCCGGCCTTGGCCCTTGCTTTTCCCAGCACTGGCTTGTCCTGTGTTTGTTGCTACATGCTTCGGGGGGTTTCCCATCTGGTGCTTGATTCTCGAGTTGATCTTTGTTTGCTGTGTTTTGCCGGGTTGGTATCCAAGTATTTCCGGTGGTCCCCTTTGGGGATATGATCGATTGATCTAGTGGTAGTTAGATTGCCCATGTATCTGTGGTGGAAGGGGTCTGTGTTTGCTATGTGGTAGATTCTCGCCTCCATGTTAGATGCCTGGGCTGATTCAATCTACCTGTTGCTTGATCAAGACGTATCAATTGCTTGTAGAGTTGACATATATATCGACATTTTTCGGAGTTTCCCCGCCGGGTGTCATGGATGTCTACCGGGAAGGAGGCGGCTTGTCGAGAATGTATCCAGATGAATTGTCAGGATCGCCGGTCGTCAAGTCTCAATCAAAAGGCACGCTGGGTTCACTGGTAATGATAGTGGGATGAATCAGCAACTTCCAGCGCGAAATCCCCGTGAAATTTGAGCGAAGTTTGCGCGGTGGGGGACTTACGTTTTCTCTTCTCAATATTTCTTTTTTTTGCAAGCTTTGAAATTTCCAGCTTGAAAACTTGGTTTCCAGGCTCATTCGTTCGACATTGACGGGGGTTTTCTTCATGTTGAGCACTCTCTCGCAGTACAAGTCCCGTCGAAGCACCCCCCAATGTCATGATAAAAGGCTAGTCTGGGTCCTGCTGTACCTGATTTAGACGAGAAACTAATGTCTCGTTCGAAGAAATCATTTCATGACAAGACCGGCTCAACGATCCCCTGCGACTCTGGAACCCCGGTCCCTGAATCGAATCTCAAATCTCAGATATTTGCGATTCGTCCGTAATTTCAATACACTGCGAGTATGGTCTCATTACAGAGTCATTACAGAGCAATTCAGGCCGCTCAGGGCATGGGAAAGCTGGAGATTGCCTGGCATTGTACGCTACTTGTTTGAGGAAGTTCCGCAGTTGAAGGACATTCAAGGTTGTCAACGAATAAAGATTGGGAATATTATAAAACTGGACAAGGAATCTCAATTTGAGATCCATTAGACTGGAGATGATCTAGAAGATTTGATGTATATATCGGTGATGCCAAAGATAGCCAGACCCGTGGTTGGGTGCTACCGGGTTGTTGGTTTATGTTGATGGGCAAGTACTTGCTAATGGATAAAATCTACCGAGAGCTCTGGGGCTTCAAAAGCCCTGACAGCAGCATCATCAGCCTTAATGGTGGCAAGACAGAAAGGCAGAGCCTCGACGGCAACCATCCTGGTGAGGATCTACAGGAGGATTCAATACATTAGCTTTGTGGGAGGAGCCTGTGATGAGATTGCAACCCACTTTAGTCTCCTTGTTGACCTTCTGGAACTACCCTGAAGCTGGGCGCGCTGTGAGTTCACGAAGAAGTTGGCGGCACTGACGGAGCCCTGGTCAAGCTCAATGCCGCTCAAGACAAGCTACAAGCATGAGAGGTTTTGGAAATGAGTGTAATTGTGACGACGAAACGCGAGATGCAAGCGTGTTTCTCCGTTTCATGGAGTGGCACCAGAAGGGACTTTGTTAAACAATGAAATGTGAGCCTCAATACCACACGAACGCGGGTCCAGTGGAGCAGCTTTAGGCATCGCTATAGCTAACTATAGCTAGCTTCAATGAAGCCAAACTCGTGATGTCTGCTATGCTGGTATGAAGTAAGCACGTACCATGGATCTATACCCGTCAGACAAGGATCCGACCGATTGCATAGAGCTGCGGAAAAGTGAGGAAAGATCCTAAGGCCAAGATTGACTGTTTCCATTCCCATTCCCATTTCCTTTTGAGCTGCTCAAACAACCTCCCGGAGATGGACTCATCTACTCATCTTCTCTTTTCCCGCGAATGCCAGCAAGGATACCACGTCTTGAAAAGCGTGGGACCATCAAGACTGTCCTAGGCTCATCAATCACCCAAGATCAATATGACAGACAATGTCCGCTCCGCACGGCTCAGCATCGAGCAAGGTGTACGTGTTAAACAGACTCGCAAGTCCTCCTCAAAGCTCGACACTGCTGACTTGGAGATATACTTACAGGCTGCGCGGATTCACATCTCGGACTCGGGCTCCCCGACGCGTGTCATCCCTGAGAGAACACTGTCTCGCTACCAGTCAGTCTTGCCGTCTGATTCGGGTCAAGATCTATCTCCAGTCAGACAGTCCTTGGCCGATTCCCTCCGCCTTCTGCCTTCTTCAATGACCGGCCACCAGGCCTCCCAGGGTGAGTGAATCCCAGATTCTGTCCATCAGGTACGGAACCATGGCTGATCTATCTTGTACAAAGCCGACAGCGAAGCGACCACTGAGATGGACGACACACTCGAGATACGGAGGTCGTTCTCAGAACCCACCAGCCCAGCTACAAGCCCCGAAGCACCAGGTCCCTTTCTGAGTCTCCCTAACACACCCGAACGAAATGCTTCGGGAGTATGGGCATTCCACAATCCAGGGCAGTCGGATTTCATCATCTGGGAAGATTCACAACGCCGCCTGTCTCCACCCAGACACGCTCCTATCTCGTTTTTCGACGTCGAAGAAGACAAAGAAAACATCTACGCCACGGTCTCAGACTATGACACCTCGGAGGGCGAAGAAACTACGAGAAACCACCTCGACTGGACACAAGCAGATCTGAGCCCACGCGATGTCTTTGGCCTGCCCATAGGCTCTCATTTTGGCCGACTATTGGCCGATACTTCAGGAGATTGGTATGCAGGGGACATGATCAGCCGCAATACGAGCCGCCATGGTATCTTCAGCCCTCCAGCTCCTACCCCCACCGTGACAAACTTCCGACTCAACATGCGAGCGGTGCTGCGTGATGAAGATGGAGATGAAGATGAGGAGTGGGGTGATTACTTGTCCATAACACAGATCCAAGAACTACAGGAGCTGGGATCCGTCTACACGCGGAGTGTTGAGCAACGAGCCTATGATGACCGTCACCTGCCTATGCGCGATGCTAATGGGCAGGGCCAGGCGAATGTCTTTCTCGGGGCGCGGCGTGTTACTGAGTATCAGCGGCACCAGGACCGCCGTCGACATGAAATGGAGGAGGATTAGGTGACTTGCAGTTGTTGCGCAATGGGCGAAAATGGAACAAACTCATGATTATGTTGCTTACGTTTTGCTACTTCCAGTCTTGTAGTCAAAATTTACAAAATACACACTGTGTGAATTTGCAAGGGACTCAAAAAATTGATGGCAAGTATGCAACGCCATCTAACCAGTACCGGAATTGAAGAAGGCGACCATTCAGTACCAACTAGAATGATAACGAAACCATGGTCAGTATGATCCGTATAGTCAAGGAAAGCCTCCTAGCTGGCCACTGTTGATATCGAGGAAAAGAAATGCTTTAAAATAATGTAACTTTCCCAAGGCGGTCACAACCATTATTTATGCCTTGACATGTACATCCGCCTGCCTCTCTTGGCAAAGATTTGACTGCCCCGACGCGCAATCAACTTGACTCAGTTAGCACGTACTATCTCCAAACTCGGAAGGACCACAAAAGTCTATTCAGATGTATGACAGCTCACATCCTTGATCTCCTGGCCCAATGTAGCCGCATAGCTCTATATCCCCCCCTTTTACTCCACGACTGTGGCATAGCGATATGCATCACCTGTCCACAACAGTTAGCCAGTGCTGAAGCTAGATTCATCGGCCTCCCGAAGCTGCTTGTCTCCAGAAAAGATCGAATGGCATAATATATGGACAGTCAACTCAACTAGACTACATGCAGCTTGCAATAAGTCTATTAATTGATGTCTACTGTTGATAAGATATGGAGAGGTAAATAATTCAGGACTCGAGCAAGTCGCTCACTCAAGTAGCTACTCCGGGACTACCAACTATTTTTTGCGACAACACAAAGAAAGGTCCATTGCAAGCTGGAAATAAGGTAGAAATCAAACGCTTAGTTTTTATGCCCTTTCTTCTTCCAACTTTTGCGGTTGCAAAACGCACGAGTTGGCTTTAAGCAGCCGAAAACACCGAAAATGCCCCACAAAAGCAACTCCGCCCAAGATCATGTTAAAAAGTAATGGGCAAAAGCGAGAAATCAATGCTAAATTAGTCTTCCGCTTCTTCTTCTTCTTTCAGATTGTCAGTAAAGCGGTCCCTCAGGTCTACCGCGCCATCTTTGGCGATCGCGCCGGACCAGTGTGATATGGCCCCTCTTGTCATTGATGAGATGCCCCATATTGCGAAGAAAGCTCTTGGCTGCACCCACATTCTTGAATGCAGCTACACCCATGACTTTAAAAATTTCATTCATCTTGGCTTTTTGCATGTCGTGCATTTGTTTGTCGATGGAGTCTTGACCATCGAGCGTACCGGCAGCGATTATTCTGAGAACTTCCACATCACGATCTTGTCCGATGCGTAGCAGCCGGCAGAAGGCCTATGTAACTGGTCAAAAACTAAATCTGGTATGTGTCATTGATTGTAAAACTTACCTGCTCATCGTGTGCCATGTTCCACCATCCATCTAGCACGATGCATTTGTTCGCAGCCGTGAGATCAATGGACGCTCCTCCAGTAGCGCTAGTTGAGAGTAGAATTGTGCATCCGGCGTTGAGTTGAAACTCTTGAATCCGGTTGTCTCTTTGAATGGCATCCACCTCGCCTGAAATCTGCAAAGAGTCAATACCCAGCGAATGCGATTATGGCATCTTTTCGGATACATGCCTTTTGGTACCTCCACTTCTCCTCCTGACAGATCAATTCGAGAATGCGCAAAGAGGTCAGAAAGTGAGAGAATATAACGATCTTAGTATCTTTATCCTCTAAAAGCCACTTCCGAATGATATCCCTGACCTTGGTCATCTTTGAACCTAGCCAGGTAGCGCCAAGATGGTATTCTTCGATGAGTGGGATCCAATCATCAGTAGTTGGATCTTCAGAATCTTCAGAATCATTCTCTTTCTCATTCCGGTTGAACATTGGGTTGCCCTTTGAGGCCTTGTTCATGGAGCTTCTACCTGTGCTACCGCGTTTTCGCTTCCTTCCGGGCCATAGATCTGACGCTGGGGGCGCTGTACCTGCAAGCAAAGATCCAAAGGGATGGAAATCAACGGCATCGGCAATTTCTGCTCTACACTTCATGCAGACTTTTCTTCGCGATCCGGCGGCGCCATTCTGGCTACAAAGGCCATCATAGCAATCCTTGCAGTAAAGATGGCATGAAGTCACGAAGAAGGGTCGGTCGAGTGTGAGTTTTTCCAAGCAGCCAACGCACTCTTTAGCAACAATCGAGTCATACTCATCCCAGCGCTCTGCAACAGCCAAGCGACGTGCCTGTTCCCTGATTGCACGCTTCAGAGCGATGCGATCTTCGAAGACCTTGCGCTCGAGTTTTGTCCAAGGCAAATCTTCCAAATAAGCCGTGTCAGAAGAAGAGCGGCCTTTGAGAAGCTCGATAAAGCCCCAGAGCTCTTTCGAATCACGGTCTGATGCGTCACCTGTCCCGGCAGCCTCATCTTCCAAGGCGGACTCGATGGCGCCTAACAGGGGCTTCACCGCCTTGAAAGCAGTAAGAAAGTGACTGGAGACTTGGCGCAGGTGTACGATTGTTTCAAGAATGCATGTCGTTTGCTCTGGGGAGATCATCGTTTTGGATGAACTGCTACCGGGAAGTGCTGTGCATGAATGTCAGTATGAAGCCAACGCTCGTCACTAAAGATCTTTGACTTGCCATTGAACTTATCAACTTGCTTGTTAAGGATTTCATCATAAATGACTTTCTCAACTTTGCAGAATTCAACCTCTATCAGCTCTTCCTTGGCGTTCGGCATGCGAACAATTGGGAGACAGAAGCATGTGCTTTCGAATGTTCTTCGGCGGTAGAGCGGCTCGAGAACTTTCTGAAGGTTAGCTATGCCTTCATGTCCCTGCATGTATAATAGAAAGTCAGTATTTGCCGATAAAATCTGAAACTGTAGACCGACTATATGAGAAGGGGTGAACGAAGCCACTTTAACCATGTGGAAGATTGTCAATACATACCCTGCTGAACTGATCCTGGAAGCTCTTCTGGAGTTCGCAGTTCGGAACCCCAAGAAAGCTGAAATATGGCTGCAAGTCTTCCTTCCTGCTATTCATCATTAGCAGTCAATCTGATCAAGAGAAAGATTCATTTACTTATACAAAGGCGTTCCCGTCAAGATCCATTTCCTTTCTCCGGTAAGGGCCCGAACAGCTGCTGAAGTCACACTCGTGTTTCGGATTGCTTGCGCTTCTGTTGGAGATTGTGAGCCCAATGGTCTTCATTTGAAGCAAACTTCTTGATGGAATTTACCGTCCAGAACGATGCGGTGCCAATTGATCTTGTGCATTAGTCCCAATTGGCTCTCAAAGTTGTTTCTCCACCATTCAGCTTTTTCTTCGTTGGCCTGCAGAGACTTTGGCATTCGGGATAATGGATATGAAGTCCGCACGTCATCGTATGTTGCCAGTCTGTCAGCAATATATCAGTCACAAAGCCCAGGGCTCCTTTCAAGATTCTCACTTACACTATGCCGTGCTGTTTGAAGCCATTGATGTTGCTCACATAAATCTGAGCCATGCGAACATTCCAATCCCAGATGGACCCCAGTGCACCGGTATTGAAGCCCAGGGAAATTTGGCGATGCCTGGTGAAGTCAGCCAATCGTGAGGTTCTTGGATATTGTAATGCATACTTACCAGTGACCGCGGGCGCTTCCTGGAATAATGACAAGAGTAGGAGCCATCTGCCCAGGTAGATTACCGAGAGAATCATCAAGAATACAAGAGAGCGTGGTATGCGTCTTTCCAAGTCCCATCATGTCGCACAGCATTCCTCCGCGGGGGACAGTGCCTTCCTTTTCTCGATCACACTGTGAATGTCAAGATCGTATAACAGATTTGAAACACGCGAGACTGTTACTTACCATCCATCCAGCTCCATCAAGCTACTGATCAATTAGCAATGTAACTCGAGAAGGCATGTTCTGGTTCACCTGGTGGTTCAAAAGATTCCGTTTCATCCCGTACATTGTCCATCCCCTTGCCCCGTCCATCTTTGGAGGATGTTGAAACATCCTCGAAGCCGTAAGCAAATTCGAAATGTCTTTCTTGACGTCCCGGGGGTTGAATGAGGGATTTTTTTCAATAATCCTGTTGGCGATTTCTTTGAGGGCTTTTTCCTTGTCCAGACTCTCGGAGGTGGGGACTACGGGTTGATTCGCATGCTTCTGGGCAGCTTGGATAGCCGATCCGATTGAAAGCAAATATTCCAGTCTCTGCAGCGGCGCCTCCTTGATTGCCTTGCGAGGCTTTTTCTCGATGGTTGAAACAGAGCTGATGTTTCCGCAGTCATCGATTGGCTGGTAAAACAAAGCTGTGAGCTCGTTGTATCCGATTAATCTGCGCAATCCTAACTCCTTAGATCGGGTCATCTCTCGCTCAGATATATTAATGTCCTTCTCTGGAACATTGCTCTGATTTTGATGGTGATATCGTTTCCGAGTTGCTCGATGGCCACTCGCTGCCGCCTTCTTGACAGGTAATTTAGCCGATGTGTTGTGCTTGGAATAACCGTCCTTTTGACTGATTTCAGCCGAAACCGTTGAGGCACAGAGAGGAATTTGAAGACCCCTGCTTTCATTCTCATCATCACTTCAACAAGTATTAGAGATCGTTCATACCATTACGGAATTTCGTAGTCAATTAACTGACCTTCCAGGAAGTTCACCATCACAAAAATGATTGAAATGCTCTTCATAGGAATTTGCGGGCACAGATATATTCGCAATTCCAGTTGGCAGGTCGGCGCCGTGGACAACGGAATTGATATCGCCAGTCGCGGTTTCTACGACTGGTTTATCTTCACGTAAGTTAATCTGACGCACGAATCAATCAGAAGTGACCTTACCAGTATAAGTCCATTCCGCCAAGGCTTCGAGTTCATCAGGAATTGATTGGCTTCCATTCCAATAGTCCAATCCATCTGTGTGAGGATAGGCCTGCGAGTCTTGTATTTCATCCAAATTGGACGCTTCATCCTCAGAGAAACCTTGAACAACTTCAGAAGCTCCAGATTTCAGGAAATCCCCGGCCCGCCATTGTGGCGCTTCGAGAGCATAACTAGGATAATTCTCCTCTTGCGCTTCGAGGTCTGTAGTGTTGCGATTTTCCGTCCCAGAGAGCTCACCAGAGTCAATCTTAGTAGGGATCTCAGAAAGCTTACCAGAGTTCCCATGATCTGGGGCCTTATCGACCTTGGCGATGGCATCGCTCTCCATCGTAATAGCTGGTAGCACACAATGATCTTCTTCGGCTTCATGGACTGCAGTGGCGGCGGTCTCGTTATTCATTGTAGTATCTAGTAGCAAACAATGTGAGTGATAAGATCCAGAAAGATTGATACAAGGATAGATGAAGATCAGGATTCCGTCTTGGCACCAAAATGTGTTTGGGAGTCACAAAAATCAGATTCGAGCGGGCGGAGCGGGATATAGTAAAGGTAGAAGAAATTGAGGTAGACGTAGTGAATAAGGTAGGCGACAGATGCAAATTATGGATGATTTGGAAGTGAGTGGCTTTCGAGAGGCTTGAAATGTACTCACTGGAAGGTTCAGGCTGAGAATCTCCCTTCATTGCGACGGAAGTATGCTGGGGAAAAATAGCAGTAGAATCTTGTGTTGACATTCACATCAGTAGGAAGAGAATATCAGACCAGAAAAAATTTGAATAAATTTAAATAAAGAGTAATAAAGAGTAAGGATGGATGTCAATGAAACGAGCATTAGGGAGAGAGATGAAGAACAAGTAAATAGAAGGTTGGAGGAGAGACTGCTCACAGTCAAGCCATCAATCAAGAAAGGTGAAGGATTTGTGACAATGGAAATGAGATGAATGGCAGTTGAATGAGCGATACAAACTAAAAGAACATACCAGATTGAGTCAAGATATGTAGTTGACACAGGTAGATGAGGGAAAAGATAGAGAAAGTCAGAGGCCGGAGCTCGTTATCTGATCCAATTCTGGGATCAAAATTTGTGGGCCATTCGATGAAGAATGTTGATAAGGGTACTAGTTGAAGTAGAGTCAAATGGGAGGAGGTGCCAACACGAGGGTCAAAGAAGTTGCTAAATGGGGCATTGTAATAGCCTGAAGAAATGTCAACAGTAGAGATTATCGGAGTGCAATGGCGACGGAGCAGGAAGCTGAAAAAGTGAAAGGGGCGATATCGAGATGCAGATCGCATGCTGAATTGAAGTAAATTTCGGGAAAAGGTGAAAACACGGATGAGAGTCGGAGAGAAAAAAAAATACTGATAGAGCCCTGTCTAATTGGGCAGACTTATAATAAGTGGCCTTTGACAATAGAATTGAACGAAGTGAATGTCAATGGTCAGCGAGAGATCTTTTCAGCATAATAATAAGAGCATGAGAGCCTTCCAAGAATTACCTCGAAGTAAAATATCTACGGCGAGAAAAAGAGCCAAGAATTAGCTAGGAGCCTATTCAAAAATGCATAGAATCACCTGCAATGTTTCCAGAACACAATCTTGCAAGTCTACGGAAAGGCCTGAATGAAGTAGATTCTGCCAAGTGAGATGTTCGTATAATACAAGTGTGAGAAGAACATGCAATCCCCAAATCTTCATGAACGCCCCAGATGAATTGTGCCTCGGGTATCATTGTGATGCAGTTGCCAGAATACGCGGCGATGTTTCGCTGACAAGGAAAAACGAAGAAATGGATAGGTGACCGGGACTGGATCATGATGCAGTAATAGCAGATGGTGAGCCAAGTGCGTCGCCGGAATCTTGTTTATTAATATCAAGTGCATTGGCTATCTTGAGTGATGGGACGGTACTTTTGATATTATCAAAAGGTAACGGCACGCGGTCTGGAGTCGAGACACTTGTGGCGCGAGACGTGCTGGACTCGAGATCTGTGGGAGTCGAAATGGTCGACATGTCTTCGAACATGGTATGACTGGAGTTCGACTCGACTTGATCGCACTTTAAGGATTCCAAATCCGTGCGTTCGGCCTGTGCTGATAGTCCGTTGTCGATAGCCTCGTAAAAGAGCATGAAGGCACCGCCTTGTGACATTACATTTCCTTCGCTAACCATTTGCACATCGTCATCGCTGAGACGATACCACCGCTCAGGCTTTTCCTTGTCTCCTTCGGCCTGCAGGACCTCATCCGGGACAGGGCAGAGAACACTGATGTAGGATACTTGCGGTAGCAGATATAATGTCCGTTCTCATGTCGGCCGTAATGTGTGATAATGGCTCGCAATTCGTATTGCCTGCTGGAAATACGAATGGACTCGCCTGGGCCAGGAAGCATTGACTCAGAAGGGTTGGTCACCCATCGCTCGATAGCGTCCCCGGATTTCTCGGCTCTGCGAGTTCCAAGGCACCAGTCATTCAGGTCCATAGTCTTAGGGAACTTCACTCCCGCAAGATTCTTCTTTAACGTGCCCGTCGTCTCATCGAAGAGACTGCGGTTGACATGAATCGCAAGACATTGTGGAGCCCGCGCAATAACAGCCTGTCGTGACTTGGTGGTGGAGACGCGGTTCTTGGAGGGAATGTGGCATTTATTTGCCAGTGTGGTTTCTGTAAAATCACCCTCCTCCAAGGCCGCCTTTACGGCCTCCAGCCTCGCCACCGCAGAGGTGCGTACAGCATCGGACAAGCCTGCCGTTTGTGAACGATCGGATAGACCTTCATCCTCCAACAGGCTACCAAGGAGGTTGCTCAACTGTTCATGTGCGCGTATTAATGTGCACTTAGCACACTCCACACCCTCGATAGGTTCCAAACTCATGTATTGATCCAGGCACTCACGCACGTCGTAATCGAATTTGCCTCCCAGAGGCACCGTGAGGCAATTAAAGGGAATGAGAGACAGACCTTCTGTGTAGCCACACTTCATACAACCCACTCGCTGGGCGAGTAAGCCCTCGAGAGGGTTGCGCAAAGAGGATTTCTCAATGACAGGACCCGCTTCATATTTATCGGTTGAGGTTTTATTCTGCATAATATCCCGAAGAATATTCTCCTCGGGGCCGGTCATTTTGAGTCCCATGTTTGTTGTCTGCCCCTTTGAGGCCTGCTGGACTTCGATATCGATTTGATCTACCACTTTCGAAAAGTACTCCTGCGCGTCTTGTTGTTGCCAGCTGCTCATAGACTTGAGATCGGCGGGAATCCAGAGCTTGCTTCCATAATTTGATGCGCTATTAAGCAGGTCAATTATTCCTTTTAGCGCCTGGTGTGTGGATAACGATCCTTTGTCGTCCAGTGCATTGACATTTTGACCCAAAAAGGTGGAGAAGGACTTCAGCGAGGCCAGTCCTTGAATTATGCTGTTCTGGTAGCAAGAGTTGTCCCAATTTCCCAGTCCAGAAGGCACCGCGTCTTTGGTATTGCCCAGGAGAGCACTGCCGAAGCCCGAAAGAGAACGCGATCGGGGGAAGAATGGAAAGGAGTTGTTATCCAGACCGAAGATACGCTGCATCGCCTCATGCTTCAGGTGGAAGGTCATCTGCGTAGGTCGCGGGGAAGAGGGATCCGAGTACGACATGCGGGAATCTAATGCGACGACAAGCCGAGAGGGTGTGAGATAGACGAGGACGTTCCAGAGGAGCCGGATGAGCGAAACGGGCGTAAAACCAAAGTGGTCTCAGGAGAAGGTAGACGGAGAAGAAAGCAGCCAGGGTATAGGCGAATACTTGACTGTTTAGCAGACCCGTGAAAGTTGTTTCATCGTGGGTGCTTCGGCTTGCGTAATAACGGATGGGGGCGTTGGAGAAGATGTCAGCTCCCTCTCTGCGGGCTGTCATGGCGGGAGGGGGAAATTAAAAGAGCCGCAGCAGGAAGTAGACCTGTAGAGCATGGGCCGGGTGGTATGATCGCGGACACCGTGAGCAGTGGATGAAAGAAGACGGACACGGAGACTTTGTATACAATCTTTCACTTGGTCCGGGGCTGCGTTTTAGGTGCATCGCGCCCACCGCAAAAAGTTTTTATCGATAGCAGTGTGTCTCCACACACAGTTTCACTCTTTTTCAAAACAAATCTCACTATGGCGAAGAACAAGCGTGAGTCGCAAGTCATTCTAATTTACTACATTTACTGACAGATTATCAGCCAAGACAGATAACTCCCGTGCGGCCCGTCGGGCTATGTCGCCCAGCTTGAATGTGGACAAGTCCTTGACCTCTTTGCCGCGAGCCGAATCTCCAAGCGCTCAACGACCCTCCGTCTTGAGCGATCGCAGAAATTCTGGAATACAGAAGAAGCAGAAACAGAAGAAGATGTCAAGGGCACAGCGTATGAGACATCAAAAGGGCATGGACAGAGCAGAGGCTGTCATGGACCAGATGGAAATTAAAAAGGCCAGAAGCTTCAGCCGAGCAAAGGTGGTTAAGGATCGAAGGGTATGTATCTGCTATGGACTGCGTATCAACTTGTGCATACACGTGCTAACCAACAATATTTGACTTTAGGGTGAATGGGAGGAGTTGAACAAGAAAGCGGGCATGTTTGCAGCTCTGCAACAAGCCAATGCAGGAGATGACGACGACGACGACGACGATGACGACGAGATGTCCGAGAACACCAAGCAGCCCAAGTCCGCACAGAATCTTTTCGCATCTGAAACCCCGGTGTCTAACCCGGTTGCGGACGAGCATGCGCCAGTTGACGAGGAGGACGATATCATCTGAGGACATGGCGGTCAAGTATGAGTGATGACCGGAACTTATTTTCTCGGCCTGAGCTGGTTGATCATGCGCTCAATCTCGGTAATTGCGGGACCGGACGCTTTGTTCCGGAGGAGTTCGAGGGTGTTTATGTCTTTGGCCTTTTGCGCCTCTTCGCCTGCTTTGACGATCATTCCACATTTCACCCACATTTCAATTCGATCCGTGACGGGCAGATGCGTGCATTTCGGAACGAACATGGAAGCAAGCTTTGTGTTTCCGGCGCCCAGAACCTCGTTATAGAACGCCTTTGTTGTATATCAGCATTTGCGCAAACATAAATGATTAGATATCCTACCTCCCATCCGATAGGGGACTTCTTAGTCTTGCCAAGTTCTTCCAATTCACCCCAGTCACGTTTAGCGACTAAGGCTCTAAGCCTCAGCCACCAGTAGGTCTTTTCGGGCATCCTAAATTCAGCCTGCATCTTGTGCGCTCGTTTCCCGTAGCCTGCTCGAACAAGTCGGAAAATCGTCTCGTTCAAACTGAGGCCAAGGAATTCGTGATGGTCGGCAAGATCTTTGTCGAGTGCCTCTTGAGCTTTCAGCAGCTGAGAAGCCTCGGAAACCAGCTTCTGGTGTAATACAACCGTCGGGTCTTTGGAGTCTGACAGTAGACGTGAGGCAAGATGGAGCTTCTCAGTCTTGCGTTGCGGGTCCGATTCCTGCAAAGCCTCCAACAGTAAGACATTTGATCCCTCGACAGGTCGATCGTCTTGGTAGTAAAGGTCTTTCAGGAGTTCAGTGTCTTGACTTCGCGCATCTGTCTCAACCAAAGCGGATGCCATAGGACGAGTGTTGATCATACGGAAGAAGCTAGCCAGAGGAAGCTTGCTCTTCATATGAAGGAGCACATAGTTCACAAGGTCATCGTCACCGCTCTCAATTGCTTTGTCCAGGGCCATTTCATCCTCTTCCATGTTCAGCAATAGTGGCACTTGCTTCCCCGCCCGTGGCTCATGGTTTAGCAACTGTGTAGCCAAATGTGACCGTCCCTCGTCATAAGCTGTTTGGGCAATGACTTCGAAAGAGATGCCTGGCTTACCGTCCAACCTTTGGACAATCAGCTTGCACACGGCTTCATCGTCTACTGTAGAAACCCGAACTTTCTGACTGGCCCAGTGGACATAGATGCGATCTGCGGGAATCTGCAGATATTCGGAGACTCGGATCGCAAGAAGATACTCGTGACGGCTTATCAGACGTTCAATGAGGCCCTCGGGAGTCAAGCGCAAGTACTGTTCATACGAAATGGGCAAGCCGACTTGATAATCTCTGGCCGCTGAGAGGACTCGGAGCTTTTCAGTCATTTCCACAAATTCGTCACTATTGTAAAGATCAAGGACCGATTTTCCAAAGGAAGCGGCTTTAAGTAATCGTTTCTGCCAGTAAGAATCGAATTCATACCCAGCTGCCTTGATACAGGCGTCCACTGCCGAGGGAAGACTTGAGCGAATTCGCTGAATATTCTCATCCGCCTTTGGTGATTTTTTTTCTAGTTGGTCCACCGAATCGAGGAGCACCGATGCAGGGGATGAAGAGCCTAATCGGAAGATTTCTTGTGTCACAGCTGGGCCGAGTTAGTAGTCAATCGATCAATTCTTGTGATGTGCAAATTACCGTGGACTTTGTGTAAGAATTCACACGTTTCATTCGTGACAAGACGGACACCATCCATCTCAGGAATGACATGCACTCGACCATCATAATAATACTTTGATGCAGTACCGTTAGACCCAACAAGATGAATTTCATCCTCCCAGGCCAGAATGACCGCCTCGTCGCCACACCAGTTCACCGAGCTAGGCGGCACACGGGACTTCGAGTCGTACTCACTGAGCTTACTCTGGAAGTCATTGCTGACGATCCATAGTTTTCCCTCGTGAGTAAACAGCGCGATGAGATGGCCACTTGGCGAGACGCTAACGTGCTTGAAAGGGCCGTCCTGTAAGACCTTGTCCTCTGCTTCTGTAAAGTCAACCAGAAAGACTGTCTTATCAACAGCGAGTAAAACCTCCACAGAGCGCGAAAGAGTGTGCGCAGGTGGAATCAACGCCCATGACGATACCTCGCCTTCGGGACAAGGCGCAAGCAATTTGGGTCGGGGCTCATCAAACTTAGACACAGCAATCAACTGATTGTTGGACAGCAATGCCACAAGGCCAGAAGCCCAAAATTGGCAAGCTCTCACGCCATACTCTTCAGCACCCTGCACACTATCAGCTTTTTATGCTTCCACCACAAGGGAGTGAGAATAATAATTTACATTTCCCAGTGAGAAGGATGTAAATTCACCGTCCAGGCCGAAATACCGGCGGACAGTGCCGTCCTCAAAAACCACCAGGAGCTCTTCTTTGTCGGACCAGCCGAGCCCTCGAATAGCAGCTTGTTCACCCTGTAAATAAATCAGCATTTATACAAAAGCCCGAGATCAAGCAATAGTAACTCACATTGATAGTATTTATGTGCTTTCCTGAGCAGGAATAGATCTCAATGCTAGTCCGCGAGCTCTGCGAGTCTCGAAGCCTGAATGGTTTACTTTCATCACGATAGAGGGCTGCGGGCGTTTCAATTTAGCTTGAGAACGTTTCTAGGATCAGAAATAGCCATACCAATAGCACCTCCATACGGCGCGCCCGCGACAATGTAGTTCTCAAGCTCCACGTCTTCATCAAAGATGGCGTCATACACGGGGATTTTGCGGTAGAAGCTGTCGCCAACTCTTTCCCAGTTGGCGAGGGGATTTGCAGGCGCCATTATTATGCAGTGTGCGTCACGGATGATGGCTCTGAAGAGACCATCCACCCATGCCCCGTGTTGTGGTTGGTGATGAGCAGCGGTGCAGCTCCGCGGCCTGCGCCGGGGATTGGGCACTAGTCTCAGATATGGTGTTGTTGGTGCCCCAAATATAAGGCATTTAAGGCACCAACTATCCATCTCTATCGTCCGCGTATCCCCCTCCATCTAACGTTACCCCACTGTCATCTCAGTTGACAGATTCAATGATCTATGGAGTGTCGGGATGGATGACTTGAGCCTCGAGGACATCGTACGGAAGCTTTCTGACCTCGAAGTGGCTCTATACCTGTGTCTTGTCGCGCGTGAACATTGCTTGATTGAAACCACCAGAGATGGTGTTCACGATCTTGCCAAAGAGCTAGCATTAGTATGTGAGCACCCTCTTCGCTCCACATTGATATTTACTCACCTTACAAAAAGATATGCTCAAATACCTTTGACTTGTCTTATTCCATCCTGGATTGTTCTGCGACAACATCTATTGGAGACATTCAGCATGAGATCCTCACGGCAGACGCTCGTAAAAGTCAAGAGCGTCCATCTTATTTTCGCTTGAAGACTGAGTCGGTATGCACTTGTTTCAAACCTTATTTTCCAAGAGTTTGAGTTGATCGGAGCAGTCCAGCAATCTTTCATTAGGAATGACTCCTAGAGATCGCAGCAAGTCCCCAATCCCGAGCCCGCTTCCCACGGACATAAATGCGGTCAACGTTGTTATTGCCAAGGATTTTAACCTGGTTGACGATGATGTTCAAGGCCAGGTTTTGCAGGTCAGTTTGTCACCAATACCGATACATCGTTTCGGGACAGCTGATAGTCAACCCAGTTAATGCGAACCAAGAAGTTGGTGACTGAAAGTGGCTTTTTGAATGCCCCCGGAGACTTTCTCTTCATTGCACTCGTGACGAAAGAATCTGATCAGCTTCGACCACCATTGAAACTACATTTGGTAAGCATGTTTTGCCGGTGGAATTTCTCCCGAGAGTCTGTTCTGACTCTTCAATGCAGAATGAACAATTACTGATTTCCCACTATCATGACCCCTCGGGTGGCTACTTATATCTTGAGGAGAATGAATACTTCTCAGATAGCCAATTATCTGCGTGTTCTGTCATTCACACACCGAAGACCTTTGAAAAGAATAGGGCCAAAATCGACCATCTGGTATGCCTGGACACTCCGAAAATTGATATCATCTCACTTACCGAACGTTGCTTGTAGGCAATAAACAAACTCCGGGAGGCGAGTAGCTCTGTCACAACCAGTGCGGAGGTGGTTCGGTATATTCAGGACATTGTTGTCTTCTTACGGCTCAGTCGCGCAGTTGCTGGGGGGGGTTTCTGCGAAGGCGAAGAACGATTTCGCTCGATTTTCCAAGTAAGTTAAACTCAGCCATTGCTGTTCTATGAAAGTCTCGAGGTTTTGATCAACGCTGCAGATACCTTGCACCGCTCCACGGTATCGACTACCTCACACCATCGATTGTAGCTCTGGCTGCAAGAAAAGTCTTCCGCCATCGCATCATCGTTGCGAATCCCGAAGACGATCGAAGTCTACAGTACGGGAGTGGTCTTAGGGCTGTCTCCTCAATTCTGATTGACGTTACGCCCGACTCGATATTAGATGGGGTTCTGGCACTGGAACCTCCAATATGAGGCAGGAAAGTTCCAGTATGAGGCAGGAATCATACAGTGACCAGCGGACGCTCAATCAAGAATGAGCTAAGAACACAATGAAGTCAATGTAATCGGTCTTTCGATAGCTATCAATACAAACAAAACGACAAATGCCTCTCTAAGTTCACATGACTCTCTTCGACTCAATGCATAAAAGGGACCTGGTAAAGTAGAAGCCGACATAAAGCGGCTTCAATTCATGGTTCGCGGTCTTGTCCTCAGCTTCAAAAATAGGTCGGGAGGCGCGTACTTCTTCTCTTGGGAATTGACGCACTTGTCTCCATGCCCTTGTCCCTCGCGGGAACCTTCCAATGACTTGGAGTAGTTGCGCCACTCATTCAATACAACGTCAATTTCCGTTTTGGAATCACCAACGAGAGCGTCCATCTTGATATCGTTCCGATCGTAGCCAAAAGGATCCTCAAGTTGAGATCCGATACCTTCAATGCCATACAGGGTAAAGATGACTAGACTGACGATGGGAATCGCCCACCAACCCATCTCGTCAACCATGGCGAATGGCAGAACGCAGCCAAATAAGGCGAGAACTTGTTTCTGATGGATTCTAGGGTTCTATGTTAGCAAGATTTTTCTACAACTAAGATCTAAAATGGAATATCGAAACTCACAGATGAGCTACTGGCATAGGCGTCAACTTGATGGTCTCCATTCTGCCATACGCATCCAGAAGAGCATTCAATTGTGCCTGCATCTGACTGGCACCAGGCGCATTAAACCAACCGCGATCTTCACCTCGCTTGATGAACGAATCCACAAAGAATGTCAACTGGTAAGGCAAACCAAGTCCCTCATCTTCGTGTCCCTCCAAACCGGCCGGGAGTAGACCAGCATATTCGGGATTATACGCGGCTGAGCCACGTTCACCCAAGCCCCAGTCGTTTCCGACCATACCATTCAGCTCCCACGCGGCACCCCATTCAGCACGCAGGTGGTTCTTGATGGCATAGGGAATGGCGATCAAAATTCGAATTGTGCGGTCGATGTCTTCACGTTCTGCTGCCGTAGGCGGGCCACGGGTGGAACTGTAGCTGTTCGTGATGATTGTGCGAGTAAGGTTGCGCACACAGGTGTTCATTGAGCTCATGCCGTTGCGTCCGTCCCAGAACCTGTTGTAGGAGGTCTGATTCCTGAAGACGAGGATCAAGCCTACCACGATGGACAGTGATGGAATCTGGTTGGTGGTGAGGTCGGCACTTCGGAGCGTTTGGGGTAGGACCTACGATGCTCGAGGGGATTCCGACGGTATCAAATGCATAAGTATCGAGATACACGACGAAAGCCGTGAAAACGGCATGTAGAAAGACCGGTAGCAATATCTCGACGTGGATAGCCCCCTTTATGAAGCGAAAGACCAGTGGCCATCTACAATCTCGATTAGGCGCCTTGACTTTCAATTTATCTATAATAGGAACTTGCCTCCTTGGCTTTCGACGAGATGACAGGAGGTGAGGGTGTGTGGTGCGCCGCTGGTGGTGCGGGTTGAACGAAGCGGTGTTCTGGCGGCTCAGCGTGGGAGTCGGCGGCTCGCTGAAGTTCAGCGGCATCGTGTATGGCGATTGTAAACCCTTCTTAGGTCGATGCCAGCAAAGTCACTGCATGTGGTGTAAAAGTTGAGACGACGGATTGTCAACACTGAACGCTCGGGAGCAACGACGGGTTCCTTCAAAGGTTGGTCCGTGTCATGAGTGGCGCCCGCTCTGTACGCTATGATCACTCTGGCTGCACAGTGACATCGCCAGATTAACCATGGGAAAGCTTCTCTTAACCATCGAACACTAAGTGCCGGTAATGGAATGGACACACCGCTTTTCGGTGACGCGTGAGACGCGATATTTATCACCGTAAGATCCTTCCAGGACCCAGCACCGCACACGGATGCGCCTTCTGCATTGCAAGCCGACCATGGCTTTTGACGTGAGCCTGGGCTTCGGACAAGACATATGTCTTCGCGTCGAAGTGAGGGGTTGAAGCCTCAGACGATCAGCAGTTACAGAATGAACATCCGTCCAGCTGCTTTAGCTCGTGTTCATCCTACCTCATCAAGAAAATATTAAGGATTGAATGGCTATCAGCTCTTCTAGATGCAATTTTGATCACGATAAGCGCCAACTGAAGCCTGACTTGCTACTAAACCTATCAAGTTGTAGAGTCTTGTGGGGACGGCAAGATGATTCCTGGAAAAGGGATCTCTCCAGCTGAACTAAACGTAGACTTGCAAACCCCCTTGGCATGGCTCGAGACTCCAATTTGCGAGTGAATGCGGGGGATTTCAGTTTTCGAAAATGGCATTCCATAGCCAAGTGGAATACGTGCAATACTTTGAGATTAGATGGATCGATTCCGACCATTTGACATTCCGGCGTGACCCTTTCTCTATACGACTTGAAATGGATTGAACATGTCATCACCACATTTTCTCCCAAACTCGACGCCCCCAATTCATCTGCGCCAGTTCAGCCTTCCTCCGTTCCTCCCACCCACCATCTTCCCAGAGTTTGCATTCCTCATCAACTTCGGCTTTGCCAGAATACAAGTCTGCCTCGGCGGGGTCCACCAATTTCGTGCGATGGGAAACTTTCCAAAACAAATACATGAAGATCCAGAATGCCAGCCCGAAATACGAGGTCACGAACCCTTGCACACTGAACGGCTTGAAGACCCAGAATCCGTTAAAGATGGCGGTAGCACTGCCAAGGACGATGGCCCAAATAGCGGCATACGGCTGCCATGGAGAAGCCCAAGGGACGAATTGCTTCCGATCGATGCCTTGTGCTTTCAAGGCACGGTACCATCCAATAAACACGCAAAGCATTCCCGTATATGTGAGGACCAATGCGAGGGTGGTCAGGTCGACGAACCAGTAGAAAACCGTCACGGAAGAGGATCCCGCGACAAGGAAAAGTGACGCAAGAAAGAAGCGAGACCGTCAGTACACAGTAGACGGGAATACCCGATGCAGTGCATTTTAAGAGGATTTTAGGTGCTTGGCCGTCGCGGGCGAGAGAATATAGAGTTCGACTGGCACTATAGAGATCGGCATTCCCGCAAGACCAACCGGAAAGCAGAATGAGCAAATTAATCAGATCTGGAAGGCCCGAGATTCTCAGATTTTCAATACCAATGACCCAAGGCGACGCAGCAGATCCAGATGCACCAGAGTTAATCGCTGACATGAGACGAGGGTCGCGTGGACTGCAAATGATACCGACGGCTAATACACCGACAACGTAGAATCCAACAATACGCCAGAATGTCGCTTTGACGACGCGCGCAATGGTGTATCTGGGATTCTGAATCTCGCCGGCGGCCAGAGCCGGAAGATCGGGTCCAGCAATCGAGAACGCGGCGTAGACCATGACGGAAAAGAATCCTAGAAACCTCCCCGTCACACCGTCGGTATAGTACTCGAACATGACGCCGTGTGTCCAATTGCGGAAACCATAGACGTCGTGCTTGGGGTTTCCCCCAACCATCGTGATGAAAGTCAACAAGACGAGACCTATAAGAAGCAAGAACTTCGTCGATGCCATGATAAACTCGCTTTCTCCGTAGTATTTTACAGCGACGAAATTGAGCAGAGAACAAACGACAAGAGCCATTGCCACCCAAACTGCAGGATTGACGCTTGTAGTCCAATATTGCATGACCGTTGCGACAGCGGCGTATTCCGTACATACTAGCATTACACATCCGTAGAAGTATACCCAGCCCCTGTGCAAGTGGGCGTTAGTCTTGCCTCAAATTCACGGAGAAGAATTATTGAACGTAAGAGGACTTACATGGCAAATCCAAACGCAGGATCAATAAATCGCGCCGCCAACTCGAAGATCGATCCTCGAACAGGGAGATAGGCCACCATCTCCCCAACACTCAAGTTGACAGGTAGAATAAACAAGCAACCCCAGATAATGTACCCTAATAGTAATGAGAATGGTCCGGCATCGCGCAGGTACGATCCAATACCGACGAAAAGGCCTGTGCCAATCGAGCCGCCGATGGCCATGAGTTGTACATGTCGGGAGGCCAGACCACGCTTCGTCTCGTGATATGGCTCAACGGTGCCGGAACTGGCGTCTTCGCTGGGAACGGGATGGTCTTCTGAAGATACTTTCTTCTCCATTGTGATTATGTGTAGTAACCTGGAGGGGGGAACATCAATAAATAAGCGGGGAACCTGGCTTCTTATACACCGTTTCACGTCGGGGTCCAAGGACGCAGAATGAGGAATGCGGTGCGGAGTCATGAATGTTGTGGATAGAGCCGGGCTCCTATCTCTCGGCGCTGGTGATGAGACATACTTTGTGCTGCATTTCGACCAAGCTTGAAGAAATGCTATCAACCTGGTTACTCTCTGATAACAATCGACTAGGATCTCCAAGTCTTATCAGACAGAGGACTCAAAGGGGGAAGGAGATGGCGAAACTACTAAATTGCCAAGCGATATGAACACCTAGGATTGGACAGCGATAAAGTCGACCCCTAGACAGTTGTTGCTAAGCTGCATAATGCTTTTGGTCTCCAACAGAATGTCGTGCCTTTCCCTATAGCTCATACCCCAAGGCCTTGGCTGCCTAGATTGTTCTCGTTTCCCGGTGTAATCACCTTGGATAAAATCACTGCTTTCATTTGACCGAAAAACGGCTTGAGTATTTCTTGGCGAATGTTAGATTCGCGAATAGTTATCTTCATACCTAGACTAGTATATAAACATTCATGCCTTGGTCTCCACAGAGAGAGTCCCATGCAGCTTCAGATCCCTTGAGCTAGCTCCAACGTAGACCTTGTACACGCCAGGAGCAACGGCCCATTTCTGCGCAGCCACGTCCCAGTGAGAAATTTCAAGACGACGCAGCTGAAAATTTACCTATTTCTGCTGCCCAGACTTGATGTCGATAGACTGGAAGCCACGCAGTTGACGCAATGGTTGCTTCGCTGCCTTGGGATACCCGATGTAAAGCTGGGGAACCTCTGCACCGTCGACAGAGCCAGTATTGCGAATGGTAGCGCTGGCATGGGCAACAACATCCCAAAGGTCTTCGTAACCACCCACGGAGAGCTTGCCAGTGGGGTATAAGGACAGCGGGGCCGGCGACTTGATCTGCAAGCCAGAGTAGGTGAAGTTGGTGTAAGAGAGACCATAGCCGAACTCAAAGCGAGGCGTAACCTTAGCAGCGTCGAAGTATCGGTAGTCAATGAAGTTGCCTTCGGTGAAGTTGCAGTTGTGGGTGTAGCAGATGTCGACATTGTAGTCGCTCTCGTTCTTTGCGATGGTGTGGATCAAGCGGCCACTGGGGTTGACATCGCCGTAGAGCACGTCGACAATGGAGTTTCCGAATTCTTGGCCCAAGAGACTACCGTACAAGATTGCAGTGACATTCTCATTTTCAATCCACTGATCAACGAGGCGGACACCGGACATAGTAATAGTCCTGAAGGCCCATACTTCCATCCAAAAATTCAAGAGCCGTGACGGACTCACCATCGATGGTGTTGACACTGTTTCCGGTGATGAGCTTGATTTTCTCGGTGGTGTTCAGTTTGGAAACGAAACGGGAGGCCTTTTCGTAGGCCGATTGCCAGTCGCCGAGGGATACTGTGAGGGTTTAGTTACGAGTCAAAATCAACCGTACAGAGAGATGTGCAAACATACGCTCATCGTTAGAGAGCAGCCCCTGGGTGGAAGTGCTGGACAAGCCAGTTACAGGGCCTAGCAGCGCCAGAAGGAGCGACAGTGAATGGACTTTCATCTTCCAGGGTTGAAATCCAAAATCAGTAAAAGAATAGGCAGTGGAAGATGAACTGAACCCATCGTATGGAAGGAAAATCTCCTCTATTCACATCATTTCCAAGATTTGATATCGCGATCTGCAGGTTCTATTCACAAACAGAGGAACTGCCGATCGTTGACAACGCGCAGTCGGGCCTCAGCAAATTGCGTGAAGGGAACAAGGCATTGACCGCACTCCAACAGCCAAGCTTCTGTTTGAAGATGAGACTATTACGCGGCACCTGGACTTAAGGTGAGGAATGACGCGGAAGGCGTACGTGCCGAACCTAGAAGAGGGTCCGAAGAAGGTCCCTCAGGCACCAGTCGGAAAACCCGAGATTTAGAGTCTTTTTAGGGTTACCCTGTCTCTGCCGTGACGCGTGTATTCTCGGCAAACCGACGCTCCTGAGTGAGCTTGGTGTTTTTCATTCTGGCTCAATTGGGGAACGTGAAACCGGAGTTTATCTGAAATGCACCGAACAAAGTGTTTCTCGTCTCATGGTCGGCCGTGGATGAAACGGCTATAAGGCCAGCCGTTCCAGAAATGGAGCACGTCGAGTACCGATGGGGCCCGGTGTGGAGCACAATCATAATGCCGGGAGTTTCCAACGGGTATACCTCGGCATTGTCTTCAGCAGTCTTTCATAGTTATCATCAGGCTCACAATTTATATAAATTGATAAGATTCAGATTTAAAAGGTGTGACCAGGCAGAAGGTTGTCACGTCGATCACTATAGACAAACCAGGAAGATGTTCCAAGGCGTGGGCATCGTAGTGGATTGTCTGAAATTTTGCAGAAGGTGAGGAGACTTGGTCATTCCATTCATATAAAAAGGATACGGTTCACCTTCACCGGCAGACTCATGGTAACGGGGGCGCTATACAGCTCGCAGATAGTTCGAGTCTAACCTGGCTTTGGCGGCAGATGATATACGGATCTTAGATTCATCTTCGATGACCGGGTCACTACGTTTTCAAATGGGAGATTTTTCAGACATGATTTACTTGAGGTTAACGAGCGAGTATTAGAGATTTATCGATTATTCTGAATCGCAGATGGATCAAATGGTAGAGTCACAAAGCCAACCCGGTATGAAAAAAATGGTGGAATAGACAAAGTAAGCCAACGCAAAAATTGTTCCAAGTTCGCCGTAGATATAGGTATCACCAAAAGCCCTGGACAAGAGCCGGGGCTGGTAAATGGGTATATCAAACGATGGGGTAGTCGAGTGCCAACAAGGAAACGCCGGTTTTGCCACGAGTACCTAGGTAATCCAATTGCAGACATATAATAAACGCTGTAAAGAAATGCAGATAGGAGGGTCAGATGAGCTTCAACTATGCGTAGATAGATTGCAGCTGGGAATGGAAATAAGGAAAATGTGAAGATGTCAGATGCAAAGTGTGGTGAAATCATCGGAGCCGTAATGTCAAATCACGCGATGTTTCAGGAAACAGTCGAAATATAATCTCCAAGCGTGTGTATTCCCCAAAATTATCAATTAAGGCATTCCTGCTCGGCCGTCAAATGCTAGAGGACCCGAGTCATTTCGTGGCGTGAGGGGGTTTTCGTCTGACCCAGGCGTGTCGGCCCGGAGTTGAGCATGCCGAGTCGGGACACTAAGAGGTTCAGTCGGTTGCCAACCTGGAAGACTGATAGTGGCACTGCGAGCAAGATCGTCAGTGCTCCCATTCGGAGCAGCAGAGTCGGAGCTTTCCGTGTCCGCCTCGCGGGTCTGATATTCCTGCAAGTGCAGGTTCTCGACATCGGTAGCCAAGTCCCGTTCTTCGGGGTGAGCTTCTAATTGATTCGAGGTTTCTGGATCCTCGCTCGCGGCTTGAACATTTGCGGGCGATTGCGTCTCGGACCGCGGTGCAGCTTGATTTTCCTCCGCGCCGACAAATTCTGGAGACTTCTCCCCTTCCTGGTCATTCGAGTCGTCAACTTCGGCACTCAAATCGGTGAAGGCCCGACAGTTGGGACACTGGAACATGGGGTAATCGGGCGAGTGTAGCAAGCGACTGATACATTTGTAGTGCCAGACATGGGCACAAGCCGCCATGAACAGGCACTGGTAGGGTCGCTGGGCCAGCGTTAGCGAAGCAGTACGTTGAAAATGGAAAGGGACGACCAACCAAGACGGAACCAAGACAAATGGAACATTCACGACAACCAGAATAGTCGGCGGTTTCCCCCTTGCCCAGGTTTTTGATCAAGCTTTCGGTATTTTTACTAGGGTGATGTTAGACCGGACATGAGACTGAAAGCCTAAGGCGACTTACTTGAACTCGTTAGGCTGCTGCTGCCAAGCACGATTGCATTCAATGCGAATTCGCACGCAACGGAAAATCATCTCCTCTCCGCCTCTAAAATCGATACCAAGTTGCACTATGTCACCATCCTTGATGGAATAGAGGCGGGAGACCATGTTGGGTTGACTCAAGCGCATATGATTCAGGAACGTGCCCGACGAACTGCCCACATCCTTGATATGCCACTGACCATTGACGTACATGAACTCGCAGTGTTTTCGGCTCACGACCTTCGATTTGAAGCCGACGGGAGAATCCGAGGGTTCAGATGGATTGGGGTTGGGAATCCCATCACGTTCGGAGTATCGACCGACGCGAATGACGCAACTGTCGGAGGGTAGTGTGCGCGAGATAGGAATAAAGGGCAGCGACGGTCGCGAACTTTGGTAGGAATCCTGAAAGGGGAAAAACCTGATCGTCGCCTTCTGTGTTAGTTTTGAGGGGGACTGGTTCTCGGCCGGGGCTGTGTCAATCGGCTCGGAGGTATTGTTTGTTGTGGTGGTCGGCCCTGGTAACGATGTGGGCGTCTCTGGCGTGGCCTCTGGGGTGGCGGTTCGAGCCAAGGCGCGCGGCGGACGACCCTGCACAGCGGAAGCACTCCTCAGTCGGGCCATGACATGGGTTGACTGGCTGAGCTCGATAGGGGAGATGATCGCGAGGATTCAGCCGAGGAGTTCTGACTGTCAATGAGAGCGTGGGAGCTCGAGGTAGGCGCTGAGGTGTAGCGAGACAAGGCCGGTTGATCACTTTCGGGGCATAAAGGAGTGGAGCTCTCCACCTGCGTCGATGGAGACTCTGCGCCCGACGGAGTTGATAGCCAGGGCACCCGACTGCTCAGACTGGGCCGCGCACGATGGCTTGGTGAGGAGTGTGAGAGGTTTTGAGTATAGGCTCGTAGCTGACTGAAGCGACGAAGACGGCCGGAGCGAGGAGGGTCAGTAAGAGAGGCGGAGGCGGTGGCGGTTGAGGTCGACATGGGGGGCTCCTCTGTGCAGTCTGCACGCGACTGACAATGAAACAAGCCTGCACGAGTACGAGAGTACCAGCTTCCCAGCGTTCCAATGTACCAGTACTGGGAAAGCTAGGATTTTTTAGAAGACCGCGGTGGGGTTGGAGACTCTTTGAAGCGATCGAGGATCTAGGATCTGCGATGTGCAATCGGCCACTGGGCTGAAAGATGGAAGGTTTTCACCAAGACATGATCTCACCAGATGAATGAAGCGGAGAAGGACAAAACACGGGGGGGGGACTTTCCAACATATGATGTGACCGAGATTTAATGGAACCAGACAACCCGACCAGACCAGACACAGACAACCAGACGACCCGACCATGACAAGCCGACCCAGACCCAGCCTTTTCGTTGCTTTAAATCTATGGGCCGATGGGCGACCAACGAAAACCTCAGACCACTCGCTAGTCGAGGAACTAAACGAAGTTGGAACAAGCCGGCGATAGTGGCAAGTCTTGGGAACTTGGGAACTGACGGAGTGGCTCATTGCCTTTTTGCGGGGAAATTGCCTTCGCCTCCACGTAAGTTTAGCCGACCACTTCATGTGATTTTTTCTTTTTTTTGATATGCATTTCTTCACGCGCATCAGCTGCCCTCCTAATGGTCGCATCACAAGGCGGGCACGGACCCGGGAGAATGGCCCTGACCGGTGAGTTGCAGATATCTCCTATGGCCCCGGCATGAGATGATCGAGGGGCATGGATTGGGACGGGGGATTGGCAGCTCAAGGAATACTGTGAGGCAGCTCAAGCCTCGATGCTGAGGTGGGCTATGACCACATGTCCGAAGCTCTCGTGTCGTGGCTGAGTAATTTTAGGTCCCAAAGTATCGGAGCTTCTCAGTCTCCTCAGTCTCCTCAGATTTAACTATGATATGGATAATATATGCTATACATGATATATGATTTTTTTTTTATAATTTTTGTTTCCTGTTTTTTCTTTCCTAAAGATCTGACGGTTGGACGATTAAATCCATTGACTCGTCCATCGGTTATCCGTGAGTGGAGGCCGGAGGGGGAAATAGGAAACTGGAGACTGGAGACTGTCACTACGGACTTTGACTAGCTCCTGGAACCTCTCTTTCTTCCCATCTCTCCCCCTCAACTTTTCAATTTCCTGATCGTTATTTCGCACCTTCAACTCGCTCCACCTTTCTATCACGCGCTACTGTCTCTGTGTTCCCATCTGAGAAGCTTGAGCACGGGTATATGCAACACTGACCAGCCTCCTGTCATTTACCTCCCCACAGAAATTGTCCCTCCCCCAACCCCCCTCCATCGCGCTACGAACTGCACCGGTAGTGCCCTGATGCCGGGCTATTGAGGAGGCATGAGTGGACTCTTCACCACCTGTCGGTCGTGCCTGTCGGCCGTCGACCAATGGTGTCAAATCTCCGCCTGCTTGGGCGCCGGCCGCTCTCGAGACGGCATCTACGAAGCCACCCTCGCCGATAACGAACGGGAAGCGGTCTCGGACCTACTCAGTTATCTGGAAAATGTACGTCTCGTCTCGCCTTGGATCGTTCAACTCTCCTTCCGACCGGACTGTCTGATCTCATGACGCCACTCGTCGCTAACACCCCTTGTCCAGCGCAACGAAACTGACTTCTTCGCGGGAGAACCGCTGCGAGCTTTGAGCACCCTCGTTTATTCGGAAAACGTCGACCTTCAACGCAGTGCGAGCTTAACGTTCGCCGAGATCACGGAGAGAGGTGCGTGCGACACTTTCAATCGCGGTGACGCAATCCCTGACGTCGTATCTGCAGATGTGCGCGAAGTCGACCGAGACACTCTCGAACCCATTCTCTTCCTACTCCAGAGCTCCGATATCGAGGTTCAAAGAGCTGCGAGTGCCGCGCTTGGCAACTTGGCTGTGAATGGTATGCACCACCGAAGCTGCATGGCCCGGCTCTCCATCGCTGACCCGAAATAGCTGAGAACAAGGTCTTGATCGTCACCCTCGGAGGGCTGGCCCCTCTCATCCGCCAAATGATGTCGCCCAATGTGGAGGTGCAATGCAATGCGGTCGGCTGTATCACGAACCTGGCAACCCACGAGGAGAACAAGGCCAAGATTGCTCGCTCGGGAGCGCTGGGTCCTTTGATCCGCCTGGCAAAGTCGAAGGATATGCGCGTGCAGCGTAACGCGACCGGCGCGCTGCTCAATATGACACATTCTGGTTAGTTCCTTTTTATCCCCATGCACTGGTGGGGGCCGTGGAACTAACTCGTCGACCAGACGACAACCGACAGCAACTCGTCAATGCTGGCGCCATTCCCGTCCTCGTCCAACTTCTCTCATCGCCTGATGTCGACGTTCAGTACTACTGCACAACGGCTCTGAGCAATATCGCTGTCGATTCGACCAATCGAAAACGCCTCGCTCAAACCGAGGGTCGTTTGGTCCAGTCCTTGGTTCATCTTATGGACTCATCTACCCCGAAAGTTCAATGTCAAGCAGCACTCGCTCTCCGCAATCTCGCCTCCGACGAAAAATACCAGCTGGAGATTGTCCGGGCAAAGGGACTTTCTCCATTGTTGCGACTGCTCCAGTCGTCCTATCTTCCTCTTATCCTCTCCGCCGTGGCCTGTATTCGCAATATCTCGATTCACCCACTCAATGAATCCCCGATCATCGAAGCCGGCTTCCTCAAGCCTCTGGTGGATCTGCTTGGATCCACTGACAACGAGGAGATTCAGTGCCATGCTATCTCCACGCTCCGCAACCTTGCGGCTAGCTCGGATCGCAACAAAGAACTCGTCCTGCAGGCCGGTGCAGTTCAGAAGTGCAAAGATCTCGTTCTGCGAGTCCCGCTAACCGTTCAATCCGAAATGACCGCTGCCATTGCTGTGCTGGCTCTCAGTGATGATCTCAAGTCTAACCTTCTCAACCTCGGCGTCTTCGACGTCCTGATACCGCTAACCAACTCGGAGAGTATTGAGGTCCAAGGGAACAGCGCGGCTGCCCTGGGCAACCTCTCCTCCAAGGGTACGATTAGAAACTCCATCTCTCTCAAGTACACTGACACCATGCATTGGGTGCTAATGTGAATATAGTGGGAGATTACTCGATCTTTGTGCGTGATTGGGCCGACCCGAATGGCGGTATTCATGGCTATCTTCAGCGATTCCTCGCTAGTGGAGACCCGACCTTCCAGCATATTGCCATCTGGACTCTTCTTCAACTGCTCGAGTCTGAAGACAAGAAGCTCATCGGATACATCTCAAAGTCCGACGATATTGTACAAATGGTGAAGTCAATTTCCGACAAAAATATCGAGTCGGACGATGAGGATGCGGACGATGGAGAAGGTGAGGTCATCGCTCTCGCACGGCGATGCCTGGAGCTTCTGGGAGTCAGTCCTAAGCAGACCTTGATCGAGGCATAGGTGCTCCTAGTTATCTCCCTCTTTTTTTTTTCCGCGTGCCCGAGAACCCACTTTTTCGGTCCTTTCGTACTTGCGTACTCCATTTGGCCATTATTCTCTTGTTTATCCATCTCTTTCTTCCCTTGGGTGTTTGTATGGGCATTGAATCTACCAAATTCGGTTTTTCGTCAGCGGGCATATGGAGTGGTCAAGGCCTTTAGTGTTTCGCTGTTTCTTCCATGTTCACGGTATATCTGGGCTAACGCCGCTGTCCTTTCCCTATTCCAACGCATACACCGTGTATTCAAGCTAGATATGGGTCTTTCATAATTTATTCGTGTCAGGGGACATTGTGACAAGCTTGTAGTCGTAGCACGTAGCATATACAAGCGGGCGGGGAAACCTACTTCCGAGCCGGGCATAGCTCCCCGGCAGAAAAATCCCTCCGTCTCTCACCCATCATCTCTCCCAATTCTTTGCCCTCGAGGGCTTGACAACATGGCAACGTCTCTTCCACCTATAGCCATCCCCGGCCAACGTCTAGGCTCTGTGGCCTCGTATGCGGCTGGTCCCGGCACACACGTGCAGCAGTCCAACATTTACGCCTCCATCGCTGGCCCCGTCATCGTTGATCCCGCCCAGCCCAAGACTCAAACGAAGTCGACTCTACGAGTCTCGCGACTAGGTTCTGGCGTGAAACAGGCCGGTGCAGCTGCTTTAAAAACCCCGGCCCCGACCTCGAAGTCAAAGCCCAGGTACAATACCCTACCCGCCGTCGACTCCATTGTCCTAGCCCGCGTTACTCGCGTCCAGAAGCGTCAAGCTGCGGTCTCCATTCTTGTCGTCCTCGATGACGCCTCTGCTACAAGTCCAGACCCAGCTGAAGTCGCTTCGGACAATGATAATATCGCTTCCATCCTCACCTCCGCCGCAAACCCGGAAAATCACAGCAACACTGATGAGCTTCGCTTCCAAGCATTGATTCGCAAGGAAGATGTGCGCGCCGTTGAGAAAGACCGTGTTGTCATGGATGAGATGTTCCGTGTTGGCGATATCGTGCGCGGCTCGGTCATCTCCCTGGGTGACCAGAGCTTTTACTACCTTACCACTGCCCGCAATGATCTCGGCGTAGTGATGGCTCGCAGCGATGCTGGAAACATGATGTTCCCTATTAGCTGGAAGGAGATGAGGGACCCTGTCACCGGTGCCGGTGAACAAAGAAAGGTTGCTCGGCCGTTCTGAGGAGTTTCTCCCAGCCATTTCCAACTCTTGGACTTCTACACAAGAAAGTCGTTGAGTGACTGATATTATCGACAACCTTTCATCCAAGAATTCCTATGCTGTGAATGAAACGCGGGAATGAAATTCTGGGGCAGGAAGCACGCCCATCGTGCCTTTGTGATACGCAACGGCGCCAAAGTCGAGCCCCAATCATGACGAAACAAAGCAGACAAGGTCCTTGTCTTCGGGTTTCTGGGCTTTGTGCTTCTGAAAGAGTAAATCTCTTCTCACTCAGCCCCTTCAGATCAGCCTATATGCTGCATCCTCTCTGATAACCCGTGGCGACTCAAGTTGCCAAACTCCACGCGAGGGAAAATTGATTCCAGATCCCCGCCAAATTATGTGATACCCACTGAACGATGAATGAAACAGGTCAAAGACCTAATTTTCCTTCTAACTCGTGATTTATTCACGCAGTCTACTACCAAATGTAGGACCGGAAAGGGCATCTTTATCTACCGTAGACCTTTCCAACCTTGGAACCCAACCTCCTTAGTATACACGGTCGAGACCTACAATGTCGGACTGTGTTTGTCAAGCGAGGAAGATGAACGGACGCAGCAGACTTCTCATCTCTGCGTACCCACCTGACCCTACTTCCTGTCTGATATCCTGTGACTCGGAAGAAAAGTTATCTCAAGAGGGTCACATCCAAAACCCCCACCCACATGGATTATATGATACAGTACAAGAAAATCAAATATAAACATAATGAATTTTCGATTTTTAAAATCATGTCCTCACAATGAATTTCAAAGCCAATTCCCAACTTACTTCTTCAACGTCTTCTGCTTCTCCGCGTCAATCAACTTCCTTCCTTGAACGACAAGACCTTTCCGACTGCGCACTGCATCCATATACCTCTTCGCCACATTCTCACGATCCGCAAGCTCACCAAGATCCTCCAACTCCTCCTCAGTAGCAGGAACCCAGAACGGATCCTCATCCAGCGCCTCAAAGCCAGCAAAGATAAGCTGCGGCTGGGCTGCACCAGATGTCCGCTTACGGATTTCCTCGGCGAATCCGAACGACTCCGCGACGGGAAGAAGGGCCAAGATGGTGAAGAAAGGTGTTCCTTCTTTCATGATCTCGGAGAGAATACGGCCTCGACGGCGGGTAATCACGCCGTAGACGCGGCCTAGGACTTCGGCTTTGATGGGGTTAGTTTCAAGGCCCGACTACTATAGAAGGGTGGGAACTCACTGGTTGCTTGAATCTCGCAACTGTACATTGCGAGCATGATGCGAGGACTCCAGTCTAGGAAACCTTGGGTGATTCCTTCGCGGACGAGTCGGATTGCGTCGCCTGTTAGGCGGCCCATATCGAGCTCGTCGTTGGAGGAGGTGTGAACTGTCAGGTCTTCAAGGAAGACGGCGATGCCTTGCATGGGTTCTTGGCACAGGGGACCCTGGCCTGTTGCTAGTTGGAAGGCGTAGGCAATTTTGTCACATAGATCGCGGACTAGGAGGGCTTGTTGATCGTGGGTTTCGGATGAGTTGGAATGTTTGGGGTCGTCGAGTAAGCTGGTCTAGTTGTTAGCTTGAATGATGGTTTTCTCGTGGTTCAGTGTAACTCACAATTTCTCGCAGGTGTTGACCGCTGTGGCATCGACCAAGATGTTGGGTCCGGTTCTGCGAGGTCCGAAGCCAATGATTTTGTCGACGACGTTCTTGAAAAGTTCCTTATCACCCGTGACGTCCTCCTCGAAAACCTTGTTCAATTCGTCGTGGAATTCCTTCAGGGATAAAATGTTGGCTTCACGGGCCTCGCCTGTAGCTTCGGCATCAACCGATGCAACTTGCTGTGTGACTTCTTCCTCCGATGTCGCCTCGGCTACAGTGTGCTTCTCCGACTGGAGACGTTTGATGGTTCCGACTTGCTTAGAGAGGAAATCTGTCACAGCTTCAGGGAGAGGAACGACACGCAAGCGAACGGTCATCTGCTTTGAGGGGGAGAGAGACACAACGCTTCCACGACCATACTCGCGGTTGTTAGGCGGTGCCATCTCCGGAGCATTGACGATAGTCTCACGGTACGGCACGATAGCCTCACCAGTCTGGATCTCACATCGAGCAAATCTCTCACGGAGATCCTTCACGCAGCGCTCCAAGTGCAACTCACCCGCAGTGAGAATGACATGCTCGCCGCTAGGAAGCTGCTCGTACAGGGCACATGGGTCACTTTGTTCAAGAAGACGGAGTCCTGTAATCATCTTTCCCAGGTCTGCCGGGTTGACTGGTTCCAGAGCAACACGCACAATGGGCGGGGTGCTTAATGAGACGCCAGCCAAGTTGATACTACCTTCGAGCTGACTGCAGAGCGTACCAGTCTTGAGCACGTAGCCTGCCAGACCGCCAATTCCAAAGACAACACCAGCTGGCACGGACTGAAGAGGCTCAAGACTCCTGCCCATCATCAGGTACAGATCAGTCACAGTAACCTTCTTTGGCTTTGGGCTCGCGTGCGGGTTCGCAGGCGAGAATTTCGGCGGCAGAACATAGATCGAGTCTCCAACATTCAATGTTCCCGAATAGAGTCGGGCAAATCCAATCAGATGTTCTGGGTCCTCCTTTTCTTCCACTTCTTCCGGCTCCTCTGTCTCTGTGATCAAGGTGTTCTCAAATGCAGAGGTCATTCGCTCAAAGGCATCATTTCCTGGACCTCCACCAGCCTCCGCCTGCATCTTCGCAATCTCTTCGCGCTTGCGACGAGCAATTTCTCGAGCTTCATCTGCGGTCATGGTAGCGCCGCTGCGCTTCTTGCTAGATGACAGCTCACTCTCGGGAATAGCAACCATCTTACTGACGTATGCAACAACGGGCTGTTCAGGTCCGGTTTTAAAGTTGATCATGGCCTCTTTGACTTCTTCAGAAATGTGGTTTGCACCGGGCGAGTCTTTTATCATGTCGGGCAGTCGAGTGGCTTGTGCAGCCGAAGGGCTCGGGAGGTATTCAATCACAGATACCAAGACAGCGGTTGATAGGGGCAGCCATTGAGAGAATAAGGTAGTCATGATGTTCTTAGGATCGCGGGAACGCAGAATATAAGGAGGAATGTTGATGTTGAGTGACTTGGTGATCTTCTCCAGCAAAACTGGGTCACTGTCCAAGAATTAGTTGCAATACTCACAAGGGAAGTCAATGGAGCTTACCCTTTGCCCTTACCGCCACCAGTAGTCGCTTCGTATGCAGCCCAGATGCTGTCAAGGACAAGCTGCACAAACATGGGTTTCAATGCACGGCCCTTAAGATGTTTCTGACCCAGAACACGCTTGGTCTTCGGATCCAAGTAGTAGTCGCCCCAGAGAACCTTCTCCAGAACAGTTCTCTTGATACCAAGTTTCTTCTCATAGATGGCAGCAAATTGCCTGATAGTAAAAGCCCATCCGTCCACTGCGCTGGCGAAAATAACATTATTCTTCTCAGGGGCGAAATAAAGGTCCTCATCGTCACGCTCCTCGAACTCGGTAGTTTCACTGATGCTAGCCGCCTCATCGTCCACGACATGCTTCTTGGACTTGTCCTTACCGGCAGCGGCAGCGGCATTGGCCCGGTCTTCCATGCGCTCACGCCACTGCAGATCCTCTTCCATACGCTCACCCTGGTAGAAACTACCGATGACGGCATTAATTTGTTCAAGAAGTCTGCTGAGATGAGCGAAAGCCTCGCTTGGGCTCATCTGGAGTTCTGTGATAAGCCGATCCATCTTATTGATAACGAGGATCGGCTTCAGCTGCTCAACCCAAGTTTGTCGCAAGACAGTCACGGTCTGGCTGCAGACACCTTCAACTGCATCAACCAGGACAACTGCACCATCACAGAGACGAGACGCCGTCGAGACTTCACTGCTGAAGTCAATATGACCTGGCGAATCGATCAGGTTGATCAGGTACTCCTTGGGCACAGGAGCGTCGTCAGGACTGGAGCGTCGAAGCATCGAAAAAAAGAGTGAGATGGCCGAGGACTCCATGGTGATACCCCGGAGCTGCTCATCTGGGCGAGAGTCCAAGTAGCGGATCTTGCCCGCCAGCTTGGGCGAGATGATGCCATTTGTGGCAATCAGACTGTCCGTCAAGGAAGTTTTGCCATGATCCTATATCGGACGGGATTCAAATGGTTAGATATATAGGGTAAGTACTCCAAAGCTTGTAACTTGTATAGACTCACGACGTGGGCGAGAATGCAGATCTAGCGCCGTTAGTATATGCGATCAGATAGGAAGATAGGAAGTGGGATGGAGGGGCAGCACTCACATTCCGAATGTCCTCTGGCTTCCGCTGCAGGCGAACCAGATCGTCTACATTAACCACGGGCATTTTGACAGGCGTGGACCACTTCCCGGGTTTCTAAGTTGCGAATAGATGTGGTGGTGGAAGAGTCGGCCTCTGGTCGGAAAAAAAATTGCTGAGAAATTGGGCGAGATACAAACCGCTTCCGCAATAATATCGCTCTTCACACTACGTCACTGAGTTATCAATGCTAATTGAGCTGATCTTTACAGATTGAAACAATTAAATAGTTCGCTGTTTTGATTTTCTAATTAATACTTCTTATTCGCGGTGCTAGCGCTGTACACATTCATGATCGCATTGACTCATTATGAATCAAGTCCGATGCTATACTCGAATAGAACTCACTACCCCTAACGTTTGTGTTTTTGGGGCTATGTTTAAGTCAAAGATCTAGGCTATTCTTTATTCATTGTCAAATGAAAGCTTGATCTTCTTGCCCTTCTTGGACTTTCGAGCTGAAGCTTTGGGCCTTTCCTCAGAGTCGGGCTTTGCTTCTTCCTCGATTGTATCTTGGCCCACAACCTTAGCCTGCTTTCGCTTCTTCTGTCCGCCGACTTCGGTAAGGTTATTTTGCTTCGCCGAGGGTTCTTTCAGCGTCGATGCCTTGTCGTCTCCCTCTGCAGACTGATCCTTGGAGCCCCCTTCTTGAGTCTGGCTATCGGTACCTCCAACTAAGGCCTGATATTCCTCTTTGGAGATCACCTCGTTGCTTTCTTCATCGACGTAGACGGGCGCGTCATCGTCGTCGTCGGAATTCTTAGCTTTTCGAGGGCGCATAGCAGGTCGCTCCAGGCGACCGTCGTTGTTTCCATAGTGGCCCCTGAGCTTCTGGAGAAATGCAGGCTCCTTCGCATCTATATATTCAATGAGAAAAGTCTGGTAGGAAACAAAATATGTGGCGCACCGTAGGCGAGCTTGGGGTTCTTCGACATGGTCCGCTGGAATAGGATAGCTGCTTTAGCTAGACCAGGTCAAGTTCATGCTGTATCTGCCCGAAGAATAAATGTTTAGAGTCAAGAGCTGGCCATTGAGAGAACAAACGGTCACTGCCAAAGGGCAGATTGAAGTAAAGTTGAGTGGAAAGTGGAAAGTGAATATGTGACGCTGGGAACAGTGCCGCGCTAAACCGAAACAAGACACATCGAAAAGTCCAAGGAGCCGCTCTGCGCGTCTGGTCTCCTCCATCCACCTCCCTCATTCACACCAATCAGCCATGCTTTGCGCAAGTAGGTGCTTCATTTGCAGAGATATATCGACCGCAGCTTGCAGATCTGTTTGCTAACCTTCTTACTTCACAGTCTCAGGAGAGGCACCTCAAGTGCCTGTCGTCTCTCCCAAGAGCGGTAGGTCTCCCCCAGCCGCCTTTGGCGCAGCGCCTTTCTAACATTGAACAGGCAGTGTCTTCGAGAAGCGCCTCATTGAGGCTTACATTGCCGAAAACGGCAAAGATCCCGTCAACGGCGAAGCGATGACCACTGAAGACCTGATCGATATCAACTCCCAGCGCGTTGTTCGGCCTCGCCCTCCTACTCTTACCTCCATTCCCTCGCTCCTCAGTGTATTTCAGGAGGAGTGGGATGCACTTGCTCTGGAAACATATACTCTGCAACAGAATCTGGCACAGACGCGGCGCGAGCTGAGTGCGGCGCTGTACCAGCACGATGCCGCCGTGCGCGTGATCGCACGGGTCACTAAGGAGAGAGATGAGGCCCGCGATGCGCTTTCGAAGGTCACTGTTGGTGCCAGCCGCTCTGCTGGTGCTGGTGAAGCTATGCAGGTGGATTCTGAAGGTCTGCCTGCTGCGGTTGTGGAGAGAATTGATAACACACATGCTAGGTATGAAAGATTTGGCAATATAGTTTGGTTTCTTCTTGGCTGACTCTTCCATATAGTCTCTCAAAGACCCGACGCAAGCGCCCTGTGCCCGAAGGATGGGCCACTACTGAATCTATCTCTACATACAAGCCCTTGGAGACCTCCGAAGCTCTTTACCCCGGTGGTCGTGCCTTGTCAGTCAACTCTGCAGGAGAGCTGGCTCTCGTTGGCGGTGTTGATGGCGTCGTCGGTGTCTATTCACTCACCCAAAAAGCCGTGGTGCAGACTTTGAAGACAGATGGTCCTGTGACTGATGCCACCTGGGCTGGTAACAAGGCCGTTGTTGGTTCGGCTACTGGGTCCGTGAAAGTCTTTGAAAATGGCAGCGAGATTGCAAGCTTTGCATCTCACGCTGGGGAGGTTACAGCCCTTGCACTTCATGCGACAGGTGATATTGTTGCCTCCGTCGGGGTTGATAAGAGCTACGTGCTCTACGACCTATCCACGAACGCCGCAATTACTCAGGTTTTCACCGACTCTGGTAAGTGTATCATGTAGTGAGGTTCCGGTTACTGTCGTACTGACAATTATTCATAGCTCTGTTGTCTGTGCATATTCACCCCGATGGCAACCTTCTGGCAGCCGGTGCCGCCAACGGACAGATTAAGATTTTCGATATCAAGACTGGAGCTGCCGCGGCTAATTTCGCGATGTCTGGTCCCGTCAAGGGCCTTTACTTCTCTGAAAACGGCACTTTCCTGGCGGCAGTGGCTGCTCAGTCCACCACCGTCTCGATCTGGGACCTGCGCAGTGCGAAGGAGACTAAGGTGCTGGACACTGGAAGCTATGTCAACTCTATCTTCTGGGACTACACCGGACAGTTCTTGTTGACTGGTGGTCCGAGTGGAATTACTGTCCAGCAATTCAACAAATCAGCGAAGCAGTGGTCCGAGCCATTGCGGAGTGCAGTCCCCGCTATTGCTGTAGCATTCGGATCTGCAGCCCAGAGCATTGTCTCCTTGAACGAGGCAGGCGTCGTTACAGTTCTGGCGCAATCATGATCGTTGGGGCCAATTATGTAATTTTAGAGCTGGGTATCTGAGTTTCCAAGGTGTTTGTATTGCGTTCACAACAGCTCTTGATGCAAACAAAATTTGCAGATATCTCTATGAAGCCCGAGGCGTCACAAACTCTTATCTTCACTTCTAGATCTTTCTCATATCTCTTTAAGATTTCTTCTTTCTATTTCTCGGTAATAAAACCGAGCACACCCCATCTTACTTTTATCTTCCTCTCTTAGCTTCTTTGCTGACCGCCTCAATTGCGCACGAGCAAGGCTGACCGCCTCGGGCAGAATCTGACCGCCTTAGTACTCGGGACCGGTCATGATGTTGGCCTTCGACTCTAGCTTTCCCTGGCGCATGTCGTGGCGTGATAAAATCCCCGACCTCCGTGTGCCGTATATTCAGAGTTATCTTGGACTCACTGCTATGAGTGATGAGCCCGGCGTCCTATTTATGGGCGCCAGGTCCAAGGTGAGCTAGGTCTTTCCCATGCAAGCGGGGCCCATCGGTTCACAGAATGAACATATACTAACGATTTTCCTTTGGTTCTTAGCGAACGTCTCGCCAGATGTCACAAGAATCTAGTGATAGAAGCCACGAATCCTGGCACCGTCACTTTCATCCTCCGCCCCCCGACGCTGCCGGTTCACGTCCAGCGCGGTTGCCACCCATGAGAACACCCCGTGATGGCTTCGACTTTCGACGACCCGCCCCTCTATCCTCCCAGGAAGAAGATGTGATTGACTTAACAAATGAACCCGAGACGCCACCGCAACGCACACACGTTCGCCCTTCAGAGAGCCGGACTTTAAGTACCTCAAGACCACCGCGATTCGGTAGGAACATTCTGGCAGATGTCGTGGATCTTGAAGAAGAACCGGATGATGACCCTGGTGAAGGGCCTTCTAGCAGCCCAGAGGTTCAGTTTGTTCGGGCCACAACAAGACCGCGAGCGCAGCAACCGCCTCGAGGACAATGGGATCCCGTCGCGATGATCTCAAGCACCCTCGCACGCGGATTTCGTACTAGACAAGATGCCGAAGACAGGCGAATGCTCTCGTCTGTATCTCTACTGCATTCAAGAAGAGGGCCACCTCTCCACCGACTTCCAACGGACCATATGATTCTCTCTGGGGATGGATCTGCGCTTAACGGCTTTGGCCCCGGGTTCTTAGACTATGGCCATTCTTCGTTTGAAATGCGCCCTCCTACTCCGCCAGAATCAAGACCTCAACGACAGGTTTACAAAGCCCCAAGCCCAGCACCCGAAGGATTTACTCGTACCCTAGGTGAAGAGGACGTTGCAGTTTGTCCTAACTGCGAGTGGGAGCTGGGCACTGGAGAAGGAAAACGGCAAGAGATCTGGGTTTCGAAACCTTGTGGACATGTCAGTCCCCTATTCGTGTCAGAGACGTGATGTGCTCATGCTAACATTTCACAGGTATATTGCGGCGAGTGTGCAGAAAACAGGTCCATGTCAAAGGCAAGGAAGGCCCAAGCCCCTCAAAAAACAAAGCCCTTTGCCAAATGCCAGGTCGACGGCTGTGGAAAATCTGTCAGTGCACCTACGGCCATGGTCCACCTCTACCTATGATTTTGCCCAGGACCTTGAGCAGTGTTCACTTGCATGATGTCGGTGTTTTTTTTGGATGGCACTTGCAAATTTTTTTTTCTTCGATACCCAAGCGGCATGGTCACAGCAGGCGTTATATCAACTTTATCCCTATATATGTTTGAACTTGGGATGGATCTCAATAGTCTCTTCTCGCATCCCATTCGAGCTTCCCCAGTATCATAGACATTTTCCAGACATCTTCCAGGATTTCCCCAGGACTCTTTCATACTTCATATTTCTTCGACGCCTTGGTCAATTCAAACTGCCCCTAAGTAGGGGTCGGGGGGTAGATTGTAGAGTTGAATTCCATTTAGATTGATATAATAACGTGGCTTTGCGATGCATAGCCGGGTGTACGAGTCATAGCACCACTGGCCTTTTGAAAGTAACAAGGCAAGCAAATGAACAAAGAAAAGAGTATCGGACCATTTCAATAATACAGTAGAATGCAACGGCGGTGGCCCATCAATTTACATGGACACCACCCGGAAATCCCCATCAAGAACGCCAGATCTATCAATGTAGATCTCTTTAAACGCCACGCAGATCTCCATGGTATGGCGACCAAATACCACGCACACTCTCGTTCAAACTGGTAATAGGCTTCTTGGTGCGCTTCAGCTTGTCTCCGCTGGCATCCTTGAGGATCATAGCCTTCTTCAAAATGTCTTCAGGCTCAAGGTTGCGCACACAAATGGATTTCTCATTGCCATTGATGTATTGGCCCTTGATCATGGGATGCTTCTGGTGTCGTGGGGAAACGCGAATCTCGATTTGCGGGTTCTCTTTCGCGAACTTCGGAAGGGTCTGGGTCAGGAAGGCGCTGCAGATTTTGTCTAATTAGCACCAATGGTCAGAAGACCCTTTTTTGCTGGTCACTCACAGCATGCCGCGCGAGCTGCCGCCAAAGTTGCAGTAGTGGAAATCAAGGCGCTTGCATTGGAGGATGAAGGCACCGACGCCATTCTGTGTTTGAGTCAGTCAATCGATTCAACAAGGGCGATCGATATCTTTGATCGCATGCATCATTCGTATGATATTCTCTGGGCACATACCCTGGCGGCGGTCACAGTCCTGATTCCTTTCACTGGCATCGTTGAGTCGTGATTGACCGGTGTTCTGCCCATCTCGAAGTTTCCCATTTTCCAATGTCACGTGACTGGGGCGGTATGTAAGGCGGTGGCATCCAGCGTTCTGGCTTCCTTGCTCTGCCGTTTCGAAGCGGTGACCTCAGCGGTGAATACTCGCTTGTCGCGTCTACGGCGGCTGCAGATGAGCCCATCCCGTGGACCGACCTGGTCGCATTTGCTACGTCCTTTGGAGTCCCACTCATTGGACATCGCACTCACCCAACCGTGTTCGACACCTTTGAGCTGTCTGGGCTCGTTATCCAGTGCCACGATGACGGACAAACTTCCTCCTCCATTGCTGGCGCTCTTCCAGCCTCGCCCTCCCCTTCGCTACCTCGCTCCGACCACGCGTGCTCCGGAAGACTGCAAGAAAAGCACAATCTCTGGTGTCGCCGCCTATCTCGCTCGCGCCAAGGAGGAACAGCCAGCCTTCGAAGAAGAACATCCTTACAATGCGACTGAGTGTTGGATTCAGCGCAAGTGGCGCCAGAAGCTGGAGAAGCAAGAATCCCAGCGTGTGAAGCTTGAGGAAGGTCTGAAGAATTGTATGTGCATCCCCGCCTCCGACCTTTTCTCCATCTCTCTTCTACTCCGAAATCAGTTTGCTTACGCGCTTACCCTGTAATCAGTCGACCCCGAAAAGGATCCGCAAGCTCGCGGCGACCCGTACAAAACTCTTTTCGTAGCAAGACTCAACTACGAAGTCAAAGAGGCCGACCTGGAACGCGAATTTGGTCGCTTTGGTCCTATTGAAAGAGTACGATTCCCTTGATCCTGACCTGAAGTATTTCTCCACTAACGTTTTCTTGTTCAGATTCGCATCGTTAAGGATACGGTATCTGAAAAAGCTAAAAAACCCAACCGAGGCTATGCATTCGTTGTTTACGAGCGTGAGAAAGACATGAAAGGTATCAAGACCAGCTGAAGATTGCTTGTGACTCTTGCAATGCAGAATTGAATCCCTGACAAGAAAAGTGATTGCTAACACAGTGACCAACGTCAACAGCCGCCTACAAGGAAACAGATGGAATTCGCATCAAGGACCGACGAGTCTTGGTTGATGTTGAGCGTGGCCGTACCACCAAGGGCTGGAAGCCTCGCCGTCTTGGTGGTGGTCTCGGTGGGCGTGGATACACGAAGGCCATGCCCTCCCGCCCCATGGGCCCTGGGTTTAACGCCCCTTCTGGACCTGGTGGCTTTGGCGGTGGATGGCGAGGAGGATTCGGCGGTGGACGAGGCCGTGGAGGCCGTGGCGATCGGTTTGGTGGACCTCGTGGAGGAATCGGCTTCCAGGGAGGACGCAACGGCTTTGGCGGACAAGCACCCCCGAACGCACCTTCTGGACCGGGTGGAGGCCGTGGTGGGTTTAGAGGCGGAGGTTTTGGTGGAGACCGATTCGACCGTGGTGGTGATCGTGGTGTTACCGGCAGCAATCGCGAGCCCGTTCGCCCCCGTGATAGCTACGCGGACCGCGACCGCCGCGACGACCGAGGAGGAGACCGCCGCGATGACCGCGATGGCGACCGCTACCGTGACCGCCGCGATGAACGTGGAGGGGATCGTGGAGGAGACCGCTTCCGAGGCGATCGAGACCGTGATAGGTATGGCGGCCGAGAGGACTTTGGTCATAAGCGACGCCGTGAGGATGAAGCTGGCTATGATGACCCGCGCTCCCGCAGACGATACTAAATGTTCTTCCCATGGATACTCACCTTCTCTCTTCTCAGCGTCATTTTGCTGGTGGGTATCCCTTTGTCTTTCGCGCGTCCCCTTCTCAAGGGTAAGGGGGTAAGACGAGAGACTGTGCATATGGAGATTGGATCCGAGATGGCAGGGCGCACACGATCGAAAGTGTTACCGAAGGCATCTTATATCAGCTTGTACTCCTGAGGATGTCTTGTGGGAATTCTCCGACACACCTGCCTGCCTGAGGCTGTGCACACGATTGCCCGTAGTCCAGCATGGTGTTGTTTCCCACGTCTTTTCTGTCGAGGATTTGCAAGGTTTCTCCCCCTTTCATTTCTTTTCATGTCTTTCAATGTCTTCGTCCTATTGGGATTTCGTTTTTTTTTTTTCGCTTTGGGGGGTAAGTATGTATTCTTAGTCTCTCAAATATGCTTAGGAGTTCAGGCGATGGAAATCAAGGTCACATAACTCTCAGGTAAGACCAGGTAAGGGCCAGTGCGTTCACTAAAAGCAGGCATCTTGCTAGGTAGTCGAGAATTGAGCCCATTTACATTAGAAGTGAAGTGTTTTTTCAAGTAGGTAGACTTTTGATCCAATCTGGTATCTATCATCATTGACATCAATCGGAAGACACCAAGTCTTCAGAAGTGGACAAAATGGGTAAAAAGAATAATCTTCAATATATCTGGAGAAAATGAAAAAAGAAGAGCGCCGCCCCAAACTCCATAAGAATGCCCATAGGAATCTTTTTAGGTCGACTGTGAGTCGAAGGACATAAAGGCAGAATGTATGTGCATCTATGCATCAACCTCCATCTGACCCTGATCAAGGATCTTGATCTCTCCGGTGGCCCGCGACCATTGGGCCTTGAGATCAACCTTGAACTCGGCAGAGGTAATACCGAACATTTTCATAAGGGTGGTTTGTCGGGAGTCGAGGGTCTCGCCCTCACGGCAGACTTTGTAACCCTCCTGGCCCTCAGTGAGCTCGAGCATAACCTTGCCCTTGACCAGACGGGTGGGAACACCCAGCTTACGCAGAGCAGGCTCCATGGTGTGGCTGATGGGCTCATCCTGCTCAGCGGGGATCTCACCGGCCTGAGAGCAAACCAGACCGTTAGGGATCATGAAAGAGCGGGTAGCCTTGGTGCCGGCACGGGCGAAATCCAGGGGCCGGAAGTTCTCGAAGTACTCGAGAACGGATTCAACGGAGCGGGAGGTGAACAAGAGACCGACGGCACCGGTCAGGTAGGGAGTGAGCTTGTGCATGTTGGGAGCGGCTTCGTTTTCGGGGCTGTTGCCAAGAGCGACAGCCATGACCTTGGTCTTACCAAAGAAGACACTACATTTGAGTCAGTTGATGTCATTTATTCGGGTAGTCAAAATCCACATACCGGCTGTCGGAGAATTCGGAGCGCACATCCTTGAGATATGTGTTTCTCATGTTGTCCACCGCAAAGACAAACATATGGTCATATTCTTCGAGACATTCCCGAATGTTGGCGTACAGACGGCGGGTCTGCTCCTTGTGGTCCTTCTTGGCAGTCTTGGACTCGTGGACGACGCGCGCACGCTTTGAACGAGGCATTTTGAAATGATTGGAGAATTTATGTTGTTCAAGACTTGGTTAATAGAGACGGGGACCGAGTGTGGCATTTTTTTCGCTGATAACCGGATTAACAGTTCTGCCGGGCTTATCCGACCCCCACTAACCCGGATGGGGCAACCAGCTGCTGTTGACTTCAAGTTGCCCGGACTGTCTTCGCCAGTTGACTCGGTCTCGACGGGACAATGCTGGATTTCATGGACTACATCCAGCTGGCGTTTGCGGACGCCACCAACTGGAACCGCGATAATTCCTACTCATGCTTGACGACCACTACGCAATGTAAGTAAGACCGTTCAGGGATGCGCAGTAGGCTTAAACTAATGCATTGAATACAGCGATTCTGGACTTCTCGACTCCGGAGCGATTGCGCGTTCGGGTCTCTTCGCTTTCTACGCCGCATTTTGCAACAAGTTACACGCTCGGCACAGTCGGACTGCTTGATGGATCAGTCTCATATCTCTTCAGCACCGTGCCTTTTCACAACACGCCCAGTCGAAGTGCCTTGATTCCCCTTCGAAAGATCTCTCCTGGATATCGGCAAGTTCAAGCGCCTTCTGCTCCTGTTGAGACATGGGGTTGGGATTCCATACTGGATCGCATGAATATCCCTGGGATCAAAGGCGGTTTGCGCCCAGGATTGCCCAAGAGCAAAGATGGAGAGAATACCGCAGAGGCGGCGCAGCCTAAAGCTACTCTCCTCCATGCCTCTTTACACCTGCCAACACCTACCACGCTGAATGCATTGTTCCTACGCAGGATTTCTCCGACTATGCAACTGGCTTTGGCAGTTTGTTCTACCCAGGGACCGCCGATGTCGAAGTCCGCGCCACAGGCTTCCATGCTGGCCCAGCTATCCCATGATACAGGAAAATACTGCAATGAATATCTATTTAGTACCGACAATGCGCTCTTCGGATGGCGCGGACTCTGGAACTTTGGCCCCAATCCTCGTTATACTCCTGCCAACGCCCCGCCTGCATTGTCGCTTCTTTCGGCCGGCGCAGAAGCATACTACTCCCCGATATCTTCGCTGATTGGCATGTCCACCGGGTTGCGTTTCAGCACACTTCCAGCAGCAACCCAAGTACCTTCAACATCATTTTCATCAAATCACCCCACGCCCATTTCTACCTTTCCCTACACGTTGACTTTGACTCTCACGCCCATCACTGGCTCTCTATCAACGACATACTCTCTTCGCGCATCACCAAACCTCGCATTCAGTTCCCGCTTCGGCTTCAATGTCTATAGCTGGGAAAGTGAAATGGTCGCGGGCTGCGAGCTCTGGCGCAAAAACTCGAAAACTACCTCCAGCGATGACGAACTTGAATGGGCACGCCGCAAGATGCGCCTGCATGATTTCTCTGCCACACTTCCGGGATCCCCGCCCTCCTCTCCACTCGTCTCCGACCCGGTTCAACCCGATTCCGCCGTAAAGTCTCATGCGGACGACAGCGAGGCGGGCGACTCTGTGATCAAGCTTCGCATCGACCAGTCCTGGAATGTTCGTCTGTTGTGGGAAGGTCGAGTCAAGGAGCTCCTTGTCAGTGCGGGTGTCGGGCTGGGACCGGGCTCGTTCTCATCACCCATTACATCCTCCGCTGCTTCGGGGGGTGGAGTATCGCAGAGTGGAGGCGGCGGGCCAGGTACGTCGTACTGGCGCGGGGTTGGAGTTTCAGTGATGTATTCTTCATGAGAGATGTCTTTGATCATTCCACGCATCTCCTTTAAGTCTCTTACGGGTGTACTACGCCTGGCGGGTTGGTTCGTCCAAAGCTTACTTCACATACATCAATTTTAATACGCCGCAGATCCAGGAATACTGGCGGCGCGCACAGTGTACATATATTCTCATGACAACATATATATCATGTTCAAAGAAGCTTTTCAGCTCTTGGCCTACCAATTGAAGGCTCACATTTACTTTGCCTAACCTTTCGTTGGCACGGAGTATCAAATTATCTAATAAACACCTTACATGCGGGCGTTGATGATGTCGACGACTGCGAGCCGAGTTAGTATCATGTCTCCAGCGAGGATTGGACCTAATCAACTTACAGGCAGGCTTCAAGCTGGCACCGCCAACAAGGAAGCCGTCAACATCGGGCTGCTTGGCGAGCTCGCGGCAGTTCTTCTCGCTGACGGAGCCACCGTAGATGATGCGGACCTCATCCTTGGCCTGGGCGGAGATGGCCTCGCCGAGCCACTTGCGGATGGCGGCGTGGACCTCCTGGGCCTGCTCAGTGGTAGCGACCTTGCCAGTACCGATGGCCCTGAAGTATACTTAGTGACAAGCTCAAGGATAGCAAGCGATGGGGGGAAAAAAGGATGTCTCTTACCAGACGGGCTCGTAGGCAATGACAACCTTGGCCCACTGCTCCTTGCTCAGCTCCTTGGCGGCAGCATCGAGCTGGCGGGTAACGACCTCAATGGTCTTGTTGGCCTCACGCTCCTGTGGTAAAAAGTCGGGTGTAAGCGGGGCGAACCTTTCTCAACGCCTATCCCGATGACCCACACCGGGACACGAGAAAAAACGGGTAAACCAGAATAGAATGACGTACCTCCAGGGTCTCACCAATGCAGAAGATGACAGAGACGCCACCCTCGACGGCAGCCTTGGCCTTACGGGCAATGAACTAGAGGAGTCGTCAGCTTTCAGGTCAAATATTGCGGGCGTGTAGTAGAGGCCGAAGGTCTGGGACCGTTTTGCGGCAGCGGACACCTACCTCATCGGACTCCTTCAGGATAACACGGCGCTCGCTGTGGCCGATGACAGCCCAATCGATCTTGTTGTCACGGAGCTGCTCAACGGAGATCTCACCGGTGAAAGCACCGTTGGGCTTGTCATAGACGTTCTGGGCGGCGACGCCAATCTTGGGGTCGGCGAGGCTGCGGGTGAGGGAGAGGTAGATGGTCGGGGAGAGATGACGACCTCGGTGTTAGAGTCGAGCTGGGCGGAGTTAAGGTTCTTCACGATGTTGGTGATGCTCTCCTGCACACCGTTCCTGTGTTGCTGGTCAATTGCGTTGTTCTGGCAGCTAATTTGGCTTGGGCAGGATGGAGGGGCTCTCAGCGCGGGGTAGCTAGAGTGAGCTGGTACATACATCTTGAAGTTACCACCGACGAAGAATTGGCGAGGCATGATGAATGATTGTTTTGGGGTATTTGGTTTGAGGAAATAGAGAGAGTTGGGATGAATATGAGAAGAGGATGGGTTTGCGAGGAGAAATGGAGGGGCATTCAACATCCCGGCGATCGGCGCCTCACCGGGCATCCATGACATAACCGAATCGGATCCACCGGTTTTATACTTGGCTTCCTTCCAAGTTGTTAATTATCATGTGAACGTATAAAGCCTGGGAAGTCACTGTGAGAAGACTGCGAAATGATTTTTTAAAATGAGATACTAGATTATATTCGTGAGCTAATCACGTATAAGGTTGTATAGGTCCTATCGCGATCCTAGCTATTGAAGTTGCTCCAAATGTTGCCGGGCCGAGAATTCCCTAGTCATCGGGTGCATCTTTTCTTTGCGAGGCAAACATCCATGGCTCAATACTTGCTTAAGACAACATAGACACACTAGACACACTTTCAAGCTGTTTCTCGTAGAACTCCCTTCAATACATATTAATAATAGATCATCCACATACATTCAAGTCGTTGAAACCACAAACAGCCCCTCACCTGCTCTCAAAGCACAAATAATATGAAACCGAAAGTGATGAAAAGAGTACCAATACTCTCTACTCATCATGTCCATCCTTGGGGAAATCACATCCACAATGCGTGGGCACCTGAGCGAAGTCCCAGAAAGATCGAGACCGCTTCAACTGGCGTAATTCTTCAATATTCTGCTGTAGCAGTCGTGTTTGATGCTCAAAGGCCCTTTCCCATTGTTCAATTCTTGCTTCGCAATCAATAAGTCGACTGCGCACCTCTTCATCGTCCATGCGTTGAATCCGATACCTTTTGTCCCAAAGCTTGGGATCTGCATTTCCTGCTGGAGGGCCCCGTGCACGCATGACAGGCAGAATGTTCTTGACACCTTTCATGTCAATGTGATAATGCCTCCAAGCGTAGTATCTCTCCTTCCTCTCCATATGACGACCTCGCGACTTCTTGCGGTAGTGAGAGCCATGATTGGCGTCACGATGAGCTGGGCTACGAGACCGGGACTGGTATGTAGTCTCTTGGGGAGTTAGAGGCTCTGGACAATCGCAATCCATGTTCTCTGTGTGCTCAATCGCAGAGCTGGCATCGGACTGAGACTGATCAAAGATCATGAAGTCATCATCCTCCCCACTGGAAGCTTCAGATGACCAGCCCCCATCCTTATCGACATTGGTTTGCCCATCGCATGCACTATATGACCGTAAACGTCAGGTTTGCTCCCACGGCAGCAAAGAGTTCAATCAAATCGAGAATCGGATTTGGGGTCTATAAATATTTACTCACTTCTCATGTAAAAATCTGGCATTTCCACCAAAGGTTTCAGGGGCCGAAGACTGGCTCAGGTCCAGCCTGGTAAATGGAGTAGTGACCGACACAGAATGAGGAATTGGTTCTTGAGCAACATGGCCCGGCATCACACTTGGCACCGAGCATGCCGGCCGGTCCTTCTGCTGCCACATGTTGGAGGGCACGAACTGAGGACCGGACAGCTCCAGGGGTCGCTCCTGTGAGACTAATTCAAGGCGCCTGGGCGTCTCTAGGAGCTCGTCTCCATCTAAACGAAGTGGAATCCCAAGATCCACCAAATCGCCCATAGGGGTCCTAGGGTAAGATTTCGTCCTCATGGGCCTTTTCATGAGGATGATGTCCATCGAGACAGTTTCATAATCATTGCGATGAGCGTTGCGGGCCTTGGCGGGCCTGTCGCGCTCCTTCGCATAGACACAACTCCACTCAACATTGGGATCACTCCGCCGTTGCTCATGTATTAGCTGATTTACATGAGCACGGCGAGTGTCAGATAGATTTTGATACTGCCGTGCTGCTGAAACCTTGTTTGCTCGTTTCTGCACCATCTTGTAAAACTCGCTTTGGTCCAGATGCATCTTGGTGCGCTCCACCCGAGTCCATGTCGCCTTCTGGCCCGGTATAGGATCAGCTTTAAAGAACTTGTAACCTTCATATACTGTGGTATTTGGAGCATGCTCGGGTGTGGGAACCGGCGTGCGTGTCGAGCAAGTGTCATTTTGGTCGTCAAAGTGCACAGTGTTGGCTCGAATCTGGGGTGAGGTTTGTGATGGCTGTGCCCGAACGGAACCCGAGTGGTTCTCTTGGCAGTCATTTGCAGTTTTGTCCAGATTGAATGTAGTCATGGTTCCAATAGAAGTGAAGAAGCCACAGGGTTGCACATAAATAGCCCCACCTGGAGTGCTAGGGAGCGAAGATGCGACAATTTTGTATTGTGGGATATCTGCTTCGATTCTGACTACACTAGATATATTTATACATGACAATGTGAAGGGTTGACGCCAAATTTGGAGGAACCCGGGTGAAATATCTCCTGGGATATGCCTCCGCTAGCGCACTTTGGGGAACCACAGACCAGAATCTCGTGTTCCACTTCAGCCTCACTTTTGCTCCTTGCATGACACAGACACACCCGGGTAAAGGAAACCTTTCAGCGGGGCCTCGGGAATGGTTTCCATGGAAAACAGTTCTGTTATTCAAATGCCATTCTAGAACTATGGCTTCATGACATGTCATGCCTCCATCTCCTCATTTGCGGGGTCCCGCTCCATGACCCTGGGCGCCCGATCATGGCTCCAAAGCCGCTTCTCGCCTCTACAAATCTTGGGCGCCCAAAGTGCCTCATGAGCCTCACCATGCGACCGTTCTTTCATTCAGGTCTTTCGTGTTTTCCCGCTACAGCTATAAGCCAGGTTGTGCCAACACTCCGAAGATCACCTGCAGTACAACACCGTCGCAGCCACGATCATTGGCGTGCCAAAAGCGCATCTGCGACCGCCAACATCTGTCAGCTGCTTGGTATTCACCTGGGCTTCAATATTTCCATCTTGAACTGGTGGACCAGCGCGGCGGGGAGGTTTGTTCTTTCTTAAATTCTTTACTTCCTTGGAGACTAGGGCCTCTCATAAGTGCATCTGTCCCCGAATAATGCCCAGCCACACTTGGCTTTTTGTGTCCGTCTTAGTGCTTACTTCTCGCCCAATGTGGCTCACGGCGTGAACCGAGCACGCCTATAAGCGGCTTTACCTGCTCAGTGACCATTCCACGAACACACTGGCCGCAAAATTGAGATTAATCTGGCCGCCCTGATTCGCTGAGCTGGAGCTGAAAGAGATCAGCGGACTGCGCACTGTAAGCCCTCATCAAGAAACTGCATCACGCTAGCCCCCGTTCACATGCAGCCTTTTTGCTTCTGCTATCTAGTCCTGGCCCATCATCAAAGACTGGAATCATTTAGACATGCCACGTGATCCTGAATACAACTCAAATTACTTGCACCGCTGTCTCTCAAACGGATTCTGGGATACTTCAGCGACGAGAGTGATTGCCTCTATCTAGTCTTGTTGAGGACCTATCTCGCGCTTTGCTACTGGCTATGTCACAAAACCCATACTTCAGCTATAGAACACCATTTCTTCTGTTTTTCAATGTCTGAGAAGTGTCTTGTGCTCTTATAACTACCGCTGAGTGAGCCGCGAAGGACTCAGAGCCACACAACCGCGGTGAGCCTTCAATCAACTAAACTCTCCAAAACCTCACGCGCTCCTAGGAGCCTGAGTGTCCTTGAGCGAGGGATACTACATTGAGTTTGAATGCTGTAAGCTTCTGGTCGCCTTGACATATTGAATGTTGTGTCTACTCGGTAAATATAGATTGCAAGCGAAGACATTCAATCTATCTATCCAAGACACATATATGTGACAAGTATCGAGTCGAGTCACAACCGGTCGATCATGCTCAAAACCTGAACATCTAAATACGGCTAGGATCAGCGATCAGATTGGAAGAGTTTGGGAGACTGTCGATAGCCGAACGATCGATCTGGTCGATCGATTGGAAGCCAGCTTCTTCCATCAGAATATCAAATTCTGCGAGGAAGCTCTTCATCACGTGGCGCACACCAGGCTCACCAGCAATGCTCAGTGCCCATACCCAAAGGCGACCTAAGAAAACGAATTTGGCTCCAAGCGCAAGCGCCTTGAATGCATCGGCAGCACTGCGCACGCCGGAATCAAACATGATCTGCCAACGGCTGTTAGTTATTGTCTCAAGCAAGGGACTCGCGATTCAAAGGACTCGGTCTCTAGGAACATACATAGATCTTGTCTCCAACGGCGTCGACTATCTTCTCCAGGGCGTCAAGGCTGGCGATGGCGCCATCAACCTGGCGACCGGCATGGTTTGTCACAACAATGCCATCAATTCCCCTAAAGTATGGTCAATATCATTGGTTAAGATGCGGGGACAAACACAAACATTTCAACGCATTTCTTGGCAGATTCGACGCTCTGAATACCCTTCAGGCAGAATGGTCGACCACCACTGATTCTCTTCCACTGGGCCATTGTCCACTGGACCTTTTCCCAGGTATGAGCACGGCCGTGCCAAATGTTCTCATCGATCCACTTCGCACCCGCCTCTTTGGGGTGGGTCTTGGGATCAATACCAGCTTCCTTTAGGCGTCTCTGGAAGACAGGGTCTTGCAGACCAATATCGCCCGCTCCATGATCATGGTAGAAAGCATAGTTACCAGTAAAGACGTCGTTGTGGCGCCAGCCAAGGGACCAGGTATCGGTAGTAAGCATACACGCATCAAAGCCGGAGTCCCAGGCGCGCTGCATCATGGAAATTGCCTGTTCGTCATCATGACTTTGATACAGCTGGAAGAAACGCGGGCCGTCTGCGTTAGCTTTTCCGACATCCTCGATGCTGTAGCTGCCAGCAGAGGAAAGGCAATAAGGCAGATTCAGTTCTTCTGCAACTTTGGCAACCGAGATTTCACCGGTGGGATGATAGATACGGTTGATGCCAATGGGAGCAAAACCAATAGGTGCCGAGACTTTGTGGCCGAAGATCTCGGTGGCCGTGTCCCGGATGTTGGTATCAACCAGGGTTCGCGGCACGATGCGATGGCGGAAAAATGCCTGGCGATTTGCCAAATGGGTCCACGAAACACCTGCATTGCACGAAGAATAATACCTAGAGATAGATGAGTACGACCCTTCCAGCGTAGCTAAGAACGAAGCAGTACTTACCACCCTCCCTGGGACAGCTTTTCTTTCGCTAGTTTCTCAATTTCGGCTGGATCTAAGCCACAAAAGCCGAGGGGCAACACGTTAGGAATTGATGATCAATGAAACCACCAGGATCATTCTTACCAGTATTGAAGAGTGGGTATTGGCCAAAGTTGGAATTCCAGAATGCATCACGCCGGTAAAGCGACCATTGGGGGGTCGTTCTCAGCTTGATGTTAGGGTTGTTCGGGTCGGACATGTTTGCTGCGACTACAATTGAGAAGATCAAGAGACTTCGGGCGACTTGGAAGAGGTTCTCAAATGGATGATACTGAAAATCGAGGATGATGTTCAGAATTAAGGTGAAGGAGGAAGTGGACTGGTATTTATGCAAAATGCTGCGTTAACTTGGCATCAGAGCTGTCTGTTACCAAGTTCTGCTGATCAGTTTTCCGGGCCGTGGTCCCCAAGACGGAGATACAGTTTGACGTCATGGATGTTCAAATGGCCAAACATTGATTATGTTCAGCCGTTGACAATAGACACGATTGCGAGTCACAGACAAACAACCTCGTCGGCACTTGTGTGGCGATGCAGTGCGCTCGGTAGCTCTCGACCGAGAGATAGATGAGCCACACTATCATCCCATTCGCGATAGAAAGCTAACATTCCACGATATACCAATAGATATAGCTGTGTACCTTCAAATCGAATTCTCAGAATCTACAAATAGCCTGTGTCCACATCCGCCACACTGGTTTCACTCTGGAACTAGTTCTGTCGGCCGACATGTGCGGTTGATCTTCCTCACTACTGTGAGGGTCAAGCTTTCAGGGCCCACAAATGATACTCCTCAGCAATAGGAAAGCGCCAACGATCGGATAGGTCGGATAAGAGCGACTTGCGCGGCTGGACTTCGTACAGGCTCCACAAAGATGGCGCCAAGCTTGTATGTATGCTGGCATTCAGACTATCCGCGCCAACGCCTCTTCAACGGAAAGAAATGACGCGGAGCTACGAGAACATACTCACTATGCGGTTTTGAAATTCTCGGCCGAGTAACGTTCAAAACATTGGTTGAACCATCGAATACGAGCAATTGAAGCCTAGTCACATTGTGATCGGACAATGGGATAATGCATAATAATTCCAATCCAAAAGAAACTGTTCATATGAACCCCCTAAAGACTTTTTCCTCATCTACCTTGATCAATCTTTTGAATTTCTGTTTCCTCCAATGTTTGCGTCGCGACAATCAATTCGAGGAAAGCGCGCAATCGCGGCCTATGACGGTAATTACACCCAAGAAACCAGATCCGCGTCAAATCTTCAATACAGGCGGTATATTGAGCGACTATGTCGGTCACTGATGCAATATGGAGGACCACTATGCGTTCTGGAGGAGTTCCTTGAACAATTGCCGGTAGCAACGATCGACGCTGATCACCACTTGCACTTACCGAGCTACATGCTTGTGGACTGGAGTCGTCCAGGCTTATCTTGTGAGCCTGAAATATGGAAAGAGAAGGAAGGTATCGACTTGCAGCGCCTCTACCTAGCACAAGGAATTCACGAAAGCATGAAGAGCGGTATTCTGTCAATAGATGAAGCATCTCGTCGCTTGGACCGTTTGATGTCGTCAAAATCAGAGAACAATGTTGCCATGACAATCATAGCAAAGGGCATATCCATCTCGGCTTTGACGCTCATGTTGCCCGGTTCGGTACTCTTGATACCCCCGTGTTGTTCGGTCTTGGTAGCGCTTTGGGCCTACTCCGACATCATTGTCCTCATTCACCGATTGCATATAACTTACTCCAGTTTTTGGGTGCTCCGACCATTTCTCTCTATCGGTTTTACCTCTTGAAATCAAAGTTGATAAGTTTGAATGCCTCAAGCATATCATCTCTGCCAACTGTCACAGCTTTCATGCAGGCATTGGCAATCGACGCCGTCTCCATTCCACTCTGTGGTGTCATGATGGGCCGAAAGTCTCATAGTATTTCCAGCTACAGTTTACGGATAGCACATACGTTATACTTTACCTGTATGTTGCAACTCGGCGGTTCCTTGGGCCAAAGCATTTCTGTCCACATTGAGAGCCCATTCACTGGCCCACGAAATCTTACAAGAGTCTCACGGTTGGGTACCGCTGAACAAATTGGTTCCGAGATCACGTTCATTATCTGTACAGCCTTTCTCTTGCGCGCAAAACACCGAACAATACCTTTCACACTGGTTGCTGTCGGCACAGCAGCTGCGCTCAGTCGCGCTATGACTTCTTTCTTGGGTGAAAGTTGTCTCGGTGAATTCTTGATGGCCTTTCTGGGAAGTTTTCTAAGTGATCTTGCGTGCCAATACTGTGCTCTATCTCCAGCACCAATCAAGCTTTCAATGGTGCCTTTACTCTTAGTGACTGCAGTCGGGCGTCTTGAGCAGAATAGTAATACCGGGGAACCATCGGAACTCAGGCTCTCCGGATTAGCGTGGGTATCCAGCTATGTTATGATGGGCTTGTGGTTGGCCAAAATGGGTTCTTGGACCTTGAACATAAGGACCATCTGATTCACCGTGCGGGCCTTGCACTAGATGTTGAGCCTCAATGGTGGAATATTACTATGTTTTGTCTGTTTGGCAGAGCTTTTCCGAGGTTCATGTATGTCATTAAGTCCGAAAAGGTCGATCATTTGAATGTAAACTTCTCAATCAACTTTGCGAGACGTTAATTGAAGTTACACCCTGTGTTCAGGCCTCAAGCTCAGCTTATCAAGATCATTAGACATTGCTTGTATGAACGCCAACGCTATAGAAGAGCTGATTGACTCTATTACATTTTCGTCCAAACACCACGAGCAACGCTCCATCACGAGTAGCTCCGACTCAGCCAATAGTGCGCGTTGAGCGGAAGTGGCTTTACATTTGCTCTGACCTATCGGCCGAAAATGACTCTTATTTGTCGACTAGAAGTCCTGGCCGTAGACCAAGTCATGAAATGCGCCATGCTGAGCCAGCCTTTGTAGTTCAAAGAGCTCTTACCTCCATAGTCATACCGTTTTCCTCCTCCTCATGACGGGATCCTGAGTCGTTCTTTCCTGTGTATAGTCGCCTTCTGCCAATGAGCCCGGCGTCACACCGTTGTCGAGTTTTAAATTTCTCGGAATTTCGCAAGTACCGAGGTAATAAGGAGTGGCTCATTGAAATTGCTGGTCTATCGCACGACTCGTGACTTTGGTCTTTGAAGGATTGAACGATGTAACTTGCTAGATACTAAGTGTCTTTCAGATAAAACCTCGGTTTTGTAAGAATCAATCACTCTAGTCTTCCCTCCCATATTCAATTTCACTACCCCGTTGATAAACATAATTTTTCCAACAATCTGAATATCTTCAGAGACAGAACGGGCAATATCCCCTTCCAGAAGAGGTAGTCCGTTAGTTTTACCGTTTCTGATAAACTTAACTACCCAGACATTTTTAAGGGTAAGAGTATACTAATGGGTATATCAGTTAATAATCTCGAAGTCGTCCTACAAGAACTCGAACTCCCTAAAAGAGTAGAACGGGTTCTAATCTTTTATGGCACTATTACGGTATTAATAAATCCAAAGCTTTTATTTTAGTCGCGTCTGCTTCGGAATATTACGACATATCAGTCGAATCTCCTAAGAGCCTAAGTTCTAATAAACCTAGCCCGAGACTAATAGCAGTAGCCTAGTCGGACTATCACCACTAAAAGCTACGTCTATATAATACTAAACACCGGAAGGAAGCTCTATAATATTCACAATATATGTCCTAACAAACATTAGCAAGCCAGGCGCACTAACGCAGACATAACCTACCAGCCCCTATATTCACCCTGGGGGATCCCATCAATCCTCTCCCGATTCCGAACACCAGTCATGCCACCGGCGAACTATCGAGTGTCAACGAGTAAGATACTGCTTGAATGAAAATCTTCAGAATGTTAGTCGACTGATTTGAGCCTCAAAGGAATACCCTAAGATAGGTGCTGCGCTAAAATCAGGCAATTGAAATAAAAATGAATTGCTCTGTCGGCGGACCACAGGAGATCAAGATTTGACGGCCATGTCCTCGAAGCAGGAGAGACCCGGCGGGGCCAAACGGACCAAACGAAGTGCCTTCCAAAGGGGGCAGATAGTTCAGCAAGACGTTCATGAGGGTTTAGGTGGTCCTCGCGGCTTGATGAATAGAGAAGCCGACGAAAATAAACTTCTTGCTTCTATAGAATCTCGACTGGATACTATGATATCAATGCTTGAACATCTGGAAGAAACCAACAAAAAGCGTCGCACTTCTGCAGGTCAAGGAGCCAGCCGATGCAATGATCGCTCATTTGACTCGAGCGAAAATCTTGACTTTGGGGCACAAGAGAAGAAATTATCCGCAAAATTCAAAGATTCCGCAACATGGGACGAGCCAAGAAGTGTTGCCTTTGCCCTCAGCTGTGCGCCTCTTTCTGCTTGGTGCAGTCCGAGACAACATCAAAATATCGAGCACCTGGATTTGGAGAAAGGTGGGAGGTTGGTGAAGTCAGTCCCAGTCATCTTTCCCTTTGCTCATAAGCCTAAATAGGTATGTCAGCCCAGCGCATTGAACCAGTGTTTCCAACGAAGTAAGTCATCGAGATGGTTTCCACTTAGAGAATGTCTTGGCTTATTGAAGGTGTAGATTAGGGAGATCAAAGATTTGTTTAAGTTTCGGAACCATCAGTGCCCAATTTCATGGCCTCAATGCCAGACTAGCAATTCGGTTGGAAGTGACCCCGATTGTTTGCAGATAGACTCGCCAAGGCATTCCTCATTGACCGCTGAAAGATTTTGCTCTTTCAATGAGTCTATTATGTTTCGTTCTAATCAAGCCCCGATGGCTGGAAAGAACGCCCTACCACAGACACTTAGAGGCATTCCAACTCGAAGGCAAAGCCAGATCCTATACTATGCCTATATAGTCGATATTCAGACAATAACCCCTGTGATTCACCCCCCTCTTGTGCTCAAGGAATACGATACGTTTGGGAATTGGTACGAGATGCGCTCTACTTCAGGAGAGCCATGTCCTAATCCGGCGTTCACTCCCTTACTTTACGCCATCTGGTATGGAGGTTCAGTCACAACCTTCATGCAAACTCTCGAAGAGGAATTTCAGGTGTCATCAAGACTTGCTCTTTCCATGGTTTACCTTGACCAGCTAACAGGCTGGTTGAGTAGACATTCGTTTCTCCGGAACCCGTCCATCTCAAGTCTTACAGCTTATTTAATTGTACAGACAATCATGTTGAAAGAGGAAGAACCAATGACGTCAGCGTAACCATCAGTTTTGCCATAAGGGTTGCTCAGACACTGGGGCTGCATCGTGATCCGGCGAACTTTGGAATACAAGGGCCTAAGGCAGAATATAGACGTCGTCTTTGGTGGCACATCATCCATATAGACAGTGTTTACGCTCTGTCTACTGGTATCCCTCCTCTGCTTGATGATGATGTTAGCTGGGATGTGCGAGAAACCAGCGAGCTAAAGGATTTCTTATTAGGCACTTCAGAAGAAGCCGAATACGAAAGGGCAATCAAGTTGGGCGGACATTGTCCTGATCTTCCCGATTACCTGGCCTCATGTGAAGCCTTTTCAAAGGTGCACATCTGCTACTTGACTTCTAACGGCAAATACGCCATGGCTCGTGGGTCTCTAAGTCTGATGAAGAAGTTTAATACGCTAATTCACTATTGACAGATGCCATTCGACGGATCCTGAAGATACAGCTCTCAACGAAGCCAATCGAGCGAAAGGAACTGGCAGACCTTCGTGAAATCCTGACGAATCTGGGAACAACCCTCAATAACATTGCCGAAAGAATACCAGATTGTATACCCTTGCCTAGCTCGAATCCATCGACATCTCTCTGTACAGCCTGTCTATTTCAAGACCCAACGGATGATCACATTTGCAGAAATGAACCATGGAATCTCTCCCACGACAACCGTGGAGCGACGAAATTTGGCAAAATCCTGGGCCCGTTCTATCAATGGTCCAAAATTATTCTCTCACTTTACGTTGACAAAGTTGGTTGCAAAGACTCAGAAAAGAAGACACCTTGAGTCTCATCTGACTGACCAAATTGCAGCATTCTGCGTCGCATATCAACCTTTTTTGAAACATTCCGATAGCCCCATCCGGCCGGAGGTGAGAGAAAGGTAGGTCAAGTATTGGCACAAGCCTCATGAAAGTGTGACTAAGTTGCAGTGCACTATGTCATTATAACGGATTTATCAAAAAGTTTATCCAACTTGCGACAAACCCAAAACTTCGTTCATTTTCACTGGAGTTGGCCAGGGTGCGTGTCCCTTGAAATGTCACATATAAGAGGCTAATGAAAGCCAGAAACCATCAGCCATTGCATGCAATTATGTATGGTCTTCCACTCTATTTGCAGTTGATGTTCTAAAATTTGCAAGGATATTACTCGTTGACCTTTATGAGCGACCGCATAGTCTCGAGGCTTTAACTTCGCGCCTGTTGATCGACAATGTAATGGCACTTTTGGGACCCGACGGGGGTGTTGTTGGAGTCGACAGGGATTCTATGGCTCGAAGACTTCTCCAAGAGGAAGGTCGTGAAGCATGGTCTATGATACGAAATCTCCGTCGAATTTCTTGGCTGAAAATTGGCCTAAATCCTGACATTCTTTGGGTTCAGAATGATCAAACTAATGCAAGGTTTGTTTTGTCCACAATGACTACTTGCCGGTCTAGCAGTCGTCCATCTTCTGACACTTGTCATTCTAGTGGACCGTCGCAACAGCAATTGGATGGTCCATCACATACCCAGTCGATGAACAACCAAAATCCCAATTTCAATGGTGATTTAGGGATCTTTGCCCAACAGTCATTGCCACAAGATAGGTTTTATGATCCTTCAAATCGACATCGCTCTCAGCAAACAAATTCTGCCATCTTCACTTCACAAAGTCTCCCTGGGCATCAAGCGATACCAACAATCTCTTCCGATGGTTCAACAGTTGAAAACTTGAACACACCTTTCGCTCCATTGCCTTCTATGTTGCAAAATCAGAATCCAAGAACAGGCCCATGGATTCCCGTGGGAGATGCGAATCCTGGCGATGCGGTACGTGTTGAGCATTCACCTTTCCCGGATTGTCATTTGAATTTTGACTGGACCCTATGGGATGCTGTGTTTGGTATACATCCTGTCCTCGCTGAAGACTTTATGGGAGCACATCCTCTAAACAATGCCTAGTGTGTGGTGAGCTTCAATTTATTTCCATTCACACTAATTTTATACTTCTGTGTCTTTTGAAAAGTCCTGAGTCTCGTGTATGATAGTTGACGTCTTTCATTTGCTGCTGTGAGATCAGTGCGGCTGCCTAGTCTTGGAAATCTATAGAGTATATACCATATACTATAAGTCGTTCTTGAAAATAGAGGTACACAATTTCGCGTAATTCATTTAGACCACGCTTTTACAAATCAACAAGATAGTTCAGTTCCCTCTGCTGAGAATTGAATGATGTTGAATCATTTCGAGTCATCAAGTGTTGATGGGTTATCGTTTTGTCAACAATTTCATCTTGAACGAAGAGGTCAACGAGAAAGGAGCTCTCATGCAGATGATCTTTTTATGTTTTCTATATCATAGTTTCAGATGATCGGTCTTGGTATATGAAGTACGGACCGGATGATAAGGATTGAGAATCCATCGACTGACCTCATCTCCTTGACCAAGGATGCCTCATGTCGCCCTAATCAATTGTACAAGTACAATGCTTTTCTTTCAAGTATGGTAATTAGTACAGGGCACATTGGTACTTTTCCCTCACGACATCCGCCACCAGCTCATGGAGATGTATGGCGTTCTCACTGATGAAACGTTAAGTAATTTCAGGCCCTGCGATGCTTCGCCACAGATAAAAAGACTCTGGGATAATGATAGATTTCACTAGAATGTAAGGGCCTTGACATGACGGGCGGACATTGTCAACACGGACTTACCCTTTGACAAGTAGTTGGGTCAGAGCCGTCAGAATGTATTGCACGCTATGTTCAGCAAGCACCTGGGTGAGTGGCCGAGGCTATCTGATTGAGCCAGTAGGTAAAAGAGGCTGATAGGCTCTGGAGACGGCCAAATCTCCAAGATTTCGAGCAGGATCATCATGAACAGGACCAGGCATCAGCGGAGTCATTCCTGTCCCTCATCAGTGCCCAAGTATTATGGGTATGACAATTCTGAACAGAGATGGTTGTGGGGCTAGAAGGCTCTGTTGCCGACTAGGCCTTCAAAGTTAAAGTGGCACGTCTAGATCGAGTCAATATATCTTGGGCATGAAAGCCAGGTATTTCCAACTGTAATACTTCGCTAACACCTTGGGATTAAAGGCAACTATGTCAAATGAGGCTGACGCCAAAGAGGAAAATTCAATCCCACCGCAGAATGTGGTAATAAACAAAACAGAGTACGAAAACAGGGAGGAGGAGTTGGGTTATCATCGTCGGAGGCTGTCCAGCCTTGCTTGAAGGTCATCATCACCTGCATCAGTGCCCCCACCACCACCACCACCAACAGCTTGCGCAACAGGGGCCTTGCTGGCAGCTTCGGCTTGTTGTATGTCCGAAGGTGTTTCACCCAGCTATGAGATACATTAGCACATGATACCTTTGTCCCGGTAAAAACATTGAAACGAACCGACATGCCCAGATCGACACCAATCTCATCGAGCACTTCCTTAACAATGTCCTCTCCTTCTTCGTCTTCGCCCTCGATTCCTGTAGCCTCGTCGATCGCATCGTCCATCATCTCTTGTCGTTCATCCATGACTTCGTTTTCTCGTTCAAATTCCATCGCAATGCGTTGAAGGGCGGGAAGATTCATCTGCCGGTTCATGCTGCCAAGGAGCATTGTTGCGCCCTTCATTGACTGCATCATCTGCTCGTTACTCCGGACAGTCTGTGGGGTAAACAATGGTCAGCATGCGTTGAAGCGGAGTCGAGTCAGGTCGACATAGGAGCTTCCCTCATACCTGGATACGAAGCGAGATAGCTTGTAATTGCGTGCGCATCTGGTAGAACTTTTGAATGTATCTGCTCGGTTTCTATAGTCAGCTTCAGATCAAGGCGGCGCCCGAGCTTACGCTGACCTTCGTGTCCGCACCAGATCCTTAGCCTGAATCTTGCAAGCTCCAATCTGGCCATTCTTGGCGCTCTTTTTGATATCCTGCACAAGTTTCTTCTCCTGGTTCTCCAGCTTCGTGCGCTCTCGATCCAGCTCACGCTGTGTTCGATCCAAGGCCCGCTGGTGCTTGCGCAGACGCTCCGCAGGCGTCATACGCTTGCCAAAGGCCCATTCAATAACCTAAGGGTGACATTAGCCATGTAACAAGAACGAAACAGAGACAGCTCACATTCATAATTTCGATTGAGGGGAGCTACAGAGGGCAGTGACATCAAGGCGGGACGTAAGATAACGGTAACCGTACCTGGTCACATGCCGCGCCTAAACCCGTTTGAGCCCAAACGTCACTTTTGACTTAGAAATCTCTCCATCCAACTTCCAAACCAAACACCTTGTATGGCTCAAACCTCGCCATGAGTCAGGAATATTACCCCGGTGATGGCTCCTCGAGAGCTGGATCGTCTCGCTTCCCCGGCGAAGATGAAGAACGAAACCCTTTCTTCCCACCCCCACCAGCCTACATGACTGTGGGTAACGGTTCGACTTCGGAAAGCGCTACGGCCTTGATGACGTCGCTGAATCAGGACTCGGGATATGGAGGCAGTATCGCTGGTGAAAGTGCCCTTGAGAGCGATTCGAACGCTGCTTGGCGTGCTGGACTCATGGAGGACCGACCGACTCCCATACATACTCCGACGCGCCCCGGCGAATGGAATCCTGCTGGTGAGCTACCCAGGGAAATCCTCAAAAAAGGACTCTTTTCATGTCAAGCTTGACTAACACGAGATTTTGCGCCTTAGCCGAACATGAGAAACAAGTCGTCGCGAACCATGTTCACCAACTGCTTTAGTATGCAAATCTTCAACGTACTCTCCCGCCTTGCCGAAATGCTGACAGATTCCTTTTTAGTAATTCGAATCGGACCAAACTTGGTCGCGCCATCTCGCGAACCATAGACACTTTGAAGGAGCTGCAGGATATGAATCGCCAATGGCCCGCCCACTACCCTTCAGTTCAAAACGCCACTTCTTCGCCCGATGAGCAGCCACAACTTCAACGTACTTACTCGGAAGCCGGAGAAGGTCATGCCAGGCCACCGGATCCTCCTCGGCCTGGATCGCTGAGGCGTGCTGCGACTACAACAGGTGGAGATGACTTCGGAGAATCGAGTGCCACTGCCGAGCGCCGCGCCGCGCCTGAGCCTCGGTTGGTGACCCCTCAAATCGCACAAGAATTTTCAATCTTGAAGTTAGATCTCAAGCTGGGTGCGCTATCTCAGGCTGAGCTGGTACACTCGTTGGAGAAAGCCTCTATTGCGTCACTACTGGATGGCAAGATCAGCCAGAGCGTCAAGCATCTTCTCAATTTGCGAGACCGGATTGAGGATACGTCAAGCAAGGTACTGGTCACAGGTGATTTGAACGCTGGAAAGTCAACATTTTGCAATGCTCTTCTTCGACGGAAGGTATTGCCCGAGGATCAACAGCCGTGTACCAGTCTCTTTTGCGAGGTGCTCGACGCGCGGGAGAATGGCGGGATCGAGGAGGTGCATGCAGTGCATAAGGACGTTCAATACAGTCGCAACGACGAAAGCACATACGACGTTTATCCACTTGTCGAACTTGAGAACATTGTGGTGGACAACTCTAAGTACATGCAGTGCAAGGTCTACGTTAAGGATGTCCGATCTATTGACGAGTCTCTCCTCAACAACGGTGTGGTTGATATCGCCTTAATCGATGCGCCAGGCTTGAATTCGGACTCATTGAAGACAACCGCCGTCTTTGCTAGACAGGAGGAAATCGATGTTGTCGTCTTCGTGGTGTCTGCGGCCAATCACTTCACTCTTTCTGCGAAGGAATTCATTTTAAACGCTGCACATGAGAAGGCTTACATTTTCATGGTGGTGAACGGCTTTGATCAGATTCGGGACAAGCAACGTTGTGAGCGTCTGATTCTCGACCAAGTGGGCAAGCTAAGCCCTCGCACATACAAGGAGGCCGATGAACTTGTTCACTTTGTGTCGAGTAACGCTATTCCTGTGGCTCCTCCCATGCCGCAGTCTGGCTCTGGGGGCGGTGATGGTGGAGGCAGTGACCCTCACGATGATGACGACGGTGATAAGGGCAAGGGCAAAGGCAAGGAGAAGGAAAAGATTCAGGACTTTGAAAACTTGGAAGGCGCTTTGCGACGCTTTGTGCTCGAGAAAAGATCCCGGTCCAAGCTTGCGCCTGCTCGAACCTATCTTCTGAACCTGCTTGCTGATCTCAACTCGCTTGCAACGGTCAATCGCGATATCGCACAGTCAGAGCTCAAGCGCGTGACGGAAGAATTATCAGAGCTGGAGCCTGCATATGAGAACGGCAAGAAGAAGAAGAGCGAGCTTGCGGAGGGTGTTGAAAAGGCCATCGACGAGTCGTGTGAGGATGTGTACAACCATACCCGATCCACTCTGAACGATACCATCGCCCGGGTCTCCGAGGCAGACCTTGGTGTTGACTATCCGGGTCTCTTCTCAGTCTTCCAATACGCCGAGGATCTCAAAGCTGCAATGCTGGATCAAATTTCTTCAGCCGTCACTGGGTGTGAGGATTATGCCCGTGAAAAGACAGTCAAGGGAGTCGGCTTCATTCAAAACATCGGTCTTTTGCACATTGGTGAGGACAAATTCTCTGCCCTCAACTTCCGTGCAGACCTGATGTTCCGTCGCGGCCGACGCCACTTGACTGGCCGGCAAGTCAACACAGAAGTCGAGCTCTGGGATTTCTTTGATATTGCTAGTCTCTGGGAGCGCCAGGAGAAAATGGCAGGCACTGGTGTGGCAATGACTGCTGTCACTGTTCTTGGTGGCAGGGTCTTCGGCGGCTTCAGCTGGGTAGATAGCGCACTTAGTGCTATCAAGGCTGTCGGTCCGAACAACATGCGTCGGATGTTCTTACCGAGTATCCTTGCTGCGGGTAAGTTTCCAGGCTTTTTGTTCGCCTGGATATTATGCTAACTCTTGAAAAGCCCTCTTGACAACAGCTTATGTGCTGTCTTCTATTCCGAACACGTTACCTCCTCGTCTTTCTAGGAAGATCGCAGCCACCCTTGATGAAATGGACTACGTCCATTCAAATGCCAACCGGATCTCGGGTGAAGTTCGGCGCATTCTCCGTCTTCCCGCAACCAATCTGCAGGCCAGCATGGCCCAGGATATTGAGGATCTCGCAAGACGCAAGCAGGAGGTCAGCAAGGTGAAGCAGGAGAGCGAAGTCGCCACCAAGTATTTCGCGAACCTGTTCCGCGATAGCAGTGAAAATCGTCGCACTGTGGAAGCTCTCGATCTGGATGCTCCCTTGCCTGGTGGCCTGGGTGCTATTGAGGCGTGAAGATAAACAAGCACGCATCAATATCCCATACACCCTGCCTGCAATCTGTAAATCCCCGCTCCAAATCCCACTCCCTCAAAAGTCCTACCTCATAACCCTGATCTCTTTGGGCATGTACAGTTTTATTTTCTCCTGTCCTTTCCTTTTTTTCGATTCCCTTCCTCTTTGTCATATTATGCTGTGCGAACACTTGTCACTGCTTCTCATAACATGGCAGTGGAGTCTCGCTCTTTTCTCGTCTTTCTATGCCATGGCGTGTCGGTGCAATCGGAGGTCATTCTAATTTTTTAGCCCAAGATTCCCATCTGAATTGATGTCCCGATTCCTACAACAACTTTATAATATCTCCTACAGTATTACTCTTCAACTATTTCAAAGATGGTCATGAAAATGTCGACGGAAGTGGCCTCCTTTAGCCAGGGTTTTTTGAATATATCATGGGATGTCTTACAAGTTGACAAAATCGGGATTTCTAGTGATCATGTATTATCTTTCTCGGTTGAATGCAAGATAAGTGATGTAGCTTTCGGCCGAACTCCATGCAGCTAAAGGAGCGCCATTCGCAATGCAAACCCAAAAGACCATCCGTTTAAACCCCTGCGCGCATTCCACAATAAAAGCAATGGAGAAAGGAAACATCACTCATCATCGAATTTTGCAATGTGCTTCCTAGTCCGCCGCCCAGATCCCCACCCAACATCCTCCAACTCACGAACTTGACCAAATAGACCCGCGTCGGGCTTCTTTATCTTTCCAACGTCCTTCCCGGCATCGCGCAGGAACTCGGCCCTCATAGCAGCCGCATCAGCATCCTCGTAGTCTAGCTGGGTCATCTGAGGCTCTTGGTTCTCTTCGTCCTCACCGTCAAGTTGGGCGGGAAGTTTATCAGCCAGGAAGTCAAATTTCCCTCCGCTGAACATGGATGAGAGGCTTTGGCCGTTGCGGCTGTTAGTTCGGGACAGTGAATTATCGCGGGTCGGGTCAGCGCTTTCCAGGGCAGTGCCTAGCCCGTCGTCGTTGAGTGTGTCAATTGAACTCGCTCGAGAGGGGCCAGTGGCTTCAGGTTTTGAATGATGAGACGATGCACGTCCCAGCAGAGGCTTGCGTCTTCTTTGTGGTGGGTGACTATCTTCTTCGTTGGTGGAGGTGTTCTCGCTATGTTGTCGGCTTTTGGCAGCTTGAGCTTGTTGGAGAAGACCTTTTAGTGCTGTGTCCAAAGCGGATGGAGCTGCGGCTGAAGGTGCTTCGTCTGGTGCCTGTTGGTAAGTGGGTTGATCTTCGCGATGCTGGTTTCCTATTACCGTTTCCGGTGAGGGAGATCGTGATTCTGGAACTGACGGTTTGGGCGGCTCGAATGGACCCTCTTCTTTTGCGAATCCGTCGCCAATGACAGGCATGATTCGTGTGTTGCTAGTCCTTCCTGATATGGGCTTATCGATTCTCTCTTTGTGAGAGCCTGAGGAGCCTCGAGCAGGTTTGTCTCGTGCTTTTTCAGTCTGGCGATGAGACGATTCTCTCGAAGCTGGCTTTGACATGCTACCACTGCTCTGAGTCGTGTATCTTCGGACAACATAGGGCTCGAATGGCTTCTTCTGGCCCGACTGAATGGAAATCCATAGCCAGTCGGCAGATACTGCTGGGATTCCCCATTCGGTGGTGTGCCGTAGTTTGTCATGACTGGCAGTTTGGGGATCATTGCATATCAACACGGAAGCTTTGGATGTAAGATATTCGTCATACGTTGCTCCCATCAACTCCACAAGCTTGGAGAGGTGAAGCAGATCAATACGCGCGAAGCCAGTAGAGCAAATCCGCATCCCAGATAATCCTGGCAACGTTAAAATCTAGAGTCTATAATTGAAGTAATAGAGAACTCACCTGGGAGTGGAAATTTCGGGAAAGGCGTGCTTGCAACATGCGACTCTGGTGGGACGAGTGCTCTGGCATCGAGGCATCTTTCCAGCCACATGTCGGTTACAACTTCACACTCAAAGGCCAGGTCGTCAGTCGAAGGAATTTCTGATCTGTGAGTTTTGTAGGGTACAATGATGTACAGTCCTTGGCCTGTTTTGGGTATACTCGGGCGAGAGAATTCACTAAGTGTTTCCACACACTGGGCGCCGTTAAATTGAAGATGATGTCGTAAGACACTCATCTGTCTAGGAGAAAAGCCGTTGATAAAGAAATAGGACCCATGGAGGAAGCCCTCAGGAATTTTTTGAAGTGTTTCCGGCTGATCATGGGTTTCCGCGGTCTCGTTAAAGGTTGTCTCGCTCGCAAAAGATTTTGCGGCCTGGATGAAGGGTTTAGGCTTCTCAACACTGTTTCCTGTCTGGACAGTCCCTTGGTCTGTCGTTTCACTGTTCGCGAAGCCCGCGCCAATTATGTCTCCCCATATATTTTCATTTTGGCCCACCAATTTGGTGCTCGCAGCCCGGCGCAGTTTCTTCCTAGGCCGGGGGTTTGAGGCGTTGTCAGTGGTAGCAGACCTTTCTTTCCCGGAATGTGCTTTCGCCGCTGGAATGGATCTATTCCATGCTCCCACGCCTTGCTCTTCCAGTGGAAGCATTGGGTGGTATTTTTCCTCGTCGAGAATCATCCCACGCTCGAGGGAGTCGTGAAACCACTTGACCGTCACAACCTTTATGTTCCATTGCGTCGCGAATCTGTATTTCTCGCCCTCCGTATTACGGGCAATAAGATGAGTGACGCTCTTGGTCAAATCTTTGCGGAATTCAGCCCCATTGTCCACGGCCCTGTCATGCATTTCGGTCCGAAAGGCCACTGCCACGAATGTTAGCTTTGTCCATTCGTCGCAAGTATGCTGAGAGCTCACTATCAGAGAATCCGGTAATGCAAAGTGTCAGGTTGAAGAACGTAGGTAATTTGTATTGTTCCTCTAATGCTCGAATATCCATGTCCTCTGCCTGCATCCAAGCCTGCCGTACAGCTTCGATCCATTCTGGCTTCAACACTGCCACATCGTTTCGCTCACGGGCCACAAATTTGTATTTTGGAGAGTCGGTCGCTCCAACGAGTAGATGGGTCACGTCTGACGTCAAGTCGGGTCTTTCGGATGCGCCCATTTCCTTTGCAATGCTGATGAGTTGCGTCTGTATCGAATGTTAGCGTGTCAAAATGTACCTATGATCGCCAATGAAGCCAGCTTTTTTGCGGAAAATGTACCCTTTGCTCCAGCGATACCGACGTAAAGCAAATGACTGCGCCCTCGAGCGGGTGCTCCTTGTCTGCAACTCCGCGGGTCAGAAATCGGGTTGCGCTTTCGGACGGACTAGATTGGCCAACCTACCGGAGGCCATAGTCCCTGCCATTCTTCATCATCTGGAGGTGCCCCGCTCCGGTTCGAAAAGCGTCTCTACCGGGGAGTAATAGTGCTGAGCTATGGGTAAATTGGATTTCGAGGTCAGTCGGGTCCCGCGCGTCGCGATAATGCGCGCTCACGTGCTTCCTGATAAGATAAGATTCATGCAACTACCTTATCACACGTGACTACAGGTCGCGTCACCGACAGAAGACAGGCCAGCTCACCGGTGAGGTGAGAGGTCGGCTCACCGATATCTCCGCTTTTATCATATAACGTGTGGGTCGGCTCACTGATGCCTATAATAACAAATTTTACTCTGTTTTAGTTTTGTCCAAAAGCCTCACCACTTTACCTCGCAATAACTACTTCGGAATTTAGTTTAAGATAAGCGATGCTAATCCTTTCGAATAGATCGAAACCGATATATAAATTATCAACGAACTGTTTAATTTTAATTCTCCCCTTCTAGATATAGAAATAAATCTATATAAAGAGCTAGTATCTTAACTTAATAATACTATTTTATATAAGCGGAATATAGCTCTCCTAAACTAAGATACTAAGGTTAATACTAAAATTCATTAATTCAGAACTAGTGGTTAACTAGTTCTAGCTACTACCGATTCTAATAACTCTTACTATCGGTAATTCGATGAAGACGAAGGTCGGCACACTGATCAAAAGTATTACATAATACAGATAACCTATCGGTGAGCCGACCTCTCACCTCACCGGTGAGCTGGCCTGTCTTCTGTCGGTGACGCGACCTGTAGTCACCGTCACGGATGAGTCGAAATCATGTGACATTTATAGTTAGTGCAGTGAGTTCTATTGATATCGAATTACTATTACTTACCGCTTCCTAATCTGGCTTATAATGCCCGCTTGCTACTAATGCCGCTCATGTTCTACTTGAAAATGCCAAAACTAGAGTACAAAAGCCTTAAAGATAGTATCAGACGTTTTTGTAGAAAGAGGAAGTAGTTCTTGAGTAATCATTGCGAGGTGAGGCAGTGAAGATTTGAGTAAAGAATTAAAACAGAGCGAAATTCATTATTGTAGGCCTCGTTGACGCGACCCGTCTTCGCTCAGTGACGCGAACTCTGATTTCATCGATGACGCGACTTCATGGTCACGTGAAGATGACTACTCGGATCTCTTAGTGGATGTTGCAAACGCACCAGGGCTCTCCATTGCTACCACTTGATTTCAGATGTTGTCAAGCTTGAAATTATTTTAAACCGATTTCATAATTTGATCTATGCTGAGATTAACCTAAGTGGTGTCAATTGAGACATATATTTGGGTCCATATATGTTCGAAACGTGTACCTGCATTTCCCCTTGAGTCTTGAGCGTACAGGACCCGTAGCCCTTCCAAATTGGGAGTCTGAAGGTCTTTGAACCTGTTTTTCGCGTAGAATTAGACCTGGACCTATCCGGACAGCAAAGCCCAGAGCTGCACAAGATGTTTTAACAGCGGTGCTGTAACATCCTCTATATGTTTCCTTTAGCAAAGATGATGCTCATGAAGATAATACTAGAGATTTCGCGCACAACTATGAAAGCGATCCTTCTTCAAGAAGACATCAATTGCGTTCAAAACAGCTGCGGGACGACTCCCACAACTTCGGGTATGGGACCAAGTTCATTAATGTGACTAGCCCCAAGAGACGCACTGACCTGTTCAAATAGTCTCTTGGCCTAATATCTGATCAACAAAGATCACTAATTTGTAAGTCACTCCCGAAAATGACCAAGCCACATACAGTTGGTGGTATTACAGCATTGCAACACCAGCCTGGGGGAACTAGTGAAGCTCGCGATGAGTGTAAAAAGATTGATTATATTGCTCAGTATCTTGGTGTAATAAGAGATGTGGTCTGGTAGGCAATCTTTGCATGACGATTTCTCAATGGTTCATCGCTGTCGAACAGCCGCCGCATCTCGCTTGTCTTGCACCCTTTGCAAAGCGCCAGGAACATCTATTCTAAGTTGGGTTATAGAGGTAGGGTACCAAAATAATTTTGAAAATACTCGCCGGATATGGGACAAACAGTACTTTTCTCCTCTCACGAAACTGTAAATACTTGAAAGTGATTCTTCGGAAACAGGAAGAACGGAGCAAGGAAGATTTGATTGGAATGCTGGATAAGTCTTAGTTCATGAAGATTGGGAGGATTAACTTAAATGGGAACTGTTTTTGAAATGTACTTGCAAGTATTAAATAAATTGCAGCATGTAATGACTAGCTGTCTCTACTTTTTCTTGCAGGTATTTGCCAAATGCACCAACTTACACTCCAATTGTTATAGCGTGCTGTTTGTATGGGTTCTCTGGTACGCTGACCACACGAATAATAGAAGACCGCAAATGCTGTCGAAGAATAGTGTAAAGCCCTATAAGCTGTTACAAGTGTCGAGGTTGGAAATCTATCGCAAAATATCAGACTGACATGCTACGAAGCAAGAATACTTGCAGATACAAGATTCAGCCTGAGGAATCGGGCTACCGATCAAGCACGGGCGCGTCGCTCACGCGTTGAACAAACTCATCGACCCGCATTATCTCCGCATTGGCATTGTTGCAATAACAGTCGTCGGGTCTCTGTGTGACTTCGTTTATGCATGTGACCAGGCCTAAAATTTGGCGTCTACGAAGTTTTCAGTCTCTCTCGCTGAATTGCTCCCGCACAGGCTCGCCGTCCGCGTGTTCGTCCACACTACGTCTAACCTCGGAAACCGCTATGTTCAAAAAAGCCGTCAAAGACCATCCTGGAGGGACATCTAGACCTCTTCAGTCGAGCTTCTTACGTGCGAACACCATTGTTACTTCTAAGCCCCCCAGCACCTTCTCCCCAAACCTCCGGAGTCAAGCGCAAAATCGAGACAACCAACGGCGTGGAATCTTCGCTCGGATCCCTCCACAGCTCTGTTTACTTCGACGAAAACGACTTTGATGACGACCTCGATCTTGACATTGACGAGCCTCTCCCGTTCATCGCACCGGTCGCTAGTAAGCCAACAAAGTTAGACTCTGTCGCTTATCCTACTATCGACCTTACAAGCTCGAACGACAGCACCACAGTGCCCGCCAAGAACACAAAATTGCAAGCAACCATCACATATCCGGAACTGCCTCCTGCCTCGCAGGAACGTGCTGCGCCGTCAAGCAGCGTCCAAATCCCATGGTCCTCTTCTCCTCCGTCCCATTTCCAGCCGCCCCCCCCGACCGCGAACCCTGCCTTGGCTGAAGGAAGGCACGGAGGAACCTGAACATGAGAAGAAAGACCTTCCCAGATTTGTAACTCCAAAGCGCACAAAACCTTCTGAACCTTGGAACAAGACTGCGAGTGCGATCAAGGAGGAACAGAAGGAACTAAGGCGTGAATACAGGAAGACTCAGAAAGGTGATGAAGTCTCACAACCTCAGAAGGACGAAAAAGTGGCAGGCATCTTCCTGAGTGACGAACAGAAAGCTGTTCTCGATGCGGTCGTCGAACGTGGGAAGAGCATTTTCTTCACCGGATCTGCGGGCACCGGCAAGTCTGTTCTCATGCGAGAGATCATCAAACACTTGCGCCGAAAATACAAGCGCGAGCCAGACCGAGTAGCCGTGACAGCATCTACGGGTCTTGCAGCTTGTAACATCGGGGGTGTGACTCTTCACAGCTTCGCTGGTATTGGACTAGGGAAAGAGCCCGTGCCTGAATTGGTGAAGAAGGTGTGCTATTACCACACGACAAGGGTGGTGCAATACTAATAATCAATAGATCAAAAAGAACCAGAAAGCACGAAACCGTTGGCTGCGTACTAAGGTTCTCGTCGTTGATGAAGTATCGATGGTTGATGGCGACCTCTTCGACAAACTTGAGGAAATAGCCCGGCGCATTCGGAACAACGGGCGTCCCTTCGGAGGTATCCAACTAGTCGTGACAGGCGACTTTTTCCAATTACCTCCAGTACCAGATGGAAGTAAACGTGAGGCAAAGTTCGCATTCTCCGCGGCTACCTGGAGTACCTCTATCCAACACACCATCCTTCTGACCCACGTGTTCCGTCAACGTGACCCCGAGTTTGCTGCGATGCTCAATGAAATGCGACTGGGTAACATTAGCCAGTCGACAATCGAGGCGTTCAGAAAGCTCTCTAGGCCGCTCAACTTCCATGACTCGCTTGACGCAACTGAATTGTAAGACACCTTCCTCGACCGCTTTCTTACACATGCTGATTTCTTTCAGGTTCCCCACGCGCTCTGAGGTTGAGAATGCCAATTCCCAGCGGATGCATAGGCTCTCTGGCGAGCTGATGACTTTTAATGCCGTTGATTCTGGTACTATCCAGGATCCCCAACATCGTGAAAAATTGCTATCGAACTGCATGGCCCCACCAGTCATTCATCTCAAGAAAGGTGCCCAAGTGATGCTTATCAAAAACATGGAAGACTCCCTTGTCAACGGATCCATTGGACGAGTAGTGGCCTTCATGGACGAGTCGACGTTTGACTACTATCGAGACAATGAGGGGGACTTTGCCGGCGATGGAAACCCAGAAGATGACGAAGGACTCTCTCGTGCGAAGAAGAAGCTAAAGCCCATGGCACATAAGGAAGGCGGTGTTACTGTTACACGAAAATGGCCGTTGGTGTGTTTTGTGCAACCGGATGGCACGGAAAGACATCTCCTTTGCCAGCCGGAGGCCTGGAAAATTGAGCTCCCCAATGGGGAGGTGCAAGCCCAGCGCCAACAGGTGCCGTTGATTTTGGCATGGGCTCTTTCAATTCACAAGGCTCAAGGTCAAACTCTTCAAAGAGTCAAAGTTGACTTGGGCCGAGTTTTCGAGAAGGGTCAGGCTTATGTAGCCCTGAGTCGAGCGACTTCTCAGGCCGGATTGCAAGTGACTCGATTCGAGCCTCGAAAGGTCATGGTCCACCCTAGGGTTGTTGATTTCTACAATAACCTGGTATCTATCACCCAGGTTATCAACCCCAAGAAAGATGGTGGTCTCGACGAATCCATGAACCGTATATAGGTGTGTTGAATCTACAATGATCATGCAAAGTTCGATGTATGGTTGTTGTCATGTTACCATTCCATCAGTTCAATATAGTGATATACCCGGAATTTTACCATATGTTTCCCGCGCACTATTTTCGTATGTTACGTCCGTTATGTGACCGTTAAAAACATCTGCAGATGTAGACGGATATATCGACTTGTCCTATTGAATCTGCGGTGAGATCGAGCAAACCATTTAATACGCGTGTTTAAGTGGTTTACTCCGTGGATAACGCGCACATCCCCCACAGCTGCTTATCGATAAAGCACGTGACACTGCCTAGGGAGCTGCCCGAGCTTTCTTTTTCATCTGCACAAGTTGTCCCCTGCTTACCCCCGCCGACACCTTGAATCAATCCCTCCTTCCAATGAGCTTGAAGCCCCGGACTTCGCATGAGATCCAGTGAGCATGGCTTCCGAGTTCATTGGGTGTAATGTGCTAGTGAGCCTTCGAACACCACCCGGTGGGAAGCTCCAAGGCCAGGTTGCCGATGTAATCGGACAAAACCTACTACTTCACAATGGTATGTCCGAAATATGCTCTATATGTGCACTGACAACTCATTGCCCTTGTGTCTTACAGTAACTCTCCTGTGGAATGGCCAGCGCCTCCCCCACTATTCCTTGGACGCTTCCATTATAATGGACCTCTCCTTGGAATCTACCAACTCTGCTCGCCTGCAGCATCCTCAACCCCAGAAGGTACCAGCGACGCGTCCCCAGCAGCATTTCATCGACCCGGCGATTCTGAGCTTTTCCAAAACCCCTTCCGAAATCGATCAGGCACCTGCCCCACGGCCACTTGTTCAGCATGCCCCACCACTCGCTGCCTCCTTGACTGAACCATTCAGTGATCTTGAACTGAATGTTGAAAGTACAAGGGCTGGCGTACATGGAGCCTCACAGGAGATGGAGCTTCAGGGCTCACAGAATGTGACCCCCACCAAGCAGACTTCGCGACGTAATCGACGAGGCAACGATGATGGATTCGCGACCAAGCATGGTTCTACCGCAAGCACCAACCCAAAAAGTAAAGGCTGGCGTCAGACCGCATTCGTGGAGCCTGCCGTCCCGGCAACCAAGATCTCGCCCGAGCAGATGATGCAGTCCGGCGCAAAGCTTCGCAAGAGAAAGACCCGCCGTGCTTATGTTGAAGACCCAAGCGGCTGGGCCACGGAAGATGCAACGGATATTCAGGAACTAGGTGAATTTGATTTCGAAAGCAATTTGTCCAAGTTCGACAAGCGGCGCGTTTTTGAAGAGATCCGAAACGATGACACTACAGCAGACGAGGCTCGCCTTGTCAGTTTCAATCGAAAGGTCAAGCCAGGGACTAACGGCGGAAAGAACCTTCACTGGACTGAGAATGTGCTCGATAGCCCGCAGAACAGTGATACCGGAGATGATGAAGTTATCAGTGATACCAGGCTCAGTAGTGAGAACATCTCCGGACGCGAGCGGTCGAGAGCATCCCGCCTTCAGACCTCTCGCAAGAGCAGCACTATTCTGGGACAGGCCAATAGACCACAGATCAATGTGATTGGCCGTACTCAGCTGAATACCTCTCGTACCACAAGCCCTCATCCTGGCAGATCATCTGTTTCGCCCATGATCGGCCCTAACGTGTCGAGTGCATCTCTGCGACTGTCAACTACCAACCGCAGCTGCCCGACTGTTAGCCCACTTCAGACACTTGAGGTCGAGCAGATCGCCGTGGCCGAGTTTGGCTTGAGTGAAGACATCATCACTGAGAATGCAGGCCGAGGCATCGCGGAGGCAGCCGTTGGTCTCCTTTCGGATGATGCAGCTGCGCCTACTATCCTGATAATCACTGGCAATCATCGCACCGGAGCTCGGGCTATTTCGGCTGCGCGCCACCTCCGCAACCGCGGCCACCGTGTCACCGTCTGCTTGCTCGGGCTGGAGCACGAAGCCGAGCTGCTGGAGAACTGTCGCAAGCAGCTGGAGATCTTCCGAAAGATCGGAGGACGTGTCCTTAGGTGGGAGGACCTTTCAACTCGCCTGTCTACTTCTGAGCTGGCTCCTGATCTCGTGATCGATTCCTTGTTTGGCATGCACGTTGCCTTTGACGACCTTCGTACCGACGACCAGGCGGTGGCATTTGAAATGATCTCATGGGTGAACAGAAGCAATGTTCATGTCCTCTCAGTCGATGTTCCGTCCGGAATGTCTGCTTCCAGTGGTATGTCTGCCCTACATGTCGTATTTCTTCTCTTCAGTTAACTAACATTGGAGTTTAGGCGAGGCATCCATTGTTGACGGGGGTCGACTATGCATCAACACTTCATCTGTGGTGTGTCTCGGAGCCCCAAAAACCGGCATACTGAGCGCCCTTCTCGCTGGCGAAGGGCATTCCTGGAAAGTCACGGTCGCCGACATTGGCATTCCCCAGATCGTATGGCGGAAGTATGGAACTAGAAGACGCCATGGAATTGATTTCGGAAACCGATGGGTGGTGTCCTTACGTCTCCAGACTCTGGCTGCTTAAATGGAACCCATTGGTTCCATCCATGTTATGAACTAATAAACGGCGTTTATTTCGGGATGAAGGGATATCGGGATGGGCTCGATGCCCATCCCGGCGGTTTACCCAGGCGTTCTCGAGAGGGAAAACTATGTACATGTATCACTAGCGACTTCACATTCAATTCTAAATTTCTCATCATGATAATTTGATATCCTACTTCTCAACTGACTACATGAACCTGGTAAGGAGCCTTGTGGTATCCTTGATGCTATGTAAGAATTGTCAGCCTCAAGATATCCGTGAATACGTTACTGCCTGTAGTCTCAGGTGTCAATCCATCACACTAATCCTAAAGGGGCTAGAATACCCTGCGTCATTCTCGCGGACTTTTGGAGTCGAAAACGAGCGCCGACACAAGCTTGAGCTTCAAGCACCATGGGTAAAGGTATGTACCGGAGACATCCTCATAGAAAACAAAGACTAACATTCTTGGAAATAGGAACGGACAAGCTCTACGTACGCGATCCATCTCATTTTACTACCTCCCCACTCGTCGCATGTTCGATTTTCACTAAAACTTGCCTTTGTACAGATCACTCATTCTGAGTGGGCATCGGAAGATGCGTTCTCAGCCAGCGCGGGCGCTGGTGTTTCCAGGGCCAAAACGGAGGCCCCCATGCGGCATTTAAGCGCTTGCCATTCAATTTCTGCTCTCTCTCCCTCCAGCCATTTGCGCACCCGGTCTGCACACCTACAGGAACGATTTTCGACCTCACAAACATTCTCCCATGGATCAAGAAACATGGAACGAACCCGGTGGATGGATCACCGTTGAAGAATTCCGATTTGATCAAGCTAACGATCGCGAAGAACGAGGATGGTGATTATGTTGACCCAGTCACTTACAAGCCCTTGACGGATAATACGCATATTGTCGCTCTGCGCAACACGGGAAATGTGTTTTCTTGGGATACAGTGGATCGACTAAACATCAAAGGGAAGCTGTGGCGCGATCTGGTCACTGACGAAGAATTCAGCCGCAAGGACATCATTACCCTGCAGGACCCGCAGAACATCGAGTCTCGCAACCTGAGTTCGTTCAATTACTTAAAGGAAGGTGAAACTCAATCTGTGGACGACAACAAACCCTCGGGGAGTGTCAATGCAAACGCGCTGGGGAGTTCAGCTAAGATCTTGAAGGCGAAGGAGGCAGTGGCCAAAGCACGCGCCGAGCGCGCACAGCAGCAGGCTGGCTCTGCTGGCTCTACAGCTATTTCTAAGGCCGGCACGGCTGGTTCGGCTCTGTCAAAGCCGGGCCAGTCCCAGCCGGGGAAGCCTACACCCTATAACGCAGCACGATTCACGACGGGCAAGGCCGCTGCCTCCTTCACCAGCACTGGCTTGACACCTCACACGTCAGCCGAGTTGGCACTACTGTCTGAGGAAGAGTATATGCTGAAACGGGGTCGGATCAAGGCCAAGGGTTATGCTCGGATTGATACTACCGCTGGACACTTGAACGTGGAGCTCTATCCTGAGCAGGCCCCCAAAGCCGTGTGGAATTTCATCCAGCTTGCCAAGAAGGGCTACTACAAGGACGTCACCTTCCATCGCAATATCAAGGGTTTTATGATCCAGGGCGGCGACCCTACTGGTACTGGACGGGGTGGCGAGAGTATTTGGGGCAAGTACTTTGCCGACGAGTTCGAGGGGCCATTGAAGCATGATGGGCGCGGCACCCTGAGTATGGCCAACAAAGGAAAGAACACGAATAGTAGTCAATTGTGAGTTCAAAGCTGTCCAGATCGAAATGCCGTCTTGCTAAACAATTACACAGCTTCTTCGCCTACCGAGCTCTCCCGCACCTCGATCGCAAGCACACCGTCTTCGGGCGACTCATTGACGACCCGACGCCGTCATCTGCCACCCTCAACCGACTGGAAGCCAACCCTGTGGAACCAACCACGAATCGGCCGACGCCGGAGATCCGTATTAAGGAAGTCACAATCTTTGTCGACCCTTTCGAAGATTTCTTAAAGAAGAAACGCGCCGAAGACACTCACGACCCCACCTCAACGGTCGACGAAAGTGAGGCTTCCCGTCGCGAGGATGCCGACCAGATCACTTGGACTGGGAAACGTGTACGTGGGCCCGGTGCGAACGAGGACAGCGGATCCACCGGTGTTGGAAAATACCTGAAAGCTGCTTTGGCCGATCGTGACGAAGATGAAATCGTGGAGTTTGTGGACGAGCCGGAGCCGGAGCCTGAGCCTGCTCGCAAGAAGGTCAAGGGCGTGGGGGGATTCGGAGACTTTAGCTCATGGTAGCCTCATTATAGCCTCATATCCATAATTTTCCGCATTGGGGTTAGATTGGAAACCGGGAGTCTTGTGAAGGGGGCTTTTTTTTACGCGCGTGAACTTCGCAATTGGGGGAAGTCGCTGAGGCCATCCCCCAAATAGGCGTAAAATGATGACGGTCTGTTTTCTCTCTAGATGCTTGGAAGACCATAGTAAGCGTGAGCCCCCTGAACGGGTGAAGTTGGCCTGATCGAGATCAAGATCGCAGACTAGCAGCGACTTAACCAGTGCCAATAGTCGCCTCCGTTCTTGGCTCCTCCGCTTGAGTCTTGTACGCAACGGGGCGAGTTAACCCGTTTCCCTCTTCCGGCATCACCCCAACTTCCTCTCTGTTACATCTCAACAGCTCGTCTACTTTCAAGGTACTCACTACACACTTTGATCACGGTAAGCATGTCTTGCACATTTCGCCATGCATTGTTCTCCCGGGGCTTCCGCTCGCGGGTGGGGTTGGCCCTGAAGCATGAGACGCTTCTATGAGATGTTGGAGGGCCGATGGTCGGGCGAGTGTGCATGTGTATTCCTCTGGATAGCTTCATCTCATCCTAGGATAGCTTCAACTCATCTCAATGGCCGGTTTCATTTTGAGCGCTTCTCTGAAGCTATAAGGCGCTTCCCCTCTTTGCCCTCCCCTCCAACTACCCTCCCCCCCATTGACTACGGGACTTGGGTGGCTTCTTTTACGTTGCGCTTCACCATCAGCTTCGCATGATTCTTCTCTCAAATCCAGATCGACGTTAATCCTTTTGATCGTACAGCTTCTTGCTTTCATTGCCCCCAACGCTACGTCAGTCCGTCGGATCGCCGCCTTCACCCCGCCAATCTCTTCCCCGACTCGCCCCCCATCCGTGGTCAGGATTCAATCAAGCTGGCAGGAAAACAGCGCCGTAGTTTCTCTTCTCAGGGTGGGTTGCTGAACAGAATGTTCAGTGGCTCCTCGAGCCCACCCAAAGACAGAATCGACTCTACACCCCCCGTTGCCGGAATCGACTCGAGTTCCTTGAGCCTTCAACCCGAGAACGCCAGTCCTCGCGACAAGAGATTTTCCCCGCCCGGTGCCGGATTCTTTCGTCGTCAGAGCGAAGACCAGGGCCCCACCGGTGACAAGAAACGCAGGAGAGTAGCACCGTCACCAAAGCCGCGAGCTTCTTTAGTAACGCCAAGAACTCTCTCATTTCGAACGGTGGTCGCGAATCTTCTTCGTTCAGCACCAGTCCCTCGATCTTGGAGAGCCCGCTGGAGAAGCTAGGAAGGATGGATCCTGCTCTGAGCGTCCCGCAAGGGTCGTTTAACAACTCGGCCGGAGAATCCGCGCCTACTGCGCGCTCATCTTTCCGCGTCGGCGTCACAGAAGACAAGAACCGAAAATGCCGCCGCACCATGGAAGACACACATGCCTACTTGTACAACTTTTTAGGTACTCCGGCCCCGAACGCGGCCCCCAACACATCCAGCAACGAGACTACCCCCGGTGCTGCGAGTGCGTCACAGACCTCCGATGATTCGTCAAACGTGGTAGAAACAGACAACGGATACTTTGCCATCTTCGATGGACATGCCGGCACGTTCGCCGCCGAATGGTGCGGGAAGAAATTGCATTTGATTCTGGAAGAGATCATGCGGAGAAGTCCGAACACGCCCGTGCCCGAGCTTCTCGATCAGACATTTACCAGTGTCGACCAGCAGCTGGAGAAGTTGCCCCTCAAGAACAGCGGGTGTACGGCTGTGACTGCGGTGCTCCGTTGGGAAGACCGCATTCCCTGTTCAAGTTCAGCCACTGGATCCGCTGCTTTGGCCCCTGCAGCTGCCGCTGCGAACAAGGGAGACTCTAATTCCGAGGCCAATGAGACCCCAACTCAGGAATCTCAGTCCAGCGGATCTCTCCCCAAATTGCAGGAAAAGGCTGCCCGCCAACGCGTCCTTTACACTGCTAATGTGGGTGATGCTCGCATCGTCCTGTGCCGTAATGGGAAAGCCCTGCGTCTATCGTATGACCACAAGGGCAGTGACGAAAATGAGGGAAAGAGGATATCCAATGCTGGTGGTTTGATTCTCAACAACCGTGTGAACGGAGTGCTTGCTGTTACCCGGGCTCTCGGTGATGCCTATCTCAAGGACCTGGTGACCGGGCATCCTTATACCACAGAGACGGTCATCCAGCCTGATGCCGATGAGTTTATCATTTTGGCTTGCGACGGGGTACGTATTCATTCTTAATCTTCTTGGGTTTGTATATGCTAATGCTTTCTCATAGTTATGGGATGTCTGCAGTGACCAAGAAGCCGTTGATCTTATACGCAATGTGCAAGACGCTCAGCAGGCATCCAAGATCCTTGTTGACCATGCTCTTGCCCGCTTTAGTACTGATAATCTGTCCTGTATGGTCATCCGTCTGGACACAAATCGGGTCAGGGATGTTGTCAACAATAAGGCTGAGCCGATTGGTGTGGACGGTGATGTGACTGGCGTCTCCCACGGCGTCAGTGAAGCCGACAAGATTCTTGAGGGCGCCAGGAAAACCATGGCCAACGCTGGGATAGCAGACGACCCTGAAGCAGCCGAGCAAGCCAACGAAGCAATCCTTCAGAAGATGGCGGACGGTGAAGAATCGGGCCCGGAGATGAATGTCGACGACCAGAGTCATTTGCCTTCAGTCGATATCCTCGGCCCTTCAGAAACTCGGACGACTCCCCAATCTTCCTAAGCTCTCTTATGATATTTTTTGGCTCTATCGGATTTCACAGGAGCAGTAAGCAGATAGGACGTGCACATACTTTATTTTTTTCGTCTCCTTTTGCCACGCCGATGTTTTTCGGGCATATTGCCGACGTCGGAATTGGAAGTTTCTTCTGTCGTCCTGCTCCTGCCGACGTACATTTCACATCGGCGTCAGTTATGACCTTTCAACCTTCTTTTTTGCTTGACCCTCACTCGTGGTGCCATCAACAAGGAATTGGACCTGGCTGTCGCAGTGTCCTTGCTATCGGCATCCATCCTATCTATTTGGAACTTTTGCCCGCTCTGGGCTCATGAGATTAAGACCTCTTTATCCTTCCATTCTTACTTTGTTCTTGAATATCACTTCCCCGTATCTTGTGGCCGCGAAAGTGTATGTATCCGTGGATGTTTCGATTCACAATGTAGACCGAGATGTGCAGTAACCGTTTTACAGCATCTTGTGCTGAAGCTATAAGCGTTGCACTGGTAGATTGACATCCTGGGAATTTTTTTTTTTCACTATAGTGAATGGAATTGTCTAAAAATACAATTTTTGCAGGTGGTTCCAGTAGCTGGGCAGAACATATCAAAAAGAATACACAATCACCCATCGCCGGAGTCCAGAACCCGATGGAAGGAGGTAAGAGATATCAACAATTGCACAATCGCTCAATGCGGTCGAAGAAAGAGACAAGACTGGAAGGATGCAGAAGCAACATCATGAAGACGATAGCCGCTTACTCCTTCTTCAGCTCGTTGAACTCGTGCTCCGTAACAACTTCATCGGTGCCGTCGAGCTGTCTCTCGCGACCAATGATAGTGGTGCGCTTGAGCTCTAGCTCACCATGCTCGACGTGGCTAGGCCAAGTCGCGGCGTAATTCGCGTCATGCACATCCCGCCAAAGAAGCTTGACCTTCTCGATTGTCTCGGGGTACGCACCATCTTCCTCGGCGATTTTGACCTCCACTCCACTTCCTTCGCTTAGCTGCTGCTCAAGCGCCTCAACCCGAACGGTGTTCTTCACAGCCTGCTCGGTCTCACGCTGACGAGCCTCACGACGGCGTTGACGGGCCTTCTTGGTCAAGAATCCACGCTTTCCATCCTCAGCCAAAAGCCCGTCCGCAATTTCTTCTTGTTGGATGGCCAGGACAGCGGCAATGTCTGCCACCGACGTAGCCTTCTGGTCCATAAGAACTCGGGCACGCTCCTTCTTCTCCATCGGCTTGCCGATCCGCTTCTTGTTCAACTTGTCGAACTCCTCTGCTTCCAACGGGTTCTTTGGCCGTTTCAATTCCAGGAACTCTTTTGTCACTGTAATCATCTCGGCCGGGGAGAAAATTGGCGCTGCATTGAGAATTCTCGAAGGAGTTGGTAGGCTCGCAGGCCGAGTCGCGCATCGCCGAAGTGGACGGAGTAGTAAGGAACCCACATATCGCGGCGGATGTCGGCAGGGACGGTCTTCTTGCCGTGATAAACCATTTGACGGAGGAGGTTATTCTTCTGTGTTGGTTGTTAGGATTTTGGTCATATTGCAGAAGATCCAATTCAAGCATATAGAGGGTTTGACTGGAAGCGGGATAGAGCCCCTCTAGTGGGAGAGAACAATGTTGACTTACCTCAAGATACCGAGTCAGGGAGTAAACCACCTGCTTAGTGCGGACATTGTGATAGACGAAGATGTGCTTGCCGTGGGCGATAGAATTCAGCGCCTTCTGGAGCCGGACGGCCTCCCGCTTCATGTGCTCCTTGAATGCATTGGAGTTCGGCTCTCGGGGCTTTCCCTGAATCGGTAGACTCGGGTCGACCGGCGGCTTGCGTACAAACTTCGTCAAGGACGCGATTTTCGTTGAGTCCAGGATCTTCTGGATCGGCTTGGACGCCGTGCTGGAGGCCATTGCGGCCAGTTGCTGTGTGCGAGATCGCCGAAAAAGGATAATTGCTGAGCGGGTTCGGCGAAATCTATCGCATTGACTCCAAGCGTTGGGATTTGTCGGTGATTGACGGGAACCGTAGGGAGTGAGGATCGGAGGTGGATTTTTTGGACGGGGCAGCCGTGGTCTTGGCGCCGCCTGCTCTCCGCATCGTCTTATCAATGCCTACCTCTGCCATTGACGCGCTGATCCTTTGGTTGCGGTTTCTTTGCAAATAATGAATACGAAGGCCAGGTAATTGCGCAGCTGCTACTTATTCGGTTCCGATCTGGCCGCCACTACACGCAGGATGGAAGGCTCAGGCCGCGTGGACGTGGCCACGGAGCACGATGCAGGCTCGCGCAGGGAGCGGCCATGGCTGTATGCGTCGGTAGGTTCAATGTCCTGAGGTCCAGGCATGATACTGACAAGCTCTAGAATCGGAAGCTTCGACATCTCCATGGAATATCCGTTCGTAATCTCATGGTCACTGCACCCCCAACACGAGGCCGAGGCAAGACGATTGATGACGATGATATCCCCAACGCCTTGAAGTCGCCCGCCAAAATTATGGCGCAGAATGAGAGTCGCTCAATTCATCCTTCGAGGTCCTTTACAGATCTCAAATCGCGCGCGACTCAAGAGAATCATGAGGATAAGAGGGCCGACAGGCTGCAGTCGCGACGTCGAAGTACTATGTTTTGGAACGATCCCAACCCCCGAACAAGGCAGATCAGACTGGAGGATATTACGAAAAATCGCATGGCAGATACATTCTTCTCAATCCATTGCGAGGGTATCGATGAACCGATTTACATTAGCGAAGTGGTCGACAAGGCGACCAATCCCAACTTTCGATCCTTTGACCTGAATTCCTTGGGACCCTTGGTCTCTCGGAGGGACTCTTTGACTGTCAAGCTGTGGGTAAAGACTGAGGATTTACCGGAATATGTGCTACTTGTTGAATTGCAATTGAACCTACGGTCGTTGCAGTTCGTGGGAAGGACGATTGAGAGCTTTCATCAACCACTTCCGACTAATTGCGTCCTGTTTCACTTTTCAGACGGAGTCTATACAAATCTGACAGATTTTTCGTCGATCGAGCCGCCTCTCAACGGCTCAGGGCAGCGGGTCAATGCTGATGGAATCACACTACCCACCTCATCTTATGATGCATTGATGCGGTTGGCCAATCTGGATGAATGCATTCAGGATGCTCTGGCAACTCGAGAGAGATTGGAAGCGCAGATTGGTGACATTCTGAAACGTAACGAAGACGCTCTGGAGACAGAATCCAGTGCTGGCCAAGCAGGAGATCGCCTTTCATCTATCAAGCAAGCTGTTCTGGCCGAGCGAAGGCAGATCAGGGCCAGTAATAAGCGAAAGGAAGAGCTTGTTGCGAGTATCAAGGCTCGGAAAGAAGCTATGGAGCAGGGTCGACTCATGCAAGAAAAGGCCCGAAGCCATCTTCCGGACGCTCAAGAAAAGCTGGTTGCTAGTGAAAAACTGCTTCATCAGAATTCAGAAGATACGAAGGGCCAGATAAGTCGCATTGCAGAGGACTTGTCGTCCATCTACCCCATCGAGCCCATCCCCGACAAATCACTTGCCTTCACCATCTGTGGACTCCCTCTTCCCAACTCCAACTTCGAGGGCATTGATCGCGAAGTAGTTGCAGCGGCACTGGGATACACTGCTCATCTAGTATATCTGCTTTCTTTCTATATGTCGGCAGTCATACCCTATCCAATTAACCCAAACCAGTCGACTTCCTTAATTCAGGACCCCGTGTTCCAGGACCTCCCACAGCGCACATTTCCCCTTTACCCAGGTAGTGTTCAATACCGCTTCGAGTACGGTGTCTTTCTTCTAAACAAAGACATTGAATTTCTCCTCAACAAGACGGGTATTCGCGGCTTGGATATTCGCCACACCCTCCCCAATCTGAAATATCTCCTTTACATTCTCACGGCTGGCGTGTCTGCGATTCCAGCACGCAAAGCCGGAGGGATTCGCGGACTTCTCTCTGGGCGCCTGACGCCCAATTTGTCTCGCCGTGGTAGTATGGATAGCGCTGTCTCTGGCGAATTGGTCCAGCCCCGCAAGGCTTGGGATCTGATAGCCAGGATGAATGGACATGCCTTGGATAGCACACCAAAGACGACGAACACGCCACTGTCATCTCGTGTGGCTTAGTGACTGTGTACCGGATAGATCATCATATTTCCTCCTTTGTTCTGCTCTGATTATCGTTCTGGGCTTTTGTGCCAGGCGGATGCATTGATTGTACCGTAAAAGGCGCACAATGCATGGCAAATTGCATGAGCGAATGGGGTTCTTGCCATTTCAGGATACAATAGAATCTGAATAATCTGTCAATGAAATGTTGCCGGAGTTGTGCAGGTCTTCTATATGTTTAGGAAAATTATCATAAGGCCTGACCCGGGGGGGGGGGGGAATGTCCCATGTCAGACGTCCACCCTAATGTTATATATAAAGCGAATCTGGACACACTTGAGGCATTATATTATCACGAGGATCCGCAGATAAGCTTCTCAGCCCACTATCTAGGTAAAAAGATCTTGAGGATATTCCAATTACCTGCATGGATCATAATAAGCGAATCCATAGAGCGAGGACGATGTAACTCTTTTCAGTTTTCGCTACCCCGCAAGACGATTTTGTTATACAATCGAAATTGATGGCTGGCCAAGGTCTCTTTGAAACCTTCCCATCGGCTCCACGCGACCTTTTTCACGATAGACGTTTACAAGCTAGTTTCGATTATTGACACATTTACTCTCGTAAATAATATCTTTCCCCGTCCTCGTTCACCTGGGCGCTCCAGGGCTCTGTTGTCCTTGTCCCGCGTCGCCCAATCGGTCGGCAGTCATACTAAACCCCCCACCGCCTTCCAGCTTATCTTCGCTTTGCATCGGCTTCCCCAGCGTCACGCACTCCACCAACCGAGAGGTGCTTTTTCACCATGGGCGACACCAATAGCACGGGCCAGGATTCCGGCAAGTCATTGTCTCCTGCCCCGCAGCATAGGCGCGGCTATCAGGCATGCGATCCATGTCGCAAGCGAAAGGTCAAATGTGATCTAGGCAGTACGGCGATCCCCCTCCAGCTCTTAACAATGTAGCTGACTGATCAGGTGTTGATAACCCTCGTCCCCCACCATGTGTGCGATGTCGGCGTGAGAGTAAACTGTGCGAATTTTCGGCCACCAGGCGTAAGCGCAAGGCTTCCGATGCCACTGAGGATGCTGAGGCCGCCGAGGTTCTTCGCCGCGACAAGCGGATGATGACCGGGGAGGCACCCACCAAAAAGGAATTACCTGAAGGATCACCCTTTCCTCCCTCAGAGCCCTCCCTTGATACCGAAGCCTTTCGTGCTCGCCAGAGATGGTCCGAGACCACCCCCGCCCAGGCTCCAGTCAGCCAGCGATATACCCCGAGTGCGCCGACTGCTTCCCCGGCCAGGCAATTCTTAGAATCGAGGAATCCTCGTGTGCCGACATATCCAACAGGCGATCGTCCCTTGGTGTCTGGGTACGGTGGACAGCCTATGATGAATCGGACTGCCGTGGAGCTGTTGTCACCTGCCATCACCAATACCCATGATGCTTTACATCTTCTCTCTGAAGCAGCGGGCAGGACCGAAGACTTGAATCGCTTTGCTGCACGACAGTCTGTCTCCTCGTTCAACTCAGGTCCTTCACCTTTGGCGCATGGAAACTCCCCAGCAGGTTCCTTCTCGCGAACCCCTCGATCGGGCATCTCACTTGGTGGAAATACTTATTTCCAAGGTGGTGGCCCCGGCATTGCAGATCCTCAGATTTCTGATAATAATGGCCAACAAGAGGAGTCGGTAAATACGCAAGACCCTGGATATCTTGACGCTATTCGAGCATGGTCTCGATTGCGATTTGTCCGTGCGGGCTGGATGACGGTGGAAGAGGGCATGGAGTATGTGGCATACTACTATGAGAACCTTGCACCAATGAGCCCCGTAGTGACACCAGACTATTCCCACCCGGCTACACATCGAACGTTGCTTACCGACGAGCCGGTACTTGCGGTGACCATTCTCACAATTGCTTCTCGCCATCTGAAACCCCAGGGCGATGGTGCTAGCACAAGAGCATTCTATATTCACGACCGTCTTTGGTCCTACCTGCGCGGTATGATCGAGCGCCTCTTCTGGGGCCAAGAGAAATTCGATGCTGGAGGACCAGGTATCGGACGGCCTCGCGGCCTTGATCTGGGGGCGAATTCAGGAAAGTCATTCGCCAAAGGAAACTTGAGAGCTTTAGGTACCGTGGAAGCGCTATTGATCTTGACGGACTGGCACCCCCGGAATCTTCACTTTCCTCCTGGTGATGACGAAAACACACTTCTAGACAGGGAAGCTCAATCTCAAAGTCGAGCCGAAAAAGATGTCGACACTGAAAGCCAGACCAAGGGACAGAATAGCTCCGCTGAGGGCCGGGTTGCTTTCCAGAAATGGTTGGAGCCGGCCTGGAGATCAGATCGGATGTCATGGATGCTTTTGAGCACGGCACAAGCTCTGGCCTTTGAACTTGGTGTTTTCGATCACAAAAGCGATTCAAAAGGTGCACTTGAGTCACTCCCTGAACAGGCCAGGAAGCGTCGGTTGCGGCGGTTGATTCTTGTTTTCATCACGCACAGCAGTGGTCGACTCGGGATTCCATCGATGCTGCCGCTGCCAGAATGGGCGCAAGACATGCCCCCAGCAACAGCAGGTCTCCAAAGCGATCGGCCGGATCTTGATCAGATGCAAGATTGCTGGATGGAAATCTCACAAATTGTGTATGATGCCAATCACCAGCTGTTTGCCTCAAGCGAGCAAACTTCGGAGTTAATCAAGAGTGGGCGATACCGTGAGCAAATCGATTGGTTTCAGCCTCAACTACGAGCGTTCAGACAACATCTGGATCGCGTTAACCGTGAGTGCGACATTTAGTTTGTTTGATCCGGAAGACTAATGGTCTACAGTCACCCCAGCCATGCGCAGCATTCTTATGATCGAATACGAGTACACAAGTGAGTTGACACTCCATTGGGCCGCAAGCGAGCGTTGTTGGCTAATGTAATATAGGACTATATGTCAACTCGCTTGCTCTTCAAGCAGTTGTCGACCGCTGGACAACCATGTCCAACGAATCTTCCCACGTACAGCCTGGACGGCCGGGTTCGGGACCAACATCAGGCAGCAGCGGGTGGTTCCGGACCCTGATGGAGCTTTATCGCGTTAATGAGCACTACATCCAAGAAGTTGTGGATTCCTCTCGGCGGATTCTGCAAACGGTTTTGGAAGGACTCGTCCCTGGAGGCCGTCTCAGACATGCACCCATCCGAACTTTCTTCCGTATCTTGTCCGGAATGATCTTCATCCTGAAGGTAACTTTCCATATCGCCGGTGGCAAGGAAAAGTTAACTAACATCTCCTGATAGACTTTTACCCTCGGCGCTCGAGAAGACGACGTACGGATCTCTCTGGACCTACAGGACCGGACGGTGGAGGCACTGCGGACTTTTGTTGTTGATGACGTGCACATCAGTAACACCGTTGCTCGATTGTTGGAACTACTCACAAGCAGTATTCGTACGCGGTTCCTACGTTTTGCACCACACGACCGCGGAGGAGATGGCGAAGGCGCGGATCGCTCATCAGCGCCGGTTTCTCGAGCTCAGTCTCCACCGCGCGAGAGCGTGGCAGGTCGTCGAGACGGCTCGCATGCACCCTGGTCCTCGGCTCAAGGCCACGATGCAACTCCAAGCGGAGGTGGATTGGGTTATGTGGAGAGCAACGGGAATCCGTCAGGGCCGATCGGGTCGGCCCATGATCCTTTGGCCAATATTCCTGCGCAGCAGATCAACTCGTCCAACCTGGGTGTATCTTTCATGCCGCCGCCTCCCTCCGTCTACTACAACTACTACGACTCGAATTCGACCATGCCTTCCGACGATATGGGACGGTCTTCACCAAACCACGTCGTCTCTCACAATACTGGAGACAGCAATGGCGCAAATGCCACCCCTGGCGGGTTGCCGGACTGGTTTGCCCTGCCGCTGGACCAATTCTTCAACAGCTCCACTGGAGTGGTTGACCAAGGTCTAAGGTGGAACCGGACCCATGTTAGGCGAGTTTGACATGTTGGAAGTTCTTCTGAATGAGGGCTATGACGGCAACGCCAACGGCGAAGGCGAGTCCGGGGGCGGGACACTCACATCCCAATTCCTGTGAACCCTGCCTGCCTAGCCATTGCCTATAACGCGACACGTATTTTCCTTTTTACTTTCCATTTTCACCCGCTTCAACTATTATACCCCTGCGGGATCTCCTGCTTGGCGTCCTTTTCTGTGAATTGTGCAAGCGTGAGCTGCAATTCGGCGTTAATAATTTGGTTGAAACAAGCTAAAAAGACCTGCTCTTCTGCGCTTTGATCCTCACGTGCGGAATATGGACTATGTTCTGTTTGTTTTGCGTCTCTTCCTTCTATTAGGCTTCTAGACTAACGGTCCGCTCGGTCTCCGTCGGTCTCATGGGCGGGGCCCTAGTTTCATTGCCGGTCAAGGAAATCTCACATGCTTAGTTTTGACTTAGGCTCCAGCCTTGTCGATGAACGCTTGCGGGATGGCTTAGCTTTATTTTGTGTCTCGGATTTCCGAGGTCTGATGACGATGAGACTATGGTGGGCTCAGTTTGCGCGAGATAGATTGAATGAGAAGGGCGGTTGAGCCTCTCCGGCTACTATCGGATAATTCGCAGACCCATGTGCCCAGATTGTTTGTCGGATCAGGTTCACGATTCTTATACCCCTCGAAGAGGCCACTATGCACTATGCATTGACGAACTTCCAATGCAGAGAGCATCGAAGAGCCCGACCGATGTCGGAGAATCCCAGCATCATATTTCCCGCATTCGTAGCCGGTAGTCGCACACCTTCCAGGTTTGCTACATTTTGCAATTCGATTCGCAGTTTGTCTATGCACGAGGTTTAACCCAACGGATCTATCAAAGCGTTTTCGATGATCTGTCTCGTGCATTACCCAACCGGGTTATTGCGGTAGTCTAAACATGAGGACGATCGGCGCAAAGAATCTCACAGCCTGGACCCTGGGTGTGTCGATAAGCATAGTAAGGGATCATTCGGATATGAACCACCGACCAACGTCACATCGTCTCTGAGGATTGGCAAGTGTCTCCGTGTCAAATGCAGGGTCCAGCAGGGTCCAGCAGAGCCGATCGAATGGCAGACTCGAACAGGCGTTTCATATTGCGAGGCGAACAGAACGGAAATGACCCTTACATTAATCACCGCTGTCAAGGACCCCATGGGCCGATAGGTGCTCTCACGCGGATACATGATCTCAGGGGCATTGTCGAGCATCTACAGTATCTGGAGCGTGGAAGATGACAAGGCACACGGGGTTCTAGACGACTGCCTCGCCAGTGGAACTGACGTTCCAATGAGAGCGGCGGATGAACAACTTCCACGATGCGCTAAAAACGCCAAAGTGCGCGATGTGACCCTGATTGGAGGCAAAAAGTCTACAGCTGCCCGATTGCGACAGGGATTGGCCTCCAGATAACGATGATCGTCAGGGCCTTTAGCTTCTCCGCCTCAACTTCCCTTCATCTCTTGCGTCCTACGATCCCACTCGACCAAATCATGTCGTTCCGTCTTCTATCTTCAAGACTCAATTCCCCACATATACAGGGTTCTCACTCTCCGGCCGAATGGTGATCGTCGGGTCTCCGCCGAATGGGTATCGAGCTTCCTACTTCGCTCGTGTGGACTTGGTCGGACATCTCCGTTCTGGCACAATCGTCGCTTGTCACAACCCAAGCCTCTGCCTCGCCCGCGATCATGGACCATCACGCCCCGCCTCCCATACCTTGCTACCAGGGCCCTCGACCCCTTGACTTAACGAGATGCCGTTCCGTCGTCTCAGGGGCTCGCCCCTCCCAGGCTCCATCCCAGCAAGTCCGTTGTGTCCATCTGGCTGGCCGATGGACTCCGTGACGATCTCGAAGTTCATGCTGCAGGTACTGGATCGGCACCACTGGCTAACCGGATGAGGGATGACTCCTCCTCCAGGTAACTCTCGATAGGTGCCGTTTGGGATGCTTTGCTTGATTCATGTAGATCAGGATCCACAGTGAACCAATTCCGTGCTTGGGCTATAAAGATGCCTCTATCGCCGGCGTGGTCTTGGATGTCTCCAGTCCGCACAATTCTCATCTTCTCGCTTCATTCTTTAAAGTCATTCTTTACTCTCTTCTTTTCAACATGGTCGTCTTCAGCAAGATCACGGCTACTCTGGCCTGTCTCTCCGTCGCTTCGGCTGTGCCGATGGGCGGTGCGCGCAAGAGCAGCTTCACCGTCAACCAACTGGCTCGTCCTGCTACCGGCGCTAAGACTCTCAACTTGCCCGCCATGTACGCCAATTCTTTGACCAAGTACGGTGCCTCCGTCCCCGCCGTCGTTAAGGCTGCTGCCGAAAGCGGCTCGGCGGTCACTACCCCTGAGAACGACGACGAAGAGTATCTGACTCCTGTCAACGTCGGTGGCACTACTCTGAACCTAGACTTTGATACTGGTTCGGCCGATCTGTAAGTTAAACACCGAAATAGCCGTCTATGCAGATGTTTGGCGTCTGACATATTCATAGTTGGGTCTTCTCTTCTGAGCTGCCCGCTTCTGAGCAGGCTGGCCACAGTATCTACAAGCCCGGCGCCAACGGCACCAAGCTTGCTGGTGCCACCTGGCAGATCCAGTACGGTGACCAGAGCTCCGCGAGCGGTGATGTCTACAAAGATACCGTCACCGTTGGCGGCGTCAAGGCCACCGGCCAGGCCGTCGAAGCTGCCTCCAAGATCAGCCAGCAATTCGTCAACGACAAGAACAATGACGGTCTGCTTGGCCTGGCCTTCAGCTCCATCAACACCGTCAAGCCCCAGGCTCAGACCACCTTCTTTGACACCGTCAAGTCGCAACTTGACTCCCCTCTCTTCGCCGTCACCCTGAAGCACAACGCCCCAGGTACCTACGACTTCGGCTTCCTCGATAAGTCCAAGTACACCGGCTCAATCACCTATACCGACGTCGACAGCTCCCAGGGCTTCTGGATGTTCACCGCCGATGGTTACAAGATTGGCAGCACCTCCGGTAGCTCCATTCAGGGTATTGCTGACACCGGCACCACCCTGATGATGCTGCCCGACGACGTCGTCTCCGCCTACTACCAGCAGGTCTCCGGTGCTCAGCAGGACTCATCTGCAGGTGGCTATACCGTTCCCTGCTCCGCCACCCTGCCTGATTTCACTGTTACCATTGGCAGCTACGACGCCGTCGTCTCCGGCGACTTGATCAACTACGCCCCTCTGACCGCAGGTAGCTCCACTTGCTTCGGCGGTATCCAGAGTAACTCGGGTCTGAGCTTCTCTATCTTCGGCGACATCTTCCTGAAGAGCCAATATGCCGTTTTTGACTCCAATGGTCCCCGTCTTGGTTTCGCCCCTCAGGCTTAATTCATTCAATCTCTAAGCCGAGCCCCCTTTCTTGTCTGTGTAGGCATCGTGTTATGCTGCAGAGGGATTAGGTATGTATATGAGTAGATGAGAGCTGGCTAGCGGGCTAGCTTGGATTGGTTTTGGAGGATCAGGTTCAATGTTTGACCGTGGCTTGAGTCTTGACGCGACTGGGCTTGTACATGTGTCTTTTATAATGCTTGCAGCACATAACATCCAAAGCATTGGTACAAATCTTTATTGCCGAATGTAGAAAAGGGTTGTAGAACTGGTATTTATATCCAGGCGGTTCTGGACTAAGTCCAGAGCGACATTATCCCAGAGATCTGAAGACTGATCTTTGAACACAAAATCTTAAAGGCCTTGGCAATATTGAAGTGTTGTGTTGGTCACCGAATAGGCCTTGAGGAATCGGTCCTTCGAAGGTTTGAAATACCTAGCATTGCGTATCCAGAAGTTTCAAAATTACCGAGTCTTGAAAGTTTATGAAACCCTATGCGTGCATGTTCGTAGTTCTTCATGGGTCGCTGGATACGGCGGCCGATCCTTGGAAAGTAGCGCAAAGAATGTGAAAAGAGTCTAGACGAACCCCATGTGTGGGGGTGAAGAATGCCGGGAAAGTGGACCATCCTGACCACCGGTGGCGGATCATCTCGACCCGCCAATTTCCAGACTCTTCCGCCAAGTACACTCACCCCGTGCCTCTGAAGATTTACCGGGACTGGAGTCTATACACTTGTTACACCGGCCTCCACGATACCAAGGAGAGACGGTTCGACCCTCGCCTCGTCACCGCCATCTCGCTCCTGCGGTTCCACCTCCTTTCAATCCGCCTCCACAGAATGACCATCTAATCGGCCGCGCCCTTGTGTGCAAAGAATTTGGAAGGAGGACTGGTGAACTGTTCCATATGCCACGGCCGGCCACTCGAGCCGCCTGCACTATCTGATCATGGAAGATGCGCCTCGTGTGACTCCCCGCCAGATCTGGGCGAACCCGGCGACGACCACGACCAAGACCTATTCGTCTGGATGCACCCCGTTCATCTTACCTAGCAATGGTATGTTCCGGTTCGAGTCTTCATTCTACCGATCTCGACGTCAATCCTCAGGCTTTGGCACTCCTACTAACCCAAGCTTCGTGGCATCTTGTAGGGGTTATACATGTCAACAATTCTTACGCTTTTACCATCACCGATAATGCCGTCTTTGAACCGGTCTGCACTGGCGATCCGATGGACTATACCCATGTATCGGCGGTCCTCGATACCCGTGATCCGTTCTATTCCTCCGTCACCCCCCCAGCTATACGCGATTGGCTGCGCAACTGTTGTCAGCTATGTCCTCGTTATAATTCTCCTGATCACTCCCCGAACCTTCTTCATTGGTGGCCCCGGCGGCGGCGCAAACTTCCTCGGAAGACATGGCATGATCAGTGGTTCATATAGTGGGAATTCGTCGGTCGTCGGAGTTGGAGGTCGGCCATGGCTGCAGAAAGTAGCGGCAATTCTCGTTGCGATATCTCTAACTATCGCCACGGTGGACTCTTTCAAAGTTGCTGAGCTGCAGTACACATATGGTTACTCGGATGCCGAGGCCCTATCGGAAGAAGTGATCGATGGGACAGAGATTCGTATCGTTCGCGTGATCTCAAGTACATTCGTCTGGCTGGCGCAAGTCCAGACCTTGATTCGACTATTCCCCCGACATAAGGAGAAAGTGATGATCAAGTGGGCCGGGTTTGCGCTGATTGTGCTAGACACAACGTTCAGTATTTTGGAGAATTTCTATGTCAAGAATACATCTCCACGACCCCGGCTATACGATGATGCGATTCCCGCACTCAGCTACTTGTTTGAGCTGGCGCTCAATCTCTTATATGCCGCATGGGTCATTTTCTATTCGATTTCGAAACATCGCTATGCCTTTTTTCACCCGAAGATGCGCAATATCTGTTTTGTTGCTCTTTTGTCATTATGTGCGATTTTGATACCGGTGGTTTTCTTCGTCATGGATATCGCACGCCCTGAAATCGCTGGTTGGGGTACCTATATCCGATGGGTTGGTTCCGCCGCCGCGAGTGTGGTGGTGTGGGAATGGGTAGAGCGTATAGAAGCGCTTGAACGTGACGAGACGAAAGATGGAATCCTTGGTAGAGAGGTCTTTGACGGGGATGAGATGCTTGAAGTGACTCCGTCCGAGGAGGTTGATTGGCCTCGTTACGGCCCAAGAAACGACAAGGGAGGTGGAGGTGGTGCAGCTTCGGGTTGGGGTGGCATGATAGGGTTGGCCCATCGTCCTCTGCGAACTCGCGTTGGCATCCGTGGAACCCGGAATCGGGGTGTCCCAGCCAATGTGCCAAATTCCAACAATCCTGCAGCTCCTCGGAACCCGAACAACCCTCACCCTACTCCACCTCCAGCAACCTCAACACCGGTCAGCCGCGCGGACACCACTAGCGCTGCGAGCACGGTATATAATGTTCACTATCATCCAGTCGCCAGCCCAACACCGCCCGTGGCGATGCCACAGATGGAAGAAGAAGACGAGTTCGAGGAGGGCAAGGAAATTGAGATTGAGGGAGATTGGGAACCACAGGTTGCGAAAAATCTGGCCCCCGAAGAAGCCAGAGAACAGTCACCGCACATTGCTCCTGCTGATCCGCGCTGGCGCAATCTCATCAACCATTTCAAACGAAGACGCGCATCCCTTCCCCGAGAGGTGGCCTTCGCCCAAGCCGTCGAAGAAACTGCACCAGGAAGCGAAGGCTACTCATCTGATGACAATCCAGATGCGCAAACCTCGCAGGCAAGAAACAACACGTCCTTTTTCAACGGCAAAGGGCTCTCCAGCGCCGGCCAGCAAAATGTCAACGCAACCTTACCGGTCACCGTCATCCCAGCCCGACGCCGCGGCCAGCACACCTGGTCTCCTCAGAATCATCTCCTGGAACCATCCTCGCCACGTGAGCCCCAGCCCCCGCCCCGTCCTGGTCGCTCTGATCTGCCTGTACGGGTCATTCCATCCCAGCCACAAGCCTCGGCCCCCTGGACCGATGCAGACATGGAGCACGGCGGCAACTACGTCTTGCGCTACGATCCGGAGACAGCGGAATTGATCGACGAAGACGTCAGTCAGGTTCGAGACCGCGATGCCTCCGGTGACCATATAAGCTGGACGGAGTCGACAATCTCAGAGAGCAATGATGCCGGTCGTGCTCAAGGCGCAGAGCCCCGACCTGGTCATGGGAATGAATAGTCTTAATTGGTGACTGGCATGAGTGGTGTTTATATTCCTGATTTGGCTAATTTCGTATGCACATGTGGGATGAGGAGTCGACGTAAGTGGTTTATTGGATTGGGCTTTGCATAGCATGTTGGGATATATATTTCCCGTAGATACCCTGGGATCTTTTTTAATTTTCGGAGCTTGGATCTTTTAATCTATGAATTCATTACAATCGGACTATTGTACTTAGGATAGCCCAAAATAGTGCTGACTCCACGTGAAGACGTCACTGCCCTTTTGAGGATCTACGAGTGGAGTGCCAAACTTTTCAGGGAAACTTCAACGTCGATCGAGCACCACATGATTTGATCTCTCGCACATTACAGCATATCATCTCCAGACTTCGCATTAGATTCGCAACGAACGCATAATTTTGAAGCAGACGGACGCTGACTGGCTCGAGTGGAGACGGCTCCGCTCATTCTCGGGAACTTTTTGCTCCGGAAGTTGCATCTTCCCCATGTTCTACCTGGAAGCTTCGTTCACGTTATGAAGGATGTCGCAACATGGCGGCCATCAATCGGAATATGTTTGAGGCCGGCATCACCACGGACTTGCCCCGTGGTGCTTCGTTGATGGTTCTGCCGCTGAACTTGATCGCCCAGATTGTGACGAATGTTAGATCCCTTCAGCTACGTGAAAGCTACACCACTAACTCTAGCGATCGCAGGTCGACGACACCGCCGACCTGGCCCGATTATGCCGAACATGTCGCGTCCTCAATTACATGGCCCTCCCACAACTATATACCAGCTTAACCCTGACCTCCTACGACAAAATTCGATATCGTGGCGAGCAACCGGAGGGCAGCGGCAGCGCCAGCCCCTTCACAATGGGGCTCAATGCGGTCATAACCCGGCCTTATGCGACTCTTGTACGATCAATCACCCTGCGCGGCGACTGGAAAGAAAGTGACTTAGAGGAACACGCGCAAGTGGGTCGAGTACCGGACTCGTCTATGCTGCTGAATATTGCGGTGCGAGCAGCGGTGGATCGCATGACCCATTTGGAGAGCTTCAGTTGGGAACTCAATACGAAGATGCTGGAGACTGTATATACTGGGTTGACCCAGCTCCCCCGACTCAAATCGTTGACGATCCGCTTCCCCTCCTCCCGCCATCCACAGCCCACATTCGTGCTTCCAGGCATGCCGCACCTGCAGTGCCTCAAAATCACCGATATCGACCCTCTCTGTTATCCCGATGACATTGCGACCATGTTGCTGAAGAGCAAGAAGCTCCGCGAACTGAAACTACACTGGTCACCCCGCATGCGAAGTGCGCAGGAACCCAGTGTCTCTCTACACGATTATTTCCGGAAATGTATAGCCGCCAAACAACCTCTCCCGGTGAGAAAGCTGTGTTTCCAAAATCTGTATGCATTCCACAGTGAGGATTTTAATATCGCATTTGATCCCACGACTGTCGAAGAGGTCGTCTTTCTGAGTGGGACGGACAGCCTGGGATTGGTCAACACATTTGTCGAGAACAGCTGGCCGACAGTAGTGCCGCATAAAAAGCTCAAGATCAAGTCCATGCGAATGGATGCAATTTCAAAACGCAACTCGGAATTTCTCGGCAACTTCAGAGGCCTTGAGCGGTTATATTTTGTTAACGTCACCGCGGATTCGCCTGACTGCCGTAATTCACCTCGGCCGCATGCAGGGTCAAATCCTGCTGCCCTCACACCTCCGGTCTCGGACTATCCGAACGGGACAGCAGTCAACTCCCCCACTACAGCAGCCTCGCCGGCCAGCCAACTGAACATGGCGCTTGCTGTACGCGATAGTTACTTGGCTAACATCACAATGAACCATGGCGCAAGCTTGCGCCATCTACTTCTCTCCTCGAAATGGCCTCTCTCCACCGCCATGATAGCTCGCCTCGTCCATAGTTGCCCGAATCTGGAACAATTGGCCCTTGCAACGGAATTCTCAAGCATGGATTCCCTCGGGTTGTTAGTGCCATTCCTTCGAAATCTAGTGGCGCTCCGGCTTTTGATCCCAGCGGGCTCGCCGCCACCTCAACACGGCTCGACGGGCAATAACGCACCTCGGGTCCAACCAGCAACCGCTGCAGAGAAACCGTCCAGGAAAAATAAAAGATCTCAGCAGGCCGGAAGGATCTTTCGCATGGTTCAAAGAAATCGAGGAAATAATGCTCAATGCGCATAGTCTACTTGATTTGGTTGAGCTGGATGACGAGCTCCTCATGAAATTAATGAGCTATGATCTCGCAGATAAAAACGTCTTCGGAAATGTCAAGCTTGTCGGAATGGGCTGGAAGGTCTTCGAGTTGCGGGATTTCTACAAAGCACCCATTGAATCTCGCGAGGAGCCTGTCACACAATCACCGGCTGTTGGCCGTACCGAGTCCGAAGTCGAAATTCCGACTCACGGAACCAACGGCTTGAATGGTGATTTGAGCACACCGAGACAGGCTGATGATTCGAAACCCACAACTCCCATTCTTCCAACAAACGGCCTTGATACTGCCCGCGTATCACAATCAGCCTCGGTTTCTTCGTGGTCAACGCCAGGTCCCAACCCAACATCGACGTTGGGGAAACGGAATAGGGACGACGATGACAACGGCACACGACAATCACCCTCTGATCTCCAGGAGGGGACCAACACCCGATCACCAAATTTCATCAAAAGTGGCTGCTTCCCACCTATCATCACTGAAGACGGCCAAGTCATAAGGCGAGCTATGCGGCGGGTTGGTTGGGAAATCCTTCAACACTGGGAGATTTGGGCGTTGGATGCGCAGGAGATATGAACATGCACCTTTCTGTTTCTCCGCTCGGTACATACAATGAGGACTAGACAAAGCCACAGCGATATAACGGGAGTAAGGATGGTTCAATTATTCGACGTTAGCGGGAGTAGTGTATTTTGGATTATCGTGAGCGGGATCTGCTATTTTTGCAGACTTGATGTGATCCACGTAATATTATTTTCAATGAATTCTGACCAGAATATCGTAAAGATACCAGACTGGAACGTCATGATCATTTCCCATGTACGTCATGTACTTTGTTTACACTCAGTACTTTATGCACTTTGCAGTTCGATCTACGAGCCATCAATCATTGTGAAAAGCCAAGGCGGTGACAAGAGAAGAAAGTGCCGATCTGCCAATGAAAATTCATAAAAAGGGGACCGATCAGCATTTGGGGTCAAACCGGTTTCCTGATCGGGGAACCCCTCGGTCCTGTCAAGTCTGTCATCGTCGATACTGACAGTATTGCCCCATCTTTCTGAAGTCAGAAGATGGCAATAGAAATTGGAGTGACGCCCCGTGAAAGTAGGCTCGACTCGGAGAAAGACAGAATCCGCGATCTTTCAAGGTGCGGCTTTTCTGACTCAAAGCTCATTGCTCTCACTGATCAGTGGTTCTTACTGTTTAGATACTATTGTACATTTGATCAAGATGCGCGGTCAACTGACAGTCCTCGTCTCTCTCCTGACTCTACACTGACTGCGCTAACACAACTGGGCGTCTATCGTTTCGGCTGTAACCGATCTTTTGTCTCCATCATTGACGGAGAACAGCAACATCTGATCTCAGAAGCAACTGCTTCGATCTCTTTACGCAAGGAAGATGATCATCTTCCAGATGATGGCATCTATCTCGGTGTGCGAACGCTTGATCTCGAATGGGGTGTTTGTCCACACGCCATCCGTCTTTTCACCGGACAGGATCCCTCACGGGTAACAGACACAGAAAACATCACGGCAAATCGAACCCGTAATATCATCCGTGACTTTACCAAGGAAGACTTTTACAACAACCGCCCTTACGTCCTGGATTGGCCTTACTTCCGTTTCTACGCTGAAGTACCTATATACAGTCCCTCCGGATATGTTCTGGGCTCTTATTGTGTCGTGGACAACAAACCGCGTACAGACTTTAGCGACAAGGAGGTGGATGCTCTTCAAGACATTGCAGATGCCATATCTCAACATCTCGAGAACGTTCGTGTGGTCCATTATCACCGACGCGCGGAGAATTTGGTGAAAGGCTTGACCAATTTCGTCAAAGGGCATACAGAATCCGACTCGCCAGATTATTTTACCCAACTTGCCTCTCCGGAGACGCTGAACTTCCACAACCTGAACTTTTCAGATAAAGATATTCGAACGAAGGAGCCAAACGCATCACCATTGCTCCCAACGAGTATGTCCCTCAGCAATCAGTCAGTCTTGGATCGATCATCTTCAATCACCCAAGACGAGGGAGCATATTCTCTGTTCTCAGAAGCGAAAGGGTCGGACGAGACACTGCCTACTACCCAACCATCATCGCTTGCCCCGGGTACACCGGAATCGACAGACCCTACGCGTCTTGACGAGTACTTCCCGGAACCAGCGACAGACGACATGCCTCTTGCAGAACGGGTGGCTGCAATTTTTACCCGTGCTAGCAGCCTCCTCAGAGCATCAATGGATGTGGACGGGGTTACTTTCTTTGATGCACGTCAAAGTGATTCTCAATTGTACGTATTATTCTCTTCCCAACTCGAATCATTTCTAAGCATAAAACAGTGACCCCTGGGATGAGGGAAATTCAAAGCTGTCCTCCAAATACGGGGATCCCGGCCCTGTGATTGACGCACGGCCTTGGACCCTTGACCTTTCCACCAAGAAATCTCCCAATTCAGGAGATTTGTGTCGTTTCTTGGACCATGATTTGGACGTGTCATTTACTAAGCGTCCTGACACAGACTCGAGGCCCGTACTATCGGAAGACGCTCTCCGTGAATTGATCAAAACTTACCCCGGCGGACACATATTCAACATGGATGATGAATCACGTTCAACAGATAACACGCAAAAAGAGGTGTCTCGCCACCTCGCCCAGAGTCTACCGCTAGCAAAGTCAGTACTGTTTATCCCATTGTGGGACTGGAACAAATCACACTGGCTAGCAGGAACGGTAGTCTGGACAAAGAATAGTCACCGTCCTTTAGGCATGGACGAATTGCATTATTTCAAAGTTTTCGGCGATTCCATTATATCCGAAATATCTCGGGTGCACTGGAGAGCAACTGAGAGGTCAAAATTTGACTTCGTATCATCTATCAGCCACGAACTTCGCTCTCCCCTGCATGGCATACTTGGAAGCACCGAGTTAATCCAGTCTACGCCACTTCAGCCATACCAGCATAATATGGCCAAGATGATAGAAAAATCAGGCTTGACTCTACTTGACACAATAGATCATCTGTGAGCTTTTCCCATATCACGACAAAGTTCTTAGTTAACTCGTTGCAAGGCTGGAATACTGCAAGATCAATGATTTGGCGATCACGAACAACTCAGGAAGCAACAAACGCCAGAACGACACATCCAGTCCTGGTTCAGACTTCGACCTGGGATCATTAGTCGAACAAGTGACAACCGTCCTTTGCGCTGGCCAAATCCCCCGATATGCCACCTTCCTGACTAGCACTGACAGTGAATATCAAAATTTCTACAGCAGTGACGATTCTTCAGTGGTCGTACGAATCGAGAAGCTTGATTCGTGGATGGTGAGATCGGCTTCGGGGCCATGGAGAAGGATTCTGATGAACATCATCGGCAACGCAATGAAATGGACCAAAAATGGCCTGGTTGAGATCACTTTATCAAAAGCGAGACGTGAAGTCAAAGATGGCTCTTCATTTGCCCATCTGTGCGTCAAAGATACCGGCATTGGAATCTCACGCGAATATCTCAAGAACATGCTCTTTTCTCCATTCGCCCAGGAGGACCCATTATCGCCCGGTGTCGGTCTCGGCCTCAGCATCGTTCGCAAATTAGTCAAGTCTCTTGACGGTGAAATCGATGTCCGAAGTGAATTGGGTGCAGGTACCGAAGTGGACATTTATATACCCGTTACCTGTCTCGCAACGACCATCTCAGCTTCAGAAACAGAAGACTCACTTCCACGACCCGGCAATCCTCCCGGACCGATCTATGCATCTGTCATTGGGTTACAAGACGAGCCGGATCTGAGCGAGATACCAACGGGGATCTTGAGCGTCCATGCAAAACGAAAGGCCTCGATTCAAAATGCACTCACGGACGTCTTGGTGACACAGTTGGGGTGGAACCTCTCATTCGCAAAGCTCCCAGCTGAGGAGCAGGCTGATGTTGCAATCATCCAGAAAGAAGACTTTCACCACATGTTGGAGGAGGGTCTCTTTACCAGGGACTCCAAGCCCACATTCAAATATTTCATTGTGCTTGGTGGTCAACACCCGCCCTCGGTAGAGACTATTCCCGCAAACATCATCCACGTTTCGAAACCGTAAGTTCAAAACCCCCCATCCCTGTGAAATTCGCTTCAACTAACGCATGGTACAGATACGGACCTAGGAGACTCCTTGACGCTGCTGTGAGATTTTTGAAAGTTTATAATGCTCCGGTTCAGTCCGACACCCAGGAGTTGGCACCCATTGCGTCTTGGTCACAAACTCCCCAGCAAGCCTTATCACAACGAACACAAGAGGAATCTATTACAATATCAGGACTCTCCCTCTCTAGCACATTAGAGGTTGGAAATTCTCCCAATCCGCCAGAATCTATCCATGTTCTTGTGGTGGACGACAATGATATCAACCTCAAGGTGAGTCAAGGCTTCCACCGTGGGCGTATTGGATCGCATACCAGAAAGCTATTTACAGAACCTAAGCTGACGCTACGCCCTTAGATTTTGTCGGCATTCATGCGCAAACTTGGTTGCCAATACGAGACGGCTTCGAATGGACAAATAGCGCTGGAAAAGTATAAAAGTGGCAACCGACGATATAATTTCGTTTTGATGGGTAAGCTTCAATTATATTCTTTGGAGGCTTTGGAAAGGTCGAAATTTTGACATCACCAGATTTATCGATGCCCGTAATGGATGGTCTGGTGGCCACAAGAAAGATACGCGAACACGAGCGGCAAAACCGACTTAACTCTTCATGCATACTGGCAGTAACGGCTGTCGCTTCCAACTCTACGCAGGAAGCAGCTTTGAAGGCAGGGGTGGATGATTACTTGGTGAAGCCATTGTCCTTTGACCGGCTTCGTCAAATAATGGATCGTGGATGAGTTCATAGTTCATCAGAAAATGCAGAACGCGGTCACGCCAAAGAACCTCCCAAAATCTTGGAAAAAAAAAAAGTGAGATTTACGTTCCTTGGCCAACTTGTCCATAGCAAGATGTAACATACCTTTGGAGTGTCATCCGGGTCTGGGACATGTACATAGGGAGGTGACCCGCCAATAAGAGGTCGGGGAGCTCGTACTTTAGCTATGATCGACACAATTAGCGTCACTTTAAGTGGCCCGTCCATCAACGCCTCAATTTGCCACCGATTTATGGCCGACGTGAAAGAACAGTACGCCTAGGAATACTGCTTTCCTAGGGCAAAGAACTGAGGATCATCTGGGTCCAGGGGCATTGTCAGAGTCTCCCCTTCCATGGTTTTGAGTTTTCGCCATCAGCAAAGGCGGCATCATCCCCGTCTCAGACGTCATGATGAGTTCAAACATGTCAAGCATGTTGTGAACTACCCACCAACGGGCATTCATCAAGCGGGTGCCTGGATTGCAGGTGGTTTTCGGTGGTTTGCTGCTATATAAAGCCGGCCTTTTACCCTTGAGATCTCCGCCTCACCCCACGAACACAATCCAAGACCCTATACTGGCATAATTCTCACAAACTCACCTCTTTTAAAATGGATCATCGGCCTCGAATGAGTCAAGAAGCTGCTTCCACCAACGAAGTGCCCACAATGGGCTCCGCTGCTTCCATTTCACGCTCTGCGTCCTACCCCGGGCCTGATCGCGAGGCTTCTCCGAACGCCACTTCGCCTAAAGGTGTGAACGGACAAAATGAGCATTACCAACAACAACTTAAGACGGCTTCGATTGAGCTTCTCAATGATGAGCGTGTGGGACCGGCATCCAAAGCCGGGAGATCTCTCCAGAATGTGCTCATGGAAACGGAGCAGCGTCTGAGAGAGCAGCGAAAGAACTCTCTTCACCACAAGGGCCTTAAGTGAGCACTTGAACTTATCTACATTTGTCGTTTCAGCCACCGTTAATTTTCCTTTTTTTCTTTTTCTTTTTTTTTTCTTTTTCTTCTTTTTTAATTTATACTTTTTGGAAGCGTTGGAAATGGCTCCCTCAAGGGGGGATGCACGAAGTATTATTGTATTCCTAGGAAGAATTTCAGCGAGTGGGCGGATCTCATGATGGTAATGAATCTCATTTCGGGTGGTATCTATATTCGCTCTTCTCAAGCATACGTATCTATGCAACGATGACCTTGTTTGAAAAAAAGACAAGCTCCCAGATTGATCGCGGCCCTGGGCTTGAAGACGGAAGGAACAGTCGCTGCCCCTGGCAGAATCCGTGCCACCAAGTAATGTAATTCACCGCTAAAGTCGGCCACGCCACCGCTCGAGGTACAAGATAAACCTCCAAACAACCCAATACCCTGATCCAAATATGTTATCAAGGAATTATTTATCTACAACAAAGAAATTGCCTGTGTCAAGATGACAGATCGATGAATAGCCAACACCGCTACATAATAAGGACACCCAAAGATTGTTCTGCATGTAGGATCGAACACCAGCAATGTAGTCCTGACCCCGCACTATGTGACAAATGAGAGACATAAGTGACTAGTGACATGAGTGAGATGAGAGAAACTTTTGATATTGACTTTGAGGATTGATCATCCAACCAAACACCTATTTTCTGAAGCGCAAAGGCATCAAGCCGCACCTCGGAAATGTTATGGTCTTCGATCTCCCCTTCGGTCCATTCTTTGGTGCCCCGTATGTACTTTAACTTTGTCCCCAGCTGCTGACATCCTTCGAAATCGATAAGAATCGGCATACCTGTTTCCGTGACCAGAATATTTGACGGAGTGAGATCATTATGCGCAAACCCAAGTTGGTGCAAATGCCGGATCGCAGAAGGCGGTCATGATCGTCGAAGCCCAGAGAGTCTGACATTCGAGTCTGTCTGGAGTGTGATCGCTTCACCAGAAAGAGAGAAATGCGTTGAGTAGATATCAGACAAAGGGGAAGGCGGGGGTCACAGGCAGATCACAGTATACACACGCATGCAGCTCTATCGACAGGAAATGTGTACACCAAGCGAAATTGCTCCCTACCGACTTGAATAGACCAGTCGATTCCAGAGGCCCGATGATTCAGTCGGTCGACTACAGTATTCGAAACCAAAAAGGTGAAAGGCTGCGAGCAGTGCGCCAAGTGTGATATTAAGGGCTCGAGGCCTCGACGCCACGATGCCTAGATGTCTCTAGGAGCTCAGACGCGCCGGGAATCTAGAGAAGAATATTTCTTCGTGCTAAAGATAATATGGTCTTGAAAGCAGATCTATTCGATCCAGCCGACAGTGGGAAGGTGGCCCGTCGATCCGCTCTGCGTTCAGCGGTGGGTCCGTGAGGGGTTGAAGGCAGAATATAAGACGCGGCTTTCTCAGCAGGTTTGAACGAAAATTTCACGAATCTAGTTCATTTTAGAAGTATTCAAATACAAGAGCAATCATCGAAGTCGACACAGAGACCATGGCTACTACCACCGAGACCTTGCAATTCAATCGAACTTCATTCACGTAAGACTTTCTCCAACCCTGCCCCAAATCTGGCTAACCCGAACCAGCCTAGCAGGTCCATATGGTGACTGGCGTGATGATCTTGAATCCCAGGGATTTGTGGTAATCAAGAATGCCATCGAACCTGAGAAAGCCAAGTATTACCAGCAAAAGTCTTTGGACTGGCTCAAGTCATTTGGTACTTTGCTTGACTTGGATGACCCTTCCACCTGGACAGCGGAAAATCTTCCTGTGCAGAGCACAATAAATACCTTCCAAGGATATTCAGTCGTACACGAAAAGTTCATGTGGGAAGCTCGCATGGAACCCAAAGTCCTCGATGCCTTTTCCAAGATTTGGGGCACAGATGAGCTGCTGGTCTCTTTCGATGCTTTGAACATTACTCTACCAAATCGTCCGGACAAACCGGCCCAAAAACCGTGGCCTCACGTAGATCAGTCTCCTCTGCGTCGTGGCCTTCATTGTGTGCAAGGGATCATCAATCTCAGTAACGCTGGTCCCGAGGACGGTACCCTCATTGTGCTACCGAGATCGAATGCAGTGAACGAGGAATTCTTTGGCTCGCAGACCGACCCATCGACCTGGGAGAAGGCAGACTTCCGTTACTTTAGTGAAAAGGAAATGCAATGGTTCGAGGAGCGTGGGATGAAGCCTATTAAGGTCCTGGCAGAGCCGGGAGACTTGATCCTGTGGGATTCACGAACTTGTCACTGGGGTGGCGAACCTACAGAGAAAAGCAACACGATCCGGACTGTGATCTATGCCTCTTACTCGCCTGCGAGCTTGGCCTCGAGCGAGACTCTCGAGCTGAAGAAAGAAGCCTTTGAATCATTCCGAGCAACCACCCACTGGGCTCACGACAATATTAGGATCCGAGATGACATGGTGTATCTTCCGGACGGAACAGTAGACCCTCGTAATAGATCCAAGCCTCTGGAAGAACCGGAATACACGGATCGTCTGCTCCGTCTGGCTGGACTGAAGCCATACTGAGACAATGAAGCCTACAATTAACAGAGAATAGAATACAAATAGATATTTAAAGCTCAGTGAGCCTGCTCTTCATGGTGCATCTCGGTTCAAATGTGCTTCCAAGCGTTGGATGCTAATGTTTGATTATTAAGGGTTCAACCCCACACCCCCGCGCCACGAGCCACGTCCTGTTTCCCATTCAGGGTCAAGACATGGAGTTCCCTCGGAAGCGAGCTCAAGTGGCGTGCAACTTCTGCAGGCACCGGTAGGTCTTGGCTTGTAGAAGGTGTTGAATTGCACTAATCGCCACCAGAAAGAGGAAGTGTGATGGGCAGAGACCCACATGCACGTTCTGCGCTGGCGCGAACGCTCAATGTGTATATCAGGAGAACTCCAATGAGAAGTATCACATCTAGCGGCTCGCTACTAGCGCACTTGGCTAAAGAATGCGATAGATTGGATGCAGACCTTCCGGCAGAAATAGTGCTGCGTTTGGATCGATTGGAATCTCTTGTAAAGCAACAAACAAATGTCATCTCAGCCCTATCCGATCATCTTCTGGCATTCACAGACAGGGATCACAATCCGCTAGCTCCAAGCAGATCCACGATATTGCATAGGGATGGTGTTTCTCATGCGTCACCATTGCATAAATCTCGCGCGAGTCATACAATGGCCTCGATTGACTCTCGAATGAGATACGAGTACAACAATGATCCATTTCTCATTCCTCTGGGCCATCAAACGCCAACCGGAAACCTGTTAAGCCTCGAAAAAAATAAGAAACCTCATTGGTGACTATTCGCAAGATTTCTTCCTCTTTCTAGAGTCGGAACGCAGCCTGCGGCCGTTAGCACCGCAGGTTCCATACTCGGCCATCCTTGCAAAACTAACCGCGAATCGTGAAACCACGGACTTTCTAATCTCCAGCTTTTGCAACTATGTTCACCTGCACTTCCCAATCCTTGAGCTTGAGTCACTTCACGAGATGATCGAGACCTTTCTTCAATCAAGCGAAGGCCGTACTAGCTCCGATGCGCTTTGTCTTATCATTCTAGCGCTGGGGGAGATATGTTCGACTACCGTCAATGTCTATGATACAGAATCACAGACAGATAGCAATGGCACAGAGTGCTTTGCACATGCATATCAAATCCTAGCCACGGAAGGATTGACCTTGTTTTCACGAGATGTCAAGGTCCCACTGGCATACTTCTTTGGGTCGATTTACTTTCGCTACCGAGGCAGAGCACTTGAAGCTTGGAAAATGATTCATGCGGCATCCTCTGGAGTCCAGTTGATGTTCTCTTAGTATGCTTTGCTATCACTTCAATCGTCTCATAGCTGCTGACTGTCTTAGTCTGCGTGGCAGAACAATACCTCAGGAACAGCGGGACTTATTGATACGACTCTGTTGGAGTTGTTATGTTTTGGAATGGTATCTTTTCTGCCTCTGCTCGAAATTACCAATAGTACTAATCATTCAAACGAGCAGTGATGATCTTGCTGAATTCCACTTCCCCCGGAGTGGGATCGAGATTCTTGTGGACGGACTCCCATTCCCTGAATTTACTGATCTGACCGACCGAAATAGCCTGGTTTTCCTCGCCATGTGCTCTATTCGCAAGCTTCTGAACCGTATCCACAATACAATATACGCAGGTAAAATAGAAACAGACCCGTCAAAATCACAACACCATCCTGTCTCGGTTGCTTCCTTGGAGACCCTCAACATCGAGCTAAGTCGACAGCTGAAGACTTGGTTCGATTCACTTCCTGAGTCCATCAAGCCCAATTTGCAGGATCCGAATCCGCGCGACGTGCATGATAGATTACTTCGCTTGCGATACTACGCCGCGAAGCATATTCTCTATCGCCCGAGTCTCGTATTCGCTGCACAATCAAAAGAAATTCAGTTGACAGCCTACCTGATCGAGAATTGCAAGATATGCGTGGATAGCTGTCGTAAGTTCATTCTGACGACCGTTCCTTTTATCAAGAAACGAACGCATGGCACTGGGCTCAGACTACAAGCGTAAGCCATTTACCAATATTCCAACACTGTTCGCACTTGGTTCTCAAGCTGATCATCATGGCAGCTTACTCGCAGCAGTCTTCGTCCTTTCAATTGCAAAGGCCACGCCATCATTAGCTTTCCTCGTTCCGGACTTTGACGCGGTTATTGAGGAAGCGATTCAATCTACCGAGCTGTGGGCTCAGTATCATGAAACTGCGGATACAATATTGAATATTTTCAAGAGCATAAGACGCAAATTGCGGTTTCACGTTGAATATATCTGCGCATGATGAGAAGAACTTGTGGGAGACTTCTTAAGTACATAGCAAGCTGACAGCAAACGATACGTCAGTGTGCGATGTTTGAATAGAGGATGTACAAACCCCTTGTCAATCGCTCACATCGATATTTCGGGTGTTTGGATGCACCAAATTAGATTGGAAATTTTAATAGCATGTGGGGTTATCCTTCGTAGCCAACGTAGGCCTTGGCAAGCTTCTCGCGCACCCACTGGATGCATCTATCGTTACTACTTGTTATAGAGGAATTCAACAGAATCTATCACATACCTCTCCGGCCTTGAAAGGTGCGACGCACGGTGGGTTATCAATCGATGTATGATTTTCCAGCACGGAAACCGTAGCATCATAGTCGACACCGAAGAAGAAGGGAATGGAATATCTTTCTTCCCCTGATAGATTAGTCACTCGGTGAATGGTTGATTTGAATTTCTTGTTCGTCCTGGGATTCATGAAAAAGTGTGTGTAGATTTGAAAAGGGAATATTCCTTACCATGTGGACAAGCAATCTGCAATGTTGACGACCATTGTTCCCGGGATGGGCCGTGCCAGAATCCAATCACCGCTGTGGCTCAATACCTGCAGGCCTGGAACACTGTCTTGAGAGAGGATTGTAAAGCATTCATAATCCTACCAAATGAGTCAATCTAGAGTGTTCACTGGGATGATACCAAGAAAGGGCTAACCGTATGTGCTCCCAATCCTTCCCGTGTTTCTGTTGCAGGTTGAGCTGGATAATGCATCATCCTAGATGTAATACCTGGGTTTCGGATCTTGGATTCAAAGAAGTCCTCCGGCACGTCCAAGGAGAGAGCAAATATCTTCATCAGCTTGCGGCAAAATTCTAGAAGCGTGCCACAGTACTGGATGTATGTCTGGGAGAAGCCTGCAAGGGTCTCTTGATCGGGCCATTGATTATCGCCATAAAGCTCATAAATATCCGTGGGGAGAACGTCGTTTTTTTCTTTTGAAGATCCATCGCAAGTTCATATCCAACATCGAACGCCTCAGAGAGAACACCGGTGGCCTCTTCTATTGGTATCGGATCGTCATCTGTGCCTGTCGATCGTTCACCTCCGATAGGACTGTACCCGCGGAATTTCTGGAATTCAAGGTTCAGCTCATTTCTCATCCAGTATATAGACAAGTGATAGATACCTTGGAATGTCCGATGTAGACTTTCATCTTTTGTTCCTCCGGAAGACTGAAGAAACGCTCTGCTGCTTGATGGATGCCACTGATCATTTCCTCGGGGATCCCATGGTTCTAGCAAACCGCAGTCCGAGTCAGTACATATGAACTTTAACTAAAGGCAGTGAGTCTCAAAAGGTTGAGGCATCCAGTTACTTTGATATAGAAGAACCCAACTTGAGTGCAGGCGTCGTAGATACTCTGGGCTAGTTGACGACGGTCCTCGATGTGCGGACTGTCAATACTCGATAAATCAATGATGGGAATATGGTCGCAGTTCGCTGCCTGCGAGGTATTATCGGGCTGCTCTTCCATGTTGCTCGTGGCCATAGCCGTAAAATAAGCAGCAAATGTGTTCTGTTAAGTCGCCATGAGGCATGTTCCTCGGTAGTTCGTAGCGGGGCGGTCTTATCTCCCCCAACCCCTCACCTGCGCTATCCGATGATTTGGGGTCTCGGTAGTTTCTACTGAATGTGGTTTCTCCGAATTTATAGGCTTAGAGTGCTGGTCCCCTTATGACATCTGAAGTAGTGGGCCAAATGGTTGATTTCGTCAGAGGTTTAGAGATCACAGATAATCAAATCATGCATTTAATACTGAGATGATATGCGTAATGCGATACAGTCACGGCAAGAAGGTGGCTTGGGACAAAATGTAATTGCCCTTCGTTTCAATAGATTTCAGCGAGTGTGCGACTCTGTGTTGTCGCTAACTAGCGCCCCCGATGTCGAGATGAGTACATACTTCATAAAGAGATGCACAGCCCCCTTGGATCATTCACTTGAGATGTGCATCTGATACAAGTGTGCACCGGAATCCACAATCACAGCGATCGATCTTCAATGAATCTTTTAGCTCTGGCGAGACTTGGGAAATGTGTCTCGCCTGGCTATGTTTTACCAATGGTCGCGACCCTTGCGTCACTATAGGGCGCGTTTGTGGACCTCCCGGCTTTCTTCCAAAAACACCAGCCTCATGCAAATATCAATTTGATGGTAATTCAACTGGACACTCAAGATGATCTCGCGTCATGGTCGTAGACCCTTACATCGTCGCAGCCGAGTGACGTATATCTGTGGCATCGGAACTGATTTCGATCAATCGTTACGGGGCGCGCTACCTAAGAAGTTATACGCATGCATGTGCTTGCCTCAATGTTCATAAATCTTGCCTAGATCTGACTTGGCATTTTAGCTATGAGGTGTTCAGGAAGCATCGAGGCGAAGCTCCTTATGCCACCAAACAAGATTAGGTCTATTAGGCCGATGTTGTCGTTTCTTTCGGCATTGTATATGTCTCGTGGTTTGATCAACTTCATCGGCTCAAGAAACCAGAGTTGATTCAGCCAAGGAATTGCTACGAGCAATTTCAAGTACGAAGCCACCCCGAACAGGCGTCTCATCCTACCTCGACCGGTCTGGTCTAAGCTTGGCTGACTAGGATAGATGCAGTGGTCAACACATTTTGTTCTATGCTTGTGCTTTGTGGATCGTAGAAGAAGACAGGCATAGAACTCTCGACGAGCTTACAGACATCCATGACCCATAGAAGACATGTTTTTTTACATTGATCAGATTGCAGTTATATACCTTCTTTCAATGCTTCCTTGCGTTTAGCTATGTTCACTACGATCAAGCCTGCTCTCCAAGGTCAGATGCCGGACAGTTCATTTATCATTGGCAATGATGGCCCCGCTTCAACAGCCACGCTTAGGTTCGCGATCAACCACTTTGGTCTTCTGATAACGAACCTGGATGCCATGAAGCATTTTTATGGTGACATCCTAGGCATACGCCTCATCTTCGACACACACTTAACACCAGAGTTTACGCGACCTACGGGATAAGAATAACCTCTACGGACTCATTGAGTTGGTGCAATTCAGAATGTCGGACGATCATTTCGAGCCATCCACTAAGCGAATCAACACATTTGGCTACGTTGGCCTGATTGTCCCTGATGTTGAGGAAGCGCAAAATTATCTCTAAGAAAAGAGTGTTGCAATTCTAAAGCGGGTCTAAGAGCCGATCATGGAGTTTACGGAACCTATTCAGAATGCTTTTGATATTGCCGAGTACGCCGGGAACATAATCCAGCGAAGAAGACAATTGTTGCTGCTCAGGACTTAATTGGACTGGAAATGTTCTTGATGATTGAAGACCTGGAGGAAAACTTGGTGAGAATCCGGCAGCAATATGCTCCTAGTGCTTAATGCGTCGGATGCACCTTTCAGGGGGCTACGCTGATCTTTTATGGGTTTGCTGATCAGCCATAGGGGGTGTGGTCTACATAGGTAGAGTACGAGGACGAGTGCAGTTTTCAGTATAGGCCATGGGTCAAATTTCAAAAAAAAAAAGAAAAAATCGAAGACAGGAAAAGATAGGCGCTAGGTCCATCGAAACCCGAGAATAGGGGTGGAAACCCGGACCCTGGACATCATGGAAGCGGACCCAGGAACAAACCTGAAACCACGGGGATCCACCGAGCCTAACCAGTTGCAGAGTCCACGCGTCGACATGTACCCTTCCAAGGTTGTCTCTCACCGCCAATCATTTGCGCCGTGTGGCCGGTCACCGCCCCACGATCGTCGAACCCCTAAATTGCCCCAATTTCGCCATTTTTCTTCTTCACCAACCCTCACCATAGTCACTCTTTTACGGTTAACTCTTCAACCATGGCAAACGGTCGTTCCTCGCAAGATGAGCGCAAGCTCGAGAACGGTGCTAGCCCCGCGCCCGCTAGCAATGGCATCCACCCCGCATTCTACATTGCGTGCGTCTTCCCCTCTGTGATTTCTCCAATCTTGAGTCTCGAACGAATCTAACGTCCACAGTCTGTGGATTGCTTTGAGTTCCAGCGTCATTCTGTTCAACAAGTGGGTTCTTGCATCCGCCAAGTTCAGTAAGTTTATGCTTTACCACCTCAATTGGTCGAAAACCCCCCCCCGAACTAACAATCATCTCTAGACTTCCGTGAGTTCGCACCTAGTCCGCATCGAACACTCAAAGGTGATCCAGTTCAAAAGGATTATATTCTAACACTCTCGCAGCCCTATTCCTCACGACATGGCACATGGTGTTCGCTACCGCGATGACCCAAATCCTGGCTCGCTGCACCACCATCCTGGACTCCCGTCACAAGGTCCCGATGACCCCGGCCACCTATACGTGAGTTCCAGGCGCAATACGGGGTACAATGTGAAATGGGCTAATGGTTGGGATCCTCGATTAGTCGTGCTATCGTGCCTATCGGTATCATGTTCAGTCTGTCTCTGATCTGCGGTAACCTGGCCTACCTCTACCTGAGTGTTTCCTTCATCCAGATGCTGAAGGCTACCAACGCTGTTGTTACCCTTTTCGCTACCTGGGCCTTTGGAATTGCCCCCGCCAATTACAAGACCCTTGGCAATGTCGCTATCATTGTGCTTGGTGTTGTCATCGCCTCCTTCGGTGAGATCAAGTTTGATATGCTTGGTTTCCTCATCCAGGTCGGCGGTATCATCTTCGAGGCTCTCCGTCTTGTCATGGTTCAGCGTCTCCTTAGCTCCGCCGAGTTCAAGATGGACCCCCTTGTCTCGCTGTACTACTACGCCCCCGCCTGCGCCATCACCAACGGCGTGGTCACCCTTTTCACCGATCTTCCCCGTATGACTATGAACGATATTTACTCCCTCGGTATCATGACTCTTATTGCCAACGCCTTGGTCGCCTTCCTGCTCAACGCCTCCGTTGTACTGCTGATCGGCAAGACCTCCGCTGTCGTCCTCACTATGGCTGGTATCTTGAAGGATATTCTTCTCGTTTGCGCCTCCATGATGATCTTCCACGACCCTGTCACTGCCCAGCAATTCTTCGGTTACTCCATCGCTCTCGCTGGTCTTGTGTACTACAAGCTCGGTGCCGAGAAGATGCAGACTCTGGCCACCGATGTCAAGCTCCAGGTTGGCGAGTACCGCCGCAACAACCCCGCCCAGGCGAAGGGTATCGCTATCGGCGGTGCTTTGACCATCATCCTGCTGGTTCTGTACACTGGAGCTCCCTCGGCCACTAAATTGACCAACTGATGGTCACGTCAGCTATAGCTACGTGGATTCGTTGTCAGAATTCTTCACAGTAGCTTCTATTGTGCTGGCTCAGACAAGGTGATAGTTGTCTGCAGTCTTTTCGATCCTTCTTTTATTGTTTCCATAGACAGAAGTGCTTTTTTTCTGTTGGAGGATTTGCATGTACATTTGGCAGGTATAGAAAAGGGTCCAAGAGGGATCAAGGCGCACATCCAACGATAGTGCCAGCTATGTCTTTTGTCAATGCTCTAATGATTGTTTACTCCATCTGCCTGGGAGTCTTGAGATAACCAATGAACATCATTTCAATTACCTTTGAGATCCTCCCAGCAGTTACTCCAAGAGCTGTCAGCAATGCTCCGATATCCACCGCTTGGAATGTCCTCTCACCGAGCCGAGAAGACTAGATCGACCATGCTTGGGAGTCGAGTACGCAGAAGTCTCACGGCACAAACAGGCCGGCAAAACGCCGAGCGGGGCTGCATCGGGCCATTCACAGTTCCGAGACAGATGCAGCATTCATTCTCCAAAATATTCTCCTTAGATGTGGCGATGCCCGGGGAAATGCAGCTGAAGCTCAATAGCATATGTGCGGAGTATGTCCAGTCACGACACTTCTCAAATGCCAGCCCATTTGCTCTTTGCTGCAATATTCATACTATCAGTAGAATTTAAAAGACTTGCGGTTTTGAAGAAAAATGAATTAAAAAAAAGAAGAATAACAGTCTAAAATATCAACATGGCTCATCAGGTAGCTTCGAATTTCCATTGGGCAGCAATACCACAATAAGCCGCTGGCAGCGAGACGTATGCTTCATATCTTCTGACCTACACGGCCAAGTCTGGTTGTTCCATGGTATTTGTTGCGAGACTCACCCAATCATGGCTGAAGATCAATGAGTTGAACCATGGTCGGTCCCTTTGTTGAGTATGAACATCTAAATTGGAATGATGATAGAATTTTGACAGCATGCTCCAAGATGTGCAATGAATTCATTTTGGCGTGTGTGGCTTTGTATCGAACTTTGAAAGCCATGAATACATGGATATGGCCTTGATTTGTCCGTTTGTGCCATGGCAAAGTGGCAAAATCACCCTGACGCAATTTGACCAAGCCAGGTACACACCCATCAACAATTACAATAGTGACCTTTCAAACATCGTGTTGCACATGCACTTCCTTTCTTTTTGAGAGACACGACGTCATAAACGATGAAACTGCCCGGGTGTAGTTTGTTGAAGATCGCAACTTTCCCAGGGCGCTTTATTGATATAATAGCCCTGTAAAGTACCACTCTTTATTCTCCTGCATCAACAACCAACTTCCTTCTCAATCAACACATTCCAAAGCATTAAATTTATCTTCTATCATCATGGGCATCTTGCGCAAGGCTGAAGAAGCCCTGACGGGCCACAACCAAGAGTCGGCCCACTCTACCAACCATGGACCCCACGACTCCAATATCGTGAACAAGCTTGACCCAAGGGTCGATAGCGATAAAGGTATGCATACAAAACTCAAATTTTGAATTCAAGCCCAGCTCTTCTAACCGTCCTAGACAATCGGGTTCGCCACGAGGCCATGGGCGGTGCCACCGGCCCACATAGTTCAGACATGGCCAACAAACTGGACCCCCGAGTGGACAGTGACAGAGGTATGTCTGTCCAATATCTGGCGGTAAACTCAATTTTAGCTAACGAAAAGAAGATAATCGCGCACACAATACTTCCACGAGCCAAATGCCCATTACGCGACCGGCTAAGACCACCACCGATGTTGATCCTCGCTACGAAACCCGGCAAGGCGCACATGCCACTCATCAAAGCTGGCCCGCCACAGCCTCTAACCCCGGCACCTCTTCTATCAACGCAGGCCCACACAGCTCAAACCTGGCTAACAAGCTGGATCCTCGCGTTGATTCTGATTTGGATACCCGGGCTCGACATGACGCTCTCGCCGGTGGTGGCCACAATAACCTCACCACGGGAGCTACTGTAGGTCCACATTCGAGCGACGTGGCTAACAAGCTCGATCCTCGCGTGGACTCTGATCTTGATAATCGCAAGACCGGTACCCAGCGGGAATGGATTGGCTGAGTTTCAAAGCCGAGATTTACTGGGACGTAAGGGAATAGGCGATTGGGAATTTTTTCTTGGGGCGAACGAATTTGATTTGGAAGTTTAGGATTTAGGAACCTACCAATGCAACTTGTCTTACTCATATGTTCGATCGCTTTCCTCCTTTGCTGTACAGATACGAAAGACATAGCTGTGTCTAAGTAATGCATTAGGTGACCTAGGTAGAGACATCGGGTGAAAAGGCTTCGTGAAAGGTTTCCTCGGAAATCCTTTTTACAGATAGGGTTCGGAAAAGTCCGAGGATAGTATGACTTCTTGAAATTATCTGACTACACCAATACCGAGGTGAGATATTAGACTGAGGCAAATTCCCCAACCATGCATACCTTGCAGCTCTCTCAATGATATCAGGAATGATAAGATGCATGGTATTCGGCGTCGAGAGTAAGGAAGCGCGATATTGCAGTATCAACGCGCAAGCCATTGAATTAGCCAGTCACGAAAGCGAATACAATACATAAGAAAGCTGGAAATATTTATTGGGTAGTTGATAGTGTTGTCTAGCACTAATACTGTGGCGTCGTTCAGTGGAAATTTATAGGTATGGTTTCATGGTCAGCCTAGATGGTAAATAAATGAGACTGTTCCTGATAAAGCGTAGGGAGGCGAGTGAGCTCATTCGGCTCGGAGAAGGCACCTCCCAAAACATTGTCTTTATTTTAATTGATTTTGTTTAAAGTGATGGGAATCACATTTAACCAAGCTCCCCAGTCCGAAGGCTTCTTGAGTATCAGCATAAGGCGGTTGATCATATGGTAGAATGCTCCCAATTTACCAACGAGTGACTGGGACAGCAGCCATGCTTTTTGAGGGAAATCGATAATTTGCAGCTTTTTAAGGACAGGCTGTGTGGAGTGTGATATGAGGCGGGTTGTTGACGGCGGCGCACACTGAGGCTTAAATAGGTTTGAGAAGAAGAGAGTAAGGAGCCATATTCAGAGCGAGAAGAACGTGAGAAATGAAATGTCTATTTTGCGACTATCTATTGAACTGAAGAAAGAGCCCCTGGGAGGAAGACATCCAGCCCTTGAGTGATCAGGCCCTTCAAATCTCATACCCACAGAGGTGATTAGCCCAAAATTACTTCACATATCTCAATAGTCTCCAGGGGTATAATCAACGACTTGTGCTTTTTCAACCACACCACCCAGACTTTGAACAAATGCCAAGTGGGCCGGGTCCTTCTGAATGTAGTAATCCCGGTCTTCAGCACTGGCGAATTCAACAACAAATGCATGGGTCATGCCATTCTAAGATTGGTTTTCATCAGCAATGTATCAGACACAAGATACCCGTATGTCATCATGGGGAAATGAGTCGACCTACCTGAATACCTTCGGGTGAGTTATCGGAACCGCCGGATGACGACACGATGTATGGCTTTTGGGAGGTCGGATGCAGACAATTATCCTTCAAGGCAAGCATACGATCACATGTCTTTTGATAAATATCTTATTAGGTTTTCAATGCATGTAAACACATTCAGCGTCAAATATCATACGTCTTTGATGACTGCGGGCTCAAGGCCGGATTTGAACTGGAACAGAACGATATGCGTGATCGACATGGCTTCTTTTGCTTTGATAGATCGAGATGCCAAGTTATAATCGAGGACGAAAAATAAAATCAGAGAGTTGAAACGAGAATAACAACGAGACACTCCAAAAGGTTGGAAGACCTTCGGAAGGGCGGGGTCCGAAGCTCGGTATATTACAAATGCAAGCCCACGTGATCTTTTTCAAATCAATTGCCATGGTCTTGAGAGACTATAGAGTGAAATGAGGTCAGTAAAATGTTGTTTTCAACATAAACTCCTGGCCAATGTGTGAATCAACTCATCACACCCATCTAGTGTCTGCCCGGTTGCATTGATGCCGAGCCTACAGCCTGCCCGCTTGAAACCATCTCGGACCTCTTGACCGACGAGGTCGAAGGTGCCGTGCCTGTTAGCTTACGGAAAGTATTTCTAGTCATCATTCGTGGGGAATGGACCCAGTTCTGGCATGCCACACGAGGTGGGTGTATCCTGAAGAACGGATGGTGCCCCACCATACATCACCAGAGCGGTGGCAGATGGGTATATCAAGCACTTCGATTACTAGGTTTCTAGAGCATTACCAGACTAGTGATCTCAAGTGTTACCGAGTTGTAGAACATGTGCAGTGGAGAAGCATAGCAGCTCGGCCGAGAGGCTTTGTTCCCGACTGCGCAATCCGGAATTAACCTCGAGACCTAGAGCGCCCTCGCTCCACCACGCCCCACCAGACAAACACGGACCCTAAAATCTACACTTGGCGCATTTTAAAGAGTGCCAAACACTTTGAGACCAACTCGACACAAAGACTTATCCCCAGCTGGGGCCAGATAGAGAGCTATGGATTCCTCAGAGTATTTTGTTTCCAAAATTCAAAGGAATAAGAGCATGATACTCGCTCTGGAGCAGCAAGTGGTTTCCCAATTACCCAGCTACACTACTGACAATCTAAAGTAACATATTATCCCTGGAAGAGGGCCATGTCCTCTCCTTGAAGGCCTAAGTTACTATATTCAAGGAAGGCTTCACTCGAACCCACGTCTCCAGATTTGCTACCCGCTCATCACTTGTCCATCGAGACGTGGGGTATTCTTCATCTTCTGCCTGGGATGGCTTGTACCTGATAGACTTGGCCGACCCGAGGAGTTACCTGCAAGGTAAATCGCTGATATCTTGCAACCAAAATCGCCGAGCAAGCCTGAAACTGAAGTCCCTGTCTTTAGGCAAATTGTAGGATAACGCAGAGGTCTGTGCAAAAGCGGATTAATATCCGATCCGACTCAGGTGCCTCAAATGCTCCTCCACGCTCCAGGTTCATCCTATTTCCTCATTATTTGCGAATTTGCGACACTGCCTCTCAGTATCATGGCTGACATTCATCTGACAAGCGATCCGATCACTGTGGATCAGATCGAAGCAATTGCTCGGAGCAAGCTTCAACGCAATGTTTATGAATACTATTCTTGCGGCTCGGATGACCAGACTGCAGTGGAAAGAAACCGGACGGATTTCGATCGGTAAGTTGATCGACTTGGTCATTCCGGAGATAATGTCTCTTATGAAATGGTAGTCTTCTGATTCTACCGCGTGTTCTCCGCGATGTATCACGAATCGATACCTCTACCAGGCTTTTCAGTCATCGATTCCCCATTCCCATCGGGATAGCACCTAGTGCTATGCAAAGATTAGCCAGTCCAGAGGGGGAACTGGATGTGGCACGTGCAGCGGCCTCCATGGGGCTCAATATAACCTTGTCTTCCAATGCAACCACGTCTCTCGAGGATGTCATGGTTGCTCGGCGCCAGGGTGGGGAGACTGCTGCACCATTTTGGTTCCAGATCTATCTTGCTTCGAATCTCACTCTCAGCGTGCCAATTATAAAAAGGGCCGAAGGTAAGTTTTGCCATGATAGTGTACTTTGCCGAGGGAATAAGCTAATACATGAGTAGCGGCTGGTTTTGAGGCACTTGTCTTAACAGTAGATTCGCCGGTCCTCGGTAACCGGATCAATGAACGTCTGGCCCCATTAGTCCTTCCTGAAGGTATCCATCTGGCCAATCTCAAGCAACAGGACACGCAAGGGCCACGAAAGCCATCCTTTAATCGGCAGATCATGGATGCACGTACCGCTAAACAGGCGAAAGATCTCATGCAAGCAGCTGGTGACACGGCAAACAGTGCTTCATTAACCTGGGGCTCAACTTTCGAATTCTTGCGACAGACAACAAGTATGAAAATCATATTGAAAGGGGTAATGGCTCCCGAAGATGCGCAACTCGCCGTCGAGTGTGGTGCCGATGCCATTATCGTATCAAATCATGGTGGTCGTCAACTCGACTGTGTTCCTTCCACCATCCAAGCACTGCCGGGCATTGCAGAAGTTGTCAAGGGGAAGATTCCCATCATTCTCGATGGAGGCATTCGCCGGGGAAGTGATGTCTTCAAGGCATTAGCGCTTGGAGCGGACTTCGTGTTAGTCGGGCGGTCGGCTCTATGGGGTCTCGCCTTCAACGGCCAAGCAGGCGTGGAGACTGTCATGAACATCCTTGAACGAGAATTAAATCGCACCATGGCGCTAGCCGGTGTTGCGCAATTGCAAAATATATGTTCTTCTTTTCCTACGCCATTCCGAAGGCGGACGTCTAAGCAATTTATGAATTTCAAATTCGATTTGCAATATGCTTCAAATCAAGGCGCCAGTCTGCCTTTAGTAGGATAGCATGGCAATATGCCTGAGAGACTTCCTCCCAAAAATAGAGTTAGTCTGTTGTATTTGATCCATCTTAATCAAAAAAGTTGACAAGTAATTACAAGTCAAATGTCCATATTTCTTGGGAAGATTTGCCAGACATCTTTTGTTGCTAGATGACGCAGGGGTTGATAGATCAAATTTCTTCTATCTCTTCATCATTCTCTTCGCCGGGCAGATCTTCTCTTCCATCCAGCCAACTCGAGCAATTGCAACAGCGCCTCGCCTGCTTCTAATTAACTCCGTGGAGATCTCAAGACTGGAAACATCTTACCTGAGCGCTGATGAACTTCTTGCAGTATCTGCACCTGACAGTCGGCTTAATTATCTTGTTATGAGAAACGAACATGTACGCATGCGCAACCGCAAACAAAGTAAGGCTGACACCAAGGAAGTTGAGAATATTCTCAATGAACAACCTAGATTTATCATTATTATCAGTAGACTTCAAAGTTCTGTCACTGTCATAGAAGAAAAGCACAAGTGAGAACAAACCCGTAAGCCAGAACCAACGCGCCATCGTCCCTAGCCTGCTTAATGGTATTATATCCATCCTCACTGACATAGTTCGGGCCCCTCGACAGAACCGCAAATTTCTGATCCATATTGCGATTCAGGAATGGCAGCAGAGAGACCACTGGCAAAGCTAGATCTGAGACGAATGAAGTAACGACTTTCGTGAACGCATTTGCGATACTAGAGGTGTTTCCTGTCAGTTTTCGTCGCGAGCGCGGACATCTCCCACTCACATTAAGCCAAGCGCGACTTCAAGAACGTTATCTCTCGCCGCAAAATTCACAAACGCGTTCCATCCATGCTTCACCTGCTCGCCAGCCGTCTGCCTGACGCGTTTCAAAACGTCAGTGCTCTCATCGAGTCCGCGCATGGCGAAGTAGACCGTGTATTATTCTGGGCTCTTGAGCTTTCTTAAATCCCTTTAGGATGTCTGCGATAATGATTCACAGGGTTTCCAGCGTCATTGCGCATGTTTCGCAGTCATGTGGCTGGGAGGCGCGGGGCTATGACCATGCTTGGCATGAGGGGGGCCTATCTAATGCTTTTCTCGCACCAGTGTTGATTGAGAATGACAGATTTATGGCCTTGGCTGCTAGGACTTTGAGAGTCGGTGTCTACATGATGCAACGGCCCTGACATTTTGTTGTAGTGAGGTCTACGAGAATTAAAAACCGCACACGTTGAGATTGTTTGAACATAAGGTGTGAGTGCAAGGTTCACAGGTGCAGAATATATTATGATAATCTGAAACCATCGAAGATACATGATAATGCTTGGTCACTTCTCCGGTGGCGGGAAATATGTCATCGGCCTCGGCGCCGTGTATGGGGAAAGTAAAGTCGCGCCTCGCTCAAGCGCTGCCCGGCTCCTCTGCTCTTCCCGCTTCTGAATCTCTTTCTCGTCCTGAATTAAAATGCAGCACGTACAGCAAGTCGCTCGGGCACAGTCCGATGCGATATCACCTTCGATTCCATATGTTTTTCTTGTTCTAGTGTGTTGGATAGTAGCCAGTAGCCCTGTCGCAGAAGTCAGTATAGGTGTCTTATTGCTCATGGTGCAGGATTGACTTTACATTGGCAACCACAAAGCAAGGCCATGCCAGTGCATGATCCATTGCAAGTCTCGTAGCCCAGCATATTGGTTGGGTCTCCCTTTTTCGATTTCATTGATAGTCGATATTGCGTCTTGCCGTATAGAATGCAGGGGCATGTGAGCCCTAAACAACACGTTCCAATGTTGGAACACTCGCAGAGACCATGGCTCCAGTTTCCGCCCTGCACCTCTTGATCTGGGTGCATTATTTGTCCTGGTTGGTGGTATGAGCTCAGGTCCTCGCTTATCGGCGCTCGCGAGGCTGGAGTGGCGGTGGGAGGTGGAAAGTACGGTATTTTCGGCGACTGGAGTGGGTTTGCATCAGGTGCGATAGAAAATGTGTCATTTAAATTTGAAGCTTCCGGAGTGTTCTTCAATGGTAAGGGACCTGGAGAGCCTGGAGACTGGGTGTAGTGGTTGGATGCGTATGGCGGCGAATGGGCCGGTTGATGCTCTGGGGGTGTTTGGACATACGGTTCGACAGAGGGGGCATAATGAGCAGGATGTTGATCCGGTGGCGGATATTTAGAGTACGTCGGAATTATGCCCTCCTCCTGTAGGTGTCGTTCCTTCTCATTCGAAGAGAAATGACGGACCGCTTGCTCTGCTTGTTGGCTTGCATGCTCTGTCGCCGGCTGTGTCGTCGGCTGCTGGACCGGGCTCGACATTGCGGGTGCTGGCGACGAGTGAATCGATTCAGGAAACTGCACAGCGGATTGCATTTCCGCAGGAGTCTCCATGAATGAGTACCGCCTGTTATGTCCCACTTGGGTGTCCAAATGCAATGGGCGGTTCATGATGATCCCAGTGGTACGAGCTGCCACTCTCTATACCGTTCGGTTAAAAATTAGAAAATGCTAGATGCTAAGTATCTGCCGAAAGGCCATGTATCGTTTCAGTCCAATTCAAATTTCACGATGGAAAAGAAACTAGGTGCCTAGGAAGGTTGACGCTGTGACAGCTGCATCGCAAGAGAGCTCACCCCTCAAGACTAAAATCTGCGGCACACGCTCGGTTAACTAATCATCCGTCGGACCACCGGTAAGCGACAGGCGACAGCAATTTGACAGCCAAATGGTGCGAGTGCGAGTCAGGCTCCATGAGAAGTGTTGGGTGGAAGACGCTGTGTGATGGAAAGGAGGATACTCCGCCGTAGTGGGGCTGCAAATTGGCCAAGGGGAGCTAAGTCAGAGGTACGCGGGGAATGAACCAGGTGAGTGGCTTGAGAGCTCGAGGTTCGTTATTAACCCTGTCGTGTGGCGTGGTCCCGGCACCCGAGTGCATCTACTTCACATGGGCGGTTCGTTCTGGTTGGGCTGGAACCCGGCTCCTCCCGTTAGGCGCCGGCGGCCGTTCCTATCACACGTTAGTTGGGCGCGCTAAGGAGCGTTATCACTTGTAACCTGTGACTGGCGAGGGCTTGTTGCAGGGCTGAGGGTGGGGATTACGTGGATCTTGCCATCTCTGTCCAACGTGAGATTAAACAGGTCTGGTTAAGCCATTCGGATAAGCCACGTTGTAAAATTCATTGCATATATCTGGTCATTTAGATCTCCCTCTCGAGTACGGCTTCAAATTTAAGTGGGAGACTTGCATGGAACGAGCACTGGGTGATGTCTTGATCAAGTTTGCTATCCTATTCCCCTACAACATGTCTCGGTCCTCGATAGGGATCATCGCAGCGGAACCCCTGCTCTGGCCTTAACCTCCGGTAAGAAATGTTATGCACATATTTGTGCATGGGCAGACACAGTGCCTGATTAGAGAAAAAGTAGAATCGACTTTCTGCCAGGCCAATCCTACGAAACTCACCATTTATTCTGGGGACTCCTGTAATCGACGAGTCGAAGAATCGATGGGAGAATGGTCTTGATCATTTCTTGTATCTTGTTCTTTTCTGATTTTTGCTTCTCTACTTTCTTCCAACTCACCACTCAAAGGACTGGCTAAATAGGCTCGACGTTCAGAAGGGTGGCATCAACATCCCTCTCATGACATTTTCAGGGCGAATGAATGTCTTCACGTTCTCTTGAGATATAATTCGATACTCATCGCGCAATTTTGGCGCCCAGCCATCCAACCCGTGTCTCAGGTGGATTAACTACGTACCCTCACAACTTCTTCGCGGTTGCCTGGAGAATTTCTGTGCCACTCTTCGAGCTTCATGACAGAAGCCGAGGGCCAAACGTTTGAGGCCCGACCGCCTCAGTCTTCAAGAGACATGTCTTCAAGATCACAGTTAGTAGTAGTGTAGCATTTGCTATTGCAAGCGGTATCGATCATGCAAGTTACGAGTAAGACGATCGGCTATTGATGGCAATTGAGCCTGAAACCTTTCTCGCAGTAGCTAAGCTGAGCTTGGTCGAAGATCGGTGTCATAAGGAGAGTCGAGAATGTTTCTAGGGGCTACTGTGCCCCGAATCGCAGTGACAGACACGCCTATAACCGAGCTTGATCGGGCCACGCCAGCTCCGCCAGGCTCGGTGATTGGTAGAGATGTGAAGAAGGTGTGTTCCCAAGGACCGCCTGATCGACCCGAGAACCTTGTTATCCCTTGCCACAGCGGATGTCTCGATGAATGATGATTGTGAAATACCCTGCATTCCGAGATCTCCGGTTCCTGAACTGACATTCGTTGAGTGTAGAGTTTATACTCGATTCTCGAATTCCCAGGGACCTGCAAGGAGGGTCAGAGATTAGCCCATCTGCAGCGGTCCACTGACTCAGTCTGCTGGATCTAGCATGAATCGAGAAGTTCAAGTTCCAGGCATTTCTTTTAGATACAGACAGGCATACAAGCAGAAGGCAGAGGTATAGGCGAGACAAGTTGGGTTTTCTTGCGGCAAGGATAAATCGATTTCAGAAGATGGAGCCTGAGGATCAGAAGGCTATCCGATGACTTCAATCCTTCCCACTTCCCACTCTATCGACTTCCGCCGTCCGCTCCACCCTGATCGAGAAGATCAGATCCACTCTATCAGGCGGTGACGATTCCAAACTTGTGTTACCGTCCCGGGCCCGACTTTTAAGTTCTATCCTTTATCTCTCCTTTCCTGATCCCGGCTTTCCGACCGATTTGCGGTCTGTTCTCTCTGCCTGTAAGATTCTTCCTTCGCCCAACGTGCTCTCGATATCTCATTCCTCCCCCTGTCAGCTCTTCCCACTAACTCGCCTCAGTTCAGATTCGTGACCCCAGCCTCTCATCTGTCTCGTCCACGTCTTTCCCGCCTCTTTATCCCTCACATCGAACCAGTTTCTCCCCCGCCTTGTTCCCGCTTCCATACCATTCCGATCCGGGTAACTCTGACCAATGTCCTCTCCATGTCAAGCCCGCCGCACGACCCCGAAGAATCTCGACCTGACCCCCTGGTGACACCTGCTACGCCCGTCCAATATGATTGCTCCGGGAAGGTTGACCTCGCCCAGAGCAACCCACGTCACCATTTTTCCAAGGACGTTCACTTGTCCCAGGGGGCTCAAGAGGCGCCTTCCCCATCGCGGGCAGAATCCCCAACGGTCCGTCAATGGTCACAGCCCACATCTACTTTCGCCCTAAAAAGGACTGCATCAATTCCCTTGGAGAAATTAACCCGCCGGGACTCCTTCCATAGTCCACAACTGTCCGAGAGAGACAGCATTTTCGCAACACACTATCTTCCTTCGGACAGCAGCGCAAATACCCCACAATTGCCCCCCGACAGGGCCTCGGATCATGAACGCCCGGTGAATGCCATCCCGGGCTTAGATGATGCGCATGGGTCCCCAAGTCCTACTTCCAAGGTCTCCCCCCACCGCCCTCACGTCGACCCTTCCCACATGGAAGTTGACGTACGCAGGCATCTCCCCTTGCGCTCGTCGCCTCTGTTTCCTCACACCGATGTTCCTCGTTCGTCTCAACTGCGCTCATCCATCTCTTCCTCGGACCAGCTGAAAGATCAGGAGAGTGGGTCAATCGCTCCGTTGGTGCACTCAGTGCCTTTGGATGAAACAGGTACGATCATTGGCAATTCTCAAGACCCTTTGGCTGAACGCACTCTTCTTCCGTCATTGCTAGACGATGCATCCCGCTACCCTCAGTCCTTATCACCGTTGACAGCCGGCCAGGACTGGCCTGTGGTCAGTCCGGAGACCGTACCTCACACCGCACCTCACAGTTCCTTTGCAGAATCAACTCGGGGTAGACAGATTGAGGGCGGCTCATCCAGAGGCCGTCGTGGGCGAGTGGACAGCTCGATCGAGGCAAACCTGACCAACGCGGAGCCCGCATCCAACGTGCGCAGCCGCAAGTCTAGTCACTACCTCGGTCTGTTCAAGGAAAATACATCCCCCGACCGCAAGCGATGGGAGGACCGTGCTAGACAGCAAGATGAGCCGCTTGATTTAAAGGGTCACACCATGGAGCTGGAAATTCCAAAGCTTCATGCCCTACCTGAGGATGATGGGACACTGCGGAAAAGTATTTCCCTCCCTTTACTGGGCGACAGCCGGTCGCTCGAGTTGCCATCTACAAACACGTCACAACAAGTAGACCAGGAAGATGGCCATCAGCGGCGGCCACAAGCGCTGCCACGCGGTCTCCTCGAGGAAATTCGGAACTTCCACCTGACTCCAGGTGGTGGACGCGGGTCCTCTTTTTCCAAAAGCATCCCAACTCAGTATTCGGAAATGAGTCGCGATTATTTCCAAAGTGAACCCCACTATGAACGCTCCCCTTAACTCCCTCAGCTCTTTCGAGGAAGGAGAGCGTCGGGCGACTGGTCAATTTGAAGATGGTCAATTTGAAGATGAAGAGGAGAACGAACAAATCTCTTCCGCGGTTTATTTCCCTCACAAGCGCACAGTGCCCGAAGGGCTTGATGATTCAGATCCATTACTGGCAGATTCGGATAGCGTGCAAACACTTCAATTAGCGGCTGCGGAGAAAGGTCATGAACTGATGCTAGTGCCTAAAGAACATGGAGAGCCCCCGAAGCAAGAGGCCGGCCATGTGGATATCTCTCTTCGATCTAAAACCGAAAGTAAGATTCTCTCCGGCGAGCTTCCGGAACTTCGCCCTCCGGCAGGAAGTCTACCTGAGAAGTCTCTGGGCGCGGTCTCTGAATACAGTTGTGATTCAACTGGCGAGTCCGAAATCGTGTCAGCGGACGAAAGCTCTCAGTCCATGCATGATGATTCCAGCCTCACCGACGACCTTGAGGTTACACCAACCGCTACGCCCACGCAGCGAAATCGGTTCCCGGCCAGACGCAAGTCGAAGCCCACAGCGCCCCTTGGGGCTGTGGAATTGAAGCCGTACCGCCATCAAGTCGGTGGTCATACCACTGTTTTCCGTTTCTCGCGACGGGCGGTTTGCAAGCAGCTCAACAATCGGGAAAATGAATTTTACGAGCGAATTGAAAGAAGGCACCCTGACATGCTCTTGTTTCTTCCCAGGTATGTTCTTCAAAGACGCTAGCACCGCAAGGCCGCTTTCTCTCATCAATGCGTCCAGCATTGTGACGTAACAAGTGTCAAAATTCAAGTTCACGATCTGACTTTTCACAGGTACATTGGTGTTTTGAATGTGACATTCTCGAAAACTTCCAAGCGCTCCAAGGTCAATACCGAGACTGCAAATGGCAGTGCCCTAGATGCAACCCAGACTAATGGGTCGTCTGGAAAAAACTCTCGTCTGCTGGAAGCTCCGGAACCACAAAGGATTGTAAGCCAGTCACAGGTTACTGGGGTCATTCCCAAAGTCATTCTTGAGAACAATCGTCATATCATTCCAGCCGACCTTTTCTCTCGTCCCCAACGACTTCGGCTTGGAAATGGCGGTCCCATAGGCCGGCCACGCTCTGCCGATGGTCTTGATAATGTCGCAGCTGACTCTGATTCAACCCGCAAACCAACCAAGATCTGGGGTGCGACCACAGTGAACAGAAAGCTCCAAGAACAAGTCCTCCGAGAAGTGTTCAGTCCGCCTGCTATTCATCATCACCGGCGACAAGCACGAGGCCCCCTTCATCTGCCGAGAGCCTCTTCGGACATGCCTCGTCGACGTGGAAATCTGTCAGAAGACCAGACAGACAATAGCCGTCCTTCCACACCGGGAAAGGTTGAGACTTTGAAAACCCCCGTGAAGGAGATTGCGCGGTCTCATCCTGACCCGGGTCCAACTCTTTCATCATCAGCGTCCACTGCGTTCGAGGACAATCGTAATCGCCTTGAGAAAACGCGGACTGAGGAACATTCCAATCGAGCAACCTCTCTACATCGTGGCCAGACGAGACGGCGGCACTCCGGTGGTGGTCTTCAACGGCGTGGAAGTTTGAATTCTCGCAATGAGGGTGAGCTTCTATTTTTTGACGACGAGGGTTACGGTGGAGACCGCGAGGATGAGATATTCTCCATGGAAGGTGATGCACCTATTCCTGAGATCGCCACCTCCAAAGTCAAGTCTTCTTCCTCAGTCTCTACAGTCTCGGAAAACGCCTCTGTGGGTGATCCCCATGGCACTGAAACCGAAGCTCCTAGTAAACTCCTAGACGCCTCCCATGCACGAGCGAATATCGATGCGAGTCCTGAATTGCCAAGCAATCCGAAAGAGGCGCAACTGCGAAAGGATGACCGAGTGCAGTTTTTCCTTCTCTTGGAAGATCTCACAGCTGGCATGAACAAGCCATGCGTCCTCGATCTCAAGATGGGAACTCGTCAATACGGCATTGAAGCGAGCGAGAAGAAGAAGAAATCTCAGAGGCGAAAGTGCCAGTCGACCACTTCCCAGCAATTAGGAGTTCGCCTTTGTGGTATGCAAGCTTGGAATGTCAAGAAACAAGAGTACATCTTCGAAGATAAATACTTTGGACGAGACCTTAAATCCGGCCGCGAATTCCAGGATGCTCTCACTCGCTTCCTTTACGATGGCGTCAGCTACGCCAGTGTGGCCAAGAAGATTCCCATCATTCTGGAAAAAATCTCTTTGCTGGAAAATATGATCCGAAAGCTGGACCGATACCGCCTCTATGCTAGTAGCCTCTTGATTTTGTATGATGGAGAGCAAGCAACCCCTCCGCCAACGCCTAGTCACCCTAGTGGTGAACGACCCAGTCCGCGGCGGCGAGCTTCTGAGGATGGCCACAACAATATCGATGTTCAGTTGAAGATCGTCGATTTTGCCAACTGCGTGACGGGTGAGGACGAATTACCTCCAGACACCCCTTGTCCGCCTCAACACCCGCAAGACATTGATCGTGGCTACCTCCGCGGCCTCCGCACTCTGCGGATGTACTTCCAACGCATCTTGCGTGAAACTGCCCAGGACGAGTACGTCGAGCGTGGCGAAGGCGAGGCCATTGCACTAGGTTCACAACCCGCCGTGCGCGAGTCCTCGTCAGACCAGTACTGGGACGAGAATGTGATAGATAGTGACGCAGGTGAAGTCAGTTTCTGAGGTACTCCGTCTGACTTGCTTTTTGTTTCTACTTCTCTTCCTCTTCTTCCTCTTCTTCCTCTTCTTCCTCTTCTTCCTCTTCTTCCTCTTCCTCCTCTTCTTCTTCTTTTCCTTCTTCTTCTTCTTTTCTATTCTTTTCTTCATTTCTCTTCTCGTCTTCCGGCTTCCAATCCCAACATCATGGCGTTCGGGGATAGACGATTCTTCACTGGCGTTTATCCTACCATCATACGCCTTGATTTGTTTTTGCTCAGAGCTTCCCACTGGAACTACGACTAACGATCTTCACACGGATGCTTTCATGACCCATTCCAATGCCTGGATGCATTTAGAGCCCGGATAGTTTTTTGCTTGCCATCTTGTCTCGTTTCTCATTTTGATGGCGTGTATGAATTTAGCCGCTCTTGATTCCCCGTCCACCATGGTTCACTCGTGTCTTCCCTTCTAGGTCTTGTTTTATTGATAATACCCCACCAATTGGGAGGCCCGGGCTTCTAGGCCAGTCTTCATCTGGGCTTGAAGCCCTTGTGTTTTGTACATGATTAAGGAAGAACTTACTTTTATTCTAAGCGGTCATTCCACTCGTACCCCCACCTTCATCGTGTATATTCTTCTCAAGGAGATAACAATCTTGGACACGTGGCTTTGCCTTGTTTTCTCGGGTTTATTTCAAGAGTCTGAGCGTATCTCTGGAGTTTTGAAATGAATATTCAAAAGCAATGAAAAGTTTAGGAATAGGCCTAGGAGGACGGTGAGAGCTGTCCTCACATCATCACCGTCAGTCGCTCTTGAACCTCGGCCGACGTCACGTGCTTATCGATAAGCTGAGGCCTAGCTCCTCTCGTATCAGCGCCTTTGAGCTCTGCAACTCCCTTTGTTCCTGAAAGATCGCTGCGAATAGCTCACAAACCCTGAATGAGCTTGCGTTGAAACGCAATGACGTATAGTGGAGACGCGACAGCATAGCAACGGATCCACCCAGCTGACACGGGGCGCCAACCATCTCCATCTCCGCAAGGACCTCGACACACCGGCGGGGCTGGACGGACCGGATCTAGCTAACACATTAAACGTTGCCAAACCACCGACCTTCGCTCTTCACAATCATCTCTCGATCTGACATCCTCAGACCCGGGCTAATCGCCCAGCGAGCACGATGACAAGCTCCCACACCCATTTGGACCCGCCGATCGACAAGCGTGATTTTGATGCACATCGACCACTGCTTCATGCTAGAGTCACCGAGGGACACACTGGCCACTTGACGCCGTATCCGCGGTCAGTGCCAGAGTCGGGTTCGGGAGCTAGCTCTGGCGGAAACAGCGATGATGGACTGCTCAACGATGTGGTGGAGGGTATTGTTGAGCGTGATCGTCAGAAGATACACAAGGAGGCGATCCGGGTGATGAGCTTTGCCTGGGGTGTAATCACTTGGTAAGGCCGTACTATACTATATCTGAGTGTCTGAAGCTAAAAACAGGTTTGTAGTCTTGGTGCTGGCAGCATCACTGCATTCTCCTTGTACGGCCACCTGCTGCTGACTCGGCTTCACTACACTCAATTACAAGTCAATACGGTGTCCATTGCTGCCGAAATAGCGATGTATCTCCTGGTACCGTTGTTCGGGTACCTGTGTGATCGATACAGCCCATCGCCCTTATCTCTGGGCTCGGCGATAATGTTCGGAGTGGGATATATGCTCGCTGCGTTCACATACAAAAGTGGACCGCCCACAGATGTCGGCGGGACCGGATGGCCGTTTTGGGTGATGATCGTGGCCTTCATCCTCGTGGGCATGGGAACAAGCTGCATGTATTTGTCTGCAGTGGCGACGTGCGCGAAGAACTATGGCCGGGGCAAGCACAAGGGCATTATGCTTGCCGTACCTATTGCGGCGTTCGGTCTGAGTGGCATGTGGCAAAGCCAATTGGGAACTTATCTGCTGTGTGAGTGGAATCTCGATGGTAGTCGGGGTGATGTGGATGTTTTTAAATACTTCTTTTTCCTGGCACTGCTACTGCTAATGATTGGACTTGTCGGTACCTTTGCCCTGCGCATAGTGGACGACGAGGAAGATAAATTTATCGACGAGACGGTTGAAGAATTGGAGCGCAGTGGATTGCTCGAAGAGAGCGAATTCTTCCGTCCACGCAGTGATATTACAAATGTAATGGAATATGGTACTTTCGGTCCGGACGACGATGAAGAGTCACCGACAATCTCGGGCGAGGAGCGCGAACAGCGGAGACTGGAGAAGGAGCGCCAGGAAGAGGAGCGACGGAAGAAGAATTGGCTGCTCAACTACGAAACGCGAGTCTTCCTTCAGGATCCTACGATGTGGTGGCTGGCTGCGGGCTTCTTCCTGGTTACTGGACCGGGGGAGTCCTACATCAATAATGTGAGTCTTACCATCTTGTTTCCGATAATTTTGGTATCTAATCTTAAAGCAGCTTGGCACCATCATCCCAACTCTTACCCCTCGGTTTCACTCTCCTCTCGCTCCGCCACCGGCTGGACTCCCATCAACTCATGTCACCACAGTTGCATTGACTTCGACCGTCGCCCGACTCCTTACAGGCTCTCTTTCAGACTTCTTTGCACCTCCAGCGACCCATCTTTTTCCACCCATCCCTGAGGACAGCAGACAACGCCTCAGTGCATCTCAAACAGGCGGCTTCACACTCTCCAGAATGGCCTTCCTCGTTCCGTCCGCCATACTTCTTTCCCTTGGCTTCCTTCTTCTATCATCACCTCTCCCAATAGAACACCCTGAGATCTTCCACCTCACCACCGCCCTAGTAGGCTTCGGCTATGGCAGCGCATTTTCTTTAACACCAATCCTCATCTCGGTTGTATGGGGTGTGGAAAATTTTGCCACAAACTGGGGAATAGTCGCCATGATGCCTGCTCTTGGCGCTGCACTCTGGGGCGTGGTTTACTCCCGAGCTTACCAAAATGCATTGGATGCGATTGATTCGCCGGATGGGCAGTGCTATGGTTGGCAGTGCTATGGCTACTGGGCTGTTGGCTGCACTGTTAGTGTTTGGGTGGCTGTCGTGGTTTGGTTGGCTGCCTGGAGAGGATGGAAGAAACGTGGTATTGTCGTATAGACGAACTCAGCACTATTTGATGACCATTTACTTATCAGTGGTTACACGGTCTCCACGAGGCGTATATTCTGGTGATAAGAATAACTCTATGTGCAAAGAAAGCATGGTTTGGTAAGTGTTTTAAGTAAAAGGATCAAGTATACGGTCATGGGCGTTTGCAGGTGGGAATTTTAGCTACTGTACAGTTTAGCATGTTAGATCCTTCTTTCTATGCCACGAAGAAAGATATTCAGGAAAACAGTCGGCAGCCTTGAAGCTCCAGTAATTCGGAAAGTCTGCAATGTTACTCGGGAACCCCAACCTAGAAGACGTTGGGAGGACCCATTCTCCAGCGCTACCAATATCAGATGTTGAATGAAAATAGCGAAAAGTCACAAAGGGCTGGAAAGGAAATCTACATCTGAATTGCAATTTAACTCAATCTTAGGATTCACAGTATTGAATGTATACCCAGACTTCAATTGAGCCTCCTCACACCGCCTTCCTACCACCGCGAATTCCGCCAAATCTCCGTCGCAAGAATCTCTTTTGACAAACCAAAGCACTATGGCCCCAGTAACGCTGAAGAAGGTTGATGGTGGGTGAGAACTGACAGTCTAGAGACTATTTAAAGCTAATACACCATCCAGATGACCTCAAAGAAGTCATTCAACACCTATTCGAGATCCAGTCCGCCGTGCACGGCTATCTAGGCCCAGAGACACAACAAGAGCTCGTTAGGAAAATGTACGTGTCACAGAGAGCTTTTGATAGTCGAAAGAATCTATGGGAACATTGCCAGCTAATAAAGACCCAAGCAAAAATCTCACACTCGCCCTGACCACCCTCTCCAAAGACACCGACCTCCCACCAGATCACCAAGCAAACACCACCACCGACCCATCCAATCCACCACTGTCAAGCATCCAACTCCCGCCCGAAATCATCGACTATGTCGATTCAGCCAGGAATCCAGACATCTACACCCGTGAGTTCGTGGAGCTGGTGCAGCGCGGCAATCAAGACCTAAAGGGGAAGCGTGAGGCCTTCGCCGGGTTCCGGGACGTGCTGGCCCGCGAGATGCGTAGCGCAATGCCCGAGTGTCGGGGAGAGGTGGATCGCATCGTTGCAGCATCCGCGTCCGCCTCTGCTGGTGATCAGCGTGACGGGATGAGGAAGGCCCAGTGAATCATTTTTGGAGATGGTGTTGATCTCATCATGATGTTGAGGCCATGGCCTTGATGTGACATTACATGAATACCGGTTCGACTTTTGGCCCCCTTTTGGTGACGCCTGATGGCCTATTTCGGGCAAGGGTGTTCCACCGGGTTCTGGTTAGGACAAGAGGTTCGGGGAGTTACGGGATCTTTCTCGTGAATTTTTGCCTTATACTTTTTTTCTTTGTTTTGGCATTTAGCGAGGTGCTCTGGGCGTTGGCTTTTTTGGGGGGGCGCGCATCCGCAAGGTTCATATGTGGTCTGTTTTTGAAGTCTCCGAAAATGTCATGATTCGTATTCGGGACCACTATGGTCTTGGAGAAGCTGCCGTTGAAAGGATAGATAGATTACCATTTCCGTCTCTCTTGAGCTATCTAAACGCTGGTGGCTTCAATCACGAACGCTTGCAAATTTGCTCGGCCATTCTCTCGCAGTGGCTTCATCCTGATTAAGGTCTGTTCTGTACATGTGAGCGAAATCTGGCTTGAGCAAGTCGTTGAGATTCGGGTTTTTGAGCAAGATGAAGATGGACAGAACCACTACGAGGATTATCTGGAAAGCTTCACTGCTATTTCATGGCGTATAGTCCAGAATACCTGTTAAGAGATTCAACCCCGAGCGCTAATGGTCTCCAATCATGTCCAGACCAATCGTACCATTCGCATCCATATTTGGATGGTAAATGTTGATTGTAAGACAATCTTCGGCGGTTTATATGGGTATTCTGCAAGAAAATGAAGACGAAGAACGGACAGCCCTACCAGATCGTTCTCATCTAACGGCTCAGCAGAAATCTCCCGGCAAGGGTTCCAAGTTAGTGAACCGAGGTATTCGATGAATTCTCACCCCCAGAATCGTGGATTGAAGGCTGTGGACCATAGGTGTAAAAGAAGTGACTCCTGCTTGGTTTCCAAGAGCCATCTTTCTTGCCTAACGGAGGGGTGGATTCACTCAGATCAGGTGGCGCTTCTGGCACCAAGTCTGACGTTCGACCTCCATTGTCCTCTTCCAAGCAAATAAGCTAGCATAGTAACTAGCGATCTCAATGAATGTATATAGTATATCTCGCTTACGACTAAGCAGGGGCGGTGTGTTGAAAAACTAGATGCAGAATGTGCTGCCAAGTTGATCGTGATATCACAAGTGGTATATATCAAGGCGTTGGCCCATATATTATATACCGGACCTCCTCCTGGAAAGATCCGGCCTGGAGGTGTTTTGAGGAGTGGTACAGGACCGATTGCCGTATCTGTTGCACAGTCCACCCCCAGACCACCCCAGTGCCCCATTAGAAGGGCCGAGATTATGTGAAGTGGCCCTACGCCTGGCCTTTGCCTCAAGGATGGTACTCACTGATATGACACGAGGAAAAGCCACTGTCATTTGACAGCATATGATTCCGGTAGGATGCGAAGGGTGGGTCGTCCGGGTCCCGCTTGGCCCCATCAAGAAGGTGCAAGGTGTCTTTCTTGCACTGGGGTCTTGATGCCCTCACACAGTCCTCTAGCCTGAAGCATCCAAGCCTAGACCATCCTGAAATGCCACGCTCATACTGAGTCACGTCTGGCCCGACCCTGAAAATAGGGCCGGAATTACAAAGAAAAGGGATCTGCAGACCTGAACTCGGCAAAAAGCCAACCCCACAAAGAGGCGGGCAGGGCTCAGATCCCTGTTAGGGGCTGAGGGTTGGGGAACAGGTACTGGCCGAGACCTAGTGAAAATGAAGTCATAAACGCCTTGACCAAGATGGGCGTTAATTCACCGGGCTTTGTCCCAGAGTCGAGTCGAACTGGAAAATGTCTTGACTCGGGGGGATTTTATTTGCGTGTTCCCCCTGGATCCACCACGCACGCTCCTGGCTTTCTTGACATCTATACTCCTTACTCGAGTATTAGGAGCTATCTAGAAAAGTGCCAGGGTAGCGAATCTAGTCATAGTATCGGTGAGGGTTCTCCAGGTCACGCAGGAATCGATCCCTGCAACACACGCTAGAAAACCGGGCTTTTTCCGATCGTTTGGACTGGAGAAACTGGAGCCTCTCCGCGATCGTCGCCCCGCCCCCGTATACGTGACTCCCCTCATGGTCTGCTCTTTTCTCCTCTGGCATATCTCGAGATCATATCATGCCTCCTTGACCGTTGGTATCCCATCATGGTCAACATCACCGCCGCCGGGGATGGCATCACCGGCGGCTATACGGGAAACTCCCTCGGCCTCAAAATTACTATCGCAACTTTGGCCGGGGTTACTTGGTATAATGCCTTTGAACTGGTAATTCTAATTTTTGTCACCTTCGCCCAGTATCGCGGTCTTTACTTCTGGAGTCTTCTCATTTCATCCTCTGTCGGCCTCATCCCCTACTCGCTCGGCTTCCTGCTCAAATTCTTCCGCCTCACTGATGCAACCTGGCTGCCAGTAACCTTGCTCACCATAGGCTGGTGGTGCATGGTAACTGGCCAGTCCATCGTGCTTTACTCGCGCTTGCACTTGGTGCTGTCAAACCATCGGATACTGCGACGCGTCTTGACCATGATCCTTGTCGATGCCGTCGCGCTACACCTTCCAACTACCGTCCTTACCTTCGGCAGCAACATGGCTCCCGATAATGCCCGACAACCTTATATAACTGGATATAATAAAATGGAAAAGATCCAGATGACCGGCTTCTGCATACAAGAGTTCGTCATCTCAGGTCTCTATATCTGGGAAACTGTTCGCATGATACGACTCGATCCGGACCGAACCAAGCGCAAGATTCAATACCAGCTCATTTTTATCAACTTTGTGATCATCGCGATGGATCTGGGGCTGCTAGTTGTCGAGTTCAAAAACTTCTATATCATGGAGACCATGCTCAAAGGCGCCGTATACAGCATCAAGTTGAAACTCGAGTTTGCTGTCCTCGGCAAATTGATACACCTCGTCCACAACCATGTATGGAAAGCAGACTCCTTTTCCGGTCCAAGCGAGCTCCCTGACTTTGTGGATGCCACCCGGGTTACGTCCGACCTCACACATGCGGCCCCTACCTTCAGTCGGGGCCGAGGACCCTCGTGGATGGACGCCGATGACATCTCCATTGCCATGTTCGAGCATTCACCCGCGGTGGATGCCAATGGCGTACTTTTGGACATTTCCAATTCTTGGAGCAGCGAGACACGCATTAATCACGGTGACCATATCACCATCGACTTCATCAACCCGTTCTGTCGATATCAGAGCTGGCAGAGCAGGTCTTCCAAGTTGCCTACCACTCCAGAAAAACATGGATGATTGAATCAAGGTCTCTTCTTTTCCCCTCATTTGTATATTCACGAATCACGAATGATGATATACCCCCTTTTATTTCAGGTTGTCTCTCTTGCATGATTAGGGTACTGGTACACCCGTCAGTTGGAAATCAGTAAATAGACGTAAATCATGCTCCGCGACCGATACGGCCGGTCCAGACTGCTGGCATTTTTGTACCGAATATCGCGGTCTGACAGAGAGAGCTCATAGTATACCAAATCACTGGTCATTTGCATAGAATACCAGCTCGTCATGCATTTGGGAAACTTCAGCAACGAAGATGAAAGACTCCTCGATTCGGATATGCCCCACCGTCTTTTCGATCGTTGGTCTCCATTTCGAGTCCCTTAGTTCTAGGGACCGTTCATGGTATTGCGCAAAGTATCACTAGTGCCGCGAGAACTCTGGGACCAATTGTCGGTGGATGGGGATTGGGACTTGGTTTGAAGTATAACATTGTCGGTGCAGTATGGTGGGGACTGGCGGGAGAAGCATTACTGGGCTGGGGTGCTACTATGGACAGTCTATGAGGGCAATGGCATTGAGTCGGACGAGGCGGTTGAGAAGTGATCTAGGCTTAAGTGCTTGTAAGATTTAGTACGAAGAATCCATTATGTTCTCCCTACTCAGACTACTGCTTCCAAGCAAACACATCGGCCCCGGTGGTTGACTTGCTGGCATCGGCGGACTCCGCTCCTTCACCCACAAGGTAGCCACGGAACGCTTACATATCACGGCCTGCCCCGCACTGTCCCCGCCAAACATTGAAGCTCTTCTGCTCGGAAACACCTCACTTTCTCAACAATCTCCAGACAGTATTGCCCATTATGACTACCCTCCAGCCTGGTGACACTTTCCCCAGTGATGTGACCTTCCAGTAAGAGGAACACCAGAAATGCTAATGTGAATGCAGCTCATGGCTGATTGCGAACAGGTACATCCCATGGTCCGAAGAAAGCAGTGATGTCTCTTCATGCGGAATGCCAATCAACTATCATGCGTCCAAGGAGTGGGCTGACAAGAAGGTCGTCCTTTTCTCGGTTCCCGGTAAGTTTCCACTACCTGACGCTGGTAGCAAATCATCAACTAAACAACCCACTGCGGCACAGGCGCCTTTACCCCCACTTGCTCCGTCAATCACGTCCCGGGCTACATTCAGAACCTGCCCAAGCTGAAGGAGAAGGGCGTAGATATCGTCGCAGTCCTCGCCTTCAACGATCCCTTTGTGATGAGCGCTTGGGGCAAGGTGAACGGGGTGCGCGACAACATTGTGAGTACCCCCTGTCATAATTTTTTCAATGAGGCAGAGACTCACTCTTTCTACGCAGCTCTTCCTCTCTGACCCCGATGCAAAGTTCTCCAAGAGCATTGGATGGGCTGACGACGCCTCGGGTCGCACTGGCCGGTATGCCATTGTTATCGACCACGGCAAAGTTACTTACGCTCAGATCGAGACCGAGAGGGGTGCTGTCAAGGTAAGAGACCGATATGTCAGCTCAGTATACGCGGGATTGAAATGCTAATATACTTTTGGACTATACAGAAGTCTGGCGCTGATGCTGTGCTTGCTTCGCTTTAAATGACGTCATATGGCATCACTCTGGTCGCTCAGCAGTTCAATTGAGATCTAATTTGACACAGCAAGATTACTGAAGGTGTCAGATTCACTCGTATGACTGAGAATAGAGAATAGATGTACCGCCAGTGATTTCGTTTAGCGATCTTCGTAGATTGTTACGCGAGGATGCTGATTCCATATTAAAAGTTGACGGAGAAAGATAAACTCAACCCGGTGCCCAAAACGACAAAAATACTCATGCAGAAAGCTGCCGAGTGGCACAGTCCAGGCTTTCAATGAACTGCGAGTATCTGGTATCGAACGGAATTTTTCACCATTTTCATTTTCAACTAGAGAGACAGTGCTAGAGGCCATTCATGGTCCAGGCGTCGCAATTCTGGAATTCGGCTATACTTATAGTTGGAAATAACTTGAAGCTGTGGCGAAAGGCTCATTTTATACTGTTCACAGCGACGGGTATAGTTGCTGCTGCCGAGATACTTGAAAACCCACGACAAATAGTTGGGTTCCTGGTCAAGGTCGGTTTTGAGCCGACTTCGGGTATAAAATTGGATTCAAGATCGGCATCGGTGTCGACGGAGAAATATCGGGAACCATAAACCTTGGAACGTTTCTTTCTCCACATCCCCGTGGGGAAGCGGCCCGGCTTTCGTTTAGTTGAGCTTCATCAGGAAGGTCGATATTTGTGCTACCACATCGATGCAACCATACCTGATGGCTACATAAGTCTCTATCTCCCGCATCCAGCACTCATGCCAATCTGTTCATCTGTCTATTAGGGCATCATGGCCAGTCTACTGAAACTGACTCTGCTGGCGAGTGTCGCTGTGTCTGCAGCAAGTGGTGACGTCCGCGTAAGTGGCTCTTTGAACAACGACCTACACTCACTAATTCCCTGGAGACTATCGCTGCGCGCACTGAGGCCCCAGCATGTACTGATGCAGTCTCAACGTTGTCACTTAGTGACCCACCCTACGACAACTTCTTCTACTCGGACTGCAACGTCGCCGCACAGGCTGTGATCACTAGCCCACTACCAGACAGCAATCTCTCAATTATTGGCCCTCGACTCATTGTGGCATGGCCTGCTGGCAACAGCGGTGTTTGCGCATTCTTCGCGCCTCAAAGTGGCGTCAATGGATCGCTCTCCCTTGAACTCATTAACTCCACTGATAATCAGCCCTTGAGTCCTGTCTACACTGCCCCTTTAGATGGAAATCAGTATCCCAGTGTGGGTATACAAGGTATTTTACGCTTCAATTCTTCGGCTACACTGACGGTTCCCATCTTGGGAAGTATTCGCACGATCCGAGATTTTACCGAGGGTCCTGGCATTCTCTATCCGGAGATTCAGAACGCCATCAGATTTACTTCAGATAGCGATGGCAGCGTCACGCTTCAACGACTTTGGCTGGACAATACCACGTCAACGCTGCTCCGTTTCAGCCCCAATGGTACCGACAGCAAAGTGACTATATCTAACAAGACTGTCAACTTCTTAGCGGGCGACTACCTTTTCACGGCAGAGATGAACTACCCACAGCTGTCCCAGCTTAAAGCAAGTGCAGCACTGAACGAGCAATCAGCAAACTTGACCACACAAATGCCGGACCAGACAACCGCGCTCTCGTTTCTGGCATACTCGGAGAAACTCCTTGCAGGTGCCTGGCGATTTTTGACGTACTTCGGGCGCGACTCCATGATCTCGGCATTACTATTGGAGCCTGTGCTCAGTAGTGGAAATGGCAGTTCTATGGAGGCAGTCATCGGTTCGGTCCTAGAGAGAATAAATCGTACGGATGGCAGTGTTTGTCACGAGGAAACAATTGGGTGCGTTTTGCCCTGATTCTGTTCAAGTCGACTTTGCTGATAACCCGCAGTGACTATGCAACTTGGACGAATCTTCAAGATAATATTACCAGCAATGCTATGATTTGTGATTACAAAATGGTTCGTTGTCTCAACAAGTTTTGTCAAAGAAAAGTGTCTCACGCTAGACATAGATTGACTCGGACTATTACCTGCCCATCTTGATGGAGAAATACTTTTTGCAAAACCCAGTTGGGCAAACCAGAGTTTCTACATTCCTCAAGTAAGCTGACAATCCTCAATTGCTGTACGTTACTTAACATGCTTTCCAGCATGTCATCGAACATCAACGAAGCGAACCAGAACTTGACCTGGGACAGCTGGCAACAATAAACGCGGCCAGAATTATGCATCTTACAGGACCCTTTGCCCATAATCAGGTCAAAGAAAATCTGATCCATCTAAAAGACGGACAGATTGTTGGAGAATGGAGAGACAGCACATACGGTACATATCATGCACCTTTCATTTCACCGACTGTACTCAACAAACTGATAATGCGACAGGTATTGGAGGGGGCCGCATTCCCTACGACGTCAACACAGCCCTCGTCCCCGCAGCTCTACGCTCCATCGCCTCCCTCTCTCGACACGGCATTTATCCCGGCCATTCAAGCTGGGCCCAACTGGCAGATACTTACGCTCAGATCTGGGAAGACAAAACACTCTCTTTCTTCGAAGTCACCATACCGCAAGGAAAAGCACGATCTCTCGTTCAATCCTACGCCAATACTTCTTTTGCAGGACCGGACCAGTCCTCAACCATTGATACAGACGTCGTCTTCCACGCTCTATCCCTGGACGGCAACAACAATCTAACTCAAGTCCAAGTCATGAACACAGACGATTGTTTCCGCCATTTCCTACTCAACACAACAAATGACGCCCAACTCACATCTTTCCTCAATAACTCCGCCACTAACATCCGCCGCACATTCCCAGCTGGCCTCATGACCTCCGCCGGTATGGTAGTAGCCAATCCGGCCTTTGGCGGGAATCCAGTCTACGCGCAGAACTGGACGACAGGCGCATACCACGGCACAGTCATTTGGTCTTGGCCACTCGCAATGATGGCCAAAGGCTTGGAGATGCAGTTAGGTCGATGCGAGGTTTCAGCCAACTTTTCAATTTCCTCCGTGAAAAAGGCTGCGATGCGCGTACCTGATTTCTGTACCGATGACTCCGTCTATGGGAATGTGAAAGAGGCCTATAATGTTCTTTGGGACTCGATCGAGGGGGTTCAGGATCAGCTTTCGCAGGAAGTGTGGTCGTGGGTTTATCGTGATGGTGGGTTCCAGGTAACTCCACTGGGTGTTATTCCTCCGCCTGGAGGTGGGAGCCAGACTGGTATTTCCCTCTCTCTTTCCTCGACGGATATATGAGATCTATATCCGCTAACCGCTTCTAGAATCTGATATTCGGCAACTTTGGTCGCTTTCTTTCCTTGCTGTGACTAGGAATCAGAATTATAAGTAGTATACCGGCGGGACTTACGACAGTCGTGCTTGTAAATTGGACAGGTACAGAGCTGAACTGTCAAGTCTAACATTATCAGTGAATACACTCTTTGATTCTCAGATTTACTACCGATCTACATAAGCTTGACTATTTAATACAGGCTCCGATTGTGAGCCTTACAATCCTCGGCCTGGAATTGATAGCTAGAGGTATCATCCAATCGAGCTAATTTATTCCTGATGTTTACTTCAAGATTACCATGGGCCTTAATATAACCTATTCTCCTCGCTGGACAATTTCAACCCCCCCTAGACGGCTTCAATAATCTTCTCGACGCAAGATAGTATACAAGATCTGGTGTTTTGTGGGCGGCGCATGACTTGTGGTTTCGCAAATGCAAAGGCACACCCCGCTCGCGACACAGGGTCACAAAAACTGTTGATTGAAGGACGCGCTCGCTGGTTTGCCCTGGGACGAATTGGATCAGGACCTAGACCCTATTTCTCTGGCGAAGACGGGGTGTATGAGCCTGATATGGAAACTTTGCCAATGCACAGGGAGGTGCTGAGGAGGCATGTCAAACGTGGTATGATGATTCAAGTTACTCCTGGACATGAGATTAGGCAGTTCCAGACTCAAGAGCTTTGAGGCTTCGTTCGATGATGCGAGGACAATTGTTGAGAGGTTGAGGATTGTTTTTTATGTTGAGGTTATTTGAATCAGTAGAATTTTGGGATGGAATAAGCTGATGATTTTGCTAAGTAGCGCACTACGCTTTGGGATAGACGAGGTATAGCAGACAGCCAGGCCCAGAGTAAAAATGGAAGGATTAAAAAATGAAAGAGAACAGAATGCCGCAAGACCATTGAAGAAAATGTTAGTTGGCAGCCTGCTTCCATCCGGACTCTCCACGGACAAGCTCAAACTCCCGATATCCCTCGACTAGTCCATCAGACATCTTGCTTAGGGCCACCCAGGCCGGTGCATATTGTCTAGCCTCGTCCAGAGCAGGAATCAGTCCGGGTGTGTTGTTGTCGCTCCAGAGACAAGACACACGCCCCTTGATAGACGATTCCTCGATCTCTTCGGGATGCTTGGAGAAATTGACATCCACGGTCCAATTTCCATCCCAGGTTCGGCTCCACAAGCGAATCTCCTGCATGCCATCTGAGGCAGGGTGCAAGAAACGAGGATCGGGGGGGAGGAGCCAACCACGCTAAAGTTAGTGATCAGGTGACGGTTCATGGTGATACGACAGGCGCGGGTGTTCAAGCCTGAGATATCAAAACGCACTGAGGCGCTGTTCTCGGGGTAGGAGATGCTGTATGCAACCCAATCCGGGGAGGGAGAGGATGGCTCGGGAACAACGTGGGGTTCCGGGCCGGCCCAGGCACATTGTGTGCGCTTGAGCCAAGGGTAGCACTCAGTCTGGCCACCCGAACTTGGAAGGCCCCGGACCACGTCCGCCACGAAAGGGTATACGCCGGTAAGAGAGGCGGTAGTATTTCCTCGGTCTAGATCAACTTGCTGAGAGAAGTACAACTTCACGCGGTTGGAGTTGGAGAAGGGGAAAGCAATGCAGTTGTAGATGACTGTGCCGATCAGGACGAAGAACAGGAAGAATGGGATGTGGTATGTATAGCGGTGGATATATGGCAACATGGGGGCAAAGATCATCGTGGTCAGGCTGGCAATTGCAATGTACACAAACAATGCTGGGTTACCATCTTGACCAGTTTGGTAGAAGGCGCTGGAGAGCAGCAGAGCGATTGGGGCAACCAGGGTAAGGATGATGGGGGCAGTTAGCAGAAGCTGAAGGACCCAGGTCCACGATGGCATTGATGCACTCCATGTTTGTTCATTTCCGTAGACGTTTGGATCTTGTTCTTCCGCTTCCTCTTCGGGATCAGATGCATGATCTCCCGAGACATTGACATAATTTGCAAACGTAGTACGCTGGCGGCTATGCAGCAGTGATGTTTGTTCAGTTGGCTCCTCATCGTCATCATGGTGTTCATCCCCAGCCGCAGTGCCGAGTCGGCTACCATACGTGCTGGGACGAGAGCCCAGTGCAAATTGAGCAGTGTAATCTGCTTTAGTTGGCAGAGAGAAGAGCTCAAGATAGGAGATCCAGGTCGCCAGGAAGGTGCCAACGAAGTAGAAGAACACAAAATAGCCGCCGCCAAGCCCTTCCTCTCTCTCATAGACAGTAGCAACCACCATCAGAGCCCATGCAAGAACAAACAGCCAGGTCCAGGTATACACCCGGTGGAATGCTGATGGTCGTGCGAAGTCGGCCACGCGAGACACAAACCAAGCCAAGAAGATCCAGGCAGAAATCATCATGCTCCACACTGCATAGGCGCTGCTATGCACGATGTAGGGGTTCACCTTGGTCAACAGGTAAGCTAAGCCAATAGTCACTGCTGTGGGAACGCCGAGCAGGAACGGAAACCGGAAGAATCCTCGAAGACCACGAAGCGCAACCCTCTCCTCACTCCCATCAACTTTCGCCGCAGATCGGAACAGATACATCTTGTCAGCCTTGGAAAGGGCCACGCTCGTGATGAGCAACGTCAACGGCGCTATTATCAACATAGTCACCGACAGCGCAAAGAGAGTGTGTACCTGGAACACAGCAAATGCACTACCGAAGAGATCGAACCAAACAGCCGGGGAGCCGGTTCCGCTTGGAACAGAATCGTCATCGTGGAGGTGACCATCAAACCGATCTGTGGAATCAGAAACAAGTCCTTCGGTCGTCGCAACAGCAGCCGATAGCATATGCCAGATCGAATCAATGCTCGTATGCCGGGCATCGTCCTGATCAGTATGATACCGAGCCCTTGGCTCATAAAAGGCAATATCCAGTCCACGCAGCCCCATCATTCCCTCAAAAACAACATAATCCGTCTGGCTACCGATTTTATCAAAGCCATTGGCGCTCAACACAGATCCGAACGGATGCGGTGATTTCGCATAGGCCTGGGTGACCTCGGTATCCGAACTTCGGAACAAAGTCGCACGGCCACCAGCGCCAGCGCCTTCAAGATTTAGGAACGTATGGGCAAATTTCGCCAGTGGGTGCTGGCTGTACGCCCGAGCACCATTTAGATAGTCCTCTTCGCCATTGTTGAAGAGCACCACCAAGCCGCGGCGTGGGGCGTTCTCCGGCACAGTGAAGTATTTGAGCAACTGCAGGCATGTCACAACACCGACCCCATCATCTGTGGCGCCGTATCCGGTCGACACACTGTCGTAGTGCGCGTTGACCAGCACTCCGCCTTTACCAGCGGGCACCTTGCCAGGCACCTCCCACCAGTTATCTTTCTTATCTTCCCATCCACGAATGTAGACCAAGATGTTGGTTCCCTCGAAATAGACACCAGTTCGGGCATCGTTGGAAGTCAGGTTCGAGGTCATGTCGTCGAAGACGAAGACCTCCGGCTGTTTCTCGGAGGTCACGTATTCTGCTGACGCGATTTTGATCGCGTCAATGCGCTCTAGCAGCCAGTCGCGCACCTGGTCATTCCGGCGAGAGTTGTACGGATGGAAACCCCTGGTCAGAGTCTGAAGGTCCTGCCATGCTTCTGTGAGGTTCAAGCCATGGGGGCTGGTTCGCGGAGCGGCCGGGACGTTGAGATGGATAACGAGGACGGGAATGATCAGCGCCAGGTACACCACGGTCGTTATTATGGTGACTGGCCACGGCGTAAAGGCCAGAGGGTTTCTGGCTTTGAGAAAAGCCATCGCCGAGGGGGTGGGCAGCCGAGGGATGGGAAAGTTGAGGTTGCGTTGGAGAATGCGGGGGGAGCTTTTGGTTTTACGGGTAGCCTTGCACGGGCTCCGTAATCTACAACTACATTCGCTATTGCATCACCACCCCTAGGCAATTTTGGTCCGAGGAATAAATGGTGTGTAATTTCTCATAAATAATTCATACAACGGTAAACTGTTATCGCTTTCGCAGAATGCATTCCCTGGATAATAGACGCCAAAGGGCAGAGGGTAATCTTTCGCTCATATGGGTAGAAATATGAAAGCTTGCACCTGATCCTGACCCGGGCCGCCGGAGTAGATGGGATGGGCCGAGGAGCATGGCACAAAAACAAAACATAGCAAGGGGGTAACAGATCAGAACTGGAGGCCTCCTGTGTCATGGACGGAGAAATGCAGCAAAGGAGAGGGGGTATCGTAGTTCATTCGTTGAGAGGCCCGACGTCGATATAATCTTCATCATTGAGGTCTGTCGCATGCATCAGTCCCGTCACCTGGCCTTCATCTTCGTCTAGCTCTTCGTCGTCATCGTACATCGTGGCCTCTGTCTCTCCTCGCGTCGTTCCGATGTCCCGGTTCAGGTACTCGCGGAGTCGTGTCACGCCCTCGCCACTAAAGACGCAGAAGACGTCTCTTTGTTGCTGCGTGAACTCTGGAGGAGCTTCCCGGCAGAAAGCAGTAAGGTTGTCTTCCATGAAAGCCGGTACGCCAGTCAAGCTCAAGTGAGTGAGTCGCGGGCAATTGTTGATCAGAGGTCGAATGCCCTAGGGAAGCAAGTCAGTGTATAGAGAAATGGAAGAGCTGGCTAGGTTCACTTACGTCCATGTTCAGCCCAACACAGTAGCTCAGGTGCACACGCTCCAGGTTGCTAACCATCGGGTGATTTGTTCGAGGGGATGAGCTAAAGCTAGGATACTTTGGTTCGAGATAGCCTGACATTTGACCAACCCGATACGACGCAGCTTAGGCAAACTGGCCAACTGCTGCACACTTATATCGGTCAAGCGATTGCAGCAAGCCAGATCGATATATCTAATGCGATTGCAAGATTTGATGAGTTGAATGACTGCCGTGTCAGTGATGTTTGAGCAGTGGCCAAGATGCACATAGTGGAGGTTTTTGCCCAATCGGCAAATAGCCTGCACTGAGCGATCTGTGATGAAGCGGCACTTCGCCAATACCAAATTTCGTAGTCGAGGAGCAGCGTTCACGATTCGCTCAATGGCATCGTCCTTGACATTCTCACAGGCTGTCATATCAAGGATTCGCAGACTGTCAAAGGTGATGCGCTCGGGCAAGTTCATGAAGGCCGAATCATTAATCTCCGTGCAATGAGCAAGGCGGAGTTCTCGGAGGTGGCGGAGCGTGGTGATCAGTGCCGTTACTGATGGGCTAGTGACGAGTTTACAGTCGTGCAAATCGATCTCCAGGATGGCCGGGCAATTATCTGCGAAAGACATGATTGACCGATCCGTAACATTAGAAACACCATTGAGTTTTAACTAAGAAAGAACAAAATTATTAGTCAACTCGATCTTGAAGACCCTCATGGAAATTACACATACCCTCTTGATCTGGCGGCAATTTTGCGATATGATCAGTAGCGAGTCGTCGGTCACCTTGGAGCAGCCTGTGATATTCAGGCCCTGCAATCGCGGGCAGTTACGAGAAACCGCGTAAAGAGTGTGATCGGTTAACTCGCGCAGCTCAGAGACATCCAGCGCCTGTAGATGCCGATTGCCCTCTACAAGCTCCGACACCCCTTTGTCCGTAAGCTTAGAGCAATTCGTCAAGGTCAAGCGCTCAACGCGCTTGCACTGTGTGAATGGCGCGACCGTGCCATCGCTGACCTCCTCGGTTAGGGCCGAGAGATTGAGTCGCTTGATCAGATCCCCATAGGTGAAGAGACTATCCGGCGCCCCAAGAGTTGAGGTCACGCTCTTCAAATTATCCCAGTTATTGCAAGACGGGCGGTGCCATAAAATACCCACTGAGTTTGAAGCCCAGTTGCGACACACGAGCATGCAGTTTCGCATGTCGAGGGTGAGACGAGCTTGGAGAAGATGGCGATCAAGATCTCGGGCGGGAGGCGCCCGATCGGAGGCACAGGAGCCGATCGACTACTCTGCACGTGGGAATCGCGGAAATTGGTGATACCGATCGAAGATTGCGAGTCGTTGGCCTGGGCCATGAAGAAGTCGGTGTCATCGTCTGCGGCTCGTTCCGGTGACGTCGAGGAGGATGTTTCCGAGGGGGCTTCACTCGACACGCGAGCCCGAGGAAGAGGACGAGGCATCTTAGCCGATGATGATTCGAGGTCTATAGTCCTGTCCGATTTTCTTCTGAGGTTATCGTAGGGTTGAAATCTCATCACTCCCGAGATGACGTTTGCATAGGTGGTGGTTATACGAGAGGCGAGAAACCGCTCGGACGAGTAGGACGAGGTAAGACAAGAGCTTTGCGGGTAGGTTGGTCGGGAGTCTCAAGAGGTGACGGATTTCTTCAGGGAAGTGGGCGGAAGGTCATGCGCGGGTGGAAGGTGAATGATGAAGGATGGAGGGTGAGTTGAGAACGCTCAGTCGCACGAAAATTGCGAGTGTTTGACGGTTCAGAGGGGGCTAGCAGAAGTGAATTTGAGCAAATTCAACAAATACTTCAACCCTTTCACGATCCCAGGGGGGGGTAAAGGTGCAGGATGGAGGATCTAGGCGGCAAATGGAGGGGGATGAGGCGATCCAGTCTCACAAGCGCGGAGTGGGCGCCAAGCTCAGCTTATCGATGTGATAAGATGCGACCCTCGAAGTGCTGGACCAAAATAGCACTAGAGCTTTGGAGAAGAAGAGCGGAGCAGAAGTGAGGGCTTTTCACGCTGTTTGAAAGATATGTCTACTGGGTGACCTCGAGGTCTTTTGACGCGGTCCCGTGAAAGTCTTGGATGATCCGAGCCCCACAAAAAAAGGTATTACCTCATTCATCCTCCATCTATATACAACGGATATTCCACTACATTCCTCAGCTCTATATCTCAGTTGCCTCTCGGCTCCTTCACCCATTCACGCAGCACATTCTTCCGAATCTTACCCGTACTGGTTTTAGGCAACTCTTCGACTATCTGCACCTCGCGCGGAATCATGAACTTGCTGATTCCACTGTGATTTCGGGCCCAATCAATGACATCTTGCCCCATGATGTGTTTGCCTCCTTTGACCGTGATAAATGCTTTCGGACGTTCTCCCCAGTGAGTGTCAGGAACAGCAACAACACCCGCCTCGAGGATGTCCGGATGGGTTGCTAGCATAGACTCTAGTGCCACGGAAGATATATTTTCGCCACCTGTCTTGGTCAGCAATGATCAGAATCTCCTAGAACACCACTAGCTGACATACCACTAATAATGATATCCTTAGCTCGGTCGAGAATTTGAATAGCACCATCGGGGTGCCAAACAGCTAAATCTCCCGAATGAAGTACGCCGCCCGAGAATAGCTTGCGGGTAGCCTCGGGGTCCTTGAAGTAACCTCGAGCACAGATATTACCAACGAAGACAATTTCGCCGATCTCCTTGCCATCGCGCGTAACATCGATGACCGTTCCCTCGGGCACTTCGGTCTTGATCACCCGCACGGGAAGACTAGTGATGAAACCATGGCCTTGTCGGGCCATCTTCTGGTACTTTTCTTTCAGGGGCATTTGGTCCCACTGCGGTAGATAGTATCCCTTGGTAATAGGGCCGTAAGTCTCGGTCATGCCATAGACATGGACTGGATGCAGGTTGAAATTTGTCATTTGTTCAAACAGATGAGGTGTAGGGGGGGCTGGCTGCTACCGTAACGCGAACGGGGTTAGGAAGACTTTCAGCCTCTTCAGAGTTGCAGAGGAGGGTATTGACGGTTGGTGCTGCGTTGAAATGGGTGATACGCTCTTCTTTGAGGAGTCTCCAAATTTGTGGATAGTCAATCTTGCGTAAACAGTAGTGAGTACCACGGACCGCAGTCACAGCCCATGGGAATGTCCATCCTATTGCACATGTTAGAAGCAGTCTTGGTTCCTTGTAGGAATCCACGCACCCATTGCATGAAACATGGGCAATGTCCAGAGATACTTTGCCCGACCGCGGTCCAAGTTGAGACCAGATTCGATAACATTCGCGAGACTCGCTAGGTAGCATCCTCGGTGGGTAAACTCAACGCCTTTTGGCTTAGCAGTGGTTCCACTGGTGTATGCCAATGCGATGATGGATTCTTCATCCGCAGCCTGGCTCTCCAGGCCCTCCCAGCCCCGCGCGTCGATTTCCAAGTCGTACTTCAACCCTTCGAGTACAGCATGATCAAAAGGTCCCGTCAATTCCCCCTCCGTAGCATCAGTGTCAGTATCGATGATGATGGGGATTTGAGGATGCTGTGATCTGTACGTCTCCAGCAGCGACTCAAATTCTTGGTCGGCGATGATCACGTCAACATCTCCATGCTCGAATATGTAGGCGATGTCTTCATGCTTGAGACGATAATTGACAGCTAGTGGTCAACCCAGTCAATTTTACAGTTCAACGTGACGGATGTGAGTATGCTTACCAACATTAATAGCCCCTGCAGCGGCGATCCCAAAGATCGACTCCAGGAATGCCGGTGTATTTGGACACAAAATGCCCACTCTTTTGAACCCATGCTTTTTCAAGTAATAAGCCAGACCACAGGCCCGGTCCGCAAGCTCGCTGTAACTCCGGTGGAGGATCTTGTTGTTGGCTGTAATGTGATAGACTGCTTCCGCCTATGTAGATGTCAGCAGCTGGTCTTTGATACAAGCGCAACGCCGCTATAGCACCCGCGGGAAAGCTCCAATGGCCACATACATCCGGTTCAATCGCCGCCGCCCTAGGCAAGAAGAAAGTCGGCGAGAGGGTATGATGGTTGTATCGATGCTCGAAGGGAGCCGATGTCGAACCAGCCAAATGGCCAACCAGGCTAGCCAGTCGAGACTTCACGCCAGACATATTCAAGGTACAGGATAATTCTGAAGAACCAAATACAGGGGGAAAGGGCGATAGAATTTACTTGGAGAAATGCGGGGAAGGTCAATGGCGTTAGTCTTTAACCTAGGTTCGGAGCGGGGATTTCGGGTACGGGGAGACGGAATGCATACCAGTCTGTTCACCGACTTTGTTCCTTCCTTACGACCGCCCACCTATTTTACTATACATGACGACTTCAGCTTCTTCCTCTATTAACTACGTGAAATGGACTACCCCCCTATTTCGCCCGATCTTAATCCCCAGGAGAACCTAGGGAATTGGCTAAAGGATCACGTGTCTTCTAGATGCGCATCCTACGCATCACATGTAGGCTATCATGACCTTGCGCCTATAATACAGGAAGGGTGGGAAGCTCTGCCTAAAGATATGCTAGAAGGGCTAGTGAATTCAATGCCACACCGTGTTCAGGAGGTAATTGAAAGAGATGAAAAGGCGACGCATTATTATAACATCTGCATACAATGATTGTTCACACAAAACTGGCAGAATAATGGTGGACACGGACATATATTCCTTGGTCACCCTGTAGGACCCTGTCCATTATGGATAATGCGGGGAGTCGGGACATCCCATGTCGCAGATTAGAGCACAGCTGCTACCAACCACAATCTGGTGTCCCCTCCGCGCTATGATTAATGGAGGGGGTTACAAATGGATTTGCAGCGAGTCGGGGTGTAGTTGAGCAAAGACGTGAATAGGCATGCATGTGGGCGAGCTTGCACATTCACCCAGATAGTGAAAGGCCTCCCGGACGGCCACCTCTACTGCCGAACGAAGGGAATCATCTAGTGAATCCCACTTGAGCAACGACTTGTCTTCCCGCGTGTTAGTTGAAATGTGCTTCAACAATACATTGAAAAGGAGCAAAGGCCCTCCAAAAGACCTTCCACAAGCAGCCTCCAGGCCCCTCCAGAGTATCAAATGGGTCAGACATTACGAGTGACTATTCCGTCAGTTCCGAGTATGAAGAGACGAATTGTGATGTGCATGAGACCGTTCTGAGACCATTCTGATACTACTTGTACCAGACGGAGCATCAGAGCAGTAGATTCAAGTGTGCTGTACTGGAATACGAGCTACGCCGACGAGGCATGGAACATACGTAAAAGATGTATGGAAGAAGATGAACCTGCATCATCATAAGATCATGTTGAACTCTTGAAAATTTGTTTTGGATTAAACCGCCACGGCGCGAGATAAACAGCCAGCTATTTTGAACAACCTTTCATCCCGCGACGTTTTTTCTGCTTTTTGAGAACTTCCGAAGAGCACCTAGTCCCGCCAGCCAGCCCGTGTTCGTCACAACCGCAAAGTCGTGGTATTCCACAGGACAGCCAGAAGACCCGGGGCCATGGAATAAGGTCGATCGGCTTGCCGTTCAATTTCACTGAAACAAAACCGTTCGCAATCCCAACCCGCTCGCAACAACCGGCCGCACTTCATCAGGTATCTAGTAGCCGTACTGAGCAAGCTGGTTCTTAGTCTTGCTGTCAACGTTCGCACCCTGCTCCGCCTTGGCAAGGTTACGGCGAGCGGCCTTCTTGCGCTCGTAGTAAGCCTTGCTCTTGACCTTCCGACGCTCCTCAAGACTGTGGAGAATTTGTTAGCACTTGCTATCTTAGTTATCATGGGCATGTGAGTCAAAACGTACCGAGAGACAACGTCCTGGTACTTCCAGCCAACCTCGTGGCTGAGACGGCCAACAGTGCAGTACTTGCGGCCGGGACGGAGGCGCAGGACACGGAGAGCCTGGGGAACGACAACGCGCTTCTTCTTGTCGTAGGGAGGGGGGACACCCTCGAAGACCTTGAGGCGCTCCATGGCGGCGGCACCGCGGGCGGTCTTGTGGGGCATCATGCCGCGGACAGCCTTGTAGAAGATGCGGGAAGGAGCGCGGAAGTGGAAGGGACCACCGCGAGTGGGGTTGAAACGAGTCATCTTGCGGAGGTAGGCGTGGTACTTGACTGTACGTCGACAAATATTCAATGTTAGCGATCTGCGCGGGACGTGTGATTTCCATAGCCGTGGGTGTCGTCTTGTGTCGCAGTCGTCTCGGTTCCTTCTTTCGCAACACATTTTTCCTTCCACGGCATAGATGGGAGGAACGGGGGTTTGAACGTACGCTTCGCACGGAAGAACTCGCCGGAGATGTTGAGAGCCTCACATCTCACAACGACGATCTTCTGGCCGTTCAGCAGCTGCTTAGCGACAGTGCTGGCCAGGCGACCAAGGAGATGTCCCTTGCCGTCGATGACGACCTGTAAAGCGTCCAAGTCAGCGATCTTGATCTCGAAATGCACCATTTTGAAGACGGTGGTATTTTGGCGACTTAGAGTGCAGTGGGAATGAGGAACGCACCACTGATTCGAAGGAGGACATCCTGCAGTCACCGATTGAAGGATATGTCGGTTGGTTGTCGGCGGTTGTTGTCGTTGGAGTCAAGTCGACGCACACAACGAAGTCGGATGGATCTCAGGCGAAGGGGCTAAGCGAGCCCGAAGGCCTACTGTGTGTGGATTAGCGGCGAGGGCCGCAGCCCTAATGTGGGCCAATGATAAAATCAACGTCATGTGATTGTTCACTACTGCCTGGACGTTGCTGACTGATTCAGCCACTTGTGCGGTTCATCCACTTGACTTTTTCTAGGGCACTTTTTTAGGGCTGCCCAGCCTTGTTCTAGAAAGATTGAAGTGGCCATTTCTGGTGTGAGGGGATCGGAGATTCATTCTTATAGCTGCACTGCGAGATCATTCACATGATAGTGTTCGAATACTACCCTTCTTTCGAGAACGATCATACCTCCTTCAGATCCACCTGCATCTCTTCCTTCATCACTATTCACTTGATCTGACTTGCACTCTATCATCGGGTATCCAGGTGGTCTAAGACTGGGTCCGATGACTAATAGACTACCATAGGCCTTTAATGTTTTTCTTCATCACCTGCCTCCAGTTTGCTATACTCCTAATCTCGCGCCCTATGAGATCTGGAACAGCCCAATTGTTCGCGCTCATCGCGACGCTACTGGGTAGCACCGACAGCCCTGCATAGCCGCATAGCCGGAATCGATATGCCCACTTAGTAGCGAAGAACCATGCGTCGCAAAACACGATTTGTTTGCGTCTCCGATACCCATGGTTATACCCCCTCCGAGGCAGGGTTCAAGCTCCCGGCAGGGATGTGCTGATACACGCGGGCGATTTGACTAATAAGGGAAGCATGTCTGAGCTCCGCAGGACAATGGACTGGATATCCGAGGCCGACTTTGAAATCAAACTCATTGTGGCTGGTCAGTCTACTCTTCCCCCTCCAGATGCCCGACGGCGCTTGATTGAGTGCGTTCCATGAGCTAGATAATGGAGGCTGCTGTAGTACACGCCGCGGCATTACTGGGGCGACGTACGGTCTAAGGGCTTCGTCGATTGCTGAACTCACCACCTTACAGGGAACCACGATATTACGCTAGATCCGGAATTTTATGCACAGCACGGGCAGGGCCTTCATGGTGACCAACTTGAAGATCCACGACAATGCGTTGAGGTTATCACCAGGTGGAAGCCTTCGGTCCAACTGCTTCAACACCAGGCAGCTACCATCCGATTAACCCGAGCCGATGGCCCAAAGACATCATTCAAGGTGTTCGGATCTCCATATTCCCAGTTTCAGGGCAACTGGGCTTTTGGATACGAATCAAGCAAGGCGAAAGCGCTCTGGGATTCAATACCCCTGGACACCGACATTATCGTGACGCATACGCCACCGCGCTCTCACTGCGACCAGAAGCCGAATGGAAAGTTCGTCGGGTGCGACGCGCTTCGCCGGGCTCTCAACCGCGTCAGGCCACCGTTGGCTATATGTGGCCATGTGCATGAAGGACGAGGCTACGAGATAATCCGCTGGCAGCCCGCGCTTATCAGAGCAAGGCCTGATGCTGACGGCGTCGATGGTTTCACTCGGGGCGTTCTGCCTTCCACTGGAAGTAAAAAGCAGAGCCTTGTCGACCTCACGGATAAACGGGGCCCACGCCTGGACAACGAGGGATTTTCATGCTCGTTGCCGGCCTCTGCCAGTCCGATGTCACCATCCGGGGTGTCAGCGGTCTCTGGGCAGGGCTGTGCTCCGTCTGTGAGCGCTGCTGATACCCATGGGCTCGATCAGGCCCTGCACACGCTGAGAAAGGAAACGTGCATCGTCAATGCTGCCATCGTTGCCACTAGCTGGCCGCATCGGGGAGGCAAACGGTTCCATGCGCCGATAGTGGTCGACTTGGAACTGCCAGTCTGGCAAGATATGGCCGCCGCTGAATCACAACGCATCTGACCTCGAGTCGATCTCTCTGCCGTGCGTTCGCTTTGGCGAAGGACTCGTCTTCCGCGGGCAAATCGATCGCCGCACAGTAAGGTAGGTGTCCTACCATGCACGCCGTGGCTTGGGACCGATCCAGTGCTTGCTGCCATGCAGGATCCCGGAGGAGCTTTGGCCGTCGTCTGAACGGTGGTTGGACGCTTTGATGCATGATCGTTCAAGGATTTGTCGACTGGTGACCCGAGCATTCGAGAAGGCCGTCAACGCTTACATCACTTTGCACTGGCGGGTCTGCGAGGCTGTTGATCCTTGGAAGCCCGGCCGTAGGTAGTTTCATGTACAGGGATAGATAATGACATTCCTTGGCCGTAGAGCCTCGAAGTCAACTTGCATATCTCCACTCTTGTAGAACCCCGCAGATTACCATGCGCCCGCATCTTAATACGCATCTGACAGATCGCAGCCGAAGTTGGCGCTTCACCAACCGTGATATCACATCTTCAGTCATCTGCAACGGCAATCCACCGAACTCAAAGACCCCTGTGATTCCAGATTCCAGAAACATCGGCGCTTGGAGCCGCGCCGTGAATGGGTGAGGATAACGGCAGGCGACCATGAACTAACCAGGCTACGGGCCTCTCACCACCTTGATACGACCCACGCGAGGCCGATCATGAAGATTCTTCACCGGACCAGACACGTTGAGGGGATGCAGAAATGAAACACTAATGCCAATGACGCCGCGGCGGGGGGGGGGGGATTTGCGGTGATCGTTCATACTCGAGCCCTGCATGTCCAGGTGGCCCAGGACCAATCCTGAATATTCCGAGGGGCTTTCAGATCCGACGAGTTTACGCAGAAGGCTAGATCCCAGCTCAGGAGGAGACCCTTTGTGCAACATGACTGGTCTTCCTAGGATCGGAGGATTATGATGATGGATTATAGGGTGTGTCGGTCTAGATTGAAAGTGCCAGGACCACGGATCTCGTCAAATGACAGGATCTTGTTTTCCGATCGAGTCGTTACCCTCACCAGAATACTCTGCCATGTTCCAATCCAGCTGATGGGTTCGTGGATTAACAGATCAGGCCGCGCGGACCGCAGGATCGGAACCAGATGACAGACTATCCGAAACTAGCAAGTGAACCGTGTCGGGGTGGGGGGGAGGGGTCAACATTCTGGAGGTGAGCAGAGACACGTTGGATCATGGGTCCAAAGTGGGACAAAGCCAGCTGGACGACTTGGCTCTCTAGTAGACTCGCAGACTACAGTAGTCACTAGGCGCTGGGTCCATTGATGAGAAGATCGGCTAGATCGCGATGCCTGCCCAGTTTAGGTACAATGTCAGAAAATAAAGCTCGGACCTGATCTGAGGCAAGAGACCCTGCAGTCAATAATGTCAGAATGAGTAATCGTGATCACCGTCGCAGATAGGGAAGCGGTGAGTTCTATATATAGGGACCCATGGTGCAGAAAGATTCAAGCAGAAGGAACGAGTGCGTGGCCGAATCAGCCACGAATTAAGGTGTCGACGGAAGCACCCGGGGTTTCCACGCGAGCCACGGGTCTGGCTCAGGATCAGGCACGACACCTAGTCACGTATCGGTATCAGTACCTGGACTCTAGTGCCTATCTCTATCAGTCTGCTAGACCATTCCCGGGACATTGTGGCAGCCCATGTAGAGAACAGCGAGGCGGAGGCAAAGGCCACCCTATGCGGGGGGAGGTCATTGGATACCGAAATGGGGTTACCAGATTGAGAGAGCTACATAGGGATTAATCGCGAAAAATGAAAGGACGAGCCAAACAACGAATATCGGATGGTCCAGCCCCGCAAAGTGTCCCATAATCTCGTGTTGATTGAACGCCCCGCTTCCTGTTTTCAAGGCGAAAATGCCTCCTGCGCAGGCACGGCGTCATTGGTGGACAGGGTAGCAAATCGGATGAGACGCACAGGCCAGGAAATGGGCTCAGGAAGTGTAGGCAAAGTAAAATCGGCAAGAGGGAAGATGGGTTGAGTTTAGGTGATAGTGACGAGGTGCTGGCGCCCTGAGAAAGAATGGATGGGCGAGACCCGGGGCTTCTATTTGTATGAGCTCCTTCTTCTTGTCAAATCCCCCTTAGCATTCCGGGAAGCATTGCCACTTGCAAATCACTCAGTGGCGGTTTCCCCTTTATTTTATTTTCTTATTTTTCCATTTCGGTCTCGCATGCTCAGTGACATCGCTTCTTTCGGTTTTTCTCGGCCACCTGGAGGTGGCTCATACTTTGTCTGATCCCCCCCCCCTCAAATCCGGTCCATCGGACGACACTACTCTCTTAAAGAATAGCGTCGGTCTGGCCGTGCTGAATGTATCTCCCGGTTACTTATTTCTAAGCCCATTATTTGCCTCCCATCCCCGGTTCCTGCGAGAGCCTTCTGGATGCACCGGCAATCAAGTTGGGGCCCATAACATACGTCGTTCCCTCCACCGCCTCTTCCCCTCTCCCCTCTCTCGGTCACTCCACTCCTCAATTCCCTCCCAGGGGATTCAATTCTTACTACCTCTGTATGGTTGACTCCTGTCTATCATGTCCTCATCACCCGATATAGACCCGTATCTGGCCTTGGGGGTCGCCAAAGATGCCACCCTTGCAGAGATCCGCGCCGCCCATCGCAAACGAGTGCTGAAGTGCCACCCCGACAAGATCCAAGATATATCGCAACGCAATGCCGCCCAGGACGAATTTCAACGGGTCCAGCAAGCCTATGAATTGCTTTCAGATGAAACTCGACGAACTCGCTACGACAGAAAGGTCGAATTACTTGCACTCAAGCGTGAGTTGGATCGCAAGCGGTCCGAGGCTATGCATTCGCAACGCGGGAGTGGAAGCTCCCGTGAAATGCGTGGAGGTCACATCGTGGAAGAGCGAGTGCCTGTGGATGTTTTCTTAGATGAGGACTTGCGATATACAGAGGAACCGCGGACAATGTCGCGCAAGGACAATGAGTTTAGAAGGCCAAAGGCAAAGCCAGCCGAAGACAAGAACAAGACTCGTGCGCCCCCAAACACCTATCGCGCAGCCAAGGATGATCGCGAAACCGCAAAAGCCACGCAGGCCGACAAGGCCAAGCAGCGGGATCGAGATCGCAAGCGTCAGGCCTCAGCCAAGCGCGAGGATGTCTACAACTCTTACGGCCCGCGTGTAGTATCCGATATGTCAGATTCAAGCGAATCTGGCACCTACGTGCCTCTAAGGAGGCCAGCCGCCACCCGCAGAACAACTCGGGATTCCTATGAGTCTCGTGAAGCCCGAGAGCCTCGCGACTCTCGCGAGTCACGATCCCGCCCCGCAGAATCTTCCTCTCGGAGGCGCGAGCGCATCTATGAAGATGAAGACGACTACTCTGACCGGTTCTCATCCCCAACAAGCATGAAGGCTGGCAAACACAAGCGGAGCAGCACATTCAGCGATCTCAGGAACGAAGTCCCGCGAGCCTCGCGGTCTCCACAGCGACCCCGTGGTTACGACTCGACGGAACCAGACTCTAGTGCTTCACGGCGCTCGGGTCGGTCCTCCCGCTCCACCCGCGATCAGTCTTCTTCACGCCATAATTCTCACGAGCACTTGGAGTCATCGCGGGGCTACGACTTCAAAATACCCAAGATGCCCACCACTGCCACATCGCCTGCCCATAAGGCATCCATGAGGCCGTCACTGTTTACCCGCGCCGCCACTGCTAACGCCGCAGGCTTTACTCGTAAGCGCGAAGGATCCAGTCGCGAGGAACCAATCCTGGAGAAAATGGCTCGTGAGCCAATTCGTGAGCCTCGTGAGCCTCGTGAGCCTCGTGAATCTCGTGAACGTGAACCTCGCGAGCGAGAACCAATTTCACGTTCCTCAAAGCGCTACGACTCTGGCTACTCCAGTCCCAGCACACCCGAGATGCCCCAGCGCGGTGCCTCGCCCAAGACCACGACTACACGCTACAAGATCGACGACACGGTGGTGATCGAGCCCTCTAAACCGAAATACCGCTCGACCTCCCCCGAGCGTCCCCGAGGCCCACCCAGGCGATCAAGTACCTACCAGTACAAGTCTGAGGCCTCGCCCCGCATCGAGGTGCGCACTGTGCGACCATCCAGACCTCATGGCGACGTGGAATATGCGCCACGCCCCCGTGCCGAAGACGTCAAGTACGCCCGTGAGATCCGGTCCGAAAGTGTCAGCCGCTCCAGCCCGTACTCTGATGAATACACTCGCCATCCACCCACTCGCCGAACCACCTATGCTTGAAGCATACCCTCAATAATGACCATCTATGCATTTCATACAATCCAAGTAACGACAGCTAAATCAGCTATGACGCCCGTGCACATTTTCTTCCTATATATGTCCTTGTCCATACTTCGAACTGCTAGCCAGTTCTTTTCCACAAAGATCTCAGTCTCCAGTTACATCACTTACCAATCACAAGTTTCCCCTCGTTGCTTGTCGAGCTTAGAAAGCCTCTTGCATATGGCCGCACTGGAGACTGAGATCTCACCCTAAGCATTGGGACGGGCTTGGTATCGCGTGATCAACACGTTCTCTTTGTTGGCGTAAAGGAAGGGTTTCTGGTGTTCTTTGCTTTCGATATACACATAACAAACACTCAATGGCGCAACTTTTCCCTATGATTGTGTCCTCATTTCCTTTTTCCTAGGTTCCTGTGGTTCGTTCCTCGGCGTTTTTGTAACCTCCCGGGGAGATGGTATGATACCCGTGGATAGTGCCGGGAATTCTCTAAGACTTGATGTACTTTGAAATAATGAAATGAGATGATATGAGATACGCAAGGTGATGATTTCATCGAATTCCGGGAGGTGATTTACTAGTGAATGTTTTTAGTTCAATGTCTACTTGGCATCCGTGACTTGATTGAGGTGTCACGTAGCCAGAATGAAAATTGCACAGTGTTCGAATGGGTCGTATTATATGTTTTGGAAGATGTATAACACTACAAAGACTCATCAAGAATATTTTTCCGATCAGGACGGACGAGATTCATGGACAAGGCTCATTTTTTTGCTATGAGAGGCTTGAAGGAGGTGAGGCGCGTTCAGCCAAGTCGGAGCATTGACTTGCGCCAGGGAATATAATTGGGGCAGTGCTGTTTTCGAGCCTCACTGTTCCTGGATTTTTGGCTAGTATGATGCTGGTGGACCATTTGACGGGTTTGAGAATGACATCGCCCAGTGGTGGAAGCAATAGATCAGAGATCATGGCGAGGCGACCGGAACAACGATCTTCGCTTAACAAAGTTACCAGGAAAGTTTTATTGGGCAGGATCAGAGGGAGGCAATACCCGGTGGCGTGGAGGAATGGGGCTGAGCAGAGTGATGCACTGGTCTTTATGACGGAGGTACAGATTGTTTGTAAGAGATAGTGCGGTGGTAGTAATGAGAAGTTCAATTAGAGGAATACATTGTTATGACTATATACAAGGCCCAGTACAACAGCGATAGTCTAGAGTAAAGCGATTCAAAGCAGATGTAGATTGGTATTTCACAGGAAACTCCTTCCAGCCGCGACCAACACCCAACTCAGTATGGAAAGACTTTGGTTTTAGACCAAGACATAGAGTACACACATCTAAAGCTATGTATTAGTACCTGCAGTGAGATAAACATTGTTAAAGGAACTTCCACTTACCAATGAAAGACCAAGGATCATCGAGAACCAGAAAACAACATTCTAGTGAAAATCAGTAACAAATTTCTCAATCGAATCAGATAGACATCTTGAACTTACATTGAGAACCGTTCGGCCCCGGATCAAAGGGGATTTCTGGGCTGCCACGATGGGTAATTGTAGCATCATACAAATGAAGCCGTATCCACGTAGCTTCTTGGTGATGCAGCTCATGACGAGCTCGTGGAACAAGGCGCTAACCAAAAAGGTAATGAGCATAGCGATGGGTTTCGAGAAGTAGGTACGGGAAGGGAAGTAGACATGGCGGAAGAGGAAATTGTGGACAGGGACATTCCACTCGCGGGAGAATTCAAGCCTGCAAGTGTCAGCATGGAAGAGGAAATGGGTTAAGTAGACCAACTTACCAGTCACAAGAGTTCCACCAGTCGGAGTAAAAGTGTCGGTCCGCAAACCGGGTCAGTTCGGCGAACGCGCCCAAAATGTATTCAAAGATTACCAGGAATACCAGCAGGAAGGTAATCATGAAGGGGAAAAGAAGCATGCTGATAGTCTCAGCCAAGACCAGCGCCTTATCAGCCATGCTGGTGACAGTTTCAAGCTGGAGATGGGCTTCGTTGAGGACAGGTAGGATGAACTCCTCGCTTGTCAGTGTCAACAGGAAGATGCAACCAAACACGGCCATGGTCTTATATGTAATCTCTGACCAGCGCCGGTGGCTTCGACGGGGGTATTCGAGCTCGTAGCACAGGGTCGGGCAGAAAAGGTAATCCACATAGTTTGCTACGTAAAGGTTTTGAGGGTAGGAGATGTTACCCAGAGGTGAAGTCAGTTCTGTAGCCAGATCTTCGCGCAGACGGGGCAGCGATTCAGCGGGAGCGTTCTTGTCATGCTGCGGCTTCAATGATGGCCGTCGTCCGTGAGGGTCTGGGTAGTGAACTGCAATGGGGGAGCTCAGCGCTATCGAATCCGACCTGTCCAGGTCAGAAAGTCGGCGCTCGATCTCGCTTAGATGGCCATTGTAGAAAGCATATGAATGCAGTTTCATGAGAATCGTCAACAGGTGGAGTGTGAAGAACACTTGGGCAGTCCAAGTCCAAATACGCATGAACGGCCAGCTATTATTTTGGTCAGCAGGAAATTCTGGAGACAGTCTGAAACTCCACTCACTTGACCCATACAGCTAGCCAGATCGCTTCCCCGACACTCTGCATGATCACTCCCCCGCGAACCCAACGAAGCCAGCGCGGACCGCTTCGATACATCTTGTGCATTGGTAGGACAAGCGCGGAGCTCGCGACCATGACCAGATCACTCAAGGCCAATTCCCACACGTTGGCGCCTAACAAGCTCCAAACCCGCACTCGCAGTGGATACCCGGTATCTTTGACATTGCGCAAAACGGTGGTGACCACCATGATAAACAACGAGATCCAGAAAAGGATGAAGAAGCCGCGGAAGTTATGGTAGTCGCTCTCGGGATCAAAGTGGGACACGCGGGGTACGTAGTCAATTGTATAGAAGAGGCGATTTCGAGCTCGCACCTGCTTCCGCGCAGTTGAGATCGAATGCGCTGAAGGGGGTGCATCTTCCGGGACCGGAGTAGAGCGGCCACTGTGTAGGAGATGCGTAAGCCCATGAGCACGTCTCACAGGGGAGCTTGGAGCTAGAAGAGACCTACCTGGCGTCCGCAGCCAGCTTGTACGCAGCCGGCCCGAGGCTCACATCTGCCTTGGAGTTGGACTGCAGGGGAGTAGCGCGTGGGCGCACGACGCCAGACGCATTATTGGAGATAGCACTGGACATCTCGAAGGAGTTGCAGTTGTAAAGTCAAGGAAAGGGGCCACATCGATGGTGTTGAGAAGAGACCCACCGAGGAGTGGTTTGCGAAGACTGGATCTATTGTTTGACGCGGTGAATGAGTTTTGGACCAACGAGGGCCACTACGTCAACGGTCAGCCCCTACGACGAATGAGATGCACCAAAGCTCTTCCGCGTAGATCCTTAACAGGACTCAGCAGCAAGCATGGCCAGCTATAATGTTGGAGATGACCATTTTATGCATCGAGTTACAGATAGGCATCTCTTTTGTGGAAGTATCCACAATACCTCCAGCTGAGGAGTTTATCTTACCAGGGGACATGTAAAATTACGTCAGGGCGCATGTGCTGAATCAATGTTAAAACCTTGGGCTTCAGGCACACAGAAGATCAGGTGAACGTCACGTGCTCTTCCACATAGCCATACACGCACTATGCCTCATATTGCCTAGCTCGTCCTCCCGCGCCAAGAAGCCAGGTCGACCCAAGTCACGGGCTCATAATAAAGCACAGTCCAGACCGGCTGCTTCACTTTCTGGCGAGCTACCTGCATTATCTTCGAGTCCCCTCGCGGACTTCTTTGATTTCCATTCCATTCGCCCCTCCTATTTTCTGACCCCCACCGGGGGTTGTGGCCGTCATGTCGTCCCGTACGTTTGCCCGCCGCCCCTCCTCCCCTGACGCTGGAGACCCTCTAACCCCAACTCGTCCAACAGTCAAGCAATTCATTCGAAATGTGCGGTCGGCCAAGACAATCGCTGATGAGCGAGCCGTGATTCAGAAGGAAAGCGCCGCCATTCGAGCTTCATTTCGCGAAGAGAGTCATGATTCCGGCGTTCGGTATCGTCAACGCACCCTATCCATTGCCAAAGCCCCGTCTAATACTCGTGTAGGAGGAACAACGTGGCCAAACTGCTATACCTTTTTACTCTTGGTGAAAGAACTCACTTTGGTCAGATTGAATGCTTGAAGCTACTCGCCTCACACCGGTTCGCCGACAAGCGTCTGGGTTACCTGGGGACGATGCTGCTGCTTGATGAGAACCAAGAGGTCTTGACGCTCGTCACAAATTCACTTGGAAAGTCCGTATCATGCGCGGGTCATTGGTTGAGAAGCAATACTGACGAGGACACAGTGATCTCAATCACTCCAACCAATATATCGTCGGCCTCGCCCTCTGCGCTCTCGGCAACATCGCCTCTACCGAGATGTCCCGTGATCTATTCCCCCAAGTCGAGAGTCTTATGTCTACCGCAAACCCGTACATCCGCCGAAAGGCGGCTATCTGTGCCATGCGGATATGTCGCAAGGTCCCCGACTTGTACGAACACTTCTTGGAGAAGGCCAAGACCTTGCTGACAGATCGAAACCACGGCGTGTTGCTCTGCGGCTTGACGTTTGCTATCGATCTCTGTGAGGCGGAAGAGGAGGAGGAAGAAGGAGGTCCGGAGGGTGTGATCGAGATGTTCCGGCCGCTTGCTGGAGGACTGGTCCGCGCCCTCAAGGGTTTGACAACTTCAGGGTATGCGCCGGAACACGATGTCTCCGGTATCACGGATCCTTTCTTGCAAGTCAAGATTCTTCGGTTCCTGCGGGTTCTGGGCCGAGGAGATGCGGCAACCAGCGAATTGATCAACGACATCTTGGCCCAGGTGGCCACGAACACCGACTCATCGAAGAATGTGGGTAACGCTATTCTCTACGAGGCCGTTCTCACAATCTTGGATATCGAAGCCGACTCTGGTTTGCGGGTTCTCGGTGTCAATATCCTTGGAAAATTCTTGGCCAACAAGGACAACAACATCCGCTACGTTGCACTGAACACACTCAACAAAGTTGTTGCCATTGAACCTAATGCCGTACAAAGACATCGCAACACCATCTTGGAATGTCTACGTGACCCCGATATCAGTATTCGTCGACGTGCTCTCGATCTCAGCTTCATGTTGATCAATGAGAGCAACGTGCGGGTGCTCGTACGGGAACTGCTGGCCTTTTTGGAGGTCGCCGACAATGAATTTAAGCCTATCATGACCTCACAGATTGGTATCGCCGCTGATCGGTTTGCCCCCAACAAGCGATGGCACTTGGACACCATTCTCCGTGTTCTCAAGCTGGCTGGGAACTACGTCAAGGAACAGATTCTTTCGTCCTTTGTGCGCCTCATCGCAACTACCCCCGAGCTGCAGACGTATGCCGTTCAGAAGCTTTATTCATCCTTGAAGGAGGATATCTCGCAAGAGGGTCTGACTCTGGCTGCTACATGGACAATTGGTGAGTATGCCGACAGTCTGCTAGAGGGTGGCCAATATGAGGAGGAGGAACTGGTGAAGGAAGTCCGGGAAAGCGATATCGTCGATCTGTTCACCAATATCATGAACAGCACCTACGCCACCCAGACTGCCATCGAGTACATCACCACCGCATCCATGAAACTTACCGTGCGCATGTCAGAGCCCGCTCAGATCGAGCGCCTCCGACGTTTCTTGACCGGTCGGACCGCTGATTTGAGCGTCGAGATTCAACAGCGTGCCGTCGAATACACTAACTTGTTCGGATACGATCAGATCCGTCGTGGGGTGCTCGAGCGTATGCCCGCGCCTGAGATTCGTGAAGAACAGCGCGTTCTTGGTGCACCAGCCAAGAAGCGCCAGAGCAAGGTTCTCCGCAGCAAATCCACAAAGGCTTCTAAGCCGGCGGAACACGACCTGCTTCTCGATCTGATGGGTGGCTCTGATGCTCCTGTAACCAGCCCGACATCTAGCGGGTCCAACACCGCCGATCTGCTGGCAGATATTCTTGGCGGCGACTCGGGCCTTTCGTCGCCCGCCCCAGCTCCTGTCCAAAACACCATGAACAACAGCTCCATCATGGACATGTTCGGTTCCAACGGTGCTTCACCTTCCCCGCAACCTCAAGCCGCATCCGCCGGTTTGGATCTACTCGGTGGTGGTGGTGTTGCACCTTCGCCTTCTTCCTCGCCCGCTCCCTTGTCCGCCTCGACGCCCGCACACACGGTCTTCAAAAAGGACGGTCTAGTCCTTGTCCTACAAGTCCAGCGAAGCGGCAACAACGCCCAAATCATGGCCCGATTCCGCAACGAGTCCAACTTCGACCGCTTCACCAACGTCGGCTTGCAAGCTGCTGTGCCCAAGAGCCAACGCCTGCAATTGAGCGCGATCAGCAAGGCCGAGCTTGACGCCGGCGACGAGGGTACCCAGACAATGCGTATAACCGCAGTCAGCGGGGTGAGCAATTCCTTCCCTCCTCCCTATCAACCATGAAAGCTAACATACCCATTTCAGGCCCTCCCTCCCAAACTCCGCCTGCGTCTGCGCGTCACATCCAGCCGCGACAGTGGAGACAGCGTCACCGACCAGGTCGACTGGACGGAGCCGTAAATCGGTCGAAATGAAAAACAGGAACTCTGTCTTGTTTCCCTGGACCTTGATCCTTGATCATGAATGAGTTAAAAGGAGATATGGTAGAGCGCTTTTTAAAAGTCAGGCGGATGAGCGTCTAATTTCTTACGCAGCACCTGGTTCTATACACCCCTAGTCATCTTTACACGAACTTCCCCATCTAGACATTTCAGTTTTTTTTTTTCGTTTCATGCTTTGCCTTCCCGGCAATTCTTTCTTGTACATGCTTCGGTTGCAGATGGTTTAACGCATGAGCCTGGATTGCATGGTGTAGAATTGGAGTGTTTATGAATGGACTTTGGTGAAATCATTGAGTAGGTAGCGTAGTAAGTGAGCCTTGAAAGTCTTGGAGATTGAGGATTGATTGTATGACCAGCTATGCAACTTAACCAACCTTGCATGTGGTTATATTCATCAAGGCTCTGCCAAGTCACTGCCGACATCTAGAGGTCTCTAGAAAGAAACACGAGTTGACTCCAAGCAGAAGTCTTCGAAATCGGCTATACTTCCATACTCTTAGAACTTGATTCGAAGAAATAGGTCCGATAGGCGCTAAGTCAGTTTGTCTCAACGCCTGACATCATGGCGGGAATTTTATCGCATGATTGTAATGCTATCACAAGAGTCATGCTTTTGTGTACTTTCGCGATCTAGCGAGATCGCTAACTAGCTTCTCTCTCTCCCGTTAGCAACATTTCGCCTCTCAAGTTAGTGCTCTTACGTTACTTGCCTCTTTATCTATTCAAGCATAGCTACCACGGCCCGCGCAGTTTTAATCTACCATTTTTTCTCGTCTCTACTTGGCCCGCAACCCCGCAAGAACCCTTGGAGCTTTACGTGGGCCGTTGTTTCCGAGAAAAACAGAAAACAACGATTACTTACATGTCTACCTGTGGATACAGCCGTCAGACTACCAACATGAATCAACGATCTCTCGATAAAGACTTACATCAGGCTGCAGCGGGCGAAGACTTAAAGACCGCTCACCTTCTGCTGGATCGAGGGGCGAATCCGAACGTGGAGGGGTTTGAGTATAATTCAGCACTTCAGGCGGCTGCCCGTCGCGAGAGTGTAGAGCTGGTGCAACTGCTCTTGGACCGAGGTGCTCAGATTGATGCCCAAGGAGGATACCATGGTAGTGCTCTTATCGGAGCCGCTCAATACGGAAATCTTGAGATTGTGAAATTTGATCAATGCTAAGGCGAATTTGGATCTACGTGGACGATACGGCACTGCATTGGCTGTTGCGCGCGACAAACAGCATGACAATGATGTGGAAGTCCTTTTGGCAGCTGGCGCGACTGAGTGGCGACCTAACAACAATGAAATAGATCGACAATTTGGATTGCGCTTCTGAGACGAAGATTTGGCGTTAGTTGTGACATTACGGGGGAGACCATGCGTGTATCAAGTAGCTTGAGTTCTCGCCTCGCAATGAAGCATTGAAACAGATGCTTGGTATTCTTTGTGACTGCCGCAAAGCCCCGAAGTGGTGAAAGCTGAACATAGAGAGACACCATCATAGTGATGGAATGGTTACTTGGGTGAGTAGTGAAACGGAAAAGGGCACGAGAGGTGTAGCTAATTCTGCAAAAGTACTGTATCTTCTACAAGGATACATGAATGATTACTTGAATTCAAGGATCATTTATGTTTGAGATTCCCATTAGCGGTGGGCAGCTTCAGCCGGTAATTTGAAGATATCAAGCCCTAGGGATTTATAGACGAGATAGAATCAGAAAAATCCTGCACGCAAAGAAAAGTCCTGTATCTCCCAAAAACAATCCAAACAGATAACTCCAGCGTAGTATCAGAATGCACAATCATGTCCAAAGTATCGGAGCACACAGCTTCGACTTATAAACCAGTTGCCAGATCTTCCCGATCATCACAAGAAATTTATGCTAGATCTAGATATGCTCGATCGGCTCTTCGGGGAGCAGAACCTGACCCTCACGGGCACTGCTCGGGAGACAGGCCTTGAGAGGGGGTCGGACAATGTCGTTGAATAGGAAAGTTCCGTAGACAAGAAGACCGAAACCGACGACTTGGAGCCACTTGAATGATTCCCAGCCAAGGCCAAGCGAGACGATCCAGATGAAGAGTGTGCGGCAGGTATCGATTGTGCTGCGCGAGGTAGCGGAAACGGAGTGGGTCACGGAGAGACCGAAGAAGTTGAAACCGCTGGGTTGGGTTAACAGGGGTTCTTAGGAGAGTATCTGGGAATAAGAGGAGAGGGTTAAGGGAAACATACCCAATGCTGATCATGATTAGTATACTGGAAACAGCAACGGCACGATTTGAAGTTATTTCGCGCCATCCCTCCTTCATATCGAAATAGCCGTAGCGACCAGCCTCAGTGCTTCCAACAGTCACGTACATCACAATCATGACAATCACGGTAGCTGAAAATCCGAAGATACCTTCCCAGCCAACAACCTGGATAGGATCCATGGCATAGTTCTCCAGAATCCACTCCTCCAGCACGAATTGCGAAGCAGTGAAGATCTGCGCTGCGGCAATGAGGAGCACGCCTATGATGGTCTGCACAGCCTGGGGGGTATTTGTGACAGTCTCATCAGATAGGCGATCATCCTGAGTGAGGTCATGGCCGCTCTTGCCGCTGAAAAGCGCGCCGGACAGTCCAACAATTGCCACTCCAAGAACGACGACGAACAGCGCGCTCCACTGGTACAGGAAAAGCTTGCGGCGAAGGAAGAGGACACTGAACAATCCAACAAAAAGAACTAGAGCTCCACGCGTCATCTGGTAGATACTCGCCGCCACAAAGAGCAAGCCTACGTTCATAAGGGTCGTGCCGGCAATATCACACCATGAAGGCGCCGCAAGGAGAAGGATTCGCCATCCACGAAGCGGGATACGACCATCACCTTCAATAGGCTTAGGATGTCGCTGGTCCTCCGGTCCATCGATCGTGTGGTCATTATCGTCGCCATCCTCTTCGTTCACGGGACGGTAGCCTCCCGCCAGAAGAGGCGAGGCGTCGCGGGACAGCCGGGGAGCGATAAAGCTCTTATATAGCATGGACAGCCCAAGGACTAGCCAGCAGCCCATTTCACCGACGAACATCTGCGCCCTGTACGAGTCATATATGATCAGCTTCTGTCACGAGAGTCATCGCCCGCACTCTGTGTGGAGCCAACCTGGTAGTATACACATACGTTTGAATAACCGGCTGCTCGAACAGCTTGCGCTCGTTGGGATCGGCTGAATCGCAATTTCGTACGCATTGCATGTCCTTTGATTGGGCTTAGTTGAGGGGACCTCTTGTGGATGGAAGAAGCTTGCATACCTGGTACTTGTTAAGAATGGTGTTGCAGACCCCGGTCACGAGCATCATCGTGACCAGGAGCGGAATGAGATTATGGCCTGCCATGATTGACGTAAAAGAGTAGTGAGGGAGGGCAGATGGGGAGAGGAGAAAGTTGGAGTCGGGAATTGAACAAAGCGGAGATGCCTTATCGCGTGATAAGCGGCAGCTGACATGCCAAGTGGGCCTGTCGATCTATCCGTGGATCATGTTCATATGCTTAGTTAGGTCCTAGTAGACTATGTGCCATGATCTTATTTAGATATCTCCGGGTTGCGGAGGATTACACAAATTAGACTCATTCGGAAGCAGGTCCCATTTAATCGTACTAGAATCAAATATTGGCCGAGCCATCACACTTTCCCGGCGGCGAACAAGTCCGATCCTTTTCCCCCTCAAGAACGCCCTCGCTGAGCTGGGAATATCACAAAGACAAATAAAAGAGGATAGGTATCGCTCGAGGATGAAAGACAGAAAAGCAGGAGTCCCACGTTGGGTATTGTACACACGCTTCGCCCCTGAAAAGGAAAGAAAAAAAAAGACAAAGGACCCTATGTACGCCGTAAAGCCGCCAGTAACAAAGTCGTGATATCTGTCCATATCATTGGAAAATGTAAGGGAAAAAGAGAGAAAGAAAGACATTGCTTGTGTCGATCACAAGGCAGGTATAGGAAGGTGGGTACTCTCAAGGTTCTTCGACTCCTGGTGCATGCGCTGGAGACGCTCAAAGTCAACTTGAAGAGACTCCGCACCATCAGTGAGAAGTTGGTCGCTTAGGGCGATGGTAGAAGGAATGGCCATCCACTCAGCTGATGCCTCCAGTGATTCGGCATCCCAGGGCATCCAATCGGGCCACCTCACGGATTCCTTGGTATCGGTGTTGGTCTTGTCCTCGGGGGTCTGAGTCGCTAGGGCAACATCCAAGGAGTCAGGGGTGCTGTCCGACTGTTCTCCAGAGAACATGTCGGCGTTCATGAACTCTTCGAAAGGATCGTAACCCATTTCGCGGCGTCGACATTCTGCGAAAATCGGCTGGAAAGTGTCGTGGATCTTCTCCAGAGACATCGGAGCATCCGCCCACGGATCCCTCATCTCATCAATTTTGCTGGAATCCTTCTGGGTATCCTTACCCGGTGAAGGCTTGACAGTCTTGCCAGTCTGACCAGGGGTAAGTTGCTGAGTTGATGTGGCGGGAGACGCGGTTTTGGCTCCTAGGAGGCTCGCCATGCGCAACATAGGGGTAGCATTAGGAGTCACCGGACCCGGCTTGGCAGGAGAGGCTACACTGAGCTTGTTGGGACCCGATGCAGCTGTTGTAGCGGCCGCCTTGGCCTGCAAGGTCTTTGGGTCAAGGCCCAGGCCAAGGTCAATGCTGTCGATATAATACTGCATAACGTCCTCAGGCGCCTCTTCTTCCTCCACCATGTGGTCGGCTCTCATATGCATCTCCAACCCGCTTTGGGTCGTGTAGCCTTGGATGTGACGTGGGCACTCGGCAATAGCGCATGTCCATGGCCCTCCTCGGGATTGAGCCGCGGCTTGAGACTTTGCCTCTGCCACGTCCTGCTTGTATTTCGCAGCCGCAACGGGAGCAGCGCTGGCCTGCACGGGAGAGGCACTGGGACCAGCATGGGATTGCTTCCTCTTCTTGGGTGGAGGAAGCTTCAGCTTTTCGGGAACAAGACCACCGGGGCCATAGGCGTGTGGAACTCCCTGGGGAGACGGTGCTCCAAATGGCGCTGCTGCGACGCTTGCAGACTGACTAGAGGCACGTTGAGCTCGTTGGAGAGCTTCTTCTTCCTGCTGCCGCTGAAGCTGCTGAAGGTTGGTCGCGTTCAATGCTGATGTGCCAGGCTGCGTGTTCGGAGGACCCGAAGGAGCAGCTTGTTGTTGCTGCTGATTGGCGTTGGAGCGTTGCTGGTTCATGCGAAGCATCATAACCTGGAATAGTTTTCGAATAAAAAGAATGGAACCGGTCAAATAATCCGGAGTGATCGTAAATTGCTCGTTGACAACCCACTCGGCTGACTGTTTGAACTGCCGCATCAACTGGATTCGCATGGCAAGAAGATTCCTCACGTTCTTCTCCTGGCCCTGCAACCGGGGGAACCCGTGTAACACCAAGACATCCAATCGACCAAGTACATCCAAAGAATCACGCAACTGCTGGGTCATGATTGCTTTCTGCTCTGGAGAAAGGGGTATTGGTTTCGAAGCAGGTGCGTTCTTGGCGATCTCGTTATAAACCTCCATGACCTTGGCCGGGAGGTTCTTGTTCCAGGCTTCTTCCGCCATTGCCCGGTTGAGAACCGAGCCACGGAATTGCACACTTTGCTGTCGACGAATTTGAGCCTCGATCTGTGAACGCTGCTGTGGGCTCATCTGGGCAATTTGCTCCTGTGTGAACTGAGCAACGGGTCTAGCGGGCCCGCCAAGGGGGACTGCGGGCTGAGGCTGCTGAGGTGTGGCCGTGGCGCGAGAATCGGCCGTTTCATCAGCGTTGGGTCTCTTCTTCGAGGGCTGCTTCGCAGGGGGCGCCTTGGCTACCTTGGCCGCGCCTGCGGTCTGCGCCTTCACAGGCTCAAGTACCTGGGACTGATGTGGTGTCGGAGGCTTCGCTGGCGGGCCGGGCTGTAGTGCAGAGACGGGAGGTTGTGGCATTGACTGGTTCGAAGGCTGTGGCATGTTTCCTGCCATCTGTGCTCGGGTCTGAGCAGCTTGCATGAGGATCTGTCTCTGGCGGTTGCGTAGAATCTCACGAATCTGATCGTCGGTGAAGTTTTGAGAGTTAGGTCCCAGCTTTTGACGGGCCATAAGAATGTCTTGGGCGGTAATTGGACGCATTGTTGGCATATTCATAGAGGGCTGCTGCTGGGCGGGTTGGAAATTTTGTGTGCCGTTCTGGGCGTTTGCCATCTGGGGTTGAGCTCCTTTGAAAGGGAGTCCCGCACCTTGTGCATTCGGATCCTTGGCCTGGTTGCTGACAACTTGCGCAAAATGAAGTTTCTGAAGCGTCATAAGTTTTGGCAGATCAACGCCATTTGAGGCTTGTGGATTTGAAGCGGCCCATTGTTTGAGCTGGCCCCATGTCTTGATGGTCTTCGGCACCTGAGAGGAAGAGTTGCTAATGATGGATGGCGGGAAGGGGACTTGGTCCATTTGTTTGACTTGCTCCTGGTTCATCTCAATCCCATTGTTTTGGTTGCGCATGATTTGCATCTGGTGAAGCTCTTGCTGCCGTTGCCGTTGCTGCTGCTGCTGCTGCTGCTGCTGCTGCTGCTTGTTGTTGTTGTTGTTGTTGTTGTTGTTGCTGCGGCGTCAGCTGCTGGCCTTGGAGCTGCTGTGCTTGAGTCTGTCCTGCATTCATGCCCGCTTGCATGCTCATCGAATTTCTCATGCGATTGTTTGCCATCTGTCCAGTTATCATTGCGGGGTTCTGGCCAGGTTGCGATGCGGTCTGCTGAAGGGTACCAGGCGGCTGGGGGGCATTGCCTCGAGCCATGTTGCTTGCCATGTTGGCGCGGCGCTGCTGGTTCAAAAAGAACGCATTTAGTTGCTCATTTGTCATCTGCTGTAACTGATTCTTGATCTGTGGGGGAAGATTCGGAGGGAGCTGCGGTCTAGCTTGCATCCCAGGCTGCGAGACACTGCCAGGTTGTTGGCCCATGTTTGGTGGGCGGGATGGAGGTCGAGATTGGGCAGAGACCTGAGCTGGAGACATCTGACCAGGCATCGGTTGGTTCAACATTGGCATCACCGGGCTTTGCTGGGGAATATGGGGTTGCGACTGAGGGTTTGCCTGACCACCATGACCTGACATCGCCATCTGAGCCTTCTGGGCTGCTTGGGCACGAGCCTGTGCGTGAGCCTGCGCCTGAGACTGTTGCGACTGAAATTGGGTGCTGGTTTGCATTTGCTGCTGGTTGAACATATGAGGGTTGACGTTGGCACCGTTCATATTGGCTTGGCCGTTCTGCCCCATTCCCTGTTGGAACATGTTCTGCTGATTTGGGAAAGGCTGGTGGTTCATTTGTGATGAGCTGGCAGGGACAACCAGCTGGCCCGCTTCCTGCGATCGCAACCCGTCTGCCTGCTGGCCTTGGATATTCTCCACATTTACATTTCCGATGAAAGCATTCGATGGATCAAGACTCTGGCTGGGATTCCCAGAAAAGGCCGAGTTGCGTTGAAGGTTCATCATGTTTTGAAACATCTGAGGATTGTTTAAAGGGTCACTCCCAGCCATCATTCCGTCTTGGTTTGGTATTTGGCCACGACCCATCTCCATACGAGCTCGACGGTGCCTCCTCAGTTGAATCAGTGCTTGTGAGCGAAAGAAATAGGTCAAGGGATCTAGATTCTTTCGAGCCAAGTACTGCTGCTGCTCTGGGTTCATGTTCGACAGATTCATCCTAATCTTCTCCATGTCTTCAGGTGAGGTCTTCGACTGCATTTGCGAAGCCAGCCGAGCCACATGGTCGAGTTCTTGTTGTGAGAGTGTATTCAAATCATCAGTGAGAGGGGCGCCATTGCCGGGGCGTTGCTGGGCTCGCTGCTGTTGTTGATGTTGCTGCTGTTGTTGTTGTTGTTGTTGCTGCTGCTGCTGTTGCTGAAGCATAGCGGCCGATTGTTGCCGACGCTGTTGCAATGCCGCCTGCTGGCTCATGTTGTTCATTCCCATCGCCATCTGCGGCTGGCCTTGGATGGGCGAGGTCTGCATGGCCGGATTCATCTGTTGCGGGAAAGCACCCTGGGGTTGGTTCGGCATGGGACCCCCCTGGAGGGACATACCACTCTGTATCGCGACGGCGGCCTGTCTCTGTCGAGTATCTTTAATGTGGAGTAGCTTCTCCATACATTCCTTATCATATTCGGCCTGTGAAAAAAGGAAATCAACGTCAGCATGACACTTGCTCGTCGAGAAACGGGCGGAAAGGACGAACACGTTCGTTGGCCTTTTGAAAGGACTTCTGCTCAAAGCTCAGCGCAGCCTGGGCGGCTTGATTGATATCGATCCGAGGTTGAATGAGACGAAGGGAAGTAATCCTATTGTAGGCGAAAGTGTCAGCATGCAGAAAGCGAGACAAAAGAGCAAACCAACATTTGGTACACATTCATCGCCCGGTTCTTTATCGGAACCTCAGCCTTCCATCCAGTGTACGGTCCTTGGTTCGACAAGACATGGGCGACATGGGCCATGATGGCCTGAGCATTCTCATTCTTAGGCGGCTGCATGCCCGGCGCGACTGCACCAGGCATGCCCCCGCCAGGATTGTTGAACTGAGCGGGATTCATGACCGAAGCCCCATCTATGGGGATCACTGATCAATCCGCGAAGGGGGTGTCGTTGCGATCAGCATTCGCTATGGCGGTGTGGTCCGTGTTGGGAGCGCGATTGAGAAATGATGACAGTCGCGAGGTCGTGAGACGCAGGGTCGGGAAACGGTTCACGTCCCAGATCGGCGGGGGTGGGAAAAAAGGAAAGACGACAGCTGGTGTCGAACCGTGCTGAGTTGAGTCGATCTGGGAGGGTGGGGATGAATTCAAAATGACCCAAACGGAGGGCAGAAGAGTGGATGAGCAGCAACGAGCGACCAGCACTGCGGGAAAGCAAGGCGTTCGGGCACCAGCGTCAATTGGATTCAATTCGCTGACAAAAGCCTGGGTGTGGCTTGGAGCGAATGAGGTCGAAGGGTGCAATGGTAGGGTGGATGGGATCCGTGACAGGGATGCTGCAGCTCTGAAGTCGCACCGGGCTGTTCCCGTCGTTTCTGCAGAAGCCGCTGGAGAGGTGAATGAAGCAGCCACGGATTTAGGAGGACACCACGTTCGACGTACGAACGAGGAAAGATATGGATATCAATCCCGAGTGGAGGGAGTTTGGTATGGGATGAAGGGACTGAAGGCAGGGTTGGGTTGTTTCAAGAGTGCACAGGACTCTCTTTGGGTGGAGGGGCCCGAAGGGAAAACGGGCGGAGGGGCAAAAGCTGAACAACCACAAAAAAACCCAAATCCAGTACAGGTCTGAATATGGAGATGAGAAGGAAGAGGTCGGGGTGAATGGGAGCGACAGAAACATGGAATATTGTAGAGCAATCGCATCCACTGAAAGCTGGTGACGACGAATTGGGTGTATTCGTAAGGCTGTATTGCGCGGGTATTACGATGTCAAAAAGGTCACAAGGCCAGGCATAAGAGCCGCGTGATCGCCGATGTCTGTGTAATTTAAACGTTTTTGAGTATCAAAGTTACGCATCTGTTGGCCCCGACCATCAGGTTCTGTACGAGAGCTACCCAGGTACTGGCTATGAAGGTATTGAGCGCATGAGATCTACCGAGACAACTGAAGCATATCGATTGTCCCATAAAGATTGCTCTGTTTCAGTTCCACCTACGATGCGATGGATATATCTCAGCGATCAGACATGCCTGAGATCGACGTTCTGGCCCTGGCTTGATCCGGTTGCCCCAATTGGTTCAATGGGCTCCGCAGTTGAGGCGTTACTGAAGTACCGGTACTTGTCTGTGAATACAAAATAGTACTGTTGAGAAAGTATCGCTACTCTCAGCACATTACGTAGCCCCCCGAGCTTAAGTCAGCCACTTCTCCCCTGGAAACGTCAACTGTTCAATTTCCATATTCCTACTCCGTCCGCATCTCTCTAGGTCTTCCTCCTCGCCATGAGCAACGGCTAGACACCCTCCGTTCCCCCCTCCCTTCTACACAATGTTTACTGTCTCCGTTCCGACCGTCTCCGTGGGCTCCAATGTCTTCTTCGCCTTGGCCCTCTGCTCAATCTCCGTCCTCGTGTTGCTACTATTGCGCCGCTTTTTGACCATCCGCGCCACTCCAGCGTACATTATCCTCCCTATCTTCCTGGCTCTCGCCCTTCCTGCGAGCGTCGTTCTCCTAGTTCCCATTGACTTGGCCTCAAGTTCACGAGATGGTACTGGTATCAAGGCAATCTGGTTACCGGATCGCGTGGTTCTGGTGTGCTGGCGCATCGCGTACTGGCTGATCTTCATGCTGACATGGTATGTCCATTCGTGTGACGCAACTCTTGTCCGCTTCTAATTGTATATGTCCAGGGCTATTCTGCCGCTCCTGGGCGAATACGTCGATTCTGGTTACCGCGAACCCAAGGCCCGCATCGTCTACTCTCTCCGCATGAACGCTCGATACCAATTGATTGTTCTGACATGTGCCACCGTGGGACTCATCTATGTCTCCATCTCCAATGGCTTTGATTTCCTTACGATCAAGGGTCTGGTGATGGCTCTAGCCTACGTGTGGGGCCTTGTGCTCGCTATTTACCTGATGGGTCACGGCTTAGTTTCAATTCCGCGCAACCTTTTGAGGAACTCTAACATTAGTGGACGGCTGCGCCGCCTCCAGGCGCATGCACCCAAGGTGCATGAGCGCCTGATGGACGCAGTTAATGAATTGGAGAGTCTCAATTCACAGGTCACACAGTTGCAGCAGCGCAAGACTGGCACCGCCCGCGATTTCCAGGAATGGATTGAAGATCTTTCTGAGAATCCCGGCTCCTCCGACGTGCGCGTCCCAATTCTCGAGTCCGCCGATTCATCTGCCACCATTCCATCGGTTATCACGGAGCGCTACTTAGCAGACCTGACAAGACGACTACAGCGCGCGCGACACATGAAGGCACGGTTCGTGGATGAATGGGATCGCCTAGTTCAATCCGCTGCGGACATGCAGACCATCATGAACTCGGCCGCATCGAAGAAGCTCGAGTTCGCCCCATCTCCGCGCCGGTCCTCGTGCCTTCCTAAGATGAAATTTTTGACCCCCTATATGCGTTACCAACTCTACTACAACATTATTCCTACTGTGAGACTCGTTCTTGGAGTCTTCTTCGCTGTAGCATCCGTGTGCGTCGTCTGGTCAGAATTGATCAAGTCTATGGCGCCCCAACTCTCCGCCGTGACTTTGACTGTGGTGCCTCGCTGGAAAGATGAGAAGCCTCTTGGTTTCGGGAACCAGGTTATCGCATCTGCATGGCTGCTTTACATGTGTGCTGCAGCCCTGACAGGGGTCAATGATGTCCAGGTGTGGGGTAACCGGGCCCTCGTGCGCCGCAATACCTACGGCGAGAGTGCATGCTGGTACGCCAGTCTCGTTGCCCGATTGACTGTTCCTATCGCCTACAACTTCTTGACATTCCTGCCTAAAGACTTTCGTCGGCGTACCACGTTCTACGAGTTTCTCGGCAAGCTGATCAACCTGACGTATCTCGGAACAGGGTTCGATTACATCTTCCCAATCTTTATTCTTTTACCCATATGTGCCACTCTGTTCAACCTCTACGGCCGAATCAAGAACATTTGCGGGTTTGGTCTCGCAGAGGACGATGAAATCCACGATATTGAGAACAATCCCGCCGGATACGGCATGGGCGGCTGGCGTGAGGGCCGCGACTTGATTGAGCGAGAGCTCAATGGCTTCGGTTCATTGGCTGTCTCTTCTCGTGGAGGCCGCTCCACCTGGGCTTCCGACCGAGAGGAAGGCGACTCCCGGGGATCGTCTCGACTGCGGGTCCCGGCCGCTGAGGGTTCCCGGTCTCCTCGAGCCGCTCAAGCCCCAAGGCCCGTGACGGCTCCTACCGTGGTTGACGGTGAGGATGAAGACGTGAACTTTTTCCAGTCTTTCGCCCACCGTGTGCGCAACACCTTTGAAACTACCAACACGCCGCAATGGTTCAATGGTGGTGAGCCCCTTCGCTTACCTCGCTGGATGTCTGGGGACAACACCACCACTGAAGACGGCGGTATCAACCGGTTGTTTGGAGGCCGGGCTGTGCCTGGTCGATTGCGCCTAGGCTAGGCCATATTATACATCACCTAGTTTGGGATTTTGATTTTTTGCATAGATGCGGCGTTTGAGTCTTTCCATGGCTACGTCCGTACCGCTGCTGGACAGTGTAAATAATATAGCATTTCCTTGAGTTGTACATATGGGTCACGATTATTTGAACATTCTTTCGAAGCGCTTAAAGCCTTGTACTTGAATAATCTGCTGGTTGTGATGCCTGCTATCAACTATGTATGCTCTTCTTTTTTTTAAACGGGCAATGTTTCGCGAGTAGTAGGTCACTACTATCTCGGCGTATACGAAGGTGGGTCCGGGTCGTTCCCACGTAAAAAAAAAAAAATGACTGAGCAAAAATTTTGCCCTCAGCCAGGATCGAACTGGCGACCTTCGGATGGCAGTCCTGTTAACAGGGCCGTCAAGGTGCGATGCTCACGATATGAGACCGACGTCATAACCACTAGACCATGAAGGCATTTGTTGATGCACGTGACGGATTTAAGATAATTGAAGGACTTTTAAAGGTATTAAGGTATGTGCGCAAGCAAGGGGTGATTCACAAGCAAGATCACTCTAGGATCGATGATAAGACTCAATGGTTTTCACTGATTAAACCACTGCAAGGCTGAGCTGAAAAATTAAAGAGGTTTTTGGTTGGAGATAAGCCAGCCAACCCAGAGGTTTCTTTCTGTTAGAGGTGCGCAATAGGTCTCCTACTTGATTTGCTGACGGAAAATTTGCTAATCCTAATGTCAGGCCATCATAATGTTATAAATGGGAGATGCTTTCATCAAATGCCTTCATGGTCTAGTGGTTATGACGTCGGTCTCATATCGTGAGCATCGCACCTTGACGGCCCTGTTAACAGGACTGCCATCCGAAGGTCGCCAGTTCGATCCTGGCTGAGGGCAAAATTTTTTTTCTTCTTTTAAGATTCTCTAATCCTTGAAATCGGCGGCGGCGACTCCATCGATAGTGTTTTTTTTTCAAGGTCCTTTTGCTATGAGAGATTGACTACCCATCGTTGGCCATCGTAATTCTCAACTAGATCGTGTCTTCGATAAGCACTCCGTCCTGTCCGGTTAAGTCGACACTCGTACTTGAACAAATGATAAGCTATTCCACTCTTCGAAGATCTCGGTTTATATTTTTGTGTCATATTAATGAATCATTCTTCATGGGTGAATCATATACATCTGCACCACTATAGGTTATGGAAGTCATCACCGGGTCCCGCAATATATATATGTCGCATTTTCGGCCGATGGTATATATCAGATACGTAGATTCCCCTCCCCATCGAACTAATTGACCAGAAGCGAGTCCAGTCGGAAACCAAAAAAATATAGGTTTTTTCTACCAGCGCAATTCAATGTACTCGGACACTCGACCGCCGCCCCCCGGGGGGGCACGTAAAGATGAGGCTATCACGTTCCCACGTGACGAGGCACCAGAAACTAAACTCAACAACCGAGTTAGAATGCACACTGTGCTACTAGCTATCGTCTGACCTACGATCTAATAAATACAGCTCTAACTCAGCGCTGTTAACATGTACTTAACATCGCCACAGGTGGTCTCGGACACAACGTGTCATGGCCCAATATCACCAGATAGTATTAGGCAGCATCGGGGTGACACGAGGAATCCGTCGACTTTTTAAGAAAACTCCAATAGATATGTAGGAAATCGCAAGACCTGCGCCTCTCACGTTAGCAAATTGCACGGTAGCTGTAGAAAGGGGCCTACAGGGCACCCTACGATGGCAAAAAAAAGTGCGCTCTCCGCCTTGTCTGCTTCGAAGCCAGTTCTGAGGGCATTTCTTCACCACTGCTCCGGACCAGCTGCCACTCAAGCGATCCATGAATCTCTTGCCTTCGCCCCTCGCTCAGTCCACCTTGGGCGAGAAGTGCGCATTTTACCTGGATCACGTCACGGACAACCTCCCGTTCCTACAGTCCCTCCGCCTCGATTGGACCCCGTTCTGACGTACTCGGCCACTTCTATCCACTCCATCGTGCGAGCGCTGCCATTCGACACCGACGAACGAACCATCGCTGTCTGCGCGGCTGTTCTGATCTGCGTAATCACAGTTACCGTCATGAGTTGGACCAACCCTCTTTCGAACCTCTGGCGCCGCTCGCCCAGCTACGCATCTGCCCGCAAGTTCGCGACGGCGACTTCAGTTATATCGGACCGGGCGATATTGTTGATCCGCCCTCCCAGGGCTATAGCGCTTCCGCAGACGAGAATGAGCCTGATATTATTTGTCTACGACACCGCGGTATTATCTACCCGCTCCACTTCCGCGCATATGCTATCGATGATGGCGTCCTATCCGTTGGCGCACTGCGCCAGGAAGCGGCTGCAAAGATGGGAGTGAAAAACCCCAATCAAATCCGTCTGTTATATAAGGGAAACCTCCTCAAGGATGATTCCCGGCCATGCAAATCGGAAGGACTGAAGCAGCATTCCGAGGTGCTGTGCGTTGTATCCGAAGTTGGAGCCAATTCACCTAGCGACGTCTCCGACTACGATGGTCGAACCAGTGACCCGCCAACCCAGCGCCCCGGATCATCTTCATCGCGTCTGGACGGGGAAGAAGAGCCAGTACGACCAAGCAAAAAGAAAAACAAGAAGAAGAACAACAAGAAGAAGAGCAATAGAACCGCAGGCGGAGAGGATGCGTTGGGATCATCTGCTTCCCTTGGCCCCCCGCAACCCGCGTCTGATCGATCTACTACCCCAATGCAGCCCCCGAACCTGAAGCTCATCAAGACCCCACTGGAGCAGATCGCTGCTCTTGTTGGATATCTCCAACAAGAATTGATCCCGCTTTGTGACGAATATGTGGCCCACCCGCCCAGCGACCCCAAGAAGCGGGAATTTGAGTATAGGAAGTTGAGCGAGACTATTCTGGCGCAGATCATGTTGAAAGCGGACGGTATCGAGCCTGATGGCAATGAAACCGTGCGTAACGCGCGCAAGGCTCTCATCCGGGAAGCGCAAGCGAATCTCAACCGATTAGACCAGGCCAACAAGTAAGATTTAGTCGGGCGGGATGTGTATGTACATTTGACACGTTGATTTGGGGAAAGGGTGTTTTTTTTTTACACATAGACCATCGATTCTACATACTAGTCCCAGGAGCATCGTAACTGGGTATTATGATCAATGTTTGAGGTGTTATCGGATCAGTCAAGCGCTCAGACCGAGACAAAGCGACGTAAGAAAGTGGGGAGGATCAAGCTTGACAAGTTGACGAACCTAAGGACGTTTTTGCCGAGTGCACTTAGCGTGATCTGGACGTTGATCAACATGGTTCAGGGGCACCTCTCCGACGCACGGTCCTAGCTCAGGCTCGTCCTGTCACGATGTTGGACTCATTTTTAAGAGATAAGGGGGGATGCGCCGGAGGACAAGGTCTCAATGACGCGCCCATGCTTTGAGAGGGTCCCGAGCTGTCAATTAGGTGATTTGACGTGGGCTCCAACGTTAAGGCGCGTGTCAGATAGAAAAAATGGAACCAAGTAGACTCGTTCAACGACTATCGATGTGCTATTCCCAGTTGGGAAGGGCCCAGTTCGGTCTCTTCTTCTCCTCTTTTCTTCCTCCTCTTCCAACTTGGACCTGAGGTCTTTGAGTGTTACGTCGAGAGTCTTGCATGGGGTCTTGATTCTTACCTGTCGTGATATCTCGATCCTCTTCCCGCTCTTTCCCCCGCACTGATTTCCCACTTCCCCTCCTCCATAGTCGCATCGCACGATCTGCCCCAAGCTTTCCCCCTCGTGCCTCTTTACCGCGAACTGGAGATAGCAGCCTCACTCCTATCCTCGTTTGAAGGACCCTGAGAGGCATCCCGAACCGCTACCCTGACCACGGGTCGTTCCCACGGAACCCAAGCACGCGGGTTCAATACCCACCCGTGGATCGTACCGGCTACCACAGTTCCTTGAATCTGTAGGTGACGCCGAAATTGCTGCAGCTTCAGCCCCCCCCTGCAGTCTATTTACAATTTACTGCGGTCCTTTCCCCACCGTGTGCGGCCTACCCCCCTTACCACAGAGAGCCTGCATCCCCGGGAGAGGTTCACCATTTCGACTTTTGGCTCGCAACGCGGGACTTCGGCAAAAGCCTGTGATGGCTTGATCGATACACACGACACTCGTTAAAGCAAACCTGGTCTTCCCCCTCTTTTGCTTTCCATATTGAAGCAGGTACCAGCTGGACTGGCCTTATTGTTTTCCCCAGAAACTTCCCCAAAATCGATTGCAATGGCGGGCGTGGCCACGGCGTATTCAACTGATGCCTTGCGCTCGTCCGGAGGCGTGGATAACGAGAAATGGGAGTTCGCTGTGCCAATCCCCAATGATGTAGGTTCCTCGTGTTTTTCCCGTCCTCTTCTGATTCAAGGGACTTTCGGGGTTGGATGAAGGTCGGAGGAATTCTCTTTGTGCTGATCGTCCATTTTCTTTACACAGGGCACTCAAAATTCCTCGAAACCGCGAACCTCTCAAGATTCGAGCTCGGTCCGGGCGACATCCGCTCGGCAGCGCAATTCGAATGGCTCTCGAAGCTCTTCCGTCTCCCGAAACGTGCACGATGGCTCCTACCACGCCAGCCGAGTCCGACGCGAACCCAGCATAAACAGACAAGGGAGTGAACTCACTACCGCCAAAGATGACCCGTCTCGTAAAGAGTACGCTGAGGGTCCAGACGGGTGGGGGATGTATTTCCCAGAGGAATTGAACCACGAGAACTGGATTCACCGTGACAAGCTGGCAAAAATCGAGAGCGAGGAGCTTCACCAGGCAGCCATTATGTTCCAACGGCGGATGACGGCCGATAGTAAGTCAAGCGCAGGGCATGGGCGGAACTATGACCCTCACCATAGCGGTGCCCCTGCTTCGATCTCATCGCGCAATGCAGAGCACTCGGAGCCTTGGCCTGAATTACGGGAAGAGCGGAAGACCTATGATGGAGAATATGGCGATGAACGGCTGAATTGGGATCTTCGCCGCCCTGAGGAAATCGCCGCAGATGAACGGGCCTCCAGCATCTACAGCAACCCCGGCCTCCGAAAGAGCTCTTCGCGAATACCCATTTCGACAGCTAGCCCAGTGCCGCTCATGTCTGGCCGTGATTCTCGCGGACCTCGAAGCCGTGCGGCTACAGACGAATACGACGACGAGGACAACAGGGGTCGCAGAGCAAGCGAGCCTACTGGGGAAGGAAATCCCCAGACTCCTTCGCCAGGAGGTCGGCCGGGCAGTCGTGGCTTCAGCACCACTCAAAACACGCCGTCCAAGAAGATCCAGGCAAAGGCGGGATCAACAACACGAAAGACTTCTGCGCCACCTACAAACAGAAAGACATCGGCTGCTAGATCGCGTGCGGTCTCAGGCAATGCGTTGCAGCGACCTGGCACTCGATCTGGCGAAAGCCGGCCTACCACTGCGGCCAACCGACCCGAGGGCGACCCGCCGTGGCTGGCGACCATGTACAAGCCTGATCCTCGTCTCCCGCCTGACCAGCAGATGCTCCCAACTGTTGCAAAGAAGTTGCAACAAGAGCAATGGCAGAAAGAGGGACGAACGCCCAACACATACGACCGGGACTTTGCACCCCTTGCGGTCTACCCTAATGATTCGCCTCCCGTTCCAACCAAGCCTGAGGAGCCTCCGATGCAGAAGAAGCCAAAGACTCCAGAACCCGAACCCAAACCCAAACCCAAACCCGAACCTGAACCTGAACCAGAACCAGTGACTCGGCCGAACACGAGCATGGGATACAGCACAATGCCCAAGGTGCAAGATACACCTCCATTAGGGCTGACCCCCAATCCAAACTGGAACCCTCCGGTGGTCTCCGCTCAGCCGCCGCCGAAGAAGGACAAGGGATGTGGATGCTGCATTGTCATGTAATGAGCATTCAATCCCCGCCTTTTTCCACCAAATTTTTCTTTATGCTCTCATCTATCCCCAAGATGCCTTTCTCACTTGCACAGACCCTTTCATCTCCTTTTTCTCAAATATCTATCAATTTTGTCTTATTCTCCGTGGGATGGTGTTCAGTCGGAGTCTCCCTTTGCGAGGATCCAAGTTGTTCGGTCCTCTTCACCCGAAAATCCTTTTTAATCTGGTTATTTCCCACCGGAGCATGGCGCCCCTCATGCATCCACTCCTTCTCTTCTCCTGTCATTATTTCTCCAGACTTCCAGCCAGAGAGGCAGGAGGGCCAGAAAATATACCTCTTCCATCAACGGGTCGTTTGCCCGAGTGCATTTTGTGCCTACATCTTTTCCACTCCGTTGTATTCATCTTTGTTATGCCTGTTTTGCGGACATTTTTGCTGCCACTTTTACCAGATTCCCAAGCCTCCTTGCAAGCGATTCTGTCATTTACTTCCCTTTCATTTCAGTTGACTTCAGTCTGGTGTGCTCGCGCACGCCTATCAATTAGAAATCATCAATCGAGAACCGAGTCCGATAGATCAATCCGATGTATAGGACCACGAAGCACGCCATTTGCATATATGACCCCTGTCTATGGCGTGATCCAGGATCACCAAAGTAGCCGTGTCAATCAACCCCGAGGTCCATTGAATAACCCAATAGTTTCCAATTCGAAAGTATCTCGATACATAGGTCCATAGCTCTTTCAAGATCTATTTCGAGTACAAGCCCCACATGTTGGATGCTGACCAAGCGAGCATCACCTGACATCATAGCGGCAAACGATGACAGAATCGCCGACTCTCGCCCCCCCTCACGATTATCCCACCTCCCCTCCAATTTATAAAGAAGAGACCGCGAACTCCCCCCCGGTTTCTTTCATTCATTTCGCCCACCATTTCGTTCATCTTCCAGCGTCTTTTCGGCTCCTTCGCCGCTCCTTCTCCCGCCATCATGTCCGCCGCTAAGACCAAGGCTCAGACCCTCATCAACGAGAACGGCGTTGTCGTCTTCTCCAAGAGCTACTGCCCCTACTGCACTGCCACCAAGAAGCTATTGAAGGAGAACGGCGCCAATTTCACCACTCTTGAGCTTGATCAGATTGGTAAGTGTACACTTAATACTCGTGGCTTGCGCGGGCTTTCTTGTCTTTGAGCGCGGAGACTGGTTGGGGTTGTATCTGATACCCAGGCCTCTTCCTTTGGCCCCTCTTCTGCACTACGTTCGATTGCGCTGCTGTTCATATCTCACTGTGTACTGATATTGTCTATTGCAGATGACGGCTCTGCTATCCAGGACGCCCTCGAGGAAATCACCCAACAGCGCAGTGTGCCCAACATCTTCATCAACCAGAAGCACATCGGTGGAAACTCTGACCTTCAGGCCAAGAAGGGTGAGCTTCCCGCTCTGCTCAAGGCTGCTGGTGCCGTTTAGAGATCATTGCCGTATAGAGATAGATTAAGGCTCGGGTCACGATACTCGAGTCTTTATAATTGCACAGCTTTGCATCTGCACATGCTTTTCCATGGTCCTATTGTCTATAAAGAAGATGACGGATGGAACAGATCCGAAAGGTTCGAACTTGTAGTGAGTCGAGTTGAAGGTATATGCTATCTCCCCCGGCAATACCCGGGTTGAAGTATAATGCAGGGCCGCGTAGAGAGTACAAGCGGGACAGTAATAAAGACACGAACAGAAAGGCACAACCATAGTAGTACAGATCGCACAACTTCTAAACGACCCTCTGCACAATAGTTCCAACAGGCCGTTCAACAACAGCCATCAACCCATCAACAATGCTCCTCCGCGCCCCGTCACTAGAAACAGTCTTTCCAGCAAGATAATTCAACCAAACAAGTCGACTCACCCGCTCGTCCGCAACACGGCCCATCCACTTCGGTGACTCCTTAGGATCAGCCTGGAAGAGCGCATCCAAAGCGCCGTGCGCATTACGCAGCAGAACAAGAGTCTGTCCCTTGGGTACGTTCTTCTGCTGCCCACCACCGAAAATAGCCTTGAAAGTATTCACAGATGTCCCGAACTCCACATCCTGGAACTCACCGGGAGTCGTAGATCCGGGAAGCGGCTTTTTCGTCTGTGCGCGGGCAGTAATTCCGCGGACCCAGGCGTCGCGCAGGTGTCCAAAGTCTGTGTTGCGGGTTGGGACAATACGGAACGCCGTGCGAATGCCATCTTCCTTCAACACGGCGTTCCAGGCCGCCTCGCCGCGCTCGGCGTCCAGGAGGAGATCCTTCAGTTGGGCGCGCTCAGGTGTAACGAGGGACGTTGCGGCGTCGGCACCAGTTCCAGAGACAGCGGCGTCATCGTCAGAAGGAGGATGAATGGCTGTGCGCACCAGGCGCTGTTGCAGCTCTGTGATGTCGGACTTGGCGACGTACATGCCGACGACGTAGACTTGGATTCCCAGGAATGAGACGGTGCGAATACCCAGGCCCAGAAGCTGGTAATCGTCACCGTCGTCAGTCGATAGTGCATCGCCGGGTTGCTTGTTTTCTCTTTCGGAGTTTGAGGGCAGGCGGATTGTCGTCGGGAAATAAGGGACGGTACTGTTTCCTGTTGCGACTTGCTCGATGTTGACAAGGTCTTGGCCTGTTAGTGGAATCACCGAAGGACCACCGTCAGCCGGGAACCCAGGAGGTCCGTCCATTTTCAATGCGCCGTTCGTCGTGGCCTTGACTTGGTTCTGCTTGTCCTGTCCGGCCGCGACTGCTTCCATCCCGAACACGTCCATCTTGATCACGCCGTACATGCTACCTGCACAGAGGACCATTCCTGCCGCTGAAAGAGCGATCGATCGTCTTGCGCCATCTTGAGCACTTTTTGTACGCGAGCGGAGAGGGTTGTTGCCGGCTTGACCGGTGGATCGGAGGATGTTGCTTGTGGAGAGGTAGCGGGAAGGCTGAGGGTTGCGGATACGCTGGCGGGCGATGCCCTGGCAGGCCCGCCAGGGATTTGATCGGAGGGTTGACGCCATGTTTTGTTCTTGGTGTACTTTGCAATGGGGGGACGGTGAGCGGCTGGTGTCGGAGTTGGAGGTGGATGTGGGGATACACGTGATGTGGGCTGATCTAGATAGCGATATTGTTCTAATTCCTTTTTGGCCTCTGCAAACAGAAAGAGTCTTGTTCCGGCATCTTCTTGTTGTCGAATTGGTACAAATAAGACCTTTTAGTAGAAGTTCCACCTGATCAAGAAGAGATTGTTTAGCCGGGATCTCTGCTAGTGGGAATCACGTTAGAGCTCTTCAATTCAAACTCACAAAATACAAAGCCGGGGAACTGGAGGAAATACTCCTCTTTTGAAGCATTCCTTTAGCTACTTTAGATTGATGTTAGCATATTTGCTAGATTGTCATTTCATGAAGACTTTAATGTCGGTTTGAGCTTTAGGGGTAGATGAGAGTATAGGGACGGTCTACTTCGACCTCAGTTTCAAGAAATGATTGAGCTCACTTGAGGCTCTGCGCCTTTTCAAAGCACTTTTTGGAAGATACGAGCTTCATTGTGAGCTGTATCTCAGATACCATTATAAATTTTCGCATATAAATCTGGCTGGGCAAGAGCTCTGTTTCACAATTCATCAATTTTAGGAATGTGGCAGAAAAGACGATAGTTGAATACTCAAATGCTACAAATTATCGAACTACTACTTTATAAGATCCTCCATCCACACCAAATATCGCTGTATCATCCGCATAGATGACGTGCTTTGTCACCTGGTCCCCATTGATAGTGATTGAGGGTTTCCTCGACGCCGTAATAAATGGTAGACTAAGATTCCCCACAGTACCACCGGGCACAGTAAAGTTCAAGGTGTAGTGATTCGATTCTCTTGTCCAAGAAGCCTGGAACTTCCCAAGATCGGTCACAAAGCCTGCTTCAGCAAACTCCAGATCCGCAAACTGTGGCGAGATAGACCAGGTCATACCGAGCGGGGAACTGACGGAGAGACCGACAATATACTCGGTCAATGCAGAAGTCGGACCAGATGACCATCCGTGCGAATGGGAAACGTAAGAAGCATCATAGCCATACCCTCGACTGCTGCGGTATCCAAAGGTTCCGTTTGCCAGGTACCCTTCAATGACGGTACTTTCTGTACCATTGGGGTTGTTGATATACCAACCCCAGCTGCGACGGATCAGATCCAGTGCCCGATTAGGTCTCTGGACGACAAAATGGCTCTGAATCTCGAACGATGAGATAAACGAGGCGATATTGTCAGGAAGTTCAGGTGCCACGGCTCCGATCGGTGTCCAGTTTTTGGTGAGTTTATCGGAGATGCTAGCTGCGCGTTTTGAGTCGACAACATTAAAGAGGATCGCCATGCTGTTTGCATCTTGTGGGTGGAGCACTGTTTCAGTTGCGTTGTCTTTGAAGGCACCATAGGTTTCGTCCCAGCAGTAGGTGTTGATGGCGGTTTTGAGCTTTTCTGCTCTTGAATTCCAGGTGTCCGAGAGATTTGTAGAGTCCTGGACCCACGAGGCAAGCGTTGCACCTGTTCGCAGAGTATGGTATAGTCTAGAGGCGGTTAAATGCTGAAACCTCAGACAAGTGGCGTCACCTACATCATCTGGGCCTCGGTATTGTTGTATCCTTGCTGCCAGCGGGCCCAATCACGGATACCCGTCACGTTGAGGAGACCACTGGGGTAAGTCACCTTGCCATAGATATAGTCCATGGCATGAAGATAGCCGTCCCAGTTCTCCTCAAGGAAGTCGGTGTTGTTAGTATAAAGTACGTAATTGTAAGTGCCAATCATGGACCACATATGGTAGGTATCAGAGCCAGTTTGGCTGAGGGGTGGTCCAGACTCCGCAAAAGCACCCGTTGATTTATCCTGTTTGAATGATCAGTATGAAGGCACAAAGTTCGATGAAGGAACCCGACAAACCTGTGTGTTATACATGATTTGAAGAGCATACTTCACGCTGTTAAGATCTCCTAGGCTCACAAATGTTGATGGGACGGCAATGCCCATATCGCCAGGCCAGACTGCACGGTCTCTCTTCGCGCCATCGACTATGATCGTATCGCCTGGCCCAAGAGTTCCATTGTTCAACCATCCGGACTTGAGCCCACTGGTGATTCGTCCAGTATCAACCGGCACTTGATTGCTCTGCAGCGTGTAGGCGCCACTGTACCAGATACGATTCAACAGCTCATCACTGCAATGGAAGTAACCCTGATAGGCGCGGAGATTGGACCAAGTCGGTTGGAAATCCAGCTCAACATTCAAGTCACTCAGCTCCACATCCACAGAGCTATCGGTGATCAAAAAGACGGTCAAGTAGCGAAATCCTCCACGCAGATACTGATCCGGCATGTCGTAGGAGTGCCTCCCCGGTGAACTGAAATTTGCATACAGGGCACCATCATGGTACAAGCTGTTCGAGGAGTCCGACCACTCCCCGATCCAATCTTTAGCTTCACTGAATGCGAGTCCTAGTGCCCCACTACCGCTGGAACTATACTCGAGGTGAACGATGCCTCCGACTTCTTTACCGAAATCGAACACTACCAAAGAGCCATTACCATGTAATGTTGCTCTAGTTGGATGTAAGGAAGTGGTGCTGGCATTCATTTTCAAATTTGATAGAGTTGAAGGTCGGACTGTTCGCGACGTCGGGGCATAGATGTTCTTCTCCCAATCCCCGCTGAAAGCACTCTCGGTAGGGCCAGAACATGAAGTGTTGCGCCAACAACTTTGAGCATCACTCAAAGTGAGGAGTGAACATAAACTCACCAACAGAGCGGGCCAGTACGCGCGTACCATCTTCATGTCACAGAAAGCCAAAGTAAGTGTTATTGCATACCACAATAGCGGCCCACAACAACGGGATACATATAGTCTCCAGATAAATGAGGGGAATTGACAAGAACAAAAAGATCAAGGAGGAAGTAGCTTTCGGCATCAACTAGCACGAGCTATGAGTTCAGGTCAATTGTGATCCGGGGTACATCGTGGCGAGCATGTCACTTATTGGTGGAGAATCCCCGTCCAGGCGATATTGACATAAGCCAGGAACGGGGCAAAGATCGTCACAACAAGCCTCTCCAGTGGCTTTGGTGGCTGGATTGCTGTGGAATGTTCAAATGCTCCGGTGGGTTTCCCCGCAATTGCTGTTCTCCGCAGCCATCGTCGGCGCAAAGATCCCCGAGTTGATGTGGAGAAGAGCGATGCTAGTGCAATTGCTAGTATAAAGCATTGGCTCCGCATTGAAGAAAGAACAAGCGGACTTCTATACTGAGCCACCATGCAATTATTGAGGGTCACTCTAGCGCTCTGTGCAGGACTCCTGTCAAGTGCAAATGCGGCGGTCCTCAAAACGGGGCCGAATGTTTGCACAGTCAAGGCTAATGGCCACCAAAAAGACGACGTTCCAAATATACTAAAAGCATTTCATGAATGTGGTCATGGAGGCACAATCGTGTTTCCCGAAGACCAGTCCTACTGGATTGCGACCCGCCTCAACCCCGTCATCAGCGACGTCGTAATAGAATGGCATGGTAAATGGATTGTAAGTCACTGCAAGTCCTTCTTTTGAACATGAAATTCTAATTTCTTTAAAGTTCTCTGATGACTTGGATTACTGGCGCAACAATTCATACCCAATTGCCTTCCAGAACCACCACGCAGGCTTTATCATCACTGGCCACAACATTACGATCGATGGATATGGCACTGGTGGGATTGACGGCAATGGAAATGTATGGTATACCGCAGAAGAAGGCGAGACCCAACCAGGACGTCCGATGCCCTTCGTTTTCTGGAACGTCTCAGAGGTCAACGTGGACAACTTCTATATCAAGGACCCGCCGCTATGGAGCTTGAATATTATGAATGGAACAAATTTGCGATTCAATAATATATACGCCAACGCAACAGCTGTGGATGCACCTTACGGCGATAACTGGGTCCAGAATACCGATGGATTTGGTGAGTTTTGTTGCGGTACTGTCGCAAGACACCAGCTAACAAGTTGTCATAGATACTATGGATGTGGAAAATGTCCAGCTTACCAACTTCGTCTACCAGGGTGGTGACGATTGCATTGCAATCAAGCCTCGCTCTTATAACGTCGATATCCGCAACGTGACGTGTCGCGGCGGAAATGGTATCGCCATTGGCAGCCTGGGCCAGTATCTGGAAGACTCTAGCGTGGCTAATATTCGTATTGATGAGGTAAAGATTATCCGATATAATGAAGATATGCACAACAGTGCCTATATCAAGACATGGATCGGGGCCCAGGTTCCCCAATCCTCTTATGAGAGTGCTGGCCTACCAAATGGTGGTGGGTGGGGAAGCGTACGAAATGTGCTATTCTCGAACTTCCACATCGAGGGTGCAAGTGCTGGACCTGGAATTTCGCAGGGTAGCGGTGACAATGGCTCGTACGCGGGACGAGCCTCATGAGCATTTCCAATATTGCCTTTGTCAATTTTACGGGTACGATTGATACTAGCAAGAGCATGGTTGCCTCTGTCTCTTGCTCGGAAGTGCATCCGTGCTACAATATTGACTTCGAAAATGTGGTCCTGTATCCGGAGAACTCCACGACGGTGGGAACAGGGTCCTGCAAGTATACGGCGGATGGTGGTGTGCATGGTCTCGATGGATGCTAGTCTCGCACAAGCGATAGGAGCGAGACTCAAGTAGTCAGTGATCTCTAGGTCTCAGAGATTCCCTGTGTTCATTTTTAAAGCGAAAACCCCATCCTAACGTCAACCAGAGAACTCCCTCAATGCCTTCAGCGTGCAAGCGTCTCAGATGTAGTTCGTCGTTGAATCTGACGTCAGCGACAGGAACTCAATTCTTCGTAATCACATGGCACGTCTCAGGAATGAGGCATCATGTCATGGAGCATAGAATCAATCCTGGTTATCATTTAGATTTGAATCTGTAATTGTCAAGTGGATCAATGTTCCAGTGGTGAGTGCAGTGTGACACTAAATCACTGAAGGACAAAGTGGAATCCACATGACGTCATTGCCGCCAGCTCCGTCCAAGCTTCCCCAACTCAATAGCGCTCGGTCCGATGAGTCTCTTTCCCTATTTTATTTCTTCCCAATTGTGCATGATGTCCGAGTCATTCGCTGTTCTTCGTCGCCGTCGCTCCGACGAGCTCGCTAAGCTTGCCGATGAGCATATGCAGCATGATCTCCAAGCCGACGATCGCGATAAGCTGAAGGCGGCTGCCAGGAAAGTCTCCCTGTGGACAACGGTTGGATCTGCAGTCGGTATCTCGCTGGGGTTGTATGCCGCTATTCGACTGCGCAGCACTCGCAAGGCATTCTTCGCTGCCGTCCGTGCGCAAGAAAGGCCAACCAAGGTTGTCTTCGCTGATGGCCGTACTGGTAAGTTGTGCCATTCAATATAGCAATGATTGGGTCTAATATGTTGATTAGAAGCTATTCCGGACCTGACGCCACTGCTCAAGCCCACGACCCTTGGTGACTTTGCGACGTATTTCTTCGCCTCGGCGGGTGGTCTGTTCTTAGGTGGAGAGCTCGGTAAGTTGTCCCATTGGTTGTCCTGAGAATAAGAACGATACTGACTGGTCTGTTCCCTGGAAAAGGATTTCTTGCTGGCTCAGCTAGCGCAGGTAGCAGCATTACATCTGATCCTGAGAGCCGGAAGAGAATCGAGACCGCTTTCAGGAGATTCCGCGCCGACGTGCTGCGGAAAGAAGCGGATGCTCTGGATAAGGGCGACAAAATGGAGGACATGATGTTCTAAAATATTTGCAAATCAATTCCTCGATTGGGCACAGAAGCGGCCAGCAGTACGAAATACAAATATGTATCAAACATAAAGTGGAGGAGTCTGTAGTCTATAGCATCATGCTCTCAAGAGCTTCCATTAATACTGCTACCCCCCCAAGAGGAAGCACTCGTAGGCACAGTTATGGTCTAGGCGAGCACATCTGATCTCAGGTTCACCATGATACCCTGCCATAGTGGAGTAATCGGCGGGCTAACACTGACACCCACTCCTTCATGATGGTCCTAAAGACCTCGACTTCCAATATAGTGAAAACTGATTTGTGAACATTGAGAAGGAACTTGTTGTCTTCAATTTAAACAGGACTGAGGACGGTGCTTTATTCATTACATACTACTCTAGTGCAGCCGGACTTTCCCCATTCGAGCCGGCAGATGGCAGGTGCGCGGAGTTTCCGCTTTAGGATATCCACCGCTTGGCGACGCCACCTTCCTTTCTTAACGCTTTGGTACTGCCTTTTATTGAACCCCATACTTACCTAGGTACTGACTGATGGAGTTGACTTTCTTGGTTAGTCGTGATGGGAGGAATCTCAAGCGGAGACAGTCACGGGGCGCGTGCGCCTGCTGTCGCCGAAGAAAGGTACCGTCTTCCCAACCGGCGTGAATTATGGCCTAAGGCGGGGCTGACAAGCTTAGAAACGATGTTTCCACAACGACTCCAAATTGCAAGCACCCATACAGAACCAACTTCTGAATGTGTCTGACACTGTGGATGACCCGGGTGTCACCCGAGACGGTGTAGGCCACCATCTGGCAACAACAGGCACAGCTACAGTACCGCGGGACGAACCACAGCACACTCCTTTAATTGAAGAAGCTGATGAGCAAATTTCCAATCACACAGGAAGTCCTGATGTACCTGACTCCGCAGCAACTGAAGACGAAGGCATAGAAGATTCAAGTTCGCGTCAGTTCGCGTGCGACTCGAATCCTGTTGTGAATCTTCTGGGAGAGGAAGGGTCAAGATTGGAAAGAGGCCGATCTCGCAGAAGAGACGTCGGAGGATGGTTTCGGTATGAGGACCTCAATTCACGGCGAGGAGAGCCCGGGGACTCTTATGAGCCGACACAGAGTCAGTCACCAGGGTTGAGGAATGTCGGTCTAGTGCCACCAAAAGATGATCAAGAGGCATTGATGGACATTTACTTTCGTCGTATACATCCCATTTTGCCATTTCTAGATGAGAAAGCTATACGCGCTCAATTCGAAACAGATGCACTGTCTCCCCGCCTCATTCAGTCGATCTGTCTTGTTGCATCAAAGGACCGAAGTGCAGCATCTCTACTACGTCTCGGTCAAGATCTAGCCGTTCTCACAGTCGAAAAATTCAGCAACATTCTTTATCAAGATATTACACAGAGCATGACGAGAAAGGTTGAAAGAAAAAAGGTGACGGCCATACAGATTCTAACCTTGTTATCCCTCCATGAATGGAGACCTACTGGATTTGAAGATTGCTCTTTGCACCTGATGCAAGCCATCCACCATGCTCAGACAATAGGCCTGCACTTATTAAGGCCTGACGACCAGCAGTCTTCACTTTCACTAAAAGCTCTATTTTGGTGTCTGTGGAGCCTAGACAGATGGAATGCTGCAATGAATGGAAGACCGGTGATGATTCACGATCCAGACATAGGGCAGAGAGTGGATGACGTTCTTCCTCTATTTGATCCACCATTTCGCTCATGGCTTCGTCTTGCTGACAGGCTCAACGTGGTTATTCGATTCTATCGACCAATTATGGATGGGCCTGAAGAACAGGAGCTTGATATACCAAGCTTCGAGGAATTGGTTGATAGCTCCAACGCGTGGGACACTCCCCAAGATTTTCTCGGTATTAGGAAATCCATCCCGAACTGAAGATGAAAGTTTTCACTGACGTTGACTAAGAAACCCTAGAAATTCTGAACCACGGAGTTATAATTCTTTCAACATACTCGAAAAGATTGCAAGGTCGCTCACGACCGAGGATGGCCACCATCCGTCAAAGCCATTCAATCTTCACTATTGCATCACTCCTCCGCAATCGAAATATGCACGACTGCCTTCCTGTGCCTATGGTAGCCTATGTCTTATCGCTTACCTTTTCGATCACATATGGACAGATGAAAGAAGAAAACTTACCTAGTGCGCGGCAAATAGCGAAAGAGCACCTTCACTTGTTTCATCAATGTCTCAAATCATTAGGCTCAACGTGGTGGTCAGCTTCTATAATAACCCGCTTGGGAAATCGTGTATTGAATGACACCCAGCATGCAAGTAAATTGGGGCGATCTGTTGATCAAACACAGTTGAACCCTCGGGACATGTCAACACGTTCGACCTCTTCTCAAACTACCTCAAATGTGCATCATCGGTCGCACTCCAGCATCGGTCCTCCGCGAGCTTTGAAAGAGCGCGGAGGGACATGCATAGATGTCTACTCAGACGATCGCCGCCAACTTGAATCAGATCTTTCGACCAATATGTACGATCCTTTTGACAGCATCGACATGATGGGCAGCAACATCGAGGATTTTGATGCTTTCTTCAATGATTTTCCCGATATCAACGTTCTCAGGTCAGTCGGCGATCAATCATTCTTGGATTTTGAGATGCTCGACTCCTGAATTGGATACAAACATTGTTACTCTAATGTCTTGGGGAATGACGATCAACTTTTCTGCTATTCCCGCGTATCAACGAACTTTATAGAACCAATACCTACTGCGTTCATAAAACCAGCTCCTGTAGAATTGAAAGGCATTTTTTTTTTCGTAGACTGATTCATTTGGGATCATTTGTCAGAAGCCTCATTTAGAATTTCTGGCCGCTGCCCTAAGGAGATCTACGAAGCGGCAAAACGAAGACCACCTAACCTGTTGAGGAAACTCCGACCAACCTCGAAATTGGCGACACTAGGAACTGGCCTACTTAAATGTGAGCGCGGCCAAATTCACTCTCAATATTTCTTTTCATGATACAGAGTCAGCACTTTGAATTCACAATTTCATCCGCTCTTACAAGAGCCCCACGATGTTCAGCAAGTTCGACAAAAACGTATCAAACCACAATTTGAGGTATGGACACCTTCCAATACCTATATAGGTAACCGGGATTCTCCCGTTCAATGATTCTAACTCTCTCTATTATTATTTCAACTACCAGACTCGATCGCTCATGTATATTCATCTCATCAGAATCCGGGTTGGAGCCAGATCCGTCTATAAATGGAGTATTCTCATTCAGCCTATCACAACCCACTTTGATAAAAAGTATTGAGGTGAAGGTTCAGGGATTGTTCAAAATGTGAGCCAACCTAACAACCAAATTCTCAACAATTTCAGACATCTTATACCCACAGACCGCGAGACGGATTCATGATAGCAAATGAGCGTCGACAACTCACTTTTGAAAGGAGGCAATCTTTAGTTGCATCGAAAACCCTCAACTCGTTTACATTACCAGCCGGAAACTATGAGTTCCCATTTACGATACATCTTGACAGCTCAATGACCGAGACTATCACAGGGTTCCACCATGAGTATCATTCCTACAATGTGCAAGGCATCATAGAACGCCGCTATGGCAAAGAATTTGTTCTCTCACAGCCCATCCGAGTCTACAAAACCATGGCCTTTGAGACCAGTCTTCTATGGCCAAGCTTTTCTATGGTGAGTTTTGGCTTGTTTCCGAGAACATTGAGAAATTTTTTAATGACTCGAGGTAATTGTGTAGTCCATCGAAAATCAGCGAGATGAGAGTATTCACTACACAATCTCGATTCCCGATCGGAATATACCCTTCGGTTCCACTTTCCCGGTCGACTTTTGGCTCACACCATTGTCAAAAGACATCAAGCTAGCAGCAATCGAAGTCCAGGTCCTTGAAAGACATGACCTCAGAATTGAGGCAACCGCTGCAGAATCAGTACGAAGTAATGTTCATTTCTTGACCTCGAAAAGAACCTACGTTGTCTTCGGTGAGAGGCATGATCTCACGGCCGAGAACTATGAAACGCCGGACCCAGAGCTTTCGGACGTTCAATGGTGCATTACAAAGCCTGTTCATCTACCCCGGTTGATGGACGCTTGCTCACAGTCAATTCAATTGGCAAATATCAAGATTGCGCACTTTTTGACCACTACCATTGAACTGCGGACCCTGGAAGGGTGTGTATCGACAGTACGTTGGCAAATTTCACTCCTCGCCGGGAATGAAAAGCAGGGACTTACTTCTGACCAGATCACGGACTCCATTGCCTTTGACATTTTCATGTCCCCAATCGTTTTTGGGGAGGATGGAGCTGTCCATGGCCACAATATGCAACATTTACAAGGCAAAAACATTCCTCCCCCGCCCTACGGAGCCCATACTAGGGATTCGTTGGTAGGAGATCCCTCCGCAGGTGGAAATATTGGGTGGCTCCCTCACGAACAAGATTCAGTCTGTCAACGCTTGGAAGATGTGCCCAGCTACTAAATTGCCATACGTAGGGTCACTTGACATTGAGGAAACAGATTGTCTCTTTACTCTCTATGGTGGTTGGCCTACCAGTTGTATGTATGTCGTAATCATATTCTAGTCACTGATCCTCACAAAAAGAATCTTCAGACGCAGAAGCAATGAATGTCTAATTCCGAAGATTGAGAAACCGAGCCCTCTGAAGTTTGGAAAGTTACTGTCTTTATAGCGAAGGCCAGATCCCCATATGGAAGAAGCATATCAAGCATATCATCTACGCCCTCGATATCAAGTGGAATACTTCTTTGTGAGTCGTTTCAGAGAAGACCGTGAGCTCCATTCCCACCAATCAAAGGGACACCGAGAATGCGAGAAGTCGCTTCCTGGAAGACACTATCTTCTGTGAGCCCAGAAGAGCTGCCGTCATTTCCTCGACAGTACTCTGCACTGCGCAATCTCACCTGGAGAACGGCGCAAGTTTCGGCCCAAGCACAGACATTGCCTGCAAGACCTTCAAAAAGTGAGTATGCGTCGTCGGGCATGCGGTAGTCTCTGTCAGTGTTTGCAGGCGCTGTGTTGTACGGCCGTGTCTCGCGCGAATGCAGCATAAAAGCTAGTGCCCTCGAGAGAAAATAGTCCGGGGTGAGCTTGTTGCCTAAATGTCCCTCTGGGAGGCTCGAATCATGGGGCAAATGAAGACTGTCACAGCGAGCTGAGTTAATAGCTGGTGCGTGGTACCGGAAGGCGTCATGGAGCATGAGCCAGGGCCACCCATTGCCGGAAATACCGTGACATAGACTGCCTCCCTTTGATAGAATACCCTCTTCCCAGACACAGTCGGTGGCTAAGTCAATGGCCTGGTCCCACTCTGGGCTCCAGTATTTGCGCGTCAGAGCCTCGTTCTTCAATGCAGTTGCAACGAGGATGAGAATTCCGGGGCTTCCATGACATAGCTGCACAAGCTCAGATTTCCGCGCAGATTTGAAGGGGGGAAGCGTCATTGGAAGATGACCTTTACTCGAAACAGTGAACTTGGAAAGAGCAGTGATAGTTTCCCCAATCACAAGAAGGTGTTCTTCAAGTTCCTCAGGTTTGCATGCAAGTAGGATAGGCAGAATCCCGGCTGTAGAATGAAACTGATGTTAGCAATATGCCTGTCCATTTGACTGCGCAAACAAATACTCACTGGCTCCATGGACGCTAATACATTTGTTAGCAAGGAACTCTTCCTTTTCAGGCGGGAACGGGCTACTCACGCTCCAAAGCAGTAGTGTCCTTCCATCCAGACATACATCAATGGGTGTGCATCCTGATCTCCATATTTTTGGATGTAATCGTTCGATCCTTGTCGACCTGCATCGATAATGACTCGGAGCAACTCGGGAATCTTGCCTAACAACAAGGAGAGGCCACTCTGAGTCTCATCATTGAATGTATGAGCTCGCACATTGAGTAGAACCCATAAGAGCCCCGCGCGCCCATACAGCATCTCGTCCCCACCCATGTTGCGGTCATCATGAGGAACAAGAGGCCCATTCTTCAGAGCTAAATCTGTGGCATTATATAGACAGGTGATATCGTCTTGCGAAAGACCAGGCTTAGAATCAGTCTGCCAATTTGCATTTGCTATAACAGAAAGAATGCGGAGAGTCACAGCCGCTATGGGTGAGAACGATCCCGCGGGGGACAATCGAGACGGTTTCAGAGCGATATCTGGGAAGTCTGACGGAATTCTCTGGAGAGCAAGCTGACGGTAGTCAGGAGAAGGCTCTCCCCGGTCAGCCAACACAGCGGATTGGTAGTCGAGGCGCAAGAAAGCAAGAGCGACTCCTGTCGGGTATTGTTAGATGAGATGTTCACCCCACATCGGTCCTATGGCGCCACCAGATCGGGTATGGATAAAACGCGTTTCATACCAGGGAAATGTTTGAACATGCCACCAACAGTCCATTTGTCAGGAATTGATTCATTCTCATGGATCAACTCGGCTCCATGGCGCACGGCAGCACGAAGCTCTTGCAGAGACTCGGAAAGCGAATGCGTGTTGATTGTGAGAGGACTCAAATGGTTCTCGTAGAACTGTGGGCGTTCATCGGCCATCTTGTGTACGCAAGTATAATTTTGTACTGCGATAGAGCAATACTGATCCGTCAATGACGTGCTGGAATCGAAAAGTGATTGGAAGCCTGGGGAGAGGGACGCAGCTCAGCTCAAGCCTCTCCAGATCGGCTGGGGCCACAGGCAATAGCAACTTCGTCATGGGGTTCTCGCTAGTTCGTGATGGCTCAAACACATGCCGGTGTCCCATTGGGCTCCCATCAGCGAGACTGGAGAAAGTAAAGTCTAACCCGCAGAGGCGTGCAGAAGTACAAGTGGGGCAGTTGACGATCGTCAACAAAAATATCTGCCTGTGATGTCAGGCCGACATCTACACACCTGAGGCAGCAAAATGAGTCATCAAGGATAGTGGCTTCTCGACTTTGCGTTGCAGCCATTCCGGACTCGAGAATACACACGCGGTCCTCGAAGTGCAAAAAGGCTTCTAGAAGAAGTACAGAATGTCAGTGACCTGGTCCCCTGTTGCCCTGTTACCCTCTCTAGATGAAGTACCTTGAAGAACTCGCTGTAGCCATGGCTTTCGTGGTGCTCTCTATTGCCACCTCGTCGCTGCCTCGGATTTCCCTTTCCAAAGCAATGAAAGGTACCGGACTAATATGGCATACAGTCCCGTGTTTAGGGGCGCAACCATCCCAACATGTCTGAGGTCCAACATGAAACTGACCCCGTTGCGACGGGTCCGGAGGGGGACTATCCCCTTGCACTGGCTCCGCGACAGGTCACTCTTCGGGACCGATCAACCGTGGCAACGCTGGTCCCTTTCACCTCAGCCGAGGATGTGCCCCGGCCACTTCTGAAGTATCTATCCGATCAATTTAACAAAGAAATTGAAAAGGGTGATACTTATGCTATGACCGAGCCCATCCCTTTGGCTCAGTTTGGGCGGTATTGGTTCTCCCACTTTGGTGTGGTCATGCTGCTTGGTGAGATACAAAGTGCAGAGCAGACGCATGCAATGGATCGAGCCGGAGCAAATTGGACCAAGATTTGTCTCGGAGGTTTCCACATTCGACCCAATTACCCGGGTCGTAGTAGCCATGTTTGCAATGGTACCTTCATCGTCACAGATGCTGCTCGAAACAAAGGTGTAGGTCGCTTGATGGGTGAAGCTTATCTGGAATGGTCTCCGCGTCTAGTGAGTACCTTGGAATCACTTGAAGCTACGGCGTCTGATTTATGTTTTTAGGGATATACATACGCTGTCTTTAATTTGGTATACGAGTCCAACGTTGCCTCCTGTCGCCTATGGGATTCCCTTGGCTTCAAGCGGATCGGTAGAGTCCCCGGCGGAGGCAGCATCAAGTCTCAACCTGGAGTGTTTGTGGATGCAATCATATACGGACGGGGTCTCAGCTTAGATGGCGAGGACTCTGTCTCACAAGATCGATTTGAAAAAATCCGTTACTATCTGAAGCACTCCAAATATCCCCGGGGCGCCGATCGAGCCGAGAAGAGTCGACTTCGCAGTGCAGCCACGCATTATAAACTCATCGGCGGAGAAGATGGCGAGACGGAGAAACTGATGCTCAAGGATAAGGAAGTTGTATCTGACCCTCAGCAGCAATATGAAATCGCACAGGAGGTTCACCTGAAGCAACACGCTGGAATCAACAAGACCACTGCTGCCATTGCGGTCAAATACCATTGGGTTCGAATCAAAGAAACGGTCAATCGGGTCATTCGTGATTGTCCTCAATGCAAAGAAACACTCAAGGTACCGCCGATCTCAGGAAGCAAAGACGATGATCAGTCGGTCTCAGTTGAGGAATCCGATATGACTGAAGATCCCATGGAGCAGCACTCAAAAGAGACTGATGTCCCTCAAGCCATGGACGAGGCGTCCGACGAGTCCTCAAATCACAATCCTTTCATGAACCCATCAATCCCTGCCACTGTCCCGGGAAATGTACATCCTATGGCGAATTTCACACCGATGCCCCTGGACCCTCAAATCATGGCTCATCAGCAGCTCCGACGTTATCAACAGCAGCAGAATGCCATGGCCGGGATGTTCCCACCGGGGTCCCACCATATGAACTTGACGAATTTCGACGACGCAATGCGCTATCATACCGCTAATAATGCCTATCAAATGATGGTTGATGATGGCTCCGACCCCTTTCGGCAGGAGGTGCTGGGGCTGATGAACCCTCCTCCGCACGACCTACAACATGATGCAGAGCTACTCGCTAAGTACGAGTACGGTAGTCCATCGGATGGTAATTATGATTTTACTTGAACAGTTCTCATGAGTCTGGCGTTGAATGACTGGTTGGTTTTATGGAACCTTTATTTTTTTGCGTGTGTCCTTCAGTAGAAGGTTTGAAAATGGCTCTTAAACCATCGACTGCATAGCCTCTGCATCATGTCACAATACCACTCTGCATAAATTATTTTGCCATGAGTTTTGTGGTTTCTTGTCCGTAGAGTAATTAAAGCCAAGGAGTGATTCTGGAGATTGTGGTGTGGTCACCGCCTTGGGGCTACGGGGGGTTTTTGAGGGGGGAACAGAAGCTCTGGGAAATTTTGGCGGTCGAAGATCAGCGAACCCCTCCGACTTCCCCTAAAGACCTGGATCATATCCATTCTTTCGCCTTTCTATTGAAACGGTTCCGGTCTCTTTCGCAAATTCACCATGGCCTTCGCCGGCCAAACACCCACGATTGTCGTGCTGAAGGAAGGTCCGTGTTTCTCCCCTCGGGGGCAGTTTAGTGGGATTCATCTGGGAGTGCTAACCATTGTCACTTTCAACCTACAGGCACCGACGCTTCCCAGGGCAAGGGTCAGATTATCTCTAACATCAACGCATGTGTTGCCGTTCAGTCAACGGTCAAGAGCACCTTGGGCCCGTACGGTGGTGACCTCCTGCTTGTTGACGCCAACGGCAGACAAACCATTACGAACGATGGAGCTACTGTGATGAAGGTGGGAGACTCTACGGATATCTATGGATGATAGTTTCATGGACACCGATTCTGATTTGTGGTGTGTTTGACAGCTTCTCGATATTGTGCACCCCGCCGCCCGCATTCTCACGGACATCGCCCGATCCCAAGATGCTGAAGTCGGTGACGGAACAACCTCGGTGGTTGTCCTGGCCGGTGAGATTCTCAAGGAGGTGCGAGATCTCGTCGAGCAGGGTGTGAGCTCGCAGACGATCATCAAGGGTCTGCGGAGAGCCGGCGCCATGGCCGTCAACAAGGTCAAGGAAATTGCGGTGGACATGATCGAGTCGGCAGAGAATGAGGATAAGAAAATTGAGACGCTGCGGCGGTTAGCCGCTACGGCCATGAACAGCAAGCTTATCAAGCGGAATTCGGACTTCTTCACAAAAAGTGAGCCCTTGCCAGATTTACCTGACTTCTGGATTTGTGTGTGGTGGTTAACGGAATGGTTCTCTAGTGGTTGTCGATGCCGTCCTCAGTTTGGATCAGGATGATCTCAACGAGAAGTTGATCGGTGTGAAGAAGATTACCGGTGGTGGCCTTCAGGACTCCCTTTTCGTCAACGGTGTCGCTTTCAAGAAGACTTTCTCCTACGCCGGTTTCGAGCAGCAGCCCAAGCACTTCAAGGACCCGAAGATAGTTTGCTTGAATGTCGAGCTGGAGTTGAAGAGTGAGAAGGACAACGCGGAGGTTCGTGTGGAACAGGTCTCTGAGTACCAGGCCATCGTCGACGCGGAATGGCAGATCATCTTTAACAAGCTCGATGCGATCTACAAGACTGGCGCGAAGGTTGTACTGAGCAAGCTGCCCATTGGTGATCTTGCGACTCAGTATGTTTCCCCCTTGAGCGTGGGTGTATCACACACGTGCTGACGACTTCTCCCACAGGTACTTTGCGGACCGTGACATCTTCTGTGCTGGCCGCGTTGCGTCTGATGATATGGACCGTGTATGCCAGGCCACCGGCGCTGCTACCCAGTCGACCTGCAGTGACATCCAGGAGCGCCACTTGGGTACCTGCGGCGCGTTCGAGGAGAAACAAATTGGTGGAGAGCGCTTCAACCTCTTCTCTGAGTGCCCTGCTGCCAAGACCTGCACTCTCGTCCTGCGTGGTGGTGCTGAGCAATTTATTGCCGAGGTGGAGCGCAGTCTGCACGACGCCATCATGATCGTCAAGCGTGCTCTCCGCAACACCACCATCGTTGCTGGTGGAGGTGCCACTGAAATGGAACTGTCCAGCCACCTGCACGGCTTCGCCGACCGCAATGTGCCTCACAAGCAGCAGGCTGTGGTCAAGGCATTTGCCAAGGCTCTGGAGGTTATCCCCCGCCAGCTTTGCGACAACGCCGGCTTCGATGCCACCGACGTTCTGAACCGCCTGCGTGTGGAGCACCGCAAAGGCAACACCTGGGCCGGCGTCGACTTTGATAACGAGGGTGTCCGCGATAACATGGCTGCTTTCGTGTGGGAGCCCAGTCTGGTTAAGGTTAATGCCATCCAGGCTGCCGTTGAGGCTGCTTGCCTGATCTTGAGCGTGGACGAGACAATCAGTAAGTGACCTGTTGCTTTATTCTTCGAATCCTAGACTAACGCACCCTGCACAGAGAACGAAGAGTCGGCTCAGCCCGGCGCTCCCCAGCGTGGTCTTCCCCCGGGTGCTGCCCAGCGGGCTCTTAGGGGCCGTGGCCGCGGCATGCCCCGTCGCTGATAGACGAGTTAATGCCACGAGAAGACGACGGTCTACTAGACCTTATCCCCCAAAAAGCATCAAAAAGGGAGGCTTCTAATGAATCGAGCCCCGCGAAAGTGGAATGGGTTCGTACCCAGCTGTAGTCTGTGCGATACTGTGTGCGGAAGAAATAGAAGAGTTGTAGACATACTTGAACACTATGAGGTCGTCTCTTTGAGTACATAGGTCGCAATACGTACCGTATTTTTTTCTCTGTTTATGATGGGTGAACTATCCTACCGGCGCTTGTATGAGGGCCGTTCATAGAGTAAATTTCAATCTAGGCCAAGGCTCACTTGATTGTTCAGTAACATAACGTTGCAGAATAGTCATGCGTAGTAAATGCTTCATGAGCGCTTAGTGAATACTCAGTGAGTGTTCCTAGCTATTTGTTGATGATGGCTTCGTCAGTAAGCTGTAGAATATATTTTTTCTCTATGCACTCCGATTCAGACTGCCAATGTAATATTCACTGATTCAAGTAGACACTTCCAATGAGGTGAACATTTGTCTCTGCATATGTACGTCTCGTGTGAGAATACCTGGAATAGATAGGCCATCTTCATTCAAAACTGCGAGCTTACCAAGTAATAGACCATCTCGACAGATGTTCACCTACTACGGCTACTTGAAATAGACTTCATCAGCGAGTGGACCTCGGACCGTGAAGGTTGAATGCCCCGCCCTTATTGCCCCCATTGAAGCTTAAGACCTTTGTGCAGTCCCGTTGTGACCTTAGGCTCACTTGTGTGATATCCTGGGGAACCCCATCGGGATAAAAATCAGATACTAGAGAATTATGCAATAGTCAAGGCCTAAAACTCACACTAGTCGCTAGGCGGGTCTTGGGTTGCGAGCTACAGGGGTGCACACTCGGGGCTGCCGATGGCGAGTCGATGCATGTCAGATATAAGATGTGAGACGCGGCTTTACATTTTGGACTCTGCGATCTCCTTTTTCCCTTTTGCTCCCTAAACTTCGCCCTATAGGGATCGTCAATGTAAGTGGCACGTTCCGAGGTTTGCGGTCGATCGCAGTTCGTTCCTTTAGGTTCCTGCATTTTAGTGGAATTTCCCCGTTCGTTGCACTTCACTTGAGTTGACGTCTTTTTATTTTGTCTGGATATTCACGTTTTGATTCTCTGCCCTGGTGGTTCCAAAGTTAAGACTTGGCAGTGCTTCCGATCTGGTTCTGTTTCGCGTCCGATCGTCTTCTCCACTCCCCGTGTTTCTTGAGGTTCCCCTCTCCCCCCAAGCTCTCTTTCTTTCTGTGCCTCAAGTGATGTCTTATTACCCGCCCTATTCGGGGCCTCCGGGTTACCCCCCACCCCAGCAATCATACCAGCAGTATGCGTATGCTTTGCCTTTTTTTCCTGGTTGCGACTAATGAGCTCCTGTTCTAGACCGATGCATCACCACCAACCTTCGTACGGCGGCTATCCCGGCCAGTCATACCATCAGCAGCAACCTCAGCAACCTCAGAACCCCTACGGTTACAGTCATTCTCCCCAGCCGCCTCAGCAGCCTTACGGATCTCCCGCCCCGCCTCAAGGCTACAATGTACGTCGTGACGACCCTGGGAGAGAGCAGGATGCTAACTTGTACTGCTCGTGCTCAGCAGGGACCTCCGCCGCCTGGATATCAACAACCGCCCACGGGTCAGGCAGTCTATGGTGATGGCCGTCAGCCAGGTTCGCATTACCAGATTCGCCGCCTAGAACACATGTGCTGACACTTTTGCATAGGGAACTACGGTCCCTCCTATGGTGGCAGCGGCCATCCGGCCCCTCCCCCGACTGCCCCAGTTTCGTTCGGACATGGCGCTCCCCAGGGTTATAGCTTCCAGTACTCGCGCTGTACCGGTAAGCGAAAGGCGTTGTTGATCGGAATCAACTATTTCGGCCAGAAGGGTCAACTTCGCGGATGTATCAATGATGTCAAGAACATGTCGACCTATTTGAACCAAAACTTCGGATACGCGCGTGAGGACATGGTCATTTTGACCGACGACCAACAGAACCCTATGAGCCAACCGACCAAGGCGAACATTCTCCGCGCCATGCACTGGTTAGTCAAAGATGCGCAGCCGAATGACTCGCTCTTCTTCCACTACTCCGGCCACGGTGGTCAGACACCTGACTTGGATGGCGACGAAGATGATGGATACGACGAAGTCATTTACCCGGTGGATTTCCGGGTTGCTGGTCACATTGTCGACGACGAGATGCACCGAATCATGGTTCAGTCGCTGCGCCCCGGTGTGCGTCTGACTGCGATCTTCGACTCTTGTCACTCCGGTTCCGCCCTCGACCTCCCTTACATCTACTCCACTTCTGGCGTGCTCAAGGAGCCCAACCTGGCCAAGGAGGCCGGCCAAGGACTGCTGGGTGTGGTGTCGGCGTACGCGCGTGGCGATATGGGTGGCATGGTGTCCACCGCCATGGGATTCCTGAAGAAGGCCACCAAGGGCGACGAGGCGTACGAGCGTACACTCAAGACCAAGACCAGCCCCGCAGACGTCATCATGTGGTCTGGTAGCAAGGACGATCAAACCAGTCAAGATGCCCAGATCGCCGGTCAAGCTACCGGTGCTATGTCGTGGGCCTTCATCGCTGCTCTCCGGAAGAACCCTCAGCAGAGTTACGTCCAATTGCTGAACAGCATCCGTGACGAGTTGTCATCCAAGTATACTCAAAAGCCGCAGTTGAGCTGCAGTCACCCTCTGGGTAAGTTCATCTCTGCCCAGAGATGAGGGTCTTTAATTTTTCCCACTCGTTCTCCGCTGACTTTTGCCATGCAGACACGAACCTTCTTTATGTGATGTAGATCGTAATTGATAGCGATGACCCGGCTGAAAGAGGTCTCTTTTCTGAGACATGATTTTTTTATTTTTTTTTTTTTCACTTGTCACGGCTTGCTCTCTGTATGTATCTTCATCCCTGGGTGTCCGTAATAATCCGGCTTGCACCTTGTGGTTATATCTTTTATGAACCTGTGACTATTTGGAGTTTATCAATTCTGATCTACCATCTGTCATTCATAGGCTGGAGTTGATAGTCCTGAAGGGTTCTGGCATCATTGTAGAGCAGCCGGGTCTTTGCTGTGTTGATACGAACTGCCATTTAAGTGGACTCAATCGCAAATCCTTAAAAAGACATTGAATGAGCGCAGCATAGACTGACTTGAAATTCACCAATTATGGGAGGAGCTGACCGAGAGAGTGGAGAAGATGAAGTTGACCCGTTCGTACCTAGCGCAGATGATTGTACCGTACCACAGAGGCAGTTACCACGGACAAAACATACTTCGCTGTTCTGACAACACAATCTCCTGCGCCTCTGCCGTTCGACCCGTCATCTTCCCAAAACATTGACCTGCAAGGCGAACTCCAATACTCAACCCCCAACTTAAATCACGGCCACCTTGTGTATATTGCCTGATGTCTTGATTTCCACCGCAAGCGGGGAGCTGTACCAAGCCGGACTCGCGAATCATCAGCTTCTATCTCCTCGAGAGCTATATAATACTCTCTACCGTCTTGAGCATCGGCCACCGACTGATGGAGAAACCTGTTCATCTGACAAGCCACGATCCGTGTACGGGTTCCGACCACAAGTGAGATGCCTTGATCTCGCCAGATCTACTTCCCCACATGAGCTGGCATACTTGAAACCCGGGGATACTGTGGTTCTGGTAACAAACTACAACATTGTGCATCGATCAGGGGGACGTTTCCGTGTCGTCGAGAAGATGTCATTGGTTATTTGCTGTGGAATGGTCAAGGTGCAACTCCATAAAGTTGAATTCAAACGACTATAACAATAGTCAGGATGCGTGTACCGTATGATGACAAGTAACAAACACCCCAGAAGAGCTATAAATAATCTGCTTCTTTCTCGGAGGTCTAGTGGCTTTTCTCTTTCTATTTTCTTCACGCTTACCAGGCTCAGCAATTCCACTATCAATCAATTAGCTGGTATGATCACCCACCTTGTTGTTCTAGATGCTTTGAGTACTGTACATCGGGCTAATGTTCCTTATAGAACTCTACCCTCCACTTATTCACAATGCGATTCACCCAGGTCGCTTTCACTGCCACCTTAGCTGCCGCTGTCATTGCAGCTCCGGTTCCTAATGAGGACGTGGGTGTCAATCTCGGCGGTGTTGTTATCGTTGGCAAGCGCGAGCAGGCAGAGGATGATCTAGGTGTCGGGCTCGGTATTGGTGCCAGTGTCACCAAGCATGAACCCATCGCTTCGGCGCTGGCGAACCTCGCCAGGTCCCCTGGTGTGACAGTGCCCGATCTCGAGAAGGCACTGTAATGATAATGGTTCATCGCAAGAGAAAAATTCTGGGGAGTTGAGGGATTCACTACACTCCGGTCTTTACCTTGATGGAGACTTGTATTATTCGTTTGACTATACTAAGTGCGAATTGCTAACCTCGGGAATGCGGCTGTCTAAAATCCACATTATATCTGATCATTTGATTCAAAATTTTCAATTCAAATATTCTACCGGTTATTCAGACTTTCACAAGGCAAATTAGCCAGAGTTGCAATCGCGATACAAGGACAAGGCATTGACGGCAGAGAATTGAGTAGAAAGCGCGGGATTTTCCATTATTGCGAGTGCAGCAGATCATTGACATCACGGATAGTTTGGCCCAAATTAAGAGAGGTAGAGCCGCACGTATTTCTCATTTGCGAGGGTCTTGTGAAGTGGGATGAACCGGTGGCGGAACAAAGTTGAGAGCTTAAGTCGACCCCAAACTATGAAGGACCCACATTTCGACGAATGCAACCGTGAAGTCCAAACGTACTAGGGAGACGAAAAAAACATCTATGACGAATATGGTAGAATCCGTTGAGACGGTATCTCACTGTAACGACAGATATTGGGGTTTAAATCTATATGTGTCGCTAGCTGGGAGGTATTCTTTTCTGAATCTCTCAATCCCAACCCATCTTCAGCGTCTCTTGCTAACTCGGCTCTTTGCCAAGTATGTTACTCAAACATACCGAGATAACTTACTTTGCAAAGGTACCAATCAATTGACTTGGACCGTTACCCACAGAGTATCCACTATGCGTTTTTCTCTCTCTTTTCGCGATTTCGCTGGCTGCTGCTGCGGCCGCGGCTCCCAGACCCAATGGTGACATCGACATCAATGGGCTGGTCGGCCTTGGTGCAAGCATCAAGCGTAATACGGAACCTCAAGTCGGTCGAGTCAATGTCATCGTGAGAGGGGACGAGCATCACATCTCCGATGCCACAGATGCATTCAGTAAATTCATCGACGAGGCGACCTCCCTCGCTGAAGCAGCCTCTAAGCGCAGCGCTGCTCTTAGCGTCCGCAATACCGGTCTTAATGATATCGATGAAGTGAAGCGCGATGATATCGCGGATCTTGTGGATGAGGCTGGTGATCTCGCCGCGGTCAGCAAGCTTCTCGAAAACCTCAGGCGGGATGAGATTTCCAACTATGAGAGTGACATCACTAGCCTCATTTCAGAGGCTGCAGGTGTTCTTAGACGCGACTCCATCTCAGATCTCGAGGAAGAGGCTAGTGAGCTTGAAAGTAAGGCCAAGGACCTTATTGCTAAGGCCAAGGATGAGATCAAGGCTGCGGAGTAAATGATCTATTGATTGGTCCCAAGCCAAATACTAAGGTGAGCAGATCCTTCAATTTTTCCCTTTGTGCTCACGAAATATGATACACTACGGAGGCTGACTTTTGAGCACGAGTCAAAAGCCCGAGGATGGAATGGCGGAAGATATCTCTCGAGAAAGATTTTGGGAAAGCAACCTAGAATTATGCGAAGCAACACATTGCACATTCAGAATCCTCATCATGTATTTATTTTTTTTCGAAGTTGTTCTGGCTAGCCATGCTAGTCAAAAGAATTCGCCGAGAACATCCGCAATATCCCTCCCGGGTCGATCCTTCATCACCCTTTTACCTTGTTTCTTCGAGCTGTCACATTGCGGGAGCTCCCGTTTTCTTCTGTTTTGTCGGTGTGCTCGAGTCAGATGGAGCGTTGTCTCACTGGGCAAAAGGGGCGTAGGGGATAGATCGAACTCCAAAAGAGGAGTATCCGAGTCCAAACCTGGGAGGCTCTCAACTCCACCTATTGTTTCCTCCAGATTATGCTTCTTTAGGACTCGAGCTCTCCAAGGCAAACAGCTACCATTCGTGACCGGACGCGACTTTGAATAGTGTTCAGGAAGCGGTTGGAGGTACGGTTGGCTTTTAGAAGCAAACCATTCGCCGAACTGGTCACGATTGCTATGAGCTATTTTCTGGAATTTAGGGCATCCCATGAGAGCCAAATGTTGAAGATCTGGCAACTGGGCCAATATCTCGAGAGCCTGTATCGTCAATCTGGGCTGATTGACAAGCCTCAAAAAGCGTAATTGCTGCAAAGATCCAGTGGCATCGGCTACTTCGAGCCACGTGCGTAGAATCCGATCGTCAAGTCCTAATCCTCGACCTTCATCCATGTCTTCAGGCTTGGGTGTCCTTTTGGTGGGATAAATGTCCAAGGCGACCAAGTTCTTCAGGTTTCCAATCGCAACCAGATCCGATGTGGTGGCATGTGCGCTAGATATCGCAAGCATTGCTTGCCAATTGCCGACATCACTATTTAGTAGATCTATGTAGCACTTCATTGGTTCTTTTGGCGAGTCAACTCTGAGGCAATATTCTGGGCTGATCTTGTGGAACTCGATAGGATATAAGTCCGCCATCATCTTCCACATATGCAAGGTTTGTTTATGGCTGGTGAATGAGTTAGGTCTCTTCCTAGGCACCAACGAAAATGCTCTCAATGCTGGTAAAACATACCATTTCCCCAGACATTCCCAAAGGTACTTTGCAAGGAGCCAGGGAATATGTGCGAAATGCTCTCGTTTGAGCCGCGATTGGTCGGACAGAATGCTTTTCATGGCCGAATGCTTCAGAGATGGAGCCCCTACATCCTGTACTGTCTCCCACAGCGGTGGTAAGAAAGGACTTTCATGTAGCCAGTGCGGGCCTCTGCCGAAGTCGGTTTGGGGACCTGGTGAATGATGGATGATGGACATGTTGTGAATTTGTTCACGACTGCCAGCAAGGCGATAGCCCGCTCATGGAAATGAGTTCGCAGTCTCAGCCATGAGCTTTTGAAGACTCCCAATATCACCAGATTATTGTGCAGGGACGCGAGCGATGGAGGCGTTTTGATGCATTTGTGGTCCCACGGACGCTAGGGATGCCTCAGGCCTACGGCCTACGGGAATATTATAGTCCGTCCTCTACATGTACGGCCGTAGTCGGGGACTATACCAGCTATGCGAGCACTATATTATATAAGCCTTTTATGGTCGTACAAGAAGTTATCAAGTTATAAAGCGCTCGATTTCGCTAATGACTAAGGCCTTAAAGCTAAAGGAGGGGGACGAAAACTCTATATACTAATATACTAACCTCACTGGCTAACTAGAACGGATTCGTTTACAGGCGTTATTGCGAACCACGTATTTTGAACTCCGGCAACATTCAGAGATATGAAATGCATGAAATTCTTCGATACGCTAATGTCATCGTACCAATTTTTAATGCACTGATAGGGTATCTAACCACCCGCTGAGTCGTAAGCCTGCAAGATGTCCCAAATGTGTCGATCCATCTTCTTTGACATCCAGCTCCTCTATGTCACGAAGAACTCGCTCAATATATTCGCTAGCGCCGCTAAGTTTCATAATAAGTGCAATGGCGCGGTGAACATCGAGAAGCCGGGGGATGGAGGATCTACCGTGCGATTGGGACTTAGGGTCAGCGATCGTGTGACGGGAAACAAGGGGTCACGTAAGAAAGGGCTGCGTTCTGTCGAGTCAATCCTATACTGGTGTCGTGTGCCAGTGCGTTCAAAATAGATCTGGAATTCGCCGAACAGCCGGTGGTAGTCCAGCGTCAGAGTGAGGGCGTTAGTGGGACTGTCGATTTTTGGTCCATCAATAAGATAGATTATTCCTGGATCGAACATATCCAAGATCCGAAGAGCATTTTTTTTGAATCGCTCTAGGCATAACATTAGCACCGTCAAAATACCAATACTAACAATCGGACATACTAAATCAGATTCACTAGATGCTACCGTCGTCAGACAATAAGGGAGAATGTAGGCAACCTCTAAGAATTGAAATTGATCGCTGGATTTATTCTTTAACAGATTCCCGTCATCGTCTGCACAAGATTCCGCATTCTCAGCGAAACGTTCTCTGGCTGCTACTCTATCGAATTTCCGAGACACTACACAGCGGTGGCGGTCGCGTATAAGACAGTTATGTCGTAACGCAGATACACGCTGCCTCGTTCCGGTCGGCTTTGGGCTCTGTAGCGATGATAACGACGTAGGCGTTGGTTGTGGTGTCTTGACTGATGATGCTCTAACTGTAATTGCGAATTAGAATATACTCACTAGAAATCAACCGTATGTATGAGTAAGGAATCAACGAACGGGGAAGGAGGAAATTTTCAACGATATACTCAGCAAAATTTTCTAGGCCTTCGTGAAGCTTATTGATTCGTTCAGGGATCCATAAAGAAAATCTCTCGAAGAATACCAAGGCGTGAGTAATATCGAAATCAACGCCATTTTCTACATCCGAACATAGGTCCTCATAGACGTATGAGAGAAAAAAAGTCATAAAGGTATCCGGCGATGTAACGTGCTCAAGAGTAGCTTGGATAAGTGCCGCAGGCCGATAGCCCTTCCGAACGGTCTTCTCGGAACCATAATGCCGTACAAGCCTGATCACTAGGTTCCTTGCCGACTCATGCTGTTCTCGGGTTAAGGATAAAGGCACTGAGAAGTCCAGAACCCCTTCTAGAGAGGACTGGTGACGGTGAGTCGCCATCGCTGGGAACTTGCGAGCCTTAGGTAAGGGCGTGGAAGATGGTGGAGGAAGTGAATGATGAGCTGACTCATATCGGGTTTAACGTCGGCCCGACAGGATCTCCCACAGTAAACGGAAACATAGCAACATGCATCATACCGGTGCACCAATATGATCGATAACAGGTCTAAGTTGCTCAAGGGCCCCTAATCCGTGGCACTAGACCCCCTGCGTTCCAGGTCAACGGGACTCAAGGTTGATACCTCCAAAAATTGATGCGGGGACTGGCCCCACCCAGCAGGTTTCACATCCAGTGGGAACTTACAGTTGGAACAATATTGACCTCATTAGATCGCGGGCAAAGTCTACTCACAATAGTGACATGCATTATGTCAAATTAATATCCGACTATACTACGGCCCGAATAAATAGTTTATTATACACGCGCATGATTCGGGAAGCACCCATGAGCTGGGGTATTGAAGATGCCCCAAGACTGGGAAGCCCGGCAGTTACCGGGCCGTGTAGTCAAGCCTAGGAAGTGACGAAAGCGCTTCTTGATCAAACACAGAATTGTGTGGCTCAAAATGGGAGGCCATGAGAGATGTGAGCCATATCGCCCAGTAAGATATTGTTAGAAGAAATATGATTATCTAAGCAAATAAGTGTTATTAGCATTATTGGTCGAGTAGTCTTCGTTTCGACATTATATGCCGGAGAAGTCAGGTCTGATACATCCTGGAACCTCTAGATATGAAATGTTAGTTTAGATTCAGATGCTGTAGCTGCGTATTGATGGGTTTTCCCTCCAAGTATCATGGCAGTGTGACTAGATCAGACGGTTGTTAACACGTTACACATCTATGCGATTTGTGCTAGTTAATCCATGCAATTGCGAATCGATGACATGCAAGCCGACATTACTATCCAATTTTAAAATCAATTTACAGTGTCTATGGAGCATGGCATCAGGTGGAATCTGCCACGAAGCCTTGACATCGTGGCCCCCAAAGCCAAGATGAGTTGCTTTCGCACAGCCTCCGGGACAGCACAGCCTCGTGTTCCCGGCCAGTAATGCGACGCGGTGGTACGGGCTTCCATATGACAAACCCTCACACTTCCCAGTTACGGAGAGCCGTCATAAATGATGGTATCTTCATAGCTGATATCGGCCCTCCCTATCAGTGTCATGGAACTCGTCCCGCCATCCTACGAGTCCGCCACCGACCGAGATGCGTGGGTCATCATCGCCCACTACATCCCATCGAGTGATCTGTGCGCAGCATCCCTAGTCTGTCACCGATGGCACGATCTTTTCATGCCGTTTCTGTGGGGAGATCCTGCCTCACACTTTGGCACGGAAAATGATGCGGTCTATGGTAGAGAGCCATAACAGCTTCGCTTGTACTGTGAATCCCCATACTGACACTGCATCTCTAGTTGCACTCACAAGGTTCCGCAGAACTCTCAAGTATGCCAGGCGTGAGGTGCGGGCGATGACCCATACCCTGCATCTCCCTCCAGCTCTCTCGGAGATTTATGGAGGCCCCCGTCCGGGCTGGCTGAGAGATATATTGGAGTATCTGCCCTGTCTGCAATCCTTGATAGTTTCGAGGCTACCATTCTTCGATCACAATGCTATGTATGCATTGAAGAACCATCAGAGTTCCACGGTGTATAACGTCCGTCTGCTGCTAGCAGATCATGAGCCGAATACGACCTCGGCGGGGTTGGCAGAGACCCTGCTTCGGTTTCCCTTGTTGACATATTTGGATCTTTCGTATACTTCTTCCGCGCGAGATCGAAGTGTCTTATCCGCCTTGTCTCAACTGGAGAATCTCCAAGTGTTAAAGCTACGTGGCATAGCCTTGAAGGATGGCGATGCCGAGTTTCTGGCTAATGCGATCGGGAAACGCGTTCGTTTCTTGGATCTAAGCAAGAATATGCTCACAGATATGGCGGTTCGCTCCCTGTTGCAAGCTTCGTTCATGACTCCGGATCGTTCTCCCCAGCCACGTTCACGGCGTACTGAATCTTCTGCTGAGCTTGCATACCAAGTAACATCTCAAACCCCCCGCAGAGGATTTCATGAAGTCTCCCGACTTGGATGATCGATTCCTCAAGCTTTTGGCCCAGCCGGTCATGAAAAATCACTGGATCGAAGATTTGCCGCGCACTGGTATCACTCATCTATACATCGCAAATAACCAGATCACGGTGGAGGGAGTAGCGAGTCTTCTAGCTTCAGCTCGTCTCCACGCTCTCGATGCTGGCACGGTTCTCAGTGCAGATATGGTTCACAAATCGATATCCTCGAAGCACGGAAACTATCCCGGTGCTGAGAAGCTGGTGCCATTACTGGGTAATGTTGCCGGTGGAAACTTAACCTACTTTCGCGCACATCATGCGGTGCTCACGGCCGAGCCGCCAGCGAAAGATGTGGCATCGAATGCTAGGTTCTTGCCCGAGCTTGCAGCTAGTGAAGTACCGCATGATTTTGAGCTGGACGACTCGCAGCAAGTCCCTCGTAAAGCCGAATTGGATGCTTCGCGGGAAATTCATGAATTACCAGGCGGTGGGAGATCCATCTATGAACTTGCAGATACTTCTATGATAGAATCGTCAAGCACAATAGCAGCTCCCACTCCATCTCGAGAGTTACGAAATACTCACCAAGATGAACCACTCCCTACGGTGCGGCGCGGATCGGTTTTTGCGCCCGAAGTCATTCAGACAAATTCCAGTGGAGACGTCCATTCCATGATATTCAGCCCGACGAGGATAGGGACGTCAAAGTCGCATGCGTTTTCCGAGGGAGGCACTTTACCATCTGCATCGGGGACTTCGGCACACCCCGATACATTTCGTTCGAGCGTCTTCGATTCAAACATACCATGTAGCTCTCCTGTTCCGACGGAAGAAACTCATGCGGAAAAGATCCAGGAACTTCTAGCAAAGCGCCCTCGGAACCAATCTCTTCCTCTCCAGGGTGGGAAAGAAAGCCGGTTTCCCTACCTTCATCCTTGTCATATTCCTCACCTGGAAACCCTTGTTTTGACCGATGTGCCATCACATATTCCACCCAACTCTCCGGTTCTGTACACTCTCACCCGATTCATCACAGCCTGTTCCAACGAAGCATTACTAGCCACCCTTCAGGCCGGCTCAGATTACTCCCTTCCACCGGGACAAGCACGCAAGCATGCCGAGCAACAGCGGTCACGTTCTCTCTTTGGATTACGACGGATAGTCCTTGAAGTTGTGCCCACGGCTGCTTCATCTCGACTCACCACATGGAAACCTGCTAGTCAGCACAACGGCGTGACTAATTCGAGCACTGGTGATCGCGATTCAGAGAACTTATGGGCAGCGGCTTCTAATGACTTCAGCTTCTTTGGCGAGGAAGAATGCGGCATCATGGAGAATGATCCCGGAAAGTACTTCCCCATGGCCGCACTGAATGAGAAAGTGTCTCTTTTACCCTCGGACGACGACTCGACGCAGTCGGGCACAGAGTCTCCGTTGCCAGGCCGTCAGCACTCACGACGTAGTGAGGCATCAACAACCTCGACATCGGGTCCACAGCGACAAGCCGAGGTAAATCAGCACCACTTGGTTCAGGACGTCGATGTTGTGGCAGAACTGGCTGCCTTCCGTCGGAACAAAAAAGCCGAATACGAACAGGCAGTGAGGCGAGAAAGAGGCCGTCGTAGTACGAACGCATCAGGAGTCTCAGGCTTTCTCACGATACCTGGGCCCCATGTCTCGATGGCCCATTTCGTGGAAGGACATTGGAAGGGAGAGGTCAAGATTGTGCGCAATCCTACCCCGAAGGTCCGCAGTGGGATGGTGGATATGTATGGGAACTACTTCGAAAAGGGATATTTATACCCATAATGATAGAGAGCAGAACTAGCCCTATCATCATACATTCTACGTATGTGAGAAACCGCCGTAGACAACTTTTTGAAGAATTTTTTGGTATTTTCTAGCCCGTAATACGGACATCCCCAGACATGCATGCAAGCCACCGACAATTGACTCAAATACATAGCGAGGCACAAGGCGCTTCGAAACTGGAACATCAGAAAGACGGATAGAACAAGAAGATCTCCTGGACGCCCATCATTTCCATGTCACCCACATCAAATGCCGAACAACTGGTGCCCATTTTCGTTCGTTGCAGGGCCATTGTCGGCTGACCCGTCTCATTGATCCGTCAAGAACACCGAAGAAAGGTAAACAAAATAAAAGAATTCATTTCAGACTAGTTCAATTTTATTTTGTCCGTCACGACTGTTCCTCTCCCTTAGTTGGCCTTGCCAGCCTGGGGAGGGGTCAGCTTCTTGCCGTCCTTGTTGTAGCGGATACGGGGAGGGGGAGCGCGGTTGCGGCGGCCCTCGCGGGAGCGGACACTACAAAGAAATTAGTGTTCTGGTCGGGATTATGAATGATGGGCGATAGGTGCGTACCGGACGATCTTGCCGTGAATGGCGCACGAGACGCAGTACTGAAGCTTCAGGTACATCTTGGGAACGGCGTACTCGGCGAAGACGGAGGCATCGGAGATATCACCTGGGAGCCGGGGATGTTAGTTCGCTGCTCTTCGAGATTGATGACGTGTTTCTCGAGGATTTTCCATCTCGGTTCCGTTTCAGTGCGTAGAGATAAATTTTCCCGGTCGTACTTCCACGGTTCCTCCTTGGTTCTGGTGCGAGTTTGTGGGTGGGTGTAACGGGTCACGTACGGATGGCAGCGGACTCAACCATGTTGCGGATGGTGAAACGCTTGATAGCCTTGTCCTTGGGAGTGCAACGGGCGCAGTTGGAGCAGCGCACGGGCTTAACGTGGCCGCGGCCGTTCTTGTTGCGACCGCTAAAGAATCAATCAGCCTCAAATTCCATCTTCGAACAATATTCGATCTCCAGTCCCCATTCTCTCATGTTCCGCAATGCGCTTCGCTTTTCTGGGTCGGTTGTGCGTGTTTCGTGTGAGCATTTCATGGCTTTCGTCGTCATTGCGGAGTTCATGTCGAATGGGAACCTATGTCGCGAATTTGTGGGAGGAAACGATCTTACTTGGATGCCCTCTTCTTGACCATTTTGACGGATTATTCTGTGCAAGGTCAGAGATTCGTTCGAGCGTTTCAATGAAGAATAGGGGGAGGGTAACGTACGGGTGATTTGTCGGGGTGGGTTGTCGAAGCTCGCTCACTCAAAGACACTTCGGGAATGGATGGGGGTCGTTGTGTTGTGGGAAGCCCTAAGCCCTTAAGCGAGACCCACGGGACTTTTCCTCGTGCCTTACTGCCTGTATATTCAGGCAATCATGACGATGAATCTCACGTGATACGACACGGGCTCCCTTGTCCCAATCGAGACTAGCGCCCGGATGGAACCGCGAGAATCATTGGATGACATAAGCGCGTGTTTACGCTCATCCGGGACCGAGAAACACCCCTGTCCGGATCGTCAGTCGACTACCCTTTTTTCCTCCTTTGGCTGGTGAACTCCCTTGCTGCTTTTTTGTTCCAATTTCTCCATACCAGGTCTCATTCTTGTTTGCTCTTCTCCCTTTACTCTCCACTCTATTGAGACATTCCCCTCCATAATATGTCGCATACAGGGACTTTTAGGGGAACGCCCAATAAGACTATCGGGAGACGAGGGCTGCCCGACTTTCGAGTCCCCCGGTGCCGCGTCTCACATCCCTCGACCCCGTCCCGACCGTCCAGAATCTTCCCTCACCAACAACTCTACCCACACCCCGTCCAGCGACGTCGGAACCGGCACCATGAGCGCCGCCAGCAGCAGACAGAGACAGAACCAGTCGAAGCGTGATGAGGTGCGTGATGCCATGAGCTACCTCGAGCAGCACATGTTTCTCTTCGACTTGTCCTCTATTGGGCTTGCCGGCTAACACACCCTATTTTTACAGGCTATTCGCCGCAAGATGGAGGCCGACCTCAACAAAAAGAGGCAGAACCCGAGCAAGGCGAGAGGCTCCCGCAAGGCCCCTCCGGGCACCGTCCTCGCCCTGAAACCCAGCCAGGCTCTTCAAATCAAGCCTTCCATGAGCATCGCCGAGGCAGCGCAGTTGATGGCCGCCAAGCGAGAGGACTGCGTGTTGGTTACCGATGACGATGACCGTATCGCTGGTATCTTCACCGCAAAGGATCTGGCATTCCGTGTTGTCGGTTTGGGCTTGAAGGCCCGCGAGGTTTCGGTCAACGAGATTATGACCAAGAACCCTCTTTGTGCGCGCACCGATACCAGCGCTACTGATGCGCTCGACCTGATGGTCCGAAAGGGCTTCAGACACCTTCCGGTCATGGACGAGAACCAGGACATCTCCGGTGTTTTGGATATCACCAAGTGCTTCTACGATGCTATGGAGAAGCTGGAGCGTGCCTACAGCTCCTCTCGCAAGCTGTACGATGCTTTGGAGGGTGTCCAGACGGAACTTGGCTCCAGTCAGCCCCAGCAAGTCATCCAGTATGTCGAGGCGCTGCGATCCAAGATGTCCGGTCCCACCCTCGAGACCGTCCTCGACGGTATGCCGCCCGTGACCGTGTCGGTCCGTACTTCTGTCAAGGAGGCCGCCGCCATGATGAAGGAGAACCACACCACAGCTTTGCTGGTGCAGGACCAAGGCTCCATCACTGGTATCTTTACCAGCAAGGACATCGTTCTTCGTGTTATTGCCCCTGGTCTCGACCCAGCCACTTGTAGCGTTGTCCGTGTTATGACTCCCCACCCTGATTTCGCCCCGTCCGACATGAGCATTCAGGCTGCTCTGCGGAAGATGCATGGTTAGTTGTTCGCAAAATATCGTTTTAACAGTCTTGATCGCTGACTCGACATCAGATGGTCACTATCTCAACCTCCCCGTCATGAACGAGGGCGGTGAAATTGTTGGCATGGTGGATGTGTTGAAGCTCACCTATGCCACCCTGGAGCAGGTAAGCAAGGTCGACTCCTTGTCCTTTGGGGACGTTCTCTAACTCAAGATATAGATCAATACCATGCAAACCCATGATGATGAAGGTCCCGCTTGGAACAAGTTCTGGCTCTCCATGGACAATGAGTCCGACTCGATGGTTTCTGGCGGCCACAGCCAACAGCCGCATACACCCCACCGCTCCGTCATGAGCCCTGATATCGCCCGGTCAGGCTACGATAACAGCGTTCTTCCCAACGACTCCGCCTCGCACCACGGCGGCGAGGAGCACTCTGAAGTTGCCTCGCAGCACCACCAGTCCCCGGCGGAGGACGCTCCATTCCCCTTCAAGTTCAAGGCTCCCAGTGGTCGTGTGCACCGAGTGAACGTATTGACTGCCGCGGGTGTAACCGATCTTGTCTCGCAGGTCACTGCCAAGCTCGGTGCAGAGCTCGAGGCTGTTGGTGGTGGAGCCATTGTTGAGGAGGGCCGTCTCAGCAACACTGGCTACGCTCTCAGCTACATGGACAACGAGGGCGACACTGTTTCCATTACCACCGACCAAGACATGGTCGATGCGATTAATCTCGCCCGCCGCACCCATCGTGACAAGGTTGATCTCTTTGTTCACGACCCTACCCAGCCTCCTATTCCCGCCACCCTTGAGCCGCAGCCAGTCAAGCCCGCAACTCCCATCATCGAGGAACACAGCAGCCCCATCCCCGAGTCAATTCCCGAAGAGCCCCTGCTGAACAAACCCCGGGCCTTCCCCTCTCGCCCGTCCGAGGAGCAGCTCATCAACGGGGTGCCCAATGACCTGCTTCTCCCTGGAGCGATTGTTACCCTCGCTGCCGTTATTGTTGGTGTGTTCATTCTCAGCCGGCCTAGCGGTCGTTAAACATAAAATTCGCCCATAGACATACCTCCCTCCCTCGTCCGCATTTTGGCCACTGTCTTGTTTTGAGGAGTGCATACCCCTTTTCTAATTATCGATATTCCGAGTCGCTTTCAGATACCGCTGTTCTAGTAATGATCAGTTGCGGCCTTAGTTTAGCCTTCGATGCAAATACATTTTTTTTCTTTATTTCAGCTGTTGTGAAACGTCAAAAAGCATCACACCTTAATCAGGTTACATATGTGGTCGGTCTTCGATCCCCTAGGGCCCGCTGGGCCGTGTGTGTGGCTGGCCCCGGCGCCGAGTAGCTAGGCTCACCCAGTTTAAACCGATGAGAGTAGAAAATTGAGTAGATTTGGGGCACCTTCGCCGAGGTTGTTTCTTCAGAACCAAAACCCGGGCAAAGTGAAGATCGTGGGCGCTATCGCATATCAATTCCCCTAATCATCAATCATCAATCTTTTTTTCCCTTTCTCCCCGCCCCACCAAAAACAAAACTCCTCCTTCCTTCCACCCCTCCAACCCCCACCGAGTTATTGTACCACCCGGGTTCGAACAAACTGGGTTCTTTCTGATATTTGGATCTTGGGGAAAACACATCCATTATGTCCCTCCTACCACCCGAGGTCCACGCACAGCTGTCACAGCTGTTGCGCGCCCTTGGGACCCCCAACAATGCCGTGCGTTCGCAGGCTGAAGATCAGCTGAACAATGAATGGGTCCAGAACAAGCCCGATATCCTCTTGATGGGACTGGCTGAGCAGATAGGTGGTGCCGAAGACACATTAGTGAGTCAACTCTTACTCTAGGGGCTGAAGAGCCGTGCCCGCATCGCTCGTACCTATGTGCTTTCAAAAAAAGCTTCCTCTCATCGTGAAAGAGCTTGATGCTGAGACTTTTACAACGAAAACAGACGCGTGCATTCGCCGCCGTACTTTTCCGAAGAATCGCAACCAAGACCCGCAAGGACCCCGCTACTGGAGAGGCCAAGGAGGTCTTCTTGACCCTGCCCAACGAGCAGCGCGTGGCCATTCGCGAAAAGCTGGTGACCTGTCTTACCTCCGAGTCGGTCACCGATGTGCGCAAGAAGATTGGTGACGCAGTAGCAGAGGTCGCTCGCCAATATACCGATAACGGCACGTCATCTCGGGACTCATATTGGAATTGGTGCTAATAATTTGGTCTTTAGGCGATCAATGGCCAGAGCTCCTCGGAATACTCTTCCAGGCCAGCCAATCGCCCGAGTCTGGTCTGCGCGAGACCGCTTTCCGGGTCTTCACTACAACACCCGGAGTTATTGAGAAGCAGCACGAGGATGCTGTCCTGAGTGTCTTCACCAAGGGCTTCGAAGATGAGAACATCGCCGTATGTAAATCTGGAGTTCAATCTGCTCTCTCACTGGTCCATTCTTGCTGACTTCTTCTAGGTGCGCATTGCCGCTATGGAAGCTTTCGCCGCCATGTTCCGTTCCATTCCCAAGAAGTCTCAGCAGAAGTTCTTCTCGCTCGTGCCATTCCTTCTCAACATCCTTCCACCCCTTAAGGACTCTAGCGAAAGCGACGAGCTGTCTTCGGCATTCCTTGCCCTGATCGAGCTCGCAGAAATCAGCCCGAAGATGTTCAAGGGCTCATTCAATGATTTGGTCAAGTTCAGCATCAGTGTCATTGCGGACAAGGAGCTCAGCGACCAGGTTCGCCAGAACGCCTTGGAATTGATGGCCACTTTTGCCGACTACGCACCTAACATGTGCAAGAAAGAGACTGACTTTGCCCAAGAGATGGTCACTCAGTGCCTCAGTCTTATGACTGATGTTGGTGCTGATGACGACGATGCTGAGGAGTGGAATGCCTCCGAGGATCTCGAGCCCGAAGAGAGCGATCTCAACCACATTGCGGGTGAGCAATGTATGGACCGTCTGGCCAACAAGTTGGGTGGCCAAGCCATCCTTCAGCCCGCCTTCTCTTGGATCCCCCGCATGATGTCTTCTACTGCCTGGCGTGACCGCCACGCTGCTCTGATGGCCATCTCCGCCATCTCTGAGGGCTGCCGTGATTTGATGGTTGGAGAGCTCGACCAGGTCCTTGCCCTGGTCGTTCCCGCTCTCACTGATGCCCACCCTCGTGTGCGTTACGCCGGTTGCAATGCTCTCGGTCAGATGAGTACCGATTTTGCTGGAACCATGCAGGAGAAGTACCACGCCATCGTGCTAAACAACATCATTCCCGTTCTGAGCAACAACGAACCCCGTGTGCAGTCCCACGCCGCTGCAGCTCTGGTCAACTTCTGCGAGGAGGCTGAGCGCAGCATTCTCGAGCCTTATCTTGGCGACCTGTTGAGTCGCCTTCTGGACCTTTTGCGCAGCCCCAAGCGCTACCTGCAGGAGCAGGCTCTCTCCACCATTGCTACTATCGCCGATTCCGCCGAGACCGCTTTCGGGCAATACTACGACACCCTGATGCCGCTTCTTATTAACGTTCTGAAGGAGGAGCAGGGTAAGGAGTACCGTCTGTTGCGTGCCAAGGCTATGGAGTGTGCCACACTGATCGCCCTCGCTGTTGGCAAGGAGAAGATGGGCCAAGATGCCCTCAACCTTGTCCAGATTTTGGGCAATATCCAACAGAACATCACTGATGCGGACGACCCTCAATCACAGTATCTTCTTCACTGTTGGGGCCGCATGTGCCGTGTTCTGGGCCGTGATTTCGTGCCGTACTTGCCCGGTGTCATGCCTCCTCTGCTGACTGTGGCTGCCGCTAAGGCTGACATTCAGCTTCTAGACGATGAGGACCAGATTGAGCAAGTTGAGCAGGATGAGGGCTGGGAATTGGTTCCCCTAAAGGGCAAAGTCATTGGCATCAAGACCAGCGCTTTGGAGGACAAGAACACCGCTATTGAATTGATCACCATTTACGCCCAGATTCTTGAGGCTGCCTTCGAGCCTTACGTGTTGGAGACCATGGAGAAGATTGCCGTTCCCGGTCTTGCATTCTTCTTCCACGACCCCGTCCGCGTTTCCGCCGCCAAGTTGATCCCGCAGCTGCTGAACTCCTACAAGAAGGCCCATGGCGACCAGTCACCCGGCTTCGCTGAGATGTGGAACAAGGTTGCCGAAAAGATTATTGAGGTCTTGAGTGCCGAGCCCACCGTGGATACTCTGGCCGAGATGTACCAATGCTTCTACGAGTCCGTCGAGGTCGTCGGCCGCAACAGCCTCACCCCCCAGCACATGCAGGCCTTCATCGACTCGGCTAAGTCAACCTTGGAGGACTATCAAATGCGCGTGAAGCAGCGGTTGGAGGAGCAGGCTGAGCTGGAGGAGGGCGATGAGGAGAACCTTGATTACGAGTACGCCGTCGAGGATGACCAGAACTTGCTCAGCGACATGAACAAGGCCTTCCACACAATCTTCAAGAATCAGGGTACTTCATTCTTGGTTGCCTGGCAGCAGTTGATACAATTCTACGACAACTTCATCACAAGCCAGGACCCCACCCAGCGTCAATGGGCTCTGTGCATCATGGACGATGTCCTCGAGTTCTGCGGTGAGCAGTCATGGACCTACAAGGACCACATCATGCAGCCTCTGGCTGCTGGTCTCCAGGATCAGAATGCCGCCAACCGCCAGGCCGCCGCCTACGGTGTCGGTGTGGCCGCGCAAAAGGGCGGTGCCGCATGGAGTGACTTCGTTGCTGCCAGTATCCCCAGCCTGTTCCAGGTCACCCAAATTCCTCAAGCCCGTAGCGAAGAGCACGTCTTCGCTACCGAGAACGCCTCTGCTAGTATTGCTAAGATCCTGCACTATAACCCTTCCAAGGTCGAGAACCCCCAAGAAATTGTCGCTACTTGGATCGAGACTCTCCCCATCACCTACGACGAGGAGGCCGCTCCTTACGCCTACTCCTTTATTGCACAGCTGATTGACCAGTAAGTTTCCCTTGCGTCCATTTTCTCCACGTTAATACTGACCCATTCCAGACAAAACCCCGTCATCTTCAGCAAGGCCGACCGTGTCTTTGGCTTCATTGTTCAGGCCCTTGAGGCTGGGACTTTGCAAGGACAAACCGCCGTGCGGGTCGCCGAGTCAACTAAGCGGTTGGTGGCAGCCACCGGCTTGAACGGAGAGCAGATCCTGGCTGGCGTCAACCCAGACAGTCAGGAGCGAGTGCGCAAATTCTTCCAGTAGAATGTTCCATAGCCACATTTCCCTTGATCGGATTATCTATTTCCCTTTTTTTTTCGTTATCATTCCCCTTGGCCTCATGTGAATCCGATGCTAGTGAAGACCAGAAACGTTTCGTTAATTTCAAGTTCCAATATCTACGTACAAATTTTTGTCAACGAGTAAGAAGAGGTTGTAATCGACCTATCTACAGGGAATCAACACGTTTGATCTCATTCGCAACCACCTCCTGTAGGGTCGTCATTTTCGGTTCTCCGATCAGGCCATTGGCACGCTGGTCATACAATGTGCCTCCCTCCGTCCAGATACGGCGCAGCGTGAACACTGTTGCAGCTGGGTTCCCACCTTCCCAGGCCGCAGTTTCCAACTCACGTAGCCGTTCCACAGATGTACGCGAGACATCATCCCAAGGCTTTCCAGTTGTCTGGCGTTCAAATTCAGCCTGGATCTCAGCCGGGGTGGTTGTGAAAGAGTTGACACAGAGAGGGCGGTTCCGAGACTCCGGGGTGGCATGGAGAAGAGTAGCCAGGACAAGGGTTCCCACGCTATTTATTTTATGATCAGCCAAGTCGTTCCTTTTCTTCGGAATTCTCAGAATAGGACAACTCACTCCTTCATCGTCGTCAAACTGACTCTCTCATTGCCTGTCGCTCCTAACAAAACAGCCTTCCGGGCCTTCACATCCCATCCTCCGGCTTCCTCCATACCAGGCACAAAATGCAAGTACATCTCTGCGAACGGTCCGGTCACGACATATGAGTAATCCAAATCTGCGCGCGAAATCTCCTTCTCGAGCACAGCTCGCACCTTGAGCTTCTGCTGGTGAGGCTTCTCCTTTGCAGATGATGGACCGTAGGCGATGTCAGTACCGTATTCTGAGGGCAGGAACCATTTCACACTGGGGCTGGCTGCAGCTAGGCGGATCAATGGAATCTGTTCAGCGAGAGCATTACGGCCGAGAGCTGAGATGACGGTATCAATGCCTGAAGGTGTTTAGTTATGTGTAACTGAAAGATTGTGGAATAGATTTCTTTTTTTTTACCTTCATAGGCGGAGTTGATGGCATTCTCATCGGTAATATCGCCAACAATTACCTCGACATTCTGCTTCTTCAGTATTTCCAGGTCCGCAGCTTTGGTCTTAGCCGTGTGTGGGGAAGTAAAGATGGCAACCCGGCCGAATTGAGATCGCGCGGAGAGGACAGCAGTCAGGATGAACGAGCCAATTTGGCCGGTGGCGCCGAAGATTAAGATATTCTGAGGAGGCATTGTATTATGTTTTATTTGGTGTGAATGTAGAAGAAAAGTAGCATCCGAAGCCGAACGCTTCGGAGATGTAGACAGACGTGGGGGTGCGATGCGGGGCTGCTTAGCAATCGCGCTACAAAGATGAGTCTATCTGATTCTCCCTGAAATTGCTTCCTTATACCACCATCTCCAGGATCTCTAATACCTGCTCCTTCTCCTTGAGCGGGACAGGATTGGTCTGACACCACCGGTCATGCAAACTGTGCGCAGCCAACGCGTCCAGCTTGTCGCGGCCCACCTTGACGTCACTCAAAGACCGAGGCATACCGATTTCGCGGATGACGGCATCGAGGATGTCGCCCAAGTCTGCGGTCTCGCTGTTAACATTGCGGGCGCGTAGAACCTCTGAGACCACCGGGTCTTGTATGAGGAACTCGCGTACACGCGCTTGGCGATCGCGGTTGGAGTTGTATTTGGCGTTAAATTTGCATACGGCGGGCAGGAGTATGCAGCTTGTTTCGCCATGTCCGACACCCAAGGGACCAAGCTGCAGAGGTCAATTAGCTTAAAGATAAATGATGAATATGAAATGCACATACTTGATGTCCAATTCCATGACTAGCTCCCAATTCCACGGAACCACTCGTGCAAGCTGCCATCGCGTCCACTGACCCCAATTGACATTGCAAGTGTGCGTCGCGATCTGCACGGTTCTTCTTACAGTTCAATAGACCAGGAACCAGCAAACCTAGCGCGTTCTGTGCGAGTCTGTCTGACTCTGGTGTTGTGCCGACAATAGCGCACAGTGTCTCGACACAGTGGTCAACAGCGCGCACGCCTGTGCTGAGCCATATGTGGTCGGGCGTAGACTCTGCCAACTCCGGGTCGAGAATGATCAACTCGGGACCCCGCAAAGGTGCCTGGAAGCTGTACTTGCGGCGAGAGCGGTCCTCAGTACCACCCGCAAAGTTGGAGTACTCGCCGGCAGAAAGAGAAGTCGGGACCGAAATGATGGGTACAGTGGGTGCTTTGATCTCTGCGCGCTTGTTGGGCCCTTGGGCAAGGGTCTCAAGATCGTCTGGAGTCCGGACATCGTTTGCGAGAGCCTATATAGTGTCAATGAACAGCACATGAAGTGCCTTGAACTGTAGAGTTGGTACCAGTGCAATAATCTTCGCCCCATCGGTCAAACTGCCCGCTCCCAGCGTCAATAGCAGATCGGCCTGCACGTTGCGGGCCTCCTCGACGATCTCTAGGACCTCGGACCACAGTGTGTGGCTCTGCATGCCAATTCGGCGACCGACTATCTTGTCAGACCCCATCGCACTCGTCAAACGGTCAAGTGAGTCGGTGTTGCGGGCCAGGGATCCCGAGCAAATCACGTAGACGCGCGAAGCGTTGAATGTCTCGGTAACATGGCGGGCGGCGGCAGCGGGAAAGGCGATACCGTAGGAGAGGAGAGGGCGCTCGCGGCCGGCGAAGGCGGGACGGACTGTTTCTTGGGCCATTATGACGGTAAAAATTGATGCAAAAAGGATAGACATCGAGGTTCGCGAAGACTATAAAGCTTAACCTTCTCCATGTGGGATGTGGGGCCATGTGGGTTCGCTCTTTCCGTCTTTTGAGTCTTATCGCCTGAACATGGAGATGATTTATATACCCCTGTGAAGGCGTTCATGCCTGATTTCCGCAGGTACATGTTGCTTGGAGTCTACACAGACATATATACTGAAGGCAAGGGCCCTATGCAAAGCAAAATGATGATAATTATTGGCCAGCGTGCTCTTGATATTGATAGAACCTTTGCCATGTTTTTTCCCTCCGCACACCTCTTCAAGGCTCTATTCAGCACATCAAGGACGATGTTGGTCTGGAACCTATTTCGTTTCTCAGGATTTTAGGAAGTCTCATCATCATCTCCTGGACCCTAGGTATATTCCACTTTAGCTCAAGTGAGATAGAATGATTATGAAACTAATCATACGACCATGATCACCTCATCAAGGACGGTTTTGATAGATTCTTGGTCTTCTTCAATCGTCTCGCAAATGTGGTTGACATTCACATTGAAGGATTGGCGCCGGCTCAAATTCGATATGAAGATACATTGGTGTTGATAAGGTAGCCTCTGGCCTCAGTCTATTACAGTGAACGGAGAGCGTCGCAGATGAAGGCGCAGTAGCGGACGCAAAGTTCTTTGAAGCTGTACAATCTGCTGGATCGCTGAAACAAGGGGTGTAGGGCTACGCAAAGCAATTCCTGAGGCCCTGAGGTTTCAGGAGCCGGACGTACATTGTCGCGAAGCAATGAAGAGAGATGGGATCCATACCAGATGGGCTTGGATTTTGGTTTGAGGATTGAGTTAATTGACAAGAGTAACGATGAACGAGTGAGGAGGAGACTGGGGATAGTGGACATGATTTCGAAACGGGTTACTCGGTGTGTCTTTCGAGACAATGCAGTGAGTACCCTGAACTACCATCTTACTCGTTCTTCTCCTTTTCCTCCTCCTGAAGCCGCGTATTTCACTCTGATGTTTTTTTTCGCTCTCCACGATACTGGTTACGCTGACCATGGACCTGTTGCACCTCTGTGAAGAAATACCCCCATGAACTAATTGTCTTCTCCACCCACGTTGGAGGTGGATACACCATAAGTGGTATCAAACTTGACTACTTTTCTTGTCGGCAGCCAATAGCCAAGCTTTAGCTCTTCTCTTGATCTGAACAGCAGCGTGGAATACTGTCCTTGAGGTTTTGTATGAAACCACCACTTGTCGAAAAAGATTGCACGTTTCCGTCTGGCGCACTGTCACACCTTTCAGGCACCGATCTTATCACGGAAAGAATTCAGAAGTTCTGGAAGCTCATATGCAGTATTTGCCTTGGTATACATTTTCATGTGGAATGCAGTCATCACGGGAATATATGAGTGAATAAAAAGAAATTCTCGAGGTAAATGATTCGGTAAGTAGACTCATGGAGAGATCAAATAATAGAGAGTATTACGCGAAGAGACGACTATCTGTCTAAACCGATTCTGCATTGCATACAATGCACTTATGTCTGGTGTTAAAGAGAGGGAATCTGATATGTAGGCTGAGGATATCTTATGCCTTTGTGGATTGATATGTTGACTTGGTAAAGGAGCCTGGGAGTTCGCTTCTAATCTTCTAACATGTTGAGGGCTATAGCTTTCCTTCTTTTGTACACAAGTCATGTAACGCACAGCAGGAATGGCTTCGCTCTCTAGCTTCATTACAGCTCAACTAATTGTATATCGATGGTATTCCAGAGAAGAAGGAATGGATAAATGCAAAATCTTCATTCAATCCGCGTAAACCGATATCTTTGTGAAGACACCCGATGCCTCACTATCATTCAGTGGGGTGGGCGTACCTTTTAACTCCGAAGTCGCGCGTCTTAATGGGAGATTTGAAGCCTATGAACATAATCCAAAAACTCGACCAAGTCTCCACAACAGCCCGGGTGGTCTAGTGGTATGATTCGCGCTTAGGGTTCGACCTAAGCACTCCTGCGCGAGGTCCCGCGTTCGATCCGCGGCTCGGGCCTGTAACATTTTTGCCAATTGAAATTTCTCAATGGCATTTTTTGGTTGGCGAACTATGCACGGAATCCTTTGATGTGGGTCACGTGATAGGGTCGGAGCGATCTATGCCCCAGGGAGATTTGAATGGACGGTAATCTGATATCAAAGTTATACCAAAGGAAGTCAAGGTGATGATCCTCTGACCTCATAGGTCTGATAGAATGTTCTCTGTGCTCGAAATTGAAACTTAATTTACTGTTCTTGTACCGGAGGGCTCTATCTGGCGTTCTGGCGTTCTGGCTCTCGATAGGGTTGTCTTGAGCTTTCAACTCATTCTTCAGGACACCATTAGTCGGTCTTCCATATCATTCGCAACCGATTATATGTTTCACAATCACTCGTCGTATCGACTGATATTTTGGTTGAGTTTCTTGTTGCAAGTTAAAATGAATTTTCAATGTATACCTACCATATGCCAGCAGTGACATATATCGGCTAGTCCCACAGTAGTCACAACAACTATTTACCACCACGCATCGCTAAGCGCCGTGACGCAGAAAGCGGCAGACCTTATTCTTGAAAAAGAGAGATAAGTCACAATGAATCTAATAATAATTCAACATATCAGCCATTGTCAGCAATTTGCTGCACCAATCTTCCCAAGTGCGGCCTGAGGCATAAAGTGACATAAGCCGATATGATGTCAAGAAACACGCGATCGCTGATTGGTGGTAGGCTCAACCCCGCGCCATCACCTGATACTCAAGTGCTCCCTGGACTCCTCTCTACTTCTACATAGTTTAGCCTAAGAGCTGTTCTTAATTGAAATGTCGGATACTCACCTTCCAAGGAAAGACTCTGACACTTCCCTCAACTCTGCTGCAAACCCCAACGATGGCTCCGGAATCGCCTCACCCAGAAGCAGTACAGAATCTCGTCCGTCCACACTCCAACACCGTCCGTCGCATCTGCCTCCAGCAAATCTTCCACACCGCCAGAGCCTGAGCGAGACGTTGCGCGGTCCTCCAGGATCTCCTCGCACTCGTCGACAACCATCCCTGAACCAGGCCGCTCTCCAAAGCTTGATCGATAACCCCCCGCCTCCCAAGACTGTGGACTCGGCTTTCGTCGGTCGTGACTGGCGAGAGATCTCTATTGGGGAACTCGTTAGTCCGCAAGATTTACAATTCGTTGAATTAGACACAGGGATCGAAGAGGCAACGACTGTGAGAGCCTCCGAATCCATGCGCTAGCGCATTGAGATCTAATATCTTCTTTCCTTTTCAGATACTGATTGACTCCGGTGTCCCGGTACTACTAATTCGCGAGTCTCCCGAGCAAAAATCCGTTGTTGCTACATTTGATTACTCCGATCTCAACACCTACCTTCTTCTCGCTGCTGGATTGACCGTCCCAGCAGAGGAACATCGCGCGTCGTATGATGAGCTTGCCAAGAAAGCTCGCGAGGGGACAAAGATCCCCCTCAAAGATGTCAAGGGGTTGGGTATGGAAAAGGAGCCATTGGTAACCATGCCAGCTACAGCGAATGTTATGGCCGCCGTCGAGACATTTGGCGGCGGGATTCACCGCGTGGTTGTGACCAAAGATGCCCATGATAACGAGGTGGTTGGCACTTTCAGTCAATTCCGACTCGTCAAGTTCTTGTGGGAAAACGGACGTAGCTTCCCAATTATTGATGAGCTATATCCACAAGCCCTGAGTGCACTGCAGCTCGGATCGCAGAGTGTGATATCTATCAAGTGAGTTTTGGCAGTCCCCCAGTTGTACATTGTTCCGGTGTTTAATATAGATCGGCAGTGGCGACAAGCCTCTTAGCGAAGCGCTCCAGATTATGAACAGCGAGGGGATCACTTCAGTTGTTGTTGTGGATAACCACATGAACGTGATTGGGAATATCTCTACTACAGATGTTAAGGTATATCAGGCGCAAGCTCCCCCAAGATGCTCGCGCTAATTACTGCCCAGCTCCTGACTCGGTCCTCATCATTGCCTCTTCTTCAAAATACCTGCACACATTTCATCTCCGTGATCTTGTCCACCCGCGGCTTGATCGAAGGCAAAGATTCCTTCCCCGTTTTCCATGTGCATCCGACCTCCACACTAGCCCATACTGTGGCAAAGATCGTCGCGACCCGATCGCACCGGTAAGATGGGCATCATAACTACATTTCTTCAGGATAATTACTGACATGGGCCAGGCTCTGGGTGACTGATCCGCTATCCCCATCGTCATCCGGACCTCCAACTCCTTCGCACTCGACTCCACACATTTCTTTTGCGACACCGAACCCGGTCGCGTCTCCGCCACCGTCTCCTCTTTCTCAGCCTACGACCTCTATCCAGCTTGCTGACCATGCTACGCCGCACCTTCCAACACCGACCCAGCCTTTGTCCGGCAATGGCCTGTTCTCTCACTCGAGCGGAGTTGCCCCTCCTCTTGCTCCTTCCATCCCCGCCTCTTCTCTACCCGGTGCTCGGCTGTCAGGACGCCTCGTCGGTGTCGTTAGCTTGACGGATATCCTCAATGTGCATGCCCGTGCCACCGGGCTCAGTCCTGCCGACCCGGCCGAGTCTCGACGCCGACGACGCAGCAGCTCCTCAAGCATGAACTTCCGCCGCAGTGGCGAGGCTGGCCGCGAGCTATACAGCCGAGGCGGCATGTAAAGCCATCGTCACACAACATGGTCGCTGTGCAGCTGACAACAGGCGAGATGTTCGAAACCAAACACCAACAACAATCCATACATCGGCATAGAAGGCCAGCCCCACTCATTTCTTGCACAGTATCACGCATCCTCATTGCCATGATTTCCCGGCGTTGCTTTGATAATTTCGGTGTTTTATTTTTATTTTTATTTTTATTTTTTGGTCCATAGGCTCTGGACTGGAGGACATTTGGTATATATTAGTTTCGGCGATGCCGATTCTCAGGACTACAAATCAGACGGATACTTATTTCCTGAGTTGATCCCCCCGTGTGTGAATACGCTGCATCCGTAGTACCGGGTTTCCTATTTGTCACCTTTCTCTTGGACGTTGCGAATTCCCCCAACGTTTGACCATCATACGATCGGTGGCTTGACAGGGCTCCACCGATCGACCCACCGATCTCGCGCGCATCAGATCTCCCGAGGGTTCTCCGCCATCTGCCGGGAGTGGGACACGGATGTGATCCAGTTGGTCGAGAGTCTAACATCAATCATGTCGGACGTAACGGGCTTTGGAGATGCCTTCAATCTTGAGACGCCTGTCACGATAGCTCCTCAACCTTGGAACTCAACCGGGTGAATGTATTCTCCCCGCCCCAATCACGACCCTGTTACTTGTCCGCCGCCCCGCGTGACCTGTTTTTTTTTTTTTTTCTTTTCCCGTTTCGCGTGAAAACTAGATTCTGTTTCCCACAGCCGTTGTCCTGCCTCTTCCATGGGAAAAGGCGCACAGTTGTTCTTCGCTCGGACGGTTCAATCCGACAAACCTAAAGTCAGGCAGATGACCCTCCGCACCTGACCCGGCCTTGGACACACAGGGACAATTCCAAGTGGCGTCCATTCAAGGTCCTCTGGAAGGACTTCGCCGGATCAGGTATTCGGGGCTCACTTGATTTCTTTTTGGCTGTTATCTCTCGGCGTGAGGCGAGTTCGATCAGAGCTGGGATAGCGTGCAAACCGTGACTTGTGTCTCTTGGGATCACGCCATGATCACGAGTTGATTTCCACAGTTCGGCCCGATACCCCAATGGAGGCATAATTACCGAATCGAAAAACCAAAGCAGGATGGATATACCAGATAGTACCCCCATTCCTCTGCCTGAGTGGACAGCAACACTTCAGCCACAGCGAAATAGCAGAGAAACATCTTGAGATATCCGAAAGCCACAATCAGCAGTGTTGGATCCACCAATCTAGCCCGGTCTCTAGCCTCGCATCTCCACCGCAACCAGGTCGAATGGCCCTACTAAGGAGTCCACCAAGCAGAATCTCCTCCCCCCCTTGGCCTGGGCTTTATGATTGGCCTGATTGCACTCGATAGCCAAGTTCTCGATTTGGAATATCGACCTCCCCCGGGGATCGCGAGAGAGGACCCTTGATGGGAGCATTGTATGTCTGAATTCCTTGAATCAGGACTGACCATGACGTTAGGTCCCCCAATGACTTCTATTTACATCATGCTGATGGAGACCATCGGTAAACCCCCGTCTGTGGCTTCAGATAGTCACGCCTGTAGGTGAAACAAGCATTGGGGATCATCTACCAGGATCAATAATCAAATTAGAGAAAGAAAAACAATGGTAACGGAGTACCTGCAGCGTGCAGAACTGCTTATTTGCTAAGACCGCTCCAGGCCCGCCTCACACTATCCTATCATGCCACCATTTTCCCCCTATCCCCACCATTGACCAGAGCTTTGTCCTCTAGCAATCTAGGAAGGTCCAGCGTATCTAAGCATAGAAACCCCCCCCCCCCCCACCCCCAAAGATCGAGTTCAATGGATGGGGGACCCAAGACAGGCAATGGCACGGCACCAATGGACAAGCTGCAAACGTGCACGGGGTCGCGATGACAAAATAGCAAAACCATGGAACCGATCGAGGTCCCACAGAATTCCCAAGCATCGACCGAATTAGTTCAAGTTGAACCGTTAGTGCCGTGGATCGACTTGTCCTGATCCGGACGGTGGTCTGTGCGGAATGCTGCAACCTTAACCCCGCAAATTGCATCGTGCTGATTTGCTTACTTCTGAAATGAAACCGAAATCAGCTCTGTATATTCCCTAGAAGAAAGATAAACCAAGAATTCCCATAAAATAGTTTCTTGTGATAGTAGACCATACATCGACCAAAGGGGCCTAGGAATTTTTATTTTTTAGAAAAACAACAAAAAAAAAAAACGGGGATATCACGCGTCTAGAAAGGTAGCGAACCCCACTTCATACCTTCCCTGCAGATCACGAATCAAAACCCGACCCAGATCCAGTATTTCGGGAACGCCTCATTCCCAACCGCAAGGCACCCCGAAACAGTATGCAGCTCTGACCTCACCCTCTAGCGCCATCCAATTCTCTCCACTAGAGTGATGATTTCCAAGTTATAGAATACGAGCGGGGGATTTAAACTCCCAGTCGCTGAATAGGACTGGTGGTGAGAAATCCCGCCCAGAAGACATTCGTCCATAATTGAGGAGGGGAGGAGGGGGTTGATATGAGGGATTTAGGCGACCAGTCCACCATTGAGAGAAGTCGATTAGCCGAGCTGGACAGGAAAAAAAGGAACCTGCCATCCAGTTTCTAGCCCTCTGAGCTCACATCGCAGTGGAGTTTGTGATGTCAGGGGGTCGGCGGGTTTTGAAAGACTCTATGTTTCTCTTTTCTTTTCTTTTCTTTTCTGTTCTTTTCCGTTTTTTTTTGTCTTTTCTTTTCGCCTTATTTTATCATTGAGTGTATGGTCCTCCATGGTTAGTGCGTGCCCTTCGCGTGTGTGACACGAGTTTGAGTTCCGGGTTGAGCTTGATCCCAAGGTGGGTATTGATTGGGAGCTAGGAGCTATGTAAGTCTGGACCGGATGTAAGCGAGAGCTTCTTTGCATCTTGCAGCTATAGCTAGCACGGCCCGTAGACTAGCTAAACCTGGGACTGGGACTGGGACTGGGCTTTGGATTGGGTGAGGGGAGCTCGAAGGGAGGAGACTTAAGGGCCGGATTAGGAAGCGAAATTGTTTGCGGCTGAATGCAACGATGGACTGTGCGAGGACCTGAAAATCCTGTCCTCGAAAAGTATTTCTTAAGGCACTGAGTAGTGAAGTGGGCTATTGGAATGGACCGTAGCTTTGTGCTTTGATTTTGTATTTGATTGGTTATTTTCATCTTCTCGTGACTGTGGAAACGTACATAGCAAACATGGGCGCGTTGAGATCCATGGTACATGGCTTGTACTCTTGTCCCATCAGAAAGAAGAAAAAAAAAGAAGAAAAATACACGTCCGCAACGCCTTTGGTCATCCAAATCCGCCGGTAAGTGATTAAGGAAAGTTCGAGATAAATCGGGGGGAGAAGGGGGAAAAAGGGTATGGTACAGGGAGCAATGTACAAAGCCAAAGCATCATATACAGTAAAAAAACGGGGTAGATTCTTTCCCCAGGGAATCAAGAATTGGAAAAAAAAAAAGAGGACGGTGAATGAATAACGAAAAAGTCACAAAGAAGCACTGGATCAGCAGGATACAGAGCCATATTCATCAAGGTGAACAAAATCGTCAAACCCGTTAAAATCCCGCTCCTGCAGGGACGAGTTGCCTAAGCCCAACGCAAACTGGCTGAACTCGTTGTAGTCCGGATCCAGTTCTTCATGGGACACCATGAGACCGTCACCTTCAGGCTTATATGAGAGATCTGCCTGAACAGTTCCGATGGCAGTTGGCGAAAGGGGTGTGTTAGGGGTAGGGCAGAAATCCGGTGTAGACTGAGTCTCGGCAGAAAAGGTCTCGACCTTGGGTGAGCTATTGCCAGAGGGTACCATTTGCGCCAGATGAGTACCCTGCGTGAGCAGATTCAAATGGTGAATATTGTTGCTGGGCTGCGACTTTCCACGCGAGTGGCCGCCGCCACTGGGACCGGAAATGGACGCGGCGGGAGCGGGCTGAGGAGCTATGTGCTGCACGGGAAGTTCCGGCGCCGAAGCCATACGATCTCTGAACTGGCGCATCTGAACGGCGGCTGCGGCGTCCGTCGGCATTTGCGCCTGTTGCATCATCTGCTGCTGCCACATGTGCACCGCGGAGGCATCGGTGGGGGTCTGGCTTGGGGTAGGGATTTGCTGTTGCATGGCCCAGGACGGCGTCATCTGGTTCGCCCAGTTGGGTCCCGGGGTCTGCCTCTGGGTCACATACGCCGGGATTTGTGCCGTAGGTGCGGAAGTCATCATGCCTGAGTAGGCCGAGGAGGCATCGGAGCCGTCGATGCATTGCATGTAGGACTGGGTGTGGGGGTCGAAATGGGCGGTCGGGGACATGACATATGCCTCGGTGGCTGTGGTCATCGGGCTACTCAGTGAGCCTGTATCCATTCCTTGTGGGAACGGAGTTCGCAAGTTGGATAGGTCCAAGCTCATCTTCCGTGAGTTGCCGCTATCGATGGAGGCGCGCGGGGCCAAGCTGGAGCGACGACTGGCAATTGACGAGGCGGACGAGCTGTTGGCCCGGGCTGCAAAGGCAGCAAGTAGATGGCGATGGAATTGCTCCTCGATCTGCATATTTTGGGCTTGCAACATGCGAATTCGTTTCTCTTGATATCGCTCGTCGACTTCTTCATACATGGCTTCCTTCTCGACAATGTCCTTGGTGATATGGAAGGCCTTGCCGGTACGCTTCTTGTGAAGCATCGAGGCCCGATTGGCAGATTCCAGCCGAGCATCTAAGCTGCGGTCTTTGCGGCGCGAAGCCGCAATGAAGGCTCTGTACAGGGGAAGATTAGTTTTCTGTTTAACAACCCAAGGCAATCCAAGGACCTTACCGCTCCTGATTCTCCTCCCGAGACCGGGGATAGGCGAGATGTCCTGATCTAGATCGGGAGATCCCATAATTGAGTAATGCACTTCACGTCAGAGCATGAAACATAAGATCAGAGCCAGCAGGGGAAAGGGATAGGGAGTGGGAGAAGAGGGGCATACTAAATACCCACCCAGTTTGAGTTTCCGGAGGGGGATCCAAAAGCTGTCAGGCCGTAGTCGAAGCTTGGAGAGCAGATCCATGGCTCCCATCAGCGATCGCAGTTTGGACGCCGAGAAAAGTCTCAAGGGTTCGGACCATGGTACGCCGGGGATGTTCTGGTGCGGGCCCAATGCACGGCGAGTCCGTTCGATAGCGCCACCCAATACGAGCTGCCTGGCTGTGAAGTCTACCGACTCTGGGACTAATTTGGGACATTTGGGACATTTGGGACATTTGGAGCAGCGGAAAAGTCATCCAGGGAAATGGGTCCAGTTCTGCTTCACAGGCCTAGAACCCGGCGCCTGGTATTCAGTGGAGACGCTGCTCCCCCGCGATGCGACTGCAGACCCGCTCTCCTAACGTGGGATTGCTTCACCTTCCTTTTGACTTGTTCATGGCCATCTTGTGTCAATGGCTCTTTTTTCCCACTGTCGCACCACACGTGACGCTTCTCTGCAGAGTTTTTCCTGTAACTGTGCCCATCGTGTTCCTGCAGCCCCCGATGCTCGTCGATCTTCAACGGTGATCGGCCCCGAGTATGAGCTCATATCGGTCCCTCTTTTCATACTACATGGCACCTTTTGTGGCCTCAAGAGCCCCGATAGAATCCTGCCAAAACCCCGGTCCCCAATCGGCAGGTAGGAACGTCCCCTAGGGTTGGAAAACTGGGATACTGGGACGGTCAGCAAAACAGATCCGATTCAGATCCATAGGATCGTATGCTTTAACGAGCAATCAATTATACTCCGACGGGTACTCTTCAGACCCTCCTAAAGAAGCCTAGAGCACCTTGGAGCCCCCGTACCTAGGATACGGACGCCTCTAACGGACCCCCCCCAATACGAGCTTATGATTGGGCCGATATCACAACAGATAGAGGGGATTCAGCCCTGCCTCGACTTTACAGGTCTAGATGCGCCTGACACTACCCCATCAGATGTGTCCGCCACGGGGAGAGGGGGGGGGGGGGACACCTCCCCTCCCCTCCCCCCCCTCATCTCTCCCCATGGCCATCCGTGGGATGTATGTCTTCGTCCTTGGATTCGCCACCCGTTGTACCTACCGGTCTAGACACCTTTATCACCTTATCGTCCGGCCGAATCTAATCCGTTTTTAGACTGTCGGCGTGGAGGCGTCGCCACTGGCACCATTAAGGCAGGTCGGCGCTTTTTCACATGGAAGAAAATGAAGCGCTTGTACTTTTTGTAGTATTTTTTGTCTGGTTGGAAATGTACGTGTATCTGGGCGTAGTAAGAAAAAACGTGTGAAGGGTACCTTTACTCTCGCAAGCTCGAACCCTAGAGAGTAATCCGGGTCAAAGTTAGTGCGCTAACACTATGTTGAGGGTGGAGACCTCGGTAGATCATCCATCCTCTCCACCGCCGGATAATCCGATCTCCAGAACTGAAGAAAAAAGAAACTTGGAAAACATATCGTCACCTAATGAGCGATGTCACAGGGATCAAGATCTGTATCGATCTCATCAATGTCCAATACCCCAACATCCCTACTCCAACTGACTCGGGCCTCGCCTGCGGAGAATAGTCGGAGGCTACCATTTCCGCGGCACCTCGAGCCACACCAGCCACATCTCCACCAGAGCCAGATTTTGGTTCTGCCAGAATCAGGAAGTTGTCAAGAGCCCAGAGTATAGCCTGAATGAGGGCGATGAGGCTAGCATAATTTTGCGGCGATAGAAACACGTGCGGGGCGACGGAGATGTTCCTGACCGAGCTTGCGCAAGTCCGACTCCCCTGAAGAATACAATCCGATAGATGCCGAATTGACGGAATCAACACCACCCCCCTAGTCCCGGTATGATGTACCAGTCGTGGTTCCTGGAAAGTTTGCGTTTCCGCGGGATTTGCTCGGGCCTGTTCGGTCCCTTAAAGACTTTGGATGATATGCGTTGCTCTACCAGGCCTTTACCGTAATCGCAGGCAGAATTGGGAGATCGAAGCTTTTCGGGCAGACGGATCGACAACCGTTGCCCAAATGGGTAATGCCCCAAGGCAGTAGTAATCTACGCAGCTCATCTGGCAAGGTAAGTAGATATCGACAGAAGACATTCACACGTGGAAATCGATTTGGATTGCAGATATGAATCGATGTATCGAAGCAATGCAGTTTCGGGTTCCGATGAGATCTTTATAAACAGAAGTAACGCTAAGTTCTCAAAGCACAACAGAAGAGGTGGGAGGGGGGGGGGGGGGGGGAGACGAGTCTACAACGCTGATTTGATAGAGGAAATAAGAAATCACGGAGCCTCAGAGATCTGGTCCCTTGCCTTGAAGCCAAATCATTCAAACTCAAAATTGGCCTTTCCAGTGGGCCGGTAACCGCGGCGGTGCATGGAGACGCGTGTTATGCCACTCATCTTGGCATTGATTCACTAAGACCCAGCTGTGGACAAGTATGTTAGCGCATTCGGCGTTTCCCGCGCGGAGCTTGTCGCAAATCCCGAGACAAGACCCTTAGGCGATTCCCAGGGGTGGTACCATGCCCTGTTCTTCGCGGGACTCGTCTCCAAGCTTATAGGACACCTTGAACCGGATTTTCACAGAGTTGCCCTTGCCCGAGTCAATGCCGTCCAAGGCCATGTCCTGCTGTACACCGTTTCGCTGTTGCGGAGCAATCTCTCGGCCTGATTGCGGACGGAGCTGCAGAGTGTATGACTAGAAGTTGGTCAGCAAGTGATGCTCGCGTACAGCGGCCAAGTCACATTACCTTTTCCACGGCAACCTGGAAGTGCAGATCACTGATCGGCTGGCTGGTCGTGTTGGAGAAGGTAGCTTGAATGTAGATTTGACGGGGCGCAGTCTGTACCCGACGGGCAGCAAAATCAACGCGCAACTGCGAGTTCAAGACCTGAATTTTGTTCATCATCGGCAGGGCATTGCTTTGCGGGAGCGATGAGGCAAAGTTCCAATCGTCATCCTGAGCGGCGAATGCCTTTCCAGCAGCCTGCTGCGGAGTGGCTGTGTCTCCCATCAGGTCCAACAGGGACGATGAGGTTGCCGCGGATTGAGCTTGAGGCGGGGCCGGGAAGGGACTACCTCCAGGTCGGGGACTAGCAGACATCAATGAGGCAAATGGGTCCGCCGGCTGCGGCGGGGTGGCCGTGGCGCGGGCCCGAGGTGATGCCCCCGGCACAGGCGTAGAAGACTGTGAAGCAGGACGAGATGTATTGAAGGATGCAAGGATATCGTAATTGGGCTTGAATCCCGCCGCTGCCGGTTGGGCAGACTGGGGAGACATCGCCGGAGGAGATTGTCCTGAAGAGACCGGAGGAAAGCCCACTAAGATTTGTGTCAGCAACAACGTGGGGAGTTGGCTCGTTCAACGGGGACTTACTACTAGAGCCGCCCAGCGAAATCCCACCACCAGAAGCAGGTTCCTGGTTGCCAAGAGAGAGCCCGAGTAAGTCGTCCTCCAAGGCATTCCCACCGTGCGCCGATGTCTCACCATTACCGTTGGAGCTGGGCTCCTCGGGGTCGAAGTCGATCAAAGAAAGCTCATTGTTGGCATTTGTGGAAACTCCGGTCGTCGTACCCAACGTACCCTTGGGGATTCTGGACGCCGCATCCAGGTCGCCCTTCTTAACAAGCTTGTACCGCTCAATGGTCCGGTGTATGCTGTCATTGATCTCGAGTAGCTTGTGAACAGCCTCAGGGTCATCCGACTCTTCCTCGCACATTTTCTGGATCTTCGGATGAGCGCTTTGAAGGGCGGCAGCGAGCTCCTCAAAGACATCGCCTTCAGGTATGCCTGCGCCAGGCTGCTGACTCTGCAACATTTCTTCCAAAATCTTGGCTTTCTGTTGGACCTTGGACACCTCTTCCGCTGCTTTCGCCCGGTAGTCGGTCTTGTGTCGGTTGTCGAAGCCCGCCATGACCTTCATGAGCCGGTTGGCTTCTTGCAGATCAGCGGGAGTACCTCTCCGAATCAACTCCTGCAGCTTCGCAGACTGCGCTTCCTTTCTTCCTCCTCCATTTCTTCCGCTGAGCGCAGGTTCTATCAATGTGTCAGTATCTGGCGAGGACCAATGCCCAAGATCGAAAACCTACGTCACTGGGGTTGAGAACAGCCGCATCCTCACGGCGGACCTCTGGGAAAGCATAACCCTTGTAGAGTAGCAACCGGTGCATATCACGAATGAATCCCAGATCCTCCTTATAGCGCGATGTTTGGCAAATGGTCTGCCGCCACTCTTCGATCGATTCCAGAATGCGGTGCTGGACCCGCGAAGCTCGCATGGGCGGCCGCTCGGGGAACCGACGGACCAATTCATTTAAAAACTCCTTGGTGCTGATTTGAAGCTGAAAGGGGTATCCGCAATCTTGACACAAATGTCGAGGAGCTATATTCCGGGTGGTCAGTCATAACCCGCGCCAGGCTGTCGTCTGCGATTGCATCAACATACCGCCAACGCCAACAACGCGACATTCTGGTTACGTGAATTGATCAGATGGACGATCTCGACGGCCGCTTCTCGAGGCCTGCGAGGATAGATTGTTAGAATTGCGCGCGGAGTGGCTCGGCAGTCCGACTCACGCATTGCCTTTCTTCGAGTTGATCAGGTCCGCGACTTCGAGATTCAGGGCTAGGTTCGGCTCGTAATTCTGAGGATCGCATGCATTTCCTGTAGAGCAAAAGAATTTAGTCAACAATATTTGGAATCTCAATGAGGGGGACAGCTCACGGATGGCGCGCTGCAGAGGTGATAGTCCCGGCTCAGCATAGGCACCGAAGCGGTCCCTAGCCGCCATGCGTGCGGAAGCAGCCTCCAGGATGGCGGTTGAAGGGAAGGAGGGGTTAGAGTTGCGATATAGAAGAAAGGGGAGTGGGGTTGTTTGGGGTTCGATGTTCGCGGGAGAGGAAGCGCCGCTCGAAGTGATTCACTTCGTTTTGGAGAGCGGAGTCCCGCACGTGTGCTTGGCCATCTTTTTTTTCCGCTTCTTTACACTTCCTAACTTCACCATTTAAGTCCAAATCTCTGTACTTGCCCACCCAAAATGGTTCGTCACAAGAAAGACAATTTCTCTCGAGGAGGAAAGAAGTTCTTCGCCCCCCGCCCACGACCGGTGCCCCGCGGTGACGGCGAAGATGCTTCAGGCTCGTCGCGGCCGGCCTTCAAGGCCGCCTGCTGGGACATGGGACACTGTGACCCCAAGCGATGTTCAGGAAAGCGTCTGATGAAGCTGGGCTTGATGCGGGAGCTCCATATCGGCCAACGATTCCCCGGCGTTATTGTCTCGTATGCAAATCCTTCATTTGTCGCATCCACTTTACTAATAGATCAACTCAGGCCCAACGCGAAGAAAGTCGTCTCTCCTGCTGATAAAGAACTAATGGAACAATATGGCGCCGCAGTTGTGGAATGCTCTTGGGTTCGAGTCAAGGAAGTGCCCTGGTCACGGATTGGCGGCAAATGCGAACGATTGCGTATGTGCTCAGTGCGAAGGACTGGTTCGCATGGACTTTTGGCTGACAGATTTACATGTACAGTGCCCTACCTCATTGCGGCTAACACGGTAAACTACGGCAAGCCCTGGCGATTGAACTGCGTTGAAGCCTTGGCCGCATGTTTCTGTATCTGTGGACACGAAGAATGGGCACGGGAAGTCCTCAAGAACTTCAGATATGGGGAGGCATTCCTCGAGATCAACTCAGAACTTCTTCAGCGTTACGCCGCCTGTGCGACAGAAGAGGATGTAAAGAGGACAGAGGAGGAGTGGCTTGCCAAGATCGAACAAGAGTACGAAGACAGCCGCGCCGAGGGAACGAATGATATTTGGACGACTGGAAACACCAACCGTTTGCCCGCCAAGCATGGCTTTGACGATGACGACGATGACGATGACGATGAGAATGACGATGATGAAGATGGTGAATCTGAAGAGGAAAACAGTGAGGAGGAAGATGAAGCCGAGGTCGACAGAGACCCATTCGCGATTTCCGATGACTCAGAGGACGAAGACCAAATGGCAGAAATCCGGCAGAAGATATTGAACTCCAAAGCTTTCCAGAACCCATCTGTCGAAGAAAAGCAACGACCCGAGAAGATCGAAAGACCAGAGCCTACATATGTTGACTCGGACGCCGAGTCTGGGTCGGCTGGAAGCGAGGACGAGGATTTTGATAACATCATTAACGCGACTACGGTGACGGACCGTACCGGTATCAAGGATGTCCAGCGACGTCGGGGACAGGAGACCGTGACTGCTTCATTCTCGAGGACGGAGATTTCTGCCCCGAAAAGATGGTAAATGTGATGTGATATCTGGAACGGCAATGGAAGCCGATGGGCTATAGTTCAGAAAATGGGTTACGACTTGGCATATATGAAGTCATGCATTATCAATATCAATGACTTTATGATTAAATACAGCTAGTCCCTGATCAACCAGGATATGCTTTGGGCTGCAGAGGAGCTCCTGTCCATAATGACGCCCACTTGTGGCCTGGGCCTGCCAGGACGTGGAGACATTTGAAGCTCAAACCAGCACCCGAGCAAACCGCTCCTCAGTATCAATCAAGACAGCCAATGTGGGTATTTCAGAGAAATCCGGGGCGAATTAGCGCCTTTGTGATATTTAGCACTCGAAAGCGCAAGTCCACCTGGCCCTTGAAACGAACCATACGCAGTCCAAAACCGCGTAGTTCTCTCCGTACATTTCGTCTTCAAAGTACTTTGAGATTGGTGATATCTGCGAAGTGGAACTCATATTCACAGGTTTCCTGTGACTCCACGTAGTTGTTGTCTATCGCATACCGAGTGGCGCTCAGATATCTGCCGCTGGCATCGTGGACAGTCCAATTCACAATGTGTTGGACGTGCGTGTGTCAATGAGTGGGTAGTGGATCGGAGGACCAGTGGGTTCGGATCATTGTAACTGGGAAGCACGCCATTTTGTCTGCGCTGTGACCGGAGACTCGAGTTTCGCCAAGAAGGATGGAAGTAGTCGGGTCGTAAGAGAGAGAGGTTGCTTGGAAACTCGGATTGTAGAGGGTAAATATTTGGAGGCATTGAAGTATCGTAGAGTTTGATGCACACAGATCAGGAATATCAATTTTTTGATCTCAGACACTCACTCTAAGGACCTGCTTTCACACTCTCTTTATATATTGTCTTCCAAAAAGGGTCAAGTCTCAAGTTGCTCTGCATTAAAAAATCCGGCGAGGCTGGTCCAAGGCTGCGGATGCAAGGGCGGCACCCGTCGTGGTCCTTAGATTGGATAGGGTTGAACAATCATGCAAGGTAAATCAACACATACTGACACCCTTTGACATCAATATTTCAACACGAAGCGGCCTTTTGAATAGCGTCATATAGTGAAGGATCTTAAAAAGACTGGTTTCCCTCCCTGTGCACCTGATCAGATTTCCTTCCTGGTGATATCGAGACCCTGCCAAGAGGGCGTCCAAATGACCTAGATCACTGAGATCAACCTCAGGCTTGACTCACATTTTCTACAACCTACCTGATTCAAAGATGCAAGAGAAAGGGGAAAATTGATGGAATGTGATCGATTGTTGAAATCTCAGGAGCATCACGTGCCACTATATCGGCCTCACGAGGACATATTCATGCTGCGCCAATAAGTCTGGAGGATTAAACATCGTGGCTACTATGGCAGTCCATGATTTCCTTCCAAGCCGTTGGCGCTCCAAGGTGGCGGAGGTGTAGGACCCGTGAACTCCTGAGTAACGCCTTCCAGAACACGTGTGGGGTTGCCGTTACATACACACCCATTCACGCTTTGAGAAAGTTGTCAACGCAGCTTCATCGGGCATAACTTGGATCAACGTGGGAGAGCCCCTGATCTCAAGGGTAAAGCGCCTTTCTATCCCTTATTCCGAGTCATGTATACAGCCTTGGCTCAAGCAGGGTACAAGCGCCATGACGCCATGACGTTATGACCAAGGCACGAGTTGAGCCTCAGCTCGGTTCGCCTGATTTTCACCTGATGATGGCATCAGCCGCAGGCTGTGTCCTCCATGTTCAATACTCACTGTTCGAGTGGGCGACGTGGGACAAGACGGGCACTCGACCAAGTGGGCCGTGTAGGTGACGCTAAAGGCGATCGTCCCGCCTTATATGATCACCGTCGCTTCCCCTGATGAATGGCCGCGAACCTTTCTGGACATGTGGTAACGCGGGCGGGGAAATGACCAAATCGATTTACAAAGCCCTTTCCGTGACTTGATATATTGAATTCATTTCCTCCCCTCCAGAAGTCGGATCGAAGACAGTAAACAGTGCTCCAGACCTGGACTGATTCCGCTATGGCGCATCCACCAGCCAACAGCTCTGCATCCCCTGAACAAAAAGGTGCCAATGAAGTGGCAGAGCCAGCTGAACGACCACCTGTACTAGAAAGGCGTGGCTCTGGCTTTTTGAACTTCTTCTCGTCCATTCTGGCCTCCAAGAATCCACTGCCTCATGCGGCAGACCCAAGCAAGAATACCGCCTGGCTGTTCGACAACACAGCGTATCTGTCAGTTGATGATGACTCAGACGGCAATCCGCAGCAGTCATGGAAGACTGAAGTTGTTGCATGTATCTTCCAGACCGAGGGCCGAAAAGATGTCGGCAAATGGGTCGCTGCCATCGCTGACTACATCGGCCTGGATGGGGAGGTCGGCCACGATGACCATAGCACCACGATGGCGCATGCAATCATTGAAAAGCGCGTACAGCCATTTCTTGACCACGTTTCTCCTTCTTGCACCATCAACATCGACCTGAAGGTTGATGGATCAGCTCAGTCCCACTCGCTGGGACCTTCCGACCGCAACGGCATCATCAGCCAGACCGTTGACCTGGGTGGAACAGATGTGCACGATGGCACCGTAATCCGTTCATCAATTCACAGCTTCAACGATCAGTCCGCGGCAGTAGCAGAAACATGCTTCGCCGCACCAGAAGGCTGGCTTGTTGTCTCGGACATTGACGACACGATCAAGCGCACCATGACGATGGAGCCCACCGGCATTCTTCGCACCACCTTTGCCGAGGAACCCGTGCCGATCAAAAACATGCCAGAGTTCTATCGTCACATACATTCCGAGCTAGACCCAACCTGGTTCTATCTTTCGGCATCCCCTTACAACCTCTATCCATTCCTGTACCAATTCCTCCATGATCACTACTGCCCTGGCACGCTCGTGCTGCGTGACTATTCCTGGATGGACCTCAAGGGTCTCATTCAATCATTCACGGAGAAGACTCAAGAGTACAAGGTGGACCGGATGGAAAAGATTCGGAGCTGGTTCCCGCGTCGTCGGGTTCTATGCATCGGCGATTCTACCCAGAAGGATCCCGAGGCATACGCTGAGATGTACCATCGATACCCCGGATGGATTCATGCAATCATTATCCGAAAGGTGACAGATGTGTCTCATATGGAGGAGAAGAATAAAGCCGAGAGATTTGAAGCGGCATTTAAGGATATACCCCCGGAAGCTTGGACTGTTTTTGAAGACACCCAGGAACTCTATGAATTCGTCGATGGATTGGGCATGGAAGACCTAGCACTGTAATGTCCCAATTGTTTGTTCATCCATTTCTTCATTTCTACTTGTGGATATCGAACCAATACTTGCATATAACACAATTCACACTCCCAATTTCCCCTTTTCAATGCACGCTCCCTTTAGATTGCATCTCGGTGCTCTCAAGGATTGATCCTCACCACCACCATTCCACCCCGTCGACTCCCAGCAAGACCAGCAGCTCCACCATCAAGCAACTGCGCCGCATGTACCATATCGACAACCTGCTCCTCCCTCCCTCGAACCATGTTCCCCTCGACAAGCTCCACAATCCTCTCCAAGGCCTTAGCATCCGGATTCACAGGCACAAATCTACTTCTCAAACCCCTCTTCCTCCTTCCCAACAGATCCTGTTTGTCATCACCCTCTCTCTCAAGCGCCGGGCCCGGATCCACAGCTGTAAGAACAGTCCCATGATCCCTAACAGCACAATGAGCCTGTCGAAAGACCTCACCACCCGTACAATCAAGCACCAGATCAACAGGTTCCCACTTCATGCGTCGGAACTCCGGTCCGATGGCACATTCATTCTCAGCTGGGAGGTGCGGGATCACAATGACCCCGTCTACATCCCACTCTCCCCGGACGATCTGTTCTTCAGCCGGTGAACAGGTCACACAGACCCAGGGCCGCATGCCAGGGAAGAGCTTTGCCGCTCGAAGCATCTGTACGGCGAGACGACCTACCTCGCTATCGCGCGCGTTGGTGACAAGTACACGGACAGGACCGCCTCTCTTCCCTGAAAAGATTGAACTGCTTCGGCCTAGGAGCCAGCTACGTTCTGATGCCAGTAGACTTCCTTTTCGCTGTTCGAGGCCATCTGCGATACTTCCATTGCCCTTTCCGTTGCGGTTTCCGGTGAAGAGTCCGTGAAGCTGGGTAATAGAGCTGCGGAGTCTCTGGGGACCATGGGTACCATTGGAATCTGAAAAGCCGCGTTTATTCAAGTGCTCGTTGATGCTGGCTATTGAGTTTCGGATAGCATTTCGGCCGTGGGTGCTGCCAGTGCTGGCGCTGTTCCCGGCTGTGCTGCCACTCGCGGTTGCCATTTCCATTGCGGCGTCATTTGCGTTCCAGGGCTCGGAATGGGATTGTTGGTTATTAGCATTCCCATTTGCATTGATGTTCCTGATCCCGCCTAGCGGAGAGTCGGTATCTAGGCCGCCATAGACGAATAGGGCTTGCCATGCCGTGAGTGCAGGAAGGGCAATGGCTGCTGCTTCGTAGGTGCTGATGTTACTGGGCTTTAGGGCTAGTTCATTCTCTGTGGCGACGGCATAGTCTGCAGCGCCGCCATCGCGGGCGTAGCTCAGGAGACCAAAGACCTGATCCCCGATCTTGAAGCGCGGACCATTCACTTTTGTGTGATCCTCTGTTGGTGTAGTGATGACAGTGCCGCAGATACTATGGAGAGGGATCTTTGGCGTGGTCGGGCGTGGGTTCAGCTCATTGGCAAGACGAAGCTCATCCTGGCAGAAGGCTGCTGTTCGGATTTTGAGAAGGTATTGATTAGGCGAGGGACGTGGTGTCTGGAACTCAGTATCCAAAGTCAAGATTGATCTGGGCTCTGCCTCGGAAGCTTTGTTTCTGGGGCTGATGTTTGAAGCCCCGGATCCGGCTCTGCTTATATCGTCTCGCGAGACTTCTTTGGTCGGCGAAGGGGATCCCGGAGCCACATAGTAATAGAGTGCTCGCATTGATACTGGAACGAAGGTTTGTTCGTTCATTGTTGAGGATCGTGGCTTTGCTGGCTTTCCTGGTTTGCTCCTTGGTGACTTGACTACAGGAGACTTGATTGAAGGCGACTTGATCGCTGGCGATCTGACTGCTGGTGGTTGACGCGGGGATACACTTGACGAAGAATGAGTCCTGGTATAATAGTCCGGCCTATTCATTGTGTGAGTCGTTGGATCAGACACAGCTGACAATGAGGAAGTCAAATAGACGGCCATGATGAGATGTATTGGAGATTGACCCTCTCTTCCTACTTGCAGAATGAATTTGGTTGCAAAGGTGGAATGAACTTGCCAGCGCCATTATGTATAGATCACGGCGATGCCCTAATGTTGACGTATGTCTGAACTAAGGTCAGCGTTGCCACAAATCGAGGAGCGAATGTAATTACTCTCATCCACGGCAGAACAGAGCGGATATGTCTACCATGATATTGTTATTGGTGATTTGATTGAGTCCACCGCTGAGTGTGCTGCAAGACGTTGGGTGTCAAGGGAATACATTCCGTGGATGCGCCGACTGCATTGTTCTATTTTTCTCATAAATCAGGACCATTTGGTGTTCTAGATAATTGAATTGAATATATCATGTATCCTAGAGCCGCTGATTAGATTCTGCTCGGCTTAATTCTCGAAACAGACATTGATTCATTTCAGTCGGAAAGATAGCACGGGCACCCGCGTACAAAGCCATCATCTCAGAGATATAAACCTGATATGGTTTCCCCAATTCGCATAACAGGCGCGTAAGCGGGAAAGACGGAGGAGAAACTCAAAATGAAGATCTCAAAACACGAAAGGTGAATCCACGGGCATGAAAGATCCCCGTGCGAGAACGGTTTTTTGACGCGAGTGCGATATCGAAGATGCTTTGCCCAGTAAAGGTCCCAATCCACATGATGGAAAAGTACATGATTGAATAGAAATGATATTCAATTCTTCATGCTCCTTCAGAGCAAAAGCCAGACAGAAGGGGAGAAAAGAAGGTGGAGGAGAAGCAGGAAAAAAAGACAATGTATTAGAATCAACACGGTACATCCGCTTAAAGTAAAGAATCAAGTCTGGTGAAAACGCTCAAGCATGCGGCGACAATCTAGTCAGATAGTCAGTCAACGATTCGAGTTATAGATGCGATGGGAAGACATACCTCCAATTGGAGCTCTCGGTCCTTGTTCTTGTTGGCCTCGTCGTTGATGGCCTGGGCTAGGTTGGCTCCAATCGCCTGCGACCCACCTGCCCGCCGAGCAAACGGATATTGCGAGTACTCTGCCAATAGCTCATCCACCTGAGCAAAGGCTCTCTCACGCGCTTCGTGGCTCATTGTGACCAGGGCATTCTCCAATACGTTCGCCGCGTATGCTGCACACACCATCGTCACAGTGCGCAGATAGCGGAATTCGGAGTCCTCGGGGAGCCACGGACTGGGAGGAATGATCACAGTGCGGTTGCTGCAGATGTTACGCACGCGACGGTGCAGGTCTTCCTTGGCGCCGCTATCGGCAACCGGGTGAGTTGCCATGTCGAAGAGGAGGAAGTTCCGTTTTTCGGTTCGCAGGATACCCTTGTCCACCAGACCCTTGGCCAGTCGCTCACGCACTTGTTTCAATTGGTATCCGATCTTCATCAAATTCCATGTCTCGCCTGTGGGGTTGAAGACACGGGTTAGCCTGGGTCACATCGCAAGATCCATGATCACTTGGGGGTAGCCGTACCACTCATCAAATCGATCCATGAGTTCACGCTCATTTTCTCGCTCGATTTCATCATCTTTAGTGCCTCGTCCAGCAAGACCTCCCCGGTCAATGTGTCGTCGATGACCTCGATCACGCGGTCGGCTAGGGGAAAGCGTCGTCGCGAGGAGTCCTTCTGCATGCTTATGCGACCTCGGAGCGCAAGTTCAATAACGATACACCCGCGCAGGGCGTAGGAGATGTTCTCGTTCCAGAAGGACAGGTAGCCCTGCGAAGATTCCCAAAATGTTAGACACTCGACTTTGGTCGGATTGCTGGCACCACTGAGGCAGTCTAGCCAGGCCCCTCTTCCTCCTTTGCAACTCACCTGCTTGTCTTTTAGTCCCAACAGCAGCACCTCTTCCATCAAGGTGAGCTTGGGTTGCTTGCTTCGCTCTTCGGTTTCACTGAGGTCGCGGGGGTCGAATGCGATCTTGTGGCCGTTTTCCCCAGCGGTGAATGAGGTCTCCGGGCCACGATTGTCCATGGCGGAATTGTTTCTCGAGACAGGCGACGAGACTCGACTGTCATCTTGTTCTTCTGGGCCAGCAGCTCGACCGCCGCCTCGTCGGCGTGTCAAGCCCCCAGCTGAGGCCATGAGGATAAGGGTAGCGGTGGGGAAGAAAGAGAAGGGGAGAGATTAGGTGGGTATAGACCGGGATTCTCGCTTTATTCGAAGCCGATCTGCGTGCCGGTCGCAAGGGGCATTCAGTGTCCGTGTTGGTTGGTGAAAGGTAATCGCGTAGACCGAAAGTCTCCCGCTACCGTTGCCGCTTTCTGAAGTGGGACTCGGCGTCAGGGGAAACCAGGGACCGAGTAAGTTGACAAGATAAGCTAATCTGTCAATTCAAGACCTCTGTAATGAAGAGGGGTGAAAGACGGATGAAGTCCCAGAAATTGTCGGGTCGAAGTTAGTTCCGCCAGGCGAGGTGGCTGTTTTTGCTGTGCGCCCGCAACTAAGATCATTTGAATCCGTCCTGTACACGTATACTTCACTACGAAGATTGTCTCTGGGCCCAGCATTGAGCATTGTAAATAGTCAAGATACCTGCCGTCATGTTGCATTACCCTGCATCACCCTGCCTACGATTTTGACTTTCATCGCTGCCCAGGTGCTGGCCGCCCCGTGAGCCTCAACTCTGTTATCATCCCGATTACTTGCAGCCATTGCAGCCATTGTAGAGGTCAACAATGTTAAGAAATATCCCGGCCACTGTAGACGGCATCGGTCGCGAAAGAAAGGTCAAGAACAATAAATGGAGAGAGGAGAAACAGCGGTAGTCCGCTATCCACGTTCTGCTTCAAAACTGCATTCAAGATGATATACACGATATAGAAGGATCAAAAGGAAATAAAACCACTGGTATGGATTTCAGCATACAGAGCAGCGTCCGAGGCCACGGGGATACACGTTCTCGAGCGGACTAGCTGACGCCATTATCCCGAACCTTTTCTATCCAACTCCCAACCAACCGGTCTCCGGAATTTTCAATTAAGACATTTAGTGAGCTGTACTCAAGTTAGTATCCTGGGTCGTATTGATCGCAGGGTGTGTCAACATACCATCGGGCTGAGCCAGGATGTACTCAACAGCCTTCTCAACTTTTCGCACAATACACGTTAGTTGCAGTCCAGCGAAAAGCCTTCTCACAAGAGCTATTCAAACTTACCACTGTGGATCTGGTCGGCCTCCTTGTCGGGGATCTCAAGGCTGAACTCCTGTTGACGAAATGATTAGCTTTTGTTCTGCGATTATCTTTTCCGAGGAAAAGGACTGGAGCGCATACCTCCTCAATGGCCATAACCACCTCGACGGTGTCCAAGCTGTCAAGACCGAGGTCGTTCGAGAAGTGAGAGGCGCCGTTGATCTAATGGTCGGCATTTGTTAATTTAATGGAATTGGGTGGATGGCCTCGCCGAAGAGCTCAAAGCCAACAGCCGAGGACCAGCGGGTATTGTCGCGTCATCGGAAACTGACCTTGCTGGCATCGGAAACCTGCAAGAAGAGAGTTAGCGAAGGTCCAGTCGTAAATATGAAGATGATGAGATAGCAAAGCATGCCCGGACAACAGTCTGACGCACCTTGTCGAAGTTCTTGAGCAGGTTGACTATCCGGCCCTCAACCTCCTCCTTGTTCAGACCGGCAGGCGCGGAGTAGGCACGAATGGACTGAGAGACGAAGACGGGAGTGAATTGAGGGACGCGAGCAGCAATGGGGGAGCTGCGGATCTGGAAGGGAGCCTGGGTCTTGACGGCGACACGGGGGGCGGAAGCCCTCAAGGAGCGGGCGATGGCGGAGCGGAACATATTGCAATCGAAGATCGAAAGCGCGACGGCTACTCTCAAAGAATAGATAACAACGGGAGGTCTGGGAGGAAAGAGGGTGGGTTCAAAAAGCGATGGGGGAAGAGGGAGAAGAGGAAGGAAGACGGGAAGTTGATGCTCCTACGCAAAATCCTGCCCGGCAGCCAATCAGATCCCGACAGAAAGGAATGACCTAAGCCAGAAACTGCAAACCACTCGACTTCACGTTAGCGACCTCCTCCTACTCTGTCAATTGTCTCCTCTCCCACCCTTCGCCTCTTCTCTCACATCTCCTCTTCCAACCATGGCTACCGTGAGATCGGTCGCGCGGCTGGTCGCCAACCGCCGCTCCCCCTTCATGCCCATCGGAGCGACCGCAAACTTCTCTTTCTCTGCGTCCCGCGCTGCCACCCCAGCGGGACCCCCTCACCCCAGCTTCCGTCTGCCTGCGCCCAAGCGCTGGGATCAGGGTTCCGAGTCCTCCATCGACAAGGCGTCCAAGTACTTCCTCATGGCCGAGCTGTTCCGCGGCATGTATGTTGTGCTGGAGCAGTACTTCCGCCCACCGTAAGTCCACTTGGCTGCCAACATGGATATTCCAACGAGTCGGCTTCAATGGGCCGCAGATGATCTAACGCAACCTTCTTGCTTTTCACAGGTACACCATCTTCTATCCCTTCGAGAAGGGTCCCATCTCTCCCCGTTTCCGCGGAGAGCACGCTCTGCGTCGCTATCCCACCGGCGAGGAGCGTTGCATTGCCTGCAAGCTTTGCGAGGCCATCTGCCCGGCCCAGGCTATCACCATTGAGGCGGAAGAGCGCGTGGACGGAAGCCGCCGGACGACCCGTTACGATATTGACATGACCAAGTGCATCTACTGCGGTTACTGCCAGGAGAGCTGTCCCGTGGATGCTATCGTCGAGAGTGAGTTTTAGCATCAATTACGTGAGACATGGACTGAAAGCTAACTCTATGTTTTCCCACAGCCTCCAACGCCGAGTACGCCACCGAGACCCGCGAGGAGCTCCTCTACAACAAGGAGAAGCTGCTCGCCAATGGCGACAAGTGGGAGCCCGAGATTGCCGCGGCTGCCCGCGCTGATGCTCCGTACCGATAAATGCTCACAGCTACTTCGGTGGTGCATGGAGAAGCAAATGAAGGGTTAGGCCTCGTGAGGAGACACGGGCCTATACCAAGTGCGCCTACGGGCCTTGCACGAAAAATCTAGAAAGGGCTTATGATGCCCTCGCCCCAACACATATTGTACATACACCCCCCTCGACCTTGTGTTATCACTTTGTATTAGTCGGTTTCCAAAGTCTTCGTTCCGATGACACTCGGCTCCTTTGTCTTTTATATTTCCTATGTCTGGAATCTAGCATGTTTTCTGTTTCATTACGGCTTGAATCAAATAAATGAAACATGATAGATCGGAATAAATAAATTGTGAGTGGATGGATGTCTGTGCGAACAACTCCAGGCTCCTTCTCGATTAGTGGTGTACACAACTTGGCTTCAATGGCCTCGGCATCGCCTCCAGGGCTTCCAAGTGCAGATCTAGCTCTACTAAGCATCCAGAACCTGGAAGGAAACACTTTGGAACAGAATGATATTGTATTCACAATATGAAGATAGATCGCTACCCATGCTGACGTACATACAAGACATAACAGACGACACATGCCGCTGAAACAGCGCAAACACCAAACACCTGAATTCCCGGATGGATATTTCCCAGTTCGATGTCTTTAAAACACTTTTCTTTTTGTGGGTCGTGGGCGTGTTCCAGCTTCGTGGGAGGAGGATATAAGCAAGGATTACAGAGAGAGAAATAATATGCAGACAAGAGGAGGCAAAAGGATAGGACATGGGAAAGGTGAAAGTCAGCCTTTGAATGAAAGACTTTATTTCTTCTTGCCGCCAGTCTTGGGCTTGAAGCTTCCCTCAAAGCCAGGTCTGGCCGCCTTCTTCTTGCCACCTCCGGAAGGCTTCTTGCTCTTGTTGCCCTTATTGCCTTTCTCTTCGCGGCGCTTGCGAAGGTTCTCTTCACGCTTGGTCGCGCGCTGGTCCTTCATGCGAGAGACGGTCTCAATGCGGTCTTTCCATTCACGCTCAGACTTCTTCTTCGCGGTCTCTTTGCGCTTGAGAGCCTTCTTCAGAAGAGAGGTGTCGTCACGGACGCGCTCACCGTGAGCACGCTTCTTGGCGTTCAGCCAGCGGTCTTTCTCCTCGAGTTCGGCACGCTTCTCGGGGTCCATGCTGGCGAGACGAGCCTTCTTGGCCTCGGCAGCCTTGAGCTGGGCAGCGGCATCGGTGGCACCGTGTTTCTGCGGGGCGTCACGGACAGTTGTAAGGCTGGCATCGGTGTGCTGGCCATCGGCAAAGACAACACGACCAAAGGAGAAGTTGTTGCTTGAAGAGCCAACCGACTCGGCAGGGGAGCGAGGCGAGGCCAGGAGGGATCCTGAGCCACCGGGCGAGAAGCGGCGGGTCATGGCTTCATCCTTCTCACGCTGTTCTTCCTCCTTGGCCTTTTGACGCAACTCCTTCTTGTGTGCTTTCCGCTGCTCGGCTTTTTGCCGACGCGCTTCGATCAACTCTTGGCGATTACGTGCGGGCTTGCCGTTAAGGCCATCGGCCTGACGTTTTGCACGAAGTTCATCAAGACGCTTTTGCAGGCGCTGCTTGAGATCTTCTGGCGTGGGCTTGAGAGCCTTGGGCTCGGAGGACTTGGCATCTGTGGCGGAGGGAGGGACAATGGAGGATATAGAGGAGCTGCCTGACTGGGGGTTCGAGGCATCAGGAGAATTGCGAATGGAAGAGGCGGAGGAAGGGTCCTCGGGCTGGTCGTCGAATTCGACGGAAAATCCTTCCTCGGGAACGCCCTCGACTTCATCCTCGTCCTCGTCGTCAGAATCTTCCTTGGCTTCAGCAGCAGTGTTATTTGCCTTGGGAGCAGGCTTTTCAGAAGTCTCGGCAGGGGTCTCTGTCTGCTTCTCGTTTTGAACCTTTTCCTTCCTCGCGGTGTCCTTGGCCTTCTTCTTTTCCTTTTGGGCGACCTTTTTCTTCTCCTTCTTCTCTTCCTTCAGTTTTCTGCGAGCCTCCGCTTCCTCTGACTTCTTGTTCTTGTTGGCGGCATCCGACTTCTCCTTGTCTTGCTGCTTTTGCTTCTTGGTCTTCTCGCCTCGGGTCAGTCCCTCTCTGGGAATTTCGGAGCCGAGTTCTCCGTCGGACGAATCGGACTCGAGGGTACCGTCCTCTCGCTTGCGCTTGCGAGCGTTCTCATCCATCACATCTTTGGCGGTCTTGCCAGACTCAGGGTCCAGCTTTGCACGCTTAGCCTCGCGAGCTTGCTCTTTGGTCTGTTTTTTCCGTTGCCATTGATCCTGCAGGGCCAGAGGGTGGTTAGACCTGAAATTTCAAAATGGGGATACGCAAAAAAGCAGAAAAGACCAGAATGAAGAGAAGGGTCGGTCAGGCAGAGCAGAGGATCGAACGTACACTGTTGTCGTCGCCGTAGTAGTATTTGGCGGGGATCAAGGAAAGCAGACCATCGAATGATTGCGCATGGCTGCGCAGCCGCTCCTGATTTGAGTCAGTATCGACTTCAGACATCCAAGGCACTGTGACATACCTCGATATCATCCATGCTCTCGTTGTGAAAGCCGGACTGCGTTTGGATGGCGAGGAAATAGCCGCTACGAAAAATTTGGGGGTGAGGAAATCTTGGCGTTCTCCGCTCGGCTTTTTCACCGCCCGCGCACAATAATTTCGGTGCCTCAGGTGGCCTGTGCTTTCCTTCTATACAGCTGTGGTGCTTTGATGATAAAGCACCTTATAGAGTCAAATTCTACCAATTTTCGGGCCTACTCTGGGTCTCAATGAGCGACACGACCTGAGACACTAGTACTCTACATCTCATGGGAGTATTCTCGTACTGAGTCGTTTCTGATATGTCGACCGTCACTTCTGTGGATACCTGCAAGCTCCAGTGGATATGTATGGAACATTTTCAAGAAAGCATTGAGATGGAGATCAATTCTTGCTTCGATCTAGCATACGACCACTGGTCAATGGGCTCGCAGTATAGTATGCACCAGAGATCACTGACTGCTCTGGGCAGCAACACCGACCTTGAACGCTTGGATGTAGATTCCCAAGCCATAAAATAAAGATTAGGGCGCTGTGTAGGGCCACGAAAGTGTCCTGGATCTTTAAAGCCTATCCTACCTACCTTGGGGTTCGAGCCGATTACTACTAGTAGTTACTAGTGGCTGACTCGCGATCCCGCGAGTAACAGGATGTATGTAGTGCTTGTAATCACAATCTTCCGATTGCTGCAAGACGATCAGCACCAGTGGTCTCAGCAAGATTAGCAAGCTCCATCTCATGAATCTGCATGCGGTCTTCTTCACTCCATCCCTCACGATCATCTTTCACCAGTCTAACAAACCCGACATCCAATATGAGGCCTAGAATACTAATTGCAACACCAAAGTAGAGTGCCGATCGGTAGCCCAAGACCTGGCTTCCCGAACTTTTGGTGATTTGAACCTCTATAGTGGAAGCGAACCCCAATCCAAGACTATTCCCGTAGAGATTCAATGTGCCAATAATAGAGCCTGCGATACCTTGCTGGTGTCGGCGAACAGAATTACTAGCAATGATCTGTCCAGCGGTATACACCAAGTCAGGACAGAAAGCAAAGAACACAACAGAGGGGAAAATCTGGGCCCAGTAGCTTTGATGAAGCGGAACAGTCGCCATCAGTGCATTCGAAGCCAAGATCGTGCAGGTTCCAATTGCTAAAATCCACTGGGCTGACACGCGAGGAACCAGCCAAGCAGCAAGACAGGCGGCTGCCGTGGCACAGATGACGAACGGGGTCCATCCAACTGCAAATTGAAGGGGAGTCCACTTCCAAACCTCTTGCAACCACAGGACTTGGTACCAGATCAGAGTTCCGACTGCCATATAGTTGAGAAGCACAACAAGGATAACGACAAGGAAGCATGGTGCTTTGAAAATCTCAAGCGGCATAATTGGATAGGCAGTATATCGCTTTTCCCAGACAAGAAATGCACAGAAGAGAAAGATCGATAGGATGAGGAGGGCAACCTCGTAGGGTGTTTGCCATCCGACACTAGGAGCTTGACTATAATCACCGTGACCCTGTTAGCTAATCTCACTTCAGGGTAGTATAGCTGTGGGATGTAACCAAACCTACTTCCAAACAAAGTTAAATAGAACCAATGAGCCAACACCTAGAGCAGAACCCACAACGTCTATCTTGCCATGCTGGTCAACTGGAGTCTCGCAAGAGCTGAGTGCCCAAATGGCAAGGGAAGTGACAACACCGAGACCGGCTCTGGAATAGTAGAAGAATCAGCATGGCAGAGCGTTCAAATCTGGGATCAACAAATCTTGACTAACATAAACACAAAAAACCACTTCCATTCTGCTTTCTCCATGAATGCACCGAGGAACAATGCCCCGAAATAACCACCTATGGGCGCAGATGCAGCAAAGAAACTCAGACTGAGGTTTCGCACACGACCAGGAGGGTTGGTGCTCGAGATCATGGCTACTGCATTGGGCATGATAAAGGCACCCCCTAAGCCTCCAAGAGCTCGCATTATGACGAAAGCAAAAAAGGTATGGTTACAAAAGGCACTGGCTAATGTGGTAATGCTGAGCCATGCACCGCCAGCGAGCAGAAGCTCTCTGTGTCCATAGACATCTCCCAGTCGACCACTGATCAGAACCAATGTACCTTGGGTCATTCTGCAAAGCGTCAATTGTTGTCCACTTGCCATTCGAGTATCGCATTGGTGAAGTCTTACGGATAACTTGCTCCAATCCAAGAGGCGTATGTTTTGTCAACTCCCATGGATTGACTCAGTCGACTACCACCAGCAATGCCGGCAAAATTGACAGTCATCTGGCGAAGCCTTATTCAGCCTTTGAGTTCCCAAGTGAACGGGAACCTCATGATTCACACACCTGGACAAGATTTGCTAAGACGAGCAACGTAGTAATTGCAACCCTGCGGGACTTGGTGTTCCTTGATGATGAGAGTTGTTCAAACACTGGTTGACCTGCTGGGGGAGTAGGTAACCCCTGGGATGAACCATTCCTTAGTGGTCGGGCTTGTCCCTCAGCAGACATTATTGGAAACGACTGCTCAGGTGAAGGTGGGATGACGGGGCGTAGATAGAAAGAATCATCGTACTCCACACCTTTTTCTGATTTCATTGTAGCCATAATGCAGGATAAGAAATCTGTTCCTATGAAAGGTGGAGAGGTGCGGGTTCATTAGAGCTGGGCAATTGCGGGGAAGGCCTCAAGTCCTTAGGGTCGTATCTGAGAAGAGATTTCATTTTTGATTGAAGTGCAGGTGACTCGTTGCATGTGCATAGCTCCACCGTGCGGGCATTGACCCCGTCTAAGCTGACTAGACAAATCTCAGGTACCGTGGCAGGACTGAGATGACCGTAGCCTTCTGCTTGCGTAGTCATGGGAAGAAGGAGATATGGTATTGACTTGTTGAGAAGATAGAACCTTAAAGTTGAAAGCCAAGAGCATAGAAAAATCGTTGCTCAACCTTCTTTTATGGGTATTTCACGGAGAAATGTCACCCCAGTAGAAAGTACACCCAATGCCACGGCAGTAGAGGATTTCTAATCGTAGAGACCGCCGCAGCGTGGGAGTCCGAGGTCAGACTGCTGAGCTTTTCTTGTGGCAACTTCTTCTCAAGGAAATGGAGAGCCATGGAATGGGAATAAGCGGCACGAGTAATCATAGGCGTACAATTATCAATGAATCAAAGGTTCTGAAGAAAGGTTTGTAGCAGCTTGTGGAAGACCATTGAAAGGTCGATCCTTGAAACACCAGCAGTCTCGTATTCCGATAGATTGGTGTCCGGAATCTCATCATACTATGTGAAAAACCAGTGAAATGGGTCAAGTCAAAAATTTGGATAAATAGCCCGGCGCAAGTATCCTGCTGATTCTGAGATGCGGGCAATCGAAGGAGCGTTCGTGAATCGGCCTCAAGATGTGAGACGAAATTTTTACCTAAATAATCCTCCCAAGATTTCTCAATCTCTTGAATGCTACTATGATGCCTCTCCTGAACATACTATGAGTTGCTGCCGGTTCAATGGACAGAAAGCGATCCAGATAATACTGGAATGTGTGGGGCATTTTATCAGCCACTCTCAGTCGATATTCGGTCATAGCCTCGGCGAAGTTAGTTAGGACAAAAATCCAGGGTTTGCGGACTATCAGGCACAGGTCTGCCAGAACTGTGCCTGGCTTCTGGAAGCAATTACCAATGTCCCTTCCCGGCTAGCCTACAAACATAGAAACCCTGGCAATGACACAAGGAGAAGGATATCAGCCATGAATAATATTGACGAAATCCAAGCTGTCGTCTCATCTAGCGCTCTAATTTGCGCCAACCCAAAGCCGAATCTTCCAAATCTACCAGAAGCTTGAAGTAAGTCTATCTCTGAACATGAAAGAATCTACCGATCCACAGAAGTCACATCAATTCATACATTCTTCCTACACGTAAAGACCTCTTTCCATTCGCGGCAACTGTTGCAAAACTCGGTGCTTTAAACTTGTGAAGATGGAAGATGAATGATGAGAGATATGATAGATGATTATTCTAGAGATGAAGCTATGGATCTAGATATCATGGAGGCTGAGGCAAGGATGCGGTGAAGTGGGGCAGTATCCCAATTCAATGCGAACACCCCCCCTCGCGCCGAGCGGGCTCCATGATAGCTAAGAAGCTTCCTGAGGCTATTTGCAATAGCAATGCGCCTCTCCCATTGGTCGAATCAAAATGTGGTTGGAATATTAATGTTGAAGCGTGTGTAAACATGTAAAAGTGTCAGGTTTGCTGTGGAATGGATGCCAGTCCCAATTGCTTCACAAACCGCTGAAAAAGGGTCGTTGGAAGTGGTTTGGTGAGGCCATCAGCAGCCTGCTCTGCGGTGGGGACGTACTGAAAGAGGCAATCATTGGATGCAGCCTTCTCCCGCACATAATGATATTTGACATCAATATGCTTTGAGCGGGTGGTGAATTTGTCCGATGATGCGAGGGCAATAGTGCCCTGATTATCCTCATGAATGACAGTCGGCCTTGGAACGAGGGCTTGATGGCCCAGTTCGGTAAGCATGAGCTGAATCTAGGATAGATCCTGGCAACAGAGGCATGCCGCAACGTATTCAGCCTCCGTGGAAGAGAGGGTGACAAGGGTTTGCCTCTTTGATTGCCAGATGATTGCGGCGCCGGCTAATATGAAGGCATAGCCGGTGGTCGAGAGCCGATTATCGTCGTGCGGGCTTGCCCATGAGGCATCCACGTAGGCGAATAAGGCGAGACCAACCGCAGGATAGTGAGAAAAATGAAGGCATAGACTTTTGGAGCCTTTTAGATACCGATAGACACGTTTGATAGCCTGGAAGTGCAGGGAAGATGGATTGTGTGAATATTTCGCAAGCTTGCAGACTGCCCAGGAGATATCAGGCCTGGTGGACACTACCACCCACACGAGCGAACTAACTTGTTCTTGGTAAAGCTGTACCATTTGTGGGGTGGCTTGGGCACCGGAATCGTAAGGGGAAAGAACCTCTTTATTATTAAAAGGCGTCTGAATGGGTTTAACAGAAGAAAAGGTGAAGCGAGACAAAATCTTGTCGATATAGGCTTCCTGCGAGAGATAGACGTCGCCGGCGAGGTGCACGATGTCTATTGCCAGGAAACGTTTCATAACACCATTGTCCGTGAGCTGGAAGTGCCTCGAAAGGATAACCTTCAGTAGCTCAATGGAACCAGTCCCCTTTGGGGATAGAAGAAGTATATCGTCTATATAGACGAGGATATGGATACGTTTGCCCGCATGGATGAAAACAGAGTGGTCAGCATGGGTGCGCGTGAAGCTAAGAGATAGAAGAACGCCTTTGAGGGTGTTATACCACTTAAGAGGAGCCTGGCGTAGGCCGTAAAGGCTACGCATAAGAAGACTAACTTTGCCTGGGTGGTCGTCCTTCACAATCTCAGGAAGTTCGATTTAAATAGACTCCTTTAGGTCTGTATTGAGAAATGCAGCCACGATATCAACATGATAGCAATCCCATGAATAAGCTGCATATAAAGCCATAAAGACCTTGAAGCTCATAGGACGGGCGGTGACGGCGTAGATATCGAGGAAATCCCGGCCTAGAACTTGTTGGAAGCCACGAACTACTAACCTAGCCTTATATATGCCGTTATCCTTGATGCGGAAGACCTAGCGTAAGGTGAGGGGCTTTCTGTTGCGTTCGCGGTCGATAATGCGCTATGTTCCATTGTCTGTATGATTTTTTAATTCCTTGTGTGCAGCCTGAAGCCATTTAGCCTTATCGGGGCAAGTCATGGCCTCAGTCCAAGTGTCCGGGGTGTAAGGGTCGCCGGGGGGAGAGGGCAATAACTTATCGACCGCAGGAAGAACGGCATGCGCCATAAGGATAGAAGATCCTTCTACCTGAAGCTCATAAGTTTTAAGGGTATGCTTCGCTGCAAGGCGTTCCGACCGGCGAATAAAAACATCCGGATGGGGTGGAACGACTGGTGAAATAGCCTGTGGAATAGGGTCCGAAGGGTGCAAAGACACTTTATCCTAATCATGAAGGGTCGATGTAGGACCAAAGGATACAGTATCTAAGGCCTTATTATTCACATCTAAGCCCACCCGTACGGGAATAGGTGGTGGTGCCTACAAATCCCGTACGCCCCCCCCCCTTCAATTTGTGCCTCCACTCCTTTATATCTGTGTTAAAGGTGTCTGAAAAGACTATCGCTGATTGGTGGGAGGTAAGGATTAAGCTCGGGAGCACTGGAAGGACGGTCGCGAGGGCTTGCGGGAGGGGAATATCTAGCCTTATTTCGGCGAAAAGTGTCAGTATAGTCAATGAATTCATCGTCCTGGTGGTCCGCGAAGCCTTCAATTCGGTCGATATCGAAGGTTTGGTCAGTATAATAATCGTCGGCAAATGGAAGAAACTTAGCAGGGGCGAAGCGACGTCGCTGGCGCTCCATCTCGTCCATATTCATGGCCTGATCAGGCGAGGGCTTGTGGATTGCATCCAGATCATACGACGGCTTCGGTAGATCAGTGGGTGGCAATTCCTGGAAGATAATATCGCGAGAGATGACGATCTTCTTGGTTTTGATGTTATACAGACGGTAAATGCTATCGGTCTGGTAAGCAAGCAGGCGGGCTTCGGCCATGTGTGGATGAAGCTTGGTTTCACGGCGCTACGAGGGAATGAGATACCAGGCTTGATAGCCTAAGGCACGAAGGTTGGAAACGTTGGGTTGACGTCCATGCAATGCCTCGTACGGAGTTATCTCTATCTTGGAATACCAGAGACGGTTAAGGGTGTAGTTAACGCCCTGAATGAGTTCTCCCCATAGATATCGCGGTAACTGGTGCTCGGTGAGTACCGTAACAAGTGGTTCGACGAGCTAGCGGTTTTTAATCTCGGAGATGCCATTCAATTAATAGGCATACGGCGGTGAGGTATCCTAGGTAGTCCCCTTGGACTTAAGATAGGCTTATAATGGACTAATAAATTTCTTGGCCCAATCTCTATGCACTGACTTAACTTGGTAGCCAAACTAGGTAAGAAGGTAGCTTTCGACGACCTGGTAGCATTTAATAACGTCTGTATGGGCCTTTATAAGGAAGATCCAGCAGAAACGGGACGCCTTATCGGTGATAGACATAAAATAGGTCTCGCCTTCCTTAGTGGCAATGGAAATAGGTCCCCAGACGTCAATATGCAGAGAGTCGCCTAGACGGACGCGGATAGATTTATTGTCGCCATACGGAAGTTGGTGACCTTTGCCAGCGAGGCATAGAGGACATAGAGTCTTCAGGGCGGAGCCTTTGATCAATTTGATGCCTTCCGCGAAGGCAGGCATACGGCGAACGCGCTGTTCGCCTGCATAACAGAAACGTCGATGTGCGAGGTCTATAGAGATAGGTTTAACCTCTATAGGCATGGCTCGCACCACTGAAGCCGTGGCGGACGTCGTGAAGGTTGCGGAAGTATAGAAGGTCTCTAATTGGTGCTTCGAATCAGTTCGCAACCAGTAAAGATCATTGTCGGCGTCTCCATAGCCCACGACCTCACCGGAGCTAACCTTTGTAAGGGTTGCATAGTCAGAGAGCGTGCAGGCAATGCTATCGTCGCGGAATATGGTGCGACACGATATGAGGGAATTCTCGAGGTCCTCGGCGTGCCAGACGTTCTTCAAGATAATAGAACTGATGATCTGGCCGTCCTTGCCGAGCGTGGTCAGATTGACGGTGCTTAGGCCCTGAGTGTAGAAGCGTTTCCCATTTGCAGCCTTCACGGGGACTCTGCATAGGGAATATTCGATAAAAGCGTGACGGTTTGGCGTTATATGGTGTGAAGCGCCCGAATCTAGTATCTAACGAAGTGGATTGAGACTAGTATTCGCCGTGGAGATTATGGAGATGTCGATAGAATCGATCTGGACATTAGCAGTGTTAATAAATATATCCTCAGGGCTTATTAGAAGCTCCACAGTCGCCTTGGCCGTGGTGGTGCCCTTATTGAAGGACTTGCTAGCGTTTACGGGATTGAGGAAGCATTGCTCGGAGGAATGTGCCGACTTTCTGTTGTGGAAGGTGCAAAACCACTTACTTCGGCTACCCCCCTGATTGTTGGAAGTCTGCGAAGCTTGATGACCTTGCTGTCGGCCCGAATAGTCTTTCTGTTAGTGACCAGACTGCTGGGAGGACTGCCGAGAAGTCTGTTGCTGTGAGGACTGCTGCTGAGCACCTTTCTTTGTAGTGTTAGAAGAAAGGGTAGGATATTACTTAGTGCTATTATAGCGCTGGTCCTCAGCAGTGCCGAAGTCAGCGAAGACGTTCTCTATGAGTCTGTCGTCCTTAAGGTCGAATTTCTGGGTGCCCTGAAGCCAAACCGTAGCATTAGGGTGAAAGCCCACGGCACGGACGAACATAGAGAATTGAATGGCGACAGGAAGATACTCGTCGCCCAGTGCTTGGTCCACTTCCACGTAGGCACGCTGCTAGTTTGCCATAAACTGTGCGCTTTGCAGGCCTGGTTTGTAGACGGTAGACTTAAGCTTTGCCCACTTAGTGGCAATAGTCTGTTGTGTGGGGCGGCCGTATAGCTTTTCAATAATTCTGAAGGCTTCAGAAGTATCTTCAGTCTGTTTGACATACTGTATTAGGTCATAATCGAGGCAAGAGACGAAGATGTTAAGGACTGTAAACATAATAGCTTCCCACTCTTGAAATTCCTTGTTTGGTTTATCGTAATGCTCATATATGAAGTCCTCAAGCTCCTGAACAGATAGTGTGTCAGGGAAGATAGTGGCCGGCGGCTCATCATCCTCATAAGAGCCTGAAAGAGAGCGTGGTCGTCGTCGATACTCACGCAACGCCCTATTATTATATTCCTTTGCGATATGCTTACGAAGCGTGCGCTCGCTAGGGACAGTGCGATAAGAAGTGAATTGGGGACGATCCTCACCGATAAGGATCTCCCAGTGGCGTACACCGCGAGACTTAAGAGCTCGCTTAAGTTTGAATAGCCAGTTAGAATAGTTTTGGGAGCCTTTTAGCTTCCCCACACGGTCGGTAATCTTGCCGTAGTCGTCCGTAGCCATGGTGGCGACAGAGAGATGCAAGAGAGACCGGAGAAGGTGCCTAAATGAAGGTCTTTGATGGAAAATGCCTCTGGTCGAGGTCGTTGAATGACAAAAGGCCTTCGCACGACACTCGCGGCGGCGAGGTCGGCGACGGCGAGGTGAAAAGCACTGGTGAGGGGTGTTGGACTGTGGTTAAACAGCCTCAACAGAGCAGCGGGCTCATAACCTGTGAAGATGGAAGATGAATGATGAGAGATATGATAGATGATTATTCTAGAGATATGATAGATGATTATTCTAGAGATGAAGCTATGGATCTAGATATCATGGAGGCTGAGGCAAGGATGCGGTGAAGTGGGGCAGTATCCCAATTCAATGCGAACAAAACTTTTGAAGGAGAAAATAGAAGGGCCTTGATTCGACCTTGAAGAGATCTGGGAGGAACACACCAGATCTGAGTTTGAGTCTTGGTCTGTCGAGAATATCATGAACACCGTGGTCCAATCAACATGCTTTAATTCTTTCACAAAGCACAGGAAGTATTGATCATCAGATCTATCTCGATTCTACATGAATCATTTCGACTTCACTAACGCGGATAATGCTGCTAGAGAGCTTGTTATTGGATTATGGGGATTGATTGAAGGATCTATGTATCTTTCAAAAGCTTTACGCGCGACAGAATGATCGGCTAGCTATGGATTTCCCTTATCACACCGAAAAAACTGAAAAAGAATTGATGATATCTGACGCATATTCTGGCATTATAGCTCTCCTTGAATCCCTCGGACTGGGAAAAACCCATGAATTCCATTCATGGAAGTGGTGATAACCGCAGTGAGCAACTTTACCATCAGCATGTCACCTGGGGCCAACTGAATCTTCTCCTCCAACTTGTCAGGTGACAGCTGAGAAGATACTCGTCGAGCATAGTGATTCTTCTAAGGTGATGTTCAGCTTCTTTGTTCCAATCAAGACAGCGGCGAAGGCCACTGTTGACAGCTGTATCACGATCGAGCTCCATACTTGACATTACCTGATTAAAAAGCTAGATGGTATCTCATAATAGACTTCATTGACAATACCTAAGGCCGGGCTATTCCATCATGATCCACAGCTCTTAAGTCCCTGTGCTGTATCGCACTAAGACTACTTTGGGTAATTTGATGCCTTTGTGCCTGATTGTCTTGACCCCAGGATACAGCACGTGACGACTTGGATTGAGCCTATTACTATTACCCGATAGCCTGTCGAGGGTTCTGCCGTCGTCAATAATTGCCGTTGATGAGATTAGCGCTTCGTTCTTTACAAAATTGTGAGATTAGTTTTTCTACGATATCAAGCATCCAATGTAGTGTCGGAATGCCGATCGGGCCGAAAATGGCTCGGGATCGAGACTAGGAATAACCTTAATCTAAATTACGTCCTCAATCCATGTAGAGTCTCAAATCACGGATACACGAGACCCAAAATCCCCAGGCTGATGTAAAAGTGATTGATAATCTATTGCCAAGATATGCCAAGCTCAATCTGCTGCCTGAAAAATAGGCGAAATATTGCAATTGCTGTGCAGACGTCCATGTACGCGGGCGAATGGTCTCAAAAGGGTATGGCGGGTCCCTTCATTACCTTATCGAAACTGTTAGCTCCCCAAATGCCAAGCTCTCTAGGACCACACAAAGAGCTCTTTTTGTTCAAACAAAAGGCGAAAATGGACTGAAAAGGATTACAAGGATCATAACGAGTAAATAATACTAGTTTGAACGAAAATAGATCGGCGTTTTCCATCGGTATCAAGAATGTCGCGTGCAAAATCTTCGGCCCCGTCCAAGTTTCGGGTGAACCCGACTTTTTACAGCAACTGTCCAGGTGTGAGCACGCAATTTCGCCCCACTGAATTGCCTATCTGCGAGTTTTCTGTCTTTGGCAGGTGCCATGTGGTTATAAATTCTTTTATGATCCATTCACTCCCTTTGACGTTGGGTAAGGAGAACAGACCGTGCAGCAGGGCTCACTATACACCCTTGCAATGTCTTCCACAGTCTCAAATCAGGAGATTGACAATGCATCGACCACGGTCGACGCGCCGCGCTACAGTCGCGTGCTGTCTATCTGGCGATCAATTCCTTTTCAGATCGCCGTCTGTAGTGGTGTCTCGTTCACGGCACCCGGTATGTGGGATGCGATGAACAACCTGGGTGCTGGTGGTGCTGCGGAGCCCTATGCGGTGTCTGCGGCGAATGCTCTTGTCTATGGCTTGTTCGCTGTTGTGTGTGTTGCGGCTGGTGCTATCAACAACCGCATTGGTCTTCGCTATGGCTTGGTCATTGGCGCGATTGGCTACCCCATCTATGGTGCTGGTCTCTACACCAACAACTACCACCCCACGACCTGGTTCATGCTCTTCGGCAGCGCGCTGTGCGGTATCTCAGCTGGATTTTTCTGGGCCGCAGAGGCTGCTATCATTATTGGATACCCTAGCCCTTCGGATCGGGCTTTCTATCTCGGTAAGATACCTAATACGATCTTGACAGATCACAATCGAATGCTGATTTCTCTTTTTGCGCAATAGCTATTTGGCAAACAGCTAAGGCCCTTGGACCTATTGTTGGTGGCGCGATCAGTCTCGGTCTGAATGCCCAGGCTTCATCACAGGGCACGATCAGCCAAGGCACCTACATTGTCTTCATCGTCATCATGTGCCTCGGTCTGCCAGCCGCGTTGTGCCTGAGCCCTGCCGAGAAGGTGCAGCGCAAAGATCGCACGTTGGTTGTGGTTCACAAGAAGGAGACCTGGTCTGCCGAATTCAAAGCTGCCTTCAAGTTGATTGCTACACGCCGTGTGCTCCTACTCCTTCCCTCTTTCTTCATCAGCTACTTCTACAATGGTTTCCTCAGCACTTGGTTGACCGACTACTTCACCGTCCGTGCTCGCGCCTTCTCATCCTTCTTCACCAACTTCGCTGGTATCTTCTCTTCATTCTTGATTGCCAGCCTGCTTGATCGGCAATCCATTTTCATCAAGACTCGCGCACGGATCGCGTTCTTGACCATCGTCTTCATTCTTACCGGAACCTGGATCTGGGCTACGGTTTTGCAATACCAGTTCTACTACGAATATCCCGAATCCCCCGTCTTTGACTGGTTCAAGGGCGGTTTCGGCAAGTCATACGCCTTGGTCTTCTTCTGGACCTTTGGCGGCCAAGCATTTCAACAATTCCTTTACTGGTTGGTGGGCCAGTATAGCACTGACATCTCGTCTCTGTCTTACCACTGCGGCATCCTGCGAGGATTCGAAGCTCTGGGTCAAACAGTTGCTTGGGCGTAAGTTTAAGCTGAAAATAGGACTAAAAGTATTCTTGCTAACATCAACGTAGCATGCAATCGCACGATGGTAACCACTTTGTCAGTATTGGCCTCAACTTCGGAATTACCCTCCTCTGCGTCATTCCTACGTGGATCGTTCTGTCGGAACTTGAGCACAGCCATGAAGTTAAAGTCGTCGCTGAAGACGGTGCGAAAACCACCGAAGAGAATGCTCCATGATGCCGCTCTTTAATGCCTTAACGCAATGCCTTAACGCCTGTATAATTATTTTCACATAGACTATACCCCGAGATACTTCAACCTTTATCTCACTTCATCTTTCAACAGATATAATATCAAACCTTTCTAATATCTTCATCAATCTATACAAACTATTGTGCTGGCGGATAAATTATGCTCTATGGGAACAATCTAAGCAATCGCTTCACTGCAATAAATTTCGTCATGCTGAGTAGTCCCACTCATTCTTCGCATCGTCTCATCTTTCATCTCATGAGATATTCTCAAATCACTTCTCCTTAGAGCCTAAAGATTTCGCCCGCTCACCAGTCACTTGAAGCGCAGATGCATACGCTGAACGAACTCCCTGTCGCTCAAGCTCCATTAGGCCTTGGATGGTACTTCCTCCAGGAGACGAGATCTCCTCGCGCAAGACAGATGGGTGATTGCCCGCCTCCAGCAGCTTCGCCAGCCCGAACAGCGTCTGTGTGACTAATTTTAAAGCAGCCTGACGATCGAGGCCACTGGCAACACTCTGATCTAACAACCCCTCAATCGCCACTGTGAACATGGCCGCCGAGCAGCCAACAAGTGACCCAATCACGTCAAACAACGATTCCGGAATTTCATGCGTCTTCCCGACATGATCGAACAGCCATCTCGTTACTCTCACGGCCTCACCATCTGAATCATCTTCCGGCGAAGAAACAACTGTCATAGATGCGTGTTCCCGGGCCGCCATATTTGGCATTGTCCTCACAACATGCACGTGGGGGTTAGCTCCACCAAGTGGTGCTTCAATGTCACTGATTGCTCGTCGGGTCATCTCCGTGGTCTTGCCGGCCAATATACTGATCAGAATCTTTCCATTCAAGGCATCTCCCATTCCTGCCGCCCCCAAGATCCCCTCCATCAGTGCGGGCTTGCATCCCAAGATCACGACGTGAGAATGCTCCGCAACTGCCAAGTTATCTCCTTGGTAAATGGTCACACGAGATAGGTGTTGCGCGAACATATTTTGAAGCCGGGAGACGGATGCTGCAGATTGGACTGAGACAAAGATCCGCTTCACGTTCCATGGCGCATTGGCTGTGGGTTCTTGGCTGAGAATCCCGGCGAGGATGGCTGTGCCCATCTGGCCACACGCAATGATGCCGAGACTGAAGCTGCGGGCTGCCATTGCAGAAATTTAATACTTTCAGCTTCTTTGGGCGACTGGGAATGATCTTGCGATGCGAGATGATGGACCAATTGTTGATGCTATTTGGCTAGACTCGCGTGTATCGCGAGGGGTAATTGTGCCGCTTCTCCGCCTCGAATTGCGGGATGTGCTACCTGTGTGTGGAGTCCTGCTCACCAATTCAACCTCTTCCCTCGATATTTTTCATGAAATCCTATTGAGATCTACTCTGCTTTACCCCCACATGCCATCTACTGGTGTGGTTTTGAGGCCGAGTCTTTCATCTACTGGCGCCTTTCTGGATCAGGAAATTCTTTGGCTTCTTCATAATGGGACGTAGGTCGCTGATCATAGACAGTGCGGTGAACCCGGCGGGAGTTCGGGCATTCACGTCTACGCCACTTGAAATGAAGAGCTCAATGAGTTTCCGAGGGTCGTCGGTAAGCGAGGGAGAATTTGCAGTGGTAACCCAGTGCAAAGGCGTCTTTCCTTCCGTGTCTTTGCAGTGCACGTTGGCTCCACGTTTGATGAGAAGTCGCGCTGACTCTATTGACCACGTACTTGCAGCGAACATGAGAGGAGTTTCTCCGAGCATGTTGGTATGGTTGACGTCGGCGCCTTGATCAAGTAGCACCCGTACCGTGGTAGCCTTGCTTGAGTGTACAGGGCTTTGGAGGGCCCAAAATAGAGGAGTCTCGTCAAGATTGTCGCACCGGTTCACATCGGCTCCAACATCACACGCCCATTTCACAACAGCTGGTTTAGCCTGCTTAGCAATATAGTGGAGAGCACTTCTCTCTTCGCCGTCTTGTGCAGAGATATTGGTACCGCATTTTACCAGTGCTTCCATATTTTCCGGACATAGATGGGAGCCAGAGTGGCATAGAGCATAAAGAAGAGGAGTCCGCTGTCTGTTGTCCGTAAGTCTCACGTCGACTCCGCAGTCCAACAAGAGCCGAGTAATTGCAATGGATTGTGCTTTATCTTTGTTCAGAAGCGCCGCAAACAACGCATTGCTTCCATCATTTTGTTTGAGATGAGGATCGGCGCCCATGTCCAAAAGCATTTGCACGGTTTCTTTGGAGGCATGCTCAGCCGCCTGCATCAGAGTTGTTTTCCCGTGGAGATCTCGAATATTCACATCACAGCCAGCATCAACTAACAATTTGACCGTGCTCGCTTCAGCTCGCAATGCTGCGGTGTGGAGCGGGTGCTGCGCTTTTGTGAAGACTGGATCCGACATGACAGCGCCTCGAGCGAGTAGCAATGCCATTTTTCTGGTATGCCAGAGACTTGTTGCAATGAACATAGGAGGGTCCATGTCAGATTTGCCACGAAAGTTGGGATCGGCCCCGTAATCCAAAAGAAGCGTCATCAGTCTAAGATCATCTTTCCCCGATCTTCGAATGGCCCCCCCCCAAGATACGGGGATCGTATCCAGCTGATCCAGGCTCATTTGGATCTGCCCCTTTGTCCAGAAGTAGCTTGACCAGACTTAAGTGCTCGTTGTCAATGGCAAGCTGGAGCGCCGGTCTTGTGGAGCGATCGCGAGGTCTGAAATTCACGTCCGCGCCGGCCTCGAGCATGTTCAGTACTCCCGATTCTGCCCCCCGTGCTGCACACCAGAGTAAAGCTCGGCCCCCGGTAGAGGCGATATCTCGCTTGCAGAGGTCAGATATCAAGAGATTGTATAGCATGTGGTTTACTTGAAGGAGATGGAACAGATCGGAGCTGCTCAGTTGATTTGCGATGAGCAGGATGATTTCCTGGGGTAAGGTCGGAAAAGGGACCCCCATGGTTGTATTGCAATGAGACGAAAATTTGACTACTCTTCGAAATATGGTCGATCGGAACATGGTTGAACTCAGGTCGTGCCCAAAAACCGTAGGAGCTGGCTGTCCTTGACCACTGCGGGGCAGTGCATTCAGCCTCAATCTAGTAATCAACCTAGTGCGGCTCTATCGACAGCAGAAACCTTTAGCTCGACTCAAGGTAAACTGTTTGTGTAAGTGGAGCTTTTGGAAATAATTTCACAAGTGTTTAGATTGTACATCTTAATCAAAGCTGAGCCACCAATCTCGGCCGTACATCCAACCCAGGACACTGCTCGGAGTAGATTTCTGTGATTTCATCATAAGGGTGTGGAATAGTCCAAATTAGGTCGAACCTGATTGAGTCAGCCTATGAATAGATTGAGCAAGAGTAACGAAGATTTGTCTTGTCCATCGCCGACCGAGAAACAATCCCCGCACTTGAGGAAAAAGTGTGCTGATCGTCAACCGGCCGGCTTCTACGCTAGCTTGAAGCTCAGAGTACCTTGGAAGCAATCCCACTTACCGATCTTCGGGGTATTCGACGTGATGTTCAAAACCCAGCAGCTCCTGGATTATGTGTAAATTAGAATGCCGCCAAGAAATCAACAGGTTGCCGGGCCCATCGTAGGATCGGATCGTATCAACCACACACTGGGGGTCCTTCCGAGTACAATGATCGTCGATATCGATGCCCAGATCATGCGCCAGAGGGGCAACGGTTTCATATGGTCGTCGGTGATCACCGTCTACCACAGGCGGGAATAATCAGTTTACGAGGTCTCGGCGAGTTGCAGTCAAGCTCGTTTGTTTTTATCAGACTCACTCCACTTCACGGTAGGTGCCATGATATGTCCAATATTGTATTCCGAGTCGGCTCCAAATACGTGACGAAGACACTCCGCTCGTCGCCATCCGTCTGGTGTGAGACCATGATCATCGGGGTCTGCAGGTTTCTCACCATGACGGATCAAGTAAACAACCGGAGGCGCTCTTGCAGATGCGGCGGCCAGCGAGCATAGCAACAGAAATGACGAACGGAGCAACATCCTCGACAAAGATCTGGAAGAATATCGATTGATCAAGAGAAAGTCACTGACGTCCACAGTCACTGGAAACTGGACCCCCCATCCCAAGGCACATTGCTACGCGATCGGCGCTCCTCCGCTTTATGCAGAAATCCATTTCGCCACAGGCTGTGCGGGACTGAGAAAAGGGAGGTCGCTCTGGAGTGGATCACCCGGCCCGATACTAGCAATAATGGTTCACAATTTGGGAGATCTAGACTGAACAGAGACAGATCCCGGAGAGCTGCAGGGCCGGGTGACGAACTGCTCGGTCGAGCTCGTCCGATAGTTGGTGATCAGTCCATGTGATTGGACCTAGCCAAGATTCAGCTGGTCTCGCGATCCACCAGCTGCTCCTTGCGTCTCGTCGATCAGCCCAGGCTGAGTGATTCAATCCTGCATATGGGCCCAATATGGACATTAAGGGTCTGGCGTGAGTGCAAGGGTATTGTTCTTCTACTAGATTCTATTAGTTCTGAATTAAAATCGTGAACGTGCGATCTTCAGAGGCTGGCATGGTGCCACGTCATGGGGGTGATGATGCGTCGCGTGGGTTTAGGTAGATCGGTGGTCTAACCGTATGCACTACAAAGGTGGGAGGCACCGGGGTTAACTTACTCCAAAATGATGAGCCCACGAATTACTGGGTTTCACTGGGGTACGGTAGAATTCCTTCGTGTACGCCCATCTCTTCTAGGCTTAGTCAGACCATAAGAAGAGAAGCTTGTTTTGCCCCGAGGTGTGCCCTAAAGCACAGCCATACAAGAATAGTTGAAAGTTCAGATACAAGTAGAACATGATTCATACACCTCTCGTCTTTCTTGATTAGGGTCAATATCTAGTACCCAGATCAAACCCTCGACGAGGAGTGAAATAATTATTCCGCGGGGTCCAGTACGTATGTATGGCTCCCAGCTAGAGGTAGTGACGAGAACTCGATGACTGATAGATTCACCACTTAGGCGTCTAGATTTATCGCCTCTATGGTCTTAAATCTCAGAACCCAATAGCCACCCGCGCACGTTATCTACTTCAAAGTGGAAGGTTCAAGAACTATCGTAGAGCCTGGTTGCAGTGGTCTCCTTGAGAAAGAAAGAGGCATAGTAGGGTTGACCCAACTCAACGCATAGTTCCGGGTTGACGGTTTCAACGATCTCGCGCACTTGATGCGGAATCTAGCGCGCTCTACTCTGCACGGCAAAACCACGTCCTAAAGCGAGAGTATCTCGGGCGTCAACCATGAATCAGGACATGGATACCCGAGTGCGAAGCATCTCATCAAGCGACCGGGGGAAACACGATGTGACAGCCGCGGGCGGCTGACCCCGATCGAGTCGCGTGCAAAGTACATGTCACACCGTGCCGCCCATGCTTCTCCCCATTTGGCAGTGATAGAGTGATGGTTCGAGGCCGCCCTTCCGAAGGATGTTCGATGCGCTACACTGTCTTCTGATCCTCTGACAGGGTCGAACGTTAGACGGACCGACACAATATGTTACAAGGAAATAGGAAGAATGACAATATATCGCCACATGACTCAGTCGTCACATCGGCCAACTCGTATCTTTTAATGTGATTGCAATGTCCCCGCCCTCAAACTGAGTCACATATACACACCTCGGGCAGTCGGAAGTGGGGGACCCGGAGTTGGGTCTTATACTAGGCAGCGAGAATACTTGTGCCGAGAAAGTGAACTTGGTGATAGGGGTCTTGGCGCCTGCGTATATCGGCTACCCCTTTTTGTCGTGGAACATTCGAAAAATCATGGAAGCCGAAGATCCGTGAAATCGTGGACCGTGTTACTATTTTTAGAGGGTCGGCAAAGCCGGAGATTCGAAGGACATGCAAGTAACTCAGCCCTGTGAGCATAGCCACACCTCGAGTGTACATGCAGTTGAGCACCGTACATATCGGAATAGTCGAGAGAGGTGGCCTTGTGGCGGTGCACAACAGCCCAGAAAGCTGGCATTCAGATCACTGCGCCTCTCGGGGTTCCGTAAATTCGCGTTGCCATGTGGGGTGCTTCCGTCAGCCCTGTGGCCCGGGGAGATCTCACTTATAAAAAGGTGCCCCTCATCCCCCCCCCTCCATCATTCATCATCGCACCACCCATTTTCCTCATTTCCATCTTTCATCCACTCTTCACATCATGTCCGGATACGACCAATACAATCAGGGCTACGGCCAGCAAGGCTACGGCCAACAGGGACAGCAGGGCTACGGCCAGCAAGGCCAGGGTTACGGCCAGCAAGAATATGGTCAGCAGGGACAACAGGGTTACGGCCAGCAGGGCTACAGTCAGCCCCAATACGGTGAACAGCAGGGCTACGGTCAGCAGCAGTATCAGCAGGGCGGGGCTGCCTCCAACGACTACTACGGTGGCCAGCAGCAGCACAACCAGGGCCAGTATGGCCAGGAGCAATATGGTCAACAGGGTCAGCACCAGTACGGTCAGGACCAGTACCGCCAGGGGTAAGTGACTTCCTCACATGCAAACTCATCATCTCCTAACAAATCCCCAGTGGCTACGAGCAGCAGCAGGGCGCTCCCGGTGAGGCCCAGGAGGGTGAGCGTGGTTTGATGGGTGCCCTCGCAGGCGGTGCTGCCGGTGGATTCGCCGGCCACAAGGCCAACCACGGCTTCCTCGGAACCATCGGTGGAGCCATCATCGGTAGCATTGCCGAAGATGCCATCAAGAAGCACAAGCACCACGACCAGGGTCCTGGCGGCGCCCCTCCCGGCTACGATGGTCAGGGTAGTCCCTACGGCGGCCCTCCCTCTCACCAGGGCAGCGGCATGATGGATCAGCTCGGCAACTTCTTCAAGAAGTAAATGCTTCTTCTCGCTTCGTTTGCCTTTGCTAGCCCCAACGTGATGACCTCGCTACACTCATGAATTTCCTTTACTTGTTTTCCTGTTCAAGGAACGGGTGGGCATGCGCTGGCTTTTTGCCGGATGCGCCTTGTGTTTCTTTCCTCTTTTTCCATTACCCTAGATGGGAACACGTGTATCATGACAAGTCTTGCATCGATATTAGTGGGTCCTTTGTGACTCGATCTTCAACCAGAATTGCATCATCAACACGCTTTTCGAGAAAATCTCATGTAACAAAACAAGGAGTAGATTGACTGTAGGAAAACAAACAATATTGCCACACCCGGGGGCGACGATCAATGCACTTGTCTCTCAAAGGGGTTAGTGCTGACACCTTGTTAGTAAGGCGCCAAGGTGTCAAGGTGTCGAGTGTTAACGCCAAGCCCGACAAAAGTTCGCGCGGACCATCCTGAACACGCTTTCTATCCCGGCTTGCGATTTCCACGACCAACATGATTGTACGGAAATTTGGGTTGCGGCAGAGTGAGTAGTTGCCAATTGGTTGTGTCCAACACTCAGAATAGGCTTGCTAACTTTTGTCCCAATCAGGCCGCCAACTCCTCTCCCTGAGTCGTCAGACTCCGATCTCCAGACGCTTTTTATCAAACGAGCCCAAAATTCCGGTAGCAGCACCTGTTACTGAAGTGCAGACTCCCCCCAAGGAGACCATTGTCCCTTCAGAGAATCCCCTCCATGAAGTGATGCAGGCATCAAGTCGGCCGCAGGAGCAGTGGAGTGAGGGCCAAATCTGGGGAATGTCGGAGAACCGACGTGAGCAGCGCCTTCTCTCCCCTCAAAACAAATAAATCTAATAGACTCTTTCCTCTAGGACGCAAGTTCAACCGAACTGGTAGCATCGTCGAAGAAATCTATAATCCCGAAAGCGTACTCGACAACCCACCCCGTCCCTCCGACATCACACTCGAGCTCCTCCTCGCCTCAGGCACACACCTGGGCCACTCGACATCACGCTGGAACCCCCAGAACTCGCGCTACATCTTTGGTATTCGCGAAGGCGTACACATCATCTCCCTCGACGTGACAGCCGCCTACCTCCGCCGCGCCGCCAAGGTCGTCGAGGAAGTCGCCGCACGAGGCGGTATCATTCTTTTCGCCGGAACCCGCAAGGACCAGAAGCGATCCGTTGTTCGCGCCGCGCAGCTGGCGAAGGGCTACCACATTTTCGAGCGCTGGATTCCCGGTGCGCTTACGAACGGCGAGCAGATTCTCGGGCACTGTGAGACGATGGTCGTCAATGCGCAGGATCAGCCACTGCCCGAGTTCAAGCGGGACCTCGCGGATAGACCGTCCGTGAAGCCGGATCTGGTGGTTTGTTTGAACCCGCTGGAAAATGTGGTCATGTTGCATGAGTGTGGATTGAACAACGTTCCGACTATTGGTATCATCGATACCGATGCCGATCCCACTCGTGTGACCTATCCTATCCCGGCTAACGATGACAGTATCCGCGCTACGAATCTGATTGCGGGTATTCTGGGCCGTGCCGGTGAGGCTGGACAGGCGAGACGCCTCAAGGCTGCTCAACAGGGCAAGACGACCTATAAGCCTATAACTGCCGAGCAGCTTCGTCTGGATCCGTTCACAGGTATGTTGCCTGGTGCAGAGGAGAAGAAGCGCGTTTGAGCGGACTCTGTCTGGAGCTCGAGTCACTTTTTTTTTGGTCTTTGGTATCCGCGCGGCTTGCATTCGAGCGTCGGACTCTGTATTGTATAGATGATTCCAGGTCTTTGTGGGTGTTATCGCATCGTGTATTAACAAGTTGTCTTTGGTATACTCTCAAAAATATTTGCATCTACTCTCATGAGGACTCTTTGTTCCTGAGTATGCGTAAAGAAGGCAGTTACTAATGGAGACGAGGGTCACAAAGTGACAAGGTGAAATATCTCTGTGGCCACCAGGTGGAGGTTCAGTACCGTTGGAAGCAAGCAGCATCAATCTGTTCTCTAGGTATTCACAATATCCCAATCTATGTTCATGAAATGTCCCGAAGCCCAATGCAACGGCACCATCTGGAAAAATCCTCAACCTCCAACTTTCAAGCCTTCAAAGTGTAAACATTACGACCACGAGAGTCAACACCCTTGGCAACAACCTCCTGGCCAGAATTGCTGAAAACACGGCGTGCATCACCATTGTGCAGAATAATATCCAATTCCTTCCAAGCAGGCTTGAAGCCACTCTTTTCGTCCCGGGTGAAATCAACAAGGACCTTCTCATCAGTGGAGCTATAGCTGAGAGTGTAGCTGGAGGTGGCAGGTTTCTGGGAGATACCATCATCCTCGAACCAGGTGTTTGAGAAGACGTTGCCGTGCGAAGTACCCTTAGGAGGGAAGACCTCAACACCACGGTAATCATCAAGTTCCTCGACGCCCTGCGAGGCATCGGTGTCATCGCCAGGCACGCGGGTGTGCACGTTCTTGCCGACGGGGATGGCACCACCGATCTTGGCGATGAGGGGAATACTCTCGCGCCACTCGGAGGTGATTTCAGCCCACTGGCCGGAGGCGAGGTAATTGTATGGCGCATTCATGTTCACGTATCCGTAATCGAACTGATCGCCAGACTTACGGGGCAGATAGACATTTGCCACGGTCACACCAGCCTTGTAGACGCCGCCGACGAGGATGGAGTCACCGAACCAGAATTGTTCATCGCCAGCTTTGAGGGCCTTGGTCCACACCTCGGGATCGGACTCGTAGCCCCAGCCGATCCACCGCTGGGGAGGAGTAGCGCTCATGTGGCTCTCCAGACCCAAGGAGTAGATGTATGGCAGCATCTCGTAGCGACGCTTGATGGCGTCGCGGACAAGAGGTGTGATCTCGGGGTACATGAAGGGCTCGATGACCTCGCCAACATCGTTGTTGTCCGGAGAAGTCTTGAAGCAGTTGATTGCGAAGCGAGCGGAAACACAGCCCAGCTGGATCCAGCGGAGAAGCAGCTCAGGAGAGGGCTGGGGTCCTTCGAAACCGCCAATGTCGTGACCCTCGCACTGCAGAAGAGACATACCGGCGTTGAGAGAGAGGGCATTGGCGCCCTTCATGCTCTCCCAGCTAGTGACATTATCTCCACTCCAGGTGCTGGCAGAGTAGCGCATAGTTCCAGCTGTCGCACTGCGAGTGAGGACGAAAGGACGGCACTTGGGCTCCATATCTAGAAGAGCGTCGTGGGAGGACTTGCCCATTAGCTCGGTGTGCATAGCGCGACCCCAAGAACCAACGGAGTTGTCTGTAGCCTTCTTCGCATCCGCGGAGACCATACTGTCATCCAGGCACAGCTTCCAGTCATCGTTGGGAAGGGTGTATTCATTGTTGTCGTTCCACATGCCATCAATACCCACGGCCTTTAGGCTTTGGCAGCCCTTGTACCACCAATCAAAGGCTTCCTTAGAGGTGAAGTCGATATGGCAGCCTTCGCCGCCGGTGGCACCGCCTGCACTCCACAGTCGCATGTATCCAGGCTCGTTGGTCTCCGGATCCTTAAAGAAGCCATTGCAGTCAATTAATTTCTGGAAATCAGGATGAGAAGCCAGCAGGAAAGGCTTAATGTTGGAAATCAAGCGAATACCGTGCTTGTGCATCTTCTTGATCCAGTCCTCCGGATCAGGGAAGCGGCTGTTATTCCATGTGAACACGTTCCGAACCTTAGGCTCGACCGGAGCAATTGAATAGCCAGAGCTCATCTGGTGAGCAGAGCAAGGGATGCCATGCTCCTTGAGCTTCTCTGCAAACTCCAACAGGGCCAGATGCGCCGGTGGTTCATCCAACATTGTGTACTTGTATCCACCGGAAATGTAACCGTACGCCCATCGGGGGACTCGCAGTGGAAAGCCAACCAACTCAGCGTACGAGTGGACAATCTCCTGGATATTCTTTCCAACAATCATGTACTGCTCGAGACCACCATAATCCTGGCGGTAGACCTTGAAGTGTCCCCAGAGGCCGTCAATCTCGGCACCAACCGACCACGAACCCCGGCCGTGTGTAGTCGAGAAGAGGGCAACACAGCCTTCGGGAGTAGCCTTAACTAACAGAGGAATGTGCTTGTAGAGGGGGTCTGAGTTGTAGACGTCGTACCCGAAAGCAATCGGTCGCAGAGAGTTGGAAAGTCCGGCCACTGAGGTCCATCGGGGCACTCTTTTCTCCTAGACCAACATGAAGAGCTGTTCGATCATGCACGGAGTAGCTCGCAACACCGGTGGAGTCGGCGACATAGGAGCGCAGCGGCAGATCGCGGTGCAAGAGCTTCTCAGAACCGGTCCACGAGAGGGAGACCACGGGGGTATGCTCCCATTCCACCTGTGCGGTGACGCCGGCAATCTCGAACGTCTTGGAGGAGGCATCACTCTTGATGGAAACATTGACGTTCTTGAGGTTGGTCTCAGGCTTTTGCACACTGGGGTAGGGAGGGATAGGATGGTCGGGGGAGGCGAAAGTCACTCGGAACAGGTTTGGGCGCACCGCTTCGAAGGAGAAGTCGAATTGTGTCTGTCTGCTTGCACTGCTCCTCAGATGCACCGAGACATCTTGCTGCTCAGTCGAAGAGACCTGCTGGTAGCCGCGCGGGCAGACTTCTTTTTTGAGGCATGATAAATACTAGCTTCCCTTAAGCTTCACAAAGAGAAGATAGGCTTTAGGGCCTGGCTAGGGCCATTATTTGTATTATGGCGTGCCATAGAACCCCGCGCCTGACGCACCGATTTTTTGGAGATGGTCACATCACACTGGGCGTGGGGCATAAAATCGGAGATCGGAGATGATCTCCGAGGACTCAGAAGTGGCCAAATCTGGGGATACGTGGGGCCCCAGACACACTAACACCAACATGGTAGGTGTCGAAATTATCTTCCGCTCTTTCGCTTCGTATGCGTCGGCCCTGTCCACCGAACCCCGACCCCTATTCCTGTTCAGTACCTTCGGCCGCTCTGCATCTGAGTGACCCCTTCCCTTGCAGCCAGGGATTGGTCTACCAAGACGGAAGTTGTCCGACTACAATTGCTGTGGCTGGTCCAGGTCGGCTGATCATACAGATCCAGGGCCTGAGAATCGCATGAGGAAAAAGAAATGACGCGGAACAGCCAAAGTTTGAACGCCGTGCAGCAGTAGTTCGGGAATCGACGGCACTCGTCCGGGAAGATAAACTTGCCTTCCCCACGGGGTTCTGCGAGCCCTATCCTGCAGTAGGGCGATCTTCCTGTTGACCCTTTCTTTCAGTCATTCTGACTGTCTCATTCATATCTCCCGATTTCTGCTTGCGACGTTAGCCATGGCACAAGCTGAGATATCCCATCCCAAGAATCAGTTGGAACATGTCGAGTCCACAGTCGAGGTTGCGGTTCCCAAGGGGGATCAGGCTATTCAACTGATCGAAGACGCAGGAGGCTCAATGACCTTGACCCCTGAGAACAATAAACGGGTGCTTCGAAAGATCGACCTGCGTCTGCTACCTATTCTGCTGTCCATTTATTTCCTTCAGCAACTCGACAAATCCACCCTGTCCTATGCCTCCGTTTTTGGCCTCGTTGAAAAGGCTCATCTGCATGGCTCGATGTACTCCTGGCTGGGCTCGGTCGTGTACGTGGCCCAGCTGGTCTTTCAGCCTTTGGTTGCCTACCTTCTGGTGAAAGTGCCCCTTGGGAAGTTTATGGCAGCGTCCGTTCTTCTTTGGGGCATCGCTCTATCCTGTATGACAGCGGCAGAGACATTTGCGGGACTGATGGTATGCCGATTGTTCCTTGGTATCTTTGAAGCAGGGATTGGTCAGTCATCTATTATCGCGGATGAGAACAGACTCTAACCAGCGATCTAGCCCCGGCGTTTATTGCAGTCACTCAGATCTGGTATCGTCGACGCGAACAACCCGTCCGACTTGGCTCGTGGTATGCGATGAATGGAGTGGTCAACATGGTGAGAGAACTCTTTCGGGGGGACACATTGGTCAGCCACTGGCAGCGTCTAACGTGGGCGTCTTCAACAGGTTGGAAGTCTGATCACCTACGGATTGGGACACATCAAATCCTCCATCTTTGAGCCTTACCAAATCATCTTCCTCTTCTTTGGTCTAATCACTGTCGGAATATCTGGCGCCGTCTTGTAAGATGTTGTCCTGTTGATCTCCCTTCTCAACATACTAAACTGCCTTGAATAGGGTCTTCATGCCAGACTCACCCATAACTGCCAAATTTCTCGATGAAGAGGATAAACTCGTTGCCATTGAAAGGTACCTGACTCTTCCATTCGTTTCAGCAAGAATTCCTGTTCACAATGAACTTGCAGACTTCGCATGAACCAACAGGGCATTGAAAACCATGAGTGGAAATGGGAACACGTGAAAGAAGCATGTCTGGATCTGAAATCCTGGATGTGGTTTTCATTGATGGTCTCCATTTCGTAAGTGCAACTACTTCTGCCATATCATCGTCGCTTACAAGGAAACAGTATTCCCAGTGGTGGCATTACTACCTTTGGGCCCTTGATCGTGGAGTCTTTCGGATTCAACTCTCTCAATACCATTCTCCTCAATGTGCCCTTTGGCGCCGTTCAACTCATTGCCACCATGGGTGGTGCCTGGTTGGCTACTGCCTGGAAGATGAAGGCTCCCGTTTTGGCACTCCTAATAGTGCCGCCAATTGCAGGCTGTCTCATGCTGCTGAAGATCCCCCATGACGATGCTCATAAAGGACCCCTGCTTGTTGGGTATTATATTGTAAGTATATGCAAGACTCGGAGCCCTTCGATGCTTGCTAATCATTCTCGGTTCAGATCTCCGTCTATCCCGGCATAAGTGCGTACCTGTCCCATGCTTGAGCTTTACAAATTACTGACTTCTTTAAGCGCCATTGATTTACTCATGGTCTGCTGCAAATACCGCAGGTGAGACAAAGAAGAAGGTGACAACTGGTATCCTTCTTGTTGGACAATGTGTCGGTAACGTATGGCGACAACTTTTCTCCAACCATACAATAGAAATGACTCACACATCGGATAGATCATTGGGCCGACTCTGTACACAACCGAAGAGAAGCCTTTATATCACCGTGGTCTTACCGCCGAGTAAGCGCAAATTTCCATAGCTCCCTGCCAGTGTCACAAACTAACCACTTGATAGCCTTTCACTTTTCTGTGTCTTGATGGTTCTCGTTGGGTAAGACGTCCACATCGGCATTACTTTTCCCCTTTCTAACACTTCCTATTAGCTTGAATACGGCATATCTCTATTTCCTCAACAAGAAACACGAGAAGCGGCGTGTTGCCATGGGCAAAGACGCCAAGATTGTGGATTTTTCGATGCATGCCGTGGGCGCCGTTATCGAAGACAAAGAAGGCCTCCCTGTGCAGCAAGTTGTCCAAGACAACGCATTCAAGGATCTGACGGACATGAAGAACGAGGACTTTGTATACGTATACTAAATCAGTTGACCCCCTCGCGCTCTAGAAGTGCGAGATCTTGGATTAGTTTGCCTTACGATCATGAACAATTGCATGTAGCTTTTACCAATTCAACGTGAACCTATCATTTTCCCGAAGTTGATGCCAATAGACAGTCCTAAGTGGGCCCATTCGATCTCTTCCGTTCCACGTTGAGGCTACGATGGTTGAGACCCGGGGTTACAGCCGGCTCGGAGCAATAGCCGAACCCCGACCCCGCGTTTTTCGCTTTTTCAAACATCCGGGGTAAATCCTATCTTCTCGACGCGCAGTGCAGAGGCCGATCAGTGTACTTTCGGAGAAAAACATGAGCGCCGATGAGTCTATGCATGCTATACCTGCGCCACTCGGGAAAAAGCGCATCCCTGTACGTTCGAGCGGCGATCGGCCCTACCTGGATAGTCTCCGATGGATATCTGGCTGACGCCGGCGCTTTTCATGTCATAGAAAGCTTGCAGTGCATGTCGACTTTCAAAGGTGCGCCATTGAGCTGCTGATTGGTGCGTGGGGCGAGAGTTGACGCGGTTGCAGGTTAGATGCGATGAGGAGAGGCCGTGCGGAAGGTAAGACATACACAAGTATACGGGGGGCAAAGCATTGAGACATAGTGTGATGTACAGGTGCCAGAAGCTTGAGAAACAATGTGTCTTCTTCGAAATTCCTAAGGATCCAGTGGCAGAGTACGAAAAAAAAAACCCATCTCACGGCCATTATACGACACTGATAAGGTTCTAGGAGATTCGAGGGCGTTGAGTCTGAGGTCCAACATCTCAGAACACAATTAGATGAGATAAGACTACTACTAGAACAGAGTCGCGCACACTCAGCAATTGCTTCCCAGCATACTTCATCCCCGCAACGGCACCCGGAGTATCAACAGCAAGTCCGTCGTGGGAGTGCTTGTACTTCATCATATTCCCAGCACGCTCCTCCACAGGAAAATACTCTTGCTCTCACTATCGTGGAGTCCAGCAGGTATGTTAATGGACAAGAGTACCAAAGATCCTTGCCGGAGCTATCTCCGAATGGTGTTTCGGGGCAGTCAGGGTACGAGCCATCTCATGCCGATAATTCGCGATCTCTGAAACGGAAACGCTCATGCTTTGAGATTCGAGGCGAGACTGTCGCGGATTTCATTGACAAAGGGCTGATCACTCCGGAATGCGCGTACTCATGCTTTAATACGTAAGTTATTTCTGTACCCTTGATCAAACGCATACAAGCTGCTCATCGAAATTGTTCCCAGGTTCTTTCAAGGATGCGTAAGGGCTATCTCAGTCGTCTATTTCGAAGTCTTGCTGATATTCTTTAAAATCTAGGATAGGTATATCCCAATATTTGACCCTGAGCACGACACATTTGACTCGATACGATCTCGAAGCAGCATTCTGCTTAACGCAATCTGCACGATTGGCTGCATGGTTGAAACAAGTAAGTATATATTCTATACACATTGTCAAATGGTGATTATCTATACCACCGGGCCACACTTACTCACCACTTCTACTAGGAACTGGCGGTCCAGCCTCCGACATGCTCCATGCTGAGCTAAAGAAATGGATCAACGTCATAGTCCAAAATAAGGCACTGAACTGTCTTGAATCAGTTCAAGCGATGCTTGTTGTGGCTTGCTACTCGGCTGACCGACTTCTCATTCTATCATTTGCTACTCGAATGGCTCTCGACCTCGGCTTGCATGAAGCTTTTGAAGAGGTCACTGAGCGACTAGCGATGAAGAATGATGAGGACATATACGGTGTCCCCGATCACGTTTTTGAAAGAGAACGTGTCTTAATGAGAAAGTCGAGAACTTGGTTTGGACTTTTGGTTCTGGAGCACATGTAATGATTTTTCTAGATCTCATTCTGGTTTCATGGCACTGACTTAATGTGACTTCCAGATTCCGTGTTGATGGGGGAAACCACCTGGGATTCGGTTGATTGGTAATCCTCGAAGGTGTCGGATCTTATTGAGCCATCCTTCGTCGACGATTCTGGATCTACGTCTCTTTTCTCAGGTTGAGGTATGTAGTAGACAGGTTTGTGAATGAGATCAATTAGACGAGACGCTAAATCCTTTACAACAGCTTAATATCTTGAGGGGTAAGAAGTATTTTGGGCTTACGATGAATCTATCAAATTAACGCATTCTCAGCCACAATCAATGATACCTTATACGTGGGAAAAACTTTGGATAGATCTGCGATATCCGAGTTCGTCCACGAGATGAAGATTGATCTTGATCTCTGGTTCGAGTAAGTATTCTATCCCAGGTGCTGAGATGGTTCACTTACGCTAGTAAAGTGACTGGCTTCGCATAATTGGTATATTTCGTCATTCACGATGGACTTTGATCCATTGCTAATGCGTCACAGAGGGATCTGCCGCGGCACAACAAGAGAAACCGTACTTACTGGCAGCCCTACGGGTTCAAAAATGCTGGGCAGAAATGATGCTCAACTGTAAAGCCCTTCGGACAATGGGTGTTGAGAATGTTGCGTACGTACTCTAGTCTCAGCCATATTGTTTGAAGCTAACGATCATACCTTTTCAGCGCCATGTCATCTACTGAGCGGAACATCCTGCTTGCTGCTAAAGCCAGTGCCCGCCGACACCTCCGGATCATAATCATTGAGCCTGATTTTTACCTGGCAAAGCTGAAATATGCAATGGATTTTGTATGGGCCAAGTGTGCCTTTTCATTCCTGCTGCTTCTCAAGCTCTCAAGGCTTCTACCTGAGCGTGACGAGGAACATCAAGAGCTTCTGGAGCACGGAAACCGCCTTGTGGAGGAGCTGAGCAAGGCTGGCTCGAATACAAACCAGTCTGGAGCCGGTAACATTTACCTCCAAATCCTGAAGGTCAGCATCGAGAAGTATGGCCGTGCGTTACAAGAGTCCCAGCAACCCAGTACTGGCGGTTCGGCAGCCACATCGCCATTCTGGGAATTGTTCGATGCGCAGGCCGATCTACAATGGTTCGTACCGGAGCAATTCGTTTCGGAGTGGGATTTCCCCGGTTTGAATTTGTTCTACTTCCCACTGCGTGGCAGGACTTTTTTGGCGACTTTTCTCTGGCTATGTGAAGTGTATAACGATGTCAGATGTTGAATATCACAGATTAGGGAAATCTATCTTGTCATAGGTATAAGCCAGTGTAACTTCTAGAATCCTGTTACAAATTTCGTGCAATTCCCGCCCGTATCCCTGGGCTGGGTGCTGGATATCATAAAGTCCTAAAGAAAGAAAGCACATCACATATCTTGCGAACGAGAAATCTATGCCAAAGCCTTCATGGCTAGCTCGACACTGCGAGGGGTTAGCAATCATCCATAGTTTAAGGGAGCAGAGGGCACATACACGACGAAAGTACCGGCAGAGACAGGCATAGCTCTCAGTAAGGTAGGACCAATACCCTTCCAGAAGCCACCAAAGCCCTCCGCGGCGTAGACTTTCTTGAAGCAGTCGCGCATGCTGTTGTACTTCATGTTCTCACCGAAGCCATCGGTCTGCATCTTACTCTTGACAACATCGAATGGGTAGCTGGCAATCCAGAGCGCCTCTCCAGCCAGACCACCATAGGTAGCGACCTTGAGAGCGGAGATATCGTCACGCTTGATATTGTTGCGCTTAGCATCCTGGTTCATCATGTACTCAAAGGCCATGAACCACGATCCGTAAGCGGTAGCCTCACGCAAAACGGTAACAGCCTGGCCGCGGAAGACGCCCTTCATGAAGCCCTGATGGGCAGACAGCTTCTTAATGCAGTCAATGGGGCCAGAGTAGAGGCGGCCTGCACCGTGCGGCTGCGCCTGCAGACGGATACGCACGTGCTCGATCGGGTTCGACAGCACCGAGTTGGTGACACCGGCGAATGAACCAGCCATGAAATACTGTGTGTATGATAGGGCCGAATCGGCATACTTCTTCTGATTCAGCTCCTCGAGGCGACGACGTGCCTCGTGGAATGCACCGAACTGGACACTCACCTGAGGCGGGTATTAGGGGGGGGGCCATTGACGGTGAAGTGATCGTATTGCGACTTACACAGGCACCGATACCAACCAAAGGAGTCAGCGTTCCCTTATAGAAGGCAAGAGGACCCTCCTTCTTGAAGATCTGAGTCGCGCCATCCAGTGCACTCTTGTACTGGCTGGTGGTCTGCAAGCGAACCTTGACGATATCTGCGGGGTTTAGTTAGAGGTGCGTCATTGGAAATGTGCCACGATTTCACAAACCAAAAGGTTGACCTAGATTAGCATTAGCCATTTATTATATGAAATGGAACGTATAAGAAGCTGGGCACAAAGCAATTGCTGTTTCCCGCACAGCGCACATACCCAAAAGAACCTGAGCAATACCACCCGCAGCGCCCGCAGCCAAGTCCTTGACGGTGCGCAAGGGGTCGGTGGGCTTCTCCAGATCCTCCCAGGGTTGAGGCTCCATGGCTGCAAGTGGACTAGAGTAGATGAACAGAGAAGGCTTCTCTAGATTCCAGACTTTATACCAGAACCAGGGTCAATCTTATCACAGATGGCGCCATCCGAGCTCTGATTCGCACGCTGCGCCGACGGGAAACACTTGCCCTCGGGAAACCTTACGTAAGCGCCAGACGGCTATCGCGAAAAGTCGCTGACAATCAACGGTGGAGCGTGAGGTCTACTGCAGAATGCATCGGCGAGCCGTATTAAGGGTTCGTATCGGTTTCTTCTATCTCCCGTGCTACGCGCTGACTCCTTTCTAGCTCTCACGCCGAGTTGATCTATCAACGAGTCCATCCTCTTCGAACCGGACCTGTACGCGGACCTTCCAATCATCCGCGATCCGGCTTGATGAGTCTGGAAACGACAATGGTGCTGGCGCAGCTCCGAAGCCTATGACCCCAAAGTTTGGGGGATTTGGAAACCGATGGGCCAGCAAACAAGCGCCCAAGCCGACGGGTCTCAGTGCCGCAGAGCAAACACTGCGTGATGCTATCGTCGAAAGAAATAAACCACCTCCTACGCCAGAACGCACAAAACGACCTGATTCGAGACAGCGTGTCCCCGGAACAGATCAATACATTGGTGGATCTCGCAATGAACGCGGTCACGTCGGTCATCGGCCAAGGCAGCGAACGACCACGACAGACGAGAAACCCGATCAGGATATACCCCAAGGCAAAAGAAATTGGAGGTGTCCCGTATGCGCCACGCGCGTCTTCAAGACTCTTGATGCGTGTCCATCCTGCAATGCGCCAAAACCGGCATTTACGGCTGCACTGAAGGGTCCCCCGAAAACCAAGACCCGAAAGGACAAACAGTTCAAGAATGATTGGAGCTGCCCTGGGTGCAAAAATAACGTATTCTCGTGGAAGACAGAGTGCCCTGTCTGTGGTCACCAAAAACCGGATGGATTGCCGTGGCAGTCCAGGAACGAGAAGCCGGGAGCGAATAAATATCGAGAATTGGGCCGATCGATGCTGCCCGACAATGAGCAAGTGAGCCACAGTGGTGACCGACGAGATAACAGGAGAGCCGAGGAACTGGAAAAAGGAGAGAAGGAGAAGAAGAAAGCGGAAAAGGCAGAGAAAGAAAAGAAGACCGAGAAGCAGGAGGATCTGAAGGATCAATGGACCTGGGATATGTCTGCTCTGGAGAAGATGGAAGCTATAGACACTCAGCCACAAGCCGAAACCCAGAAAAAGCCGAAGCGTCGTGACGATCGCAAGGGACGTCAAACTGAGTCTGAGGACGCTGACTTCGATGCCGAGGACCGCAACCGCCGTCGTGACGAGCGTAAGCGCAAGAAGAAGGATAAGGTTTCGAGGAAAGTCGAAGCAGCACCTCCAGCACCCCTTTACCTCCCTGAGTTTATCAGCGTCAGCAACCTGGCCGACGTTATCGGAGTTCGGCCAGCGATTTTCGTCTCGCGCATGGAAGACATGGGCTTCGAGGATGTTCATTATGACCATGTACTGGATGCGGAGACCGCCGGTCTGGTGGCAGCCGAATTTAACTACGAGGCCATCTTTGATGAGGGAACTGCAGACCTGACGGCGGCACCGGTGCCAGAGGATGTATCCAACTTGCCCACTCGTCCCCCAGTTGTTACCATCATGGGTCACGTTGATCATGGCAAAACCACCATTTTGGATTGGCTGCGCAAGTCATCTGTGGCAGCTGGCGAGCACGGTGGCATCACTCAGCACATTGGTGCCTTCTCCGTGCCGATGCCCTCGGGCAAGACGATCACTTTCTTGGATACTCCTGGTCACTCTGCTTTCTTGGAAATGCGCCGTCGTGGCGCCGATGTTACCGACATTGTGGTTCTTGTGGTGGCAGCTGACGACAGTGTCAAGCCTCAGACCATTGAAGCGATCAAGCATGCCACGCAAGCCAATGTCCCTATCATTGTCGCCATGAGTAAGATCGACAAGGAGGGTTGTAACCCGGACAAGGTCAAGCAGGACCTCTCTGTTCATGGTGTTCATGTGGAAGACTACGGCGGTGATGTGCAGGCCATTGGCGTGAGCGGCAAGACCGGAGTCGGCATGATTGAACTGGAAGAGGCCATTGGAGCGCTTTCAGAGATGCTCGACCATCGCGCGGATACCGAGTGCAATGCCGAAGGATGGGTTCTCGAGGCCTCAACCAAGAGCTACGGTCGAGTTGCATCAGCCCTTATCCGCCGCGGTACGTTGCGACCGGGTGATATCATCGTTGCTGGAACTACCTGGGCTCGTGTGCGTACATTGCGTAACGAGGCTGGCCTGGCCATCAGCGAAGCTACACCAGGCATGCCAGTCGAGATTGATGGCTGGAGGGATCAACCGGCTGCGGGCACCGAGATTCTCCAGGCGCCTACCGAGCAAAGGGCCAAAGAAGCCGTGGATTACCGTTTGGAGCGATCTGAGACTGCGAAGATGGGTGAGGATATGGCTGCCATCAATGAAGCGCGTCTCGAGAAGCGTAGACTAGAGAAGGCGGATGAAGAGGCCGACGTCGCAGAACCGACCGGTCCTAAGCCTGTCAACTTTATCATCAAGGCCGATGTCGACGGTTCTGCCGAGGCTGTGTTGAACTCAATTGCCGCCATTGGTACCAATGAGGTTTATGCCAATGTTCTCCGTTCAAGTGTCGGTCCCGTCAGCGAGTTCGATGTTGAGCATGCGGCTAGTGCTGACGGTCTCGTTATCTCGTTCAATATGCCTATTGATCCGAACATCTCGCGCATGGCCGAGTCGGAGGGCGTGAAGATCATGGACCACAACATCATCTACAAGCTCATCGACGAAGTCAAGGCTGTTCTCAGTGAGCAGCTTCCGCCTACAATTACTCAACGTGTGACTGGTGAAGCCGAAGTGCAGCAAATCTTTGAGATCACCGTCAAGGGGCGTGAAAAGACTGCTATTGCCGGATGTCGTGTTCGCAATGGTATGATGAACAAGACTCGCAAGGTCAGAGTGATCCGTGGCAACGAGACGATCTACGATGGTAAGAAGACCTACTCAGAAGACACAATTCATATTTGGTCCATACTAACACGCTTTCAGGCACAATGTCTTCCCTCAAGAACGTCAAGAAGGACGTGACCGAAATGCGCAAAGATACCGAGTGCGGTATCGCCTTCGAAAACTGGACCGACTTTGCAGTCGGCGACCACATCCAGTGTTACGAAGAGATCTCCGAGAAGCGCTTCCTATGAGCCCTCGGAGCTCACCTCACGGCATCTACGCCGCTGTATTTTTAGAATTGGTTCGACGCTCTCGTTTCTCCTGTGGTTTGTACCATAGAAATATTCCTGCATTCGACGTGGTTTGCATCAAGCTCGTGGCGTTCAAATCTCGTTTCATACAAGAGAGGCAGCGAGCATACACTAGATGTCAAATATTTGTGATGTCAATGTTCCATGTACAATAGACAATCATTTCCCATTGATAATCCCACTGTACAGCCCGATCTACTAAACAAGCTTATGCACTGGATTCTGAAATTCTTTCTCGATGTTTGTCCAGTAAATCTATTAAATCCATTAAAGCTCCTCCTAGACCTCTTCTTGGATCTTGCCCAAAGTAACAGTTCCGAACACGTTCGTCACGCCGGCCTCTTAGAACGATTCGTATTATTTTCTTGGCCTGGCAGTCATCCAAGGATTTCCTATAGTCATAGATGAATCAGATCTACTTCGCTTTCCATCTCACTCTTCCAACCCACTTCGCCCAATCTTGCACGTCCTCCCTCTTCGCAAATACGATCAATAGTAAACCACTCCCTCGCAAGCTCCTCGTTACTCGCCATCCGATGCACAAAACTATGACATGCCCGGCAAAGCCAGGCAACGCTATTCAGCATCCATTCATCGTGCCATCCCTTCTTGATCACCTTCGCATGCACACCACGCGGTATGAGATGGTGATATGACAGTGGGATCCAATCCCGCTCGCAAATCTCGCATGCATCGGTACGTGTATTCGACCATGCTGGTGGCCCGCTCGTCACGCTGTTTATGTATTCTGTTAAGATAGGGGATATGAATTCGGGGAAGTCGTCTGCTGCGGGGAGGATTCCATATACGGTCAGGGAGTCTGTTACTTCCACTGGGATGATCATGCAGAGGGATTCGAGGGTGGTGCGGGGGAGTGGAGTGTCTGTTTCCGGGGGGATGTAGAGCGTTGCGAGATACGTGTTGTGTTGAATTGCGGCATAGGAAAGGGTTTGGAGGTCTTCAGGGAAGGAGGAGAAGGTCTCGGAGGCGATGAACTAGGGTTGTAGAGCTTGTTAGCTGTTGGTGTGTCCGGCGGCCTTGAGTAAAGGCGTTTCTCGGCTCTTGGAGTAGGTGAATTTACATCGATGAATTCGGCCAGTTCTTCGGGGTCGGCCCTTTTGTATTTTGTGGCTAGTTCGGAGCTAGTCGTCTCGTCTTTGCGTCCATTGCGCTTAGGCTTCTGTCGCCGTTTGACCGTCTTGGGTTTGTCCTCGGAACGGGCGACGATGGCACTCGAGAGACATTCTCTGAAGACGGTGTAATTTTCATCTGAAATCATTGAGGCCATGAGGACTTCATAGTTCCAATAGCGCTGCTATTGCTGTTACTGTGGCTTAGGTTGGAAGTTGGAAATAATTGGAGACTTCCCCGCGTCTCCGAGGCCCACAGCAGGGTTGACATCATGGGCATCACACTTTCAACCCAAGCTTCAGGTTTCTTCTTCCCAACTCATCCAACAACTATGGCGGACAAAATCGTGCTTGCGTTTGACCTATACGGTACCTTGTTATCGACAGACTCTATTGCAAAGAAGCTGGAACAGTTCTTTGGACCCAAAGCAAAGTCCATCTCGACGTTATGGAGACGATACCAATTGGAGTACACATGGAGGCTCAACAGCATGGGTAGGCTACACCACATATTCTGGTTGTTCAGATCTGACAGCATTTTAAGGTCGCTGGGAGAGCTTTTCTCAAGTCACCCAGAACTCGCTGCTCCACGCCCTGGCGGAGCACGGCGAGCAACTCAGCGCCGAGGATCAAGAAAGCGTGATGGAAGCCTATGACAGCCTGTCTACATTCGACGACGTTCAGCCAGCTCTGGACCGACTGGCAGCCAACACAACTATATATCCCGTGATATTTTCAAACGGGGATAGCGAAGCACTTCGCAGGTCGGTCAGACACTCGGGGGGCCTGGCTATGCACTCGAGCATCTTCCATGATCTGATCTCTGTCGAGGACATTAAACGATACAAGCCAGCAGTCGAAAGCTACAAGCACCTCGCTGGCAAAGTCGGCAAGCAGTCTTCACAAATGAATGAGATGTGGCTCATAAGTGGGAACCCATTCGACATAATTGGAGCGCGCAACGCTGGCATGAATGCCATCTGGGTTGACCGAACCAACAAAGGCTGGCAAGATTCCGCCGTACCAACACTACAGCCAACAGCAATTGTACACAGCCTGGAACAGATCTTGAAGGAGATCCACCGAGCGTGACAAAAACCAGATAGAAAAGGGGGAAATGTACCGCTGAAAATATTTCCCAACGCTCCACGTATCAAGAAGAGTTAGGGGTAAGCCAGCAAGAAATTAGTCTATCCTTCTCTTTCCCTCGGAGAACCCATTAAATGTGGGTTCGCGAGTGAATAAAGAAGGAATTCAGTTTATGTGAAGAAAAGAAAAGCTGAGCGCGAAAATTTCGGTACAAGTAGCCTTTGATGACTAATCCGAACGTGACCCTTATCGATAAGAAGCATCGTTTGGTGCCTATTTTACATTCCTGGACTTCGTTCAAAGTCCTTTTGCAGCGTCGGCCACTTCTCCAGCATGGCGCCTTTGGATCCTACTCGTGCAGCATGGCTGTATCCCCTCAAGGTAAGTGATGTGCGTCCACTTGGGATCATCATATCTGTACTGACCAGAGCTAGGGAGTTCACTACTTCGCGACCCACCGATTTCTCTGGCCACTTTTCAAGGCTCGCCTGCTCCCCATTGTCCTCCTCTCCAGTTTCGTATACTTCCTCCTCTTCTTTTTCACTTACCTGCCGCAAGTGGCCTTCTTGGCTATCTTCCAGGGAGCCGGAGCGTGGGTCAGCGGAGCTTTCCTGGTCCTCGGTGAGGGCGCCGCTATTGTTGCTGCCTTGTTTGAGGCGTTCTTCGTGGACGAGACCCTGGTGGATATATTTGATTCAGTTTTGGTGAATGAGGGCCAGGAAGAGCTTGTACTCGCCTCTCGAGTCATCTATCCTGAGGCGGGCGACCCGACCAGTCGACTCGGCACACCGACAACTAGCGCCGTCTACGCGCCATTCTCTCTCCGGCAAATTCTCGAATTCATTATTTTGCTACCGTTGAATTTTATACCTGTCGCGGGTACACCGATGTTCCTCATTCTGACGGGGTACCGGGCGGGTCCGTTTCACCACTGGCGCTACTTCCAGCTGCTGGATTTTACCAAACAGGAGAGGAAGGACAGTGTGGCTCAACGACAGCTGCAATATACGACGTGAGTTTTCACTGCAGACCTATACGGGAGTCGTGCTGACGATGACAGATTCGGGACGGTCGCTATGGTTCTTCAATTGATCCCCCCTTTCTCCATGATATTCCTCATGACTACTGCCGCGGGTGCAGCTCTATGGGCTGCAGACCTCCAGCGTAAGCGGCATCTTGCAAACCAGCGACCTGATCGACTAGGTCATGGTTATCGTGACGAACCGGTATGATATAGCCCATAGATATGAATATAGATGAAACAGCCGAGTGGTGGTATTCCTTAAATTGAAGCCTACTTTCCCCGATACTTAAAAAATGGGGCAAACCCACCCCGAGCGTGGCGGCCATCCAATCATGCGGCGCCGGAGCTCAGCTTAACTTCAAGATTGTTCTCCTTGGAACCGCGTGGAACACGTGACTATTGCCTCGGTGGACGGCAACTTCTCTCTAAGCTTCTTTCCGCACTCGAATTGTTCTGGACTAGGATCGGGATAATTGAGTGCCTAGGCTGCTTTGTCCGGAGATTGCACATTCGACGACTTTTCAGTGCGACCATCACATAGCCCTGGAACGTCATATCCGCCCTTCGCTCCAGACTTTAGGCCTCCGCTCAACCGTTGATTCCGGCAATTCACGCTAGAGGGAAACGACAGAGGACCGGTTGTTCGATCGGTCGCACGCTTTCCGGACTGCACCAAAGTGAGAAAATAGCTGCATAAAGCTGCATCCCGAATTCCATCCGAATCCCACCCGTTGTTCCGCCGTGTGGGTCAGTCAAGGGTCCCCCGCAGTCTCTGGATGCATTAGACCCTTTCGCCCAAGCAGCTTAGACGTCTTTCTTGGCGAACATGCTTTGAGAGTCGCAAGCTCGGCACGTTCGAATGTCCCAAATACTCGCAAATGGATGCCAAAACGCGACTGCGCAAGGCATGCGATGCCTGCAGTATTCGCAAGGTGAAGGTTAGCTAGCCTCACGAATGCCAGAGCCTCCTGAACAATTGCTGACCAGAAGGAAAGTGTGATGTCAGTGGTCCACCTTGTCGATCCTGTGCTACGCTGGATATTCCGTGCACATTTTCGAGGCCAAGCAGGAGAAGAGGTCCTCCAAATCGGCATGCTGAAAACTTGAAGAGGCAAAAGCTCGAAGCCCAGTCGGATAATTCACCGGCCAGCCTGTCTGAATATATCTTGCCGAGCACGCCTCAGCCATCTGCTGCTTCTATTCATTCGTCAACGACCTCTATTCCCGCTTCTGCGGAAGCCATTTGTTCATTGCACACGGTTCAGCTACTTTTAGACGATTTCTTCATGTACATTCACCCTTTGGTTCCCGTTCCCCATGAACCTTCTTTTCGTGCTGCCTTTGAACGCCGCGAGGATACTACTAGCGGCACTTTTTTAGCCCTCTTGGCCTCCATGATAGGATTCCTCGTGGCCTCCTTTCCTCGGCGACCCAAACTACGACTCAACACCGAGGCAGAACGTTCTGCATTTCCCAACTCCATAGCATTGGTCAAGCGATGCCATGATGTTGCCATTCAAGCTCGAGGCATTGGGTATCTTGACCGCAATGTGACAGTTTACGATGCAGCCACGAGTTATTTCTTAGGGCTATGTTCCGGCTACATTTACAGTATGCGCCGATGCCGTGTCTATCTGGCGGAATGTCGCACTATGATTCAGGTATATGACCTTTGTCGTTCTCCTTCACCTCTGCCCTCTGCATCCGAACCAAACGCCACGGGTCCAATGTCCCCAGCGTCAGGAACGACACATGATCAACCAGCCCAAAATCTCACGGACAATCCGACGGTAGATCTGATAACCCAGGAGTTGGGCCGTCGGCTATTCTACGTCACACTGGTTGGATATCAAACTCTGCATCAGATGGGCTCCTCCGACATTAAGGTTCAAATCCCTCCTGAGACCCCAACTGATCGATATCCCCCGCTCCCGCTTGAGATTGACGACGAGTTCCTCTTCTCCACCCATGTCAGCGCTCAACCTGCCGATCGTGTATCACAACTTGTCGCTTTCAACGCAAACGTCCGGGTTTACGGCTCGAACAATGCTTTGTTGGCTTGGGATATCGCGTTCGGCAGTGGCCAGATCTTTGACTGGGAGCATCAGCGCTCCTGTCTGTGGGAATGTCTCCAAAAGGCGAAGTCTGCGCTTTCAAATGTCCCCGTCGAGCTGTCCCTCTTCCACCCCAAGCGGATCTCCCCAGCTGGACTGTCTGGGCTGAACGAGGACGGCTCAATATTCAACTACCCTCATGACCACATTCATCAGGAACGTCGAGCGATCCAGTACGAGATCCAGAAGGCCAATATTTATGCTAGCCAACTCTGCACAAGGTCATACCTGGTTGAAAAATACTGGAATCTCTTTGAGACATTCACCAAATATGGGAACTCGGCAAAAATATCCATCCCGACGCCTGCCATACCGCACATCAAACATGAGCCGTCATCAGAGATACCTGCTGAGCCGGCCTCGACGGTAGGCCCGAATACCTCTTCACAGGCTCTGGCACACATACAAACAGACTCCATTGGCCGCATGATGGCCGAGGAGCGCAAACTGGTCATCAAGGAATTTTTCATCCTCCTGCGTACCGTCAACGAAGTCAACATGGAGCCCAACGGCGGGAGCATCGTAAGTCCAATTCTACTATCCTCGTTCCAAATGATAAACTAATCCCAAAGTAGACAACCAAAATCCGTCAAGTAGCATCCACCCTTCTCAACCAAACAACAAAAACCATTCCAACCGAAGACCCATTGGTCACTCCCCTAGCAGGAGTTTCAAATCCCGGTCCGAACACCTCAAGCCCCCATGTCCTTACGTCCGCCGAAGCGGAATCTTACCTTCACGCCTTCGTCGATACCCTTGTCCGCCTCGAAGGCCACGCCTCCGTAGCCACGGATCTAAGTAGTGGAGCCGAGGGCGTCAGTCCACTGGCGAACGTGCGCGCAATGAGTTACTTGAGTGACTATGAGCGTGATCAGGAGGAGCTGAGCCAGTGGGCTAGCTTGAAGGAGTATCAGCTGAAATTTGCGGATGTTGGTGGTTTCTTGTCCGAATTGTAGTTGAGTGTGTTTTATTAGGGCCAATAGAAGCCGTGTAATCTGAAATTCAAGTCCCCTTCGAGCGGTATTTGTAGCAGGAAGAAGCCTCCCAAGCATCGCGACATACTCCCTTGCAGATACACATTGCCGCACAGAAAACTGGATTACAGATAATGGGTACAAAGTAAGGAGACATTCATCCGGAAAGAAATTATTCATCCACCCCAATCACCCTTTCAAATGCTGGAAAGACTAGGTTGCAAGTACACTTGGACCCATTCACAAAAAGTGCATGCCACAAATATGCAGCCAAATCATTCCTAGAACGTCGTGATCGTCATAGTAGCAGTGGTCGTCACAGTCTCTGTCTCAATGATTGTGATGAAATTGGTGGGCGTGACTGGAATCACGGATAATGCACCTGGCATGGTCGAAGTAGGGCTCAAAGCCATACTTGTCGGCGTCGGTGTGACTGTGATAGTCAGACCAGGGATAGTCACCGTGACGCTTTCGATTGCTGTGTTATGGATCGTGATTGTTTCTATGGGATCTTCGGTGGGTGTAGGTGTTGTGCTTGCGCTGGTAAATGATAAGGCTGGGGTGATGGTAACTGTTGGGCCGGAAATTGTCACTGTCACTCTTTCTGTTGATGTGTCTTGCACAGTGATGGTTTTCGGCTCGTGGGTCGTGGTAGTTGCTGAAGGAGAAGTTGAAGTTGTGGAGAGAGACGTCGAGGTGGCAGTGGTAGTTGTGTCTACGGTTCTTTCTGTTGTGTATGAAGATGAGGTTAAGGTGGAGGTACTTGGTTCATGCGGAACGGTAGTCTCGAGAGTTTTCGATGTTGTCATCTGAGGAGTAGTGGTCTCGGCAGGAGGAGAAGTTTCGTACTGCGGAATGGTGGAGGTCTGAGGAATAGATAGCTTCGTAGAAGTTGGCAGGATTGTCTGGGTAGTGAGCGCAGACTCGCCACTTCCTGGCACCCAGACGATCACAGACCCTATGACTGTGTGCACTTTTTCGGCTTCTGATACCGATTGTGTGGAAGATGCCGTTGTGACAGGTGATGTTATGACAGCAGACGATGATGCCGTAGCGGGCACTGTTGTAGTCGGAGCTACGAGTGCTGACGGATTAGATTGACTGGTGCTACTTCTCGAGTCGGAGATGAGGCCGACGACGCCAACCGGGATGCTTGTTGTCGCTGCAGCTAATGAGCTGAGGGTAGTCTCATACACCGGGGACGTGGAAATACTCGCATGGGTCGACGTGAACTCTTGAGACGCAGTAGAACTTTTACTCGGAGCATCTGCGTGAGTAGTCGCTCTCGGGGTTGCATTCGTCGATGCCGAAATCCCTGTGTGAGGTGTCATAGTGCTACCCGGCCGGGGACGTCCTGAGACTCCCACATGAGGAGAGGGAACAGAGTTGCTAGATCCTGCTTCATGGCTCGAAGCTGTGGAGCTAGGACTGGCTGAAGACGAGATAGTCATTTTGGCAGATGAAATGCTCGTTCCAGGTGAATTGGAACTAGGTAGGGGAGATGCAGACATCGGTAAAGAGCTACTGGTACTCTCGCTAAGGACTGTCAAAGTCGAAGATATTGCTGGTGCATCTGAGGAGCTTGAAGTTTCACTGACGGGTGCTGAAGATGGGGTGACAGCTTCTGATGTAGGCGTTGCAGATGATGTGTACACGATAAGAGGCATTGTTCGCTCATCGCTCCGTGTAGAGGACAATTCGGCGGCAGACTGGGTTAAGTCAACCGAGGATGAAGATGTATACGATGTCTCCACCGGTACTGATGAAGAAAGTAGCCATGATGGCGTGACAGGAATGACAGTCAAGATTCCTTGAGTTTCCTCCGCAGCAGGCGATGAAGTAGAACCGGTTGAAGCAGTTTCAGAGGCAGCGATTGGAGTTGGATCGAGGGAACGAGCGATCGGACCAGCCGCACAAGTCCACACGAGAGCGTAGAAAATGTAAAAGCGAGTGAAGAGCATATTCTCGGCCTAAGAAGCCTTGGGGTCCAGCAACGCACGAGAGGACGAAGGTCACTGGGAAGGTGGAAGGAACGAGATGGAACAAAAGAACAGTCTGTCAATAGGAAATATAAGCTGCAGACTCAATGAATCACAAAGAAAACATGCCACAGCAGTCCATGGCAGTCGATATTTCGGTGTGGAAGTAGTAAATGATGGTATGGCTTAGCTAGCAGGGGGGAAACGAAAAGGAAAGAAGGTCAGGAACAGAGTGGCTCGATTTCACACCAGGAAAAAGAATGAGGCAGTCTAAGACGCGAAAGAACACTAAGGAAATAAAATATGGATTTGCATTTCGAAGGCCAAGTCCTAGGCTGGCATCTTAATATGAAGACTCAGGGTGAATGTGGTTACCTAGGCCCTGATGAAAGATGAAAGAGCAGGCGCTTTGTGGGACGACGTTTCACTGTAAATAGAAAATTGGAAAATAGCAGATCGTAAATAGCGAACAATAGCAAATCAAAAGGCCCGTTGACAAAGGACCCCAGGCACGGCGCTTAGCCCCATCATTTTTGGGCCCACCTCGTTCTTCAGGGCGCGTACAGCCAGATCTGGAATTGACCACAATTGGTTCTAAAGAGTGATCGAGCCAAAGTTATTCGACGTCATTCAGAGGTATCGTTTGGAAACAGAATAGAAAGAGGTTTACAATGGAAATCTCAACCAAAGTGCCTATCGAGAACGAGCCGAGAACTCAAGGATTAGAGACCCCTCTAGATTATTATTTTCTCAGGAAAAGCCGTAGGTGTATCATCCTTTATTGTCCATTTTCTACGATTCACCATGTGCTAGGCTGCAGGGCTTCAATGACTCAGTGACATAATCGATTGTACTCTTCTGTCTTCTCTGTGCCTGGATTCCGGGGATCTCTAGGTAGCCACGGTAAAGCTTCCTCCAATCCCCTCAAACGATGAGATCTGCCCTAGTGCATTCTTTGAATTCCCATAGTAGTGCAATCGATAGGTGCCACTCTGCACGGGGTTCGGGTTGTCCACACCATAGTAGTCATCTTCAATGTTCCATTGAATCGTGACCTCACTATACCCGAGGATGAAGTGGGTTCGCTTCCAATTGAACACCAGGTTCCAGTCGCGATCATTGCGCACAACTTCCCATTCACCAGTTTCATCGTTTTTCATTTCCACCGCTGCACAGGTCGACTCCTGACGGAGGTCATTGCGCGGGTTGGCGCCGACAAATGTTGTATTGACCGTGTCGCCGGGCTTGTAAGGCCCTGCTCCAGGGTTGGCAGTCACGTCTCCAAAGGATTTGCCAATGGGCGCTTCATCGTAGACAACTCCTGTAATGAAACTGAGTGACCTATTTGTATTGATCGGAGGGCTGGGACCAGCAGGGAGTTCGGGCAAGTTGGCTATGACCGAGGCACCTCCCAGGTACGGGAGATAGGTGAGGGTCAGGTTGATATAGGCGGCGAGCTCGTTAGGCCCGTAAAGGGTAGATGCGCCCTCGTAACGCTGAACGCTGAATTCTTCCTCGGTCGCGACATAGTGAGCGTAGCTGTTGGACGGTGCTCCTAGTACAACTTGGGGATCTGAAATTCCGAGATCTGTCGCACCTTTTGCAATTGCTTCCTTCCAGCGTCTTCCAGACATTGTCGTAGCCTCAGAAGTCGATATGATGATGAATAGCTGCCCTACTCGGAGAACCTGAATATCGACGATGTCTGCAGCCCAGGCGTATGGCTCAGTGAGGGTTCCTACATCCAGGAGAATATCTTTGGCTCCCTGACACTGCTTTTGTGCTTCACTGGGTTGATGGATAAATGCCCGTGCGACAAGCCAAAGAGGATTATTGGTAGCCGGTCCTGAGGAATTCTGCGTAAAGTCAAACGCTCCAGGTCCATCTGTAGTCCCTGCCGCAAAGGAGTAGCCCAATGCTGCTGGGCATGTCTTCAGTGTAGACCCATTGAATGGTGACGTGAAGGTATAGCCATTCATATCCTGGAAAACGTGGAAAGACCTGACATCGCCCGTGAGAACAGGAGTCTTGTCCATCTGCTCATAGAGCGTTTTGGCAGCACTGTATTGGCGCTTGCCGATCTCGAAACAACTCTTCGCTCCGTTGTCCTTCTCGCGGAAGAAGGGGCCTCTGCCATGGCAGGCCTCATTTGTGCCTCCACAAGTACTGTCGGCATAGGTGCACATCTTGTTGGACCCATCCTCACACCATGCACCCAGAATGTTCGGGCTTGTATCTCCAACATTGGCCTGCGAGAAGCCAATGACAACATCGTCGGCAAATCGTGCATCGCCATTCACACTGCGTTCGAAAAGGTAAGCGGCAACTCCCTTGTTATCCCCAGTAACGATGGTGTTATTATTGTACATGGATGTGCCATGTACAGGGAACCAGGTCAAGATAGCTGCAGTCTTATTATCCGAATCGCGATCAAATCGCAAGATGGTCAGAGTCTTGTCAACATTGGCCGAGTATCGAGCCTTTTCTTCCTCCGGGTTTTGGTCATATGCATAAGGACTGCGGTTGATGTTGGCATCGTCAAGCTCGATGGATCCGAATAAGAGACGGCCTGGCGTCAAGCTTTCATGTGCGCGTTGAATTGATAGGACCGTGCCATCCACAATAGCCTGGTAACTCTGTTTGTCAAACCCTTTGGTCGGAATTTGAGGCAGGAGATAATTCATCCACGCCCCAGGACCAGAATGGGAATGAGTTCCTGTCAACGCAAGGTTGTGCTCACCATAGTGGGCATACTCGCCACCTAGCGCCGAGAGTTCCTGCAGAACTCCATGCCTAACGGCAGTGTCGCCGGCTAGCGTGTCGAGAACGACATAGATGAAAGTGTCATCGGGCTTGCTAGGGTTTGCAAAAATGAACGATCGAGCGTAGAGTCTCTGACGCAAGCCCGTTCCCAGCTGATCAAGGCTCGCGTATCCGTTGAAATCTACCTCAACGACCGGCCTATAATCACATTTTAATGACGACCGACCAATTCGATTAGGGACAAGGAAGGACAAACCCGGTGACATCCGCCTTGCCAGCTCCTACCAGAAATAGGTCATTGTTCGCGGCATTTGCCGCATCGGTTCGACTTTTCCACTGATTGAAGCTCCTACTGAAGCTGGACGTAGGGGTCTCGAAACTGGTGTGCAGCGCAGCAAGCAGTTGCATGAACACCAACAAGGTCAAAGTGAGCACGCCCAGAGCGACGCCCAATCTCAAATGAGCCATGTTGGCTACGGAAGACGACAAATAAAGTCAGGGTCACAATGAGATCTTGAGGCAGGAGAGCCTGGGAGGCAGACAAGGGATTTTAAAAGCTAGGACAGAAGGATGCTCATGACCGGAAAGTCAGAGATGGATCTCGAAGATCATTAGCCAAGGGAAGGATTAAGCATTAACCATGTCGAGATGCCTTCCGGAAGGTTGTATTGGATCTCTCTAAGCGAAGTGTGACGGGAGAGGCACAGGGCACCACAAACCCTGCAGGGCCGGGGATCGTCGTGCACCAGCATTCCGCAAGCTCCTTTGGGGCTAGGCTTGGCTCTGTTTCCCCGCACGGAGTTGTACATCTGTCCGATGTCCTTTTCATATGTCTTGAATACTAGTCCGTAGATTGCATGCATGAGCTGCCAAGCCTCATCGTTCAAGCTTCGGGGCCCTCGGCCATGTAACTGCCCTGGGGGGCAACCCAGGGATCCAGGCGGGCACTGGTCCTAGGTGGGTAGTGATGATCATAGTGGCACCATCTGACAGTCCTTGGTTACTGAGTAGCATTTGTCCGATATCTTGGGATCTTCGGCACCTCGAGGCTTCTAGCTACAGTGGAGCCGGCCCATACTGATACTAGTAGACTTAGTTTAAAGTGGACCCCGTTGTGTATAGGCACGTGATACACCGCCTCCGCGCGCAGCCTCGTTAGAATGGCTTCGCTATTGATTTAGTGCCATCTATTGTGCTCAATCTCAAAATGTCTCTCATCAATGAATCCCACGATTCCTTGCCCTGTATGTCACCGCATCTCCACTTGACCTTGGCCTCTAGTTAACAATTTCGCAGACCTTGATGTTGCGCCCTCAGCCTCTGCGCGACAGCAAGCCCAGCAACTCATCAACTCCGAGCTTGCGCCCGAACACGCCACAACTCTCCATCCCTCAATTCCCGCCGCTCCTGAAACCAATTTCTCCTCTCTAATCCAACAAGAGCTCGCACGCAAGGAAGCCGGTGCTCCTTTTACTGGTGGCATTGACCTAACTCGCTACGAAGCCCCGGAACCTCCAACCCGCGCCAACGACAATGAAGCTCCCAACCTAGACGAATGGCGCAAGACTCTGCAAAAGGCCTACGTGTCATCTTCACATCTCACTAAACGTTATGAGAACCTCTCTCCTTGAGGAGAACGGCAGAAACGCCTGGCTGATCGGCAACTCCCAGCTTGAAGATATCCTGCGTGGCATTGAGAAGGAGCTGGCCGATACCAAGGAGGCCTCTGAGGAGGTCAACAAGCAGCGCAAGATCGCTCAGGAAGCTAGTCACGGCGAGATGGTCAGTCTCGAGGAGACATGGAAGCGCGGTGTGGGAGCCGTTCTGGATGTCGAGTTGGCGTCCGAAGGACTGCGCCAGCAGATTTTGGACTACAGACGCCAAGCTGCCCAGCAGCCACGATAAATCAGCTGTCTGTACTGCGCGATCTCTTTGATTAAAGTCCACGATTTATTGCCCCCTAGGATGCATGATTCCGTCAAGTCTGGGACTGTTGCACTCGGCTTTGTCTTGTGGAACAGTCCTTTCACATGTGAAGAGCTCTTTTCTGCTTCTGTATGTCCTGGAAACGCCATTCTCAGCTTGAAGCGCTCGCCCTCTTTAACGCAGTGTCTCTGCTGAGCAATGTGAAGCAGAGCTCATGACCGATACATCTCATATCGACGATATTGCTGCCACGGCATTTGGACCAGCGAGCCCTTGGCCTTGACGGACAAGCTAGACACAAAAGTCTCACAGAGTGTGTGCTAGCTCAGGTCGAGAAGTCTCTTAAATGGCTTCAGATTTTCACTATGCCATCTGTCGCATTCTTTTCTGGGCTGCGCTCCAAATCCTGTCCAGGTCTCTTCGTGGCTCTCAACCCCCATAGTCTCCGATGAATGATACCACCACGCCCGAAATAGCCTTTCTTCTCTTATGCAATTCACATAATGATCCTTATACAAGCGTTGTTGATTGTCTGGCCCATACTAAGCAAAATCATCGATGAACTTTCTTAGCAGAGTGCTATATAGCCCGTTGTTAAACAACCGACTGGAAAGACGATTTTCTAAAACAAAAGGTATTTTCAAATATCCTGTTGAATATGAAAAGTGAATCTTAGTCTACCTCGTTGCTTGAAACTGTTCATCGAGCCCTTGTCTTCTAAACAAAGCGCCCTCCCCCCCCAAAACAGCTACGAAGGTCAAACGAACAATATCAATATCCGGTCAAGAATAGAAAACAATAGAAAAAAAAGAAGCCACTCCAGACGGTATTGAAATGTCCGCATGTTCCGCACTGCGATGCGAATGCAAGCCAAAGCAGGATTATGATGTAACAAGAATGAGAATGAATCTGAAATGTCAAATATAACCCAGTTCCGGGCGCTTAACTATGCAAGTCAAAAAAAAAATTAAAAAAAATAAACAAAACCAAAAAAAAACCAAAAAAAAACTGTTACAGCTGTTTCAAAGTGTAGTACCTCCATGCAAGTCCCATCCGACAGTTACATCCATGCAAGCAATCTATTCCGAATCCTCTAGATTTCCTTCTCCGGCATAACAAGATTAACGTCAACCCCATCCTGGGTGATCTCAACGGTACTCTTTCCAGAAACATCGACCAGCTTTGCCTCAGCCTTGGCATTCCAATCCACCAGCTGTTTGCACATTCCCTCAAGCGTATTGATAGGCGGTGCATAGCCCAAGCCACCCTGCTCCGGCGACTTGCGAGCACGCGAGTCATCTGCAAAGCAGAAAATATCCGAAATGGCGAATAATGAAGGCTGCATCTGGGCCAGATCGCCAGTCAGTTTGGGAAGAAGCCAGGGGAGATACTTGTGCTGGACGACACAATAGAGCTCCACGAGGTAAGAAAAGACGAGTAGCAGGGCGGGTTGCAGAGTCGGGAATTCGACTGGTGTCTTGGATAAGGTGGTGAGAAGAGTGTAGATGTCGCTGAATGCGATGGCTGGGTTCGGGTCCGTCACAACGAAAGCCTGGCCGCCGATGTTGGGCAGAGTCGAGCCTGGCTGGCTTTGCTCTATGAGGCGTTGCTCATAGAGGAGGTGGGCGATTGAGACGTTCTCGGCATTCACGAAGCTTTGGATAATGGGCCGGACCCAGGTTGGGCTGCCGCCGTTACGGAGGTAGACGCCTGTGATAGTCATTGCGGCGTCAGAGCCGATGCCATAGATGCCGTTCGCGGGGCGGATACAGCCCGTGCGGAAGTTGGAGGACTGGTCGTCAGCGGAGCGGACCATTCTCTCGGCTTCAATCTTGGTGACGGCGTAGTTACCGAAGAACTGGTCGTGGCGCTCGGGGATCTTGGCGTCGTCGCTGATAGCCTGCACCGCATGAGAGGGAAGCTTGCTCCAAGGGGCGATCCAGAAATTTGGCCTGTGCAAAGATACGGAACCTGACGAGGTGGAAACGAAGCAGCTGGCGCCGGATTGTTTGGCCGCGTTCATGACGTTCTTGGTACCGTCGATGTTAACCTTGCTGCAATACGGCAGGAACATTTCGAGGCGGTCTTGCGGACGGATTGCAGCTGCGGTGTGGAAGACTGTCAAGGGAAGCTTTGCAACCGTTTCAGGCCAGGGCTGTTCGAAGGCAGTAGAAACGGCCAGCTCATCGGTAATATTCGTTTTGACCCAGGCCACGCCCAGTTCAAGAATATCTTTCGTAGGCGATAGAAGATCCAGAATACGCAGTGAGGTCGGGTCTTCACCTCGAGCAAGCAGGTGAGAGACAATCCAGCCGCCAACGAGACCTATTGACAATATCAATGTTGAGTACCTTTTCTTTCCCTCGCAAATCTTTCGGCGAGGACGGCCGGGCACAGCACGTACCTGATCCTCCGACAACCACGTATCGTCGAGACTGCTTCGGAGGCAAGCTCTTGGTTACATCGACTGGACTTTCCTGGCTCTTTTTGTAAGCGGCTTGAATCTCCTCCACAGTCCAGCGATGAGGAGATGCCATCTGCGCCTCATCCGGCACACGCTTCATGGCCGTGTTGACATGATTAAGGTAGACTGCTGCTAGGCCTAAGACTGAGGCAATGATCATCCAAGTCATGACGGATGATTGTAGGAGCGAAAGAGACAAATGAAGCAGAGGAAATCCTTTGTACGTTGGATGGTCACTGCCTTACAATGCGGGAAGCGCCATGAGAAAACAAACGCAGTCGCAGACTATGGCAGAAGACCCGAAAGGGAGAAAAGGAGTTCATTTTTATTGGTATCAGAATATCAAGTTTGAGCAGGTCGTGCACTGTCACAATCGACCCGACATTGCAAGCGAGCGCATCGCTTAGAGAAGCGGGCTCGGTTACTGAAACGAATTTGTGTGGCTGCTCCGGTTGGCCAACTGTTGAACCGCCCATTTTAACTCTTCGGAGGTTTTGTTGATTTAGGAATGCCACGGCGAGCTGAAGATTTAACTCATCTGGACCACGCTAAGAAAATGTTAAACAAGGGCCTGGAACTTGGACTGAGCTCCACCCACTTTAGTCGGACTCTTACTGCGTCTGTTCAAGGTTGATCTACCGAATGGAGGTTTGGACCCCCTGAGCGGAACAGTTTCCGCCCTTGGGCAGAATTTCTTAGATTGAAAAAACTTTTCTCATCTTTTCGGGCTTTGGGGGCCCACAGAACCGTGTCAATAATCGGGATCTTCGCTTTGCCGTACTATCCTAAGTCTGTGCCCGAGCTCTGGTAGTGTTCACCGCAATTGTATCTGTGACTGCACGACTAAGGAATTCCGACCCCGCGTATTCGGTGCATAGCTTGGCTCTGCCACAGAGCCACGCTGTTGGTCCATACTTGGGACCGGGGATTATGTATTCGGGAAACCGGCACGGTACAGGCCCTTTCCCAATCATGGGCCTCGGAACCCACTTTGGAGTACCTATACTCTGTACTGTAGTGATAGGGGGGGGCCACCCACTGACTTAAGGGTATGGAGTGTACCCACGGGGTTCTGAATGTGGAGGTCATCGGGGATGACACTCGGGTACAAGGAACTGAGGTTATTTCGCAAAACGGCTGCGACGGACAAGGCACCTGATATACAAGTATTGTACTTGTCCATAGGAAAGGACCCTCGGCCTCCTTTCTGAGATGCAGCACGACACTTCACACGCCATCGTCGACTCATAGGCTTATCATGAGCCCCACATAGTCCTCTTCGGAGAAATTTCAACTATTTAGCTTTGTTCAGCGTTGCTACAAAACCGCTTAGTATCTTCTAGGTTGCTTTACTTTCCCCCCTCTTGGTCATACTTAGAAATCTGGGGGTCCAACTAGTAGCATTATCTTGATTCTTTCGCTCTTTTAATTCGAAGCTCTTTCCGTTCTTCCATATCAGAAGAGATTCGGCATTGCTCTGAGCTATCGAACCTTTAATCTGATACCATTAGGGTCGACTGTGGGGATGTCTTCCCCTCACCCCTCCGCCGAGTCCCAAGAGAAATGGCCTCGGGATGCACGTCGCGTGTCGCACGATACTGATTCCATCGCAGAGACCGTCTCTTCAGTGAATACTCAAGCCGACAATGATGATATTGGCAAGACACTGACGGCGCGTACGTCCCGGGTGTCGGATCATATGTCGCTGGCGGAACGAGTGACAAATATCCCGACGAACGCGACAGCGGATCCTACTTACGAGGTTGATTGGGATGGAGAGGACGATCCTACAAACCCCAAAAACTGGCCGTTGAAGTACAAGGCTATGGCATTGGTGTTCTTGTCATGGAATACAACGACTGTGTAAGTCTGTTGGAAATCGGATGCAAAGACCCTCGCACTAATGGATACAGTGTGCTATATTCGACCTCGTATACTTCGGGCATGACTCAGATCGGAACTGAATTCGGCAAATCGGAGACACTCGTGACGCTGGGGCTTACTTTCTACCTCTTTGGTCTGGCCATCGGGTCTATGTTCATGGCGCCTTTGAGTGAGGTCTATGGCCGGAAGCCCGTTTGTGTCTTGTGTTTAGCTCTCTTCACGGTCTTGATCATTCCCTGCGCGCTCGGTACCTCGGTCACGGAATTAATTGTAGTCCGTTTCATCGGTGCTTTCTTCGGCAGTGTCATGATCTCCACTGCGCCGGGTATGGTGGCGGATCTGGTGGATGATGAGCATCGTGCGCTGGCTATTTCGATTTGGAGTATCGGCCCACTAAATGGGCCAGGTTCGTTTGTTTGAACCCATTGATCGGAGGGTTCCTGCTAATTAGATGGAATAGTTCTGGGCCCTGTGATCGGAGGCTTCGTCACGCAATATCTCGGCTGGCGCTGGATGTGCTGGATTGCATTGCTGCTCTCTGCTGTGGCCTTGGCCTTCGCATTGATTCTCAAGGAGACGTATGCTCCGACGTTGCTGCAGAAGAAGGCTGCCAGGCTGCGCAAGGAGACCGATGATTCGCGCTGGTGGTCTCGCTACGACCAAAAGGCCAGCCTTTCTGAGATCCTCAAGCTAAACCTGAGTCGACCGTTCGTGATGGCTGTTACTGAGCCCATCTGGTAAGATGACCAGCCATAACGTTCTGAGAGTTGGCTAACTTCCCACTCAGCATCTTCTGGAACATCTACATTGCCATCGTCTACGGCATCCTCTACCTGTGTTTCGTTGCCTACCCAATCGTCTTTGAAGATATTCGAGGTTGGGGCCTTGGTCTATCCGGTCTTGCTTTCATGGGAATCGGGATCGGCGTGATTCTCACGATCGCGAGCGAACCACTTGTGCGCCGCCTCATCAACCGCCACAAGATCGACCCAGAGACGGGTCACGTGTACCCTGAAGCTATGGTCTCTTTCGTCTGCATTTGCTCTCTCTTAATCCCCGTTGGTGAGCTCTGGTTCGCCTGGACCTGTTCTCCTGCCTCAATTCACTGGATCGTGCCGCTGCTGGCAGGTATCCCGTTCGGCGCGGGAAACACGGGTGTGTTCATTTATGCGTCTAATTATCTCACTGGCAGCTACGGTATGTACGCTGCTTCCGCTTTAGCAGGCAATTCCGTCATCCGTAGCGTTCTGGGTGGTGTGCTTCCGCTGGCCGGATCATACATGTATGACAGTCTCGGCCCGAACTGGTCTGGTACGCTGCTGGGACTACTCGAGGTGATTATTGTGCCCATTCCGTTCGTGTTCTATAAGTACGGGCATAGAATCCGCCAGAAGAGTGACCTCATTCAACGCATGCAGGAGGACAAGAAGAAGTTAGAGGGCAAGAGGGCACGTAGAGTGCCCAGGCAGGCTGTTGCTCTGAACGATGAGGAGAAGCTGAATGACGCTAAATGAGTGCTGCTATTTGCGTTTGCGTATTTGGTTCATCTCGATACCCCATCACGAGATCATCTTTGCATTGGCGGTGTCTGACAATCAGGTTGATTGTCTCCTGAAACGCCCTGGCATGAACGCGACATCATGCCTGGCGCCTGATGAACAGGAAAAAACAACACTCGAGCCAAAGCTCGTGATGGAAATCATTATGATCATGAGTTAATTGATAATACACCCATGGATCTCATGGTTGGTTGTGAACTCGGCGTTCCACATCTTGCGCATTGCGTAAGATTCGTTCATATTCTCCCAGGGCAATAGCACCCGCAGGGAAGACCATCACTGCTTCAATGGAGACCGGGCGTGGGGGAAGTCTAGCCGGTGGGGTCTCATTTGACTGCTGAGAGCCCTCTTGACTTGAACTGGACGCAGGTTGTGGTGTTGTATCGCGCACATAACCCAATACATTCAACCAAGAGCCTACCCGTAGCTCCTCAGATGTCAGGTCTTCAAGAACAGCATTGATATCCACGGACACTACGCTGGACTCTTTTCTGTTGCGCGGATAATGGTGTTCTAGAACAAGATGACCAATATTGACGTTGTATTGCCTCACGCTGTTGACATGTTAGTAACTAGAAGCCGTCTTAGGGTATAGTCTTCAGCTGGAATCTCCCAAACGCACCAGCCCAAAAATCGAATTTTGGAATCCGCCGGTAGACACGGTAGATCGCAAAGAAATGCGCGAACAGAGGGGCGCGGCCCACTCATCGCGTGAGGAGCAAAAGAGTGAAGATGGCCCAGCCAAGGTCGGGATGACATGGCACGTGACGTCGATAGGCCCGAGTATGTCATAGGCTCAGCGAGGGGAAAGCCTCTCCCCTCCATTTGGCTTCATCCGGTGACTCCACACGCTAATTCCCTCGCGTCGTTTCCTAGACTCTTGTCTGACATCCCTGACCGTCTCGATCGCCGCAACCCTCCTGGGGCGATCATCACATTATTGGGGTTTGCTCGGAGCCTGCCCACCTTCGTCTGACTCGCCGCTCTATCTACGCTGCGACAGCTGCCTTTTCATTGACAGTGCTGCCTGATCGCCTCACGTCTGAGAAAGATTTCCTTATATCAATAATCTCCGTTATCCTCTTCTCGTACTTCCGCCAAAATGTGGTCTTGGTTTGGCGGCGCTGCCGCTCAGAAACGGAAGGATGCCCCTAAGAACGCCATCCTGCTGCTCCGGGAGCAGTTGGATATGTTGCAGAAACGAGAGAAGCATTTGGAGAACCAGATTGCGGAGCAGGATGCTGCGGCGCGCAAGTTTGTCAACACAAATAAGAACGGTACGGTCCCCCTCGCCTCGGGCACACAAGTTGTGTTTTGCTGTCTTATCTACGGCGCCGGAAATTGATATCTAATCTGTGTCTGTTCTGTACAGCTGCCAAGGCTGCCCTTCGACGGAAAAAGGTGCACGAAAAGAACTGCGAGCAGACAACAGCGCAGATCGTCCAGCTCGAGCAACAAATTTACTCCATCGAAGCGGCCAATATCAACCACGAGACCCTTCGGGCTATGAAGCAGGCCGGTGCCGCTATGTCGGAGATTCACGGTGGAATGAGCATCGACAAAGTCGACGAGACAATGTATGTCGCAACCACTTCTTTCTTGCAATTGCTAGGACTTGCATGCTAACAACCGCGTAGGGAGATACTCCGAGAACAACACCATCTCAGCGAGGAGATCGGCGCGGCTATTACCAGCGTCCCGCTGGGCGAGCAGCCCGACGAAGACGAACTGGAAGAGGAACTGGAGGGACTCGAGCAGGAGGCAATGGACGAGCGCATGCTCAACACTGGTCCCGTGCCGGTCAATTCGCAGTTGGATCGGTTACCAGAGGCAGGAAAGTCGGAGCGTAAGTCAAATTTCGCCTTAGGATCAAGAAGAAAACCTCATATTAACAAACACATAGTGGCCGGAAAGACGCCCGCAAAGTCCATGGCAGAGGAAGACGACGAGGAAGCCGAACTGGCCAAGTTGCGCGCCGAAATGGCCATGTAACATGCCCCCTCTCCCATAATCTATGCATACACAGCTGCTTGTCTCCTCGGGTGGCTTACTGTCTCACCTCACTTTTGCATTGGACGTTCTCTCGCAAGCCGTCTTGTTCTTTTTTTTTTGCCCTCTACTTTGGCGCCACCTTCCTACAATGCTCTTCCCTATACATCTTCACCCTCGGTGTCACAATGGCGCGCTTTGGCCCCTTCTTTCTCTCTGGGTCTTCATAATTTATCTTTCAAGTACTTTTCTTCACTTCTAGTGCGGAATAATTCCTTGCTTGTTTCGATAATGGATCTGTTTTAGGGTATTTTCTTCTCCCGCGGCCTTTACTTGGATTGTGCAATCTGTTTTTGCCTCCACAACACTCAGACTATCAGAATATTTAGAGATCATCTCAATTGAAAGGTATCTAGTATATGCACAAAAGCACTCAACCCGAAGCTTGTGTCAGAGCCCTATCAACACCACATGCATGGGTTGCAAAACAAATAGATAAAATCATAAACCAGAGCATGACAGCAAAACTCCCATGACTTTTTAAATACCAGCCATAAAACCAACGTCCCAATCCATGCTAAGCCGGTAAACTTCGCCTGATTCCCAAACAGATCCGCCCTATGGATTCAACTCCATATGGATATTAAAGTGAAAAACGGTCATCTCCAGACATATTGACCAAGTAAGTATGTGAACTCATGGAGCCCACGCATAGCTCTTGAGCGGGCGCGAGCGAGCACCATCGGTAGTCTCAGTTGACCACTTTGATTTCCACTCCACCTCGCGCGCGGCTGAATCGATAAGAGCCTCCTTGGCGTCTTCTGGGAGCAGAGCGACGATTTCTGGAGACATGAATTCCGGGTGGGTGGGGTTGGCGATGCTAGCCAGGCCGTTCGGGTGCAGATTGCGCAGATCGCCGTCTGGGCCCGGGAGGCCCATGTTGGAGTACGGAGGCGATTCGTAGATGATATCTTGGACCACATAGCGGTCAGAGATGTGGGCGGGCACAGAGGAGAAGATACTTCGGCGCTCCTCCTCGGGTTGCTCGCCTGATGTAGCTGGGTCGGTGGTGGTTCTGTCAGCGTGGGCCTGCGTGCTGGACTCTTTGTTTGAGAGGCTCAGGGAGGACATGTCAGACATCAGGTCGGCGGGTGGGACGGGCTCCCAGCGGCAGTGGGTCGGTTGCATGATCTGAGGGTATTGCATTGTGTTGGTGTGTACGTCGTATGTGCCTCCCATGGTGGAACGGCGCATTTCAGCGAGCTTGGAATTAAAGGTGCTAAGAACTCATGTTAGTTTGGAGCATAACGCGATACGAATTGAGGAACATACCTTGCTGCACGAGCGTGTTCGAGCATCCAGTTGTCATCGGTAACCGGCACGCGTCGTTTCTTAGGGTCCATGGGCTTGCCACCGGCCATGGGCACCGATGGCGCATTTGTGTGATAGACACTGCTCGCGCCGTGCCATGCTACATACTGGTTCCGGTTATATTCCTCACCAGGGCCAGGCAATTTATCTTCTGGCACAGCAAGTTCACCCTCCACGTCACCACGCTCGCGAGCAGCCGCTTCATCGTAATCGTCAATAATTTTCTTTCCTCCCACAATGATCTTGGCTCCGAACTCGCGGAACACAGAGCGGGCAGTAACCACACCGATGGCTCGACCCTTGTAGGAGTGAGGAATAAGATCTCGCTCGATTAAATCGCGCTTTGCGTCGTCATCGATAATGATCTTGTAGAGCATCTTGTGCTTTTGGAAGAAAAGATACGAGTCACGGAAGCCGATGCATCGCGCCGGTTCCGTCGACAACATGTACAAGCGGTCACCACGGTTCATAATCGTGAAAGTACGGACACGGTACTCGCGGCCACCCTTCAGACGACCATTCTCATCGACCTTGGTATCCTCGAGGATTTGGGGGAAGCTGAACTTCATCGCCAATCACATCCATCATGTTTCCTTCCTTGTCCACGGGCACCTGAGTAAGGTGGGATGGGCCACGGTTGCGGGCCCATCGTCCACCACTCGCAGCAGGTCGACCTCGTCGTCTCTTGACCGGAGTAGTTACTCGGATCGGTGTCTGCGAGCCGTCCGGCGCATCCCAGTCCGGAGGGCGATTCTTTGGGGGACGACCAATGCGACGTTTGCGCGGGAGAAGGGATGGACGGCCGGCATTGGCGCTGGGTGTTTCTCCTTCGAGTATTGTAGATTCGTCTGCTGCAGGTGTCGCAACGCTTGCGTCTTCTTCGGCCTTGGCTTCGTCTGGGGTATTTGTTGGCTCTTCTTCGGGCGCATTCTGGGCTTCAACTTCGGCCTCAGGATCGGCCTCAGGTTCGACATCCGGATCATCGTCAGGCGAATCGTGATCCTCCACTACAGGAGAGGAAGGATCTGATGGCGGCGCATCAATCATATCTTCATCAGATCCGTCATCGGGAAGCGTAGGTACATTCTCTAGGTAATGCTAATCAAAAGCGCGTTTACAGGGGGATTTCTTTTCTGGGCTCAAATATCAATTTGGAGCTGGAGGACAAGTAAGACATACTCATGGACTTGACTGCCGCTTGGGCAGCTGCCCTGCGACTTCGAGGCATATCGAAGTTGGTGGAGAGACAATCAATGCTTCTTACAGTCGCGCCGTCGAAGTCAGAGCTGTTTTGCTCACATTCACATAGCGGTCAAACGTTTCTCCGAGTTTCAAAGTCACATGTATTGGTTGGGTTACATAAGCAGGTACAGCGATGTCTTGAATCACATGACTGTGCATGACCATTCAGCCTCAAGGCACGACAGAGCCCTAGGTGACGTCAAAATGGAACACCACCATTAAGTGTTCATGTTATTCACACAGAGCTTTAATGAGTTTGGGAAGATCTGACAACAAGTCATGCTGGGCTGTTGATCAGTAGGCTCTGAATTGTGACCTAGACTATCTACCGCCTCTTCCGTTGCCACCGTTGATATCATTGAGCCCACAGTCTTCCTCAAGACAGTGCTACAGCCGTTGTGTGAAGTGCGGAGGTTTCGACCCGTGAACGGCCGCACGATGAGCTCATCTCGCGTTCCATAGAAAAGCAGAGAGGGGTACCCTAAAGCATTCACCGGTCGGTTAGCTCACCGTTCTCTCCCGATATTTGAGACTACGCAGCTTAGTTTCGGGATTGAACTGTGTGACTGGCTCCGTGCGTCTGGATCCGTTCCACCGGCCTTATCCACCCTATACAACCACATGGGGCAACTACAACCCCCCTTCCTATCGGTGAGCTATCGGTGAGGGAAATTATATGTTTAGCCGTGTATATTTCCTGAATATCACATGCGAGGTCAGCCTGGTGGTTTGGGCAATCCAGATAGGCTGGCGAGGCGTGAGCTTCGGGAGAAACCTGAAACCTGCTTGAATACAGGAGTCCATCGCCGCTGGGACCCTGATGCACAAAGAGTATGAAGGGTGATTACGGTATCCTCGCAGAAGAGTGGGCTGTCAAGGCTGTCAATCCAGCCGATCAGAGGGCAAGGCCGTCGGCGATTCCAGAAACCATGTCGGGCTCTTCTCTTGCATCAACGCAGTAAAACCCTCGGGATCGACTCGCTGCATGGCGTGCAGATCGTGGCACACCTTCCCAGCCCGCAGATGACCTACAAATTCGATCTTCCTAGCCCTGTCGGGCTTTGCCCCCGAAGCTGCCACATGCACTGAACCATGCAGGCGTCCAAATTTTGGCCTTTGGCGGGGCGATGTCACTATCCAGTATTAAGGCATATCGCGAACTCCTAGCTACTACCATCCTAGGCTATACGAGGATAGAGCCCCCCGAGGCTGGATATCCCGGTCGTCCGCGAACGCTTCCGCGGCATCTGTTTTCCAATGCCGCGTTTATTTGCCCTGAAGAAAAGAGGTGAGGGGCGAGCGCAGATCTCCCCCGCCTCGGGATGGCGTCAGAAAGCTCAAGCTGTTTGGAGTATTGCTTGTCCCACGGTGTCCTTTATCACGTCTCCAGTTGTAGCTTACATTCTGGGACCACATACATTTGACACGCACCACTACGGCAATGGAACCCGTCAAACCAAAAAGCACCCTCGTTGGGCTTGGGACTCCATGGCTGGTGCCCTATGACGCAGAGGGCGGGGAACGCTCATAGTTCAGCATACCGCCAGAGCCGAAGCAACACCTGGAAAGTGTCGGTAGCTCCGTGGAATGCAGATGCAAGGGGAGCGGAGAAGCTGGACCGGGCCATTTCACAAGCTGAAAGCTGCACGATCGCGATCGACTCGTGTAGATCGGCCTCGATCTACGTGGTACAGACGCGGGTTGAGGTGGGATGGGGGGTCAATACGGTGCGATGTACTCCGATAGAATAGGAGAGATAGAGAATATGTACCCCGCCCTGTGAAGAAGTGGAGAGAGAGTGAGAGAGAGACTGGAAGAGAGAGAGGGAGAAAGAGAGCGGAGATACCTGCGTTGTAAGCGACTGATAAGGTGGAAAAGGGCGCGGTTCACTAAATTTAGTATGGCGGGCACCTGGGAGGCAAAATCCCAGAGATCGAACTCTGGGACGGCCACATGTCCCCTTAATCTCCCTACTGGGCCGGATCACGAGAAATATAGGGAATATTAGAAATTGAAATTGGAGAAGTAATTAGACCACCCAATAATTCGATCTCATAGCTAGGTCTGTGTCGGCAAAGAATCTTCGGCCAGTCACCGAACACCCGCGATTGCCTCGTTTCATTCCCTCCTTTTGAGAGTTAATTTGCCTCTCCATACTTGGGAGATCATGTACAAAGTAGAGAGCATAAGACGGATAAGACTCAACTTGATCAGCTGCCCCCATCACGTTCCAAATCGATCTCACTTGCCTTTCAATCTCTCGCTCTCTCGCTCTCTCTCTCTCTCTTTTGCTCAGCTTATGGTTAGCCTCTGACTTACTTCCCACTGGGGGGCAATGATATGAAAGACACCCCTTTAGTTCCCGTGGGAATCCCTGTTTTCCATTGATCATTCTAAAATCCCAAATTATCAAGTCTATGGATACTTGAAACCTGACCGGGGAGACTAAATCCGCGACATTACTAGAGGAGCGAATCCGAGGGTCACCCAGAAGACGACATCCCGCAAACACCCTTAGCTCATCATCGGGCGGCGTCAAAGTTTCTTTTTTCCTCCTCCGTTTCCCGCTGCCGACTTCGATTTCGACTTCTTCACCCCTTCTCCTCGCTCATATCGACTTTCTTACTTTCTTCGAGTCGCTTTTGTTCCCAGCGGCCTTGTGAGTGTTAGATGGAAACGCAATGGCTGCTGCGCAGAGCGGATCCGAGTTGCACGGCACGCCAGACATGAAGCCAACCAAGTGAGTTCTTCCTTTCTGATTCTTGTGGGGAACTTGGGAGTGGCTTTGAAAGGGAATACCCTGATAGAGGTCACCCTTACGCTGCATTGCATGGAATGTCCTTTCCCTGCGGGCGCTGTCTCATCCTACACAAAGCCTTGGTCTCTACCCCCACCTTGACACGATCTGCGCCGGAATATTCCTCCAATGTTCGAGTCACCTTCAAGCGAGCCTGCTCGCACTTCGTCCCCGTTTATAAAATCATACCTACAATTGCACCGACGCAAACCTATGACTAATGCCATATTCACCTCACAGTTCTGTCCCAGAAGACGACCAGATCGGTTCCAGCGGGTCGACTCCCACAGGCATCGCGACGCCGCGCCCCGATCCCGCAGACAAGCGTCTGCCTTCCATCATGCACAACTATTTCCAGGTTGGTTCTTTCTCCGGTGATAAAGCAGGTCTGCCGCGGTTTTGGTCATGCCTGTCGAAATCCTCTGTGGACCCCCCCTCCATCGGCCACACCCACTCACCCGGGCGCTTCCTCCGAATCCTTCGTCATGCTGGACCGCGATGACTCTGAGAAAATGGAAGCGCCACACCCCAATTTGCCTACTCCTCCACACTCCCTTCTCCAGACCGAGTCGGACGAGATGGAACTCGGGACCAGTCTTGATAAGGACGACGGGGGAATTTTGAGCACTTTGAAGAATTATCTCATTCCACACAACGCCCCCGTCGACTCTCCTTCTCGCCGTCAAACTTCCCTACCAGTCTCCAGTGTCTCTGATGACCCGGTCCTTGCCACCCATTTCTCCAATCCATCCCTCCCTCCTGCTTCAGATGCCCTGTTGCCCTCCGGGGCTCCCTTGTTCGATCATGAAAGGCCGCGTGCTTCAATCTCTTCCGTGAACCTTTCCAAGCTGACTGACAAGGCACCCAATGTGGTGCCATTGAAGAATACCCCACCTCTGACTCCACGAGCCATGTCCAACGAGGATTCTGAAGAGAAGAACCCAGCTTCCCCGGCTACTTCGGCACCCCACGAGGCTGAGGCTAAGGCCCAGGCCGAGGCCGAGGTCGAGGCCGAAACCACTCCACCCGTTCAGGATACCATGGACAGCTCCGCCGACGAGATTACCACCAAGCTTGAGGAGGCCTTTCCGCGTGAATCATCTTCTTCCCCACAAACCGGAGCGCCCGTAGGAGCACTCAAGGGGAAACTTTTCGTGAAGATCTCCGAAGCTCGCGGTTTGCGCCCCAGTACTGACCCTTACGTGGTGTGTGTCTTTGAGTGGAACGAGTATATCTCCAAGGGTGCGAAGGATGGTGAAGAGGAGCAGAAGCAGCGCCAGATGGATGCCGAGGCCGAGGCCGGTCGGCCGATGGCCATTCCGATGAAGAGCCGTCAAAGCAGTCACAACAGCGCCCTTGATGGCGAAAACAAGGGAAAAAAGCTCGTAACCGACCCTCACTGGGATCATGAGGCCGTCTTGTAAGTTTCTTTGTGTCGATCACCAGTCCGGGACGGTAGTCTTTGCTAACGCCCTTTCTTTAGCGATGTCTTGGGTGATCAATCAGAAGTTGATGTCACTGTGTATGATCGCCACAATCAAGAGACTTTTCTGGGTCATGTTCGGCTCGGTATCGATCTGAAGGAGGACCACAGCAGGCTGGAAGGGTGGTTCCCTCTTGTTGGTCGTGCAGCCGGTGACAGCCAGGTCACCGGCGAGATCCACCTCCAGATGCGATTTGAGATGACCGACCGTAGACAGGTGGGCCCGAGCGACTTCTCAATTCTCAAGCTTATCGGTAAGGGTACTTTCGGTCAAGTCTATCAAGTGATGAAGAAGGATACCGAGCGCATCTACGCCATGAAGGTCCTGTCGAAGAAGGTGATCATTCAGAAGAAGGAGGTGGCACATACTTTGGGCGAGCGCAATATTCTAGTGCGCACCGCCATGACAGCCTCGCCTTTCATCGTCGGCCTCAAGTTCTCCTTCCAAACACCCACCGACCTCATCTTTGTCACGGATTACATGTCTGGTGGTGAATTGTTCTGGCACCTCCAGCGTGAAGGTCGCTTCCAGGAGGCTCGTGCCAAGTTCTACATCGCTGAACTTATCCTGGCCCTGCAACATCTTCACGACCACGATATTGTGTATCGGGACCTAAAGCCAGAGAACATTCTGCTGGATGCCAACGGTCACATTGCCCTTTGTGATTTCGGTCTTTCCAAGGCAAACCTGACACAGAATGATACCACCAACACGTTCTGCGGTACCACCGAATATCTTGCTCCGGAAGTCCTGCTTGATGAGCAAGGTTACACAAAGATGGTTGACTTCTGGTCTTTGGGTGTTTTGGTCTTTGAGATGTGCTGTGGTTGGAGCCCGTTCTACGCCGAAGACACTCAGCAGATGTACAAGAACATCGCTTTCGGCAAGGTCCGATTCCCTCGTGATGCTCTCAGTACCGAGGGTCGCAATTTCGTGAAGGGTTTGCTAAATCGTAATCCCAAGCACCGTCTGGGAGCCAACGGTGACGCTAAGGAGCTGATGGCACACCCCTTCTTCCACGACATCGACTGGGATGCTCTCTGCCGCAAGCAGGTCATTCCCCCCTTCAAGCCGAAGCTGCAGTCGGACACCGACACCTCGAACTTCGATCCCGAGTTCACCAATGCCCTGGAAAACAACATGTCGCTGAACGACCGCGCGGCGGCCTTGGCCAACGGCCTCATGCCTGCTGGGGCCACTCCCTTGTCCCCCGGCATGCAGGCCAACTTCAAGGGCTTCACATTTGTGAACGAGAGTTCTATCGACCACCATGTGAAGGACCCCGTGGATGAGATGGACGAGGACCCCATTCACGACGAAGCATGGCAGCCCACTCATCGGTCGCAAACGTCGACCGACCAACATATGAGTGGCATCCCGAAGGCAGATGGCGCGGAGCCAGGTATCTTCAACGTTGACGATAATTTTGACATGTGAAACGGTTTCCTTATTTGTCTCATTGATTTGCATGATCATGGAGTCTTGATCTGGCATTGAATCTTGTCCTGTACATGGCCTCGGATGTGTCCCCTGGCAGCCTGCAGATATGGGTTTTCGTTTTTATCGTTTAATTCCTGCTCTCCTTTTCATCTGCCCGGGTGGTCGTTTTCTGGTTTGTCTGTATCTGCTTTGCAGAAAATGCACGCCGGTCATCACCACGGTCTTATTGATTGTGTTTCCACCCCGCGTTCTGTTACACAGTTCAGCTACATACCCCGTCTTTCTTCACGTTCGACGACCTGCATTTCTGATGAACTCGGCGTGGATCGAGTTTCGTTCCGAGAGGCCTGAATCAACTTGGTCGATTCAGCTTGGAACCAAATCATACTCACGTTGCTTCTTGTCCAGCGAGTTATATTGTGCCTTATTGTTCTGGTTGGGATTGGAATACATCCGGGTAACATGTCAGCGTTTCTGGTCGTATCTACTTGTTTCAATCCGCGCTCTGTTCTTCTATATCTATTAGACTATGGCGCAATTGCATCGTTTTTTTTCCCCATCAGTATCAATCCTTAATTATCAGGACCCCGTTGGGAGGCTTCCTGAGAGCCATGCTTAGTCCGCCAGGTGATTTATCAGGTCCAGGTGGACCTCTGGCCTGGTGTGCAGGCGTGACCAGGTCGGTTGGGGAGACACCATCAGTGACAGCGATCGAGGTGAACCGACTTTTGTCCGGCGTTTGGTTCAAATGGACACTTTGTGGCGAGTGGCGTACCGTGGTGGCGTAGTTCTGGAATCGTGTTTCCATGGCTCTCGTTTCAAGATTCGACACACAATTATTCTTCACATCTCCAGCCCTGACACCAGAAGATCTGATTGCTTCATGTGCTACGCGTGTTTTCCCCAGATGCGCCACCTCTATGCCCTTTCGTAGTTCTCCCGAGATCGCTAGGTCAGCTACTTCGAGCTCATTTGAGAGGCGGGCCATGGGATCGAGCATCCTCAAATTTCCACGAATGTTTAATTGCCATGTCAATAGTTATCCACCCTAGACTCGACGATTCGATTTTCTCGAGAATTCTTCCACGGTCTAGATCGAAGCCCTGGGGAGAAAACCGGGAAACCATGTCTTGATATGGAAACCCAGTCCCTAGAGTCCCAACCAATCGCAGTCCCCCCTTGCCAACTTTATAGGACCAGATGTCGCCATCTCCATCAGGTTTTGGGAAGATCATGATGAAACCTAGCCGAGGACCATAGAATCAACCCTCTCATACTATAGTCCTCAACCTTTCGAATCAACCCATCATGGCAGCCTCCAAAGGTAAAGAGGTCGCCCACATCACACCTCTGAAAATCCAAGCTCCAATCATAATTCCTCCATCATATACAATACAAACACCATCCGAATCCTTCGCCGACCCTTCTTACGGCGTTGTGACCTGGCACACTCTCTTCTCTCAACCTCCTTCGCCAGACTCAGAGCTGTGTGCCGGCATCGCAAATTGTCCACCGGGGAATGGCCATCTCTGCGCCCACCGCCATGTCCAGGCCGAAATCTACTACATCATCGAAGGAGAAGGTGAGGTTACAATCGACGGCGTCAAGCACCACGTGATGAAAGGAAGCTCGATCTTCATTCCCTCGAATGCTGAGCATGCAACCGTCAATACGGGAACCGGGCAGTTACGGTGGTTCTATGTGTTTCCCACTTCTGCGTTTGAGAATGTGGTTTATAGGTTCAGCAAGGACGAAAGGCCTGAGGCGAAGCTTTAAATATCAAATTATGCATAAGTAATAGCCTTTGTCGACACTTAATGTGTGCAATTTGTGGGTTCTTTGTTCATTTTGCAGACGGGCTTGGTCGAGTCTGTGTATCATTATTGACGTCAATATCCACGGTGCATCGCAGATATACATCAAAAGCTCGCAGTCGCGTGTGTGTATATGTTCCAGCTGTGATGTGAATATATCCATGTAATCAAACAATCGAGTCAGGTAGTCATCGGAGTGCATGGGATCGGTGGGTATCTCAGCTCTTATTTGTCTCATATGTTGTCCGGCAACAGCTTTGAGTATTTCTCGATCGATGCACATAATGGTGATAGCTTGCAGATCTCTGTTGAGACCGGGCTGGGAGTGGCAGAATAGCGTGCTAATCAAAGGTTGGTGTATTCAACTACGGGGATGAGAATTTGGCTTGTCAGGTCAGAATAGAGCTTTGCTGGCCGAATCTTCATCAATATTCATTATATTATCAAATCTCTCAAATAGATATGGGTTCGGTGAAGAAAACGCAATGAGAAATATTATCCTTAATAGTGTCCTGTGGTTGGCTCGCCCACCATCGGCGACTTTCAAGTTCGCCGGTCGCTCACTCCACTTTTGACTTCTAATGATATCGTCTCTCCAGATTTCATCTCGAAATGAATTGTATTTTCGCGCTAAGAAACTCCATTTTCCCCCTTATACGTCTTAGCTAAAGGAGACATGGCGAAGGCAAAGCGGACCGGAAACGAGGGGTCAGCAAGCCGCTCAGAAGCCCGCCATCGACATTCGGAGACGGAGGTGAGACCTCAGAAGAGGTCCGTCGCGTAAGTGTTCAGGAAAATTAATTATTTCATCAGATTCTTACATACTCAGCTGCCATCGATGTCATACGCAAAAGATCAAATGCTCCGGGGAGAAACCGTGCTCGAGGTGTCGGAGAGCGGGCCATGCTGCTCAATGCCGATACTCGAGTCGCGATCGTAAGATACGGGTTGATGAGAGGTGTACACTTGATGATTGTATCCAGATTTCCGACACTTCATGACTGACATTCACTTACAGTTACCTCGAACAGCTTATTCAAGACAGCCAGGAGCTTCATGAGCAACGCCAACGCGCAGGTCAAGAATCACACCCTTGCGCCACTGCGCCCGCCGTGAATCCTTCGCCGGAACCTATTGAAGCTACTGGAATCACTATGCATGATCGAGCTGTCAGTGAAACGCCGTGGTTCCAACCACATGGCACTTCCGTGCTTCCCGTCTACATCAGCGAGGCAGCATGCACCTCCTTTGCCTCTCGTCTCTGCCAGTGTTTGAGAGACAACGACTCGCCAACTATTCACCTTCCACAGTGGCGATATACTGATGAGGCTACATTGGCAGCGTTATTGGACGATCACATACACTGGCCGAGCTTGGCGCATGCTCAGTTGCTGGTAAAGACTGCGCTTGGGCATATCAACCCCGGTTTTCCAATGGTCTTGAAGAAAGAGACCTTAGATATGCTTTGTACAATCTACCAGAAAGGAGAATTTGAGAATCCAGCTCTCAAATCCAAATACTTTGCTCTTTTTGCTGTGGGCCACGTCTACTCTACGCCCCATAACACACGCAATGCGTCGACATTACCTGGAACATCCTACTTTGCTCGAGCCATGAGTCTTCTACAGATTACCCCTGAAAGGCCAAGTATGGTCCATATCGAGTGTCTACTACTTTTAGTATGCTTTACACTCCGCTCATCCTCGCCCCGTTATACTAAAATCGGACTAGGCATACTTCTGTCAATTTCTAAACAGATTTCATTCCGCTTATCTTCTCATTGGCAACGCATTACGCCTCGGATTAAGCCTTGGCTTGAATTATAATGTCCCACGAACACAAAATCTGCATCCAGTGGAAAGGGAACACCGAGTCCGTATATGGTGGACAATCTATGTACTCGATCGCTATTGGGGATCAAAGTCCGGATTTCCCGTACAGATTCATGATGACGACGTTCATGTCGATCTACCCTCGGCTTCAGCCTCGGAGACTTACAGCGAGCAATTTTCAGATGCTGCATATCAGACTGCTGGAATCAAGCTGGCTGAGATCACAGGTCACACGACAAGGGAGATCTATGGTCGGAAAAAATCGGCCGAGAGCTTTCTACAGCGTGAGCAAAAGCTTCTGATTCAGCTAAAGCAATGGGTTCAATCTCTTCCCAAACATCTCAGACTCCATCCAGATAAGCCCAATTCAAAACACACGGTGCTTATACATCTTCAATTTAATTACGTCAGTCATATGAACACCAGCCCTCGCCGTTCCATCTAACAATAGCAGTGTGTCATTCTAGCAATTCGGCCCGTCCTGCTCAACGTTCTTATCGGCCACACAAACAATCTCCCTGGCAGTTCAAATGAAGAAGTGACGCCAGTACTTGGTACTTTAAGTGAAGCATGCATTCACGCTGCCCGATACTCTCTCAGGCTGTGTCAGGAAGAATGGATCAGCGGGTCACTTGCAGTCTATGGATATGCTTTCCCGGCCTTTATATTCTCTTCTGCATTGACTTTGATGATATCAAGCATGCTTCCCCTGGGAGACCCATCCGACATAGCATCGGTAGATATCGCAACAGAGATGCTTAAAATTCTCAGTATTTCCGATAACTTGGCAGCCAAGGACCTTTATGAAAATCTTCAGCAGGTCCGTCTGTGTTTTGATCAGCATCAGGCCAAGTTAAAGGCATCTACTTTGCACTTGGGTCCTCTTACATCATCTTCAGCAACACCTGAGCTACAAGACTCAAATGATTCAAACCATCGGTCCAACCTCAATCTCGACCCAAATGCTGTCCTTCTGGGCACTGAGCATCTGGGTCCACAGCTAACGACGGAAATGGCCCTTCACAATCCTCTGATGCAAGACTTTCTGACTCAGTCTGCAATGCAAATCGGGTTTATGAATCCTCCAGAGTTGCTGAATGATTTCGACATGGCTTTTGGATGGTCGTCTGACTCCCTGTACACCGAATAGCATAGCCCGATATTTTATTTCTCACCAATTACATACTAATGCACAACTACTACACTTTCCATCTCTCCTTCCACCTCGTCTAGAAGTCCATGCTCTCCATCACTCGTCCTACAATGACTCTGACCGGCACCATTGTACCCGAAGATAAGCGATCGGCCATTTTCAAGTTCACCGTAGCGCCCCTCGGGACCCACACGCGATCCACCGTGAGATGGCAGATATAATAATCAAGCATCTGTTCGCGACGAAAAGTCTCATTCCTATTCATCAAGTTTCTATATTCACAATGGAATCTACCTCTATCTCCTATGAGTACTCTTTCTTCCGAATCTCCAAAATTGAAGGGATCCAAATCTCGATTCAAAAGTACCGAGACCTACGTCTGAAAGCCCTCCAGACCGCGCCGGGCTCTTTTTCATCCACGTACGAAATCGAATCAGCATTTACGGAAGCCGACTGGATCAACATCCTGACTGCACCCGACCGCGAGATCTTCATCTGTGCCGCCACACCACTCAATCAAAAATCGAGTGACTCAGATGCCGTGTGGATCGGGCAGGTCACTCTCCGCGGCCCACTATCACTGGAGAACTTCATTCTTCCCCCTGAGTCTGGCGAAGCGCCGCAGAAACTGGATACCGAAGAAGAGAGATGGCAGATGCTGAGTCTATTTACTCTGCCCGAGCATCGGGGGCACGGACTCGGTGCCAGACTTTGTCAGAACGCACTTGACTTTCTCAAAACATGTCGATCATCACCTCCCGGTGTTCAGGTTCGGCTTATTATCAAGCAGGGGAATGATATTGCGGTGAAACTCTACGAACGGCTCGGATTTTCCGAAGCTGGGTTGGCGACGCTTGCTGAGGCTTTGGTTGTCAATGGAGACGGACATCTTTTGCCGGAGGACCGGAGTGGTCCGAAATATAATACTAGAGCTGGAGTGATTATGATTTATCGTATGTCGAGGTCATAATCTTGTGAAAGTACTGCGTTGGGTAGAATTAGAAATAAATCTATAATTTACATCGGCCGTGACAGAATCAGGAAATGGGAACCACCCAATATTGGTATCTTTGCTAGACTGGAGCCCGTCTCAATAAGCTTGAACTGTCTTTTATTACTATCAGTCCCGTCGCTTGTGTATGTCTGCATTACTCAATAGTTCTAAAGACACAGTTAAATGGAGTATATCTTCCAAGTCTATACAAATGTCCGATTACCTAGGTAGGTCAATGGCAACAAGAGACCCGACTCAAGCCTCACAATCGAGGCTTTAGAAATGTAGCACAGTATATCCCTATTAAGACTTCTGCGTGTGCTACCTGTTCGTATCTTCGGGTAGGTAGGCAGGCACTATTAGCTGCATACGCCCGGGGACATCTTCGTGACTAATATTCTTAGTAAGCCACGCCCTTTCCGCTGACCTTGAAGAGTAACCCCAGTGTCGATCCTTAAAAGTCCTTGACCGAGTATAAATGTGGGTGAAAGATGCTTCAGAGCCGGGTCTGTAATTTAACTTTCTCAACCTGATGGAGCTGATTACCGATGTGGCAGACATTTTCCCACCCAGCCTAAGCATGGCGGCTCAATTATTGGGAAGCTATTTCATGCACGGAGGCTTTATTGAAGAAGTCAAATGATCGACATCCCAAGTGCATACCTAGCTAGCAATGGATCTCAGATGGCCACGAAGCATGCAAAATCGTCCAATTGAATGTACAAATCGTCGGCTATATACGACCTACAAACCGAGAGGAATGAAAATCATCTTTCTCCTTACTTTGCAAACCTCTCAACTATTCAATGGCCTCTTGTCCTCGCCCACAACCCATTTCCTTAAGTCTCTACTCGGTCAAAGTCTCTCGCATCAATTAAAAAACAGCTTCCAAATTTTTAAAATACTCTCGGAGTATGACTCATTCATCATGAAGTTCTTCGCCATTGGACTTCTCACCTTGGCTAGCTTGAGCCTCGCGAGTCCCGTCGAGCAAGAAAAGCAGGCTACATGTGCGACTTGCAGTCAGGGATGCCTCAGAACTGAAACCGGAGATTGTTATCCAAATTGGACTCAATCGGTCTGCAGAATTTACGCGGGTGTAAGTGAACCCATGCCAGATTAAACAAATTTCTTATTAACAATGAATCACAGCAAGGGTGGCAATGGTGTCCTTAATCGCGATTGGATCTATGCTGCTCCCTATTATGCAAATAGACCCCGAAATTCGTTCCCCCGTGACAAACTGATGAGCGTGAATGAAAAGCTCAATATGCATGATTCCTTATCAAAGAATACACTTTTGTTAGACCTCAGAAGCTGCTATCAATGAGTGTAATTTCAATTTCTTGGCCTGTTCCGACAAATATGGGGCTGATCAAGGTGCTGTTCGTGTTGCCCACTGTATGCAAGCCCCTGATAATTGGGATGAGCTTCAAGTTCCTCTTCCGGCACACCACTTTAATAAAATAATCTTTTCAAGTCCTATTGTACCTTACATCCGAGGCTCATCGAACAAGCAGTCTCACCGTGAGAATTATGCGGTACTCTTTTATCTTTACAAGACATCGATCTCTCTCTTTCTTGTCCAATTATACGACTTGGCCTTGAGTCATAGGGTCTTAAGCAACATCCTGAATCGGAACACTTGTTTTACCCAAGCACTGCAAGCGGGCTGAAGAAACAATATGTAGGAAGGGAGAACAATACTACGTTGTGACGTAGAAAGCAGAGGAAAGTCTGAACGGTCTACATGCCACTGAATAGGAACTACTTTGTCGGCTTCCATATTAGTGAGAAGATGGCAATTCGTGATATCTCATTCCGCAAATACACGAGTCATTCCCGGGCGTATGTCATGAATGCCCGGCCAAATCGGGCAATTCCCATCAAATGGGAAGCAGGTACTTGGAGATCAGATCAGATCGATCCAGGACAGGGAGGCCTGAATCAGAAACATAAAATATCGACGTCAACTGACGTTTCAACTTGCCACAGAAGAAGGTGTGAAGACTCACGATCGTGGTGAAATCGCGGATGAGATGCCAGCCAGTTAAATTCTGTCGTGGGCCAAGCGTAAGGCAAAGTGGGCCAAACTAAGGCAAGCAAATTCTCGGCGATCATGACAAGAACGAGCATTAAGAAAACTATGATATCAAATGTACGACATCGCTTTGGTCAGGCATGTAATTCTTGTACTTGTTTTCCGGTGTTTCTTGCTTTGATATCTGAATTTCAGTGGCAATTGCACATTTTCGTCCCGATCGCCTTACTAAAGAGGCCCCCACTGACGTAGCGCACAAAATTTCAAGTGTCCTCCTGAATCACTTCGTGATGTATCAATTCCTCATTCGTGTGCTGTCGATGTACTTGTATCCTGTAGTGACTTTTCTTCTCCGACATCGCACAATCATCTCATGGGGATATCGTCAGATCGGCAACATTTCGGCCCTAACCGTGATACATACTCGGACCCGATATGCCACGATATTAGTTATTGCCCCAATCAACTGCGTCATCAAATTTAGAATTCTTCAATTTTGCTGCACCTGTACCTCGTCCTTTTTTTCTCTGGATTCGAAGCGTGACTTCGACTGTCTTCGAGATCGTCAATAACTGACTTGGGAAGTGGATCTCTTGACCACACCGCCGCAAGCGCCTCTCATGTGACCGGCCCCGGTCTCAGTTACTGCCAGGCAAGTTAGCCGAGTTTGACTGAAGAACCGAGAATTAGTAGGGCAGGCTGGCATTCATGCATCTGGTGGGTGAAGTATGTTCTAATTACCTGGTTACAATGGAAATAGTTTATAAGAGATTCAAAATTTGACCAGCAAAAGTATTTTGAGTTGTAAATTAAATCGGAAATGTAGCTATGTACAGGAAACATTTTTCTATTGTCGTAAAGTCATCGTGGCGTCATTATTCGTGTGTTTATCGATGGGGAGAGGTGAGAGGCAGTAGTCTCGTAGAGTCGGAGAAGAGAGGGCCAGTCGAGGCGTAGGAAGTAGGAGTTGGGTGGTTTGAGAGAGAGGTCGAAGCCACCTTAAGCGGCAATGGGAGTAACGGAGACGCAGCAGAAGTTCTTGGAATCCATGTCGAGGATTTCTGTCTCGGTGACTTGAGTGGCCTGGATCTCCTTCTCTGACGGTATTTGGGTGACCGGAACATTGACAAACTTTGGTGTCTCTTCCTTGTCATCTTCTGCCTCGTCTTCTTCGTCGGTCTCCTCGAACTCGAATGAGCTAATACGAGACTTCATGTCGTTCTCGGTCCATAGAACTGAGCCGCAGTGTAGGCGGAAGTGTGCCACACAGCGACGAAGGCTCGGGTCGGGAGCGGTGGCTTCACGCGCTAACTTCTCTTTGGAGATGACGGTGAGCTTGTAGGGAAGGGCGTTGCGGTTCGCCATTGGAGGCCAGCGTTTGTTGGCTCTCTGAAAGGGCACGGAGTGTGAAGGCTTCGGCGTTTTAGGAGTGACAATGCCTGTGGCAGTTGTCATAACGATTTGCCCGGTGTGGCGATTGTATAGTGCCCGGGAAGTTTTTCCTTTTTTTTTTAGGGTGAAATAGGGTCAAGAGCAATTGATCCAAAGCTCAGAGAAGATCGGAATATTTAACTGGGTAGGGGTGGAGATGTATTATTAAGACTCGAGCGGGAGATCAGGGCTCAAAAAAAACTTAAGAGGAGAAGAGGGTTGGGACTCGAATTTTATACGGGTTTGATCTGCGTGGGGAACTTGGCCCCTGCCCAAAAGTCTTCCAGGTCAGCAGGACAAGTGCGCCCATGCCGACACCGAATCTAGACCTCCCGGGCTCGGTCCAGCCCTGACTTAGTCCCCTTTCTGCCCCCTTAGCTCGCCAACTCACCCTTTCGTTTCTTCCTTGATTCACCACAATCTGGTTTTGTGGCTTGGAGCCATTTATTCCAACTTCCCGCTAAGGATTTCCTCCCCCCATCAAAGATTGAGAATTTCTTTTTTTGACTCACCAGCGTGGAATGGGTGGGACGGCGGGTATTCGGAAGCCCTCATGCGGTCGCCATTAAGTGGAGATGCCGATTCCGTGATCTGTTAGTGCTTCGAGTTTTTTTTTCTGGGGTGGGGCCTTTGCCCCATAGCTTATCGTGCTTACACAACCTAGAGAGTAAAAACCTTCGGAAACGTCGCACGGGGAAACTCACGATCTCCACGGATTACCGATTTCGGAAGTCCGAATTCCCTCAACTTTCGCCTCGAGTCTCGCATGCGGCATTGGAACCGCTGGCAACAGCCCAGCGCTAAAATTCTTTTCCAGTGTGCTTCATCAGCACGAAAGCCCACGACTCAAATTTTAATTTGACTTCCAATCTATGCAAACTTATGTTCATTTCGACAGACAGAACCGTGGTTGCTTCCCGGTGCGGTGACTCAGCAACCCTAGTTGGTCGCCAGGGGTTTCCCCGAAGAACATTCTTCAGGGTTCGGGTGAACATCGTGAACATCACCTACCCCTTTGAGCTTTTTCGTAGTCCCACGCACTGCCCCGAGCAACTTTCTCCGGCTGCCCCATGGCCCCCATGGCACAGCTCTACATCCGCTTGACACGCGTGCCAATTTCGGAGCAAATATCTTTTCCTAAAAGAGTTCGCCACCAAATTTTTGTCATCTAATGTCGTGTCCTCCATACATTCGTGCAACGTCCTTGAGATTATTGACCCACCCACGATGTCTGCAAGCAGAATTGATTCAATTATGTGCGACAGTGACGGGGAAGAAATCTGGAACGGTTCCATGCGCTCCGTTTTAAGGACGCCTTAGGATATGGCATCCACTTCTTGGATGACCTTTATTTGCCCTCGGCAATCCTTCCGTCACAATCGAGCACCAACCAACGGAGAACGTGATCAGGATCGTGAACTGTCCGCCTATTTTTGCCGATTCCATCAGCCACTGTGAGGATGTAAAGAATTTTTTTCTCTCATAAGCAAGAGCTAGAGCTTCC